ACGGTCTCCTCCAACCCCTGCAGGTCCCTGACCGCCCCTGGGGGTCAATTTCCATTGGACCCAAAGACAGATCTACCCGCCAGTGATGGGGTTGATTCTGTGCTCGTTGTCATCTGCCGGTTCACCAAGATGGCGCACTTTGTACCGTGCAGGAAAACTGCCACCGCTGAGTCAACTGCAGATCTGATCTGGCACCATGTCATCCGGCTCCATGGACTCCCCGACGATATTGTATCTGACCGTGGCCCACAGTTCAACTCCCACTTCTGGAAACGTCTCTTCGCTCTCCTGGGAACCAAGGTCAACCTCTCATCGGCGTTCCATCCCCAGAGCGATGGACAAACCGAGCGGACCAATCAGATTCTTGAGCAATACCTTCGCTGCTTTTGCAACTATCAACAAGATAACTGGAAGGAACTCTTGTCTTCTGCTGAGTTCTCTTACAATAACACCATCCACTCCGCCACCCAGACAACCCCCTTCTACGCCAACTATGGGTTCCATCCTCGATTCAGTCTGGCTTCCGCCACCACAACCGAATCCCTTAATCCTGCAGCCGAAGCTCGTGCCAACCATCTCAAGGAAATCCATGAACAGCTTGCCACTGAGCTCAAGGAGGCCCAAGGACGCATGAAGCGCTTTGCCGATGCTAAGAGGGCACCTGGCCCAGACATGAAACCCGGGGACAGTGTCTGGCTCTTACAGCGGAATCTCAAGACTCTCCGACCTTCCCAGAAACTTGATCACCGTAAGATTGGCCCCTTCACAATCACGGAGAAGATCAACTCGGTCACATATCGCCTCAAGCTTCCCCCATCCTACAAAATTCACAACGTCTTCCATGTCTCCCTTCTTGAACCACGTTTCACCATTCCGGAGCGAACTTAGCCAGAACCCACCCCACCAGAAGAAGTCGAAGGACAGGAGGAATGGATTGTGGAAGACATTCTTGACTCCCGTATTCGACGCACGCACCTTCAGTACCTCATCAAGTGGCAGGGTTGGCCAAGCTCGGAGAACACATGGGAGCCAGTGGAACACCTTGCCCGATGTCAAGAGCTTGTTGCCCAGTTCCACCAAAAGTACCCCAACAAACCCCGACCAAAGCCTGCCAACATCAAAACAACATCCGGACGCCGTGGCTAAAGGAGGGGGTGATGTTATGGACGACGCGTCCATACCATGCGCTTACCTCATGACAGCATCCCAACAGTCAGTCAATGTCAATTCCCTGTCAAAACCTGACATCTGCCAAACCTCGCAGCCGCACGCAGCCGCGCTACCCCACACCTGCCACTGCCTTCATTTCTCCACGCAGCCGCACGTAGCCACACCTCCCAACACTCGGCGCTTACAAACCCTTCTCCATACTTCCCCACGTACCCGCCCACAGCCTCAGCGTAGCCACCCCATCCCCAGTCTTCTGTTTCCATACTTCCCCACGTACCCGCCCACAGCCTCAGCGTAGCCACCCCATCCCCAGTCTTCTGTTTCTATGCTTCCCCACCCTTGGCGCTTCTCTTGGCTTCCCTCTCATTCCGTACACTTCTGCTTCCCCACGCTTCCCCAGCCTTCCCAGAAAAACATAAATAGCCGCCTCCCCTCAGCTCCCCACTTCCTGATCCCCCAGCAGATCAACACCAGTTTCTTCCTAGTCTTGTTCTAGTTCTTGTTTCGGTCTGAATACCATTACCTGTCAACAACCTGCACCACAAGTCGCCTCTATTTCCATCGACTCCGCCCATTCATAACAGAGGAAGGGAATGGACGAAGAGAGGCCGGCTATTTATAGATAGGCAACCCAGCAGATCAGAGAACAACAACAACAAGAGGGGACTGGGGGGGCGCCAGCTATGCTCCTAGAGCGTGCGTGGCGAGCGTAGAGAGCATTGCTACAGCTGCTGGCTATGGGGAAGTAGTGGGGGGTGTGGAGAAGCCGAGGGGGGATTGGTGAAATGAGAGGAGAGAGGAGGAGTGGCGATATTGCGGGAGGATTGGCGAAATGAGATGAGAGAGGGGGAGTGGCATTGACATTGACATTGACACTGACATTGACACTGACATTGACATTGACATTGGCGTTTGACATTTGGCGGTTGACATTGGCGGCTGTCAGTAGGTAAGCTTATGGTATGGGCGCGTCGTCCATAACATCACCCCTCTCTTTAGCGGTGGCGGCGGCGGCGTCGAGTTTGGTGTGGCCGCAGAGGAGGTGCTACGGGGACAGAGGAAGGCTTGTTGGGGTACGCGTTGTGGAAGTCCTGGAGGAGTGCGTCGGTATGGGTGAGGTGTTCCACGGGCTCCCAGGTGTTCTCAGAGTCAGGGCAGCCCTGCCATTTGACCAAGTACTGAAGGCGACGACGATGGATGCGAGAGTCAAGGATGGCTTTGACAACCCACTCTTCTTGACCCTCAATGGTCTCTGGGGGCGCGGGTTCGGGTTCGTGTCGTTCGGGGATGGTGAAGCGGGGTTCGAGGAGCGAGACATGGAAGACATTGTGGATTTTGTACGTAGGCGGGAGCTTGAGCCGGTAGGCGACGGGATTGATTTTTTCAACGATGGGGAATGGCCCAATCTTGCGATGGTCGAGTTTCTGAGAGGGCCGGGTTGTCTGGAGGTTTTTGCGGAGGAGCCAGACGTGGTCGCCAGGCTTGAAGTCCGGTCCAGGAATTCGTTTGGCGTCAGCGTAGCGCTTCATTTGATCTTGGGCTTCCTTGAGCTCGAGGGCGAGCTGTTCATGGACTTCCCTGATTTGTTTAGCGCGGGCTTCAGCGGCGGAGTTGACGGATTCGGAGGTAGCAGAAGCCGCGAAACTGAAGCGGGGGTGGAGACCCTTGTTGGCGTAGAAGGGGGTGGTCTGGGAGGCGGACTGATGGGTGTTGTTGTAGGCGAACTCGGCGGACGACAGAAACTGTTTCCAGTTGTCCTGTTGGTGGTTGCAAAAGCATCGGAGATACTGCTCCAGGATCTGGTTGGTGCGTTCCGTCTGGCCATCGCTCTGGGAGTGGAAGGCCGAGGAGAGGTTGGCTTTTGCCCCAAGGAGTTCGAGAAGTCGACGCCAGAACCGGGACTTAAACTGGAGTCCTCGGTCAGAGATGACGTTGTCGGGGAGGCCGTGGAGACGGATGATGTTGTGGAAGCCTAGGTCGGCGGTGAATTCGGCGGATTCTGACTCGCTGCAGGCGATGAAGTGGGCCATCTTGGTGAGGCGACAGTTGACGTTCAGGATGGAGTCGTACCCGTCCACAGGAGGCAGACCGGTGATAAAGTCCAGGGACCAAGATCCCCAAGGGCGGGTAGGGATACTGTTGGGCTGGATTAGGTCGTATGGTTTGTGTCGACTGGATTTCGCTTGGCTACAGGTATCGCAGGACTTGACGTAGGCCTTGACAAAGCGCCACTGGCTGGGCCACCAGTAGTTGCGGGAGGCGAGTTCGAGCGTCTTGGACATCCCAAAGTGGCCGGCTAGGGATGTATCGTGCATGTCGTGGCAGACTTCAGCTCGGAGCTCGTTGGTGGGGGACATAGACCAGGTTATCGTGCAGCAGGATCCCATCTTCATCTGAGAACCGCTTGATACGATCTTGGGTTTCCTCAGTTCGTTGGGCGAGGGGTATCTTGAGCTTTTCGCGAATGGTCTTAGCGAGGGGATCAGAGGCCTGGGCGGCCTTAATCTTGTCAAGCAGCGTGGTATCCATGGGTGTGAGGTAGGCAGCCGCGAGTCGAAGGCGTTCGGGAGTCAAAATTGTGGTTGCCTGGGAGCGGAACGCTTCTTCCCTCTCTTTTAGCTCATGTTCGGAGCGTCGGGAGAGGGCATTGGCTTGGTGCTGCTGGGAACCGGGGCGATAGGTAATGACAAAGTCAAAATCTGAGAAGAATATCGACCAGCGGGCTTGGCGGCGGTTCAGGGTGCGGGTGGTCATGAAGTACTGAAGGTTTTTATCGTCGGAGTAAACGGTGATCTTGTGACGGGCGCCAATGAGATGGTGTCGCCACTGGGCAAAAGTGTTATGGACGACGCGCCCATACCATAAGCTTACCTACTGACAGCCGCCAATGTCAACCGCCAAACGTCAAACGCCAATGTCAATGTCAATGTCAGTGTCAATGTCAGTGTCAATGTCAATGTCAATGCCACTCCCCCTCTCTCCTCTCATTTCGCCAATCCTCTTGCAATATCGCCACTCCTCCTCTCTCCTCTCATTTTGCCAATCCCCCCTCGGCTTCTCCACACCCCCCACTACTTCCCCATAGCCAGCAGCTGTAGCAATGCTCTCTACGCTCGCCACGCACGTTCTAGGAGCATAGCTGGCGCCCCCTCAGTCCCCTCTTGTTGTTGTTGTTCTCTGATGCTGGGTTGCCTATCTATAAATAGCCGGCCTCTCTTCATCCATTCCCTTCCTCCCCAGCAGATCAACACCAGTTCTTCTCATCTCCTGTTCTAGTCCTTGTTTCTTGTTTCGCCAATACAATCTCTTGTCGCCTATCACACTCGCCCTGTCTTCTCTACTTTGCTTCCGCCCCCGTCGTCGAGATCATAACAGTTTCCTCACAAAACCCTCTTTTTTGAGCAGCCATACCATCCCACAGACATGCAGGACAACCTATTCCATTTGCATACGGCTCCAGTTGCCTACTTTGGCCAATCCCCTCTAAGTGTCTGTGGGGGTAGATGTTGCAACAAACTTAACACAGAGGCCCAAAAGTCTGAGTAGTAAAACTGTCTTTCGTTGGCCATTTTTGGGTAAAACTTGCCAGTTAGAGGTGTCAAACCCTGAACCAGTGCTTTCTTCACCAAACTGCCTAATCAATCTTTCTGCTAGCATGTCTGGCTGTCAAGATACTGCTCAACATGTGCAGCAACTTTGGGTCTGCGAAAACCTCGTTAAGTCCAAAAGTCGTCAAAAAGCTGTCAGTGGCTTAGCCAGGGTGGACCTGAGCTGTACGTAGTAAGACCACCGCGCGCGTCACTGCCGTTTTCGCTGCCCACGGTAATCGACAGAATTCAACGGCCGTCCTCCGTTGGAAAAAGTGGGGCACTTGGGGATGTGGACGAAAAGCTCCCAATCTTGAGTCTTGACTGTTGACTCGTCTCCTCCTCCCCCTATCTCGCCTCCGTACGTGGGTCGACTGAGCAGCACACCCAATGTCCCGACGGCCTCAAGAGAAACGGGCCTCCACCTTATCCTCCTCCACAGCGCCAACAGATGGCTTCTCCACGCCTACTGGAACGCCATCTGAAATAACCCGTAGAGCCTACTTTCCTGTTGTGGGAGTGCATTCCGCAAGTGCATCGACCGAAGGGGAAAGTTCTACGGAGGGTCATCGTCAGAGGGCCACATCGACCGGAACTGAGGCCCCTCTTCTACCTTCGGCGATATCAGAAGGCGGTGGGTCTGAGGCACCGGCACCCGCCTGGCAATCGGACTATTCGATTGTTGCAATGCCAACGGGTAGTACGTCTGAGTTGAACCTACTGGGGAACACAAACACAAATCCCACCCTCTCCCCTGGTCACAAGTCGAATTGGAGGGAAACAAAGGAAAAGCTTCATCGAAACTTCAAAGTCAACAGCGCTGGAGCTCAGGTGGCGTTTACAATAGTACTCGTGGCTTTGTTTACCCTTATCAATCCGTTGCAAGACGCCGCGCCGACGAATACGCTATATCTACCGATCGCAGCGATAGTCGTCGCTTCCCGTAAGTGCTATGGCAGGCGATAGCGCACTTGAACGAGAAATGCACTTTCTGAACCCGTTTCCCATCAGCAAATCAAACCATATCCGTACGACTATATACCCAGCGCCTCATTGGCGTGTTTGTAGCAGGATGTGCAGCATTAGCTGTATTAGGGTTGGACGCTGTCATCCCACCGAAAAGCTGCATAGATTGTGCATGGAAACCCTACGCCGTTGGCATCATATTATTTGCCTTCATTTACGGCTCTGTCAGCATTCGGGAAAGCGTTCCCGGGCAGGCCTACACCTCGAAGCTTACCGACCTAACGTTCATCATCACTCTGGTACGTAGCTGGCAAACCATGGCTTTTCAGGACGACGGAAACTGATGGCCGCCACCTTAGCTAGGAGCTTATGATGACCTGAAAAAGAATCCCGATAGCGCGAGATACGCACCGCCACTGGGCCGAATGGCTAGCATGGTCTTTGGCTTGCTGCTGACTATGTTTGGGGCATCGGTGTTCTGGCCGGTTCGCGTCAATCTTGTCCATAGGATCACCGCTGGGAATCTTTTCAAGGACATGGCGTCCTATTTCAAGGATCTAGTGGAGCAAGGGTAACTTCCTTTCACATCGTACTTTGTGTGTGAGCTATCAACTGACTTTGAGAGCGTCTCAGTTACGTTCGGGAATTGCCCGAGATGTTGACGCTATACACGAGGCCGCGCATGTACTCCAAACGAACGGATACGACCGAAAGCATCGCGGTGGCAGGGGGTATGGACGTGATTGGGTCGGAAGAAGCCGCTGCGGCGCCACGACTGAAAGTCCGTGAAAATGGCACTCCCCGATTTACGAAAGGAAGTAGCATGGCATGGCTTCTGGGTAGGCCGGAACCTCATGATGTGGAGCACGGCAACCAAGATGTGGAAGAGATCAACACCGATGCCCCAGAAGAAACCAAATCGCCGTGGGAAAGGGCGCTCGATGATGTTCTGAAGGATGATGACCACGACCCGAACGACATTGTGCTGCAGTTTCATCAGAAGACCCACCCCATAGCTGTGGGCATTATCAGGACGTTGGAGAAGGAGAGAGCGCGTTTGGAGGCTTCTTATCAAGTTGAAGTCAGGTTGCATCAAAAACCTCATTTTGTTCCCGTAGCTCCCCTGACACAAGTAATAAGACGTCTTAGGTATGGATTGAGACGTTGAGTGAAACATCGGCACTCTACGCTAGGAAGATGGTGCTAACACAGCCTTATCTATAGGCTACTATTCTATCAGCTCAGCGGCTTATACAGCGATCGCCTCATCACTCTCCGCGCACTCTCTCCACGATTTCTGGATTCCTCATACATCACCGAAAACACCGCTTTGTCCGAATGGGTTGCAGTATGGATGCAAGACGCGACGTCTATGATCAAACTCATGCACGCCCGCTCGCAGCAAGCCGAAGGTGGCACCGCTTTCAGCATGCAAAAGTACTCGCTGTCACTGTGCAATGCGTTGACGGATATAGGGGAGATTGTGCTGCTTACCACAGTGCAAGGGGCTCGAGTGATTGGAAGCGCGGAACTTGCCGCGCGGCTAGCGGTCACAGTTAACGAATTGGTCGCGAGACGGCATTTCCTGGAAGCGGAGCTGTTGGCGATGCGGAAACAGTTGATCGATGGTCCCCCGCTTGTCTTTCCTCGTCTTCGCGACGAGACACACGAACAACCGGAGCTGGGCGCGGGACCATCAGCGACCTCAGCCCGTCCCCAATTCCAGTCACAGCCAAGCGAAGGTCATGGGAGCCGAGTCTTTGGACACCAGCAACCGTCAAGCTCGAGGGCGTTCCCGCCAGCGCCGGAGCTTGGGAATGTGGCGGCCGCGCAGGCGGAGAACCAAGCCATTCTCGCCTTTCAATACTCGACGTACATCCATGTGTGGGAAATCACCGAAGTCGTTCTGTCATCCGCGCGGGCCGTTGGGAAACTCATCAAGGTGTACAGCTAGCTCGTGTGAACCGCCCAAGCCGCTGCGTTCTCAGCGTTGTGCATACTATACCAACAGGCTTCTTTGCTGTGATCTGGTAATTCTGTATCTCATAGTTTGTAAATATACCACCGCCATTCTTTTTGGACCTTCGCACACTCGGCACGCGGAATCTGATAAAGTCCTTTGATGAAGTCCTTGCCCCAGTGGGAGCTGTATTCAAAATAAAGATATCAAGCATGTGTCCGCCGTCTACACAAGAATGTCCCTGGCTACTCCAAAAAAAACCTCTACACAAGAATGTCCCTGGCTACTCCAAAAAAAACGTCTACCTCGACGAAATCAAAAAAGGGCATCCGAAAGGACATCGACCAATACCCCTCCTAACGCGTAAGTCCTCCTAATCGCAAGTCGTCCCAAAGACTGCTATTCTATGCTACTCTGCCTATTGCTCGACAAACGGCGGCAAGCTAAGCTGACATTGATACCGTTCCCGAATGACCCCACTCGCCACGCCGATTCTGATGGAGCGGCCACCAAGTCTTGAATAAACCTTGCATGTTTTGGTTGACGGTTCATAGAGGAACGCGAGGCATCTGGGCTTCTCTACGCAGAGGAGGATGCAAGATGGAATGTTCTTCACATTCAGTTCCGCCGCCAGCGAATCTCCGTCCCAGGCTATACTGTCGCGGATATCCTTTTTGCCTTCCATGACGATGCGATAATTGTTGATGATCGTTTTTTGCGCGGTCGATGCCGTCGTGTCTTCTGTTGCATTGTACCAATAGCGACCGCCTATGACCGTCTCGGGGCGGAACAGTTGAAATTCCATGAGGTCGGCAAATGTCGTCCGGCCCCATCCGCCCCATGATGGTCCGGCTTTCGTTTCCTCGCTAGCCGCAGTGGGTGCTGTATGGGGTTTCCGGATAGGATCCGTAGCCATTTCCGCGTCGAAGGCGTCTTGAACGTCATGTTCGCGCATGCGGTGGGCCGTGACTGGCGAACGACACGGGTCTTCCGCCCAAATAAACTCTGGGGGGTCAACGCCGGGTTGATTGAAACGCGGCGAGCCGGCTCTCCAATCGTGCATGAAGAATCCAAATGGATGATCCACATCAGGAGGGGCGACTCCCAAGTAAGCCAGACATGCCCCAATGGCCTGGTCCCCTGTCAGACAAGTGGCGGTCCTCTCAGCGCACTCTTGCTGGGCGGGTAGAAACTCGCGGAAAGCACCGCGAGAGACGAGGATGCCCCCACCACCTTGTATAAAGCGATGGGCTGGAGTAGGACGTGAGGCGCCGACCATTTTACAGCCTCCACCATAAAACGCCCATCCAAGCTGGTAGGGAATGGAGGCGTTGATGGGAGCGAGAAAGGCAAGAAGATTTTCGGCGAAGATATAAGTGTCATCGTCGATAATGAAGTACCAGTCCTTGTCAGGAAACAAGGACCATGCTAACCCATATCCCCCGACGTATTTCGGCGCATCCTTTGCCCACCCGCTCAGCCACGGTTTCGGGTGTGGGAAAGCATGGATAGTAGCGGTTCCCAACCTCCCGGGCGCATCCGATACATAGACGACATTCCTGAAGCGGGGCAGGAATGTCGTCACTTGCTGAAGGAGACGCTCGTTCATCGTTTCCTTGCCAGTCTTTGCTATTATGACAACGTGGTCTAGGCGCGGGTCTGGGAATATTTGCGAAGACAAGGGACATGACGCGGCGACAGCTGGCGGTTGAGGCAAGGGAGGAGGCGAGGGAGCAGGGAATGCAGGAGGCGGTACTAGAGGCGAGGCTGGAGGCGTGACTGGAGGCGAGGAGAGCAAAACGCTTGAGTTGCTTCGTTGCCCGCTGAATGTTTGAGTGAAGTGGACCGTCTTGCCGCGATTGAGCCTGGGGGCCGAGAACGAGTAGATGAGGGAGCAAGCGACGAGGGCGAACAAGGTCACCGCGAGAGCTCTCTGCGAAACCGGCATCCTTTGGTGTGGTGACGGAAAGCTTCTCTCACTTTCTCTCGCTTGCTGCCGGTGGAGTAGATAGGACTGATACGGCGTTCATGTTTCTACCATCTTCCCCATAGACGCAAGGCTTCAAGGCCGCAGGTGGGCGCCCTTTGTGAAGCCCTCGAACCTTCGGTCACGGGTTTACCTCAAGTTAAAATCAAAGCGTCCTGCGAGTCCTGCGATGCAGAAAGGAGGGGGTTCGTTGCGGCGCCCGTTTCACGGCGGGCCAGATTCCATGGAACATACAGTAACGGCTCTGGGCGCACGGAGATTCAACCAACTACATAGGTTCGCTCTCACATTTGTGCACGCTAGCGACCCTCAGAACGCAACTTTCGCCACTGACAGCGGTTGGTCACACAGAGTGCAACTTGCGAGTTGCACGCTGCAGCAGACCCATTTCGCCGAGATGCATCTTACTACTTATTGCTGCTGAGACGCATGGTAGCCTAGAAAGGCCTTGTGGTGCTTGCCTACCGGAAGCATCATTGCAGATGGCGAATTTACGATTATTTCTGGGTTGAGTGCTGTGGTTAAGGGGAGTTAGGGTTAGAGCATGCTCGCTTCAACTCGCTTGCACATGCCAGCTTGATGGCTCACGCGGCAATGCGGCGTCGGAACAATAAGGCCGGCCCAAGAATAGCAAGAAACGCCGACGAACAGACAGTCAGAAGGTCAGCGAATTCCACGTATTATACGTCCTCTTCTGATACCTCCCGTTTTGGTGCCGCCCGGTGCGTGTGCTTGGCGGTATATACGGGCCAGGGTGGAAGTTTCGGGTCCTCTTCGAACGGAAACTTCTACAATTTCGAACTCCGCAATTCTTAATTTCGACATCTTTTCCACATAAATCTTCTTGCTCACATATGAGCGCATTGTTTGACTCAAACGCAGTACTGCTCACTGGGTTGGCTGCAGCATGGTGTCTAGAGTATCCCGAAGCGGATCCTCACTCAACCTTCGGTGACCTCGAATTCGACCTCGATGACCACGGCGCCTCGCAGCATGACGCGCAAGGCTCAACGGCAGCCCCGGTCGGGATGCTAAAGCGGACGCTCTCGAAGTTGAGTATACGGTCGCTTACCTCGCCTTCCCCAAAGTCGCCCGAACCTGCGCCCTCAACCGCTTTGGTTCCCGCAACCGCGCCCTGCGCGACTGTTTTGCAAACAACGTGGGACGAATTGGCGGTGATGGCTGCCTTTGGTTCGCATCAAGTGCAAACACTGGCAAACGGGATAATGGACGTCGCAACAACCGGAGCTGCCAGGCCTTCATGGAACAAAGCAATGCATATCGGCGTATATTTAGTCCGCTCTAATTTCGCCTTCAACGGCATTTCGATTCCGCGTTTGCGATTATGGTCTGGGCGCGTAGGTGCCGGCGCATCAAGCTTGCCGCATGGTGTGCAGGCAAAAGAGGTCACTTTCACGGTCGACCGTGACCAGCTGATGACATTTGAGGACCAGGGGGCCGAGTGGAGGAAAGGAAAGCAGGCGGAAAGATATCCGACGGTTCTCCCAGAGAATGCAAAGAAATGGGATGCCGCTAGCCGTGTGTATGACCTAAAAGGAGAGTGGATCGAGTACGACGACAAGATACCACCACCGCGTGACGAATTATTCGGATTCAGACGGTGGGCTGGCTCATGGATCCGTCGCCAACCGAAAGAAGAACCATCGCAAACCCCCACACCACCACCAGAACGAGAACGCCGCGATAAAGTCATCTACTTCCTCCATGGTGGAGCATATATTGGCGGCACCACGCAATTGTACCGTCTCCTCTCTGGGCGTCTAGCCAAGGAGACGAACTGCAAGGTCTTCGCACTCGATTACCGCCTAGCACCTGAGCACGCCTTCCCTGCTGCCCTCCACGACGCGTTCACGGGCTATCTTTACATGATCAACCCCCAACATTCCTGTTTCAAGCATCTAAACCCGGCACATGATCCAATAGATCCCAAAGACATCATACTGATGGGCGACTCGGCCGGTGGAGGCCTCGTAATGTGTCTCTTGAATTACCTCAACCTGTACCTCCGGTCTCCCACGGGTCAGCACCTTGTGCCGCTACCAAGCGGTGCTGCGCTGATGAGTCCATGGGTCGATCTCGCTTTTACGTCCGAATCGTGGTCCACCAATGCTACGTTCGACTGGTTACCCTCCAACGCTCGACAGATACATGATCACATCGTTCCTGGTGTCCCTCATCCTGTGTACATGTACTTGTACGGCGAAGACTCGCCGAATCCTCCGACCGATCTCATCGGGTTGTATCCGTCCAACCCTCTGGATTCAGAAGACGCGTCTGAAGTGGATTCGACATGCGCCGCGCAGTTCATCCGCGATCGAGTAGAACAGTTCGTGCGGCACCCTCTGGTTTCGCCCATCTTTGCCGAAACGTACGCAGGCTTGCCGCCCATCCTCATTCAAGCGGGCGAAGCTGAAGTCCTGCGAGACGATTCGCTTGCATTGGCGTTCAAGTACGACCGGGACAACGTGGGGAGGCACGGGTTCAAAGGCTGGGTGCGCCACGAGATGTTTACAGACATGGTGCATATCTTTGTGATGATGAGCTGGACGAAGGAGAGCACGTCGGCCATGCAGCGCATCAATTATTTCCTGGACGAGTTGGAAGTCGGACACCCACTAGAACCAATCTGTGTTGAGGACGACGTAACCGTGGATTCACACGTGTCACTTTAGAGGCGAACGATGAACTAGCGTACTACGTGATTCTATAGCTTATAGTTATAGTATAGCAGTTTGACGTGACAGCCTCCGTAGTAGTTGATGATCGATTTGGGATGATAGTGATATTTAATGTTCATGATATCCAACCTATTCTGGATATGTCTACTCGAATGCTCTACCGGAATGCTACATGTACAGATGACACTATGTACTCGGTTCCAATGACATCAAATGTATATACGAGTAAGGTGGGAATGCAAGGTGATGAGGAAGGAAGTACTCCTCACTTCTTCTTCGGGGCCGTCACCTGGCCAGCCTTGAAATCTGTTGACGGCATGAATGAGTATCCATCCAACCGCAGTTGCGAACGCACAATTTTGAAACTTACAAAGGATATCGCCGTCTTGCACAACGTAGTCCTTGCCCTTCTGGACGTATTTACCACCGGCCTTCACGGCGGCGTCGGATCCCAACTCCTTCAGGTCATCGTATCGCATCACTTCTGCCATGATGAAAGCCTAACGTGTATATATCGCAGTGAGCCACTCTGTGAAGCTGCACGGGCAACCTGACTCTGGAGCGAACGTAAGACTCAGGTGACGCTTCTTACCTTTTCGAAATCTGTGTGGATTGTTCCGGCAGCTTGGGGTGCCTTGGTGTTCTTGCGAATCGTCCAGGCACGCACTTCATCCGGTCCGCCAGTGAAGACTATAACGACAGCAACACAAGAACAGAGTCAGAACACATAGTAATGGAGGGGAAACACGACCCAAATTGAATCGCGGCCGTTGGGAAAGCCTTACAATAGATTAGGCCCAGCGCATTGTATCCAGCAACGATGATCTTGTTGAAGACGGAGGTGACCGGGGCGGCGAGCTCGTGCTTTGTCTGAAGGTCCTTGAGGTACTCGAGCCTCTGCGCTGGCTCCAATTCGGTGAGCTTCTGCTCCATAACACCAGAGTACGGGATGAGGATGTCTCCGGGATGGTTAGTGTCGATCCACTGCTTGATCTTGGGAAGCCATTTGTTCTTCTTTCTTGCGTAGTCACGCTCGCTCAAGTTGCACTAAATCATGAAGTCCATGTGCTCCGTCAGTCATCCCACTGAGCTCTAAGAAAAGCGGTAGTTGCCCCTCCATTACCAGGTAAACCACGGGCTTTGCCGTAATGAGCTGCAGAGAGTTGATAATCTCTATTTCCTTCCCGCTCCAGTCGCCATCTCGGACATCCTTCTTGGACTCGACAACCCATTTGTAGACCTTCTCTACAATGTCACACTCCTCCTTCTTTGCCTTGTCGGCAGCACCGCCACCCTTGCCGATACGGCGGACATCCTTTTGCCTGGCGTCAAGCTGCTTCGTCAGGAACTCTTCGTCTTTGAGACGGAGTTCCTCGTGGATGATAGCGAGATCGCGGACCTGCAAGAACGCGCGTTATGAGAGATTCGCCCAGGGCCTTTTTCATCCGATAAGCAGCACGGCGCTCATACCGGGTCAAGGTCGCCCTCAACGTGAATGACATCGGCGTCATCGAAAGCACGAACTAGATGGAAGATTCCATCGACGGCGCGGATGTGACTCAAGAAAGCGTTGCCGAGCCCCTGTCCTTCAGCAGCGCCCTTCACAAGTCCAGCAATGTCTGGAAAAACACGGACAAACGAAGTCAGCACCGGTGACTCGGAGGCATATGGAGCCCGCCATGCCGCCATGCAGGATACACACCGGTGACAGTCAGAAAAGCAGGGACTTTGTTCGCAGGTTTGTAGTGCTCGCAGAGCCAGTCGAAGCGAGGGTCCTCAACCTGAGCTCGTGCTTCTGACGGGTCAATTGTGCAGAAAGGGTAGTTCTACGAGCAAAACAGTACTATCGTGAACAAAAGCGACCATAATCGGAAAGATTCTGCAATAATCGAGCGGCGCTCACCTCAGCAGACACCACGGAGTTGGTCAAGGCGTTGAAGAATGAACTTTTTCCAACATTTGGTAAACCCACAATACCCATTTTCAGATTATTGCCGGGTCTGCCCAGCAGGGGCTTCTCGACGGCCACTTGCTTCTTGGGAGGCATCCTTGCTCGTTAACTGCTGCGAATGACTCGGTGAAATGGACAGATCAACGCTTGAGGCCGAGGTCGGGCGAGAAGAGAGGTGGCCCAAACTTTCGAGCGTGAAATGTAAAAATTAAACCTTTAAGCCTTAAGCCTTGAGGTCAGTAAGGATTGGCCGACGTTTCGTACGCATGACGATCGCCCCATCTTTTCTGCTGGCGAATTCCTAAAGCAACTGGCATGGTGCAGGCTCTAGTAACCATACACGGAGATCTTGGACTTGCATGTCATGCTCCTAGTCATGGTGCCATGGCCGAGATGTCGATGATCGAGAAGAACGCGTTGCTCGTCAGAACAACGGGGTCCCCCAAGATCATTTCCTTCACGCTAAGAGAATCTCACAGACGTACAGTATATTAAGGATATATAGAGTCTGGGAAGGGTTGGGCTAATAGTGCAGATACCTGAAACGTGGAGCTCAATGGAGCCAGCCGTGGACTCGTTCCAGTCGGTCTTGACGCCTCCATGCCTATCCTCCTCGTACACGTCGACCAGGTCGCCAACGCTCACAACGACGAACAACTCGGATACCAGATCCTCATGCCCACTGACCTCCAGCGGATTCTCCTGCTCCGTGAATGACTTGGAGTCCTTTGATCCCTCAACTTCAAGCGCTTATCCATCGACGCAGGTTTCGCAGTTGAGAAGGGATAGGCTAGACGCTCGGCCCGTGGAGCGTGCAGTCGGACCTACGAACACCGCCGACATCAGGCCGGTCCTTTCAGGCACGGGCCATATTGCAGCTGAGGCTGTTCGAAGTAGGATTTCGCATACCGAAGTGAGACTTGCACAGCCGTCGAAAGAAGGGACCGCGGGCACCAGCAGCAGGGAGGATGTTGATCAGGAGAGTCGGTTGGAGGAGGTTGTGCCGTTGCGTCAACAAAAATCCGGTGGGCAGGCCACGAATGTCGACTCGGAAGCATCGAATGCATTTGGAAAGGGTCAACATGCAGCACCGACTAGGGCTCTGCACCTTTCCACAGTACCCGTCAGCCAGCGAAAGAGTGATGTGACGAGGGAAACAGCAAACTTCGGCAAGCGAAGCATGGACGGTAGGTGGGTCTCACTTTGAGAAGATGCTCAGTGCTCTCGGCAAAATCTCACACCTGCCGTCATGAACCCAGGGGCTTCGATGTTGAAGTCGGAGCGAACAATGTCCCGCAAGGATGGTATGGTTTTCAGTATAGCCGTCTTCCCTTCCACGATAAAGTTCTTAAAAGCTGCTTCTCTACTTTCGGGCGCAGATGTGTCCACTGGCATTCGTCCGAGGGGGGATCTAGGAACGCAAACATCATACAATTCCGAACCGCCTTGCCGCATAGAGCGCGTCAAAGTCGCAGACAAATCCTCGCAAACCCTGAAACCAAATTTCAATCTGGAGATGGAGAAGGACTCTATGATCATCGCGCAGAACACTCAGATCAAGGCATTGAGAGTGAAAGTCGCGGAAGCGACGGTAAGAAGGCTTGGCCATCGAGATCTGAGGCCCGTGAAGAAGCTCACTGCTCTTCAAATTGAGAACAGACGCATATCACAAAACTCCAACGGTCGAACGAACGAATCAGATCAGATTTATCGGCAGCCCAGAGGGATTTGGAAGTGTTGCACACCGCACATACGATCACTACGGAGCAATTGCAGGGGGCCAATGGCGAGAACGATCGCTTGACCGATGTTCTTCGGGATCATGAAGACAAAAGCCGAGAGTATGAAGAAGAAATTCTCCGACTACACAAGGCTGAGGTGAAAATCATCTAGTTCACGATCGGATGAGACCAATGTGCTGACATTCATGTCGTCTTCCAGCGAGATCACCAAGCGAAGTATGCCGCTTTGGAAGCGAAATATGCACAGAGCAAAGCCATCCACGATCAAGTCAATGCCACCGCCGAGAAGAATGTGGAATACCTGAAGTCTCTCTTGACAAAGGTATTGGATGAACCCGTGGTGTCTTCAAGCGCACGCAGCTGCTAGTGGGCAATCGCTCTTAACCGTCATCGGATACTTATCAATCCTGTCTGTCAACCATAGGTTTTCGATAGCCCTATCAGCACTGAACAGGATCGCGAGAACGGAACCTCGGGGCATTCGGATAGGGGTGAGTCTCAAGGAGAACCTCGCCAGACCGATCCGAAGTCAGGATGCAGACATCTGGCTTCGGTCGAAGTAGACCGATTCCAAACCCGCGTCAAGGAGCTCCTGGACACTGTCAGACGATTGGAGGAGACTGCCAGGCGATTGGAGTACGAAAAAGAGACAATCGAGGAGCGCGAAAATGAAAAGCTTCAAAAAATGGTCGGTGAACCGCCGACGCTGCCTTTCCGTCATACTTCGAACTTTGCTGATCATCAAGCGTCTCCAGGATCAGTCTCTGAGATTGGAGATGATTGCGCATGATAGGACCAAATCGCAAATGCAAACTACAAGAGAAGCTTTGAAAACTTTCAAGGCTCAACTGGTTCAAGCTGTAAGCACAAACGCCGACCGGTTAGGCCAGGTAGACTTCGTCATGGCCCGACCCTTACCGCCCCTTGTCCTTGCAGAATGGATCCATCGATACACTTACAGCTTCGAACAAAACACTGGAGTCTTCGTACCAGAACCTGCAACGGGTACACACGCAACGCAAAAACTATGCGTCGTCCCTGCAACGGCAAATCGAGGATCTTCAAACTCGACTCAAAAAGATCTCAGCGACTCACGAAGAAGAGATGGCTAAAACAGTCCGGCAGCTCAACCAGAAATGGCGAGTGGACATGAAGCGCCAGAAAGAAGCGCTGGAGTACAAACTTCTGAAGGTTGATGAAAAGCCGAAACCCATTGTGCCGGAGGTTGAAGATCTAGATGCGGACTTCAAACCGCGAGTGACGAAGAAGCCGGTGACTGATAGGTCGACTCAAATTATCAACGCATTTGAGCGTGCAATCAAGACCTGGGTGTGGGCGAAGGTGGAGGGACATCCGATACGGCCTGAATCGATTACCCCTGGGCGGCCGCGAATTCCGCCCGTGCCGATGCATTTTCAGCAGCCAGAAGAAGATCCGCAGATGTTGGAACGGTTGGATCAGATATCTAGAACGGTAAATACTCCTGGACGATGCGACGTCACCATCCTAGTGGCAAGTCGCTAATGAGTGTCAAGTAGATCTTAAACATTGACTACCATTCGATTCTATCGCCACCACCATCTCCCTCCGGAATCGGAGGCCCGTGGGATCCATCACGGGCGGCAGATGACGAAGCTATCGTGCATACGCATAGGTTTCGAAAGTGGTAAGGTGTCTGAAGATGCAAAGCACATGATCGAATGTGTCTCCCGAGCCCTTTTCTGATGCTCTTCCCGTCGCAGTCTGGAGAGGCCAGTGTTTGAGGATGATCTTGTGGAATACTTTTGCGACCTATGGGTTCAACTGCACAATCGAGGACGGTGATAGTCCATCCACGGCTTGTTTTGGGGAGACTTGGCTGTGACAGGCGTCGATCGGCGGCCTCTGTTGCTTTTAGAGGACACTGTATGGTATGAATCGCGAATCTTCTCAAACATTAATGGCGCGAGGAACTTGAACGGGGAAGTTGAACCCCTGTACATACATGCAATATGCGGAAAACATAAGCACAGCTCTATAGACGTGGTGTATATGTACTGTACAGTATATCCGCTTGAGCAGCTCTCATCAAGTCCGTCACGTCGGAGTTTCTCGAGGTCGAACAGAGGACGGAGGATCGGACGGCGCAGCTAACACAAGAGTATGACAAGACATTGACAGCGCGTGATTTTGAGAGTCCGCTGACCCTGTTTTTAGCAACAGCGGTTTCTTCCAGGATTTTACACAGTATTTAGGCGTTTAGGCACCGGACGTGCATGTTTGATTAGGGCAGACTAAGGGATGTGGCGGAAATCGGGTCATACAGATTAGCGGACACCTAATCGACCGCGTTGTGCCGCCGAGAGCGCCCGTTCCGCGGTAAAGCATTCCTCCTTACACGAGATTTTGCTGTCACAAGGCTCCGCGCTTCAAGGAGTTGTCGCATGCCAGCCAGCGCTGCCCAACGCGCCTGCTTTCCTTCCACACCAACCTTGTGCGGTGGAAGTTCCCACCACCATACAAAACCCGAGTAAACACACCAGAATTCCCCACCACCCCGCAGCAATACACGCACGCAGCAACACACCCTTAGCATCTTACACTACTCAGCTGTGAAAGCCACCATCTTGTCGGACCAGTATCTTCTCAGTTTACAGCTGCTCACATCTTCGCCACAATGTCTGCCCTTAACCTCAAGGCTCCTGGGTAAGTTCCCACCATTTGCGGAGTTTTCGGCGAAGTTTCTGGCAATGGAGGCATCTTCGTTTCTCACGGCCGCTCCCTCACCTTTCAGCCCTGAGGAATTGAAAGCCGAGCGCGAGCTAGGCACTTTTCCCATCCGCCAAATGACTTACTTTTTGGATGGTGGCGAAAAGCAAACCAAGGTGGGCTGCATTCGCGGTCGGGTGGTTTCTCAGGCACCAGCAGCTTACTCTAGCTCTCATCCCATTCATCAGCTGAAGGAGAAGATCATGCTGTCGCTGGAGAGGGATCCTGTCTGGAACGTCAGCGACCAGCACGACTTGACTTTGCAGCAGAAGCGTGAGAGGAGTATGCAAAAGGTAATGTCCGACACATCTTCTCCGCGGAGAAGGAATGTTCTCTGATTCCTCTCAAATCTTAGGTCCGGAGAGCCGCGCACTCCGTTGCCAGCGAACCTACAGCAGTTTTCAGGAAGAGGATGGAGTTGATCAGTGTCTTGGACCCAGGAACGTGGACTCGTATCGGTGTCCATTATGGTGCGTCCTCACGTCCGATCATGTCCCTCCTCTGAAATGTTTACTCATGGGTTCCCATTCTAGGTCTTTTCTTCGGAGCCTTGAGTGGTGGCGCCACCCCCGAGCAGCTCTCGTACTGGGCGCAAAAGGGCGCCGTCACACTGAATGGCCTGATTGGCTGTTTCGGAATGACCGAATTGGGCCACGGATCCAATGTCGCTGGTCTGGAAACCACTGCAACCTACGACGAGACTTCTGACGAATTCGTCATTCATACTCCTACTCTGACCGGTAAGTCAGTGCTTGTCAATGGGCCTATGGATGGTGGATACAATCGCCTGACAAGCCTCGTCTAGCTACCAAGTGGTGGATTGGAGGAGCCGCACAGACAGCAACGCACTGCGTTGTCTTCGCTCAGCTTGTGGTCAAGGGCAAAAAATATGGCGTGAAGAACTTCGTCGTTCCCCTGCGGGATACCGAAACATTCGAATGTTTCCCCGGAATCGTTATTGGAGACATCGGGGCGAAGATGGTGAGTACTTTTCCGTCGGAATATGCAAACGAAGGCCCATGAGCTAATCCGAATTTGCTTAGGGTCGAGATGGTGTCGACAACGGTAGGCAGCTACGATCGGTCATATAGCCCCTTTCGCAATGATCTCATCACTCTCAATAGGCTACATCCAGTTCACACATGTCCGCATTCCACGATCGTACATGTTGATGAAGCACACAAAAGTCAACCGCCGCGGTGAGGTGAAGGAGCCACCACTCCAGCAGCTGACATATGGAGCCCTCATTCAGGGTCGTGTATCTATGGTTATTGGTAAGGAGGCAAGCCCACCATCGCCTTTGCGCGGAAGGAATGCTGATCCCGTTCAACGTACCAGATTCTTCGTCCATCTCAAAGAAGGCTTTGACCATTGCCATCCGATATGCCGCTATCCGTAGACAATTCGGCGCAAAGCCCGGTCAACCCGAGACCAAAATTTTGGACTATGTCATTCACCAGTACCGTTTGATGCCACTACTCTCGCAAGCGGTGAGCATGTGCGTTCGTCGTGTAGGTTGGCAGGCCATGGGCTCAAACATCTTTTTTCCTCCGCCAGTTCGCGATGCACTTCACTGCCATCGAGGTTCTTCGTATGTACGATGAGCTCATGGCGAACATGGATTCCTTACAGCCAGGGGATAAGAACCTTGGAGACGTTCTTGAGAAGCTCAAGGAGTTGCACGGTACCAGTGCGGGTCTCAAGGCGTTCTCGACGTGGTCGACACTGAATATCATCGATCAATGCCGTCAATCTTGCGGTGGTCACGGTTACTCGGCCTACACTGGGCTTGCATCGCTCTACAGTGACTTTGCCGTCCACTGCACATGGGAGGTTGGTACTGCTACACGTGTGCATTCCAGTCAAGTGGCGATTGGGTATTGATCTGCTTCACTCTAGGGTGACAACACCATCTTGACGTTGCAAGGGGGAAGGTATCTCATCGGCTGTTACCGCGAAGCCAAAGCTGGCAAACGTCAAGCAGGTGGCGTCGCCTACCTGAACAACTTGGACACCCTTCTGAACAAGAAGTGCGCTGCCAAGTCGCAAGAAGACATCACAAACCTGAACGTCATCGAGGAGGCATTCTGGCTTGTTTCTGGAAATGTCGTCAAGAAGGCTGGCGAGGACTTTGAAGATGGTCTGAAGCGTGGATTGAAGGACGATGAGTCTTACGAGGAGTGCTGTAAGTCATACCATTTGACCGTATACAGAAGTGGGATCACGCAAACTGATCTCATCCTTCCATCCAGCGCAAGCCCGTCTGTACGCCAGCAAGATCCACAGTCTCGGGTACTTCTTCCACCGCTTCAAGTCCGGCATTTCCCGCGCTCCTGCTGAGCTTCTGCCCATCCTTGAGCGCCTCTGCTTGCTTTATGGGCTGTACTCCATCGTAGAGAACGCAGGACCTTTCCTGCAATACGGATACTTCACCCCACAACAGGTGCGTGTCCCGTATACCATCTTCGAAAGGAGGTCTTCATCGTACTGACGATCTGCGTCGTTTCTCAGATGGACTGGATTCGCGCAAGTGTTGCCATTCTGTGCAAGGAAGTCCGTCATCAAGCCATCCCATTGACGGACGCTTTCAACTACTCCGACTTCATGTTAAACTCGCCATTGGGACGGTACGACGGAAACGCCTACGAGGCGTACTTTGGCATGGTTCAACAAGCTCACAAGGCCGGAGCTGTCCCCTCTTACTTCAAAACGGAGGTGCGTACATGTTGTGCATTGCTGCTTTCGCAGCGTCCATACTGATTGACCCTCTGCCCGTTCCAGACATACCCATTGTTGCACCGCAAGCTTGAGGCAGACGATGTGCTGGAGTTGGATGAGGAGGACGACGAGTAGACTACATCTATTCAGTTGCCGCTAACGATAGTAGCCCCTTTCGTTGTCGGAAGCCAGAGTTGCTCGAGCAGAACAGTCACCATTCCATGCCTTTACCACTCATACTTTCTTTCCGATAGACTCATAATATTTTGCGAATTTTTGTCGTGGACTCCCTAGACATAGGAAGCTGATCTGACGTGGACAATGGCACTTGCTGCTTGTTTGCGCGGTGGTCCTATCAAAAACGCCGTTGTGTTTTCATCCCACTGGTTGAGTCCGCCTCCGTCTCTCTATCACATGGACCCCCTGGTGGTAACTCCCTGTGTGCTGGACGACCCTCCGCCTCCCTCATCGTGACGAAAAGGGGCATTGTTTGCCGAGTGCCACGCATCTCACTGCCCATCAAGATGTCCTCGCGCTATCCGGCCGACGGCCCCAATGCCCACCAATATCCCCCCCGCACATTCACACCGACAATCCCATCGCCAATGTTTCGTAGCGCAAACCGCCGACAATCCCCCGTGTCCCACAAATCCGATTGCGGGCGCGGTCCAACTGATGCCTTCCCGCTAAGATCTCGTCGCACATCCCCTCCCTCCGTGTCATCCATTCATTCAAGATTCATCCATGAGGAGCTCCAACAAACCGCGGCAGTCGGTATGCGTTGCACGAAATAAGAATATGGTTTTGCAAACAGTTCCCTATTTGACATTATCGACCAAATACAAAAACCCAAGATAGGGTAGTGTGGAGTGATGTTTACAGCAAGACTGAGTGAGCTTAAGCAGTCTCGGGCTTGGCGATGATGTCGGAGTCACCAGCGTCGATGATGGACAGAACACCGACACGGAAGTATTTCCCGCAGGCAGTGCCGAGGTCGATGTTGTCTGGTAGACGATAGAAAAGAGTAGAATCGATGATCAGTTCGGGTCCTTTCACTCATGGTTCAATGGGGCCGGACCAAAGCCACCATCTCTAATGAGTTTCTTGAAAAACGACTGCAGAAACGAAGCAACTCGTGGAACCGCTGAAACTCACTTCCAGTGTAGTGGTGGACACCAGTCTTAGACAACATGGCGTAGTACTCGAGCTCAGACTTCCTCAAAGGGGGGCAGTTACCGGCCACAATGATGAGCTTGCTCTTTCCCTGACGGAGGGTCTTGAGAGTCGACTTGTACCCAAGAGTGTACTTGCCGCTCTTCATCACGAGGGCGAGCCTCGAGTTGATGGACTCTGGTTTGTGCGAAGAACGAGCATAAATTCCGTCAGCAATTCCATTCATGACATATACGTTCGTCGCCGAGCGTCCATCCATCCATCCATCGGCTGCTTTTACGTCCTGCTGAACGTGGCGGCGAGAGACACATACCGATGCTCTTCTTGCTCTTCTTCTGAGTGGGTGCCATTGTGACGGTTTGTCGAGTGAGTTGACCCTCCTACGTTTGATGCGTGGAAACTGGGTGTGCTTTCGGCTGGATTGAGACGAAGAGAGCGGGCGACACCAGGATAGCCTGTCGAAGCTGGCAATATAAGTGTGGGACGTAGCACGTGAACAACATTTAAACCTCTCATAGGCGGTCAAATCTGGTGGCCGGAATGCAACGGGACGTCGAGACTCGACGACGCAAGCACCGGTTTGGTTTCGTACTAGGAATTACCGGACGACCCGACAGTTTCAACCACAGCAGCCAAAATGGTTTCTCAAGCTCCTCCTTACCGCACCTTCTTCGGCCAGCGTGTGTGGCCGGCGCCCATTCTGAAACTGTACTTTCCGTTCTTCATCTCGGGTCCCCTCGCCTTCTTCCTGTTCAGCTACGCTCACACCAAGATGATGGGCAGTACGTTGACCAACTTGTCGTTCACGAGGGATTATAGTGAGGCAGGCTGGATGAGTGGTGAATAGAGAGAGAGCTTTGATAGCAATATCACGAAAGGAAGGAGTTTCTGGATACGAGGGAAAGACCCGTCGGAGAAACCTGTGACATTCGAGAGTGGCTTTGTACTTCCCAGTGTATATTTCTCACCACATCCTTTCCCCTCTCTTCGACAGGCGCAAGCGACAAGTGGGTCAACATTGTGTAAGTGATGTTATCCCCTGTCTCATGCTGGATAGAATGACTCCTGGTTATTGCGGTCAAGCTGACACCTCACTCCTTCCAGCAACAACGTCCGCAACGCCACCGAGCAACAAAAGCTCAAGCAAGCTGCTCAGCAATACGCCGAAGCGCACAAGCACTAGAATGTGGGACGAAAAATAGTCGAATTAGACCGCAAAATCGAAGACTGTGCTTGTAGAAACGCCGAAGTCACAGCCCTTCTGTCTCGGTCATACCCCTCCCTTGATGTGCGAATCTTCATATACAGTGCTTTGTGGGAATTGCAGAATTTTCAGATGAACGGTCTTCTCAGTTTCGATACGCTGCGGTGCGAATGTTTCCGGTCCGCTTTCATTTCGGCGAACCATATGAGCCTGACTTTTGGATCACTGGAGGGGGGATCTTGATGGGGGCAGTATGAATAAGGACGGGCGGGAATGCAGGAAGAAGGGTGGGCGGGGCCAGTCGCGTGAGCCCAGTTGGGTGCTTGACGGACTATGCGACCGACGACACATGCCCACCTGCGAGTGCGGTGACGTTGGTCCCTAACCGTTTGAGGCATAATTGCGCACGCACTCCTCGCCAGGTCGCCTCTTCCAGTCACTTAGAACACAGCGGAAGCTCAGTTTTCCATACACAATGGATCCCACTCGGTCCATTGCAGGTCAAGTTCCGTAAGTACGGGGCAAGGTTCTCTTTCAAGATTCAATCCTGCTGAGGACTCTATTACTATTATGTTCAGCGGCCATCTTCGATAACGGATTATAATGCTACGCCGTGCTAGCGGTATGCAACTCTAGGGCGTACCACCTAGTCCCAATGATATCCGTCCACGCTACGGAAGATGATTCCAATTCACCTCCGTCAAACCCCTTTCCTTCAACCATTCATTTGCCTTCGAAAAATGCTTACACCCGAACCATCCCCCCTGATTTGCACTCATTGGGCTAGGATGCTTCGACATCAGCACCAGATGCTTTTTCTTATCTATACTCGTGCCCTTCTTCTGCGCAAATGCACCCCACAGCATAAACACCAACCCGTCCCCGCTTTTGTTCAACTGCTGAATGATAGCGTCCGTGAACGTCTGCCAGCCTATATCGGCATGACTGTTGGCTTCTTTCTTTCGTACGGTCAACGTGGCGTTCAGAAGTAGCACGCCTTCTGTGCACCATCCTTCAAGCGATCCGTGATCCGGTTTCTGGAACCCGTCCGCACCCAGATCTGATTCGAGCTCACGAAAGATATTCTGCAGTGAGGGTGGTCGCGTCACGCCTTTCTTGACGGAGAAGCAGAGCCCATGTGCTTGATTGGGCCCGTGGTAGGGGTCCTGCCCTATGATGACTACCTTCACTTTATTGAGCTACGACCGATCAGAGAAAGGAGGCAGCTTCAGAATCCGAATCCGACTCTGAAAAAGGGAAATCAAAGCATGCGTCGGCAATACCACCTACCGGGCATTTCGTAAACGTATAAATCTCATTTGCCGCGGGGTACACCACCTTCCCTTTTCGCGCTTCTTCATCCAAGAATCTCTTAATCTTTTGGAAATATGGTTTCTGCATTTCGGGGAGGAAAGCCTGATACCAGTCCGGACCCATTGTTTGCCGTTCCAGCTGAAGTAGATTCGAAGCCTCACGCAGCTTTAATGCCTTCTGCCGGTTCGCTTCAATTTTCTGCAGCTTTATATTGAGACGGATGTTTTAGAAGACGGCGAAAGGACCGCCGTTCGTGGTCCAATTTCATTTCTACCTGCTCATCGCTCAAAGATGCGTCCACGTCCTTCTTTACTCCGTCTGCGACCTCGACAGCCTTTCTCGCCAACGGGTTCTCTCCCTCTGACGTTGGGGCATCCACAGCCGCCGCGTTGACTCCCTCACTAGTCTCCACTTTCCGGCGCTTCGTAGGCATTGTGGAGGTGGTGGACGTGTTCTCGACGGGTTTGAAGTAGTTACGTATCATGCTTGAATGGTGGACGGGAGTTGGAGTTCGCGGACACCTCGGCTCCACTGCTATTGCCACGACACTTGGGAGCTTTATTGAGGGTCGAAAGAGACGGGAATGTCTCGACGTGAGCATTTTCGGACACGAGCTGCCGATATCCGGTGTCAGATCGGACGCGTTTCTCGTCGTCGACAGCCGCGAGCCCTCATACCAGCCCCCATTCAAAGCACCACAGACTGTCCATCGAACCTCCCTGGCATCTGGTTGCTCGGCATCTAAGCGGAGAGCTTTAGCGAAGACTAAACTGGGCGACGGCCGAATTTAGATCAAGGATGTGGCCACGCTATTCGACATCCTTGCCGAATCCCTCATATCAGCGTGAACACCATCTACCGCTCTTCGAAGCAAGAATGATGCCAATTGCAAGCGATCTAAACCTGGCGCTTCCTTTGCACTCCGTAGAGACCTTCAACACTGCTTGCATAGGGTATATGACGCGGCCCCAACCATGTGCAAGCGTGGTGCCTAGCACAGCCCTTATGCAACACATCGGTAGGAGTCGGCAACGGTGACATCAAAACCCCTCCTCAATGATCAAGTCCTGGCGAAGGGAGCATCCTTGTTCAAATCGACGCCATGACTCTGAGAGCAAATTTCAATGTACGTGCTGTGACGTCGAAGCAGTGCACCTTAATGGGCACAACGTTCATCAGCGATGACGTTGAAAACGTCTGAGAAAATAACCGGTCATGACACCTTCCTCGGTTCCAACTTCCACCCTTCGAAACCTGCACCAGCAAATCGGAATGTTCCGAAAGCGGTGACGGAGTCTCCCCCTCCGGCTGGCGGAGAAACGGGAAATCAGCACCGAATTCCGATGCAACGTCAAGCCCTGACGATTTTTCCCAAGGAGAACGAACGTATGACGGACCTCGTCGTCGTGTTAAGGATTTGGCAGCGGTTGCCAAGGAGCATGGCTTTCCAGGTCCACTGGACGTTACTGTACGTAAGGGAGCTGTAGGATATCCTGTGAGTCTGTGACTGCACAGTGCACACCGGCTCTGCATCTGGAGCGTGCTCGAAACTTCGTCCCTGACTTCTTACGTAACTCGGTGCGGCGCCCCATGACTCACTCATGACAAACGCGTCGGGGCGGTTGATTGCCAAGCCAGCCTCCTGTGCCTCACTTCCCCTTCCATGACGATATAAAGCAACGGAGAGGCGTCTCCGCAGGGTAAGCCAACCGTACGATTCCCGACAAAGAACAGAAACACTGCACACCAGATTCCTCGTCATCTCTGTTTCTACTCCTCAATCGCTCTTTATCAACGAGAGGGGGCATCCCTCATCTTCGCTGCGTAATTCTGCTATAAACAGCCCCCGTGCATTGACGTCTCATCTTCGCCACAGAAATTTGCGTAACGGATCAACGCAACCAACACGATGACGGTAGCAATAGCCTCCATGCTAGAGCCTCCTCACGCCACTGAGTCTTGTGGTCGCTCCTCGCAGCTACTCGCCAATGGTCACGCGCAAACCTTTGGTGTCATACCTGAATCTGTGAAGGGTTCCATGAGCGGCTCTGCCTCGCAGAACGACATAAGTCTCAAAGATTCCGTGCCAGCTCCTCCTTCGTTACCAGTTCCGGATGGAACCACACCTACCGAAGCGAAACCTGGCGTCCAAAGGACGGTCACGGACGCAGCTCCTCAGTTTCTCACGAAAGAGACGAACGTGAACGGTCGGCTAAACCCAGCCGTTGCGGCCATCGCGAGGCCGGCAGAGTCTGCCATCAGCGTTTCCGCACCACCTTCTCCGCACCATCGTCCAGTCGACCCTACAAAAATGGGTGCTCGAAAAGGCGTCGTCGGTGACAAGCTACATGACGATCACCACGCTTATCATCTGAATCTGGATCATGTTTTGAACCCTCTGAAGCGGCTTCTCATGAAACACTCGGCTAATGCGAATGAAAGCACGACAACCGTCGCTTCGGATGGGCATGTTAGCCTCATCAGTACAATTCCGAAAGAGGAAACTGCATATCGCTTTGACCTAAGTAATGGGAAAGACTCGAGCATGCTCGGCTCGTCATCATCGGCTCCACCGCTTCTCCGTGCCCAGTCACATCCGCAGACACTCAAGGAGAAGTACGGTCGAATGACGAGCTTCCTGGGCTCTGGTGCGAACGGGTCATGTTTCATGGTGCAACGACCGAATAGTGCGGAAAAATATGCGGTGAAGGAATTCCGCTCGAAGAACAAGTGCGAGTCGTCTCGAGAGTATCGCAAGAAGCTGTGCTCGGAATACACGATCGGATCCATCTTGCACCACCCCAACATCATTGAAACACTCGACCTCATTCAGGAGAAGAATCATACATACGAAGTCATGGAATTATGCGCAAACGGTGATCTCTACACTTTGATACAGTCTACCCCTTTGACATCTGCGCAAATCGAAGACATCTTCGTGCAACTGATTCACGGTGTCAAGTACCTACACAACCGAGGAATTGCTCACAGGGATCTGAAACCCGAAAATTGCCTCTTTACATCACAGCAAACCCTCAAAATCATCGATTTTGGCTCGGCAGACGTCGTTTTCCGCACACCATATAACCCGGTCCCCAAGCTCTCTCAAGGTCGCTGCGGTTCTGGACCCTACATCCCACCTGAGGAGTACACTCGCCGTGCGTATGATGCTCGCAAGGCTGATATCTGGGCTTGTGGGGTCATTCTCTTGGCCATGTACGCTCGTCGATTCCCTTGGGCCAAGGCTGTCGATTGGGACACCGATTACGCGTACTACGAGAAGTACAGACTGCTAACTGATCGTCAGGAGGAAGAGCGAGCGCGAGCTGGAACACAGGCTGCCAAACCTACCGTCGTCGAGCCGACCCCGAGCGCCCAGGCTACAGATAGCAGCAGTCAAGCAACGAAGGAGAATGCTAACGGCAAACGTCATCACCACCACCACCATAACAAAGAAGGCGTGAATGGGAATGAATCGACTCGCACTGCATCTCCTACGTGCCCGCAAATGCCGCGCATTTTCCTCGCTGTCGACCCACGACCTCGTGCACTGCTTTTCAAGATGATGCACCCCGACCCGGACCGACGAGCGAGTGTGGAGGATGTGGAGGCGGATCCGTGGTTCAGAGCCATCGAAGCGGCTGCTCGGAGGCCATCTTCCCCTGCGGCAACGAACCCGATTCAGAAGGCCGGGTCGCCGGCGCCGCCATCTGCCCACTCCAACCCCACCTCGAATGACCAAACCGCGGCTGCCCTCAAGGCCGAGCGCACCCAACGTCAAGACAGCAAGCTTGAACAACGACATGAGAAGATCCCCGTAGGCCCCGCCGCTCGCGCGACTCCCAGTAAACTGATGCTAGCCGAAAACACTGACATATAACACTCGGCCAAACGCTAATCTAGCATTCCATATGGTATCACGGGGAGTTCAAACTGGCTGAAGCAATCACGCTTTCGTGCTGTCACAGTGCTTCATACGCTGCAGCATTTGTACATACTCTATACTAGTTTTGGTAGTTTAGGAGGTCCTGGTGGTGTCGACATGTAGGAAGAGTTGTTAGTCGCGCTATAATAGGGCTAGTAACGCAACACTGTTTTTGTATGACACATTGGTGTGTCGATCAAATTGAAGGCAATGTTACATGTTACAGTTTTGGATTACGGATCGGAGTTGGCAGCACTTTCATGATGTATCGAGAAAGACTTCCTCAATGCCTATCGCATGCACATAGAGACTATTGGTAGGATTTGCAGCAGGTTCTCTTTCAAACTCGACTTTTTGCATAATAGTCCCAGACCACTTTCTGGGCCGCTTCGTGGTGCATTAGAGATGATGCGTTCAGAGCCACAGCCGGCACCCCTTCCCACGCACTCAGCGATTCCTATGTGGCCCAGGCTCGAGCTTCTATCTGGCAAGCATAACCACCTCCTCACCTTCCACCTTCCGCCAGGCCACCTTATCCAAATCGAGCTTTAAATCCGGCTCCACAAGAAATGTCACTCGAGACGCCGTGGACAGATCGAATGACATGGTCATCGAATAGATGAAGGGAAAAGCGCCTATCATACGAATAGCGCCGAACGCCCATCTGACACTTCCTATCAGAGTCAGAAGCTTTATCCAGCCTTGTTCTGCGGCGGCCTCAAAGTCAGCGAAGACTGGAAGGTGTATTCTGTTCCTTGTGATGAGTACCGCCTTCTCCGGAGGTTTACCGCCCAATAGGTAATTCCCCAACGCATTCACCACAGACAGGCTCTCCGCGATCACCGGCGAGACGGGCGTCGCCAGCTCCAAAGCGAGATGCACAATGCACATTGAGTGCGAGACGGCACATTTCCGATGCTTCCTCCGCGGGTGTCTCCTGCTCCTCAAGAAGATCCAGCGTTCTTTCAAACAGTTTGAGATAATCTTTTGGCTGCCCGTACTTTTGAGGCCGTTGCCACATTGCCCTTTCGAGAAGGTTCTTTTGCGGAGGGTAGAGAGAGGGTCGGAAAGTAACGTCGAAAGTCCCTCGGGTCTCTCACGGGCAGACGAGATCTCGTACGGACGCATTCCGCCCAGGAGGTGCACCCCACCGGTTTGGCATCGCCGCAGATGCCTCAAACGTCGTCTCATCTCGGTCTGCGTTGCGTTCCGTCCTGCCCAGTGTGTCTGCCCGTAGACCAATAAATCTGAGAGGGATAGGTGCTCCAGTAGGAGAGCTTGGATTTCCGGGACCTGGAAAATGGACCTGCGTGGCAGCATGTCGGAAGTCGCAACTCATGCTGTCTGGTGGAAGACAACCTTGGTTAATGACCGTGGTCACGTGAGCTGCAATAAACTGGCAAAGTTCCGAATGCCCAAAAGTTCATTCGCCGTCGCTCGCTCCCGCCCGTCATACATTCCACCGAAAAAAGAACAGCAGCAAGCTTACTACCCATCTCGCCGCCGCCGCCGACTGCTCTTACAAGCCGTTCCGACCTATCTCAGTACCGAGTCTGCCTGTGGCCGCACCTGAGCTCCGCTCGATCCGCAAGTCCATATTATTGCGACCACGTTTCCGAAACCGTCCATCACCCCAACAAAGCAAATAAGCCCTCACCCAAAATGACTGTAGACCACAGCCGAGACCCGTGCCCTTACTCCATAGTCAACGACGTCGGTGTCGGGTTCTGCATGGGAGCCATTGGTGGCTCCGTCTGGCACGGATTCAAAGGGTACCGCAACTCTCCTCGCGGCGAACGGTTCACGGGCTCCCTAGCGAGTATCAAGGCCCGTGCACCCGTCATTGGTGGAAACTTTGCCGTCTGGTCCGGCTTGTTCAACGCTGGGGACTGTACGATTGCGCACGTCCGTGGGAAGGAGGACGCCTGGAATCCCATTCTGGCTGGAACGGCCACCGGCGCGATCTTGGCGGCTCGGAGCGGGCCGAAAGTGATGGCGATCAGCGCTGTCTTCGGAGGAGCCATCTTGGCGGCGATGGAAGGTGTTGGGGCCATGATCAACCGGATGAACTCGGATACGTACAAGCCTCAGGCACCCCCATTGCCGGAGTTGCCAGCGGGTTTCCAGCCCGAAACGGCACAGCAGCAGTTGGCTGTCTTGGGGGGCGAGTCAAATAAAGACGGAAACTGGAATGCGAATGCGAACGACACGGCATCCACATTAGCCGATCCATACCAGCAAGCACCACAACAAGCCCAACAGCAACCACAACAGGGAGCACAGCCATCACAACCGGCACAACCGCAAAGGAGAGGATTGTTTGGGTTCTCGGGATGATGGGATTGGGATCGTAGGTGAAGAATGGGAGGAGGTGGAAGAGGGGCATGATGCATAGTCGGAGCAAAACACGTTATCGTAGCCGGTCATTGGAAATAGGAAGGAGAGGTCACGTAGGGGTTAAGTTTTGCCAACTATCATGTATATGGGATCTAGACTGCAATTTATTTACAACTTCGCTTTGCTAGTAGCTATTGTTCTGAGCCATCTTCCCAAAATTGTTTTTGAGTGCCAGAAGCCTAAGTTTATACTGGCGACAACTGGCACCCGCGGATTCGAGAAAACCACAGGCGCCAGCCTTTGATGAATCAATCATTTCCGGAATTTGGCACGATTGTTGTCTCGGACCGCCCTTCCCAGTACGACACATTCCCGCGCACTCATCACCCTCTCTATGAAATCCATCTTTCTCACAGTGGCACTCTGGTAGAGCAGCTCTTCCGCCGCGGTATAACTGAGCGGGCCTTGCGATGGTGCGCGCGCTCCGGAACGCTGCGAAGCGGGTATTGTATGTGGTTGACTCGCTTTCTGAAAAGAAGCCGGTGTTGTTGTATCTTTGGAACTCCGGAGCATCAAAATCCTGATCGCTGTTTCAGGTATCAGTACTAGTCGGACAAACTTGTCGGTTCTTGAGGCATCGGAGGCGAGAAGGGAAATTGCGGAAGCCTCATGTGAAGCTGGTGGCGACGGTAGTGCGCAGGATTCCCGCGTATCAGTGGTATCAGAAGAGGCATCCAGTGACCGGAGTGATTCCTGCGAAAGAGGGTCTTTCGCCGACTGTGGAGTTGAGGATATCTCGGGGTCGCCTTCATTTCCATCAGCGCTCGATTTTATGCGGTTTCGGCGTGGCCGTGTTTTTGGCTGTTCGGTGTCTTTTAGCTTCGACTCCCCTTCCTCAGACTCCCGTTCGACCAACCCAAACAACTCCTTCTTGCATGTGCGCACAATGAGTTCAGTCTGGTCGACGTCCATCGGGCCTGTCCTGAGCCCTATTTCCAGCGCTTTTATATCTCCGTCAAAGAACAGCTCGCATCTCCGATGGGCGGATATCGGTCCGTCCACCAGTTCTCGAATGTCTGGCAAAACAGCCGTGAACTCCGAAAGCAGCTCGGGATCCTCGTAGTCCGCGGACGGGGCTCGATCTTCCGAGAGGGACTTTGACACATCCCCGACCTCCACTTTGTGGAACTCGGGGTCGAACGGCGTATGGAACTTATGTCTGGGCAGGGAGCGAGAGTACCCGAGCCCAAACGTGAGTTTGTACTTTCCCGTGGATGGGTTGAAGCTCTCCACTCGGGCAGGGTAATACCGACGATCATCCGCGAAGAAGGCCAACACGGCCTCCCCTGGAATCTGCAGTGTCTTATCACCGCACTCGTCGCTATCGTCGCTTCCGTCATCGACATCCCATCCTGGATCTCTCGCTACGGTGGCATCTAACCGTTGCCGTTTGCTCCGCTGATCCGCTTTTATTGTCTCGCCGGACCGTTTCTTCTTAGCGCTCGTTCTGCTCGGGGATGGAACAAATGGCTCGGGCGCACTCGATAGATATTCCAAAAAGATTGCACGTGGGTCTTTCAGCATATCTGCAACAGTATCGTCGTCATTAAAGTCGTCATCGTCGTCCGACGGTTGTGCTTCGGACACCGGTTTGTTTAACATTATTTCCAATCTTTCGGCCGCTCGTGATGCAGGTCCACCATCATGCGCATTCCTTTCCACAGAAAGCTCCATCGGCAACGGGGACGACGACGCCTTTACTCCTACTCTTTCTTCTTTCTTCCACCGCGCGCCTCCTTTCCCTGCCCGCTTCACTTCTGGCGAACTCTGTGGCGTCAACCGCGCTGCTTTCTTTCGGGGAGTGTTCGCGGCCACGCGTACTCCTCCGACTGCGTTTTCGGGCTTGTCCGCAGCAGCTGAACCACTGGTCAGCCGGGCGGAGCGTCGTCGGGTGGCCGTTGCGTCGGTGTTAGCGGGCATGGCGAGCCATGAAACCACAAGGTGAGACGAGGTCAAGTTGGGCTTGTGCGAACGATAATATGACAGACCGCAACCTTGAACCGGGGTCTGGCGTCCGGATAGGAGAGTTTAGTCTTCTGAGCTGCTGAATTGCGGTACAGTGTACGGTGTAAGGCCGGCGTGGCATGCCAGTGTTCCCGAAATTCGAATGTCAAAAAACTTGCAAGGTTGGGTTGAATTCGATTTCGATGCCACGCGGTCACCACGTTTGTCCGAACGGGTCCGAGAGCAGTCCGAGAGTAACTCGGAGGCTGTTAACGAAATAAAGAATTACACTGCACATCAGGCTCTGATGGTGGTTCGCAGCATGCATATATACATCGATAGACTATACATATAGAGATTCATCGCATTGGATCCCCTTTCTCCCACATCATTCGTGGCAAGCTTCGGAAATGGAGTTACGACGGCAAGAGAATAACTAATTGACATGGGAAACTTTATTCTTTTTTTCCTTGAGAAGGGCATCACGCAAAGAGCTGCTCGAGAAACTCCATCGAATCCTGATGAACGGCGGAGGTATCTTCTTCTTTGTGTTTACGCTTCTTCGTTTGTTGCTGCATATTACGAAGCCTTCTGGTTGCCGCTGTCATCGTCGTCTGGTTCTGGGAAATGATCTGTTCGTGAGCCATTCGTGGCTGGGAAAAGCTGGAGATCAAATCAAGGCGGCTACCTTCATTCTTCAGCGCATTCTCATGTTCCGCATCATCTACAGGCACCGTCTCTTGTTTTTGTACTTTCTTAGGACGCTTAGGTTCCTTCCTAGCTTGAGACTTCTTGGTCTCGCCGTTCTTGGCAATATTGTCAGCCGCCTCCGGCTTGACAGCATCGACCTTCGCAGCAGCGTGTTTGAGACGGTTATAGCGACTAGAAACGGAAGCCGCCGTTCGTTGGGTTGGAAAATGCTCATTAAGAAACTTTGCGACTGTATCAGCGGACGCGCCGGCGTATAAGCCCATCAAGATGGCGGTGTCCTCTTTCTCATCGAATGTGGGAGGTCGGCCCTTGATTGGCAGAGAAAATTCAGGCAAAGTTGTTCCTCTCGAAGAACTCTAATCAGGGACACCTCAAAGACGAATACTACCATGATTGTGTTCTAGCACAACAGAAGCTTCCGGGTGGGAGATGCGTGGTCTTGCTCGTTTTCTTCCGCAATCGCGTTATTAAGGTAGAGTATCCGACGAATGGTATGGAAAATGAGGAGGAACTCCTGCTTTGTGCAAAGCTAATGTCGTGTCTCTGCCCTCACGGGCTCGTGTCCCGAACCGCCCCAAACCATGAACGGGGGAGATCTGGGTCCACGATTGACGGGATTTTGACAACATGTGAATTTCTGACGCATTTCAACGCCATCTATCACAGGAATCTAACAACTTGCTCATGGAAATACTAGGTACGTATTATTAGAATGAGAGATACAAAAAAGAACTCGTCGAACATCCATTGCTACTAGAGTACACGGTTCTACCTACTTGTTCTGGGTAGACTCCCACTCTGCATATATCCCGTTGAGATATTGTCCAGCTGTCCAGCTCACAAGATTTGTCCGAGGGTTGATAAACACATCAAAAGCATGATGGGCGTACGGGAACTCCATGTATATGGCAGCTCTGTGACTCGCGGTGCTCGAGAGGGAAGAGTCGTGAGCATGTGGAGGCACCGTTGTCTCGACCGCCCGCAGCTTCTTTTCGAAAGCTCTGACGGTAGGATGCGGGACGATGTTATCATTGTGTCCTTGGAAGATGAGGAAGGGAGGAATCTTTGCTTTCGATCCGTCCACCACCTCGCCGGGCTTGGTTTGTCCCGGTACGAGGGAGATGGGACAGGCGTTCTTTCTGAGCCACGCTTCGTCGTAACGCGCCAATCCCGAAACTGAGGTTGCAAACCAGAGGCCGAAGTCGCCTTGTGGATAACCACTTGCGTTGGTAACGTCCACTACCGGATAGTACGGTACGCAAGCGGACAATTCGGTGGAGATGGACTCGAAACCGGGCTGGAAGCTTGGTTCATTCGGTGTGAGTGCCATCATGCTAGCAAGATGGCCTCCTGCAGATCCGCCGCTGACTACCACGAATGCTGGAGACCGGCAATATGAAATTATCAGATGTCTACATCGTGCAAGCATATTAAATCACGCGGCGCGAAACTTACCAGGGTCGCCTCCGAATTTAGAAATGTTCAACCGAATCCACCTCAAAGCCCTTTTGCAGTCGATGAGATGCTCGGGATACTTGACAAGAGGATTCATCCTGTAGTTGATGTTGACCACCACCCAGCCTTGTTGAGCCATATGCCAGCATATGGGGGTCACGAGTTTTTGTTTATCGCCCATAGACCACGCGCCGCCGTGGATGTACATGAAAACTGGCCGAGGATGGGTAGGTGATGTACGAGCCTTTTTGTTGCTATTGGAAGTGATGACATCAAGTTGTACGAACTGCTCGGTGGCATCAGTTATGCCGAGTGAGGACATTTCTTCCGAAGTCAAGTAGGTGATGTTCGAGTGCATGGTGAGACCCAGGGGTCTCCAATATGGAAGAAGCGAGGCGAAGATGAAACGGATGCTGGAGGGTCGGAGAGGGACGCGAAAACCAGATTTAAGACTGTGTGCGACCGAATCGTCTCAAACATAAATTAGCCATAAAGAGGCCAGCTTCATACCTGGTGATGTACGACAGCAACGACCCTCTCTTGATTTTGCTTGCGCCGGAATGCCCTTCGTTCTGCATCTTTTGCAGCTCTTTGTCGATTACCCGCTTGGCGGTCACCAGACCGACCGCAGCGCTCCCCAGCAGCGCGAGGACGTTCGCGGCGAAGGCAACCTCGGTTATGACCGCCAATGCTTTCGAGGTGTCATCAAATACATGACAACCGGCTGCCACTCCGAACAACACGACATTAATGGCGAGGATGGTGAGCGATAAGTCGGAGAAGACGAGCGCCACTCCAAAGTATATCCATTTGCTTTTCCAATTGGTAATGGCGGGGGGCACATGTGCAATGTAAACACAGTATATACAGGCGAGTTGGAGTAGGAGGAGGAGGACGGCGACTGCCGTAGCTGACGCGAACGACATCTTGGAAACTTTCCCTTTCGGCGGCCGGACCGTTGCCTGTGCTCGTGCTTTTATATCTTCTCCAGTGGATTTGATTGAAGGTCGGTTGTCGTTGGGAGTTGGGCAGCTCGTTTTGAGGAAGCGGAGCGGAGGTTCTCCACCTCTTTGAGGCCAGCCATTGGATTTTCCGGTTCCAAAAGTTCATCAGTTGTAATCCATCGGTAATCTACCGAACGTGGAGGTTACACCAGGCTTGAGCTTGGCTACGCGAATGTTGATCGTCGCGTGATGCATCAGCGTGCGTAAGCACGCGTTCGGTCGCGCCCCGCTATATACTGTATAATCCCACGCTCACTTGGGAATCTCGCCCCAACATCGGCAAGGACCAAGAAGAATCCAGCGCTCTGACATTGATGCTTGCCCAACCGATCCCATCTTTTCCATTCATTTGTTTTTTCGACGATTACGCGGCAGGTGCCATGTGGGATGCCTTTCTGGAACGAAAACCCAACTGAACCCTCGTCAGTCGTTCTTCTCCTTTCTCCGTTAACAACCAAGGGAAAATGCTGCACTTTCGTTTTCACATTGATGTGTTCTCTCACCTCTGTTGCCCTTTCGCTCTCTACGTATACTGGACAAAACGCCGTTCCTGGACAAAAACTCCGTCTCTCTTACATCGCCGGCCATGTCCCACCGCGTTTCTTTTGGTGTTTTTCACAGATTGGCCGCCAGGCCCAGAGAGGAGGTGAGTTTCCACCAGTCCAACTTCCCGCACATGTTGACCTCCGTCCTCCTTACGTTCCTTCCGAGATCGAATATCGACGGCATGCGAGCCTTTAGGACTAGTTGAGGACGGCTAACTCCGTCATCTGACTCATCTCCCACCCATCGTTTCCCATTTCCTCCCTTCTCATAGCTGCGACCAGACTTCGTAGGTGCTTGTTCACAACATCGCAGGTTTTTAGTGTTTATGTTATGTAGTCGTCCTTTTCATATAACAGACTTAAACGTATGTACGTTTCCATCTGTACTGTACATACCCAAAGTTGAAGGAGCTTCTTGCCAAACTTGGACATTTGGAAGGGTCCTCCTTCCACTCGCTTGGCCGACCATCTCGTCTTTGCTTTCTCAGTTTTAGGAGCACACAGACAATGGACACGTCCCCTCGCATTGCAAGCACGTCAATCCAGCCTCGTTTTCAAAGCCGCCGGAAGGTTTGCACAACAGCAACAAGTTGCGCGGCCTCCGTTGGATGGAGCCCCCATATAACATTTGCCCGTTAAGTCTTCCTCAAGCTTATCATCACAGCGCCTCCCTGTGATGTCGTCCCTGCAAGCCTCCACGAGCGATACACCTAGGATTGTGGGGCCCTTCCTATGGTCGAAACGGAGCTCGGTGGTCGATTGCTCCTCATCATGTATATGGGTCAATGCTCTCGTGCGTATATGCTGAGGAGCGGAACCTTTGACTCTTTGAGTGGCATGTGCGATTTCCTGTTTTACCCTAAGCGGCACTCAACCCAAGTCCGACGGGGAGAGGGAAATTGCGGCCTGGACGCGTGACGTGGCTTGGTGACACGCCTTGTGCGCATCTCTCGGATTGACATTTCCCACCCCAATTCCTCGTCAACTGCCGCCGGGAATGGGATGTGGATTCAGGGATTATGGGGTTTGGCCTGGCCGCGGAGGCGGAGACGGCCCAGAAAACTCGGCCCTTTTCACGCGGAGATGACCCTCAAATAATGGTTTTTGGTCCAACCTCAGGCGAGGCGTCTCGCTGAGGCAAGTATGGTTCGTGCGCTTCGTATAAAAGCGACGGCGGTCCACATCCGATTGGAACCAGAAGTGTTTTTCACTGGTACACCGCCTCCTCGAGCTCGCCATCGCCGACCCCACGCTTCTGCCGCGCGTGCCCAATCTATTCGCGAAGTTTAGACAATCCGACAGTGTCCCAGCAAGCTCCTTCCTACACGAACGATGGCCCTCGCTCTCCCCGCTACTGTGGCCGCGGGCTTTCTCTGGGGCGCCTACGAGCACCGCAATCGCGCCATCGGCAATCAAAAGCCTGTCTCGCAGCTTCCTTTAGGCCCTTCCTTCTTCCCCATTATCGGTAACCTGATCGCGATCCTACGCACTTGGGCCGCGTCGAACGAGGCGATGCACGATATGATCTTGGAACAGATCAAGAAGGATCCCAAGTCAGTCAAATGTGTCCAATTTTCGATCCCTTTTCGGCCACTTATGATCCTCACCTGGGATCCTCGCAACGTGGAACACATCCTCAAAACAAATTTCGACAATTTCGTGAAAGGCGAGGAATTCCGCCACAACATGGGGGATCTTTTAGGTGCTGGCATCTTTGTCGTGGATGGAGAGCCTTGGAAGAAGCAGCGCAAAATGGCTTCACACATCTTCAGCGTTCGGAATTTTCGTGACTTCACTGCCAACGTGTTTGCCGACGAGTCTGTGAAGCTGGGTGCTCTCTTGGAAAACGCCGCACAGACCGGACAAACCATAGACCTTCAAGATGCCTTCTTCAGATTCAGTAAGTACTTGAGAAACGCGATTGTGGAACCTTGACTCCTTCGCAGGAATCTACATCTGGAGCTCACATGTTATGTTCTTTGCTGTTAGCTCTTGATTCATTCGTCAAGCTTGCCTTTGGTATCAATCTCGGATCCCTCGATTCCCCTCTCCCTGTCCCATTCGCCGCCGCATTTGACCGAGCCCAGACGTTCTGCGATGAGCGATTTAGGCTACCCGGCGCAGCCATGATCCACGCCCTATCGGGCCGCGGAAAGCAGCATGCGAAAGATCTCGATTTGATACACGAATTTGCGCGGTCCATCATCTCGCGTCGCCGTAATGGAGGATCGGACAGTCCCGAGCTCAGCCAAGGGAACGACCTCTTGGCTTTGTTGTTGAGGATTACCCGCGAGGGCGGTGACGCCCTATCGGACGACGAGCTTGCGGACATGGTCTTGAACTTCATAATTGCTGGACGCGACACAACGGCCCAGGCTCTGTCATGGACATTCCTCCTGCTCACGAAAAACAAGCACATCGAAGCGGAAGCTGTATCGGAGATGAAGAAGTTCTTTGGCGCCGATCGGCTCGCCGACCCGAACTTCGAAACCACCTACGACGAAGTCAAAGACTGGACGTACGGAAAGGCCCTCTTCTACGAAACATTGCGTTTCTATCCATCGGTGCCGAAGGATGGCAAGTACGCTGTGAAGGAAGACGTCCTACCTGACGGGACCGTCGTTCCGGCTGGCGCCTTGGTCATGTTCAGCAATTGGGTGATGGGGCGCTTAGAGGAGCTCCACGGGAGCGATGCTGCCGACTTCAAGCCGACGCGGTGGATTGATCCCGACACTCAGGCATTCAAGACTCCTAGTCAGGTAAGGAGTACGTTCTTCCATAAGTGACGGGTCCTGTTGTTAACAGACGGTGTCCTTATACTTGTAGTTCCAATACCCGGTCTTCTTTGCTGGTCCTCGAGTCTGTCTCGGACAAACGATGGCAACCATAGAGGGCGTCTACGTGATCATTCAAGTCCTGCGGCGATTCTCGATTGAGGTGCAGCTTCCGGAGAAAGTGACCTACACTAATAGTCTGACCTTGCCGATGAGTGGCCCTCTCAGGGTGCACGTCAGCAGGAGAGATCTTTGAACGTCCTCGGTTTCGTGCCACGTTTTTTTGTCATTTTGTGGGACCCGCACGTTCATATGTACACAGTTCATATAAATACTTTCAGTAACTAGACCTACTCTGAACTGAGCCGATGAGTGAAACAATGTGACGGAGTGACTAGAAGGGGCCAGCTGCCTTCCACGTCTGTCCCCGTATTAACCTATGTACAACAAAGACATCTGCCAGTGTTTTCATAATCCTTGCGATCGAATCAGCTGCACACCAAGAACTCATTAGCAGTAGGCTCGTAAATGGCGGCGAACGCACACAAGGCTCACCCGTAAGAACTCTTCTCTAGTTTTGGGATCGTCTCTGAAAGCGCCAAGCATGCAACTTGTTACTGTGCTGCTTCCCGGCTTCTGAACCCCGCGCATCACCATGCACATGTGTCTAATGGGAAAGAGGTTAACATCTGAACTAATCAGTGAAGCACGCGTATCGAACGTACGATGCTTCCATTGTCACAGCGACACCACCAGGTCGTAAGATCTCCATCAACGACATTGCTATTTGCTTCGTCAAACGCTCTTGTACTTGCAAACGCCGGCTGAACATCTCGGCGATTCGGGCCAGTTTGCTCAGACCTAGGACCCGCTTGTTTGGTAGGTACCCTATGCTGACCTGAAAGACGAGCCCGTCAGGTCGGAGTGGTAGATGCGGAAAACGATGTCTTTGCTCCCAACTCACCTTCCCAACAAAAGGCACCATGTGGTGCTCACATAGAGAAAACACATCGATATTCTTCACAATGACCATTTCATCGTGGTCTTCTTCGAACACAGCGTCATTTATGATATCGCGTAGATTCGCCTCATATCCTTGCGTGAAGAACATCAGCGCCTTGGCATAACGCATAGGCGTCTTGACCACCCCATCGCGTTCCGGGTCTTCCCCCACACACTCCAGCAATGTCTTTATTGCTCCGGCCATTTTCTCCAGCCGCGCCTCGCGCTCCTGTTCCGACTCTTCCTTGCGCTCCTTTGTTCCTTTGGAGGGCCACGCATATCCTTGGCGGTCGATGGCCTCAGCTGCTCGATATGGGGAAGCGGTCCGGCTAACTTCACGTTCCCGAAAGCGAGTTAAGAATACTGGGGAGTCCGAACCATTTTGACTTGGATTGTCGTGCTGCGAGTCTGCGACTGGGCCGTCCATTTCGTGAGTTTTTGACTTTGGAGAGTCTTTCCGTTGGAGAGATGGAGAGTGTCCTTCCTTTATATATAATATATATATACGGCAAACTCTGGTCCGAGTTTCGTGCTTCACCAGAAATCGAGACTTGCACCAGCAACTTTGGATTGACTTGGAGGACTTCGTGGACTTTTTGGGGTTGCTTTGGAGTCTTTGGACTCTGCTTTGGACTCTTGCAGGGGCGCGCCCCCATGATGACAAGCGTCAAAGAAGTGAAATCCGGTCTTCAAGGTTTGCTGTTTCCCACCCACTGCACAAGCGGACTGTAAGCTAGAAAGACGGCAGACGACGATAATACATACTCTGTTTCTGGGTCTTTTCATACTCCTTTGCCCATCTGCAACTTCCCCCGCCCAACTCTAAGGACAAAGCGCAATAATGTCCGGCGCGGGGAATCTTTTCCGCTCCGAGGAGATGTCGCTCATCAAGGTGCGCCATCTTGAACAGAGCAGCTAAACAAGTTGTGTTTAGGCGGTGTGGCGTCCGATTTTCTAACTGCGGTGGCTACTGTAACGTCAACAGCTGTACATCCCTCTGGAAATTGCGCAACCGACGGTCTCTGAGCTTGGTGAACTTGGCCAGATTCAATTCCGCGATGTAAGCTCCAAACCGTTTGCAATTCCAGAGGTTTTCCCACACTAACGCGACATATTCTCCTGCAGTTGAACCCAAATGTCAATGCTTTCCAAAGAGCGTTTGTCAATGAAATTCGACGTTTGGATGAGATGGAGCGGAAGTTACGTAAGTACACAATTCAGGAGCAACTCGATGGTACTTGTGGGACATGGCGTTTACCGATGGTGCAATCTAGGCTTCCTTGAAGGGCAAATACGCAAAGCAGAGGTCATCTCTCGACCCCTCGACAGCAGCATGTACTATGGTCGATCTAGGACACAACAAGAAATCGACGAGTTGGAGGAGCGTTTGAACGAGCACGAGGGCCGTGTACAGCAAATGAACACATCTCTCGAGACTCTCAACAAGCGATACCTTGAATTGACGGAGCTCCGTCATGTTTTGCGGGAGACGGCCATGTTCTTTGATGAGGTACAACGAGACATATTGCCGCCAACATTATAGAACATGCGAGTACTGACGTCACGAACAAATTTAGGCCACATCGCGCACCGACGATATTCTCGGCAATGCTCATAGAGAGGACACAGAGCTGCTGTCTCCAGCGGGAGTGATGGAAAATGCTGACGACGGAGAAGCCGCGGAGCGTGGTGAGGGAGCTCTTCGCTCAGCAAACCTGGGGTGGGTAGCACTCCCACTGATCTTCGATGCGCGACGCGAAACTGACAGCCATAATCTAGTTTCGTCGCTGGTGTCATCTCTCGTGGCCGTATGGGTACCTTCGAGCGCATTCTTTTCCGAGCTCTCCGTGGAAACTTGTACATGAACTACGCGGAGATTGATGAGCCAATCACGGACCCTATTACGGACGAGATTGTGCAGAAAAACGTTTTTATCATCTTCGCGCATGGCAAGCAGCTCCTTGCGAAGATCAAAAAGATTTGCGAGAGTATGGGAGCCACTGTGTATCCGGTGGATGAACGCTCTGAAAAGCGCCGTGATGATGCTCAGGAAGTTCTCGGACGGTTAGAGGATCTCAAGCATGTATGCTATCCACATGGGGGCTTCTTCTGACGGTGAAAACCTGCTCACTGAGTTTTATTGCTTAGGTGTTGGACAACACTCGGAACCAGCGCAGAATCGAACTGGTAAAGGTCGCTGAAAACCTGGAGTCTTGGTCCACAGTGGTGAAGAAGGAAAAGGCGATTTACCACACCATGAATCAATTCAACTACGACCAAAACCGCAAGGCTTTGATCGCTGAGGGCTGGTGCCCAACCTTGTCGCTCAATGCCGTGCACTACGCTCTGCGAGGAGTAACGGTATGGATTTAGCGATCTCTAGGGATTTTATTTACGCGGACCTGGTCACTCAATGTTCCTTTTGCAGGAACGCACGGGCTCCACCATTCCACCTATTTTGGACGAGCTTCGCACTCGCCTGGATCCTCCGACATTTCATCGAACAAACAAGTTCACAAACGCTTTCCAGGAGATCATTGACGCGTACGGAGTGGCGGCCTACCGCGAGGTCAATCCTGGACTATTCACTGTGACGACGTTCCCCTTCTTGTTCGCCGTCATGTTCGGTGATTTCGGACACGGAATCCTCGTCACCGCCTTCGCAGCCTGGATGGTAGCGAAGGAGCGTGAACTTGAGAAGAAGAAATGGGGAGAAGTAAGTTCCCAATCGTTTTACGCTCCCCGCTTTCCGTTCCGGGTACTAACGTACATCGGGAAAAGATTTGGGCTATGTTCTTTGGAGGCCGTTACATGATTCTGCTCATGGGAATCTTCTCGATCTACACGGGGTTGATTTACAACGATATCTTTTCGAAGGCCATGACTTTGTTCAGCTCTGGCTGGGAGTTCGAACACAATGTGCATACCGGAAAGTGGCATGGAGTCAAAAGATGGACCTACCCGATTGGTGTTGACCCTGTAAGATCTCGTCTCTTGTGCATTGCCCTCACTGGACATCCATTGAATGTGTTCTTCCGACACCACAGGCTTGGCACGGTTCGGAGAACTCTCTCCTCTTCACCAACTCCTACAAAATGAAGATGGCGATTATTTTTGGTGTGTTACATGTGAGTTGTGCGATCTAGTTCAAGTCTCCATCATCTATGTCTCGAGCTCAGCTCACCTATCGAAACAACACAGATGTCAACCGCCATCTGCCTCAACGTTTGCAACTACGTCCACTTCAACAACCGGTCCAGCATCTACCTTGAGTTCATCCCTCAGCTCACATTCTTGCTCAGCATCTTCGGGTATCTCGTCATCCTCATCATCTACAAATGGGCCACTGTCTGGCCTGGAGGCGACGCGCCTGGGCTGCTGAACACCCTGATCTACATGTTCCTCTCGCCTGGTAGTGTCAGCGAACGAGATAAGCTATTCAATGGGCAGGTCAGGCGAACGATCCTCAGGCTCAATCAAGAGGTTTACCAGTGCTGACGCACCCTCTCCCTATTAGGCTGGTCTTCAAAGCTTCCTGCTACTCGTTGCGTTCGTGTGCGTCCCGGTGATGCTGTTTGGAAAGCCTTACTACTTGAAGAAAGAGCACGAGAAACGTGGCGGCCTAGGCTACGCCGGCCTTCTTGAAGACCATGGAGCCGACCCAAATGCGGCGGGTTTTGCCGCCGGACCCGGCGACACACGGCCGTCTGAAGACAACAGCGGCAGCAGCTCTGGACATACCGAGATGTCTGCGGAGGGCCACGGACATGGCCATGGGGAGGTAGATAAATTTCCGTTCGCTTTGGTATATTGCAAGCGATGCTTACCCGATCGTTCATAGGAGTTCGACTTCAGCGAAGTCATGATCCACCAGGGCATTCACACCATCGAATTCTGCTTGGGAGCGATTTCCAACACTGCCTCATACCTCCGTTTGTGGGCTCTATCTCTCGCTCACGCCCGTAAGTAACGTTCTTTAGATAACTTTCTAGTTGCGCCGGACTTGACGTTTCCCTTTTTATATCGCAGAATTGTCCGAAGTGCTATGGACCATGATTCTCGGAAATGCGTTTAAAATGAAAGGCGGCATGCTTCCCATCGCCTTGTTCATCGGGTTTGCGTTCTGGTTCAGTCTCACGGTTGCAATCTTGATCATCATGGAGGGCCTGTCAGCTTTCCTCCATGCCCTCCGTTTGCACTGGTAAGTGTCTCCCTGTCTGCGTCGAGCTCTCCAAGTCCTTGCAAGCTCTAATCCTGGGGACTGTTTCGCCTTCGCGAAAATAGGGTCGAGTTCAATAACAAGTTCTATGCGGGAACGGGCAAGAAGTTCATGCCTTTCGCCTTCAAGACCATTCTCGAGGACACGGAGGAATAAACTTGAGTTTCAGATTATTGCGAGCTTTTGTTTTCGATGAATGTACGGATGTACACCGTTGTCACCATCGTTTCATTTGAAGCTCTGAACTTTGTGCGAAATGGGTATCCCTGCTGTAAGAAGTGCATGTGCATTGGGGCATGAGCTGCTGGAAAGTGCCTCCTCTCATGGTTCAGCCCCTGATCCGTCTGCCAACGGATATCTGCTATGCTACGCATGGGTCTTGTCCATCTCGGAGCAAGCCCAGACATCCTTTCGCAACTGTCCTAGCTTTAGTAGCCCTCGGCGTCTGTGTCTTGACTCAAGAGGTATCTTCGTGCTCCAAAGACAGTAGCATCTCCACCTCATCCACCGTTCTCAACGGCGCGGCCAATGGCGGGCTCAGCTAGAGGTGCAAGAAAATCTTATAAGTGAGAACACTTTCGTCAAAGGGAAACGACCGGAGCACAACTCACGTCTGCGACCAGCGGCTCCACATTCCGGAAGACATCCCTGTACGCATCCACAAACATCCTGAAAGCGCGATGAGTAACCTCGGAAGCCAATTTCCGACTTGCAAGGCTCGACAGCGATGACGAGACTTCCAACGACGCGTTGTATAGGAATTTGTCGAATTGTGAGAGGGATTCCTGGATCTGGTCGGCTTGAGGGGTGGTGTTTGGGATGGTCAGGGGGAGGAGACCGGATTGTTTGATTATGTTTGCGTACTGCGGGGGAGTATCGTATCGTCAGCTTTGGCATTCCTGTCGCGTGGACCCCGAGAGCGGGCGTTTCCTTACCTCCTCAACTACCAAAACGTCGGACTGAGCCTTGATCTGTTGCCCTATGGCATCGACTTGTTTCGTCGTGAAAGGGTACAGCTTCAAGGCGGACTATGAGAAATGGTGGTGGTGAGACACGTGCTGTTGCCCCACTCACGGCACTGCCACGCGGCTTTTTCACCTGAGTGTGAAGGAGGCAATTGACGATGTACACCGCATTTTCGATCGTGGGCAGGCTGGCAGCTCCCAGGACGCACATTTGCGTTAGCGGATCCAGCAACGCTGCGAGGATCTTTGCGAAATCTTCCTCGCGTCTATCAGATAACACGAGAGATTCGTCGTAGATTGCCATGATCTCTCGCTAAAGGCCATACAGGAAGCCAACTGATGTGAGTAAGCAGGATGATGAGGCGTACGAAAATGTGACTAACCAGCTGGAGAACGGTTTCCCGAATGCCTGGTGGTGGTAATAGGTCCATGCCCGGAGTCTAACAAGAAAAACGTTTTCAGTCCATCGCTTGTTTTCTAGTGCCAGAACAATGACACGGACCTGAACAGAGCGCAACAACTCGGACACATGTGCATTTAACGTGTCGTAGAATGTCTTGTACCCACTCTCCCGGATCCTGAAACCCATCAAATCTTATGAGCGATCTGTCACAGCAGCTCGAGAAAGCAGGATTGATCACTCACTCTGCGATGGTCAGACAAAGTTGCGATTGCTCGCTCAACACGCCAATGAGAGTTCCTTCGTAGAACTGTACAAGGTTCGCAATACGGTAAACCGTAATGGGATCCTCTTGCGAGGCGAGAAGCTGTTCGATGCGAACCTGCATATATGGTGGATGAGACGCCAGGATGATGCAGTGCGCACATCGTTCAAGGAGACGTGATCCAACCTTTAACGGTCGGCATGTGCCTTCCATATTCCTATCCAAGACTTGCCGTAATGCCTCGCGGTCAGCAACGTGCAGTCCGCCTAACGCGTCCAGAGGAGATTCCTCGACAGAGTCCGTCCGTGACTGCGACTTTCTCCGTGCTGCCGCCGATCAAAAACGCCACATGTCAATATTGCAAAATCCGCCCTGCGAGACCAGAGTGGAATCACACCTATTGCCTTTACGTCAAAGATGGCCTCCAGAATCTCACGCTCTTCCGTCGCTGCTTGATGAAGCCACGCTAGCATGTCTCCAACGTATCGTAACGGGTCTCCAGCGTGCATCTCTATAGGTCTTGGAAAACCGCCTGGCCCACCCCGCGTCAATGCGTCTAGAAATGAGCGCACCATAGCAGAACATCGAATGTTGGAGACCTCGTCTATGCACGTTCTTCGGGGGTTTTAGATATTGGTACATCGCATTATTGACAGCACAGGATCGAACTGACTTACTGGAACAGTACGGGTCGCTCTTTCAGGGCGCGCATCGCGTTCTTCAATGACGCCGTAACTTCTGGGGCATCGCTGTTCAACGAGCGGCACTCATTTTGCGCCCACCGAAACAGTTTCTCGAAGGCTGTCTCTTGATAGGACGACATCTTCTCCATGATCTCGAACCTTCTCCAGATTAGAATCTCATCTTCGCAGGTTCAATTCCTGATAAAGTCCCCTACCCTGCCTCCTGATGTTCCGTTACGAGCAGAGCTTTGCAATCATCGCTTATTCTCTCCAGCCGTTTCAATGCGTCGAAAAACTCGACTCCGACTACGTGACTGGGCGATGTCAGGATGGCAATCTCTGCGTCTGGAAGCGTAAATCGGGCCAGAAAGACATCAATGATGGCCTTCCGGACATGACACCGCTGACTGTTGAGGAATGAAGTGTGAGCATCGCATTACCTCCGCAACCGTAAGGAGGGCACAAGCAACAAGACCTTTGATCTTTGAGCTCCTGTGTCTGTTTGATCAGATGTGATGTCTCATTCGTTGCTTGCCGGAGTTTGTCCTCCATGTCCTGGCAGCAAAAGGACATTTGCTCCATCTCCTTTTCCATCGTTTGGACTCGCTGTGGATCAGAGCTTGATGAGGTCTCTCTGTTCACCTTGCTTTCAAACACGCCGGATCTTACGTTCGCCACAACCGCAAAGGCCGAGAGGAATCTCGTATTGTTCGCCATCACTCTCCGTTCTATATCGCCACGCAGCGATCTTCTCGCCGCCAATGTGTTCTCCGTGTAGTACTCGGACAAGGCCGCCAAAGCCTCCTGGGTTTGCGGGTCTTCTAAAGACTTTGCATTGAACACATTGCATGGCAAAAACAGTAAGCGAAGTATTCCAAAAACAGAAACTAAGCAACACAAGCCGTAGCGATACAGACAATGTCCAGTGTTTTGTTTAACTTCCTTGACAGAGGGTTGCTCTTCGTGAGCTTCGCCTGCATCGCAGGCGACTCTGTAGTGGCCATCTTGTGGAGTTTAAGCCTTACGCGGGCCCCTGAATGTGCGCTATTGACGTTGAAGTGGACGCTACGGAAGCTTGTTCTGCTGGGTATGCTAGACGTTGGCGCGAAGCTAAGAATGCTACCGCTATCGTACGTAGATCACTGACGGCTGGGAACTTTTACGTGTCCAGCGAAGAGGGCGAACGATCGAAGTGGTCGTCGCGCTCTCTTCACGGAAATCTACGCAGGACACCAGCGAATGTTTCCACAACGACTCCGGCGCCACCCTTTGCGTCCTTGAAACTCCCTCCCTCGAAATGAGAACTCTGCGCAAAATATCCATGTTTCCATCCTCGGAATGAAGCCCGTTCTCCCGTGGGAAGATGCAGCTGCCAAGCGGGTTGGGCCGAACGGTGACTGCGCGTCGTCCACTCACATTTTGTGACTCAGCAGCAGCTTCAGCCGTGACAAAAGCGATCACTCTCTACAACTCTTCAATTTCAACCAACACCCGTTCGCCAAGATCATCGCAACCAGCCGACAACATAAACTGTTTAGCAGCCAGATAGTCTAGAACTGTGCAACTTTAACCACATATATATACAGTTGCCGAAGCTACTGGTCAAGCAGGATTCCGACACTCGCACTTTGTAGAGCCCAGATATCCCGCCCTTGGCCGAAGTTATACTCCTTCCGAAGATGATCCTGGTTGCATACGCTGCCCTAGCTCTGCTTCTGCAAACAGGCGTGAGAGGAGCACCATTTACGGCCTCCCCTGCACATAAGCGTTTTGGTAAGTATTTGCTTCGACGTCGCTCTACCTCCCGTCAGTATTGTTTTCACGCGTAAGGCTCTCCGACTTGAACGCTCTTCATTTATATTTGTGTCCCGCCAGTGCACTTGACGGATATCCATTATGATCCGCTCTACGTCTCCGGGGCCGATACCCGAACGCAGTGTCATAGGAGGACGGAGGACTCGCAAGGAACTGACAAAGCCGCGCACTATGGGACGAGAGGCTCAAATTGCGATTCGCCTTTCCCACTCGTGAGCGAAGTCTTTGCTGCCATCCGGAATGATATTCAAAAAGATTCCCCTGTGGATGTCGTATTCTTAACGGGGGACAGCTCTCGCCACGACAGAGACAGCTTGGTGGAGAAGGAGGCGTCCGAGGTTTACAGTCAGAATGCCGAGGTCGTGTATCACATAGACAAAACATTCGATTTGACGAAGACAACAGTCATTCCGTCCATTGGAAATTGGGATGTCTCCCCGCACAATATGTTGCCAGAACCCAAGTATGCCTCAGATGCATTCGCGAACCTTTACAGCGTTTGGAGACCGCTACTCGAGAGCGGGCTGTCGGAATCAGAGGTCAACAGCACGAAGCAGACGTTCTTATCCGGCGGATACTTCGATCGAGTCATCGGGCAGGTCAACGGAGAAATTACGGTGCGCGCAATTAGTTTGAACACTTTATACTTTTTCGCGGAGAACACAGCAGTAGATGGTAAATGCTATTTGCAAAGTCGCTTGGTGTCGCATCGGTCTGACCTTGATTGCCCTTTTCAGATTGTGAAATCACTGAGAACACTGGAGCTGTCGTTCAACTGTCATGGTTGGAAGAGAAACTTACTCATGCCCGACAGCAAAACGAAAAGGTGGTCATCATTGGTCACGTTCCACCAATAGACCATAACGACAACCCGCTATACAAGCCCAATTGTTTGAGACTGTTCCTCCAGACTATTGGAGACCACGCGGAGGTGGTTCTATCGCAATTTTACGGCCACATCAATAAAGACGTTATCTACCTACTTACGCGCCAAGGGGACGAGAGCATCGACCCAAGAAAACCTAGCACGTACGCGTTGAATGCAGTAACGCCGAAGACAGTCATTGATCTGCAAAAGCAGAACCGCACTATCTTGAGCGTCAGCCAGACCTCCTCTTCGATCTTGCCCGTCCATAACACAGGCGTCAAAGCCGGCGTGATTTCCATCCGGCCGCATGACACCCATATCATGCGCGAATCGCAGTGGTTCATCGACATAGTCCGCGCAAACGACAAATTCGCGTCTTCACCTGGCCAACCGTCGGTATCCCCAATCACCTTCAAAGAGGCGTGTAAGACGGATGACGACTATAAGATGCAAGATCTCAAGCCGCGATCCTACCAAGAGTGGCTGAAGCGTTTGCACGATGAGGCAAAATTGGATCTCACATTGGACGATGTCGAACTGAAAGCGGGCAAAGGGAAGAAACCGAGATCTCAGATTCTCAAGAAATACGGATACTGTATGGACGCGTTGGAGAAGCAGCCCCATCCGCCACCGGACAACCATTTGTCGTTGTCACCTGCGGTCGTGCGAGCGGTGTTGATCTCCGCAACGGTTGTATTTGTGGGACTGATGGTGGCCTTTTACTTCTTTGTTCAGTATCTGGAAAAAGACGGGGATGTGCTGGAACGCCAGCGCTTGTTTTTCCGGCCTGTCGAGTCGAATCGGGGTCGGGATAATTTCACGCCAGGACCGAGCTCGAGACCGCGTGTCAACTTCCGCACATTCTTGTCTCCTACTAGCGGGTAGGGCCGTTCGGGTTGGAGGTGATACCCTGCTTTGGTCTTGTATAGCGTGTATGTATGTATTCTGCATCATAGGACCTTCCTTCGAGTATGCAATGGTGCTGCGTTTCACCTTCCGAGTTGTTCATGCCACTTCGGCACTGCAAGGCTTTAGTGTTTGAACGGCCGACATGAACACGCTGTCAAGACGCTTCTCATCTAAGCTTGCATCACCCCTACCACATCACGATCCATATGGCGAATTTGCGTCAGAACATCTAAAATGGTCTTATGGATAATCTACGGACTCACATCCAAAAAGAAAACGAGGTAAAAGGATTCAAAGGGGAGGGGGAGAGACGAGGGCACGGCACGGAGAGGCAAGGGCAAAGTCAGAGGGGTGTGCTCCCGCTTGCTGGCTGAGGGCCCATTGACAAATGCCGCGCGAGCAAAATGAAATGTACAAAAACTAGAGGTGGGTTGAAGCGCTTTTCCACCTCCTTACGATCAACCGGACGGGTACCGATGTCTTGGGTCCGCCAGTCAATCGGAATCATCACCATGATCCAAATCCCTAAGAGGCGCCGACTCTTCGTCGAATGTCTTGAGCAAATGGGCTTCGTTGACGAGGGCCGTTGCGAGGCCCGCGGCGGATAGCGAGTTCCGTCGACTCGCGTCTGTGAACTTGTCCATGGCGCTTGGGTGGGCGCCGCCTGAGTGCCCTGAGGAGGGTTTATGGGAGTTGAGTTGGAAGACTCCAACAAAAATGGTGAGGAAGCCGCAGAACATGGACACGACGTCACGCTGTGAAGGGAAACAAGTGTGTCAGTGGTTTCAATATTTTTCAATTCTAAGAGAAGCACCGTCCGTACCCCGCTGGCATCCTCGAAGCCCTGGAATAACAGGATCGACGCGATAATTGTCGCGGTGCTAAAGAAGACGTAGTAGACTGGGTACAAAAGTTCACAAAATGAGTTTCACTGGGATAGGTCCGGAAACTAACGAAGCCGAGACTTACTTGGTGTCACTCTGTACCATAATCAAGTCCAGCAGAAGTAATCAGTTGAGAATCCTCCTCAATGTGTTCCTCGTGAATCAACATACCTGTTTGTAGAGAACAAATCCAGGGCCTTGTTGAAATAGTTCATCTGCACCATCGCACACCCGACAACGGTGAGAAGGAACACGTATGTCGATGGATAGATGAATTGATTCTGTCCGGCAAATGTGACGCGAACGGCGGTGCCGAATCCCTTGACCGCCATGACCGACACGGACCCGACCAGCGAGCAAATAGCGATGTAGACAATCATGCTGCGTTTGCCGTAGATTGGGGCGATCTTATAGATTAATGTCAGTGATGTTGCTGCAACCAGGAGCATGTAGATTACGAATCCTGAAAATGGCCCACCGCTGATTAGCAGGTTGTGATGAATCGGCAGAGCAATGGGAATGCGACGTGCCTGGTCTCAGAGCATACTCCAGAATCTGATCTGTTGTCACCACATCTGGTTCTGCTGGAGCGTGGAGAATGATGACCACGGATCCAATGATGCATAGCGCAGCTCCAATCTTCCCCTCCATGCCCAGCTCCTCGTTCAAGAAAAAGGAAGCCAAAATCGCGCTGCCGAACAGGAATTGCGTGAGCCCCAGTAGCGAACATCGTCGTCCAGGAAGGACATCCCCGTACCTGATAACGACGCTTCCCGCACCGAGAGGCGTCACCAAAATTGCTGGTGCGTAAGCATATGCGAGAAAATTCGCTATTTCCCCAAGCACCACTAACGGAACAGCGGAGCAAATCAGTTTCGCTTCCATCAAACCTCCATCCATATGCACATCTTACTCCTCTCTTCGTCCCGCGAAGAGGTGAAAGATAGCGCAGGACTTCTAAAGAAGAAATCGGCGATACTTACTCGTTATCATCCCAGCCCACCATTTGTGATTTTGTAGATAGCTGTAGCCCTCCCCAGCGCTCCCTCCATGCGTTCGAGCCGCATCCAACAAGCCGAGTTTCGTTATGATGAAACTCGTTCCAATAAGGAAACTAGACGAGAGGGCCAATATCAGGCCGACATATTTGTTTTCGAGAACCATGCTTATCGCTTATGGCTGGATGGCGATATTCCCGTGCAGAAGAGTGAATGAGGGGACTGGGGGGGTGTTTGAGAAAATGAGGGTGCCTGACGAAGCAGAATTGGATATCGAACTTCGACGCTGTCCTGGAAAGCGACCGCGGCCAGTGAACATTTGGGGCTCATGGGAATTGACGCCGTAGAATGCAAACAGACGCCGCACACAAACGACAGCACTTACGTGGAAAAGGGGAGGTAAACAGCTCCACTCGCTCTATTGACCGCTGTCCTTCCTTCCTTTTCTAGCGCTAGATATATAGCAACGTGGGGTTGCGGGGGTAAGCGGCCGTCAAGCAAACACAGCGAAGGCGGGGGTGGCCGTATTGTCACAATTGGTGCTAAAGCAATCTGGTTGCCGCGCGACTCCGGCTTTAATGATTCTCTCAACCCTTGTGCTCCTGTGGTGTGAGCTCATGCGCCAACCTGGAACGGTGACCCATCCTATACAATGACTTGTATGTACTTACGGCAAAGACTTTATTGCAACAATTATTTAACTTAATTGACGGGAGTTAACGGCAACGACGCGGACCTTTTAAAAGGTCGGGGAAGCTGGGTGATGGGAATCAACTCCAGACGGCCTACAATAAGATCTATTTGTCCGGATATACTGTACTCTCGATTAGCACTCATTGCCGACGTCTATGCAGACTTACGCCATATTCCCCCCGGTTACAGTTGCAGCACCAGAAATTCCTGGTGGCAGGCATCATTGTTCAGCAGGCTCCAGACGTGCAAACCTGACGCATTGATATCTGCGGTTCTGCCACCGCAGCGTTGTAAGCTCTCATCAAGAAGCAATGTCATCGGCTTCTCAACTCGCAAGTCGGTGTGAAGGTAAGGCTTGGTAGTGTACAGTACTGTACTGTATAGCCTCGTAGCGTTCTGACGTCCTTGCGCAGCGGCGCGTTCAGGTCATTTGCATGAACCGTCGCGTTCATCCCTGCCTCCTCTGCCTCTCCTGCTCCCGACTCGATTTGTGACCGCAAACCTACAGTACGTAGGCTGGCTGGCAGCCTGGCACTGCTGCAGGTAGAGAGAGAGAAGAGGGTCAAAGAGAAGCACATTCCAGCTGTTTGTTGTTCTGCGTGATACAGCCATACTCTTCCGTCTCTCAGGAGCACGCTCCAGCTTGCCATCGTTGTGAACAGCGCAGGCCTCGTCTTGAACTCTCTTTCCGGCTGAAAATTACGTGGGAACAATGGACGCAACCGGGCTTCAAGCACTTCGCCAGGTGATATTTTACGGAGCTGTCACTCTCACGCTCAAAGACTATATGAACTAACCACCGTCGTCACGATAGACCGAGCGTCTCCTTGCCGAGAAGCTCAAAGAATGCGAAAAAAAGCTTAAAGTGGAATTACATTTCAAACAATCCGCGGCCGCTATTGCCAAGGCACAAACAGATAAAAAGGCTCGACGCGACGCCGAAATCCAGCTGGTGCGAGCGAATGAGAACGTCGAGGCTCTTTCGGTACGGGTACTTTCAATTCTCACGGAATATCGAGCCGTTCAGGAGAGAGTTCGCATAGCAGCGGATAGGGAAGGATCCCTTCCTCCCGTTCCGCCGCCGCGTCTTGAAAAGATCTTTACTGGGACTGGGAATGATTCACAGCGGAGAACTCCGGAAATGCATCGGCGCCCTGTCCCGGTTCGTTCAGACTCACGGTCCGACGCTGGCAGCTTCTCAACTACAGTGTCGGACGATCCCTATGCGAGGACAGCACGTTCCCCCATCGAGGACGTTGCTTCGGAGCAGTCTCCACCATCATCACCTGGAAAGGACACTGGCATGTCGCGGCAATTTGTTTTGCAGGCCAAGGAGCTAGCTCTAAAAGATGAAGAGGTTAGGACCTTGACCGGCCTTCTGCGTCAGACCGAACAGTGCATAGTTGACATGCAGCAAAGGGAACTGCAAATCAAAGATGAGATGGATAAGCAGCTCGCTCAATTGAAGGAAACGCATGAGGCAGAGATCTCCGACCTCGTGCGGCAGCGGGATGAAATCAATGCTGATAGGGCAGCGTTAGAGGAGGAGCACTCGCGAGATGTAGACATGGCTGATCGTTATCAGACACGGGTTACCCAATTAGAGCATGAACTGGTCAACCGGGAAGAGCAATGCAAAGTGAACGAAGATGAACTCGCCAAGAGTCGGACTGTCCTAAGAGAATTTCAGCATAAGGCGCACCTCGCGGAACGAGCCTGGCGCGATGCCAGTTTCCCGCAGCCCAGCTTTGATGCGCTCGAGTCGGCTGCCAAAAGCAGAGCCATGCTGGACGATACAGAACGAGTCCTGGCTCAAGTGCAGCAGCGCAATTCAAGTCTCGAAGGAACAGTCCGGCATCTTTCCAATTTATTGGAAACCGCCCATCAAGACCCCGACCACCGAGCTTCTAGTCCGCAAGCGCTGCAAACAATCGAGAGTGTCACCGCTCGAATGGCGGCCGTGGAGAACGCGCTTCTCACGACGAAAGAGCAGGCCCAGCTGAAACGCAAGGCGCTCAAGAATGCCCTGTCTTCTACTCAGAAAGAATTGTCGGCCGTAACTGAGGCATATGAGACTCTGCGAAGATCACAGCAGCCTGTCGTCCGCGCAAATACCCAACCCGAAGACAAACTCATTGCCGAAATGAAACGACAGTGGGCAGAGACGTCCAATCGGCAAAGGCAGGAGTATCAAAACATGATCGAAGAGCTGGAGCGAAACGTCTCCCAGATCAAAATGAAATTACGAACCTCGCAGGAAAAGAATGAGGAACTGCAAATCGAGTTACAGAAGGTTACAGCTGCATCGACGGAAGCCTCGCGTCCCTCAAGATCTTCTTCCCGATCGTCTCCGAACGCTCCAAAGCGTGAGCGCACTACAAGCCAAAGCTCAAGCACTTCAGTTCCCACTGTCTACCACGACAGCGACCAAGATCCCGGTCGTGCCGTCGTACAACTGCAAGAGCGCATCGCTGATCTAGAAACGAGAAATGCCGAGCTGGCGCAGCTACAGGAGCGTATCGCTGATCTTGAAACCAAAGACGCTGAATTCGCACACCTACAAGACCGGATCGCTGAACTTGAGATAAGAAATACTGGACTGCAAAAGAGTAACGATGATATGGAACACATGTTGCGCGACTACGAAGAGAAAGTCGACCGGTCCAGCCGCAAAGTTCAGGATGTCCAAGGAACTGTTCGAATGCAAAAGCAAAAGATCCAGGGTCTGGAAAGTGAGTTAGAGGCTCTTCAAGCGGTACATGAAGAGCTCCGACAACAGAGGGACTCCGCCACGGCAAAGGTAACTTCGCTAACCGAGGAGAGAGACGCAATGGAACATGAACACATTTCAGTCAAAACCGAACGCGACGAAGCTGAGGCAGAACTCGAACATGCGAACGATGAGCTCGAAAAGGCCCATGCTGAGCTAGCGAGGCAGAGGATGCTGCATACCCAGGTGGTGGCACAATCTTTGCAAAGACAAGATCAAGTTGTCTCTTTGCAGAAGGAAATTGAGGCTTTGGAAGCTCAAATTGAAAGTCTTGATGCGCAGTGGAAGGTGGAGAAAACTGCCCACGCGGAGCTGATAACTACGGTTGAACGTGCCAAGGAGAACGGCGAGGAGCTTCAGCGGCAAGTCGTTGCGTCCAACACTGAGAAGGATGGGGCGTTACGCACGGCAGAGGAACTCCGTGCAACGATCAAGGATCTGACCTCTCAGTCAAAGATCCTCTTTGAACAGCTGGAAGATGCTCGCAAGCACGTTGGGAAGCTGCAAGAGAGACTGGGCCAATCCGAAAACGCGGTTGCCCACCTCGCTGTGGCGCGAAAGCGTTTGGAGCAGAGCAGCAAGGACGCTGAGCACCAGGGTCAAGAGGTGATCAAGGACTTGCGGTCTCAAGTTGCGGGGCTCACCTCTACCGTCGCGTCGCTTGAGGAACATATTTCGCACGCAATCAATGCAGAAGAAGCGGTCAAGAAAGAAAAAGATGCACTCCAGTCCCACATCACCAGTCTTACCGGGACGATCGATCAATTGACCCAATCTATTGCGACCCTTCAAGCCAAGTCCCTAAAGGAATCAGATCAGCTTCGCGCTGAAATAGATGCGCTGCAGAGTCGCCTCGATGGACTCGCCGGATCTTATTTGGCAATGGAGAGTGACAAGAACGCTGCTCTTGATCGAACTGTGGATCTCGTGGTCCAGGTCGCTAGTCTGAATCGACTGGTAGACGAGCTAAAGAAGGACAAGGACAAGGACAACAGCCAGCTAGGGGAACTTAGTTCCGCGAAGGAGCGCTCGGCGGAATTGGAGAAAACGGTCAGGCAGATGAAAGAAGCATATTATGAGCTCGAAACGGAAAACGCACATATTATCGAGCGGACCGAAGGTCAAATCGCGGGCCTCATCGCAAAGTTGGCCGAGACCGAAAATTTGGTAGATAGCCTGCAGCACGCAAATCAACTCCTCCGTGAGGAGCACACAGAGAGGCTGCTTAGCGCTGAGCAGAAGTACGGCCAGACTGATGCCACCCTTGCTGAGTTGAAGGCTGCATATGGTTCACTTTCCGAGGAGAAGGCGGCGCTTCTGTCAAAGGCGAAATCAGATCTATCGGTTTTGAACGCACAGCTCATAAAGTCGCGCAGAGCCGTCCAACAACTCACAGATGAAATGAGTGCGCTGCGGGACGAACATATCGCCAAGCAGACGGATGCGGATAAGAGCCTTGCAGAGCTACGCGCCCAATCTTCGGAGCAGTCCCATAGCATGGCTAAGCTGACAAGTGAGAACGACGCTTTGGAAGCCAAAGCATCCGCCCTGGAGGGCGAGTTGGAACGCCGAGCTAGCGCTGAGCAATATCGCGAACGCCAACTCTCCGAGTTGACTTCCGAGCTCAGCGGCCTGCGAACTGCGAAGCAAGATCTCATGAGGAAGATTCACGAATTGGAGGACCTTGCCGCAAAGCGTGAGCACCAAACCACGGAGGCAAGAACCCGTATTGCGGACCTTGAGAAGCTCATGGACGAACTCGCTGCGCACAAGGAGATGAGCGAACGGGAAAGCGTTGCTCAAGCGGGCCAAACTAGCGGCTTGATCTCACATCTCAAAGATGAGATATTGCGCCTTCAATCTCAACTAGCTCAAGAAACCTCGACAATTGAAACACTGCAATCCGAACTCAGAGAGATACGTGAAGCAGCTGAGGTGGCCGCCAACACCGCATCTACCGCTACGCAAGTCAGTCCATCTGAGGCATCCTACAACGAAGAAGAGTTCGCATCATTGATCCAACGCAATATGACTCTGTCAACGGAGCTAGCCGAAATGCAACGAGTTATCCAAGAGCTTAATCGACGGCTGCGAAGGGAATCGGACGAAAACCACGAGCTGCGGGAAAAATGCCAAACACTCGCATCGGAGAAAGAAATTGTAGTTGAGGCTCATGTCCCGCCATCGGCCGAACCTATGACGGCGCCACAGAGCCCTCAGAAAAGGTGGTGGGGTTGAAAATCTGTAAACTTTCGCACGGAAGTACATTTTCGGAGCCGCCACGAGCTCACATTCCGCCGTTTGTTTTCACTATCCAAAATGCAGCAACGGAACGCCGGAGCAGCATTGGGCGACGCCACCTCGTGCTCCCATCTCGACTTGCCCGATGGAAATCTACATGTAGGCGAGATAATACCTGCGCTTGCACGACGCAGGTTGCTCGATGCGAGCACCGTTGTGTAATTGATCCGCGGCGTATAATGGCTGCTGGTTGTGGTATATGTTTTTTGGCTTTACGTAGTTTGTGATGTTGTACATATCCCGTATGAAATAAGTTGTCCGTCGATGTTAGAAGGCAATGCAGATAGCTCTTCAAAAATGTTAAGACGGGAATACATTTAGAGAAGGCAGATGGGACGGGGCGATTTTATTTTGCAATGCTAAAGCCAGTAAAACAATACATAAGTATCTGAGTTCAGTATATGGGGGTGAGTCGCTGCTCCTACGGCCTAAGGCACTATGGAAGTCAGCAACACCACGTATTTGGACCAACAAGTGCTCTCCTCCATCCTGCGCCGAACATGTTGTTCCGACATAAACAAGTGCATCACGTTGAGCGCCCCAATCCTGCCACCCGTTTCGTAGACGCTCGTATGCATCAATACGCCCCCCTCTCAAAAGACTGGATGCTCCTCCGGCATCAAATCCGCCCAAGGATCCTCGGTGAACGTCTTCTTGTAGTAGCCCTCGAACCCATCCTCGGTCACCGTCAAGCCACGTTCACCCTCAAGAACGGGCGCATTCTGAGAATCTTCGTCTAGATCCAGATCTCCGCCCTCAGCTGGATCATGAACATCCGTTTTGCGACGCTGCGGGAAAAGAAGTCAACATATGATCCCACCCGGTCCGGTCAATCTCTGCACAGTATAGAAGGTCATGTACCTTATTTGCGACGTGGTCCCGTTCGCTCCGTCTTTTGTTTCCGCCGCGCCCATGATCACCAAACCCTCCGCGCCTGTCCGACCAACCGTCCCCACGGCGATCGTCAAACGGCCCGTCCCTATACCCGCCGCGTCTTCCGCCTGATGGACCTCTGTAGTCTCTGTCATCATATCGATCCATATAGCCCTCACGGCCACCTCGAAACCCTCCCCTGCCACCCCGAGGGCCATCATAGTAGCCGCCGCCACCGCCGTATCGGTCTCTGTCATCTCGGTAATTCGGCCCGCCCATGTCTCGACCACCTCGATAGTCTCGGTCTCGGTCTCGGCGATGATCATCTCTTGGAGGACCATATAAGCCGTTCATGTCTCCTGCTCTAGGCGCGCCAAAGGGCGGGCGGTCTGGGCCCATGAAACGATCCTCCCTTCGATTCATGCCCCCCCTTCCACCACCACCGCGACCCCTACCTCCTCGATAATCACCATTTCCGTAGTCGTTTCTATGATTCGTTCCACCGCTTGGAGGTTGTTGGCCGAAAGTCGAAGAGTTTGCTGGAGGCGCCGCCGGCAAGGAAGTTTGTGGATTGTGCTGTTGAGGTGGAACTTGAGGATAATATTGAGGATTAGCTGAGTAAGGCTGAGCTCCGGCAGGCTGTTGAGGTGACTGTTGATAACCCGCCCCCGCATATGAGGAAGGATATGCGGACGGGGCAGCGGGATTGTAAGGCTGAGCCACTCCGTATTGATTCCCGTACGCTGGTGCCGGTGCCGCTGGCGTTGGGTATCCGGCTCCGGGCTGGTAAGAATACGTCGGAGTCCCAGCTACTTGCGTTGCCTGATACTGAGTTCCGTCCGCAGCCGGCCACTGTCCTTGGGGGTATCCTGCGTACTGTTGCTGAGGGGCTTGATAGTACTGTTGAGCTGCGGCATCCGGTTGCGCTGGTGCGCCGTACGTCGAAGCCTGCACTGCAGCCTGTACAGCCGCCTGACCATAGTTATATGAGTGTGCAGCCTGTTGCTGTTGTGAGGTCGGTGCTTGGCCGTAGTAGCTCATTCTGGCTGGCAAGATCTCGTGGGGCGTGGGTCTGGCGTGGGTTCGTTGGGGAAAAGAGCGTAAAAGGTCTTTCTCTCCGAGTCAGGGTCTATGATTTAAATTCCCTCGTTACGTGATGCCCGTGATTTTAAACTCAGACCCGCGCTTTCGTTCTTGGCTGGGACATGCAATGGGCAAGCTAGGTGTGCATCGGCACTCCGCATTTTCTCTTCCTGTTGCTCCCGAAGTAGACTCTACATCTGGGCCGCATTCTGGATAAATGTAACCGTTCCCTTCTTCCATTACCGCGAAGGTAGAAATCTCATCGCGGTTACATGGATAAAACCTTCATGAGCCTGTTTGCGCTAGGGGCCAAAGTGATCCGTTCTTGCTTGATATAGTCAGGCTTACCTCAGCCCGGAATTCCAAAAACCTTCTAAGAGAATCCTCTTGCGAAGGTCCTCCCTTGCAGGCGCGCTCGAGACGATGTTCAACTTCCCAAGGGAGGACAAAGTGAAGACATGGGGAACTCGTCCATAGTCCAATGGGAAGGATTTGATTTTGGAATTTATAGACAAGCCCACTTGGTGGAAAGAAAGGTCATCAGCAAGACATGCACAGGATGATTCAATGAAAGGACACAACGCCGCATCCCATTGCCCGAGAGTGTCTTGCCGATGACGGTAATGACAGCATTTGAGACCTGTCAATTTGACCTGTCATTCGCATGGCGTTATTCTTCCCCCTTCGCTTTCAGAGACGTAGCTTGTTTTCAGCGAAAAGTGGTGGAGCGACGGAGGGAGTGGGCTTTTGCGCAAAATCGTTCCTTTTCCTTTCGTCATATGACCTCCGTCGCTCGAGCAGGACATCGCTTGTCATGGGTATACGTTGATGTTACGTGACCCCATGATAGCTTAGTGCGGTCGTTATGATTTGACAGGCCAACCGGTCCTGTTTTTCTCTCAATTTGTGTGGAGGGACTGTCGGAAAGGAGACTGAAACCAAGCTGCATAAATACCATGCCCTCCTTGCCTCTTCCCTCTCCTGTCCGTCAAGCCTCTTTCCGTTAACGAACGGGCCCTTAATTTCGTACTCTCCAGCAATTGCGGTTGATGGTTTGTGTTACAGCTCTCATAGGCCTTCTGTGGAAGAAGTGCGCATTTGCCTGGCTCCAGCCGATTCCGAAACCCCACCATGCGGACGTTGCGCCCTGTGCCGCGAAGAAGTCATAACGGCCTAGTCGTACGCCTTGTGCCTTGAAGTTTCATCAAATTGAAATAATGGGCATCCATCCAGATGCTACGTTTCACGACCTCGAGGTATGTACATGTCACTTCTTTGGAACGCACTCATTGGGCTACACTAATTTGGCCCGCCTTAATCATATCGTGTTCTTAAAGGCTCGATTGGCTGTCCGCTATGGTACCACCCTCGGGGACTTGGACTGCACGGCCATCGATTCCGGCACAGCTCACATCAACCCATCGACAGAGAAAGCCGTCAAAACAATATACTTGGATTAGCATGAGTTTATCATCGAAGGCACGTTACTAGATGCCTAGTGGGGTGAGCTTGCTTGAATTCTCACCTCTTACTTCCTGTGTATTTACCAGGATTCTCGGGAGCGCCGGGTCTCATCGTTTTCTCGCCTTCTTGGCCTGCTGGCGAGTCAACCACGCAGCAATCCCAAGCTTGAAGCCATCAGCACACTGCAGCTCTAGTAAGTACCAATTGTGCTAAGCTTACTATTTGCTGTGGACAACCAATCTCACAATTCTTTCTGTTCTCTTTCGGGAGTCCAGCGGCCACTGGTCTGAAGAGGTTAGGGGTTCTCCCTGTCGCACGTTGCTGACTGCTTCGGCGGGGACATCGACGCCATGGTGGATTGTCTCATGGATCAGGATCACGCCCTGAAGGTTGGGCGCTTGACCCTGAAAGCGTGTGCACCTCCCGGGGCACACTCCTTTCCGTTGGCCACAACTGTAGAAGGTGCTGTCAAGATAGCAAGTGCGTTCAGCATGCGCAAAAAAGATGGATGTATGGCTTGATCGAGGCTTCTTACCCGGCATGTAGCTGACTTGCCTTCATCCTAGAAATAACTGAGAAGCCCATGGAGGTGGAAGACGATCCAATTCGCAGTTCAATTTCAACACTGTTGGGAAAGTTGGACGGAGGGAGACGTCTGATACCGTTGTTTACTATTCATTTCCCGGCGCGACGCACAAACCTTTCCCTTCATTCACCTTCATATATTGCCCAACCTGTAGAGGTAGCACTGATCTTTTTGAAGCCTTTCTCTCCCCCATTTTGTACATAATTGTGGGCGCTGTGCGTTAAAACGAGATTCAAACGGATGTGATCGTCTCGACCGCAGCACCATTGTTCCATTTGCCTACAGTCGCGTAACCGCAGACACGCTCTGCATTCGAAAGAGGGAATCCAGCGCCTAATATGAAGCATCGCTCAGTGCTTGCATATTCGCGCAAATAACTTTCTCAACCGCTGCTATGGCGCTTGCATTGAAGTTGGAGGTGGGCGGCTGTAGAGACTAGGGCATGATCGTCTGGCGGCGGCTGCGTCCGTGACTATCGCCTAATCTATCTCTTTGTTCGCGTGATTGTGGAAGCGGTCGACGTTCTGGTGATGGTGGGGTACCAAGTGATCGCTCGGAACGCCCCGGAGAGGTGGTACAGTCACAGAATGAAGAGAAAAATGTTTGGGGAAGGTAGGAATCGAACCCACGCCACCTGGGTGAGAGCCAGGTGTCTTAACCACTAAGCCAAAATGTGTGTGTTCCCGTGACACCTCCCCTTGACTGTACCAGCCTCTCGGATATATGTACCAGTGTATCGGTATTATGGACCAGTGGGTTGGTCTTATTTTAGTTGGAATACCAGCCCGGGTCTCTGGTCCGCTGTGGGGTACCTAGGACCGGGTCTTTGGTATTGCAGTATATATATGGTCCCGAGAAGGACTTGTGGTGCTACCATGTCAATGGAATCGGTCCTGACACTGGCGGAGACAAACTCTGCGCTAGTTCTAGCCTCGAGAAGCTAGGACTCGTTGATAAGACGTGAACTTGGGAAGATTGAACCAGCGTCGATGTGCAGCAGATGGATTCTTCTCGCACAAGGAAGGCCGGCCGCATGCGATGATGGAAGTGCGAACCTTCATTGAGAACACTGTACTGCCGTGGTTCAGGTGGCCGGCCCTTGAAATTTGAGAGTTGGCGAAGGTCCGAAGGAACGATGTCGCAAAACGAGTGAGCTCACGCGTCTGCTATATGTACAAGTCTCGGGTAGGTCCGGGTGAGTCACTCATTGCCTTCTTGTGGGAGTTTCTCCCAGCGCCTCATCCATTTTTGTTCACACGTTCTCTACGTCCATCCGGCCCCAGCAGATATCTTATATACGTAGACGAGACTCATCCCTCATCGTCGGTGTCTTCTGCATAGTGCTGTGAACGAATTTAGGTCTTCTTTTTCTCTTCACTTGCGAAAAGACAAGTCACCATGATTGCCACCCCTTTGATCTCGAGGTGCTGGGCCGCCCCTTCTGCGCGGTCGGCGAGACTTGGTCTGCTCAGCAAGGCGCCGCTGAGCTCCGCTCTGGGACGCACTCAAGCCCTTCGTGCTCTGGCTACGGCTACATCAGGTGAGTAGCGACAAGTCGGCCACCATCTTTCGAACGAACGCGTCGGGTGAGCGCTGACCGCAATGGGTCATCAGATATCCAAAGTTCTCTCAAGAATGTGGGAATCAAGCCGAAAGTCATCAAGCGCAACCCATCTGTGGAAGTTGCTTACAAGGATGCCGTTGAGAGGGAGCCTGGAACGCACGTCACTTCGTCTGGCGCTCTTGCTGCTCTTTCCGGAGCTAAGACTGGAAGAAGTCCCACAGACAAACGTGTCGTCGACGAACCTAACCACTCCAAGAATGTCTGGTGGGGTCCTGTGAATGTCAAGCTTCCCAAGGAAAGCTTCTTTGCCAACAGGAAGAAGGCCATCGACTTCCTTAACTCTAAGGACCAGCTTTGTAAGTGGATTGGGACGTCGGTTACGTACGGTACGTCGTACTGAAGCCAGTTATTCCATGATAGATGTGGTCGATGGATTTGCCGGTTGGGATCCCAAGTATCGTCTGAAGATCCGTATCATCTGCTCCCGCGCTTATCACGGTAAGTCACAAAAGATGTCTTCCGTGAAATTAGACATTGGGAGGGCGCTGACTCTTGATCTCTAGCATTGTTTATGCATAACATGTTAATCCGTCCGACCGCCGAGGAACTAGCCAGCTTTGGCGAGCCTGACTTCACAATCTTCAATGCTGGCGCTATTCCGGCGGACACCAGCGTTAAAGGCGTGAGCTCGAAGACCTCCGTCGCCCTCAGCTTCGACGAGAAGGAGATGGTCATCCTCGGCACCGAATACGCTGGTGAAATGAAGAAGGGGTAGGTGAACGATTCTTATAATTCCCGCAAACTGAACTGCTCAGCTAATCCTTGTTGTATCTCGCAGAGTTTTCACCATTCTGCACTACCTTATGCCGAAGAGGAATGTTCTTTCTCTCCACACATCCGCAAATGAGGGCATGAACTCCGAGAAGGGTTAGTATATATGGCACTTGGTCGATCTAGAGGTGCTGGAAGAATTGCTCAACCTGAAGTTTGAGTAGATGTCACCTTCTTCTTCGGTCTCAGTGGAACCGGAAAGACTACTCTTTCTGCGGATCCTCGCCGTGCTCTGATCGGAGATGACGAGCACTGTTGGTCTGACAAGGTAATGGTTCTGCCTTGCATACATCCGGAGACTAGGGTCGATTCCAACCTCCACAATCATGTAGGGCGTGTTCAACATCGAAGGAGGTTGCTATGCCAAGGCCATCGACCTCTCAGCAGAGAAGGAACCGGAGATCTTTGCTGCGATCCGGAAAGGAAGTATTCTCGAGAACATCATCATGGATCCCAAAACCAAAGTTGTCGACTTCACCAAGAAGGACATCACTGAAAACACGAGGGCATGTTACCCAATCGACTTCATGTGGGTTATGAATTTGAGTTGAAACGCGTCTCTCCGCACAGGCCTGACCTATCTTTCCATCCAGCCCGAACGCCAAGATTCCTTGCGTTGGAGGACATCCTAAGAACATCGGTACGTTATTTGGCTTCTTGGGCTCAGAGTTTATCTTTTGCCTTGTGCTGAATGATTGCGTATTGTTTTTCCCGCTCCTTGACTTCATCGTCCACCACCCATCACACCATCCCATGCACAATAGTCTTCCTGACAGCCGATGCCTTTGGAGTGCTCCCACCTGTTTCTAAGCTCACCACCGAGCAGGCCATGTACCACTTTATCTCTGGATACACCGCGAAGATTGCCGGAACTGAGGTTGGCGTGACTGAACCTCAAGCCACTTTCTCAGCTTGCTTTGGACAACGTAGGAGCGGTCGCGATTTCGGTGGAAGGGTGTGCGTTTGAGCTGACATGTATGAACCCGATATCACAGCTTTCCTCGTCTGGCACCCTAAGCTCTATGCTGACATGCTTGCGGAGAAGCTGAAACGTAAGGACCTTGGGATACCTTGTGTCTGGAGGAGCGTGGCGTATTCTGACATCTTTCGATACACAGAGCACAACACCAACGTGTGGTTGGTCAACACCGGATGGACCGGCGGCAAATACGGAACCGGAAAGCGTATCTCTCTGAAGAACTCCCGCGCCATCATCGACGCCATCCACTCTGGAGAGCTTTCCTCCAAGCTCAAGTCCTCTTCAAGCACCTACCCGGTGTTCAACTTGATCATTCCCACCGAAGTCTCCGGTGTCGACGCCAAGATTCTGAATCCAGAAAACGCGTGGCAAGACAAGTCTGCTTTCAAGAAGCAGGTTGAGATTCTTGCTGGCTTGTTCAAGGAGAACTTCAACAAGTTTGGGGACGATGTGAACAGCTTGAAAAAGGCTGGACCGGTTTTGTAGATAGCTTCTTTCTTAGTGAGACAGATTGAATGCATTTTTCAGACCCAAATGACATCTGTCAGAGGGAACTTCGGGATCGGACTCCACATGAACGCCGTGACGTTTCAATTCTGCTACGGTGGTACTCAACTTAAGGCTTCACCGGTAGGGTCCGCGCATCCTGTAGGCGGCCTTGGAAGATCACAGCTTGCGGTGTTTCCGATACTGAGTGTAGCATCCCTGAGTCGAACATGCCAGAAAACTCGAAGCACCACGATTGTGTATCACAGCCTTCCCTCACATGTGTGTAATTATTTACAATGTGGCCGCTCCATCTATGTACACCGCTTTCACCAGATACGCCCAGCACTTCAGATTACGCCATCAGTTTTTCTTCTCGTTCCACGCCGCATCGACATCACACACAGCAACGCGGACATGCGCCGTATCGGGAGGAATCATATCGTAGGATCCCCCCGCACTCCTAATCAACGTTTTCAAATCTTGGTAGTCCCCCTCTACAAATGGCGCCCCCCACGTCCCCGGGTCAAGCGTGCAGGGGCGCAGCATGATCTTCATCAACTCTTCGCGTGTGTCGGTACAGAACTCTTCAATATTCAAGTCGTTTTCGTCGTACCCGAACTGCCAAACAGAGCGATGAGAAATATAAGTACCTATGTCCCCTCCGCCCTTGTTTGAGCTAGCCATCACATACCGGATTTTCAATCTCCCCGCCGATCGCTTCAATGCCCAGCATCGTGAAAGCGGCAATCAGGCACACAGGAATGGTTCCCCACGAGAGAGAACCCAATAATTGGAAGGGTAAGCTGAGGATGTACAACGTCAGGGTTTGTTGCAGATGAACCGAGTACACGATGGGAATTGGTGTGTTGCGGATCCTTTCGAAGGAGGTAAGGCAGTCGACCATGCTGGAGATGGCGTTGATCATCGCGGTCTGTTGCGGTACATCAATCATCTCTGGAGGGCAAGAACATTGTTAATAGAGGAAGTCGTGGCTTCTGGATGTCCAGAGACGAACTTCGAGCGCCGTACCTTTTTTCCGGCAGCTCGCTATATAACTACTAATGTGGAAGCTGATCTCCAAGGGCAGGTTTTTGATATTATCTTCCTGCCCAGGTTGAAACTCCGGAAGATGGCAAATCAGGTGGTGAAGGTCTGCGTATTTCGGGCCAAGCTCGCTTCGCAAGTAATGCTTTGTGGATACGGCATATGCGAGCAGGAGGTTCATGCAGCCCTTCTTCTCCAGGACGGCTTTCAGGTCGTCTGTTTTGACGCCGATCCAGATGAAACGAGCCAAGATACGGATCTGGGTAATCAGCGTTCCCCAGACTTTTCGGCCTTCCCAGTATCTTGTAGTAAGTGTTAGTATGATGAATGCATCAAGAATCATTGGGAACAAGGGGCTCGAGACTTTACCTGTCATAAGCGGTGTTTGTCCTAAAAACCAGGAGAAGGGAAATGACCACGCCGAGGATGGTGATGAGCTGTGGCGGTAGAGCCAGTTGCTTGTATCCCACCACCATGTACAGAATGGTCCAATGCGTTGCCCACAACGTATGGAGCAAAGACGGCAGCAGGACTCTCGGAATGACGGACGCTTTCACTCGCAGAATCTCCGTGTACGAGTTTTGCGATTCGTTGGCGATACCGTTGCGATACTTTCGTTTCCGAATGATAAGCTCCGCTCGAGAGAGCTCCTCCGATTTTCGGGGCCTTCGCGCACTGCTTGGATGGCGAGACATGACGGAAGATGCCCGCAAACCTCCGATACTCGAATCCCCTGGTTCTTGGATACGAATGGAAGGCGATGCTGGTTTTGCAAACACAGGCAGGTTCTGCGTTGTTGGCACTCCCAACTCGGGCCGCTCTGCGGCAGCTGCGAATGGGGCTCGGGCCGACATGAACCCTGTGGGGCCTGAGGTCGCCGTAGTCATTGTCGGTGTACTGATGGATATGGATATCGTTCGAGGCTAATCACCAGCGAAGGCTCTGACGACTTGAGATTGCGGAGTGCAAAGGCTGCTTTCTGACCCATGTCTCCACGTCCTCGTGGGAAACCCCTGGGAAACCCCTGGGAAACGGATGGCGCGCGCGTTTCAGAATGTTCGCCGTTTACCGAAGGCTCGGCGACGTGACGCACGCGATAGATTCACCAGATGATGGCGCAGACACTAGGGATGTCTATATAAGATCAAAGCTTTCCTTTTCGGCGACTTCGAATGATATTTGTTCGCAATCGGCCTCCCGCTTGAATCGTTCCCCGAGTCCAGCGAAACCGAAGCGGCAACGGAAAGGAAAGCGGCGGAGGTTAGAGAAGGACGCCCGAAGGTCACCGCTTGTGGCCGATCGTCAGATAAATATCGTCGCTAACTCCTTGTCACCCACGCGTGCGGTTCTCAACCACCAACAGGTTGAGCAATATATGAGGGATGTGATCTCTTGTATTCCTGTGCGATGGTAATACATCTGCAGCCTGACGACCTTCACTGATGGACAAGTCGGGTCGTGATGCAGTGCGCGGCAAGTAAGTCGTCTTCCGTCAACTGTGGATCCAGACACCCCGTATTAAAACGGGCGGGATCATATAGGCGGGCGACAATCAGGTGCGTTAATCCTCCGTATGCTAGGGTTGCTCCGTCCTTGCACACCTGTCGTTGAAATGCTGGCAGGAGGCTATGTTGGAACATGGCATCCATTTGATTGAGGATCTTTATTCCGAGCGTCCGATCTGCTTTTGCCGGGAGAGCCTAATCGCGCTGCCAATACTGGCGAACGCCGCACTCAAAACTATGGCGACGAAGATCTCTTGCGCTTCAGCAATCAAATTCTGACATCAAAGTGGAAACATGCGTGACGAACATCTCATGCAAACCTGGTTGTTGATTCACTAGCGTCTCTTGTAGATGAGGCGTATGAGTGAGTCTTCAACGTGGTTAGGCCGATGCAGGGCTAGGAGTGGTCAATGCATACTCATTAAAGGACAGTTGACAATGGATAGAAGAAAGGCCTCAGCTCAGACGACCTGCTCCTCGGAGGGGTCATATGTAAATAGGGTGCTGGGTGCCGGACGAAGTTGCCATGGATGGTGTTTGTGTGATACGATGGCGATCGAAGGAAAGCAGGCCGAGAATCGTGCTTGGGGGTGTGCGATCCAGTGAACGGAGAAGTAATTCTCAGCGCCGCCGCCCGCCACGCACTTTTCACCTTCCAATACATTCGGAATTGACGGTGTCTTTGCCTGTTCCATATTCCGACCCAGTGTTGTGTGCAGAGCCCATTTCCCGCCTTCCTGCAGCACTTACCACACCGGTGCAGCAGACAAGCTGCACCGGCAAACCCGTCACACAGCCTCGGTCTGGGCGATGGTAATGTTCCATCAACACGGACCACGCCAATGTGTCGAGATTCTCTCGGACGGTACCGCCGCAGGCGTTTGGTGCCAATAGCACATCAGGCGCAAGAGCCGAGTGGTATAGCGAGTGATCACAAGGTGCTTGCCGGATCTTTTCTTCTAACTTTCAGCCGTCGCTGCCGAAAAGGAATGGCGTGTTGGCGAAGGGTAGCCGCACGAACCAAACTAGTCATTTCTTGACAGCACCGCGATCCGCCAAGGGCCTCCTTGAATAACACTCCGCAACGCGATTGCTGTGGTTTGTCTGATAGTCACCCTGCAAACTTCTTGTACCACTGCGCTCCTGATCGTTGCCCAGAACGGGCGCGGCGGTGGCGCGACACGATTGATCAGATTCACCGTCTCGTCCTCCAATCTCGTGAGAGATTGAAAAGTCCAGTCATAAGGTCAGCGGCTTCCCTGCACCAGAAATCTTCGGCATGCTGTCGTTTCGCGCCTGGGTGATCAGGCGGGCGTCCCGCAAGCTGTTCAGTGACCGACAAGCAAAGACCAGGGCCGGCTCCCACGGGTTCGGCCGAAGATTCTATCGGTGTCCTGGGATGCTTCTGAATGCTTGCGTGAAACGAAACCCGGTCAGTTGCCACTGCGTAACGGAACCGTCGGTTGCCAGTCTGCGTCATGTCCATTTTCTGTACCCAAAACGTGCTCTTCCACCATTCCATCCTATTTGTGCGGAACTGCTCTTGGGCTAGATGTTAGCCATGGTCGACACCGTCCCAGTCGCTTAATGTCGAAATGGCCCAGAGGGCGTCGCCGGTGTTGATGATAAGGCTTCCTTGGCTTTTTCTACATGAGAGTCTTTCAGCGCTGTTAAGGTACTGTATATGCGTGACTCGAGGCGTTCAAAGGGCAGGCTCCCCAAAATTGGGGCTTATGCGTTCAATGAATGTCTCCATTGAATCTCCAAATTGTAAGAGGTCTTCCTTGGGTTTGTTATGCAATAGGGTCTTTCTGCACTGTTGAGGTACCGTCGATGTAGGACTTCAAATCGTGAAGCGGCAGCCAAAGACTGGTCGCCTCCCCAGGATTGGGGCGTTTGAGTTCCGTGCCCTCTCCATATTGCAAGACGTCTTGCTTGGCAATGTTCTGCACCAGAGTCAGCCTGCGCGGTTGAGGTAACGTAGATATATGACCTAAGTCGTGCGTCCTTGAGCCATACATCTACTGTACATCAAGTTGTTGATTCGGCATCTTCACTCCAACAGTCTACATTCCAAGAAAACTGATCGCGCTCGATGGTCAGCTGGCGAGAAGGTCGAAGAGTCCAGTCCTGGGAACGAACATGCGTAGTTCGATTGTGAATGGCGTATCTCGGTGCAGATCCAAGCCAGGGCATGCTGGGAATTCCCGTACATCTCAATATGGGAAGGAACATGTGAGCACCTGTACGTTAGATCACAGGTATCGAACTGGTTCACCACATACAGCTCGGATTTCTTGGCAATCAAAAACTCCACTCAGCCTCACGGTATTGAACGGCATGGCAACGATCACACTCGAGGCAAATTTTACTCATTGATGCAGGAAGTCCCTCAGAACAGGCGCCCCGCTTTGGGCAATGAACTCAACCCCGCCCAGTTCCATGTTTCGTTGCAAAGACTTCGCCGAAGAGTATGTGAAGTTGCGAGAACTAGTCAAATGAGAAACTGGGCAAGGGAAGTGTGACTGCTTTCCACCTGTATATTCGACTCGAACGTCAAGGTAAAACTTCGTACTTTACCCTGGTGATTACAATTGAAGACGAAGTTTTCGAAACGATACATGTCAAGCAGGACTCGACAACACCTGCAACATGGCAGATTGACTATGACTACTAGTTCCTCGCTCTCTGAAACATGAGATAGTGCACGTCCAAAGGCCTACCGAACTTGAAACCGATCCCGGGAAACCGCCCCACTTCGTCAAATCCTAGTGATTTGAAAAGTTGGAGAGACCTGTCGTTCTCTCCACCGATGATTGCTGTTAGGGGTCAGTAAAGACGGATGTCAGACACTGAGAGACACTGCGATGGGAGTGTTTGAGAGCCCCTACCGATTACGGATGTATAGTCAAGCTCGGCTGCACGGGTAAGTAGAGCTTCTATGAGCCGCTTTCCCAATCCCTGTCCTTGGTGCTCGTGATGTATGTAGAGTGTGATTTCGCAAGTCCTTTGGTTTTCGCCACAGACGGTGAGGAGAAATCATCGTCGCCTGTAGTTGCGAAGTGATTCACCTGTCATATCCTCGCTTCGGGTTCCATCGCATCAGACCGCCATATCCCACCTGAGGATGGTTATGAGCAAGGCAAAATCCGAAAATCGGGCTATCCATCTACTACTGTCGATTCTACTCACCACATTCCCGTCCACCTCGTTGACCGCCACCAGGATCGGGTACTTCTCTCCAAAATTTGTCGAGAACCACCCACGTCTGTGCTCCAATGTAGGCGTTTCGTGGTCTAGAGTAGCGTTGCCGTTTTTGACTTCGTAGTTATAGATCTGTGTATTGTTAGGCCCGCCGTGAGAACCTCTGCACTAGTTGAGGGTAGAACTCTCACCTCCAGAAGGGCTGGAACGTCGTCCAAGGTGCCGTCGCGAAAAACGTACGTCGATGCTGCCATGACCCCACCTACGTTTCACAGCAAACCGGTAACTCCAGAGGTCGATGGGTGGAGTCCGGACTGATCAGTGAAGTTGGGGTGAGAAACTTGAAACCGAACAGCCGAACAAGGACGTCAAAGGGGTAGTCATCTTGACGCGTCGTCGTGAGACTCTATATGGACGCGTCAGGTTGAGAACTTGGGTTTTGAGATTCGTCGGACGCAGCTTCCTGGTGGCTTACGAGACTACAGCACATATATACGTACTGTAGGTCATTCGCAAGCGAAGTTTTAGGCTCGGGACTGAGCCTCTGTCGATGGAGTGAGTGACTCTGTGTGCCGGTTATTGAAAGCAACTTGAGCTCATTTCCCGCGCGACATTGCTGGGGGAACAGACGCAGACGAACTGGTTCCACCACACAAATATGATGTGGTATGATCAATCCGTAGATGGAGAGTTTTCCTCTGTCGCAGTGCATCCGGCGTTCCCAGTCATAGCTGCAGCCACGAAGGAAGGGCGCGTCGAGCTTTATGATGATGAAGGGAAGAAGCAGGAAGGAATCGACGTAGCGAAAGCGGGTGCGGGGGAGGCCAAGCTGGCGTGGCATGCCGTACGGAAGCTGCTAGCTGTGGGTTGGGGCAACGGTAGGGCATTCTGTCTGATTTCGTGCCCGGCCATGGTTCGCAAATAGAGATTGACTGCGATTTTTGGGTGACAAAGGCTCTATCGCAATCTGGTTTGACAACGAACAAGTCCTACGAGAAGGAAATGTGCATCAATCGTCGATCTCGCTGGTCGAGTGGAATCCGGTTGGAAACAAGCTGATAACTGGTGACGAAGTGAGCATCCAATTGCTGTTAGTCGTAGTTCCTTCTCCACGCTCATCTTTCGCGAAAGGACGGCGATGTTGTTGTCTGGAAAGTAGACCTAAGAGGGCGACTGGCTGTTTCCTGTCAATACCGTCTCAAGAACAAGGTCACCCATTGCCTCTTTCGGCCGTCTCAATTGCTCGACGTGGATTTACGGTACGTCAGAGATCACAGATTTGCAGGTGAATGGACGGTTGCGAAAGACGAGCTTAACGAGACTGCTTTGCTGTGCAGCAACGTTTCCTCTCCACCTTTCTTTTTGGGAACTGTGACCGGGTCAATATTCTACGCGGATGATATGGGTCATTGTACCGAGAGCATGTCCACTTCGGCTCCAATAGCGGCGCTCCTGATGCTGGAACAGAAGGACACTGTCATTGTTGTCACGACGAACATGCTTGTCTTCAGACTTCTCCTGACTCCAGATGGGAAATTGACTCAGGAATCGCAGGTACTTGGGAAGGGTCATTCCGTTTGGGCATCCGAGTACGAAACTTGACCAATTGCCAGATGAAATTAAGCAGCGCCGCCAGTAAGAGCGATGCAAAATCGATACATGTTGTCTGGGCTGGCCCATCCACCTTGGCTTTGTCTGTCGGCGGGCAGCCAATATGGATTTGGGACATTGAGAACGAAGAGAATTATGTCCTAAACATGTCAGGTACTTAAGACAAATTCCTAGACCTGCGGTTGACGTCGAGAACTTGACGTAATGTCAATTCTAGGCACAGAGAAAGTGCGAATCAACTGCGTCGCATTTAGCAGTCACCAGAGCTTGCTGGTTGGTGAGTAGAGGTTATGCTTCCAAGGAGCAGTACTTTCATAGCGTACTCCCGCTAAACGCTCGCATTATTCCTATCGTCAGCTGGAACCGATTCCGGTCACGTCGTCATATGGAAAGGACGAATCAATCAAAGCACAGATGAAGAGAAAGGCAGAACACAAGTCTGGGAGGTGCGTCTGACAGCCATGCTATGTGTATTTGCATGGAAGGCTCAATCTGATTCTTTGGGACGAACCAGATGCTATCCAAAACAAACACCGGAGGCAGTGTAGAGGATGTGTCATGGGGTAGCTATCTGATGCGTTTGAAAGTTGAAAGTTGCTCGCAGCAAGTCAGTGACTTATTGTTGTATGTAGGCGTGCAATCAAGTGTACTCGCCGTTCGCAAGCGTGGCGGACTAAAACTGCTCACAAGACAAGTGATGCACCGCCAATTTTGGGGCCGCAACGCTGCGATACAAGTCGAACAAAGCCGCGTTCTACTGTATCCGCGCGGTAAGGTAAACCGAACAGGATCTTAAGATTGATGCCGCGGTGGGGTTCGACTCTAATCGTCGATGCTCAAAAGGATCCGATATCGTGCCCGGTCGATATGCGCATCAAAGGGCTTGCATTGGCTCGCAACCGTTTCGCCGTGTGGAATGGTCATAGCATTGAGATTCAAACATACGATGGTAAGAAATTCTTGCCGGCATGGATTGTGTCTTCAATTCGCAACTAATCATATCCGTTGGCAGCCGGTCCTCTGGACCGCGGCAGTGCCTCTGATATAAGTGGAGGGGACTACGCTATAAGTTCTTCACGGGAAGGGTTAGCGGGCACAGAATCCGGTGGCACCAGAAGCACAATCAGTACAACAGCTATGCAGATCACTATCGATGATCAGTTTGTCTACATCGGCCAAGGAAATCGTGTCGAAGTCTGCAACTCACTCGGAGTAGCGAAAGGTGTCATCTCCTGGATCGAAAGCGAGGGAGACATCTCGGGCATCATCAGTAGACCCGCGTGGTTGTGTTTGGTGAGCGAGGCTAGACAAGTCTGGGAGTCTCCGACAAATCCTCTCAAACGTTTTCGTTGTCATATCTTTCAGACAACGAGCAATAAATACCTGAAGCTGGTGGACACGAAAAGCGGACAGTTCAAGCAAGTGCTATCGAAGAAAGTGGATCCGTATGTGTAGCATAAAGTATGGGCTGGCTTACGAATATGGACTAACATCTCTCCACCTCCCTACTGGTAGAAAGTTATCATTACATTCAATCCACAGCGCAAGGGTGAACGCTGATGGCTCAATGATTTGCTATACGGGCGACAAGCTGCTTCCAGGTAGTCTGCCTATTCTGTGCTGACCCACTACACATACGGAGACTAAGCTCTAATTCATGAAACAGGTGCTGGTGATTTGACGTACGTCGACCCGAGAATCCACGTATACGATGTCGAGCGTGATACGACATTGTCGTTTGATCTTACTCCCTATGGAGGCGCGGTAATCGAAACTGGAGAATCTCGCGCCCCTCTCCTTCCGCTGACAATGTTATATGATTTGCAGGCAGCCTCATATCGATGGGACTGGAACGACCCAAAGATACTGGTTTGCCAGACTGGAAGGATGGATGGTGAGAAAACAGAAGGTACTATCCGCACCTGATTTGGCGCTTTAGACTCCAATCCCTTCATACTCATACACGGTCTCAACAGACAAACCGGAGACGGCCTCGCGTGTAAGTCCGTTTCAGCGTTGAGCATCCTTGAAAGAACGCTTATTTATGCCCGGGCCATCTAGATCGTGTCCTTTTTCGTCACGCATTCCCATGGCCTCACGCATCACTCGACGCACCCCGCTCCCGCATCTGCGGAGGGTCTCCTCGGGGTGAACATGCCCTCTCACTATCATATCAATGTATGTAAAGTTGGAGAGTCTTATGAAAGGCATTGGCATGCCCTACTAATCATTGATTTCTCTTCAGAAAGCCTCACTGGATAAGCCGGGCAATCTTCTTCTCAGTGTTCCAGCTCCTGATTTGGAAGGCCTCGAAAATGCAGATCCAGCTACTTTGAAGTCTATGTTAGAATTCAGCTTCCACCTGGCCACTGGAAACGTCAATGAGTCTATAAGGGTAATGTCATGGATGATAGTCCTTTATCGAAACTGTCGTCCTTATATGCTCCATCCTTCTTTCTAGTCACTACAACATGTGCGCAATCCATCAACGTGGAGAACCCTTGCGAAGTTGTGCATCAAGACGCGTAGGCCAGACATTGCAGCCATCTGCTTTGCAAACATGGGCGACAACCGCGCAGTGGCAGAGTTGGAGCGGGTGCAGCAGGATGGGAGTGGCGAAGAAGTAGCATTGGCCATCGGCGCTATGTTCCTGGGGATGGAGGGAGAAGTGGAGGCGTCCTGCACGGCCTGCGAGCGGTGGGATATCTTGAACCGGTTTTACCAGGTCAGTTTGGCGATGATGTTCAACGTCTCACCCACGGCGGCAGCGAGAAGGCAGGCTTACTTTGATCGAAAGTAGGCCACCAATCGATGGGAAAAGGCGCTACAAATAGCGGCCACAAAGGACCGTATACACCTCAAGACTACGTTCTACAACTTTGCGCGCTGGTTAGAGGAGATCGGTGACTTCAGTGGCGCGCTAGCTGCTTTCGAGAAGAGCGGATGCGAAAGGTATGGCCTGCAACCGAGCTCGGATCGTATATGACCCCTTTCTGTGACGAAAGCAACCGAATTGAACGCCGAAGTTCATAACAGCTTCGAAGTACCTCGGCTCTTACTTTCCAACAATGATGTCAAAGAATTGGAAAAGTACATCACCGGCAACAAGAGCAAGGTTGGGCAAATTCAACACAATTTCACAATGTTCAATGCTTACACGGTTTATGCCATTACTTAGCTCTTGAAGAAATGGTGGGCGCAATACAGCGAGTCGCACAACAATCTCAAAGGCGCATTGCAGAACTATGAGGCCGCGGGCGACACTCTTTCCGTCGTTAGGATCTTCTGTCTGACTGGCGAAGTGGATAAGGTACAGGCACGCGGACGGAAGACCGCAGAGATGCGCCGTTGTTTATTCTTCTCTGTCCTGCCAGGCTGTTGAAATTGCCCAACGTGCGAATGATAAAGCAGCCCTCTGCCATATAGCCCAGCATTACTCGTCTGAGCACAAGATAGCGGAAGCCATTCGCTTCTACGGTCTTTCCACGCATCTGAGACCCGCAATCCGGCTTGCGAAAGACAACAATATGGTGACACATCTCACCTCGCTAGCCTTGCAAGCGTCGCCAGATTGCTTGCTGGATGTCGCAAAGTACTTTGAGGCAAAGAACATGGGCGATCGCGCCGCAGTGCTATATTTGAAGGCTGGTTCGGTGGCCAAGGCGGTGGACGTCGGTCTGAGGGCGGGGGATGTTGGAGAGCTTGGTAGGTCAAGCATTCGGATTTACGCGGCTGACGGCCCGCTGGGCGCATGCAGTGACGTGCTGACATCTTCCCTCGTTGTCAGTTCGGAACTTGCCCCCAGATACGGATCCTGCTATTCTGGAAAAATTGTCAAACTACTACCAATCCCACGACAAGCCCTCAGAAGCATTGCATCTTTTGTTGCTTGCGAAGAGATTCGATCAGGTAAAGTGGAATACAACAATGTATTCAACCTTCGTTTCTTGCCATCCTCACATTGCGAAACAATTTCAGGCTCTGGCTCTGATAGATCAGCATCAGATCCCGCTCACCGAAGAACTCATCGAGGCCATTCCCCTGACTGATTCCGCCGAAGACAAGGCTCTTCTAGTGCAAATCGCCGACGCGTGCATGGCTCAGCAGCAATGGGCTTTGGCATGCAAGAAGTATACCCAAGCAGGCGATCGGCTACGCGCGATGGACGCTCTCCTAAGATCCGGAGATACAGACAAGATCATCTTTTTCGCCAATGTGTCGGGTGCCAAAGACCGGCAGATTTATGTTATGGCATCGAACTACCTGCAGACTTTGCAATGGCGAAACGTGCCAACATACCTGAAAAGCATCATCACGTTCTATACGAAAGCGAGAGCTTGGGAGCACTTGGCCAGTTTCTATGAGAGTTGCGCGGCGGTGGAAGTAGACGAGTTCCAGAATTATGAAAAGGTATGTATGACCTCTGATATCGCATGTCGTGCGTAAGTGGGTGGTGGCCGCCTAACATCGATTCCATTGAAGGCTCTCGGAGCTCTGAAAGAGGCCATCAAAGTTATCGACAAGATAAAAGATCCCCAGAAGCGGGACCATTCGCTCCACCAGTTCGAGAGCAAAGTCTCCACCATGGCGCAGTTCGTGCATGCGCGTGAAATAGCAAAGACGGATACACTGCTAACGTTCCAGATATGCGAGCAGCTGCTCCAAATGCCGGATATTGATGTACGTTGGGACCGAACTCTTGAAAGATGGGGATGTGAGCCACTAACGCCCGTCCCACACTCGCAGGACGCAATACGGAAAGGTGACATCTACGCTCTATTGATCGAATTACACTTCAGCAACGGGTACTATCCACAAGCGCTAGATCTGCTAAACCGAATGGAAGCTAGTCTTCCCGGGGTCAACGTTGCCTATTACGTTGATGAGAGGATAATACAGGCATTACGTGGGGATAGAGATGGGAATGTGGGTGGCGAGGTCGTTGAAGAGAATATTTCGGTTTTGGAGTGATGGGACGCCGCATGCCGTTCAGAAGGCTTTGTATTGTAACCGACTTTGAATAACGGAATGATACCCGGCACTGACACTGAGCGTGTTCGTCGACGATCTCCCGACACGAGTGATCGCCACAATGAGTATTAACTGATCATTCCAAAATATACCTGCGGTCGGTCGACAAGATCGTCAGCATCAATGATGCCTGGCGAGTAGCAGTGGCAAACCCGAGTAGGGGAACATCGAAACTAACATGTTTACGCCGAATAGTTGGGGTGGGAACCCCTTCTGTACGTCTTCCTTAATAACCTTCAGTCCTGCTTTGGTGAATAACTCCTTCAAGATTGCGTCCGACCTGTGCCATCCACCACCACATTCGTGAGGCAAGCCCGTGAGTTGGAAACATTGTGAAGCGCTGAACCAACCTGGTAACGCTACTGTCTTCTGCGTCGACGAGGACACCATGCCTGGTCACGTTCTCCTTTACGCCGATTAGGCCATTTGGCTTCAAACCTCGTTTGCATTTTTGAAAAAATGCAACAAAGTCCTCTAAGGAAGGGGAGGTCAGGCGAGATTCATGGGAAACGTTGGCCATGAGGAATTCACACCATACCATCCGTTAAATGGCCAAGCACCCATTGTGTCCATATCAGGTCATATCGACCTTCCTAAGTGGCAAACGACTTGTCAAACCTCCTTTCATATTCAGGACGTTAAGAAAGCGACCAAGCATCTTACATCCGGCGTGAAGTCCTGCAACCCTTTCGGGATGAATCTATCTACCCTGCCCACCAGGTCTTGGCCCATATACGAGTCCTCCGCTTCTTTCAGAAACTTGGGTGTTTGTTCCACCTACGAAACCTCGTCCGTTGGCATTCGAGAATCCGCTTTTGCTGTGTTCCTTCAGCACACCATACCATGTCCACCCGCTCAAAGACCTTCAATAGGAAGTGCTTCGAAACTCGACCAATACCTGGAAGCCGTATTATTGAGTTTCGATACATGTGGCCGAGCTCGTCTGGAAGGCTTGTGCTCGAAAGCATGCCACATGCAGCCGCATACCTGCTCCACAGTCTGAAGACGAGACGTCAGTCTGTCACTCAGAAAAACGGCTACTTCCACCATAAACTCACCGCAAGCTAAGCCCTTGCCAATCCGTGGCGGAACTTCCACGTTCTCACTGCCGTTCTGCTTCCCGTTTACAAACTCGTCTATGAACTCTATCGACGACTTGCAGTCAATCTCGGTGAGATGTCCGAATCCACCAAGCATTCCCTTTGGAAATTTGTGACATAAATAACGAAAGCTGTGGTACAAGGTCCATAGAGTCGAAATTGGACGTACTTGCACATCGGAATTAACCGTACCCCAGTAGGTCGCAGCGTCCGTATACCAGGAAGGTCCACCGATTGCTGGTCCCTGTGGTGCCTGAGCAACCGGCGTAGCGGCAGCAGCTGCCTGTCCCTTTCTGCCCATATCGCACGACGTGTGAGTCCCCTGATGTCGGCGAGGAGTGGTCTTTTTTCGCAGCTCGGCAGGCTCGCCACCGTCGAGTTGAGAATCGAGACTTCGCGTTGGATGGGGTGTGGGAGGGAGGCTGTGCATTCAATTAGAGTTCGGACACGGACCAACGCGCGTGGGAAAGAAATGTCATCGCATCCCTCCTCTCAAGTTCATCAAACTTCCAAGCCGTAGCGGGACTTGGATTTCTTCCCAGGGGGACAAACTCAGAATATCAATAGTGTATACAAGTTCGCTTTTCAGACTGTACGTTTACGCACTGCTATAACTGTCGTCTCTGAAGTATCGACCGTCTCATCTCTAAGAGCATAGCCAACTCCCGTCGTAGAGGTCGGTCCCTTGTTGCCTGAACAGGAAAGAATTCTCACGTCCTATGCCTGCGAGGAAGGGTCTTCCCGCACAGGCGGACGATAGAGATGTACCCTCTCAGATTCCTAAAAAGAGGGGTCGCGAGGAGGAGGACGACGATGATTATGACGGCGTCGACAAACCCGTCATTGCAAAGCGACCTCCCCTTTTGCCGCGAACAGGCATTCCGGCCAGCTCCTTCTTTGCCGCGGACAGGAACGCCATCACAAGGAAGTTCAAGGTTTGCACACCCGCTGTAATTGCCACAGCAAACAGTAGCAGAAGTCCTAAGAATGTTACTTCCTTAGGTTCCTACGTTTCTGAGCGGGCGTCCTGCAGGAGGGGCGTTGAGGGCGGGAACAACACTAGGGACACGCCCACGGACCAACGTGTATAAAGGACCATTATATGACCCCGAAGCTCCCGATGCCATTGTTTTACACCATCCGCGCGTTCTTTCGGCGACCGAGAAGTTAGAAGCGCTAAAGTTGAAGCCGAAGGATGGGTCCAGTGATGTGGAAGTACATGTGGTTGTTGATCCCATGCTCGGAAAAGTATTGCGGCCCCATCAGATCGAAGGGGTGCGGTTCCTGTACAACTGCGTGACCGGAAGGGTGAAGGACAATGCGTATGGATGTATCATGGCCGACGAAATGGTAGGATCAGCGGTGGGATTGCATGTGGGATCCTTTGTGACCGGCTGTCTTCCGAATCTTTGATCTTGTTGAGCTAATGCGTTCATCAACAGGGATTGGGTAAAACGCTGCAATGTAAGTGCCTCAACAACGAGGTTCCTCAGAAGCTACCATAGATTCTCACGTTTTACCAGGCATCACTTTGCTATGGACCTTGTTGAAGCAATCCCCGCAGGCTGGAAAGGCAACCATTGACAAGGTGAGGCCCGAAGTTCTGCTTTTCGCACAAAAGAGACCGCAGAACCCATTGGCTTTTCGATTTGCAGGCAGTCATCGCTTGCCCTTCTAGTCTGGTGAAGAACTGGGCGAACGAGTTGGTCAAGTGGTTAGGGCCCAACAGCATAAGGCCTTATGCTTGCGACAACAAAGGGACAAAAGAACAGACAGAAAAGGACATGAGAAAGTTCGTCTCCGACAAAGGCCGTGGCATCGTGCAGCCTGTACTCATCGTGTCATACGAGACTTTGCGGATATATTGCGACATACTATGTCAGACGGAGATCGGGTTACTCCTGTGTGATGAAGGTAAAGGATCGATAACGAAGGCACTCCCATGCACAACTTACTTAATCAAGATAAAACTAGGTCACAGGCTGAAGAACGCGGACTCGCAAACCTATATCAACCTCAATAAGCTTAATGCAAAGCGACGGGTGATCTTATCGGGAACTCCAATCCAGGTGAGAACGGGGAAAAGTCACTGGAAGATGTATTGGAGTTATCATCACTAACTACCCACTTGATGTTTACAGAACGATTTGACTGGTAAGTAGACAGACTCACGCCCCACTGCACCATGGCCCCGCTTCTAAAATTCCCACAGAGTATTTCGCACTCATCAGTTTTGCAATTCCGGACGTTCTTGGCTCCGGCGCCGAGTTCCGCAAAAAATACGAGTTGCCTATTTTGCGTGGAAGAGATGCAGAAGCTTCCGAAAAGGACCGAAATCTCAGTGAAGAGAGGCTGAAAGAGCTTCTTGCAATTGCGAATCAGTTTATCATTCGCCGGACAGCAGAGCTACTAACAAAATACTGTAAGTCTGCCGTATACGCAGACCCATCGTTGAATCCAAAGGCTGATCGTTTGAGTGATACAGTACCGGTCAAGTACGAGCATGTTGTATTCTGCAAGCTGACCGATGCTCAAATGAACCTGTACAAGCACTTCACCAAGTCCAAGGAAGTGAGCCGTCTTCTGTCTGGTTCCGGATCACAGCCTTTACGGGCGATCACTTTCCTCAAGAAACTATGCAACCATCCCGCCTTGATCGATCGGAAGCTGTTAGGACCTGAAACGGACTCGATTCTTCCACCAAACTTCGATTGGAACAAGGCTCAAGCCGAGTTCTCTGGGAAAATGTTGTTACTGGAGCGGATGCTCGATAAGATGAGGTTTGTCAATAGTATATGATTCCAGTCCCTCTAGAACTGTCGAACTGATTGCTTGCGCAGGAAGACATCGTCGGACAAGATCGTTTTGATCAGCAACTACACTCAAACGTTGGACCTGATAGAGATTATGTGTCGCCAACGGAGATGGGGCCAACTACGACTAGATGGGTCAATGACGATTCAGAAGCGCCAAAAGCTTGTTGACAGGTTCAATGACCCGGCTGGCCCGGAGTTCATTTTCCTGCTGTCCAGTAAAGCAGGCGGGTGTGGAATCAACTTGGTAAGTCCAGGCGTAGTTTTGCAAATAAGCAATGTAGGGTCATGTCTGTAACGCACTTTGCAACATCAGATTGGCGCCAACCGGCTGATACTATTCGATCCGGATTGGAATCCAGCCAACGATGCACAGGCCCTAGCTCGAGTCTGGCGAGGTATAGTGGCATAGGTTACCATTCATCGTTGCTGCACCCTTCGCTAAGCATTACATCTCAGACGGGCAGAAAAAGACCTGCTTCATATACCGGTTCATTGCCACTGGCTCGATCGAAGAGAAAATCTTTCAAAGTGAGATCTGAGGATGGCGCTCTCGGTTCGGTACGGGATCAGGTACTGACAGCTCGCAATCATTGTAGGACAAGCCCACAAGCAATCCCTCAGCAGTTGTGTCGTAGACGCGGAAGAAGACGTCGAGCGACATTTCTCTCTCGAAAACCTGCGGCAGCTCTTCCTTCTCAATGAGGACACGCTGTCAGATACCCACGATACCTTCCGTTGCAAGCGATGCGTGCGCGGTATGCAAATGAAGAAACCAGCCGAAAATACAGTGAACACAGGCGCCCAGGCAGCCGACACGAGCAACTGGAACCACTTCAGCAAAGAGGAGCTGCATAAAGTCCACGACACCGTTCTGAAGGATGAAGGCATCGCCAGTGGGGTTGCCACTTATGTATTCCAAAACAAGTCGCATGACCAACAGGTGGTCAAGCTGAAGTGACCAAGCCTAATCCCTACTCGTTTCTCGCACATATCAGACCCGGAGGATCGGAGAGAAATACCAATTTTGTAACGACAATTCATCTACTATGTACAGTATGCATTTTCCCCACTCGCATCAGTTGATAATAAACGGCTTAGATATCGAGTGCTCGCCATCTACATCTCCGCGTCTTCCAAATATCGATATTCGAACCTATTGTGGATTGAAAACATGGCCTTAGTGAACGTTCCGCTGTGCTCATCACAATGGCAGGTTCAGAACCCTCACCTGAAATCTGCCTTCTTTCTTTGGCACCATGCTCCCTCATAATCGAAGTATATATACGTCCCCATCTCAAACTCATCCGTAATTTGCTTTGGCTCCTCGTGTCGTTGGAACCATGTCAGGTACTTCTTATGAAAGCGCCATGATTGACGCTTAAGTTCCCGTGCGGCCAGAAATCTGTCATCGCCGAGGCGGAACGGTCAGAATGGCGTTTCGTCACAAGAAAGTGGAATCCCGCAAGGTTTGCTTACTGTTGATATGTTCCTTGCTGGTAGTAAAAGATGAAGAACAGTACGTCGGTGTCAAATTTTTCATACACTGTAGGGTTGTCGAACAGAGAAAGGGGGAGCTGCGGGTAATATGCTGGTACTGGGTAGGGCTTCTTGGGAATGTAGTGCTTTGGTCTGAGACGGAAGCGGGCAAGATCAGTTATCATTGATCTGATGTAGCCTACGAGACGGAAGCAGACTTTCGACTTACTTCTCCGAGTCGACGGGTTCTGGCAGGTGTTGAAAGCTAGTTTGAAGCATCTCATGAAGAAAGCTAGCGTCGTCACGCGCTTTCGTTGCTGAATGGATAGTAGAAACATTAGCATGTCGTGTTGCAAGGCGCCAGAACGAAGAAGACTCGGTTCCGTACATCGATCTCTCGTCGCCTCGAACGATTGTACCAGGTCTGCAAGCGTTGGCGGTAGGCGGTTGTCAATCGGCTCTGTGACCGCATCGTCCTTTCCGGGATCTGGAAGCCCACTTTTCGTTGTTGTTGTCGATGGCAGTAATGAAGACGCGGGAATATCTGCCGCTGTTTGTTGCTGAAGTTGTAGGATGTGTGCAGCCGTGCCAACCGCTGGTAACGGCACTTGGGATGACAATGCGACGGGTGCAGGTTCTAGACATGTGGCGATATATTTAGCATTTGCTTCCCGGTTCTCAGCAGAAAACGATGGGAACAATAACCTTTTGGTACATTCCTTTTGTCTGCCGCCGATATTGTTGCAGTCCGTGACGGCTCCGTAGTTGTTGGTGCGGATGCTGCAGCGGCTGCTGAGTATCTTTGCGTGATACTTGGCACTGGTACTGGATCCGGGACACGGGCCGTAGGAACGATATTCCGGGCCGGCACCGCAACGACTTTGATTGGAGTTTTCACCGCTATTGGCGGTTTGGAGGCGGCTGCGCCATGCATGTATTAGCATCCTGAACTAGGTTGGCACAAGCACGGACAACCGACACCTACAGTGGGCACGAGACAGGGGCTTGCTGGGAGTGGACTTTGTCGGCGTGACAATCTGGTGACGGACGTTCTCACACGTTGAGCACTTCTGATGCTCGGGCGAACAAAATGCGCAAATTTTCTCACCTCCTCAGGTTCTTTCTCTTTCGCCTTTTTCTTCGTTGGCTCCTCCACAACCTTTGTATCCCGTACCGGCGTTCCCAGTTCATTCTGGAGGACCTGCATGATGAGTTCTCAACACTTCCAAGCACAGCATCTATCACAAAGCTCACCTCCTTCTCCTTTGGCGGCGTTTCTGGTTCTGTAGGCGATACAACGTAAGCGGATACGCTTTACAACAGCACTTATTTTCCGCAGCTCACCTCCATCGAGATCCTGCTCGCCATCCGCCTTCAAGCCATAGGCTTCGAGGTTCTCCAGATCCAGATCCTCATAGATATACTCGTTCTCATCAAAATCGGAATCTTGATTATTTTTCACATAGTAATCGACGTCATCTTTGATGTCTTTGACCTAAAGTATCCTTCGATGAGCTTTGGACTCTTCTGTATTCCCCTCCGTCCAAGGACGAGGGATGCCTTGCCTGCTGCACTTTGAGCTCTTCATTTGCGACCATGCGCTGGATGATTTCCAGCTGTGTCATGTGAAATTTGTGTCGTTCCAGGTGATGATCGATGGCCGCCAAGCGCTCTGCTTTCGACTGATCCCCGCCTTTCCGACCCTTTCGCACAAGGACTTGCAAGCTCTCCTGCTCCGCTTCAAATATCTCGACTTGACGGTTCAATTCTTTCACCGTATCTGATATCCAGTCCTCCAAGTCTTCCCGTTCTTTCACTTCCGGATCGTACTTCTGCGGTTGGAGCAATCCCTCTTTCGAGAACGCTTTGAGTTTGAGGGCTTTCTCGGCGGCTTTAAATCGTTCCATTTGCTATACAGGATAGGTTCCGTGAGCCATTGTTTCGCCCGAAATTTACGCCGACGGCACACAAAGCGATGTCCTCTGCCTCACTCCCGTCAAGGGATCCCGAAACACACCTCCTCTATTAGCCGCCGATTGTCCTCCAAGCTCCGTTTATCTTTGATTTCGCTCGAGGACAGCCATGTTCGTATTTGATCTCTTAACCTTTGCAGCTTTTTGATTTCCTTCTTGAGATCTCCTTCATACTTTTCCTTCTGTGCCGAAGTTGTTGCAGCATCGAGCTTGTCAAAGATTTCTCGAAAAATCTCCACTCCCTCGGCGACCCGTTTCAGGACCTTGTCGATCTCGCCTGGGAAAAATGCCAGCAACGTTAACTCAAGCGATCAAAGGAAACTTCGGGATCACCAGTCTCCAAGTAGCCTGGTTGGTAAAGAGGGTTTGCTCTCAATGGCCAGGCAAGCTCTGGGACCACAGATAGTACCTAACAGCTTCCGATTTGCCATGGTCAACGCGTTTCGACAAACAGCGAGCAGTCAACCGGCGAGCACAAAGTGCAACAAGGGGTATGTGAGTAAGTGGTGTGTGGCGGATGCGGCTGCTTCAGATTACAAGGTCTGTCCTTCGCTGGGCAAGGCATCCAGGTAAATGTACGGAAAGCAAATGAAACTGATCTACCCCGAGGTTGGTGGACTGCTTGTGTCTCAGTAAAAGCAGATAGCTTAGCGAAGGTGCGACTCCCGTACAACGCTATGGCGGTTCAGTTGAGAGGAAGATCCTTTGAAGGTGTCGAGTTGCACAATGGCCACAGCAAATTGCAATAGTGGGGGGATATGTGGAAATGTGCACGGTGAGGATGTGAGGCTGGGGGGGGAAGCATCACAATATTTTGACAGCATGTGAAGACGAGACGAGCAGAAGACAAACCCATATAAAACAAACAAAATGTAATCACGTGCCAAGAGCGGAACAGGAGAACACAGTCGAAACGCCCCTGGCCATTGGAACAAACGAGAACGTTCCGCTCCACGCGTTTCCGTCCCGTTCTGCCATCACTCTGACGAACGATTTGCCAATAATATCGGGAAAGTGAACTTGAACGGGGATGGCGATGTCGCTAGCAACCGTTCGCTCGAGCTCGGGGTCTCCTCCATACACTTTCTCGCCTATGTAAGCGGCTCACTGCAAGCTCCTCTTGCCACTTGAGAACCATATCTTCGTATATCGCAATACACTGGCCTCCTACAGAAGCACACAACCTACTACCGCTACCACTCCTCGCATTTATACCCCATCAACTTTTCCGAAATGGCTTTTAACGCCGACCTCTACACCGACAAGACGTCCGCTGTCATAAAGAAGGCGGAAGACCTTGCCCGAGAGTTTGCCCACGTTCAGCTCGCCCCGGTGCATATCGCGTCCGCACTATTCGACGACGAAGATGGTCTTATCCGATCCATTGTGACCAAAGCAGGCGGGGATCCCGCCACGGCGGAACGACGCTTCAAGTCCCTACTTGTGAAGCAGCCCACTCAAGACCCAGCACCAGACCAGTTAACCCTGCACCCCGCGACCGCAAAAGTACTTCGTACTGCCGACGACATACGAAAAAAACAAAAGGACTCGCATATCAGCATCGACCACGTAATACTTGCCATGGCCGAGCAGAAAGACATTCAAACCGCTTTCGGGGAAGCGGGTGTCACACCAAAAGCCCTGGAAGATGCCATCAGCAAGATCCGTGGCACACGACGCGTAGATTCGAAGTCAGCCGACTCTACTTACGAAGCCCTTTCGAAATACGCTATCGACCTCGTGTCGATGGCAGAGCAAGGAAAGCTCGACCCTTGCATCGGTCGAGACGACGAGATCCGACGCGTTATCCGGGTGTTGGCACGAAGAACGAAAAACAACCCGGTGCTAGTCGGAGAACCAGGTGTCGGCAAGACGGCTATCGTTGAAGGCTTGGCGCAGCGGATCTTGCGGAAGGATGTGCCAAAATCCTTACAATGCCGCATCTTCAGCCTCGACATGGGCGCTTTAATCGCCGGCGCCAAGTATCGCGGAGAGTTCGAAGAGCGGTTGAAGGCGGTCCTGAAAGAAGTGAACGACGCCGAAGGCAACATTATCATGTTCATCGACGAATTGCACACGGTCTTGGGAGCAGGGAAGACGGAAGGATCGATGGATGCGGCCAACCTGCTGAAACCAATGCTTGCTCGAGGCGAGCTGCGGCTCATCGGAGCGACCACTCTCGCCGAATACCAGAAGCACGTCGAAAAGGACGCAGCCTTCGAGCGTCGTTTCCAGATGGTTCAAGTAGGAGAGCCATCTGTCGAAGCGACAATCTCCATCCTTCGTGGTATCCGCGAAAAGTGGGAGACTTTCCACGGCGTCCGCATTCACGACGCCGCACTCGTCACAGCGGCCGTACTCGCTGACCGCTACATCACGAATCGCTTCCTTCCGGACAAGGCCATCGATCTGGTTGACGAGGCGTGCGCAAACATCCGGGTGCAACTCGACTCACAGCCCGAAATCATCGATACCCTTGAGCGAAAGCACCTGCAATTGGAAGTTGAGGCCACCGCTCTAGAAAAGGAGAAAGATTCCGCATCCCAACAACGACTTCTTAAGGTTCGCGAAGAATTGGCCCGACTCGATGAGCAGATGAGGCCGCTGAAGGCCCGCTACGAACAAGAGAAAGGGCGCCTCGACGAGATTCGATCCCTCAAAGCGAAACTCGATGAACTGAAGCACAAGATTCAAGACGCCGAGCGAAGGCATCAAGTCGAACGCGCTGCCGACCTGAAGTACTACGCCGTTCCGGAAGTGGAAAAGAAGATCAACCAGCTCGAGGTTGAGCTCAAGGAGGAACGCCAGAGGCAAGCAGACGCCGCCGCCTCGGGCCAGAACTCTTCTCAGCTCGTCTCCGAAGTAGTCACTCCCGATCAGATCATGGAGGTCGTCTCTCGATGGACGGGAATCCCGGTGACGAAGCTCAACAAGTCTCAGGTCGACCGCCTGCTGGGTCTTGCTGACGTCCTGCACAAGCGCGTCGTCGGGCAGGATGCGGCGGTTAAGGCGGTCGCAGAAGCAGTCCTCCGGTCGCGTGCCGGTCTCAGCGGGGGTGGCACCATCGGCTCATTCTTGTTTCTCGGGCCAACTGGTGTAGGGAAAACGGAGCTGGCAAAGGCTCTCGCAGGCGAGCTCTTCGACGATGACAAGAAGGGCTTAATTCGCCTCGATATGTCTGAGTACATGGAGCAGCACACCGTGGCACGACTGATTGGTGCTCCGCCCGGGTACGTTGGCTACGACGAAGGTGGACAGCTGACCGAAGCTGTCCGAAGACACCCGTACGCCGTCATTCTTTTCGACGAAATCGAAAAAGCGCACCCACAAGTACTCAACGTCCTGCTTCAGCTTTTGGACGAAGGCCGGTTGACGGATGGCAAGGGCCGCACGGTCGACTTCTCCAACACCGTAGTAATCATGACATCCAACGTCGGATCCCACCTCCTTCAAGCCGCCGTGACCGTCACTCCCGCCGTAGAAGATGCCGTCATGAACGAAGTCCGCCGTACATTCAAGCCCGAACTCCTCAACCGCATCACGGACATTGTCGTCTTCCACTCCCTCGGTCACGAACACCTGCGGAAAATCGTCCACATCCAGGTTGCTGAAGTCGCGAAACGATTGGCGGGGAGGAACATTAAGCTGCGCATATCCGACGCCGCCGCCGATGTGGTGCTGGAGAAGTCGTTCGACCCTCTATACGGCGCGCGTCCTATCCGTCGCTTCCTCGAGAGGGTGTTGCTCACGAAACTGTCAAAGGACCTTCTCAGCGGGCATCTCACAGACAACTGCCTCGCGTCTGTTGAAGCAGCGACAGAGAACACCGACGGCGCCGCCGACGCGGACGATGGTCTCGTCGTCAGAGTCGAGCCGCTCCCCGGTTACGAGAGGAGCGACTCGAACGATCGAGACATGGAGATGGATTGACCACACTCGGGCCCCCGAGATCCTCAGGCTTCCGGTAAGAAAAGGAAGCTCTCCGTCGCTCCAGAAAAGAAATCGTGTCGTAGTCGCCTGTAAATATGGGTCTTGTAGTGAGAGAGATGTGTATTAGCGTAGCGTTCCTCCCAGTTTTGCTTATCGGAATGATCCAAATCATGTATACATAAATCCTTTTGGCTGTCTCTTTGCATTCAATATACCAAAAAAATCCATCATTTACACTCATTATGCTCCATTTTGGATCCATACGCAACCAATAACATGAGATGAACGCCAGAAATCACCACTTCAATCTCACAAATGACTTATGCTTTGCCCTTAATCTTCTTGAAGAAGGTACCCAACGATCCGCTTCTTTTTAGATGAACGTTGGTCACAACCACTGTCCCCGGTGACGTGGTAACAAGTGCTATGGAAACGAAGCAGAAACCGATTTGTTAGAAACCCTTTATCTTAGACGGATCGATGGACATCCACTCATACCTTTGACGATGGACAATCCCAGCTCTGCAGGGTCGAGTGGATCCGATGAAGGAAGAAATATTACATTGTCTATGCTGTCTGTAACGCCAGAAAGCAATCTCAGCATCAGGCATGGACCATTCTTCTTCCTCGATCAGGATTGCTCGATCTCGGAAACGAACCTCTTTCCTCCATGGCTCCCTTCAACAACCACGATTCGAACGTGGCCCCTGAAAGAGCCTCTTCATGTTTGGAGACGTGAGCGACGTAGTTTGCGTTACCGAAATACGTCGCTGGCGCCGCATTTGAGCGTTCGGTTGCGGGTGGGACGACTGTAGTCAAGTGCGGTTGAGTGTTTTGCGCCAACGCATCTCACTCACTGGGGGCTATGCTCGGGCGCCAAACAACCGCTTCGACACATACCTTGAACATCGAACTTTTTCCCAACGCACTCCAGAACCGGGGCGATGTACCGACTAATCATGTCTCGAAGGGCATCTTGCTCGGTGTCGTCCACCAAGAAGACCACCTTGTGCTCGACCAATGGGGAAAAGTTGCCTGCACAGAAGCCGTTAGTGTAAGCGGAAAGGTCATATAGCGATATATGAACTCACCTTGGCATGCGACATAGTTAAACTTTACACACCACTCCACAGCAGCCGACTCGCCATCGGCACACTCAAACGTAAATTGCCGCAGCTTTGGAGGCGATGACAATTTTGTCGTTGGGACGGCGAACAGTGTGATTTGGGACCCGCGGTTGCTTACGACGAGTATCCGGGTGATACGGAGATTGAAATGCACGCCATGAAACTTTCCTGTCAAGGGTCGAAGATATGAGCTTCGTGCCAAACCTAGAGCCGATCATTGCAGACGTCTTACCTTTTGCATGGATACACCGCAACGTATTCCTTCTGAAGGTGATGTCATGGTCAGCCCCATTCACTACGGCCCTCATCGCCAGCTCAGACATGCCCTCGTCTGTCGCATCGTCGAGCGAGGATCCGGAAAGCGATCGCGATAAGCTCGTTCTTGCCTCTATCTCTTCGTCTCCCCCGTCCTCAGTTGCGTTCGACGCTGGTGAACCTATCGCCTCCCTCGTGCTCGACATTAACCTTTCGGCGGTGGAGAACCGGATGGACTCGGTCAGGTTGTGCTGGCTGCCGAGGTCCTGCCGAAGCTCATGTGAAGATTTGTTTGGAGGAAGATTGAGCTTCACGCCGAGGGGGATGTTTGAAAACCGAAGGGCTGGCAGACGGGGCGCCTTACTGCCACTGCCAAACGAGTTTATTGGCGACCCAGGACTGTCAATGAAGTGGGGAGCGGGACGCTGCTGATGATCCGGAAGGGCTGGTGCTGCTTTACTGTATTGCTCATCCGTTTCGGGTATCCTCGTGATGGAGGATTTCCTTCCAACGGGCAGCACTGTTACGACATGTTGACCGGCATTCCCGAACCCTTCGCCTGCCTCGACCACCATCCCTGGCTCCAAATCCTTCACCGCCTCCGGCCCAAGCTCATTCTCTGCAATCCCAGTCTGCGACACGATGGAACCTCTGTGCGACATGATCCCCGGCCCAGGAACGAGAATTCGCGGGGTGGCATACTTGACTTCTGTAACGACAGGAGCATTGATTTGCGCTAATGGCAGTGATGGGGCGGCGTCCTTAAGTGTGAGCTTGCGGAAAACGTGGCTGTATGCATCATACGAGAAGGTGGTTGGGTCCTCAGATGGTGATGCGGGCGAATCGAATTGAGACGATGTGTTGATCGCGCCATTTGAAGAATTTTCCTCTTCGTGGGTCAATGCTTCCTGTGAAGCGTCATCAAGTGCATGCCTCTGCCATGTTGTATCACTTTCGTTCGCAAACAATGGCTGTTGCCGTGAGCGTCCCTCTACCGCCACCTTGTCGTCCACCAACTCATCTTCAGCCGTTGTGACTGTCTTTGAAGTTGATTGCTTGGCTTCCGATTGTTTGATATCAGTCAGCGCGGGCAACTGCTCTTCATCTTCCTCCAAGCGCGCAGCACTCATCTCTGCGTCAGCTGGCGTTGGCTGCGGTGCATCATGTCGTTCCACTGTTCGATGAGTGCTTTCCTGCTCGTTCGCAGCCAGTGAAGGTACATGGCGTGCTCGGTTGTCTGCATCTGCATCGCCCGTTCCGCGCTCCTGCGGCCGCCCGCCTCTTGAAACATCCTCGGGTAATGAGGTACCCCTTGGCGGGGCCCTCAGTTCCTCCTCCAATGCGTTTGCCGGTTGTCTTTCCTCAATCTCCTTTGCCATAGTTGCTACCGGCGGAGCGGTCTCCTCTACTGGGCCGGTGGCCCTATCCAGCATTGCAGCCAGATCGGTCAAGTCAGATTTGTGTGTGGTGGTTTCCGTCCGCACCATAGGCGTTGATGAAGGAGTAGCTGTGACTTCCGGTGTTGGTGGGAGTTTTTTTGGAGCCCTAGCTAATGGTTTGAGGTGAATCAATATATGCATTGTGATTGATTCCACAAGGTGCATATGGTGCTGGGAAGTTGGGTCACATACGCAAGGCCGAGTTCATTCGCATTGGTGTAGAGGCGCCGCTTTTTTCCTGGACATCCCGGAATGCGTGGTCAACAGCATTAGATGAACTCTCTTTGGTGAAAAGACGGTGCGGAAGCGCATACCCAATTTTTGACCAGTTCCTTCACACTGCTCGGTGATATCGCATCCACTTCGAGCTTTTTCTCACCGGCTACGTCCTCCTTCACATTGGACACTTCTTTCGCCGCTGACCTGCGGTCCACCGTCGCCATTGCGTACAACTTTTCTCGGACCAGAGGGAGAGAACTTCGGCGGGTGTTCTTTCACCGCGACGATGTGTATATGGGTACAGTACACCCTTTCTCAGCCCACGATGTGTTTTCCTTTAAGGTGTCAAATTGCGCGTAAGTGACCAATGGAACAGGAGGCACCGACACGAACTCAGGACACAACCGAGAGAGGGTCCCCGCCTTGAACCCTCCCATAGCGCCATATAGTGCGAGGGGTCCATGGTGCGTGTGTGGATGAGTGAGGGAACAAGGTCAACTCTAAATAAAAAGCCAAGAAGCTTTGTGGGGACTGCAAGCTGGACTGCAAGACTGCAGACGCGTTGGGACGCCTTCTGGACTTTCTCGACGGAGCTCCTGGAGCTTCTCGAGACTGGAATCAAACGAAGCTGTTGCTCAATTCCCGGCGGTGAGAAAATATATAGAGGAGGTCGCCCTCAGCTTTGCAACCTTCCAGCAACCGCTCGTTGGCCCAGAGGCACCGGCCTTCTCGCAGTCACTATGTCGTACGGCGAACGGGACGACGACTTGACCCACATTAGCTGGAAGGACACAGCCTTCATCCAGACGGTGAGTCTGTGTGCTCTTTGGTTATCGAAAGACTTTGCTGTGCAGTACTTCCTTGCGAGTCGCCTTTCCTCTCTCCTGTACTCAATCTCGTCAAAATATTGTAGTACGGCCTGAACAAGGACAATGTTATGGCATACTTCTCGTTGAGTCCTTTCTTCGACAAATCGTCCATCAAAGAACAGATTAGTATGCAGACTCGTTTCAATCAGTTGGATGCGGGTCAATCCACGCAACCGGAGCGGTATGTCGTGAATGTCTCACAATAAGAAACCGGTCCGCAAGGCAAGGAATAAGTCATTCATAAATCTCGCGGAAAAACCTCGATCAGCACTATAACCGGTCTGGACTACGAGTTACTTGACGCAAACGATACACTTCCCACTCTTTTCACAATAGTCAAAGGCGACAGGAAATCACCCACACGAGGTTTGACCGCCTCTTCACGTCGGAAGTTGGTCTACACCATCCTTGCATCTGAGACAGTCTGATCTTTGTTCAGTGAACCGCCTTGCCGTCTATTATGTCATTGATGGCACAATCTATCAAGCACCGGATCTTTATAGTCTGTTGAGCAATCGAGTAGTGAGTGCCGCGTGATTCCCAGATGATGAACATCTTCCTCATAATCATCTCACTTCGTATATCCTTCCAGCTAAACTCGCTGCATCAAGTTCAAGATGCCTTCACCACCCTTAGTTCAGAAGCTCGATACCACCCCTCTATGGGACACTACTGGCGCTCGGATGAAAAGCTGTTGTCGCAAGCAATGGGCAAAGCACATGGCGGGGAGGATCCGGCGGAAATGACTCTTCCGAAGAGACGAGATACGACAGATGTCGGCGGAATCCCAAAAGTTGACCCGGCACCGGTCATGCGCGCCAAGCTCTTGGCAAGAACGCCCGACGATCGCATACGGGCGGGTCAGTTTGCGAGCGGGTTGGACATGCTATTGGAAGACACTTGGGCCGCCGCGCAAGAGCCATTGGGAAGATGGGATGAGAACTCGATGGACCTTGCAACGGTTCCCGTCCAAAACAATACAAGGCTATCTGGATCAACACCGGCAGCCCCCGCATGAGCCTATTTGGAATGAACGCTGGAGTGTTAGGTGAGCTTCTCATGCTCCCTCTCGACCCCTGGGAGCCGTTGAAATCCCAGGGAGGCCGTTAAAATTGGCCGGCGACAATTAGTTAGCTCAGGCATTCAGATACAGCACATCGGTCCTCCTACCTGTGCGTCAAGCTCGGCACGAATCGAAAGACGTCTGAGACAACTCCGTAGAGGAGCGTTTGGCGGGATCATGGCGTATTGGCATGGGTGAACGAAGCTTCGGTTCATTCATCTTGGTATCGGACGGTGCGGTGTCATTATAGGGCTGCGTGGAGGCGCGGTTCTCCGACAAGCAGCATGGTGGAGGGGCAGCGTAACCACTTCCAGGATGGTATGTGTCTTTGTTCAACGGAGACAAGCTTGAAGGCTTTCTACTTTACATCGCCAACGGAACAACTGTACATCCTTCCTGTCGGACGCCTTTGTTTTCATCAGACCACTCGAAACACATTCTGGGTTTCTTTTGGATGGACGTATACAAGAATCACGATTTAGAATCATAATCTACATAACTATGACATGGGGAATGAATTGTGGGCGGGCTGTGGAGACTATCTACTCTTCGGGATGATCCTCCGCCCCGCTTTCTGGGACAGCGAAGGTGCTTTCACGCCGCTCCACATCGTGCATCTCTTGCGATCCTTCCGACCCCACTGAATGCACCTCTTCGATTGTTGGATGTACTTCTTCAAATTCCTCATGATCTGTTGCTTCTTCGTCATATTGACCTCGGTCAGAAGCGTTGTCGTCATAATTACTGCCATCATCATCACTTTCCAACTCATCATACTGCCGCATCTGTTCATCCTCGTGGTCTTCCGCATAATCTTCTTCCTCGTATTCTTGCTCGGCTGCTTCCCCATCATGAGGCTCATCTTCCACAATGATAACATCGCCTTCCGAATCATCGGCTCCATTGTTTCCAAGTTCAGCATGCTTCTGTGGTTCAGCTGCCATCGATTCGGGAGAAGACTGCTTTCCGCTCTCTTCGAGATTGTCGGAATCGCGCACATTCCCAATAAATCCTGTGTGGAGCAGTTCCGACGAACTATCGTCCGGCGAGTCACTCGCAGCATCGAATACCTGCATTGTGCACTCGCTACGAGCGTCCACGTCGGTCAGGCCTGTATCACGGTCGTCAACAGGATCCGCCAACGTTACAACATCATCCTCGTCTGGCGTCGAGTCATCGGTGGCAAGTGTGGTCTCTCTCGCGTAACGCGGTTGCACGCGTTGTAAATGCGCTGGAGGGGACAGGCGCTTCGCCGAATGCATAATAGTTTCGGAACTTTGGGTCTCATAATGACTACCTTCTTCGGAAGACAGGGTTTCGGATGGTAATGCTGATGCGTCTGCGACCACGTTCACCTCCTCATCCGGGATATCAGCAGCTGCTGATGGCTGCTGAACAGACAACTGGCCGTGCTGTGCATTGCCCACTTTCGCTGAAACAAACGCCTGCGAAGTGTCATCGCCTAACGACATGTCAATCTCCGAGGGTGCCAAAGTCATTTCCTCGCTTGTGTGGTCAGATGCCAACACTCTTTCCATGCCTTCGTCTGGGGACTTGGATTCGATGAGCTCTTCATCACCGATCGTTGCACCCTCGATTTGGACCTCTGCTGCGCCCGAAGCAACCACCGTCCTAGGAAAGGGTTTTTCGAAGTCGGCATTTGCTCCTTCGATCTGCTCGTGTGTCGCTGGGGCTGCATCACGAACGTCCGGGTTCCATGTCTCAGCGGTCGTCTTGAAATCATCCTTGGATTCAACATCGACAACTTCCTGCGACGGAGGCGGCACTGGCTTATCTTCACCGTCTTCAGTAGTGGGTTTGAAGGCTTGCGCATCATGGTCTGTTGCGTTTCCGTCCTCGTTCGATACGCTAGGGTGCAATGGCGCCCCGGCAGGCGAATTGGCATCAATTGCAAGCTCCGAAGATGCTGTCGATATGTGAAGCGGCTCAATTTCGTTTACAAGCTTGCTTCCGTCGTGTAACTCTATGATTTCCATTGGTTGAAGTTGTTCGTTATTATCTGACGCGACCTCCTGAGGTACATCAACGTCGTCTTTCCCGCCGATCGGCTCGCTGATAGCCTCAGCGGAGGATGTCGGCCGGTCAAAAAAGGACGCTTGCATGGGCTCCGAGCTGAAAAGGGGTGAGGATGCTGAAGAAAGACTGACGTGTGGCTCTTCAAGTGGTTCTGAGTCTTGGAATTGTGGTGGATCAACATCCATTGTATCCACTTTCCAGTTCAAAGGGGTTTCATCATGATTGGCCACTGCGATGGACGGAACTGGAACTTGCATACCAAATGTGGCCTGGGGAAAGGCATTCGACGGGATGTCGGAACGCCTATCAGAGCCCGAAGAATACGCACTTCCAGGAGCGGCTGTCGAGGCTTCCAGAGCCGGGTTAAACTTGTAATCCGAGATAGATTCCTCCATTTGAGCGCCAGCGGGTGACAAGGTGTTGCTTCCAACCGCAACCCCGGGTGCAAGCACAGGGACGTGGATGGCCTTAGTTGTTGATGTGCTGCCCACTTCGGCTACTTCGGCTTCTTGTGCGTCAACAGTAGTAGTCTCTCGCGCCTTCGTTGAAGGCGCCGAAGTCTCATCTACTGATGTTGTCGTTACAACAGCTAGTTGCTTTGCAATTGACGCACTAGCGTCCATCCTTGGAGCAGTCACAGGAACGTTGGTGATCGTTGGCGGAAATGAAGATTCTTTGGGGGGGACGGGCGCCGCGTTGCCGCTGATGATATGGCGCAGAGTGTTGAACCTTGGTCGCGTGGACTGAATGCTACGATATGTGGTGATCCACCCTGCAGTTTGCTGACCAGAACCCGGGGGTATAGCAATCATCGGACAGTAGTGATAATGCTGCTTCAGAGCGTCGAACTCAGCATGGGAATCGACTTGGCATTGAGATAGCTTCAGCCTTTTTCTAGAGGCGACGGCATTGTCGTCATCGTCGAACGTCCTCAAGGACTGGAAATTCCACATAGCGACATCGTGTGCACACAGAGAGCAGCGCAAGAACTCCATGTGCCCGCTTCGAACGGCGGACTCCCATCCAAAAAGTGCTAGCAAGATCACGGCCTGCGCCGTCTCTTCTTGACCCAGTGGTATGTCCAATGCCGCATTCTTCACGATGGTATTATAATCAATCTGAGACATAGGGCTGGAATGAGACAAGGACGGACGTCGATATGGCTGCATCTGCGTCAGAAAACTGACCTTTTCCGTCTCGGCGTTCGCATGCAGGACGGTTCTCGGAATTGTCACTCGCTGAGACATCAGCAAGAAATATCTATCACGAAATCCCCCAACGATCGTCGTCGGAGATGCCAGAGGAAATCGGAAAGCTGACTCTGTGGATCAGGTACATAAGTAAGACAATAAGACCCGGATTCCAGCGACTAGAATATCTCAAACTCACCATCAAGGGCATGTAAAGCCCAGGGGCAGCTCTCCGCGTGCGCACTCTGTAGCCTTTGGTGCACTGACCCTACAAACTCTGCTACTTTTGCGGCAGACCGAATATCTGTCACCTCACACGGAATAGATGCTTTGCATGTGGGGCAAAAAAGCCCATTCAGCCCGCGGTTGGTCCATCCAAACCTCGCGCACATTGGCGGTGTCAAAGCATCTCCGTATAAAAACCAGGTGGCCTCTCTAAAAGTATGGAGCCTTTGGAACAGCTGATGATCTTTCAACCGCAAAAGGGGTTGCGAGCCGCCCTTTCCGTTTCCGTCGAACGCTGCTAGAATCTCGTCGAGCTTCCGTTTTGAGGGTGTTCCAACGCGGGGCGAACTTGCAGACATTGCGAAGCCTAGAGGAACGAAGTTGTCAACCGACGCACTTGTAAGAAGGGTCTGTGGTTTTGGACAGGGTTTCAAGGAGCAGAACCGGTTAGGTAGGACTGGGCGACGCGTTTGCATCGACACTTTTCTCCATCGCCCGCTTTTTTGGGGTGGGAGCTCCAAAATTACATTGAACGAACAAGGCTACACACTACTATGTATGTACAATCAATGCTAGGGTATCAGATAAATAGCACAATCAAGAGAAATTCTGTTTACAGTGATGATGGTGATATGAAATTGTGTACGTCGTGAGTCGACGGTCAGAGCGTGATCCAGCCTCCACGGTCAAATGTTTGCTCGATCGTCCTTTCGACGTAGCTGGGTATCCCATGTGTAGTCCACATCTTCGCCAGTTCGTCGAATCGTTTCTGATTTAAGAAAAGTGGTCGACCACGCCTGGAAACGGAGGGTTGGATATCAGTAAGCGTTGACGTCTAACTTGGCAGATTCTCAGGACTTACCTGAGACCTGGGTCCACTTCCCCATGCGAGTCCAAATAGGGTGGATGTATGAAGCACCCGTTGTCGTTATGTAGAAGCAGAATCAGCCCTTTTCTGATGACAATGAAGATGCCGACATCCGCGCCGCAACTAGAAGGATAGAAGACATGAATTAAGGGCCGACACTTCACGGATTCCTTGTAGGCGGCGATATACCTTCTGGCATGCGTGTTACATTCGCCTTTGTCATCCTCCTCACAGCAGTAACTTTGACTGCAAACCAAAGTCCCGCAAAAGAGACAGATCGCAGGATCAGCGGGGACTTGCTTGCACTTCTGGCACGCTCTCCGCGTTGACTCCTCCAGCAGGGTATCCAATCGCTGCGGCAGAGCGAACAATGTCGGAGTTCGTGCCGGTGTAACTACTGTATACAGCAAGACTGTCGGGGAAGGCTGCCGCGCAGACATCGCTGAGCTTCGTCGACGAGCTTGCATGGAGCTGTTGCTCAGGCTAGATCCAGATGCAAAGGACCCCGGAACAGCAATACGTCCGTGCGAGGAGAAGTGTACGGGATTGAAATCGTAGAGCTGTCTGCACCATCCATTAATCAATTTCGATATATGCTGGTCGTTAAGAGAACTGCTTGAGCATAGCGCATCCAAGGTCGGAAGGCGGAGGTGTCGTCGAAGCTGCTCATACTCCTGATCGATATCGATATCCTGACCATCGCTGCTTGGTCCCGCGGTCACTGGCACGATACCAAACCGCGCCCAACCCAGAACCGTGCACCCACGCAGGAATCCATGCATCGTCTTTCGCATCAATGTTTTCAGGTACGTCGTTCCAACTGTGTCGAGCACCGATTGGGCAAGATTCTCTCGGTCATCGATCAGGAGCATACTCGCCACCGCTCTGAAGAAAGCGGCCCATTCTGGGTCGTGTGGCTCGTCATTTGGACGACGTTCGCCCACCTTGTACTTGTTGAAGCCTACCGCCTCCAGAACGCCGATGAGAGTTGCCACAATCTCTCGGATGTAGAACACCGACAACCACTCCCAGAACGAGTCTTCACCACCCTTTACCACACCGATGCCGAAGAAGACCTCGCAGAGTGCATCAACACCATGCATCATCAAGAACGGTGTCATCTCGTTTGTCACGACCTCGCCTTCCAGTAGTCCGCAGAACATGCCCCATGTGAGCTCCTGGCCCCATTCCTCGAGCATTCCCTCCGATTCTGGGTTTCGGAGTTCGACAGCAGTACTTGCCATCAATCCTTCACATAGCACGCGAAGGAGGGTCAGTCCATTCTCAGGAATCTGATCTATGACTGACTTCCCATTCTGGATCGCGCCTTTACTGCGAGCAGCGACTTCAAGACACCGGATCGTGTAAGCAACCGCTTTCCAGCGCTCGACCCAACCTTCCATATGCAGATCTCGTGTTTGATTCCCACTTGCTGAGAGTAGAGTTCGGTTGAAGCGGCGATACAGATGACTCGGATCGGATTGCTGGGTAGCTTCTCGCCGGGGTTGGCCTACATGTTCGAATCGCTGTACGATCTCTCCCTCGTCTTCGATCAACTCTCCGTGGACGAGAGCACGGGCGAACTCTGACAACCCACTATGCCACCAATAACCGAAACTCGGCCCCTCTGCGTCGGTGATGTTGGGAGACACTTTTTCCTCCATTTGAGCCCAGAGGACGGGTACAAAGACGTTTCCAAGTGTCTTGCACAGAGGACAAAGGAACTCGTTGCGCTCAAGGTCTTCAGGTTGGTTTCTGCCAAGCTGCGTGTCCTGTCGATTCCGCACCGAAGCATAATATTGATGGAAGCACGTAAGGTGCATCAGATGGCCGCAAGTCGAGATGTATAAGCCAAGTGCAGCGATCGTGGGCGGTCGCTCGTAATCCAGTTCGACCCTGCTAAGAAGCGTGCTGGGCTGCGCGAAGCACAACATGCCGTACGTTTCGTTTTTGTCCTTCGTCTCCTCCTGGCAGAATATGCAGGTGCCGGACGGATAGTCCCACATACGCTTGTGTGCCAATGGCGATGATGTTTCCACGCCCTCCATCTCATCGCCTTCAATGTCCCAACCTTCTCCCGCATTTAGAGCCGCGTCGTCGTCTTCTTCGTCCTCCACAACGCTCATTTGGTTTTCCTGCACGAATTTCTCTTGAGCAGCCGCAAATTGTGCCATGATAGCAGCTTTGCGAGCCTTCGCAGCAGCTTTTGCATCCAGCTTTTTCTTCTCGCTTTCAGACTGCTCAGCGTTGTTCGAGTGACCATTGGTTTCGTCGCGCCATCGACGTACAATGAACTTCGCATGATCATCACCTATCTCCTCGATTCTAGGGACAAGCCGCTCTATGCGTTTGAGCAGATCCTTCATGTCGTCGTCGGCCTCCGCTTGGCTAGAGCCAATGATTCGGATCAATAAGTCCAGAAGTGTCTCTCGGTCGGGCCCATTGTCCGGAAGACCTGTCGGCACCTGTACGACGACGTTGGCCAAGGAAGTAGCGAACTCATGCCCCGACGGGCTATACAGGAACAAAGCCAATAGATGTACCGCTTCGGCAATTATGGTCGTACTCGGGACAATGCCGAAAACGATGTTCCAGAAGCTGAAATACAGCAAGTGGATGAGGGTATCGCTCCGTACCATGGCGTTCAGCTTATCTTCGAGCGCTGCCGTGCCACCCTGCGTCGACGTAGGAAGGCTTGGGATCCACCAGTCAGTTTCCCCGCGCGCAACATATCGCGTCTTGAGTTTCTCCTCAACTTCCTCTCGCTGGTTTTTGGAGAAATGCCAGAACCATGGGTTTACTGCATCCCATTCCGTGTTTTTCAAGACGTACACGCCGCTATCGCTTGGACCTTCGGGTGACTTGTACTCGGCGACGGTTCCCAATATATCGTCAAAATCATCGGCAGTATCAACTAGCCGCTCAGGGATGCGGTTCGACAGCTCCGAGTACGTCACCCCGTGCGAACCTGCAGCGGCCAAGTGATGTACCATCTCCCGCCTCAATTCTGCACGATCGTCAAATTGGAGCAGTTTCGAGCGCTCGCTGAACAACGTAATGAGAAGCTCCAGGAAATCCTCTACTAGTAGTACAATCTGCTGGTCTTCGTGTCCGGTGGCACTGGAGCAGGCGCGCGGGTCACCAGTGAACCACAAACTCAAATCGTACCGATCCAACAACGCCGTCAGGAAGATGTCCGGACCGACAACAGCGGAGTAGATTTGGAGCAGAAATAGGTCCTGATCATGGTGGTCGCAGAATGTTGTGCTGCGGTAGTATGACGCTTGCGCACGGATAGTCATGCCGTTACGCACCCATATCCCCGCACGGATTTGTGAAAGCAAAACACACGTTTGCAGGGGAATCTCCATCAATCTACTCACAAACTCGATGCTGGCCGCTGCGGAATACGTCCCCGGTGCTTGTCCTTCTTGGAAGACTCGCTGTAGTAGGGCATCGGCGTCAGATCTTCCACTACTGCTCACCTTTACGATCAAGCCGAGCATGTGGGCCAAAAACCAGTGCAAGGGATGGTGAAATGAGACTGGCTGACTGGCCACGCTGAAAAATGGCACCCTGATCGGCCTCTCAGGCACGAAATTTACAGCGTGGAATCCGTCCGCTTCGGGAATACGCCTGTGCATGTCGACTCCCACGCCCGTCGCTTGGCCCTGCTGGAGTAACACCCGGTGGACGCTTTCTTCCAAAACGGCGTGACACCACGAATCCAGCAATCTAAGAGTTTCGACGACGCGTTCGAACAGGTCGCTCAGTCCGATGACAGACAGTCCTTCGGCCATGGACTGCACCAGTCTTCCTATATGTAAACTGAGGTTGAAAGCTCTGATCCATTGATCTCGTTCGTACTCGATATGCTGGCGGCGATATCGCGTTTGGGCGTGCATTCCTTGCCACACGCAGCAAAGATCCAAAAAGCGCGTGAAGGTCGCCTTGTCAACTCCAGCGGCACCCGGGACGAGCTTGTCAGCTGATAGTAGATACTTGGCATCTTGGAACAAATGAATGTAAGGCTTGTTCTTTGTTGCTTCCGAATCGCATGTAAGTGGTGGATAGCGAGACTGAGACCAATCCCTTGCAGTAGCGAAGGCCGTCTGAATCTCCCTCAGAGGAAACCGTTCGGGGAGGACCTCGGACAGAAAGAATGCTTTCAGAACAGTGAATATCGTTGTAAGCAGATCCGTATGGGTAGTCAAATAGTGACCAATCGTCGGCACGGTGAAGATTTGGACGGAGATATTCAGTACCGAGAGGTCCGGCTCTCTGTCGTGGAAGAGGTAGTTCGTGATGATGGGAAGATAGGATCGAGCAAATTGAATGCCAAACGATTTCCTGGTGGTGTCTCCGCTCACGATGAATGTGCCTATGTACAGTTCACGCATCGTATTCCGGGCCCCCTTCCAAAGCTTGATATCGGATACAAGCATGTGGTCCAGTCTTGACCGGGTCTCCCTCGCTACGCCTTCATGAATAGGTGCTTTTGAAAGGCGGTCCGATGTGCTATCCGAAATCCCCCTCTCGATATGCAAATCGCCAGAGGATTCACTAAACACGACCCCAGACATGTGTGAATCTCCAGCAAGTAACGAGTTCTTGGCAAAGTCCCGTTTAAATGACCGACGAGAGGAGCAAAGCTCTTCACATATGACCCGGCGGATGAAGGCATCCACCGGTTCAGATAAGCCGCTTTGGGTGCCATTAGTTTGTCTCGGGAGGTTCTTCAACCATTCTATCAAGAAACCGGACACTTCTTCCCGGAAGGTTTCCCGTGCGGAACGTAGGGAGACGGTCAAACCAATCCGACTTATCACGGACATGACCCTGGACAGCTCGTCGGAATTATTCGAAACCGTCAGCACATGTCGTCCATGCGAGTCAACCGTCTCTGCGACAATTTTTGCCTCATTCGTTGTGACGCCCATTGCATCCTTGACCTGGTCTATGACCTCCGTGAACGAATGTGTTTCGTCGTTCCATAGGATGCATGCGTGATTGTATTTCAATGTTGCTTCGGGATCCGACGAGGCAAATCCTAACTCGTGGTCTTCCGGGGCATCCAAACATATAACAGTCGAGCCGTCGCCCCGCGACGGTTTGGGAAGCTTGGAAGGAGAATCACTGATGGTATCGATGACGAAATCCAGAACCGTGGCTATCGTAGTTCGGATCGAGTTTTGCAAGACCTGCGGCAGTGCGCTAGATGATGCGCCAGCGGTGGCTCCAGCGCTCTCTGCAGTTGTTGAGCTTGGTTCGCTCTTGGCATGCGAGGTGTGATACTTGCATTTCACTGGAACTTTCCAGGCTTCAGGATCATTGCAGTCGCAGCATCCCCCATGTCCCGTCGCAATGGAAAAGGAAGTGTCGTGGCCCTCATGATCGCTGCCGTGGAAGCAATACGAACAAAAGACGCAGGTCTCATCTAACCCGCAGTTCCTGAGGACGTGACGATGCAAATTAGCAACGCAGAACCTCTCAATGCTCTGATTCCACCGGATCAAACTACCTGCATCGATAGATAGCCTCTCCCTTCTTAAAAACATGCCCGCATGCTCTCCCTCGATGAGATTCCTGATACTCAGGGGCGCGGGCCGCTGGATGTGCGTCGGCTGAGGACGCTCCCTGACCTGCTCCGGTATCATTGCTGCCGGGGTCACTCTCATTGAACCTTCCAGGCACATGACGTTGACCAAACACAAGCTCCGGCGAGGAACCAAGGCACAGCCTCTCGTTCACTATTGTGATGATCTCATCCAAGGTGTCACGTCCGATGGGAAGTTCATATCGGTAGTGCGAGGGAAATGGGGAGTTGTGTAGGTAGGTATATAGGTGCGAGTCAAAGTGAGGCATGTCGGAGACGGGCACGGCGTTCGGAAGAAAGATCCTTCGTTGCCTCATGTCGCCTGTGGTTGAGTGGACGAGCTCTTATTTGAATGCTTTGCTGCGATGTTGGTTGCGTAACGTTCTTTGCTGTGGGACTACGTATGCCCGAACAAAAGTGAAATTTTCGATAGTCGAACAAGTTCCCAGGGGGATGATAATATGGTCAGCGACGATGGAGTGAAGTTTCGGATAAGCTCGGAGGGAAAGCAGACCGCTTAATGTCTATACTTTGCGAGTGAGTCGATACAGCGAATAGCTTTTGTGTGCGGAGACGATCTTCTTTGACGATGTGGTGATGCTGAGTTGTGAAGTTGGAACGATTCTGGGGAAGAAGTTTCCGAGGTGAGGCCTGACGAGCCTTCATCTTTACGAGCCCGCGGGCGTCACAGATCTCGTCAGGGGTCGCGCGTGTGAAGAAGACGCCGAAGAGGGGACTTCACCTTTTTGGGTCCTTGCCAAAGGGACGCCGACAGAACATGACTCCCTCCACCGAGCCCACAACCGCAACCCACACAACATCGCTCACTTTCCCACAGCCCTTCCTAGCATTCCTCAGCGACAATGGTCTAAGTGTCGACGAATACTCCTTTGACGGCCGGCTCCCTCGCTACATTCGTGTCAAGCCCACTTCCGCAGACACTTTTTCAATTCCCGACCTCGAGGCCGACCTAGGCACCCCAGTGACGCCCGTCGAGTGGCTGGAAGGCTTCTATCGCTTGGACGGGGATGTTCGCATTGCTACATGTAGGGCGTACAAAGAGGGGAGGATATATGGGATAGATATCTCATCGGGGGTTGCTGTGCACGCGTTGGACGTGCAGCCTAACGATAATGTCCTGGACGTATGCTGTGCTCCGGGGATGAAACTGTGCAACATTGCTGACCTGCAGGGGAGAGATGGACTGGGGACGGTGACTGGGGTGGATATCTCGAAGGATCGGTTGGCAACGTGTAAAAATCTCCTGAAGAAATACAAGCTGGAACGGGCGCGACTCTTTGCTGCAGGTGCGGGATCCGGACAGTGATGTGCTTTCTCGGATATGTGTACTAAGACCCTCCGTTTCTCGTACTAGATGGAACGTCTTTTTCGGTATATGCCCCGTCGACTGTTGGCCAACATACCCATCCCGCCGTGGCGGGAACGCCATCATCTTCATGTAGCTCAATACCCAGCACAGCGCCGGCAGATACCAGCATGGGGGACTCAGCCCGGGCGGAGAAGCCGGATGAGGATATGGGCGAAGGACCGCCATCAACCGTGCTGGCAGCCCCCATCCCGACCGAAAAGATAAAACCATTCCACGCAACACGAATGCTCCGACAAGACCCGCAACTATCCCTTCCCGACCTACTCTACGACAAAGTCCTCGTAGACGCCGAATGCACGCACGACGGGTCAATAGTCCATCTCCTGAAATACGACCGGCTAGGATGGAAGACATTTGAGGAAAAGTTCATGGATCCCGACCGATTGACGAACTTGCAGACGTTGCAGAGAGGGTTGATTGCGAATGGATATAAGCTGTTGAAACCGGGCGGTGTGCTTGTTTACAGCACTTGCAGTTTTTCGAGGATGCAGAACGAGGATATCGTCGCGTGGTTCCTTGGCCAACATCCCGATGCGGTGTTGGAACCTGTACCTGGCGTTGAGAGGTTTCCGGTTGCGAGCACACTGGCACACCTGTATCTGAGGGTGGATCTCTCGCATGTCATCCGGTTCAGTCCGGTGCCATCGCAGACGAGTGGACTGTTCATCGCACGGATACGGAAGGCGCTGTTGACGTAGATGTATTTAAGTAGACTGAGCTCGCATGGAGATGGCCTTCTCGACGTAGTGGTGTATATGACGAATAAAATATTGACTTTTTGGACTGGTGGCTGTCCGAGTGCTCCACATCAAGTGAAATGGGCATGTCCTAACATCGAGTGCTCTATAGCTGGAATTGCGCTATGAATCTATCTACATGTTGTGAGTCCCGCCGCATAAGTCCTATGCTTCGGCAAATACGAAAGCACATCGATGGCATCCCACGGCTCATTTCTCATAACCTTCAGTGCTGTAGTGCTGAGGGTGCTCCTTCATCAACCGATGCAACTCCTGTTCCTGCTCCTTCAAGTTCCAAGGCTGCTCCCCAGCATAGACGTCAGTGAACAGGTACTTGACCGGCGGCTTCTTGACCTTCTCAGCGGCAGCGAACGATTTCAGGATCTTGGCGCGGATATCCTTCTTGAAGGAGTCCTCCTCCTTCTGGCTCCACCAGTCCTTCTTCTCAAGGTATTTGCGGAAACGCGACATGGGGCTGTCCTGCTTGATCCATTCTGAGACTTCCGATTTGGGCCGGTAGGCGGACGAGTCGTCGGATGTACTGTGGTGTCCAACACTGCAAGAGTACGAGTGCTTAGAGGGGTGGAAAGTTGGAAACGATGGCGTTCCCGGAACGACTTACCGGTATGTAAGGGCCTCGATCAGAACTGGTCGTGACTCGGTGATTGCCCTCTTTCTTGCTTCCTTCACCACGTTATAGACCGCCTTTACGGAAGCCAGGTTAGACGACCTTCCTGGATTGGAATCAAATAAGGGAAGACTCACCAGTGCGTCGTTACCGTCCACACGGACCGTGTCCATTCCATATCCGGTTCCTCGAGACGCTGGATATCATAAGTTGAGTAAGCGAGATCCTTTGATCCGCCAACAGAATAACATGCATACCTATTCCGTCACCACGGTATTGATCTCTTACTGGCGTCGAAATTGCGTATCCGTTGTTGCGGCTGCAGAGAGTGACTCCCGGGTTAGACAACTCACCATGAACCTCTCCGTTCAAGATGGCTTACTGACCAGAAGAACAGGGCAGGGCTCTCGGTTGTAGACGCGATGTTCAACGCAGCGTGGAAGTCTCCCTCGGAGGCCGCACCTTCTCCAAAGTAGCAAATAACACAGGCATCCTTTCCACTGCGCTTGAGCGCATATGCAGATCCAGCTGCTTGTGGCAGTTGTGTTCCCAGAGGGGAAGAGATTGTCTGGAAGTTGAGCTTCTTGCTACCGTAGTGAACGGGCATCTGCCGTCCCTTGCCGTAGTCCAGAGCGTTCGAGTAGCATTGATTCATGAACTCGTCCAGTGTGAACCCGCGATACATCAGTACTCCTGCTTCACGGTATTGTCTGCGTGAACGGGCGTGAGTGATTCACTGGCGGGATACGTAAACCTCTCGGTCGTCACGAGTACATACCCGTAGACCACATCGTCCAACTTCAAGGCGGCGGCACTTCCCATATGTGTCGCCTCCTCTCCATAACTTGTCATGTAGAACGAAATACGTCCCTGACGTTGAGCTTCGTATAGAATCAAGTCCATTGCGTTCAGCGTCAGCATGGACGTGTACATCTTCAAAGCCACTTCTTTCGAAAGCTGATAGTGCCGTTGTCAATATGATTGCAAACGCAATTGGCTTCGCCTATAACACTTCTCCCATCATACCTCGGGATCTTGAGACTTGTCAATCACATTGCCGTCCAGGTCGAGCACACGGTAGGTCGGGATAGAATCCACATTTCGTTGGAAGTTCAGCTTCTCGGTGTAGTGCGAACCCGTCGCTCCTGGAAAGAGCACTTTGCCTTTGGGAGGCGTTGTGGCAGATGTTGCCAACTCTGCTACCCTCTGCTTCCAAAATCCACACGAAAATCCGAAGAAAAGGCGACAGCGTTAGGAGGACGCTGGTCGACAAGCATGAAACTTCAGACATCCCGAGGGCAAAGACGGACACACCTGGTTGAGTTGAGTGGCAAAGCGCTGAGACACTGCCAACCGGGTACAGCCACGGGACAAACTCCTCCAAGCCGGACGCATGACGGACGACATTTTCGGTAGGGAAGGACAGAGTAGAAGCGGCCTCACGGTCGGTCTGTAGCAGTGGAACGGGAGCCTCACCCAAATTACTGTGGATAGAGGAGGGGTTGGTTGTCACTTGCGAAAGCCCCACTTTTCAACGTCGCAAGTGTGGACTTGAACAGAAAGTGCTCGCAAGTCACACCGGCTGGCTGGCTGACCCCCCCACACGCTCCACACGCGCGACGCGTGACTTCAATTTGACTCGCACTTGGGAACTCACCCAACGACGAGGCCTCTTCATTCGCTTCATTCGCTTCATTCGCTTAGGGTTCCGCTCCCCGGAGAGGCGGGGAAACACAGTTGTTCTTGCATAACGCTAATCTTCTCGTTATTCTCTGATCGCAATCGCATAAGCTCTAGACGAAGCGAGTGACATGTCTCACAGGGTCCCGGGTTGTTGCTAATTGAAAGAACGGTCTGCGGTATAGGTTGACCGAAAGGATTAACTTGAAGACCCCGAGACGATAGCTGATTCGCTAACATCAAAATATGCTGAATGAGTTCTCTGCATCGCTGCTTAACGTCCGTAGAGTCAACATGTTGCAGAAAGAGGTCTTCCAGCTCTGTTATCTTCTGAATGAGATCGTCCATGTTTGGATGCATCATAAAGAGATTTAACCTCAAGCATATACCGCCAAACTTTGGTTAGTAACGTGACTCGTGATTATATCACTCGTGTTTGTACTACTGTGACTTGCTGCTTACGTAGCAAGGCGCGGAAGCAATGGTTTGACAAAAAAAAGGGCACTATAAGAAGAGCGACTCCTTTGCCGGATCCTCTGCCGAACTCAACTATATCTTACTTACGTCGCAGCGACAATGACAACGAAAAAGCTTTACGTTCAATCAGTAACAGACTTGCAAGTCGGACAACTTTATATCACTCGCTGTAGTCTAGAGCAACTGGATGACACGTTCAGCGGCATACTCTCAACGTCCACCGCATCATCCACCACGTCTCTTCCCGATCCATATCTCAACGGATTAGGTCCCGCTGGCAAAAAAGCACCGCCGCGAATTGTTCTGTTGCTTGACAAGAGCGCTAGTGGGCTTCTAACATGTGCTCCACTCACAACGAGGAATGGTCGCACGATCGCGGATGACAACAATTTTCGTCCTGACGATGACAAGGAGAAGATGCGTCGTCTGTTACGGCCTGTATCACCCATGGTGCATCCTGAAGCATTCCGCATCGTAGAAGCTCCGAAAAACAAGTACAATCCAGCCGTTCAATACATCCACCTTCTGCGTTACCAATGTCACTTCGCTCCGGATATGTTTGTTCCTATCAAAGACGATGCCGGAAGAATATCTCACATGGATGATGCAGAACTAGGGCGATACATGCGAGAAGCATCAAAGGCACTTGATTGGCTTTTGACGCATCAGGGATCTACAAGCGCATTAGGGCATAATGGAGACAAGGATGATGAAGGACCAAGCGAGGACAAACATGAGAAAAACACGGATTACCGAGAGAAGAAGAACGCTAAACGCAGCAAGGACGGGGAAAGCGATGCGGAGGCGAATAAGGATGCGAATGAAAGGAAATCAGATGGTGCGGGGGCAACAGCTAATGGAGAAACGTTAGAAGACTCCTCGGAGGGCCCTTGGCACGGTTGGGGTGATTGGCGGCCTACATTTGACGAACACGGTTATCTCAACTTACCGGATGAAGAGGAGGACGACTATCTGACAGATATGAACATCATGATTGCCAATGCGTTAGGAAGAAGGCCCACTCATGACCCTGATTGCGTTGAGCAGTGGAGACGTTCTGTAGCGATTTGAAATTACATAAAAAGTATGTATAATATCAGAATGCTTTCTCAAGTTCAAACTACAAATACTCAGCCCCCCGTACGGCACACACAGACTGTCACCTCGAATCCAGACGGATCAGTCACTCGTCAAGACACTACCACGACAGGGGCAGGGGGTATAACCCCCTCACCCCCCTACCGAGGAACCCAACCAGTCGTGCAGGGTGTCACTGTGCCTAACCCGCCTGATGCTGACAATGCTGTAGTTCAGGCAAAACAGACCGAAAGAGCTGCTCAAGACGTTCAGGCGAATTATAAGCAGGCTGGGGTTATTTAGGTGTCACGTCTTCATATGAACGGATATCTGACGGGGTATATAAAAGCAGAACTCATTGAGCATCTTTCGCCAAGTTAAAATGGTTTACCTTTCGAAGCAACTGTGTACTTTCTTAAATGTTCCACAGGACACCAAGATGTTGGGGGAGGATGTTATCAATCAACTTGTCTTCTACATCATGCAAGAAAATCGTTAAGTGCGTCTCCCAAAGGATCGAAAAATTCAAGCCTGCCATTCTCTATGAAGACGGCTGTCCAGTGCTTTCCACTGCCGGTGCTGGGATCCGTATTGAACACCATGGCAACCTTTGGGTAGTCACTCAGGACATGTTCTGGAAAGTGATGCAGCGCAAAGTGGTCCGATGGCAGACTGCCCAAGAATTTGAAATCCGTATGCATGACTTCGTATTGCCTCAGACAAGCACCAATGTCCTCAGAGGACAACCATTGAGGTGATTCCGTTGGACCCTTTGGACGGAATGCCTCGTTGGCCAGTGAGTGTGACACGGCTGGTTCCAGCTTCTGTATCTGTGCCATGAGCGACTCGTCTTCTATCCAGCACGATTCGTCCGTCCCACAGATCCCGAACAGTCTTTCAAAGAGCTCCGCCCATATTTCCTCGGGGCCTGTCTTTCCAATGGGACGGCGGTCTGCCTCTTTTGCCGAAAGACATTCCACGCTCGACGCATGGCAACCAATTCATCGTGGTTGTAGCAGCTCCTACGAGGATGATATGCTCGCCGCGCGGGACCGCACATATCAAGTGACATATTTTTTTTCTTGCCAACTTCACAAGAAAAAATCGCATTAAGCCATGTCAACGCAGAACATCTATCCCAGCGCTTCCAGCGTTCCCACCGGCCTCTCTAGGTCCGGTTCTCGCTTGATTGACCGCGCACTCGATGCCAATGCGAAAGCAAGCGAGGCCCTGGAGCCGTTCTTCAAGAACAAAGCCTTATCCGGCGTCCTGCAAATGATGTTTGTAGCGTACGCTAGTCTTATCGCCCCACAGATTCCCAAAGAGTGGCACTGGGTATTCGAGCATGCCGGATTCCGTATTGGTGTCATGTTTCTTATTTTGTGGACCTCAAACAGTGACCCCACCTTCACTATAACGCTGGCCGTGGCTTTCATACTGCTCCTCCAAAACCTGGGCAAGTTCCACCTGACGGAGGGATTCGAAGGCCCGAAAACCGCCATCTACCCAGGTTGCATGAACCTTAAGGTTGCTGACTTGTTGTCTTCTTTCAACAACAGTCAGGAAGACTTGATGCAGGCTATGCAGATATCCAACGTTCCATTTTTGATCCACATTTCTGATGATACGGCACCTCTCATTGGAACATACTTGATGAACAAGGGCTACAAGATTGTAATGCCCTGTGCACCACCCGGCTCCGTTGCTTAAGCAGGCCGCGGCGCATTGGTGCCGTCATAGGGAGCATGGTAGCGAGCATCCGCGGCCGGATGGTTGGCGGCTTGGCCCGATGGCTGCTCTTCTTCATCGGCAGGCTCATCAATAACCTCGTCGGCATCAGCAATGGCGAGCGGCGCTTCGGTTATTTCCTCTTTAGGTGTGACCACCGGCTCTTGCTTGACATCATCATGTGGGACGGTTTCAACTGTGGTATAGGTTTCTTCAGTAGGTGTGGAAGACATTTTGTCTAACATACATGTGTGAAAAAAAAACTTGCTATGGACTTACGCATCATTATTACAGTATTGGAAGCTTAACCCTGACCTCCGACTCGCACTCCTAACCATGCGACATCCGGCAATACTAGGTTTTTCAACATATGAGAAACCCCATGCGGAGTCTCCCCCTGAAATATTGAGGCACAGAGGCCCGCAAAATGATCGCGATGGACTTCAAGCTTGGAAGTGTCCTCCTCGGCACAGGGATGTGGGAAGATGCGGACTCGTGAATCAACTGAAACGTACTTTTACCTGTTGCCAAAATTGCCGATTGAATGATCTAAGCCTTCCTTCCTCCACTTTGACAGTGCCAAGCGACTTACCTCATATCGTGAAAACATCTCACTTGCAGATGATCAGTTTTGCGCAGCTTCCTAGCAATTGTGAACAACATAGAGTCACTGAAGGCAGCAATGGCTAATTTCACGGAAATGTTGAACGACAGAAAACGCAGCAGGCTCCCAGAAGGCCTGCGATATCAAGAAAGGAAACTATACGGGTCAACTTTATAGTTATTTGGGTAACATGTTTTGACCGGAGTCCCCACCCTGTGGTCATGTGATTGACGCAGCGTGGTCATACCCATGGTGATTATATATGGCCAGTATATTAAAGTATGAAAGGCATGAATATATTTGAAAGGTCTCCATAGTTATTATACAAACTCCCACGATCTTATTTTTTTTGGCATAACTTCACCTGACGTTCAATCTCTTTCATCCGACGTCTTAGCTGACCATACTCAGCGGAGTCCTTCGTCTCTACTAGGATCCTCTTCATCGTAGCTCGGGGTTTTATGAATGTTGTCAGCGTTACAAAACGTACAGGCCATATGTACACCATCGCTCATGTATGCTATCCCCGTGTCATTGCAGGCCTCCGAAGGTTCGCCATCACTGCTTTCGCTATCCCACTTATTAAGTAGTTCGCTTTCTCGGTAAGAACCTTCCTGGCTGATGTTGGTGGGGTTCTTGTTCAAGTAGAGAAATGTTTGCCCCTTGTGCTGAACTACGTGCAATCGGGCGTGCTCCCCATTCTCTTCGGGAAGGTCAAGAGTCAAGTCGAGTTCGCGAGGACGGTTACCAGCGGTTTCGACTTCATCGGGGGACATTGTCTTGATGCAGAGCTTCCCCTGAGATTCTGTGATCTGGATCGCATCGCTGACTTTATCGTCATCCCCAGCGTAAACGATGAGCTTGCCAGGGTGATGGTAAAGGCCGTCTCCAAGATTGAAAACTTCTTCGATGGGTTCCATACTGTTATGTTGTCTCGGAATGGGGTTGCGTTGCCTTTTATAGTCCCCGAAACAGCTTGGAGTTGGAAGGCAGACGCAGGTAAAGGGATGACGGACTCATCCCCTCTCGCGAAGGGCAGAGCCTTCGCCCCTAACCTTTTGGCATTCCTGTGATTGATACACCATGGTCATATCCCCGACATTGTGGTCGTCATGTCAAATGGTCGGCCCTCTCAGACTTTTTTACCGATTGCGAGGCTTACGAGATCTCGGGCGCATGTGCCGAGCTCATTCGCCGTGCCAAGGCGACTCTGGAAAAGCTGGTGTGGGTCGATGATGATGACGACGTGGAATGAATCGATGCTCTGGAGACGGTTCATTCGCAAGAGGCCTCACTCACACACTCTTGGTCTTTCATCTGTACAGTACACCGTTACTGTATTCCTTTGTACTGTACATAGTAGGTACATGCCAGTCCACGCACATATTCACTCTGAGGCCAGGCTTCTTTCGCAGAGAACAGGTCCGAGTGCAACAGTGTCGTCCAACCCAATGGCCATAGGGCTTGGTCAAAACGAGCCCAGCTTCAACAAAGCTGAAGGCCAAAATATGGAGGAAGCCCACGAGCGTCCGAATGGCTGTACTGTACATACAGTATATACATATGTTACAGTGGTTTGTCCTCGCAATGCGATGTTGAGGGTGAGGTTGCGGTTGGACGCTCGCGGGAATGCAGGACGCGCCACGGATGAACGGCCGCATTCGGACGCGCATGTCATCTGCATGTCATTCCCCAAAACGTTGCAACCAGCACACTCCGCTGCGGGGCGTGCGGCCAGAGAGGGCTTCTTGTCCTTCCCAAGAGAGCTAGCTAACACATGGAGGTACCCACCCACACATATAGCACCATCTGCTTCTAGTCGCTTAGCATAGCAGTGGCACGGTCTCCTCCAATTCGGTCTAAACTTCCCGCGTCATGTTGACGCTCATTCGGCAACCCGTCTGTCGAGCGGCTGCTGGCGGGCTGCATGCTCCCACTGACTGGATGTCTCAACTTTGGACAAAGTGGAGCTGGGTGAAGAAGTTCAGCTCGCTATCAACAGCGGCAGCAGGAAAAGCGCCTTTAAGTGGTTTCCCCAGAGCTCCCGTGGTTCAGAAATCGGCCATCACCACCAGTCGCCTCGCCGCCAGTCCACCACAACAGTCACCCACCCTGTTTGGTCTTACTCGACTTTTCTCGGCTTTTCCTTACCGCAACACACAGTCTGACCCATCTATTGGAAGATCGGGGCGAAAGCCCCGTACATATGCTTGGAGCCTGGGGGCTATCGGGTGTTTGGCGTTTCTCCCGGTTCTGTACGCCGAGCCCAAGTTCTCAACGGACGGCGAAAAGACGTTGGGTCCTCTCATCGGTACCGAAGGGGAAGGAAAGTTGCTCGCTGCATCGTCGGCATCACAGTTGATCACTCCCGCTCCGCCGAGTTGGCTCTCACTATTGTCCCCTCTCCAATTACTCCATCTGGTTTACCGAGTGACATACCTGGGAGCCCTCTTCGTGCCCGTGCTCCTCTCCTTCCCCGTTTGGTGGTACTTCAATCGAGGTCGCATGGAGAACGACAAGGATCCCCTCCGTACGTGGTGGATTCGATACCTGGTCTGGAGTCTGGAGCGCGCAGGCGGCTTGTTCATCAAACTCGGCCAGTGGTTGAGTTCTAGAGTGGACGTGATACCACCGCGCATCTGCGAAGTTCTTGCCAAGTTGCAGACGAATGTCAAGCCACATTCCGTTGCGCACTCGCGCAAGGCGGTCGAAGCTCTGTTTGGGAAGAAGATAGATGACATCTTTGTCGAGTTCGATGACGAGCCCGTTGGGACGGGAGCTGTTGCCCAAGTCCATCGCGCTGTGCTGAGACTCTACGACGCCGAGGGCCCGATGAATGAGGTTGCGATAAAGATCCTCCATCCGAACATAAGACGAAGGATGAACACCGACTTAATTCTCGTCAAAATGACCGGGTTCTTCTTGAACCTGATTCCTGGGGCAAAGTACCTCAACTTCAACGAAGAGATTGCGCTGTTTAGCCGGATGATGCAGAATCAACTGGATATGGAGATTGAGGCGAACAACTTGCGAGTGTTTGCTAAAAACTTCGAGAAAGTCTCGGTGGTACAGTTCCCGGCTCCGATCAAATGGAACCAGGATGTGTTGGTGGAAACATATCATAATGGGTTGTTACTTCGGGAAGTCTTATCGAACGCACCGACTCCATATGATGATGCATTGGCTCAGATCGGCGTACATACCTTCATGGTGAGCTCGTCATCTAATATTTACGGATTAGTAGCTTCTCTGTCATTTGACTAACGTGCAAATTATCCTCTGATGACAGCAAATGATCCTGCGCGACAATTTTTTCCATTGCGACCTGCATCCCGGCAATGCCTTAATCAGCTTCATCCATACCCCTGAGGCTCCCAGCTACGCGCAGAAAGCTGGAGCCTTCATCACAAGGACTTGGGACCAATCAAAGAGCAGCAAAGCCCAGTCTATATTTCACGCCAAAGAAATCGATGTGGAAGCGTTGGACAACCTACGACGAGCTCCGCGGAGTGCGACAATCCACATCCTGAATCGGATGAAGGCGGAAGGATGGGTGCCAAAGATCGTGATCCTGGATGCGGGCATTGTTGGATCTTTGTCGGAGGAGAACATGGGCAATGTTAAAGATGGTGGGTATCACACAGATTCCATTCGTTTTGTGGATACTACCTTCATTTAAGTTAATCGCGTGGTTTTTCATAGCATTCACGGCCGGCCTAGACTTCGACGGCACCAAAATCGCCGATCTCTTCCTCACCCGCTGCAAAGATCCCCAGAACATCCACGACCCAGCCCTCGCCCGCGAAACCCTGAAACAGCTCCTAGACGATCTCAAACTCGATACCGGGGGCACATTACCCCTTTCACGCGTGCAGAGCGCGGAGGTCGTCACGCGTGTTGCCAATATGTTACGGCATCATCGGATAGCGCTGGATGGAGAGTTTGTGAACCTGTTTCTGTGCGCTACGTTGGCGGAGGGTGTGGCGAGGAAGCTGGACGCGGATATGAATCTGTTGGATCCTTTGGCTGAATACCTGTTGTGACGATGGCAGAGAGTCTTATCCTTAGCTTTTGGACGTGCGTGGTTATAACACCTTGTTGCGTTACCCGAATTACGATACATAGACGTGGTCGACTGTTCTCAACGGCGTTTCACCCGTACCCATCATATTTCAAATACCGCTCAAATACATATTCACCGCAAATCACTTCGCTTTCACTTTTCCCATATTGCTCTGGACCCTCTTCAGCTCTTTACTCAATTCTTCCATGATGACCCGATTATGCAGGTCCTTGAGTTCCCTTCGCACATCCCATTCCATATCGGCTCGCCCTTTGCGGAACAAAAACAGAAGTGGGGCGTGAATGTTCACCAACATGATTGTAGCAGGACAGCGAGGGGAACAACGGGTTACCGTACCAGGAAGCTCATCCAGCCAGAACGCCTTTTTCAGCTCGGTGTTGAACTGTTTTGTCTTTAACTCGTACCAATACGGTTGGGCGGGCCTTACATCTTCCTAAAGCGGTGGCCAAAGTGATCGAGTCAATATCATTGTCACTCAACGATCTGAGGGTCAAATCAACTTCCAACTAACCCAAGCATGTTTCCACCGCCTCAACAGCAGCTTCTTTTCCTCAACCTTTAGCGCATGTCGCTGTTCACGGACGTACAAAATCGGGTCAAGATTGTCCAATGGCGTTTCCAGAATGCCCGGATACAAGCCACGGCGGCGTGAGGCATGGTATGGAGAGGATGTCGGTGGTGGTGGCATGGACTTTTGCGTCTTCATGGGAGGTGGAGTGTACGCCGGCTTGATACTGTATATCCCCAGCCTTCGAATGGCTTGCTTTTCGATATGGGGATTCGAAGAAGGCCACACATACTGTCAAAACTGTCAATTCGGGCAACTCCGACGCTCAGTTCTCAACTCAAACATTTCCGAAAAAATCACAGTGTTTGAAAGAAAACTGTGCGTATGGATGTTACAGGTACAGGGGAAATCATGAGATGTTCACTCTTCTGGTGACTGGGATTCAATTGGAAAAGAAGTATGCAAAGGAGCGGATATCCGTGTTCAAAAGCTCTATACTCAGACGAAAGCCCCGTTGATGAAGCTGGTGAAGTCGTAGCCATCTTCCTTTACAGGCATGACTTGCTTGAGATGCTCGACGAGAGCTGGGGCCAACCCACCGCGGAACAGGTCGGTTTCTGTGACGTACGACTGATAACAACATGAATTTTGAGCTGAAAGTCACGAGAAGACTCGGAGAACGAAGGTGAATGCTTCCTACCTTGTCCCCAGCAAGAGTCTGGAATGAGATCTTGAGCTGCTCGGGTGTAACGCGGTCTTCCCGTTGTCCCTTCATGAACTCGATGAATCCATCGAACGATACTTCCTCAGCGCCCTTCAAAGCGTTGGTGTACAGACGTTCTAAAGAGGCGTCCTGAAGATGGAAACGTGTTTAGGAGCGGTATCGGAGCATCGCCTACCCTCGTCTCTTACGATGCTTACATCAAAGTCAGTACCCTCAGCGTGAAGAGCAGACTTGAACTCCTCCCTGTTCAACGAATTCGAACCGTCCTTGTCACAGAGACGGAATGACTGAAGAGATAACGGTGATCAACTACATTTGCCCGCAACTGACATGCACAACGCCCTCCCCTACCTCTGTGAACTCATCGAGCTGTTCGGCGGTGATGTTGGTGTGCGTGCGTGCAACCATTTGGTTTTCGATGAAAGATGACTTCTTGACCACCGTCTGGGTCAAAAGACCGAAGTCGAAAGACAAGTCGTCTACTGAGTAGATCGTGTACCTAAACATATCACAGTCAGAATTGCTCCTCTCGGAATCTAGAGGCTGCGGAAACCTTACTCGTTGTCTGCAGATTTAATAGACCCCACACTGATGAGTATTCGAGAAAGTAATGTTGTAAAGTGGAAGCCACCCTACCTTCGATGTTGGCCTCAAGACAATCGTTGTTGAGCTTGGCAATGTTCTGCAGATCACCGTTGAGAGGCTCCAGACGTAGAACAAGATCTTGAACAATGTCGAGTTGGTTCTAAAGATGCAGACGTCGGCATGCAGCTACTTAGTAATGATTCGTCATATCGAATTTGTGATTTGCCTTTTTCCCCGAACCTGCAAGTCTCCTTCGAGATCTGCCAAAGCGCTGGAGATATCGTTCAGCTTCCTTTGGAAGTCATTCGCAGCATCGGCGAACTTTTTCTTCAACGACTCCTTCATGCTGTGATGAGAATAGATACAGGAATTAGTATGGAGCGGATTTTCGAACAAAACTTCCTCCGAAACTCACTCTCGGATGTAATGACTTATGGAGATTTTCCTCTGGCCCTCGACTGCAACCAACGCCTCCCATGCGGAAGCCAAGTCCTGGAGAAGAAGGTTCTAAATTAGTTCCATTGCCCTGAGGAACTCAATGAGATACCTATATTCCACCTACCTGCAGTGTGAGGCCTTGCGGAGGGTGGTATGGTCGGAGATTGTACGTCTTCAGCTTTGTTTGAATGTTTCCCAGAAGCTATACAATGCTAAGCGTTTTAGAAATCGAGCAAAAAACCGATACATATCCTGTTGATGTGTCAATGAGAATTGCAGACGGCCTTCACTCACACTGTCCAATTCACGCCTTTCCGTCACCCAACCACGTTTGCTGGTGTTCTTGTACTGCTCAAAATCTTGCAGCTGCTTCCTTGCATCGCCATACCCGGCGAAACTGGAGCGGCTCCATGTGTCCTGTATGCTTCTCATGCCTTCCATGAGAGCGTGAACCCTCTGCTCATAGTCATTCTGCATCTCCCAAGCTTGCTGCAACTGTTGTCCCAGGCGCCCCACACGACGCCCCGCTACGCCCAATTTATCTTGGGCCGAGAATGCGTGGAAGTATTGAGCAACGTAGGTCATCACTGATCGCTCATCTGGCTGAATTTGGAAGGGAAGTCTCAGTATCCAATATGGAGGCGCGCGGGCTGTTGAGCAGACCCCAACCTTCGCAACATCAATGATATCCTCCACCCCGAATAGCTTGGCTATTCCGAGTTGGCTCTCGGCAACGTCGAACGCTAACTGCGTATTCTCATGCTTTTTGCTCTGCGAATGGATGCATAATTAGCACATCCAAGCTGCGACTTCACATGGCGACTCGGTGTCCCACCTTATCCAGAGAGTGATAATCCAGCAGGTCAGGACGGTGGCGGTGGATCAAGGCACACCTAAAAATGATCGCAATCAGAATCCAATACGTCCTTCCTCCGATCAACAACGCCGGTTTTGCTTACAAAGCAAGCCCATCCTGCCAGCTACGTGAAATCTATCAGTGATTGATCCTGAATTGAACTCAAACAGTAACAAGGCACATACCTGAACGTGAAGTCCTTGATGTGGAAATCTGCGGAATACGGTGCTGTACGGCGCTGACACCACAGCAAAAGCCCCTCCTTCGCTGAAAGACCCTCTTCGCTGATTTCGGCAATGGTGAACCGCAAAATGATCATCCATATCAGCCCTAAGTTCAGTTTGACGTTGGAATCCACAATATCCTCGGCGCCGATGTTGGTGAGGTTCACTCCGCGTCTGCGAATGAACTCCAAAGCTTTGTTCATGTTTTCCACCTTCTGAATGCGAAGCTTCGGGTTTTTATTGTAGCGACCCAGGGACTCGTCGCCGATGATTTCTGTGACATGGTTCGAGGCTTTTCAGCAGCTGCAACAGACTACGGCTCCTTGCTGTACATACCAAGCAGTTGAATCAGCTTTTCGCCAGAGCTAAGATCCGTGTCTATCGTCCCAATTGGGGGAATCTCCTTCTGCTTGAGCTGATTGTTGATCCAGTTCGTGAAGGCTGTTCGAAAAATGGAAGGCGAGGCGGGGAGCACACATAGTTAGTTGTTTGTTGGTGTTACGCGCATGACAAAGGAGGAAGCAACTCACTCTTCTTTTGTATTGTTTCCCAGCTTTTGTCGAAGATCCTATGAACCGAATATGTTTATGTTTCAATATTCGTGGGAAATGCAGACCATCCGGTGGACGAAGGCTAGATGATGTGCCCATACCTGGCATTGTCCACGACAGCTTGCTGTGACGCTCTGCTGGGCGAAAATTCTGTGGGAGACAGACCGCTCATGGAGCCAGTGGAGGAGCTAAAGAACGACATTACGGTTGTTCTACGTCTATCAAAGTCACGAGTATTTTTGGAATGATGCTGGCAGATGTCGAAGATGTGGAAGGAAGGAGAGGAATCGAAACTCAGCAGGAGGCCGGAGCAGCTTGGCCAAGCCCGCCCACGTCACTTCAGGCGCGCACCCCTCGCCCCCTCGGCTTCTCCTGTCTGGCACACGCACCTCTCGCACCTCCGACTTTCAAAACCCCGCGCACCCCGTTGTCACCACAAAGAGTACTGCTACTGCTGTACTGTACCTACTATGTACTGCACAGCAACGCAGGGCAACCAATTGGCCGCCAATGGAAGCGCCTGTTTGCCTGCCGTTGCATGTTGCATGGAAGACCCTACCTCCGTCGAAGAGGAGCTGGCGGCCCAGCGAGAAGCCGCTCTGACTTTCCTTTCTCGAATCACCCTCACCAACGTGAAAGAACAGCAGCCGAACCCCTCATTTGTCCCGTCCGTGATTTCTAACGATGATCTCGTCACAGAACCTTCGCGTGTTCTGTTGGAAGTTAGCTCTAATGCCGATCTGTTAACGCCGTCGTCGTCGAAACGGCCTGCGGAAGAACCGCGTAGGACGTATGGTGAGAAGGAAACAGCGGCTATTGCGTTTCTCTCGAATATTCCTTTGGAGTTGAAGTCGAAGGACACTGCCGAAATACCAAGTACCGTCCTGAATATTGCGAATAGGGGCGGGCAGTCGTTTGGAACGCTTCTTTCGGATTATGGACAAGGACCTGGTGCGCTTCAAGATGGTAGCAACCCGCACAGAGCAACAGCCGGATGGAAAGTGAGACACCCTACTCACCAGGAATTTTGAGTTTAGGGCGGCAGGCGTACGGTCGTCCGTCGTATCAAGTGTACTCGGGCAATGACCTGAATAAGCAGCGGCGAGCTCATTCCAGACGATCGTCGGTGGGGGAGACACGGGATGCTGGTCATCAAAATCCACTGATCGATAATCGCCTGATGATGGCCACATCAAATGTGAGCATCAAGTGTCCTTGCCTAGCCCAGTGCCCCACAGGAAACTATCGATCTGACCCTTTCTTTCACAGGGAACTCCTTTCTCTGTGTTCTCCGTCATATCGTATCGTGAGGAGAAGAACCGGTTGAAGCGGCGCAAAAGCCGGACGTCCAGATACTTCGGAAATGCCTACTTGTATGTTGCCACGGGCGGAGCGTGGAGCAACCGGTATCGAGGAGAAGCCTAATGAGTTTCGCACCATTGCAGCGATAAGCTCAAGTTCAATATAGATCTGGACATGAAGCGTCGGAAGGTAACCAACGTTTTTCTGGAGTGATGTATTTTAAGATGTATTCTGATCCCTATTGTGTTTCCAGTTTGCACAATCATATGGCAATCTGCTAGAGCCCGCTCTGACTCTTGAGTAAGCCATACACGTTCCCTCAGGTAGTCTTTTCGATCCACATACTGATACGTGGATTCAGGCCGAAAATTCCCGAGAACTCGTCATACAATCCTTTCTTTTTGGATGACCCGGAGCTAAGGACAGGAAGACATCGAACCGTGATCACACTGCCGTGCTTTGTGGTGAGCAACAGGTCATGTAACTATCTTCACTTATCCGGGCTTTGTTGTAAATGTCAACCGCTTTCCAGGGGTCCATCATCCATTACAGCAAGCCTTCAGACATCAAGAAGGAGCTCAACGAGCATTTTCGTGATACTCATCCTAGTGTAGACCCGACATTGACTCTGACCCAGATCCGGAGGGTGAAGGAACGACTTATCAAAATCGGCGAGCTGCAGGACTTGGAGCTATCGAGCGTGGCCTGCGCATTTGTGTATTTCGAAAAGCTGGTCTTGAAGGTATGCCGACCCCTAAGCGCAATCACTCAATGGTCGGCGAACTCATGCCAAGGATACAGAATATGGTCAATAAAGAAACGCGACGACTGGTTGCCGGTAATTTTCTCGTCCTTTTCTGAATTGGCAATTTCGGCGCCATTGTATCTTAACAAACGTCTGGTTGCATAAACATAGCTGTATGTCTAATCCTCGCTTCGAAAGTTAACGACCCAAAAGAGGTCGACTATACTAAACTTTTAGAGGTGGGACCGCATCTATCTGCTCGATGGCTTCACGCTTACTGACACGCCTTATCTATCAGAGCGCCGAGAAAGTTCTCGAGGTGCCAAGGAAGGACATCCTAGCTAACGAGTTTGTGATCTACACGGCACTGGAATTCACACTCTACGTTCCTCTTTGGGAGGTTATGCCGCATTTGGAGAGAATCATCGACGCCTCAGGTACGTAATCTCAACGGAAGAACACGACGAAAGTCCAATCTCATGACTTGTTTCTAACGTGCAGCACATAAAACTGTCGATGAGTATACGGGCGAGAACGCCTTCTTCGTGCACCGCCATGCGCTGACTTCGACTTGATGATCCTTTCGGATGGCGAAACTTCGTTGTATAAAGGTTTTTGGAACTTAAGTTTTGCCCCGATATTCTGGCCGATTGCATGCTTTGGTTGATTATGTGTCTTGAAGGGGAGAAGTCCGACTCCTACCGTATCGCATTAGGAATTACGCTGTGTAAGGGCTTTTGGAGAGGATTGGCTGAAATCCGCGGAAGGCGGGGGTGCAGAGTTCCAAGCAAGGTGGCGATTCTGCAAGCTGGGTTTCTGGCGACAGCCTTTCTTTCGATGCAAGAGTTCCAAATGTGGCGTCTACGTTATTATGAGTCAACTGGTCCGGCTTCCAGGCACCCGGGTACGCGACAGCCCTTGCGTAGGTGGTGCTTCAGGTTTGCCTCTTTCGGCGCGATTTTGGAGGAGGGGCGCTAGCAGCTTCTCCACTTCCATCACCGTCGACGTTTCTCCGCCTCTTTCCACCCCCAGGAGCTTTGCCGCCCCGCGGACGCTTCGGTTTCTCAACGGTAGACTGGGGCACCCCTTTCCATGAGTCTACGACTGTCCGGATGCGCTCACTAGAATGTGCTTTCGGAACCGCAGTAAAGAAATTGTCCAGGCGGGTTTGCTTCTGCAGTTCCGCCTTTTGCCGAGCCATCTCCTTCAATAACGGGATCATCTGCTGGTCTACTTGGCTCGGCGTCCATCCAAGTCTTTCCTCCATGAATTCCGAGATTCCGTGGTGATCCGGCTCGCCCCACTGAAAGGCCGTGGTATCCTTGTCGACTTGAGGATGAAGGTAAGCGTCGCGAACCCTGGAGTCGGGGAACGCCAATGGGACCGGATGTTGCCTCAGGATCTTGCCCAATTTGCGCTTGACCGGGTCGGCCTGAGCAACATCCTCCAATGCCATCACTCGCGCGCGTTCCCAAAAACCTTTCAATTCCTCCAAGGGCTCCAATCCTTCCCCCGGGAATAGGTTCAACGCTTCCATTGCCAAGGTTGGCCCGACACCTTCGATGCCTGGAGTGTAATCACTGCCAAGAAGGTACGCCAACTGAATCAACTTGTCGCGCGTGAGCGCCATGCCGGCAGTCACGGACTCCATGGTGTATTCTTCGACATATTTCTGCTGATTGAACATATTTTTGTATATGTTTGTCCCACCGAACAGGAACACGTCGGAATCGTCGGTGACAATGCCGTCCACCAGCTTCTCCTGCACCAGGAACGCGCATTGCGACTCGGCCTCCATTGGTGCTCTAATGTACGGTAATCCGAATAGGCGTAAAAGCGTTTGAATCTCCGTTATCATTTGAGTGTTGATGTCGGCAGCGCCTGCCTGTTCTTTACGCTTCCGCCGATTCAGAGCCATCATGTCGTCCTCCAAGCGTTTCGCCACTGCTTCCGGTTCTTGATTAGAGAGTGAGGAAAGGAAACGAGCGTACTCTTCACCCTCTTCCTCCAATTCCATAGGAACATCTATGTTTTCTTCTTCAACGTCAACGAACATCTGTTCCTGGTCATCGTCTGGAAGTAACGTCGACGAAACCGAACCTAGCTCGGGAGGCTCCTCGACGACACCGCGTGAAGTGGTGCTCGCTCCTCGAGGGAACTCGGACCCTTGGCCTGTATCTTCCATCCATATTTCCACCTGATCTTCTTCCAGAGTGGTCTCCATCTCTGGATCTGCCCCTTTATCTTCGACCCATACTTCCTCTTGATCCTCTTCCAGGGTCGTCTCCATCGTTTTGTCGGTCTTCCGGTCCTCTCCTGGCGCAGTTTCTTCACGCAACAACCGCATCGTTGGGTCTGGCGAGGTGCTCGTGACGGAAAGCGATGCAACCGATGTCACTTTCGCGTATGGGGAGACCAGGGAAGCGTTTTTAACGTCAGCATTTCTCGACTGCATTGCGATTTCGGATGGCCTTGCGTCAACTGTGACAGGTGGAGCAGCAATGTTGTCAGTCTGGTTCTCAGTCACGATGTGGGTAACATCTAATGCGGAATCAGTATCGGTTCCTCTAATGGTGTTCCTGTCCGCACGAATGGGAGGATCATCGTCCTCGGAGGAATCCTCCACAACGAAAGCGGCATGTTTCTTGGTTTTGCGATGGTCGTTTCGAGCGAATGGAGGAGCTATATGCGGTGCGGCAGCCGATTTCAGCATAGCAGGTGCGTGTAACGCCTTATTTTCCTCCCCGAGGTCCGCAACTTCAAGTGTTCTTCCGGTCCGTTCACGTTCGCGATCACCTCCATTCAAACATGACGGCTTGCGGATCTCTGGCGCAGTGGGGGCTTGCGACGTCGGTAGTCGGGCATCATTTGCATGTTTCGTGACTTCGATAACTCCAGAAGTCATCTCTGGTCGCTGTCTATCTGCCTGAATTGGTGACAGCTTGCTCGATCCAATGCGCCTATCGAGGCCGGAGCTCGAGCCCGAGGCGTTGGCTTGCAGAGTCCCTCCGGCCCACCCACCAGCAGGAGCAGAGTTGTTGTAAATCATGTCAAGTAGGGAACTCATAGAGATGTCGTCCGCGGCGTAGTTTCCTCCAGAGATCGGCACCCATGAAAGATTTGTATGTTCGGCTAAACCGACGGGGGACGAGCTATCTTCCGTCGACTTCCCTTTTCCAGCGTGAGCGTTCGCGAGCGGTTCATTCGAAGATACATTCTCGCGTAGAACCGAGTAGGTTTCCAGAAGGGCATGTTGTAGGTCAAGGTCAACGTCCGAAACGACAATCGGATCCTCAGCAATCCTTATCGGGTGCTCATCGTCCTTGCTTGCCGGCTCAATCGACAAGATTTCCTCAAACTCCTCGTCGCTGCTATCTTCAACAACATTTTTGAATGCTTTTCGGGAATTTACAGGTCTAGAGCGATTTGCATCGACCTCGATCCCTGCCACGGACTCCGGTATTACAATCTCTTCGAAGCTTTCTTGATCGCTCTCCAAGTCCCGGGCAATAGTGTTTAGATGAGGCATAGCCTCGCTGACCCCTTTCGAAATAGCATCGCGCTTGCCCGCCGCGCGACTCTCCGTTTCTTCGTCGGTGCTATCTAATCCCAGTATGTCATCGCTACTCTCATCACTTCCCACGACGATGACCTCAGGTTGCTTCGTCTTCTCCTCCTTACGCAAACGTTCGTTGACACTGCTGGCACGAATGGTGTACCCACTCTCATTATCGTTCTGTAACAGCACATACTCGCGAGCCCGCTCACTGGCGATGCGCTTTGGTTTATTTCTGAACTTTTTGTTGAACTTTTTCAAACCCGGATTGCTGCTCGTAACGCCGGCATTTTTTGCAAAGTCGAAAAGCGTCTCCGTGTAAACATTTCGTTGCACAAGGTGCTGGATTTGCAAAGAGGAGAATTGTAATGGATTTGCAACCGCTTTTGACAATGTTGTGTAACGACGATGATTGGATTGACGAGATTTATTCTTCAGTTCCGTTATGATGTCGTGCTGGGTTTCCACCGGTAGCGTCTTGAAGGAAGCATCGTTGAGACTCATTGACGACAGGTTGAGGTTCTTCCCGTGTTTGCCGACAAATTCGCGCATTTCCTCTTCAGAAATTAGACGAGGATCCATACTTGCAGCCGTAATGGTTTCGGCTACCGTATCTTCCAACTCGAAGTCATCCGCATCTTTCATCGCCGGACGTTTCTGCTTCTTTGCCGTTCCCGACACGAGCGAAGAGAGAGGCGCTGTAGGGTTCTCGAGCTGATTCAGATAGACCACATCAGCCGGGAGTTCAGTGAGAACATCCCCTCGTAATGATGTGTTCGCTTTCGCTTTTCGAGTGTTTGAAATCGCTGGTGCAGCGGCCACTGTACCAGTGACATTCTTCAGAGCAGCCAGTTGCAGACGCTTCGATAACAGCTTTTCGGCCACCTTGCTCAGGTTCACTTTTGCAGTTGACTTCCGCTTACGACGCTCAACGAGAGCGATGCGCTTCAATGTTGGTGCGTCTCCATCAAATACAAACACCGGCTTGATCCCGTAAAAAAGTAACTTGCAGACCCTTCGAAAGAATCCTATGATATGCGCGCCTCTAACAGGCTCTCCTTCAGAATCCCTCATAGCCTTTAAGAACTGATGCATCCAAATGCTGGCGTCTACCGCTAAAGTATTGCCGGACAGTGTTTCGAGGCGACGGGGTTTCCCGCTGCTGCCCAGCAGCTTCCATAGACTGGAAACACCCATTGGGCTTCAGAAGTCTCGCTTTTTCTCCGGAAACTTTGATCTGCGGGACCCTTGCGCTCCACCGTGACTGTGCAAACGGAAGTCAGCCCAAGCGGGTTACGAGTATCCAATCCACATCACCCGTCGCGCATACGATTTGTGCAGAATACGAATTCAGAGGGTTCAACGAATCCATAGGGGTCCGACTGTTCGAGGGAGGGTCCTGGAGATCGACTTGTCGGGCGCGTCACGTTTGCGACATGAGACAAAGTCACCTCCCCACTCTTCCACGCGCCAACGTGCGCTTTTCGTACGCATACACCGCTGCACACACCGCATCCGTACTGTATATCGTCTCGACTCCCACCGTCTCTTGTATGCGTGTGTCTCTCTTTGAGAGAACGGACTCAAACAGGGCAAGTCAAACTGGGAGAAGGGTTGGGCCCGGTGGGCCAAGGTAGAGTCGGAGAGTTCCCGATATGAAACAGCACATCAATCCATGCCTCCAGGCGGACCGGCCCCAAACCTCCCTACGCCCATCAGCCCTCCTATAGATTCCCCTCCGTAAAGCTTTTCCGTTCTTCCCTGCCCGTTGTCCGTCAACGCGGATTGTGTTGCGCGTCTTATTCATGGCTTTGACGTAGCAGATATAGCCCGCGTCCAAGGGAAATTCGCGAGAAATCGCTCCGAGGGACGCGTCGAGGCCTAAAAATCGGCCCGAGGCTTGCCGAGGGACTATTTGCAAGGCCAAGACAAGGCCCCGAGGATCGATTTGAGCAATTTCCCGAGAGGACAAGGGTTATATTGTATTTATCGCACACACCGTACAACAAATATTCTGCCTAAGATTTATAGTTGACACAGTTGATAACAGTCATGTGGCCAACCTTTGCATTGGCCAGGAAACTACCAAAGCTACGGGCTACATGGGCTGCATCTGATTCTACTCCGTCAGGAAGTTTGGATGCTTCATCAGCATCATCCGCATTGGCTGATTTGGGCCTCGCAGGAATCTTGACCTTCAACCGCTTGATAGGAGACTTGGGGGGATGCGCCATGGTGCTGACTTTCGTCTCGGTAGCCGTCCAGGAATTGATGGTTTGCGTGCCAACAATGATGGGCAGCTCATTCTCCTTTCCCTTGGCGTTTGTTGGATCGAGCACTTTAGCGACGGCAAGGACGAGTTTCCTTCATTTGAGAGTACAAGGCAAGGCCTGCGGCGCTGCGGTGTCCTGAAGTTTTCTGGGTGATATCCTGATGGACCCCAGCTTCAAGAAGTGCCGTAATTGCTGTGGCACGGCCAGAGTGCGGGACAAGCTTTCGGTCGTTGCAATCGATTCCAGCCTGAATGCACGCTTCTTTCAACCACTTTGAGATGGTATTTTTGCCAACGGGGGCATCGATGTACCATTTGCCGGATGCCAAGAGGTTTTTGGCTGAGTTTGCACGGACAAAGAATCGTGAAGTGTTCAGTCCAGAACGCTTCTCAAGGTATTTCCGAATGTCGGCAGAGGGTCCTGATTGCCCAACGGTGAGCGGAGTGACATTGACTCTAGCAACGAGGCCTTTAGCACGGCGGCCGCCCTGGTGATTCTTTTCAACGGTCATGGTTCTCTCAAAATAGTACTCCCCAGCAGCCATCATCTTCAGCTTAACCTCCATGCGGCTTGCCTCTCCTCCGCGCTCAACGAGGAAGACTGACAGGTAGAGGTAAACGCGGTGGAGAAGGCTTTCCGGCGTGTCCACCGAGCAGAAGTGTGATGTGGACTACCTTCCACACGGGTTGTTTAACTGATGTTCGTATACAATAACTACTTTGCTGTAAGGTATTGTAGACGGACTGGGTGTTCGTCGGCTCTGCTATGCAATATGTAGTAGAAGAACTACTTGTTGTGCATAGGAACGCGCGACGAGCACTGTTAAAGTACCCATGAGGTCGGAGCCAACTGGAGAACACTGTCGAGACGCGTCATAGGCCAGGAAATACCTGTATATTCCCATCACATACAGGTATTTTTCCCCAAGGCCTGTCTAACAGACGCGACGTGTCGTTCTCCAATAAGACCAGACACTCCACATTACAAGAAGGCTGAACCCAGCATAGTGCGAAATTCTTCAAGGCTGAGGTCAGAGGCTGCGTTGGTCCCACCATTGCCCATCTTCTGTAAGTTGGCCATCCTCACGTTGAGAATAGTACGTGCACCACGGAACTCAGTGTCAGACTGAATATTGACAACCCGGTTGTTTTCCTCCCCTTTGAGTTTGAAATAGCGGCCAAGACTACCAAAGCCAGTATCCAAGCTGGAGTCACAAAACTCTTCCCCATTGTCCATTTTGACCTGAATGATGAAGGCTTCCAAGTCCTGAATGGTTTGCGTGAAGTAGGTATCAGCTTTGAGGTCAAACAAATGGACCGTGCGGAAGCAGTTGTGGGTTCTCACCTTGTTCAATTGAGCAACGTTGACAGTGCCATCTTCATAGGTCAAGTGGCACTCTTCCTTGTACTGGTTCCATTTTTTGACCCACGTCTTTGTAGAGCGGACGGTGTTTGGGTTGTTGTCTGCCTCCTTAATCCTCTGTATCTCCTCCTCGGACAACGGTCGAAATCTCGGCGCAAGATTCTCAGGAATCAGCTTCCTCTTCAAAAGCAAAGTGATGGCAATGGTATCGTCAGGGCCTGGTTTGCAAGGCATGGCACTGGGCTTATTGTCCTGGTCCTCAGCCTCCTTCGACATTCTCTGAGTGTAGTCCCACTCTTCCTGAAGCCAGTCAAAGGAATTGCGGCGGCCTCTGTTGTAGACTTCGGGCTCTGGCTCTTCCTGGCCTGCGGGGAACTGTGAGAGGGCCTCCTCTGCCTCCATTGGAGTGAGGATAGGGTAGTGATCATCACCCATGTCAGACAGCATGTCGGAGGCTGGGGTGCTGATTGCAATGCTGATCTCAAGATCTGGGACGTAAGTTGGCAAGGCCGGGGTGACGACGGGAGACGTGGGTGTACCTTGGCTGTCGCGAGTGCCCAAATCCAGGCTGCCCTTCAAGCGATCGGCTTTGGTAATGTTCTTGAATTGAATTGCCCAGTCCTGTGTTTTCAAAAACAGATGTACATACAACGACGTACTGCTGGTCCTGGAATAGCACTGGTGTGATATTCCAGCGCATAGGTGCGTCGCGAAGTTGGTGCTATTTGACTTTCGAATAGCCCTGGTCTTCAATAGCACCGGTGTGCGATAACTCAGGCCGTCAGGCATTCCATGTTTTGCATGTGGATCCAGACTCTCGGCTCAACTCCCACGCGATTCCGCGGAAGCGAGACTTGTGGCCTCCTCACCTCCGTCGTGTCGAGAAACGCTAAAATACCTAAAACCTCGACCCATCGACCCATCACTGTACTCTCGTCGACCTGCATATACTTTTCAGAGGTGCCTTGGGTGGAACCCCGCTATGCAAAAAAGCCCCAAATCTGGAATCGCTGCCGTTCGCCCAACAACACCTCTCGCTCTCATCAAAGCAATGTCCGCCACAACCGTCCCCGCGGTGGCTATCGCCGCCGTGGCTCTCGTCCTTCTGTTCCGACGGTTTCAAAAGTTCCGCTACATAATACGGATGATCGGCCTTATCATCGCTGGTCTCCTCTCGAGCACGGCGGGCATTGTCGCTAGTCCCGTCATGTACCTCCTTGGCAAACCTAGCTCCTGTAACTGGGTGGTTGCCCGAACCATGAGGTTCTTGGGTCCATACTTCACGGGGATGAACGTGGTTGTGGAAGGCAAAATCAACCAAGATAACGTGCCATCTGTCATTGTATGCAATCACCAGAGTTCGCTGGACATCATTTGTATGTCCGTATCGAAAACATCGGTTTTGTCTGTACGCACTTTACTTTGGGCAGTCCGCTTAACCATCACGCACACACTGTTACAGGGCCGCCGTGATACCGCAGAACGTCGTCGTTATGGCCAAGCGGGAAATCAAATACGTTCCAGTGCTTGGCTGGTTCATGGCATTGGCAAATAACGTCTTCATTGACCGTGGAAACCGAACCAGCGCTATTGAGACGATGGCAAAGGTTGCTGTCTACTTGAAGGCAAAGAAGGTAATTGGTGGCATGCATCATACATATGCTTATGCCTCATTTCTCACGCTGTTCTCTCCCTTGCAGCTCAGTTTGTGGCTCTTCCCGGAGGGCACTCGTTCGCATCAGAGCGATGACTCTATGCTCAGCTTCAAGAAGGGCGCCTTCCATCTTGCAGTGCAGGGCAACATTCCCGTGATTCCGATTGTTTGCTCTACCTACCATCCCTATTACGACAAGAAGAACTGGTCTTTCGAGCCGGGAGTTGTTCACATGAAGGGTGAGACCGACGCGCGGCCCTTCGAAATTTGGCGTTCATTTGCTCACCATTCTCCGTTGTGTTTCCGGTGTGCAGTCCTCGACCCCATTTCCACCGAGGGCATGAAGACAGCCGACGTTGATGCACTTATCGAGAAGACAAGAGCCAAAATGCTCGAGGCGTTGAAGAGCATCAAAACACTACCTCCCACCTCATTGGCCAAACAGGGCAAGGTCGAATGAACCTCGTAACATGTAGCTACGAGAAGGCATCAAAGGGACGTGGAGCAGGACAAAATATATGCAATGGAGGCTTTGGATGTTCCGCGGCGTTGAGATTTTACTGATACGACACGATATTATATATAGAGGTTCTACTATTCTACTCAATTGACATTTCCATCGGGCCAAAATTCGGGAAGAACTTCCTGAAGTTCGTGAATATGGGAAATCTGAAAGTCTCCATGCTTAGGCTCAGCGCTGACATCGTCAGCGACGTGAACCGCCGTCCAACCAAGTTTCTACGCCGCGTATAGTTTAGGGTCAGATACGTCGATGCAGGAGCGCGTGTTAGCCGGTTAGGTAGCGTATATCCCGGTGACATACCTTCGCCATGTCTATGTTCGCAGCCGCATCATCCACTAGGTAGCATTTGCTCGGATCCGTGACGCCAGCGGCTTGCATAACCTGTTCATAGTAAACCTCTTCGGGTTTGCAAGGAAAGTTTGGAGTAGCGTAGTCGCTGATGGGACGTCAGAGGGCAACGAGGTTAGCATCCGAGGATGAGGGCAGCTGCGGTCGTGCTTAACATACCAGAAGGTCAGTCCAGCGAACTGATCTTCGATTCCTAGAGCTTTCAACACCCGTCCGGCGTGCTACGGTGAGGACATTTGTGAGGAGGGCCTACACAGATCCTTCATCAGCGGAAAGGTACACGTACAACTTCGTATGCATTTGTGAACTGCACAGAGCGGCGGATTTGTCAATAAACGAGCTCGGCCACAGACCCACATGCAAGCGGTAGCTTACCGCCCATTTTTTGACGCCCTGCATTGTTTCCAGCATCGTGCGGAGTTCAGGGTCTGGCTTCAGGAATTGCTCTAAAGGCAGTGCTTGATCGACTTCCCTGTCTACACCAATCGTTAGTCATAGTCTCCAACGGACGTTTGCGGGCATGTGGTGCAGGTTACCGTATGCCATCGGATCCACATCTGGACAAGAACGAAGCAAGCGTAAGTCAGGAGCCCGTTTCAGCTCATGGGACGTGCCAAAGTTTTACCATGATGCTTAACGAGCCCGCGAAGGGCTAAGCCATAGGTTCTGTAGTAGCGATGGTGCAGTTCAGTTGCTGCGGGAGTGAAACGTTAGACCCTCTGCTGTCCGATCGTGACCTTCAGCGTTTTTTATACCTTCTTCGTCCGGAAAGCCAAGCCGCTTGAAGTAGGCGTGGATCCTGAAAGGAGATTGCAACGCTTTGACCATCAGGGATCGGCTATGTAGTCGCTCAACACAGCTCGATGCTCCAGAATTCTCACTTTCGCCCCATCTCCCTGTAAATCCCGGTCGACTTGGGGTAAAGGCAATTGTCGATATCGAAGAAGAAGACCTTCCCCGAAGTCTCTCCGGTGCTATTTGCTGCCGCCATCCTGAAATGCGCTTTGTCGCGCCTTTGCCCTTGCCTTTTTCTTGCGTGCTGCAATGAGTGAAGTTCTGAATTTGAAGCAGTGTGGGCCAGCTGTAACATGCACATATGTAAGCGATGCTACTGTATTCTCACGGTTCTCACCACGCGCGCAGCCAAGTTCGACAGCGCGAAAGGCCGGATGGGAATAACTGCAGCACCAGTCCGACCCCGACCGTCCTTACCCCGGCTATGCAAGCTGATCGTCCTCCGTTGAAGGCATGTTTTCGTGCATGTCTCAGCAGGTAAGGAACGCTCATTGGAATATGAAAAGGCCGACACATTTGCAAAACGTCCATCCCGAGATGACACACTGAGTTTGGGGGGAACCGATCTTGTGAGCGAGGAAGCAGGGGAAGCAGGGGAACCCTTCAGACAGCCTATATCATATAAGGGAGTCCAGTCTCGCAAGATGCCGAAATGGTGATGTTTCTCCTATACAGTAAGTTATCCATTTGAAAAAACAAAACAAAGTCAGGAATGCGCGACGCGTTGAGGGGAAAACCATGTCCAAGAAGGCGAATGTAAACGTCACATTTTGGCTCCTAAATCGGGCATGCCAGTGGTCATTGCTCAAACACACACAAATTAGGGAAAGATACCCAACAGCCGAGACAGAGAGAATTGACGAGAATTTGCTAACGAACAGTGAACTCAGATACTTGGGAATCGTACGCATGTCAAATCCTGAAGTCAACCTCCCCGCTGCGCACGACGATGCTCTCTTACAGACGGCGCCCCCCCTTTATCGGGCGTCGTCAATGGTGACGATGGGCTCACTTTCGCTGCAGGACTCGAAAGCAGGTCTTTCGGCGGAACAGCTGGACGAGGCTCTGAAGGCGAGCTCGCCAAACTTAATGTATGCAGCCGTATCACTTGTCTGACACCTTACTCTTAGGCTATGCGCGACTTCTCCAGCGGCGAGCTGGACGGCCTTCTCGGCATCGACTTTGCTGTATGGAATTGGTCAAAGCCACGTAAGTGGAACCTGCAAGTATTGCGAAAGTGGAGATGGGCTTTAAGACTGAAAGTCTCGTTTCAGAGCTTTATGGAATCTGCTTGGGCATGTTTGTTCGAAACGGGCTCATACCTAGCAGTACAGCTTTGGCCCGCTTGCTCGATTTCATCGTAGACATGGCCGCCGGCTACTTCGACAATGCATACCACAGCTTTCTTCACGCCGTCGATGTTACATACATGGTGTACTGGAGTCTGGTTGACCTGGAATTGGCAGAGAAGTTGCAGTTTTCCACTGTTGATTTCGTTGCGATCTTGATTGCTGCCTTAGCGCATGACGTGCTGCATCCTGGTTTCAACAATCTATATCAGGTATACCTGTTTTCGCTTGCGTTTTCATTATTACCGTGATACTGACCGGCACTGACGATCTTATTCGAAACCTGACGCATAAGATCAATGCCAAAACGGACGTGGCCAGTAAATACGACAATAAATCAGTGCTCGAAATGCAATCCTGCGACCATCTAAGTGCGCTGTTGGCGAAGCACTCGTGTTTGTCTGGACTAGAGTATGGCGAAGTGGCGAGCCATCTGGTGGACATTCCAAAGATCATCGAAAACATCGCGATTGAAGCCATCTTGCATACCGATATGTGCCATCACTTTGAGCTTCTTGAGAAGTTGAGCTTCACGGCGGAAGAGGTTATCGGACCGACGGATGATTCCGTCGAATCGGTGGAAGGCAATGAGGAGGGCGGCTCCGATGGCTCCGTAGAGGAAGCCCCTCCCACGAGTGCCTCCAATCCGAGGACGGCAGATGCCAGTGTGCGACATAGTCTCATCGAAGCAACAATCGACGAGAACGACCTGCCTTTACCGCAAGTCGGATCGCAACGTGTATCGTTGAGCCGGAGAATTTCGGAAGCCCGCCTGCGACGCAGTCTTACCCCAGCAATCGATGAAAATCGGCAGCGAGATGATGTGGTACTGGATGATGTGCAGGAAGACCCTCAGGCCATCCTGCTGTCTAAACGTGGCTCCAAAGGTCGGCTGCGGAGAAGTTTCACCAATCCCACGGACGATGGTGATCGCGCGTTGCAAGAGGAGCATATTCTTCAGGCGGTCACAAAGAGACCGTCTCTGACGCGAATGCGGCGAAGCTTTACGGCCGCCATTGACGAGAACAGCGATGGTGAACCCAGCCCAGCCCCATCGTCTTCGCCGTCAAAGCGAGGTTCTGAAATTCGACACAGATTGAGTTACTTCGAGAATACCCTTCGCGAGGCACCTCATGAGACCTCGGAGGAGAAGTTGGGGCAATCAGAGTCGGACGAGGTGCCGGGGGAGTTGCGCATGACGCAGAGCCCTTCATTTGCGAAGTCGGAATCGCGCGAGGGATTGATGTCCGCCGAATCGTTGAATGCTGCAGATGCGAAACCTGACGATTCTGTGCTCGAACCGCCATCGTCGGATGATAGCAATCAGGGAGAGGGTCTTGCCATGGTGGGTGTCATTACACCACAGCACAGACAAATCATGACGAATGCGATATTACATGCCGCAGGTACGCTATGTCTACTCTTGTACTCTCGTTGGTACTGACACATCCGGCTGATGTTCCGTCTCGTGCCATTCTTGGCATAAACATGTGCCCCTCCCACAGATATAAGCAATGCGGCGCGACCATTGGAAATTTGCAAACGCTGGGCCGACATGGTTGCGGAAGAATTCTTTCTCCAAGGCGAACAGGAACGCCGGACCGGCCTTCCAGTAACACCAAGCATGGATCGCGATTCCATCTCTCCAGCTCAGATCGGTTTCGATTTCAACACTTACATTGCTCGCCCTTACTTTGAGGTCCTAGCTGAGATTTTCCCCACGACACGATGTCTGGCGGAAAACCTGATCAGCAACCGGAACACTTGGGAAAACATGGGCGCGAGCGCGAGGCCGCCGGCCTCCGGGGCAGCCGCGAAATCGAACGGCGATAAACCCGCCGATGACTCGACAGCCGAGTCGGATACCAGCAACAGCACCCGCGGGCGGCGGCTGAGCTTGGCAGCCGGGACCATCGAAATTCCGCAGGCCTACGATATATTCGTCATGAACGCTGCGAAACGGTACCGACATCGCTACAAAACCTCCCGCTCCCTCTCGTCCGGGCGGTCGCGCGGCATTAGCCCTTTACTCAACCACAATGGAATATCATCATCCATGTGGGCCTTTCGAGTCAACGACAGCCCTGGAGACTCGAACGTCTCCCTCGATTCGTCAGAAGCGTCCGAGTCGAATGATGACTTGACGGATAACGTGGCGCAGCTGTCCATCCTCGCCACCAAACGCCGCTTCCCAGCGAGGCGGTGCATGTCTATGGACGCGCAGGCCACAGACCCAAATGGGGTTTTGTTCCAACGGTGGAATATCAATTCTTTTGGTGGAGCGCGAGGGCAGTCAGTTCTGCAACGATCACCACCACGAAAGGAATCCACATCGTCGGCGTCGGTGCCAATGATTGACACGGCGTCAATCTCAACTTCGTAACTCCACGCCCAGTGGAGGAGATTTTGAAAATCTCTGTTTTTGGAAATGTTTTGGGATAGCAGAGCTCAACGCTAAACTTCATTGTTGCAGTTTCTGCGTCTGCAGCTACTGTAACTATCTTTTTTGTCAACTATCATGTCAAATGGTGGTCGAGGGGCGCCTCTGACGCCTGACTCTATGAGGTACTTGATCGCATCCTCGCTCGTTCAACGAGCGATGGACAACCCGGGGGGGAAAGTGTGCTTTTGTACATATTAAATCCAAGTATGAATTCTGTCTATTCGCGCTACCGTACTAGATCCCCCGTTCCGTTGGCGGGTCCAGTGTCATCCGTGGATGAGGATCGACTGGCTAGTCGTCTCATTTTCATTTTGGCAACGGCTTTGAGCTGCATACATAAAAAGAGGAAGATGTGAGCTCGCGCGGGATAACCGCTTCAAAGGCAGGAAGCAGTCCCCAATCCTCACCACGGTGAATAATGGTCGAACGCCTTTGACAGCGAGAACGATATCTTCTTCCGTAATATCTGGTACAGGGACACCGATCTCCTGTTTCCCCGGTAAGGGATCCCGTCCGTCTTCCGTCACCCATGGGTGAGACCGCAGCTGTTCGATCGTTATGCGCTTTTCCGGGTCCTTCTCTAATCTACAGAGCAGCGAGGAGAGGGTTAGCGAGAGAGGGTGATGATTGTGCATGGGGCTCCCTGAATGTAACGTACAATCTATGCAGGATATCGGATTCCGCTGGATTCGTTGAGCTTGGGATCTCTGGCTCGTCCTTCATAATCGTTTCGAATAGGTCGACTATAGAGGCTCCGTGAAATGGAAGTTTTCCGAACAGGATGCAATAGAGCGTGACGCCCATTGCCCACACGTCACATGCCCGTGCGGAGTGATTTCCATTGTGGGCTGGAAGAGAATAAGCATGTGAGTGATTGAATATGGAAATCCCAAGAACCGCCGAACGAAAGGTACTAACGAGCGCAAACCTCCGGGGCCGAAAATGCCGGCGACCCTGCGGACGTCTTGACCTTGTCATTTGCAGGGTCAAACATTTCCGATACACCAAAATCCACAATCTTCAACGTTCCGTCCTCTGCCAGGAGCATGTTGTCGGGTTTGATATCCCTGTGTGCTATATCGTGATCGTGCAAGTATTCTATTCCAAGGATCATTTGACGGAACAGTCGCCGCGATTCTGCCTCCGAAAGGGGTTGAACTGCCTTTTCGGTCGAGACGTCAAGGATAGCACCTCGGGAACAAAGTTCGAAGACCATCCACAGAGAGTCCTGTGCGGAGAATGCGGTTCGGACGTCAATTCGGTGGTGGCAGAATCCAGAACGATGCTGCGAGAGACATCGAGATATGCGGGACGCCTACCTGCTCCGGATCGTCTAGCACCTCGAACAAGCTGATAACGTTGGGGTGATCTAGCTTCTTGAAAATAGCGATCTCCCCTCTCACAAGATCGATGGGATTATCACTTCGACTCAGCGCATCCGCCCTTTGCGTTGCTGCCGCACCCCTTCCACGCCCTCGAAACCTCCCACGCGCCCCGAATGCCCCTCCTTCCCTCTGCAGCTTTTGTCGTCGTAACTTTTGTTTCGAGAACTCTTTGATAGCCACTGGTTCAGGGTTCGCCGGGTCGGTGGTGTCGAGACCGTAGTAGACAGTCCCGTACGCTCCGCGGCCGAGGGTCTGCATGAGAACATACTGGTTTAGGGTTCTGCTGCCGTCCTCCGACTCCTTCAGGACGGCGTTGAGGGTTTCCTTAATGCCACCTGTACGTACCGAAGGTCAGTGCGGTGGTTCGTTCAACAGAATTCGGGCGATATGAGAGTACCTTCTATCCCCGAGTTTCTTTTTGACCTGCTCGACGCCGGTCTTGAGGTAGGCGGACTTGGCTTTGGCGAAGAGGGCGCCGACGAGGGCGGGGTGGTATCCACATTCATGTGCGACATCATTTCTCCAACGGCCTGCATTGTTGGATTGAGAATTCAGCGAATCGGGAGGCAGAGGTTGAATTCGAACGACCCGACCGGGAAGAGATAGCCCGGGGGTCGGGTGTCTCTCTACGTGTATATATATGTACGTTTCTGGTTTTCCAGCGGTCGCCGCCAGGTGGGAAAGGTGACAAAACAGGCTTCCGGAAAGCCTGAGGATCGCCTCGAATTCAGGTCCAGCGCGAATATCAGAATCATTTCAACAGCCAGCCGCCCTGACAGCCGCCGTCAAAACGGTCGAGCGGTCAGCGGCCTCCGGCGGGCCGGTCAACTAAATAGCCCCCCGGTGACTTGGCCTTTCCCAGGCCCCGCCTTCAACTATGTACCTCCCTCCTTCCCGCGAGATATATTTTCAACTTTCTCTCAAGACTATCTATCCAATGAGGCTCGGTCCTGACTGCCCCATGGCGGCATCAAGTTATTCTGAAAGATCGGAGGGTCTCCCGGTTGCAGTGGCTTGCCCGCAGCGAACCACGCAAGATGGAAACTTGAAGCATCCGCACGGTGTGTGGTACGCCGCGGCGAGGGGAACGCAGTACTGCATGTCGGGACCGACAAAAAGACGAGGGGGACACGGCCCGGACGTCGTAAGCAAGGAGTCTGGTAAAGGCGCTCCAGCTCTGGTGGAAGGACCATGACCATCTGGCAGGGTGCTCTTGGCATCCAAATCCAATCTTCCCTCACAAAACTGAATAGACATGGGTCCAGTTTCCCCACAAGCGATGAACTCACAAAAAGTCGAAGTGTGCGCGAAATGCACGCATGCACGGTTCGCTCATCATGTTGAACACCACTTTTACGCTTCTGACAGCATGTTACTTTACAGCGTCCGGTGTCGAAATATCAAGTATGGCACGATTTCGACAGCTGCACAGTTCACCCAACCCCTCCCCGCCTTTCAGAATTGCTTTCTCCGACATTGCAATTGCTACCTAAACGCTGCGTTCGAAAACAGATTTGTTCTTCGAAGCCAATAATTGACCAGGTCTTAGTTGGATCCAGCGGCTCCGGGCACTAGAGACTTCTTAGTGTTACCGTACCAAGGAACCTTTCGTGAACCCCTACCAGTAATGGCGTTCGTCCACCGTGATCTCTGACCTAACCGGACCGATAAATCCGAAGTAGTCATCAATAAACCCTAAAGGCAGGACACCTCCACTCATAGAGGATCACCACAATGGATTTTCCGCCGACTCAGGTACGCCTCACCACCTCTTTCCACGTGATCTGGGATCTTCAACCCACTTGACCCTTTCAGACTCCGGGCTCTCAGCTGCAGCTGACGGCAGCCAACTGCGAAGGTGAGGATCTGTCCGAGAGTTCAGCAATCTTCATCAGCGAGAAGTGGTGTCTCACCATTCTTTATTTTTTCTCTTTCTAGAATATGCGGACCAAGTGGCAAATACAGCGTTAGGTGCGTTCTTTTCACGGACGCAAGCCATTTCTGAGGCTGCGATGACATTCACTGAATTGGTGTGGAATTCAGATATCCCGACCCGACTGCGAGCAGCTTGCGATCTTCGGGAGTCAATCGAACTCTTCCAGGACGATGAGAATCCGGAGGTCATGCACAAAGTGATCCCTAAGATCGCACAGGTTCTGAAGGATGAGGCACCCGTATTTATCAGCAACTCACCGGTTCAGGTACCTTTAATCCTCACATTTGCATATTGGGTCATATGCCAACCGTTCTCTCCTAGGAACTACGAACCACCCTCCTTGAAATCATACAAAGACTCCCCCCCACAGAGGCCCTGAAACCCATACTAGCCCATATCATGAACGCGCTGATGCGCCTTTTACGCGATGACAACGAGGACAATGGGGCCCTTGCCTTGAAGATTCTGGTGGATTTGCATAAGAACTTCAAGCCCAACCTGGATGAGTGGGTGCAGGGATTCTTGGAGACTGTGCAGCAGATGTATAAGAACATGGAAGATACCCTCAAAGAGACTTTCGAGGATCCGAAGCCAGCGAAGGTATCAGTTTTTCCCATTTCGTTGGATGGCAGTACATGAAAAGCTTATTCTCCAATGGGTTCTCAGATGGCGGAAACGGTTCCTTTGCCAAAGTCCACGGATCCCCTCGTCACTACGACCGATGTGGGAGAGACACCTCATCAGTTGCGCCATGTTTTGCATAGCTTCAAAGTTTTGGCAGAGTGCCCGATAGTCATAGCACTGCTGTTCCAGCTGTACCGCAAAGTTGTACATGTGAACGTGCCAGCCTTCGTTCCCCTGGTCATCAGCGTAAGTGGTGTACTAGTCTTTCGGGCATTCGTCGGACTTCCTTGTGATACATTGCCCGTGTAGTGCCTATCGCTTGTCCCTAGTCAACAACAGAAACACGTGGCCGAAGCAGATGCCAAGGAGATTGCCTTCGTGGGTCTGAGTCCAGACGTTCCAGATCGGGCAGCTATGTTTGATCTGCTGACACTGCAAGTGAAGGTAAGGCGGTTCACCTCACTTGGCTCCTTCTCATTCTCCTCACCTTTTCACTCCTTAGACGGTGTCATTCATTGCGTACATACTGAGGAGCTTCGTAGCAATCCTGAAGCCGCATCAGCAGGTTATCGCAGATGGGACTGTTTATCTGTTGAGATCCTTTCCTTGCGAAGTGGCAGCAACGAGAAAGGTGCGTCTCGGCGCGTGGCAACCTGGAGATCACCACCTCTGATGTTCTGTTCCTACGACAGGAACTGCTGGTGGCTACACGACATATCTGGTACACGGATTTCCGCCAGGCCTTTGTGCAACATGTGGACATTTTGCTGAACGAGGAGGTTCTCGCCGGTACTGGCGTCACAACTAGAGAAACGTTGCGGTTGGTCTCCGTTGTATGCATGTGGCGATGGAAATGTCCTGTTCGCTAACATGTAGACCCAGGCCAATAGCGCATAGCGTTTTGGTTGATCTGATTCACCATGTCCGGAACAACCTCACAACGGCGCAGCTGTCGAAAGCTATATATATGTACTCCCACAATCTCCACGACTCGTATTTCGCGCCCAACATTCAGACAATGTGCGCCAAGCTGTTGATCAATCTTGTGGATTGCGTGTCAAATATGACGGACAAGACAGAAGGTATGAGGTTTATATGTCCCTTACTGGACTGTTCACAGGCTGCTCATTCAATTGACTTCCTAACAGCTCGCAAACTTCTCTTGAAAATCATGCGCGCCTTTGGGCAGAAGTTTACCGCCTTGAAGTTGGCGTATCCTGTGATTCTGGAGCACCACCAGCGAAGGAAAGCCGAACCCGTCAAAACGGAGGATGGGGTTGTACCAATGGCCAACACGAATGGATATCTTGACCTTGGGCTGTCGCAACCCATTCGAACATACATGAGAGGATTCGAAGGGACTGCAGATGTCGCAAAAGGTAATATGCCTTTCACCTCGGCCTCCAAGCTTTTGGTACTGATCGAACATTGTAGATATTCGGTTCCTCTTCAAGAACCTTGTGCAAGGATTCAAATCCGTCCTGAATGCTCTTCGAGCGTTCAACGGGCCCATTCCGCCCAATTACAACGCGGAAGTGTGGGCAACCTTCGCACACAACTTCGAACGCGAGGATGTTCAACTGTTCGTCAGGATCTTGAAAGATGGGATGATCTGCTACAACTACTGGACACTGGACTACACTCGAGCGGAGGGCCACACCGCCACCGCCAGTGACAGACAACTTCCGCCATACATCGATTCGATAGAGGAGAAGGAGGTCTTTGAAGGGTTCGCGTCAACTTTTGCCCTGATCGAGCCTCCAGTCTTCCAAGAGATTTTCGCATCACAGATGGAGTTCATCGTCGATCAGACACTTCTCAATCCGACAGTGCTGTCACTTTGCCAGTACTTCTTGGCCAGCACCGTTGTCTCCACTCCGTTTGCCGGGCTGGTAGTTCGATTCTTGGTGGACAACCTCGATCGATTAGGGAACAGGGAACAACCTTACGCTTCGGTGATGCTGCGACTCTTCAAGCTTCTTTTCATGTCTGTTACGCTGTTCCCCGACAAGAATGAGGCAGTTCTCCGTCCACAGATCGGGCCGCTGATAGTCAAGGCGATGAAGCTCTCCACGAAAGCAAAGAATTCCCTCAACTACTTCCATTTGCTACGAGCTCTGTTCCGCAGCATCGGTGGCGGTCGTTTCGAGCAATTGTACCAGGAAGTCCTACCTCTTCTGCATGTTCTCCTGGAGGGCTTGAACTCCCTGCTGGCCGCATCGAGTACAAAGTTTCTGAAGGAGCTCTTCGTGGAACTGTGTCTAACAGTACCTGTTCGACTCAGTGTTCTTCTTCCCTTCTTGTCGTATCTCATGAAACCTCTCGTGCTGGCACTGGAGGCAGGAACAGAACTCGTCAGTCAAGGAGTGCGAACTCTCGAACTATGCGTCGACAATCTCACCAAGGAGTTTCTGGATCCCATCATGAGCCCGGTTATTACAGAACTTATGACGGCGCTCTCGCGCCATCTACGCCCGTTACCCTACCACACAGGACATAGTCATGCAGTGGTGCGAATCTTAGGAAAGCTAGGCGGACGGAACCGGCGTAACGTCAAACAGCCGAAAATGGAGGTCGCTTCCACTATGGAAAAGCTGGTGGAGTTACGAGTCTACTTTCATTCGGGAGAATCGAGGGTCATCTCTCTAGATGCTGTGCTTGAGCTCTCTGGTGCAATCTTGGACGAAAGGAAGAGCACTCCTCACTTTAGGCGACATGCGTTAGAATTCGTGAAGTCGTGTTTGCCTTTGCTTTTTGATCAGGAAGGCGCGGTTGAAGACTTTCCGGAAAGGCTAGCGGTACATGTTGCACGACTGAGCAAACAGCAGGCGATGAAATCTGCGCCATCTGATGACAAACAGCCGAGTGACAACTCTTCGGCGAATCAATCCGAAGAAAGCCGACCCTTCATGGATCCCCCCCTGATTTCGGCGGACAGGAAAGATGCTTATGACAAGACCTTGACCCGCGTCATAACAGCCTTGTTTGCTGCCAGCATCGACTCGGAACTACACGACGAAGCCTGGGGCTTAGTGGAAGACATTGTTCGTCATTTTGCGATTCTGAGCGTCGTTGAAATGTTTGAGGCGAGAGGGAAACCGAAGCTGGATACGCACAGGTCTCCCATTACCGCGGCCAACATGAAGATCTCGCGTGTCAGCGGGTTCATCGAAGCTGTTATCGACACTATGGCATCAGAGAAGACAGAACGACAAGATGCAGCGCGGAAGGCGATTCTCTTATTCTGCGAAGTGTGTGTCGAGATTCTGGGACCTGAACCAGGTCTCCTGGAAGAACTTCCTGCTCTGCATCGCCTTGCATCCCGATTTTGCTCGTCGTGCTATCAGCAACAATGGGTCCGAAAGATTGGTGGATGTGTCGGGATATCTATCTTTATAACGGATGTCAAGGTCGGCTTGCAATGGATGCTTGGTCATCAATTGGAGTTCGTTAAAGCCCTCATTTACGTCTTGAAAGATCGATCACCGGATATGGCCATGGGGAACGCCGAGGAGGCCACGCGGACCCTAGCGCGGATTTTGGAAGTGTGCAATCGGGTGGACGAAAACGTCCCTCTCACTCAGGAGCGCAAGCTCAAGTTCCATAGCTTGATTTCACTTCTCATCTCGGAGTTGTCGGACTCGAGTAGCGCTGTGCGCGATGCCATTCAGTCTTCCCTTCAGACACTCGCAACGATACTGGGTAGAGAGGTGACGGACCTGCTCGGACCGGTCAAGCACACGTTACTGCAACGGATCTTTGCGAAGCCTTTGCGCGCGCTTCCATTTGCAATGCAGATCGGGCACATTGACGCCATCACTTACTGCCTGACATTGAGACCGCCGTTGCTTTTGTTCGGCGACGAGCTGATGCGTTTGATTTCGGAAGCATTAGCCTTGGCTGACGCGGAGGATCAAGCCTTGGTCAGCAAGACCACGCAAACGAAGACTCTCAACCCTCTGACCAACCTGCGCGTTGTCTGCATCAACCTACTCTCTGCCGCAATGGAGTGCCCAGACTTTCAAACGCCGCGACAAGCGCAGATTCGAGCACGCATCGTCTCCGTTTTCTTCAAATCACTTTATTCCACGTCCTCGGAGGTTGTGGAGACTGCGAACAAAGGTAGGCACTTTCTTGACGGCCGTCGCCATGCTCTACCCTATGCTAATGTCTCGTACCTGGTGTGTAGGCTTGCAGCAAATTTTGCGAACGCAAGGGAAATTGCCTAAGGATCAATTGCAGTCCGGTTTACGTCCGATACTTGTGAACCTTTCAGACCCGAAGCGGCTGTCGGTATCGGGACTGGAAGGACTGGCACGCTTACTACAGCTGTTGACGAACTACTTCAAGGTGGAGATAGGGAAGAAGCTCCTTGATCACCTTATCTTCTGGGGGAACGCCACCATGCTTGCAGAAGCTTCGGGCAAACCGAATGGGGACGTCGAAGAGGTGAAAATCATGGCTGCCATCCTGGAGATATTTTCTTTGCTTCCTCCGACGGCAAACATTTACATGGCGGACATGGTGAAAGAAATCATTCAGTTGGAATCTTTCCTTCGCCGCTCAGCCACGAGTCCCTTCAGACTACCCCTGATCAAATTCTTGAACCGGTATCCAACTGAAGCCGCCACCTTATTCATGGAAAAAATCAAGGACACAGCGTACAGCGAGCTGTTAGCCGATCTTTTGCGAATGACCGAAGCCGACGAGTTTCGCTCGGCTATCGAAGCTGACGCGACGGGGTTGATTGAACGGACAATCGGTGTTGTGGGCGAGGGCGCGGAACCAGAGAGCCTGCGCTTCAAAGGCGTGATCATCGTTCACGAATTGGTGATGGCCCATCCGCAGTGGATTGTTGAACATCGACACGTCTTAGATGCGGTGTGCCATATTTGGCGTAAGCATTCTGATGGACCGGTGAAATGGAATGATTCTCGGCAGTCTCCTGAGCTCTTGACGGAGCTAATTGTCGAAATCTTCTTCCAATTCTTGAAGACTGATGCGGACGACGTTGACGTCCTCATGGATCTCCTACGAGTCTTTGAGCACGATCTCATGAACGATCCCGGCAGCGTAAAAGAATTTGTATTCCGGGAAATAATCTCAAACCGGAGCACAGCCTATAAATGTCGGGTCATCAAGCGTTTCTTGGAAGCATACGATGAAGAAGGCCGTTCGCAGGGGAGCAAGACGACCATCCTGCGGTTTCTGGTCAATCCCATGCTCCGTGTTACCTTTGAGCGGAAGGAAGCGGAGGGCCTGATCGACCCCGACATCATCACCGCCACACAGCAGAAGGTGTGGCTACCACTCTCCTCGGAATCTGGCGCATCCCAAGCAATATCCGATTTCCTCAAAGTCGAACTGTTGCAGTACACATGTCTGTTGGTACAATACGCCCCGGATATCATCAGTGAAACCCGGAACGATGTTATCAAATTCGCTTGGAACCATATCAAGGTGGAGGATGTCGTTTGCAAACAAGCCGCATATGTGTTACTGGCTCGATTCATTGAAGTATATGAAACCCCGCCTAAGATTGTCATCCAAATCTACGTTGCGTTATTGAGGGCTCACCAATCAGAGACCCCGCAAGGCCGCATACTGGTTCGACAGGCCCTAGATATACTCGTTCCGGTCTTACCAAAGCGCGCTGGCGCAGTCCCTGGAACCCCGGATGGACAGTCGGCACTACCTCTGTATATCCGCTGGACTCGCAAGATCATTGTGGAGGATGTTCACAACTTCGCGCAGCTGGTCGCGCTATACCAGATTGTGGCCCGATATCCCGATCTCTTTTACGATTACAGATTGCTGTTCGTCCGTCAAATGATCAAAGCCTTGTCAAGGCTGGCCTTTTCTTCGCACGCGAACCCCGAATCGCGGATTTTGACGATCGATTTATGCGACTTGCTGGTCAACTGGGATCTACCGGTGGCGGAGAATAAGGAGACGCCCGACAGAGATGAGCACAGAATGGACATATCCGAAGGTAAGCTCGAACAGACAGACATTCGCATGACGTGACCGAGTGAACTCAACTAAAGATTCTTTTGCCAGACGCAGGTCTACCCCGGAAGCGAACACCTGAAACCGAATTGGAATCTCCAAGCAAGAAGAAAATCCTTCTATCCGATGACGCCATGGTCATCGACACCGTGGTTGAGAGCCCCCTTGACGTTTCCCCTCCAGCTTCGGCCTTATCCACAAGTGTCATGTCAGTGGAGGACCATGAGCTTGTGATCACTACCCTGACACGGATCGCTTGTAACCTGACCGAGGCTGTGTCCCGGAAAGCCACGACGCATCGTGTTGTCAACTTGATCAAGAAATGCCTGCATTCATGGTCTGACGTCAAACTGGAGCTGGCGAGCTTTGAGAAGGCGATGCTGTTGGAGGTCTCTGACCTCCACATGGTGCAAGTCCTAAATTCGATCGAGATTTTGGCCGCTTTTATCGAAATTCGGCCAATTCAGTGGGTGCTCACCAACATCGCGGCGATACAAAGGCTCATGGAAAAGTGGATCAAAGCGGACAACGTACGAGTGGCCAGGGCTCTCGCTCCGCTGATTTCTAAGATCTATGATGCCAGCGATGAGACCCGAGCAGAGGATGCGACGGACACAGGAAACAGCTTCGTTCGCTTCATCGAATCCAAGATCAATTCCACCCTGAAGGAAATCACCGCGGGCGCATCTGCCGCAGGCTCATCAGGGAACGCCAGCTCATCAGCTCAAATATACTGCCTTCTGTCCCTGATGCAAAGCATTCCGTTCAAATCCGAGCACCATTACTTGGGAGATCTGATGAAGCTCCTTTCGAAACTTGTGAAGGATCATCAGGAACACGCTCCGACCGGTGGTCCTGTGTCTTTGGACTCACCATCACGGCTTCTGGTGCTCCTACTTCATTTGCTGAAACCTCGGGTATCCCAAATGGGCGACCATCGCAAGAGTTTCTTGCAGGCCCTGGTGCAACTGACGGACTTCTCTTCAGACATGGAACTTTTGCGAACCATTTTGACAATGGTCCGTTATTGGGTGCTCGTCGGGACGGAGTCTTTTCCCACGGCGAGGGAGAAAGCGAACTTGATGGATCGTCTTATGAAGGCGACGGAAAGGGACCCCAGGCTTTCTGAAGAATATCTGGATGTCGTTGCGACGATTTACAGCACTCCGAGCTTTACTCAGTCAGAATTGACTGTGCGTCTGGAGAATGCTTTTTTGAACGGAACAAAACATGCGAACCCAGCCGTTAGGAAAAAGTTTCGAGAGATCTTCGACAACAGCATTGGTCGATCCGTTTCGCTTAGAATCAACTACATCATCTCTGTGCAAAACTGGGACCATCTAGCCGCTTATTTCTGGCCACGACAGGCTTTGGACTTACTCCTTGGTTGCGCTCTGACAGATGGAAGCATTTTCAGTAGTGCGCCACAGGACAGACCCCTAGACATACTTAAGCTTCAAGCACTTGAGCCGGGAAGCGACGGACAAGAAACTGCTGGAACCGGAGAGGCGGATGCATGCAAAAGCCGAGTAAACGGAGCCCTGAAGCGTCATCGGCAGTTCTTGGAGACATTGCGGTCACTAAAGGTGTCTGGATTGATCGAACCCACGCGCAATCTCCTCTTCTGGGACAATGAGTTCGCGCACACAATGTGGGTCGAGCTGTTTCCCGCATTTTGGGGTATCATTTCATCTCGAGAGCGACATGACTTGCGGAAGTCATTGATCCCGCTCTTGGCCAAAGATTATCACGTGAAACAAATCGATACCAACCCGAACGTCGTCCGGACTTTGCTAGACGGCATCAACCGCTGCGATCCATCGATTCAACCAAAATTACCACCGCAACTGGTTCGCTACCTCGGGAAGACGCACAACGCCTGGTATACGACAATCGAGCTCCTGCAACAAACCGTCGTCGAGACGCGCTTCGCGGGGGCAGTTGCTGCCAAAGAGGATGAGAAAATACGAGAAACGACAATGGATGCTCTTTGCGAGTTGTTCGGTACTCTTTCTGAAGATGATTACCTCTACGGAATATGGCGCAGAAGATCAGTTTTTGCCGAAACTAATGCGGGGGTGTCTTTCGAATCCTGCGGGCTATGGAGTCAAGCCCAGAGATTGTACGAAACGGCGCAAGCGAAAGCTCGTAGTGGCGTTATGCCATACTTGGAGTCTGAATACCGTCTATGGGAGGAGCACTGGGTCCTCTGCGCTGAGAAATTACAACAATGGGATCTCTTGACTGACTTGTCAAAGCAGGAATCAAATTCGGAGCTATTCTTGGAGTGCTCATGGAGATTATCAGATTGGAACAGTGATCGTGATCTGTTACAGTCAACCACGGAAACTTTGTCCGATTCGAACCCTATGCGGAAGGTATATCAGGCTTACATGATACTGCTACGTCAGAATGAACGAGCCGCCACGCATTCGCACGAACTTCCTGCAATACGAAAAGAATTCGCGAGAGTTTGTGACGAGGGAATACAAAGTACCATCAAGCGCTACTTCGCTTTGCCGTCTCAAGCTACCAGCGCACATATTCCATTGTTGCACCTCTTCCAGCAATTTGTGGAACTGAGCGACGCTTCAGCCATAGCAGACGTCTTGAGCTCAGCAACGGCTGCAAACATCGTCGACAAAACGAACGAAATGAAGCCGTCATTATCAACATGGAAGGATCGCCTGCCAAATCGTTGGGATGATATCACGTTGTGGAGCCACTTCGTCGCTTGGAGGCAGCACGTGTTCCAGATGATCAACAAAGCGTACCTGCCTTTGATTCCACACCTCAATACTCAGCAAGGGATGGGCAATCCGAGAGATAACCCTAGCTCTCAAGCATTCAAAGGGTTCCATGAAACAGCCTGGATCATCAACCGGTTTGCCAACGTTGCGCGAAAACAGCAACTCATTGACGTTTGCAATGATTCACTGAGCAAAATATATACGCTTCCCAACATTGAAATTCACGAAGCGTTCTTCAAGCTGCGGGAGCAAGCAAAGAGCTATTTCGTCAACGCAACAGACTACGCCACTGGCCTGGATGTCATCAACAATACGAATCTGTTGTACTTCAATCCATCCCAAAAGGCCGAGTTCTTCGCTCTTAAAGGAGTTTTCTTCGCAAAACTCAATCTCCACGAGGATGCTGAGAGTGCGTTTTCCTCAGCTGTGCAAATGGAGGTTAATTTACCAAAGGCATGGGCTGCGTATGCTCAGTATCATGATCGTGTCTTCAAAGAGCGCCCGGAGGAAATCAAGTACGGCATAGGAGCTATGAACTGTTATCTCCACGCGGCAGGTGTCTATCAGAATGGTCGGGCTCGAAAATGTCTGGCTCGTATTTTATGGTTGTTCACGTTGGACGACAATGAGGGCAGGATTGCCAAAACATTCGATGATTACAAAGGGGAGACTCCGGTATGGTACTGGACGACGTTCATTCCACAACTGCTGGCAGCTCTGTCGAGCAGGGAGGCGCCTCAAGCAAAGGAGATTTTGAAGAAAATTGCCAAGCAGTTCCCGCAGGTGAGTCGACACACAGGATGAGCCGTATCCCATAAATCCTCATTTCATATCTGCATCCAGGCCCTCTATTTCCAACTGCGCACGACGAGGGAGGAGACATTGGCCTTGAAAAAGTCGCAAGCTGCTGAATCTCAGCGAATGCGACCACCAGAGCAGTCATCGCAGATACCCACCATACCCGAGAACAGTGTTCCGGGCCAAGCGGACGGCCCCACTCCGACGAACGCAGCGAATCCCATTCACGTACCGGCCGCCCCGCGCAAGTTTCAGGCATGGGAGCATGTGGAGGAAGTAAACGCTGTAGTCAAGACTGCGTTCCCATTACTCGCTTTGTCGATGGAAACCATGCTCGACCAGATCATGCAGCGTCTGAAGCCAACTACGGATGAGGACATATATAGGCTAATAGTTGCTCTATTGCATGACGGGCTAGCGATGTACATCCAACAAATGACTCGCGATGCAGGAGACCAGGGCAGTGGTCTATCAACGGCAACGGAGCTGAATCTTCTTCGATTTTCGGAGAGCATGCAGCCCAATCACATGAAGTACAAGGCTGCCTTTGAACAAGACTTCATCAAAAGCAAACCCAACCTCGCGCAACTCGTGGACCGATTTCGAGAATGGCGCGACAATCTGGAGGTATTACTAGATTCCAGGCCGAAGAAGCAACACTTGGAGCACTTCAGCCACTGGCTTGTGGAGTTCGAGTACCAAAAATTCGAAGATATCGACGTTCCCGGGCAGTATTTCCTCATACGCGACAACAACAAGGACTTTGTGCGCATAGATCGTTTTGAGCCGGAGGTGGATTTGATTCGAAGCACCGCTGCTTGTCACCGTCGGTTCACCATCCGGGGCCACGATGGGACATTCCATCCTTTTAGCGTCCAGCATCCGGCCGCGAAGCACTGCAGGAGAGAGGAGAGGATAATGCAACTGTTCCGTATCTTGAACGATCTGCTAGAGCGGCGGGTCGAGACCCGAAGAAGAAACCTGTCATTCCACCTCCCGCTGATCGTACCTTTAGCACCTACTGTTCGACTCGTGGAGGATGATCCTAGTTACGTTACTCTGCAAGAGGTTTGGGAGCACCACTGTGGTGAAAGGAAATTGCACAAAGACATTCACTCAAAGCATTATATGGACCGCATGCGAGAAGTGTATGCCTCAAACAATTTCGACAAGCAAGGGGTAAGGCGTACCTGGTGTTCACTTTTGTCACTGCTTTGTCCTTAACTTTGTTACGCAGAAACTGGACAGGGTGCAGCTCCTCAATTTCAAAGCCGAAATCTGGGAGGACATTGCGAACAGATTTATGCCGGAGACCATCTTGACAAAGGTAACGCATGATTTCTTAGGATGGCCTAATTTGTTGGCCCCGGTCTTATCGTCACCGTCTTCAGTTTATGACAAGAGCCCTGAAGTCATACGGCGACTTGTGGGCTATGCGGAAACAGTTCACTCGATCTCTAGCAGCCAACACCTTCATTACGCAAATCACCAGCATCGGTCCACGACAACCGCACAAAATCAGCATATCGCGGCAAACCGGAAACGTATGGTTTCATGAACTTATACCAGGTATTCTGATCGTTATCCGCGATGAGAAAGGCTTCTCATCATATGCTGACAAATGCATACATTGTCTCTCCATTAGGAATCTCCCATACCACATTCTTGTTCACGAACTCCGAGCCGGTTCCCTTCCGCTTTACGCCGAATATTCAGCACTTCGTAACCCCGATAGGTGTCGACGGGGTTTTTGCTCCTTCCATACAAGCCATTGGAAGAGCGCTAACAGAGCCTTCGGTGAGTCTAAAATGATTACTGGCGATCTTGCCACGACCGGCTTGCTCACTACATCGTTCTTCCTCAGTACGAGTTTGAGGATTATCTGAGCATATTTGTTCGAGATGAGCTCATCACCCACCAGCAACTGTTCAAAAAGGCCCCTTTGCAAGAACAGCAGCTGAAGGAATTCACCCTCCAAAATTGTGATTTAATGCTGAAGCGGGCCATAGGGACCTCATGCAGAGAAGAGCGCGAGAAGGTATTTAGATCATCACATTGGCTTTTCCGCTGTAGAGCGACTACTGATCATAGGACAACGTGCTTTTCCACTTTTTTTTCCATAGGGAATCGACGGTGCCGAACCAGCAAACCAAACTATTCTTGACCTCATCTCGAATGTGGTCAATCCTCACAAGCTCTGCCAAATGGATGTCGCTTTCGTGGCCAGGCTGTAGAAAACCCCTATACGCCATGGAAGATTCGCATATGGCCGACCTCAGTTGAAATCTGTTCTATATATATCTTTTTTGCGCTGATGGTATACTTTTTTTTGGCTAAATACAATGCAAGCTACATACATATGCTACTCATGCTCGGATCGAATATGAAATCATTGGTGGGGTCGCGAATCGTGGCCTAATTGAAGTCCTCCGCAGCTCAACTGATCCATATGGCCGGAACTGCTCACGGCGCCAGAGACGGGAATCTGGTCAATGTAACCCCTAACCCTGTCATTTTAATGTCCACCATTGGTTTTCCCAATCTTTGCTCTTGCTCCTGCTGCCTGAAAGTCTTAAGCTAACAGTACGTACTTCTGAAGCCGCTCCGGGATGTGGTGGAACAACTTCTTCCCTTCCAGCCATGATTTGCTGAATAAGCGTGATTGATACCTATACGCTCCATCGCAGATGACAGTCGCGATTTTCTTTCCCGGCCCCATTTTTTTTGCCATCTCCACTGCAGCAACAACATTGAGTGCCGAACTAGCCCCAACAAAAATGCCCTCCTCATCCAACAGCCTGTACACCATCGCGATGGTCTGCGAATCAGGAATATGCAAGGCATCATCGAGTAAATCCCAGTCGGGGGCGAGGTTGTCTGTCAGTCTTCCCTGACCGATCCCTTCCGTAATGGACGATTCTCCGGTGCGCACGAGCTCGCCCTGCTTTTTGTATGCATACAAAACCGAGCCGGGGGGATCCGCTATAAAGCATTTGATGCGTCCATTCGATTTCTCTTTGAGGAAACGTGTAATGCCGGCTAGAGTGCCACCTGTGCCTGTCGAGCAGGTGAAGCCATCAAGTTGGCCACCATTCGTTTGACGCCAGATCTCCGGACCAGTGGTCTCGATGTGAGCTTGACGGTTCGCAATCTATGCGTTTTGTTAGAATCCCAGCAACATGAGTTATAAAGGCCCTTTATGACATTGCTCTTCGCAGAATGGACGTTGAAAATCATACGTTGTCAAATTGGTTCGTCCAAACGGCGTTCGATACGCTTTCAGCATAATCCCGTGCCTGATGATTGTAATTCGAGGGGTCCGTGAAGGGCACTGCTGGCACTGGTCGAACGTCGGCTCCCAGCATGCGCAGCAAGTCAATCTTTTCCTGACTCTGCGTATTCGGCATGTATCTGCAAGGAAGCGGTTGACATTAGCGTCGCTGCAAGGGGCGAGAACGCACCTTTCCGCCAAGAGCTTACATGACCAGGTTGTAACCTAAGGAACGGCAAATGTGCGCCAATCCTATCCCTGTGTTTCCTGCCGTCCCTTCGACAACCGTCCCACCCGGTTTCAAGAGCCCAAGTTCCTCAGCGTTTCTTACAACATATAGGGCGGCGCGATCTTTGACAGAACCTAAGTGACGGGAGTTAAAACCAGTACGTGTGTGGGAGGATGCACACGGAGCTGGCTATACCTCCAGGGTTCATCCACTCTGCCTTCCCGTAGATGTCGCATCCCGTCTCCTGGCTGACTCTGTTCAATCGTATCAGCGGGGTGTTACCGACAGCCCCAACCAGCGTGTCCACAACCGTGGCATCCGTGCCAATTTTCGAATAGCTTCGGAAGGGCGTGCGAGGTAACAGAACCGGGGAGCGGCTGGACTGCAACAGTCTAGCGCTCTGCCGTATCAGTATCGTAGTTGCAGTAGTGGAGGTGCGCATTGCTAGTTCTCGAGGGAAGAAATCGTGTGAGTGGAGGGTTCGTGTGGTGTCAGTTCCCGAAACCTTTTCTGCGTAAGGTGCGCGCTCACACGGGGGTGCCGAGGAGCGGAGAGGGGTTGACGCACAGACCGACGTCCCTCTCGCATACAGTATGGGCTTTGGGCGTGGGCGTTGGGAAGAAGGGTTGCGCGTTCGGGAGAGTGTGCAGTTCGCAGGCGGCGCCGCGTGTGTGAGGCCGCGAGATCGCATGCGGGCGTGGTCTTCAGTTGCGACGCGCGCTTGTCATCGACCACCCGCCCTTCCTCCGACAACCACTGCAAACAGATCACGACTACTTCCGAATCCAGACGGGTGTTCACATGTCCATGAATTGACTTTCCAGAGAAGCTCTCTCCCTCTACTGTAGTGTTGCTGCTAGCTAAGTTTTTTGTTGTTACTTCGCATATATACTCGCTTCTATGTCTATGTCTGTGTCCAGGAGTGGGATGATGACGGTGGAAGGCGAATGGGAGTTGGTTGGGGAGGAAGCCTTGTGTGATTACGATGAATGATGCTTCTAATTCGGTTGGATGTGTTGCTATGCCGCCTATGAAGCTTTTGGCGAGGATGGGTCCAAGCTTCGGTTTTGGAGCGCGAGGTCCGGAAAGGGCGCGTTTTGGCAGACTTTTAGAAAACGCACATTTTTTTGAGATGTTGCTGGCACCTTTTAGTGGACTGCTTTTTGTTCTGTTTTGGTTCAAGTCTTCTTTATTACATACATGACATTTTCCTTACACTGGGCGTTACAGTTTGCCACAATGGGGTGACCGCACGGCCTTAGCGCCTGCTTGATCCGCATTCGAGGCATGGATGGTGTCTCGCTCGTTTCATTCAATCCCATTTTTGATATCGTGCGCCGTTCCCTCCTGCACGACCGTGTCTCAGCCCTCTACATACATCCCTTTCAATCAAAACCCACACATCATCGTCCATCCTGATCCCCAACACCTCAATCACACCCATCCCCCGCACTTACCCCCACCCTCTGATCTACTCAGTCTTCCCCAACGTCAACCTCGTCAAATGAAAATCCGCCAACCGCCGCTGGTTGACATCCGACAGATGGATGTTGTCGCTCTCCTTCCACCGCTGGCTGACTGTTTCGAGTTTCTTGTGCATTTTCCCTAGTGTTTCCTGCCAAAAAAAAAGCATCATATAGGGTTCATCCGAGAGGAAGACGTGGACAATGGATGTTTTTTGTGATACTTACATTGAGCATGCTTTCAAACTCGTTAGACATGTACGACATCTTCTGGTGCTGGTCTTCGAGCGCAGCTTCTTTTTCAGCGACGATCTGCGCGCATTCACGGAGGGATTCTGCTAGGGCTGCTTGGGAGGCCGCTGAAAAACAAATGAAAGGGGGCGGGGGGGGAGGGTGATCAGTGAGGGGGGGGGGGGGGGGGGGGGGCTCTTATGGACACGTTCTGCTCGCCTTTGCTTGGCCCCATACTCACCCAGCCTCCCTCCCAACTCCGCCACAGTCCCCTCCAACCCCGCCACCTTTGCACACATCTCGCTCTGCATCGCCTTATACTGCCGCCCCATGTCCGTGCTCAGATCCATCCGATCCTTCCCCTTGCGTTCCACCACGTCCTCCAAATCTGTTATACGCGCACGTTGGGACTCGATGGTGAGTTGGAGACGGTGGGAGAGGCTGGATTGGTGGGCTACATGAACGAATACATGCACAGAGAAAGAGAGGGAGAAAGAGAGTGAAGAAATGAACACGGAAGATGGACGCGGGGGGCTTGTTTTGTTTTTGTTTTTCACGTACCGAGCTCCCTGGTAAGCGCCTCATTCTCCGCTGCGGCTTTCACGAGTTTTTCTTGGAGTTCCAGATCCTGGCCAACTGAACGGAAAGCGTTAGCCTGCGTTGGATGTGATATTTTTTTTTTTTGGCAACCCTGCCCGTCCCTCCGGGTGAGAGAGAGAGAGAGACAGAGGGAGAGGGAACGCACCTACTTCTTTACTCTTGGAATTCTTTTTGGCACCGCTGGCGGATGCGGGTTTCTTTTTTGGCGGCATTTTTTTGTGGAGGCGGGTGGATGTGTGTTTATGTACAATATATGGAGGTCGGAAGGGCTCTGTTTATCGTCCTTTTTTTGCGGGGAAGATTGCAGAGAACAGCGAAGAACGCAAGATGTAATTCGAACACCGAATGTGCCGAAGATGCAAGATCGCCAAATCTTGTAAAAAAAAACACCGAGTTGAGAAAGAGGTGCACCGAGCGGGGGGCGGGGGGGGGGGAGGGGGGGCGTCTATGTAGGTCGAAACGAGGAGGTGCTGCCTCAAGGTCAAGCAGGTCAAGACGCGTTGGCCTGCGTTGGCTCTTCTCGCGAGAATCCCGTGAAAGCCCTAGGAAGCGGCGTGCCAGCCTGGACCTCTCCGTCTGTTGCTCAACTTCGCCCGATGAACCCCCTACATATACCCGTTAGGTGCATCATGCTGAAAGGAGGTGCCCCGAGGACGCTCCACCGCTATGCGCCGGTCATCCTTCGGCAAATCGGCAGCCCTCGATGCCCGGCAACTTTGCGGCAGTCAGCACGAGCCCTGAACTCCAACGCAACGCGGTTTCGGAGGAATTTACTCTCGAAATTCCTGGTTCCCACCGCCAAGTCGTCCCGGGGAACAGATAGCGGAGGCCAGGTCGCTGCCAGTCATGGGTTGCTATTACGCGCCGGGCTTATTCGCCAGGTAAGCCCACATAGTGCACTGCCGCAGTTCTCACCATTGCGACACTAACCTGTACTTTCAAGTCTGCTGCAGGCATATACAGCTTTCTACCGCTGGGATTGAGAATTTTGGAGAAGCTTGAGAAGCTGATCGATCGGGAGATGCGGAGTGTCGGTACGGTACCACATGAGGGGATATCCAGGGTTGCGCCTCACTGGGATAACTGACGAGGGATGTTGATAGATGGACAGAAGGTTGCCCTGCCATGCATATTACCATCAGACGGATGGAAAAAGACTGGGCGCTGGGAGTCCACAGGGAGCGAGGTGGGTACTTCCTATGGTTGGGCGTAAACGTGGGCCAAGCCGACTTGCTGAATCATCAATTTGCGTACAGATGTTTAAGCTGAATGATCGGAAAGGCAGCGAGTTCTGCTTAGCCCCTACGCACGAAGAAGAAATCACACAGCTGGTGGCGTCTGAGATCACGTCGTGGAAACAGTTACCGTTGAGGCTATACCAGATTGGTGAGGTCGATACTTGCTGGCTAACACATCATATGAACCAGGCTGAATCTCGGCCGACTAGGTCGAAAGTATCGGGACGAAGCCCGTCCGCGGTCAGGCCTCCTCCGAGCACGGGAGTTCATCATGAAAGACATGTACACTTTCGATGCGTCGGAGGACGCTGCACGCCGTACATATGAAGAAGTCCGAGGCGCGTACGACAGGATCCTCAACGAGATTGGGATACCATTTGCGGCCGCGGAGGCAGATACAGGGAACATTGGAGGGTCGACGAGCCATGAGTATCATTTCCTCTCACCAGGTAATTTGCATCTTCATTCCTTCTGCAGATGTTTTTTTGGCGTTCGCTAATACCTGTGCGTAGCTGGGGAGGATACCGTTCTGCGATGCAGCAACTGCGGCTACACTGCGAATGATGAGCGAGCGAGCGGTGTTATCAACACGAATCGTTTGCCAGCGGAACACCTACGCCTCCGGTACGAGGAGGTTAATTCCGGCAAACATGGCTTTGCGCGGGTTGAAGTTCCCAAAGGCAGGAGCGTCAACTTCATCAAATTGAAGAAGGCCGCCCCGGAAGGAATCACACTGGGGAACGACACCACCGCGCATGATGGAGATGCGACAGACAGTCTGGTCTTCGTGGATAAGAATGTCCCAGTATCCGAGGTTCATAGCGGCAAGAGTAATGTGATCCAGGGAGACTTCATAACAATTCAAGAAGGAGACGGGTGTCCTCACTGCCACGCCTCCACCACAAAACCTTCGACTACCATACAGCACGCTCTCGCCTCCTCTCGCGCCATCGAGATCGGCCACACGTTTTTACTCGGCACGAAGTACTCCAGGGCGCTCAACGCCATGATCAAAGACAACAAGAACGAGCTCCAGCCCATCCAAATGGGCTGCTATGGCATCGGCGTTACACGTATGATCGCAGCTATAGTTGAAGCTAGTCGCGACGAGAATGGAATCAAGTGGCCGGGGAGCATCGCCCCGTTTAGAGTGTGCGTGATTCCGTTCTTGAACAAGAAGTCTTCGACTGAGGAGATGGACGCAATCGAAGACGGTGTGAAAGCACTTTATGAGGGCTTGCGGGGCAAGCTAGACGAGGAAGATATTGTTGTGGATGATCGCGCAGACATGAGTTTCGGGTTCAAAATGAAGGATGGGCTACTGGTGGGGTACCCCCATATGATCATTCTCGGCAAAAAGTATTTACAGGAGGGTTTGGTTGAGGTGCACTCTCGGACTACCGGCACCGTTGAGTATTGCAAGGTTGCTGATATTGGGGCATTCGTGGATCGATAGATTGTGCAATGACTTGCATAGGTCTTTGGCGGCGTAAGATAACGTATTTATGCAGATAGACTAGATTGAGGCCATGCGCCATGATGTGCGCACACATGTCTATTGGTTGTCTGTATGAGGTTTGTCGCTCGAATCGACAAAGGCTTGGCAGATTGCCAGGAGGAAGATCGAGAGGCTGATGCACTGCGTGCCATCGCAGACGAGCCGAACTTGGTGCCACCGCCAATCGGAAGTAACCCGTGAGTTCTACTTGAAGATCGAAGCAATGGTGTCCTTCACGTTCTTCACAGCGTCATCAACAAATGTGAATCCTCGGCTCCCACTTCCGCTGGGCTGATATGCGATGTTTCCCCCTTGCGCAATGTTTCGGAACGTGCGAGGGTACAGATAGACAAATGCGGCGAGCGCGAAGGCCGGCGGAGTTAGAGCTCGGAGTCCAAGTGATCCTGTAAAGCGCGCGTTCAGCTGCGTTTTCACAACAGTGGATGGACCAAGCAAGAACATACGTCGTTTAGTCAGTATAGATCCGGCAAATCCCGCTAGCGTGACGTACAGCACGCCTGGCACATAGTTCTCGTCGTCCGCCTTGTAGCGCCCAATCGTCCCTATACGACCATGACACGTCAGCATGCAGCAAGACAACCCCAGCAGTCCTGCGTAGACAGCGCACCTCCGATCTTCTGCTCAACTTTGATCCATTCATTAACAAGTTTTTGCGCTTGAGCACGGGTAGTGGAAAATGCTGCTGTCACGGTATGTCTTGTCTGGGAACAGCAACGGCCATGTTATCGATGTGGCCACGGTCTTTGCCGGTATCCGCCTATGCAGATTTCCTTTCCCCTACCTCTCGAATCGCCAACTCCAGCGAGCTTGGTTCCTCCGGTCTGACGGTCAGGTCACTTGGACCGTCATAGATGCTAAGTTTCTCTCGTGGCGGGACGTACGCTGCCAGAGCTGCCGAAGATGGTTTCGACGATGACCCCTCAGTATGTACATCCTTCGCTGTTACTGTAAGGACCGCTAATGCTCCTGCCGACAAGCCAAGCACCAGGGCTGCTCTTCTTTGCTAAGTGGTAGAGGTTTTGAGTCCATTTTCCCACTGTCGGCCGACGGCTGTGAGCAGATCGACTGCAAGCCATCCTTTGAACTTACGCTTGCATTTGGTCCCGGGTGTGGAATTGCTATTACTTTGCTTCTCGCAACTCTCGGGGCGTAACGAAAGGACATGGCTGATGGCGATGAGTCGTAAGTATTGAGGCGGCAGTTGGAGGTTCAATGCCAGAGGTGCCGGAAGAGCGGAAGTATCATCCAACAGGGCCGGAATTAAAGTGTTTTTTATGTCACATGACAGACGCGGATGGAACATTCAGAGACGGCCAGAAACGGCCTTGTTCGACGCTCATCTTGAGGGAATTGCGACCATCCACCACTCCATCGTAGAGCCCAAGTGACGGTCGACACTCGAGCAGAACCCACGCTCGATACCTCAGCAGCCGTCGCTCGATACCGTACCGGAGGGATTTCGACCAGAACCACCTCGCTCAACGCCCTATCGGCGATACCGGCTGCTTGAGGGACGGCGGCGGCGGCTCTCGGGTGATAGCAACCTGTCAACGCAGAGAGGGGATAAGGAGAGATATATGCTAGTACGCGTTCGATGAGGAGGAAAAGAAAACAGCAAACACCAAGCTACGAAAGGCGTTGGAGCCAAGCAAGGAAACAGAAGTCTAGAAGCTCAGGAACAGAGAGATGCAGATGTGAAGAGAGAAAAGGATGTAGAAAACCCTGCCAAGGAGCGCAAAAGTCCCGCAACAACAGCGATAGAAGATTGAGGAGTATGTGGATAACGTGCTCAATTTGCTCTTTTACCTAGCGAAAAAAGCGATAGGGAGTTGGGATAGAGAGTGGGATTCGAGACAGGTAGAAGGGGACAGAGAGAGCACATAGAAAGAGAGACGGAGAGGCGTCCACATATACAGGGAGATGAGATGATCGGACCTGTTATTATAGAACCAATGATATCTGTGAATCAGCTGTAAGATAGATCAATAAATGTGAACCATTGGTCGAGGAGTATTTATTTTCAAGAAAAGCCACTTTGGGATGGCGTTCGGGACAAGTAACAGTTACTGACACCGAGGAAGACTATGGGGGAGAGCCACCACGTATGGAGAATGACAATGCCGACAGGCGGCTCGAGCGTTTGCGAAGGAGGTGTGGATAAATGTCCGGATGGGTCTGTTTGACAGCAGTTTTCAGATGCGCAAACGGTCTGTGACTCTCCCGATGACATAACTCCCTGCCGCGTCCCCGCCGACGCGCTCCCATTCCATCCGAGAACGGATCAAGTGTCGAGCTTCCCAATACCATTCAGCTGCAACAACCGGCCTAGCGATGCTACCAGCCATAACATCGGTGCAGGCTCAGTCGCAGCACAGAAGCCCTAGTCGAGCTTCCGGCCGGAGGACCGCATCCACTTCCACAAAAGCCCATAACTCGGAAACTCTGCGAACAAAGAGGTGTGTGGTATTTTGCTTCGTTCTCTTCTTTCAACCAGCTCCACGCTAAAAGAGCTCAGCTTCCAGAAAACCAGTGCCATTGACAGAGACATTATGTTTGGAATTGCTCAAAGGAGGACATGTGCAATCGTATATCGATTTCTTTCGGACGACAATCGCCCAGCCGTCGGAGCATACCGAGTCGGCGAATGATATGCTGGAATATAAAGGATTGTTGACAAATGCAGAAAATAATCAAAGAAATGGTGGGTGCTCCCCGGGTTCATTTAATATGAATGCACTGTTAACACATGGCCTCCAATCCGTCATCAGGCAATCTCAAATCTATCTACGAATCTAAAAAGAACGTGGCGAGATTTTTTCAGCAACATGGGAAACATGAGGTCGCTATCAGCCACTACTGGGACTCGCTAAAGATCGCGGAACAACTGAAAGGCGATGACGCGGTCGAAGTTGAGGCGACCAGAAATCTGGGTCAGGAGCTGGAAAGCAATGGTGAGGAGCCGTTCTCCTGACTGGCTCGGCGCGGATGGGACTTCCACGGGTGACGTACATTAGCTCACCCTGCATCCGCATGCATCCAGGTCATGTTGAGGAATCTTCTAAAATGTACGAAAGGAGTCGGCGGCTCGCGAGGGAGAGATCGTTGACCGAAGCAGAGCATCTCGCGGCGAAGAACTTAGTGAGCGTGCGCATGCGGATAGCCAAGCAGGTAGGAAGATGCCTCGTTTTTTTTGGGAGGGTGGCCAGATGAACCATACTTATGGCAGAGAATCACATCCAGCAAGAGAAGCAGAAAAATTTCGCAGATGCTATTGGGCAATACAAGCATTGCGTACAAATACTGGAGGAGAGTTGCCCGGATGAGGCCACGCTGAATGATTTAAGCTACCGTTTAGCACGCGCCCACCAGCAGAATGGGGATACTGCACAAGCTATTGAGGTGAGACACCGATCGCCGAAGGCTTTGCACAGCGGGACGTGCCTAGTCTAATCTTCGTCGCGAATACTCAGCTCCTGGAGAATCTATTGGCAAAGGCGCAAAAGCCGGAGGGACATCTTAAACTAGGGTGGGCTCGGGCGGTATTGGCATCATGCCACGAAAGGTTAGTCAAGAAAGGATTGCTGCAATGTAGATCGCGGAACATAGGACCTGATATCCTGTGTGTTTCAGTGCTGGCAACCTGAAAGCGGCCACGGAATGCTTGCTAATGTTCCTACGGATCAGCGAAGAGGAAAACTCGCCAAAATCGCTTCAGGCGCAGGCGTGCAATCAGCTTGGAAATCTATACAACAAGATGGGAGAGTACAGCCTCGCGGTGGAATATTTCGAGCGACATTATACATTGTCTTCGGGGGCATCCACGGCTGCTACCGCAGGGCCGGAAGTGGGTGCTGCTAGGAATGCCGATTTGCAAAATCAGATAAAATCTCGAGCCAGCAGCGCCGCAAGGGACAGCAGAAGGAGGGAGTCGGCCGTTGAGATCGCAGAGGCTGAGGTAGGCGGCGGTGTCGGAGTTGCGGAGATTCAAGTGGGGATATCTAGGGCAAATGCGCATATGCAGCAGTTCCTGGACCTTGTGAAGAGCGAGAAGAACTTGCACAAACTGTTGAAGTGGAAAGCACAGCGATCATTTGAAGTCTTCGAGGGGAACGAACAGGGGGTGGTGTAGGCTAGAATTCAAAGCATCACAAAATAAAGTGCAAGTGTCTGAGAAAGGATTACACAAGAGAACTGTACAGCGAGGTCCTGGATAACCAACAAATATCCTACTCTACGGATGGTCGGGCAGCGTTGCTGTCGTAGATATCTAGGAAGCGTCTTGGGTTAGGCGGAAGCCTCCCACCCGGTCTGAGTTTCAGTGCCGTCGCACTCACCTGCTATCTCGTCCAAAATTGTGTCCCCTTCCTGGATTTGTATAGAAATATCTTCCGACAGATCGGCCGAAACGTCCATACCATGCCCTTGCTGACAAAGCTGCGCGGAGCATAGCAGTTTACCTTGAGCCATCGGAGAAGATAGAGCAAAGCGAAAAACGCGGAACTTACCCTCTCATTTTCCACCAAAGTCTCCTCCAGCGCGTCCCGGAGTTCTGTAGCTTCGTTTTGCGCCAATTCTAGATCTGCATGGGCTTTATACAGGCTGACTTGGGTACTCAGCAGATTGGTACGCAGGTCTTCGGAGCATTCGACGCTCTCCCTGTACTTCTCTTCAAGCTCCAGTAAGGCAATGGCTTTGGGCTCAAGCTCCATCACCACATCGTAGTAATCCTTCAACTCCTGCTCTGCAATCTCTTGGTTCTCCTTGAGTTGCTTGATCGTGTCATTTTGCTCCGACACAATCCTCTCAAACTTCGAAAGGAGAGCAGGGAGGGTACGCTGCTTCGGGATTTCAGGATCGTCACGCTCTTCGACATCCGGATTGGAGGCAGCACTGCTAACGTTGTCGATGAAGCCCCAGAAATGCTCCAATTGCGCTGGTTCTAAGAACAGGTCCTGGTTGACTCTTGAGAGCGCAGCAATACGCTCCTCCATAGCATGCTTGTACCGTTCGAATTCTGTCTCCAATTGTCGATGCTCGATTGCCAACGTCTGTGACTCATCTGCATTCTGTGCCAGAAGCTTCTTGGTCGCCTTCAGAGCTTTGTTCAGCTCTTCTTGTTCCCTCTCCGCGATTTCGAGTAGCTCGCTAACGGCCTTCAGATTCTCCTCTTTAACTTCACAGCCCTCGCAGCCCCCATCTTTCCTATCAGCTACGCACGACAGCGTCGTTTGCGAGTGGCCCTCTTGCGCAGACTGCCGAGCGGCTCCTTTCGCGTTCCAAGCATTTTCCTTGCGGATCATTTCTAGCTGTAGATTCTCGATTTCTTCGTCTTTCTCGAGCAGCTTGTACTCGGCTTGCATTACGATCTCCTCCAATTGGCGTGTCAAGCTTCTCGCTTCCTCGGCCTCTTGCTTGCGCGCCTCAATCTCAATTTGAAAGCGATCTGCCCGAGCAATCTCGCGCGCAAATTTCTCCTCCAAGTTTTTCAAATCGTCGTTCCTGGCGGCAAGGGCGCGCTGCAGAAGAGCCATTGGGGTGGATTTCTGCGCGGACTTCTCAGGGTCCAAGGTTTCCGGTGACGAGAAGCTCTCATCGGTGCCAAACTTGCTATGTTTGAGAACATTTGCATCCAACGCGTCCAGCGCATTGCGAATCGGATTTATGTTCAAGAGAGTAGGATCGAATGCTTCGTCTTGATCCTGTGGATCGCCCATTGTGTCAGTCCATGATGCTATTGAGTAATGAGGCTGAAATCGCACTTACGCTGTCCGCAAACGACTGTGACTCTTTAGATTCTTGGCTCGATTTGGTACTCGCGCGAGTTTTTCTTTTTGTCGTTGTCAGCTTCTCGCCATCATTATCCTGCTTCCCATCCCACTGGAATGTCAGTGCACGATGAAAAGGAGGCCGACCTACTTTTCAAGGGATTCTGACATGCCTTATGATTCTTGACACGGTCCTTGTAAACTTTCACTGTCGGACGTTTGATTGATTTCCCGTCGGCCTTTGGTGGTAGATTCTGGACGATATGGTACGGTCAGCCCTCCGTCAATAGAGGGTACTTCATTGGCGAGGTCAGTACCTTTGATACGTTAGGATTTGCTTTCTGCAGGGCGCTCTGTGCGGCCGTCGGTAGCCTTGAAGCGTTGATAGGAACCTTGGAGGTCTGGGAAGCGACTAATGGGTGAACAGGGCCATTCCTGTCCAAGTTACAGTGATCGAGCACCCACCTTCCATTGTAACAACAACTCTTCCCGGGTGAGTTTACGATGTTCCATTCCACTTTTGGTTCCCGCCCCGAACTGCGGCAGAAGAGACTTCAAAGCTTCGTTCTCCTTATCGTCGTTCGTAACGCTGCTCTTTATCATCGTCTTTCCGTATAGTTACTCCCCGGCCTTTTCGGAGGTCCTGTCCCTTCCTGTTTGGCCCTGGTGGTGCTCGCCGCGTGCTCAATGCGTACTGTGCACTGTAAAAGTCTCAAGGACGCGTTGGGGCGATGTCGGACCTCCGCTTCAGAGATGTTGACGAGACTTTCAAAGCGCGTGGTGGAAGCGCTTGTGCGTTGTGAATGACTTGCCGAGTCCTCCGCTGAAAGAGAGGAAGCCCTCCCCTGCTCTTGCGTCGTTGACAAAATGTCGAGGTCCGATGGCTATTTTCCCACGCCCGCTCTAGTAGATCTTCGTCCCTTCGCGAAGTCCGAACGAAAGCGACGAACGAGAGTGGGAATGGCTGCGCCACATGAGCTTTCGTCATAATCGACAAGTTGACCCCGCGGTGTTCTATTGTTGCTTTCGTAGGAACGAGAGGAACGCATTTGCCGCCCCAGCTGCTTTTTCGCTGCTTCCCGTCAGCTCTCCACTCGCGAAGATCAAGGCTTACTACTGTACAACCCAAAGCACTTTTACTCTCCAACCGCAACATAATGTCTGACTGGGGTAAGTGTGACCGAAGCCCTGTGAAATTTTTTGAGTCTCACTCTAAGTGGGTGGACAGTTGAGTCTATGGCAGCAACGTGTGAAAACTCGTTCTCCAAAAGAGCTGGTCTACCTGTGCTAAGTTGCTTTGCATACGTGTACTTACAGAAAACGAAGACGAGGACGTGGGTACGCCGGTCATTTCCGTTGCCGCCAAGGGTGCCTGGGACGACGAGGACGCCTCCGACGACGACGTGAAAGACGCATGGGACGCCTCAGACGAGGAGGGAGAGAAGACCGCTGAGCAAAAGAGCTCATCAACGTCAGCCGCAGCACCGAAGAAGAAGAAGACTTTGGCCCAAAAAATTGCGGAGAGAAAGGAGGAAGAGGAGAGGAAACGGGCAGAATTTGCTCAAAAGGTGTGTGTTTCGCATAGAGGGCGTCGGGAGTCGAATTTTGCGGGCTACCGTAATCGCGTGGGCGTCATCGGACGGGAATGTCTGCAACATATACGATGGAAAGTCGGTTGTGCTTCTGAGAGATCTAGATCTGACCTGAATGCCTTCCACTATAGCAAGCGAAATCGACCGCAGATGACGACGAATATCCGGACGAAACGCCAGAGGAGAGGAAAGCTCGCCTCCAGCAGGCCGTCGTTGAGGCTGATTTGCAGAACGCCAAAGATCTATTCGGTGCTGTTCCTGCAGGCCAACCTGCCGCGAGCAACTCAAAACTAGAAACTATGAACCCTACGACGAAGTTGGACTTTGACGAATACCTCAAGGAAGTCAATGAGAAGTTCTCTACATTCGAGGTATGATCTTGGCAAACCGCCCTTACCGGAAACGGCATGTCCACATAAGCTAATTGTCACACATCAACCAGTCCAAGGCCCAGTATTCCTACTTCGTCGAGTCCCTTGTCCGATCGCTCCTCGTGCCCCTGAATCTCGAGGACACGAGGCGGATCTCGTCTTCTGTGACAGCCATGATCAACGAGAAGCAAAAGGCCCAAAAGACAGTTGGGGGCAAGAAGAAGGCGCGGAAGAAGGCGGCGCTGAAGTCTGGACCGGGAGCTGAAGGAGGAATAGATACCACGAATTACGATGGTGCGTCGCCCCTGTCGAGGACATGACACTGTGTATGACTTGAATTTACCTGTTTCTCACACTACCGTTCTTCCACAGATGTCTATGACGATTACGAAGACTTTATGTAAATCATGGACACCCGTTTTCTGGAACATAGGAGGGGCTGTCCCGGCGTATCGTGAAGATTTCCAGACACGTTCTTCGTATAGTCTCCCTATCACATCTCATAGATATACTTATTTCACCATCTCGAAGTCATCTTCCCATGCTTTCATGTTCATTCTACCTCAATCTCACCCACTCCATTGTTTCTGTGTGACCATTTAATCAGCTTTCGAATGACCGAGAAACTACGTTGAAATACTTTTTCATTCAAGCACCCGACATAGAAAATACAACTTCTGTACAAGGAAAACATCAACCAACGCCAGTATTTACATAGAAGCACAAAAAGGACATAAACGACGCCATACTACCCATCCCCACCTCACACTTACACCATACACCGACAACTAGGTATCGAGTTCCGATTTGTACACATTATGGGATCTAGCTAGGAAGGGCTAGCCCCTAAATAAGATAGCCAAGTCTAGAGAGGAGAAAGACCGAGAATTCCCGCGAAAGATTTTCTCCGACAAGGCAAGAGACCAAAATCATGGCCCAAGAAAGAAGGGAGGAGAGGGAAGCACAAAAAACAGCCATGTACATGGCTAGGGCACGGTGCCACGGTCGCCCCGAGGAGGGCGAAAACAGCGACTCCAATCGTGGCACCGAGCATCAACACCCGAGCGGTACACCATCAAAGCTGATCCTCAAACACCGAGTCCATAGCATTTAAGAAGCTCGCTCGCGCATCGTCTCCCTGTCCGTTTCCCACACCCGCATTGCCCGCACCTCCCATCAACGGCGATTGAGCGTGGTGCTGGTGTCCCGCAAGTCCGCCGTGGACATGCGTATGGGTGTGCGAGTGGGAGTGGCTGTGGAGGTTGGCGTCGGGGAAGCCGACGAGGCCGCCAAAACTGAGATCGTCCGAGTACGAATTGACGTCGTCCATGACTGTCGACGGGGGGTGCGCGTTCCCTTGGTTGGGCGAGGAGGATGGTAGCATTTGCATTCCTTGCAGAGGGTCCGTGTCGACTTCGTCACCGTTCCCGCCTCCATTGGTGTACGTATTTTCGAGGAAAGTCAGGTAGGGGTTATCGGTGATGGACGACACTTGGTCTGACGATTGCATTGATACAGGCATGGACATCGACATGCTCATCGGCATCGACATTGACATGGCAGGGGACAGCGTCGTGTCCAAGGTGTTTGAATTAGATCTCCCTAGCGTCTCGCTCAAGCCATCGCCACCATTGTGGGAGGCATGTGACATGGCAGGGGAAGAAGAATCGCAAGCTGTATTCATGTCTTCAGGTGGGCTCAGGAACATCTCCGCAGCGGCGGCGGCTGCTGCGGCTTCGTTGGCTGCGTTCATTTGGGCTGCTGTCGACGTCTCCCGAGTCATCTCATGGACGTCCGTCGTCCAGTCCGAAAGAGGCGAATGGATGTTCGGGAAAGCATTCAGTGGTGTCGACGGATGGTCTTCTTTCATCATTAGGATATTGGCTGGTAAACTTCCTCGGCGGTGTAGATGTTGCGGCGCCCCATGGCCAGTAAATGAGGCGGGGCCGAGGCTGCTCATAGAGGAGGGGAACGGGAAGCGGCCTGTCAACGCTGACATAGAGTAAGGTTGATGTGATTCAGCCTGTTGCTGTTGCTGTTGCTGCTGCTGCTGCTGTTGTTGTTGCTGTTGCGATTGCGTTTGATGTGGCTGCGCCGGCGGTTTTTTCTCCCGGGTGGCATTCACCAGAGCGCGCATATATAGTTTGCAGTTTTCTGCGTATGCCAAGAGATTCGTCAACGACAGGTGTACTCGCCTCGAGCATTGAATCAGTACTCTTTCTTACCAGCAGCCATAGGTCCCATGAACGATTTGTGCTTCATGACGACCTTGAAAACTTCCAGAGCATTTACTTCATCGTAACCAGCCATCAGACCCATTTCGGCCGTCATCTTCAATTCGAACAAAAGGGAAAGGGAAAAAGGAACTTAGCAACAGGATAAACGAGGGAGAAACGGACAGCATTCAAGGAACCTCACCCGTAACGTCAGATCCAATTCCGGCGCAAGTTCGGCCGCATACGCTCTCCGATCATTGCACCAATCCTTCAATTCCTGGCAAGCTTCGAAATGGCCTTTGGGGGTCGTCATAAACACGTCTCGCAAAATGATCAACCGTCGCTTATTGCTCTCATGTATGCGCGCATAATTGGGATTGGCGCTTGGAGTAACGATAGCGCTGGCCGAGTTTGCACGCGTCAAGTGTGGGAACGCGCCAGCAGTTGGCCCCACTATGGCCGGCACTCCTGTGAAGGCACCGACCATACCGCTTTTCTCTGACATCGGCGATCGGCCCAGTAGGGTGGTGGTGTCGTCCAGGTCGCTCATTGTTATCGGAGTACCGGGTATGAGCTGGGCAGCCGCACTTCCTCCTCCTCCTCCTCCAGGGGCAGGCGGCATAGGATTGACTGCCATCGGACTTGTGATCAAAGGAGTAATGGGAGCGGGGCTCAAAACCCCAGGCATGGGCGACGGGGGTACGCTCCCGCATCGGTGTCCAGGGTTCTTCCAGCACTGCGGATGGTGGTGGTGGTGGTGGTGGTGATAATGGTGATGGTGGTGCTGTTGGCCTTGCTGAGATCCGCTGTTCCCACCCGCTTGACCTTGGCTTTGACTCTGAACCTGAGCCTGAGCCAATTGTTGCTGTTGCTGAATCTGACGACGAGACTGAGCGACTGCCTCTTCTTCAGCCTGCTGCACCACCGCCTGCAGGTTGTTGCAGGAGAGTGGTCGCAGTTGGGATGGCGCGTTCTTTCGTCTTCCCAAGATGGGCGATGCGGCGGTGTAGTCGGACGAAGAGAAGCTCCTGCCAAGCAGCGCGTTACTGGGCGGCGGTGGGAGCTGCTTCTTCCCAGCGCCCGAGGTTGACGCAGCGTCGGAGGCGCACGATCTCGCAGGTGAGGGCGGCCTCATCGGGGGCGGAGATTGTCGCAGCGTAAAGTGAGGGTTGGTTTTCCCAGCAGCCGGGCGGTGCTGTTTTCTTCTGTGGGTGCGTACGCGGCAGGCTTGTTTGACAAGGGAGGGGGACCACTCGCCCGTGCGAAAATACTAATGAGCCCCGTACTATCGATACGCCTGGCCGTCAAGGTCTGTCTGTGGATATCCGGAAAATGACCTGCTTTGAGTTTTGGCACGGCACGTTTGACGGGCGCGTTGGGTTCGCTAGCGAAAGACACCGGCGGACAGTCTTTCCTTGGATTCTGTGCACTGGCACGTCTGGGTCTGGAGTTAGCTTATCGTAAAGCAGGTTTACGGTAGATACCGATGCAGGGAGACAAAAAGAAAGCGCAGGCGGCGAACTTCAAGCGTTGTTTCTATCGCTATGCGCTTGGTGATGCTGGTGTCTGCAAAGCGCAAGGCATCCACCTGACACGACAGGGAAGACAGAACCTGCGAGAAGCTGTACTGTACTGTACTGTACAGTACATGCACCAGATCTACAGTGCGATGCGATGCCACTTCAGCCGCCCTTCCTGTACATCAACGTCGACCAATGGTCCGTGGTGTAAATACGTCAGAGACAGACACTGTCAGACAGACAACAGACCAGAAACTTTTGAAGACGGCGTGTGGGGAGCCATTGACCATCAAATCTCGGATCCAGGCCCTTCCTCCTCCCTGTGGGTTCTGGTCAGGACGCAAGGGGTTACAAGACTCAGGTCTGTTACCCGCCGTGACGGTGTGAATCGTCGTCGTCCGCGACGCGAGGACGTTGCCGTGGGTTGAATCCTCAATGCCTCAAGGTCACTGATCGCCGGATTGCTTGCTGCGCAGTCGTGACTCGCTGTTAACTTGTGCAACCGTGACATAATTCCATCTCACCACCGGATTTGACCTTCACCGGAAAACCCAAAAGACTTTAACTGGGTCGCTTCACTTTTGGTCACGTGCTGAATAAAACACGATGACCATCGGCTCAGTCCGGCATTGCATGCGAACGCAAGCACTCCGCAGACAGGAAATCAGCACTCACCACCACCAACACCTCGAACATCGCCGCTGCAAACACAATGGCTTTCGCTGCCTCCTCCCTCGCCCCTATCACAGGCCGCTTCAAGAAGCGTGTCGTCCGCGACTTGGTCGGTTCTATCACCTTCGGTACCGCAGCTGCATAGTAAGTCTCGATTCTGTGTTTGCGTGTTGTGCTTGCGTGGGAACGTGGACGGACGCTGCGAGTTGCTGAGGGGGAAATGGGCAAAGCAAGGGGTTGGAATGGGTTTGGTGTTGGTTTGATGCGTTCTTTGTGGCTTGGAATCTTGCTATCGAGGCAGCAGTGATCGTATTGAGTTCAGAAGCTGAAGCTCGAACGGCCATGGACTGTGGAAATATCGCGAAGCCAGCGACGAGTTGGAAGGCAGTGAACAGGCCAAGGGAGGGGCGGAATAGCAGCGTACGGGAGGCGGAGATACATCAGTCGAATGTAGCGTTCCAGGTCAGCTCACATGATTCCCTTTCCCCTCTAGCTACTGGTGGAACAACTCCCACCTTCCCAAAATGGCGGAATACAAAGCCTACGACTCGAAAGTCCGCGCCGAGCTGATCGCCGAGCACGGTGAATGGGCCATCGGATCTGGGCAACAGCAGAGGCTCGACGAGAAGAGGGGTGTCAAGTCGCCAGGACAATCCGTCGAATAAACATACGAGCCATCCCCCCACTCATCCTTATACAGAAGTCTAAAACCAACGGATTTCAATTGAAAATTGAAACAGTTTCGGTTGTAGAATGGGCAGCATTGTGGACGATTTGATTTGATGGATTGAGGGCTCGAAGCAATCCCTGCCGAATCGCCTGAATGCCGCGACCTTCTGTTCAGTGTTCGAGTATTATACCTTCAGATAAAGCAATACACTTGAAACCCTTTTTGCGATATCAGGATCTCGCCGTCGAAACGTTTGTGGGCAATGTGGGGACGATCTTCGTGGGAAGCGGCAGTGTGGACCAATGATGGGAAGAATGCCGGGGAAATTGCATATTTCTGTTTGAGACATTGGTTCTAGAGGGCACGGAAGCGCTTTCCACTCAATATTGCAACAGATACGGCGAGGTAAAGAAACAACGTTGTGGGGATGGCGAATGTAAAACGAGGGATTTCCAGATATTTACGGAAGGTTACTAGGTAGGGAAGGGCCTCAGGAGTATAGAGAATACTACTCTACTACTGCCAGTCGTCTCCTGCCCCTTGATCGAACAGATAATTTGCCGCTAATTCCTCGTTCTTGTCACATGCAAAGAAAGCCTCGATGGCCAGGCCGCGCTCGAACCCTAGTCCAACCAGCTTCAAGGGGGAAAGATCTCCGTCAGTTTGCAAGCGTGCGTAGGTTGCCCAATGGTTTACTCACCCTGTTGATAGCAGCCTCCTCTTCAGGAGTCACCGAGATGTACTGACGACCACCCGGGGCTCCGCCTTCTTCACCAGCTTCACCTCCTTCACCTTCTCCTCCCTCCATGAGCATTTGGTAGAATGCATCTTGATTTTGCGTGATTGTCTGCGAACCAAACGCCGGTTAGTTAGGATCCTATAAAATAATGAAGTGTGCGGGTCTACAAACCTGCATGAGTTGAGGATTGCTCTGTGCGAGGTGTTGCAGCAACGGTTGAAGTAGCTGCGGTTGCGTCTGAACCATTTGTCGCAGTTGCTGGAACTGTGGGGCATTTCGGAGAGCGGAGAGATCACCGAAACCACCGGCGCCTGCACCGCCGCCAGGAGCTCCACCACCAGGTTGTTGCGCAGCCTGAGCTGCAGCGTCAAAGAGGTTGATATACTGACCGCCGTCTCGAAAGGACGATGACAGGTGAAGTAAGTAAATGACCGCGGACCTGGCCACTCAATATTGACCGGCACTCACCACCTGGAACAGGAGCGCCAGCAGTAGCTGGAGTACTCGCGAGGGCTGCAGGGGTCGCGGGAGTTCCAGTAGCAGGGGCGCCGGCTGCCGCCTGGGGAGCAAACTCCCGTTGTACGCTTTCTGGGATCCCCTGCAAGATATAACAACGTCAGCCCCTTGTACCCGTATGGAGAGGCGTTTCCCGAAGCTGTACACGTACGTTCATCAAGTAATCTGCAGCGCGGTCTGGGTTGTTGAACGCCGCGCGCATAGCTCTCACAATTTCGGTCCTCTCGAAACCCATCTCCACCAGGTTTTGCACGGCACTTTCGTAGGCAGAGCCAGTGGCTTCGAACACAAGGGAAGGAAATGAGCACCATTTGCGTTGAAGAACACGCGAAGAGATATGGCTAACATACCCAGAGTTGATGCATCAAATGGTCCGGCGGGTGTAGCTGCGACAGCCGGGGCAGCTGCTGTTTGAGGAGCGGGAGTAGGGGTAGCAGGCGTTGCTGCCGGTGCAGGCGCAGGAGCGGACGCAACTGGAGTCGCCGGGGTCGCGGGTGCAGCAGCAGGGGCAGGCGTGGAAGCGGAAGCAGCTGGCTTTGGCTGACAAAAATATATCGGTTAGAACAGCGCCAGGAATATGGGATACATGAAAGCCACCGTCTCCTGTGATATGTACCTTTCCAACCATTACAACAATGAATCCCTTCTCTTCAATCTTCGCCTCCTCCACAGTCCTAGCATCATCAAGAATCTTGCCTAAGTACGGTGAGAGTCGCGTAAGGGCCAATATGCGGTGAAAAGGACATACTCAGAATCTTACCAGAGTAAATGAGCTTTTGATGTGCCACTTCGAATCCTTGAGACTCTTGGATCTTCTGCTTCAGTTCCGAGATCTGGACGATGGTAGAAATGGTACAAATGTGGGTGTTAGACAAGTGATCTTCCTTCCGAGTGCCTGATCTAGGGCGGTCCAGCTCCGCTCGGCGCATATTGACTACGAACCATACCTTCGCACTGGGCTCAATCTCGATCTGAAAGCTCTTCTGAGCGAGGGTTTTTACCGTCACTTTCATAGTTTGTGCTCTGCGGTCTGTGGGAAAACACACCGTTGATCAGTTTGAGGCCCTGCGTCAGAAGTTCCTTCGCGCAATGCTGCCAAATCCCGGCAATGAAGAGCTGCAGTAAGGGGTGGGAAAACCCTCCTCCCTTTCCCCACCACTTCTTTTCCCGAGTATTCGTACCTTCAGGCGGGGTAAGGTGGGTAGACTGTGTGGGCTCCGTGTGTGTCGCGGGGAATGCAAGCGTGCTTGAAGTCTTTGAAGTCCCATTAGAAACGCAGCGGCCTTCATATGACACACGTCCAGTTGCGTGCAGTTGTCCGGTGGGGGTCGACGCCACGCATGCGCCACCCTGCGCCTTCGGTGCTTCTCACGTCCCCACGCTGACGTTCACTGCACTGGAGCGACGGCCCTTTGACAATTGCGAAACCGCCCAAGAACTTTATCTTCTCGCACCACGTTAGACTCTGCTTCAGCACTCTCACAGTAAACTTCGCCCAACATGGCTATGGTAGAACCCACCCCGGAGACCTACGGGTTTCCTCCCGTTGCAGAACCAAAACTCGAAATCGTAAGTTCCAAACATCTTCACTTTCCACTTTCTTGCAAGCTTTACTTGTGGCAAAGGCCCGAGAGTCTTCTACCTCTTCTACACTTGCGTGTGTTGGACCGATGCTTATTATACGTTCTCTACAACTTCTGCAGATAGCAACGGACGCCGCTGACCTGAATTCCGTAACGTTTGTCATTCACGGCGAAGACCATACGTTAGGAAACTCCCTGCGATACATGATTATGAAGAAGTACGCCTGAATTTCCAACTTACAGTCCTTCAAACAGCTGAATCTGACTTCCGAAATCACATCTGATAGCCCAGCGGTTGAGTTTTGCGGTTACTCCATCCCGCACCCTTCAGAGTTCAAAATCCATTTGCGGATACAAACAGATGGTAAGGAAATGCGTCTACCTCAGGGTCCTGACGACCAATCAGAGTATCGAAGAATTGAAAAAGTCTTCCTTTAGGCACGATGACAGCAGCACAGGCGTTGGACAAGGGGTTGGATGACCTGGTGTCCTTGACGGAACATGTCCTGACGACGTTTGAGGAGAAGGTGGCTGCGAAGGACGATTACGAAGTGCGGGATGGCGCAGATTTCGAAACCGTATAGGGAGGGATCTCTGGCTCGCCACTAGGGCTTTGGGGATCGAATTATTTGCTGAAGCTGGTGGGAGTGGGAGTCGACGGGCCTCCCTCAGCGTTGATGTCGTGATGCGACCCCGACGATTGATTACGGCGAACGACGCGCTACACGCTCGTCAGCAATCGCGGAAATGGATGCTGGCGGGCTGCGGGCTGGAACGGCACACCTTAGACTGACTGGTGCAGAATATAGAAGTGACGCATCAAGTGGACCGGGAAATCGAGCTCATGTGGGATCGTCATACCGGTCGTTATGTACATATTTACATTCTTAACTTAATACAACAAATCATGGAAACGACGTTGATCTGAGATCCGTCCGCTGGGATTATATAGTGCCGAAGTGCTAGACCTCGGCGTCGTCTGAAGCGATAGGATCGGGATGGTGGCCCATTGAGAAGCGCTTCGAGTCACACTTCTAAATCATTTCTGTTGACGAGCATAAGTAAATTTCACGCAGGACGCAGGATACTATCAACATGACCAAACTCACCTATGAGAACCGCGCATGCTTGATCTGTTGTATCTCTCCCGACAATCGGCCCATTGAGCTTTTGAAGTCATCCAGCTCCCGCCTCTTCGCCTCCGCCGTCTCACTCATCTCACTCTCCAGTCGTGCCAGCTCCCGCCTTCTAGCTTCAATCTTCTCCGGGTCATCATCAGGTAGCAGCGGCGACGGTATAATATTGGCAACGTTGTGAGGGGAGAGGATCATGTCCATGTACTCGTGGTTTCGCTTGTATCTTTCGAGCGCTACGAGTCGCTCCACTGCGTCGTCCAATTCATCTGTGTGACGGGCCCACTATCAGGACTCTATATTCGGATATCCCAAGTCTTTCGACCCCGTCTCACCTCCGGAAATCTCGTACTCATCGTCCACTGGTCTGACAGGCGCTGCCTGCTTTGCCTATTATAGACCAGTCAGCTAAAGGATGAACTCCGTCACCAACCCCGAACACTCGCACGAACCCTATTCCTTTTCCGCGGTGGAGCATGTTTCGCAGATGGCGTATCGGCGTAACGAGGCCCCAGCGGACCATGTCCATACCCCTGACTCGACGGCGGTGGAGCTCCTGCCGGCGAGGCCAGCGACTGCAACGCTGCTGGATCCCTGGGTGCCACTCGGATGAGTTGGGGGTATACGGGAAGCTGGTGAGCCGCATCTGCCGCCCGAACATAGTGCATGATTTGGAGTGTGGAGTTGCTGAGACGATAACGTCGCCGTGTCCTAGATCCGAGTGTCAGTAGCAGCCCTATGGCAGGCCCTCTATCAAATGAGGCCTTCCATGAACGTACATTGAAGTGATCGTGTCGCCAAACCCGAAGCCTAGGTTTCGTATGTAAATCTCCATCTCCTGCCCTGTCGTGTGTTATTTCCAATTGCTGCTATTCCTCGTCTAAATCCAACTATCCGCACCTTGTCATTCACATATGCAGTCGTGACCGTTTCATCGTCCATCCAGCCTGAGTCCGTTTTTTGAGTTGCAAGCGTGCAAGGTTGTCATCGTCCGTTCCTGAACTTACCAAACCCATCTTCAGGAAGTTGCTCCATGGACGATAGTTGGAAGGCGAATATCGACCCGTCTAAGTCCGTAGTAAGCCCGTTAGAACCACAAGCTCAACCCTCTCCTGCTCATAGCAAGTATCCCTACCAACAGGCTTGTCAGCAACGACCCACTCAAACCCCCGCTGATCTGCAAAAGTGTGGGAACGTTGTAGGAGCACGGCGGCTCGTTCCGGCGACAGGTGACCTTCCCGGTCGGGTGGAAAGCTGATAGCCAGCTTTTTGAACATGCTCTGTACCGGGGCAACCATCTTGGTCTGTCTTGAAGTGAGGTTACTTGACTTGGGGAAGCTCACCAATTTCAGGTCCTAAGGTCCTACTTGAAGCGAGAGTTGAAAGTCAAAGCTGGGAAAGCGCGTTCGAGCCCCGAGTTGCTGGTTTCCGGTTGACAGGATGTTGTCAGTTGAGCATTGTTCCTCTCGCCCCCCTTTCTTTTCCCTTTCGCTGGCTTCCATAAGCACTCGCGTGCTTCCATCTTTTTCCACTAACGCCTTCGTCATAAGCCCCAGAGAAGCTTCTGTTTTTGCGGATGTCAGCCCCACGTTTGCCGATGCCGGCCGGGATGTCCCCAAGGAACCCGAACCAGATGGAAGTCGCTAACTTGGCCACACATTGCAAACGTGTACACTGCACAGATCGGATTTTGTCCCAAGCATTCTACTACAAGAAATCACAAATACCATCATGGCGCGAGTTGCTCGATTGCTGTTGTTTAGTGCCATTACCTTCCTGATCGTGATAGCGCTAGGGTATGCGGTGTTCGGCTATATGGTTTTTCTCAACACCTCACCTTTTCCTGCGACCAAAATCTTCCCGAGAAAAATAGTCATTGGTAGGTGCATGGCCACTTACAATCCGCCAATTGCTAGACGTCCCTACTGATCTGGCTTGTATCAACAGGCTTATGCATATTATCGCCATTGGTGTTGACTACGTCCCTTCTCGGCTGTTGTGGTTTACACCGCTCCTCTGCAGCCTTCCTACACTCTCTCGTGGTGGCTTTGACTTTCCTCTGCATCGGGCACTATGTCCTCGCCCACCTCGCCCACCTCGAAACCAACATCGTAACTGCCGAACTAGGCGCCTACAGCGACTGGAACTCGTCAAATGCCAATACACGCACATCCATTATGAACGAATTCCGATGCTGCCAATGGTCGGCTGCCGACATTGAAGGGAGCAAAGCCCACGCTCCTGCTGCCATCTCTACACCCGGCATTGCAGACGACGGCGATGCCTCCACCCCGCCCGTGGTGTACGACTCATGCCTGGCGGGCGCTGGTCCATGCGAGAACATATTGACGGATTTCAGGGTGACGCTAGCGCCTAAAATTGCAATCGCCTGCTATGCCGTTATCGGATACTTGCTTTTGACATTGTCGATCGATGCGGCGTTGATTTATGCTATGCGAGACCGTAGAAAGAGGCGAGCAAGAGAGAAGCACTGGCGGAATGCGGTTGGGGATGAAGGGTTGCTCAAGAGATCCATGGCGTCCGTTTGAAGCCGTACGGAATTCGGAAGCTTATGACCTGTTTTTCTGTATTTTCTTATCGTGTAACCTTGTTGTATCTGAAGTTGGTGTATAGCTTTGTAACCTCGGAGTGGGCTCGGCAGACAGAACATGTAGTATGCGGATGGAAAGATGCTTGAAGATGAGCGTAGTGGTATATGTCCTTGAGGATTTATTGTTTCAAAGTACCAGAAAATCACAATGATTCGATGGGAAATAATTACATGGATAGTTCTATGGAATGACATGCGAATGCAAAATGACAACCCTGCCAGGAGCGATGTTACAGTGGACCTGTACCCGCGCAGAGTCCGTCCCCATTGATGAGATGTTCGCCAAAAGCCAATGCGATGGATGTCCCGAGTGAGACCAGATAGGCCCAAGCGCGTTTCCAGCCCGATGCGATGATGGGCAATCCGCTTGTGAAGATGGGTCCAATTCAAATTCAAGCAACCCAGTGGTGTCGCATCGTGAGGCGATGCGTAGATATCGACGTGGTCAGTCTGATCTCCACAGGTCTCGAGATATATATGGCTACCTCACCCCGCGCCCCAATCCCGCCTCCATAAACGCAAGCGCTCAAAGCAAACCTGCCTTCTGAAGCATCCTCAACTTGCTATCCATGTCCCTCTGCGTCTCATCCATCTCGCTCTCCCTCGGCTCGATGTTCAAACTGATCTGATACAACTCGTTCGCGCCAATCTCGCCAGCCGTATGCAGCTCCTTGCCCAGCCAGTTTTGAATCTCCGGCACTTCCGTGAGGTGGTATGGCGTTTGGAAGCGTTGGACTTCTTGGATCACTTGGTAGACTTTGATGTATTTGTCGATGTTGATGAGATTGCCGCGGGCTGAGACGCGCGTAGGCGGGTTTCCGTCCTCGGTGAACGTCAGATCGGTGAGGAAGACGCCTGCAAGAATCAATACCAGTCAGTAACCCTTTCGTTCATCTGGTCAGAGCCATAAAAGCAATAGGTATCACACATACCAAGGAAGGGCAGACAGGGCCCTTGGACCCTCTTCAAGTTCGCCCGATATTCAGAGTAATTGCGGCTATGATCCGTCGCAGCCTTCATCTGATCGAGCGAAGTCTTGTACTTGGCAGGCACCAATTCCCAAGATCGTTTCAGACGGATGATCGCCGACGAATTGAGGGACGATAGGATGGCTATGAGCGTGTTGAAGTTGTTCAGGTGGAGACATCTCTGCAGAAATTAAAACCAAAAGACAGGATCAGCAATCCAGTTCAAACACTAGGGAGGAAATAATGAAATAAACTTACGTCGCCAATCTTCAAGAACTGCTTGATCAAACTCGCTCTCCGCTTCGGATCCACCTCAGTCAGAATCGACGCGGCGACCCAGCCAGTGATCTGATTCGCCATATTCGTCAACGCCCTTACGTTCGGCGCGCCCGACCTACCCGCCTTCTTGGTCCATTTCTGACCAACAAGCTCAATTGGCTCAATCGAATTGTACAGCCTACTCTCCATAATCGTCAACTGCCGCGCGACTTCCAGCGGGTCCAAATCAAGGATCCCGAACTTCTTCAACGATCGCGGAAGGATGGGCGGTGGCGCCGGAGCGCTATTTGTGGACTCTGCCACCGATTGCCCATTTGTGCCTGACAGCGCCGAGCCGGCGGAGAGAGGCCCGCTGATGGTCGACTGCATGGACTGTACAGACCTTCTGCCCATCTTCGGCGTGTTGCCCACCCCGCTCATCTTCCTTTGCACGAGCTCGATCATGCGCATAGCGAGCGGTGGTGTCGCTTCCATCATCTCCTTGGAGGCAAAATTCAGCACGACCTCCAGACAATCGCCGTCCAGCTCCTCCACCCAGAAGTTTTCGAGCCACGATCTTAAAGCGTTGTACACGCGTAGTCGGGCTGGCGTCTGCTTCCGCTCCTGCCATATCCGGAGCTCCTCCGGGTTGAGTTGTGGTGGTGGCGTCATGGTGAAGCGCTTCATCAACAACATTAGGAACTCTTTGCCCGTCGCAAATTCGTGGAAAAGCATCATGAATGCCTGCGAAAATGTTGGGTCTGAACAAAAAGGTGCGTCAGAGATTCCCATAAGTATCGGTGAGTACCAATGTTTTTGCGGTTGATGAATATTTCCAAACTCACCAACGGGGTGGTCGTGGAGCGTTAACCGCTCCACCAGTCCTGGCAACGTTCCTCCATTCACTTGGCCTTCCATGTTGAAGGAGACATCGTTGGGAAGATAATCGGAACCCAAGAACCAATACTTCTTCGTAGACTGCAAGTCGAAACTATCAGCCGCTGCACATGACCAAGTGTGAAAACTGTCCCATCTCCCTACCTCATCGTCCGGCTTCTTCTTCAACTTCGGCGACTGCTCCCCAAAGAACTTTTCAAGCTTTGATCCCGGCGGACCCACCGATTCTCCGAAGAATTTCTCCAGCCTTGGGTTCGGCGCGCCGCTAGTTGACTCACCAAAGAACTTCTCCAGCTTGGAATTCGACCCTCCAATCTGCTTGGCCTCCCCCGGGAAAAACGAAGATGACTGCTCAACGGCGCTTTTCGGCGCTTGGGTATCTCGGGGCTGGTAATTCGAGTCGGGCAGACTTGCCGACGAGACGGACCGATACACGCCCCCGTTTCCGACCGCGGGGCGATTGCCGCCCGGAGCCAGAGTCGCAGATCCTTTCGGGGTTACATTGGTGGAGGAGCTGGAGCGGAGCATGATGGGCGTCGACGCTGTCCGGTCCCGCGGCGTGCTTGTCTGGCTCGACGCAGTGCCACCCATCGCGTTGTTTTCCTCAGACCCGTGCAAGAACGTCAGGCTCATCGCTCGACGCTGTAAAATGCTCAACTCGGAATCTCTCCGCCGCTCATCGTCGAACAGTTCCGCCTCTTCTTGCAACGTCCGTTGTTCCAAAAGATCTTTTTGATCAATGACGAGTTTCGTCACCATTAACAGATCCTCCACGGCTTGCAAAACCAAGGTGGTCGTCTCCAAAAGTGTGCCAAGCGCATTCGGCGGTGCAAATTCGTCCATCGTCGTCCGTGCCGCTGTAACGAGGTCATTGACGGTCGAATACAACACCTCCTTTAGCCTCTTGAACTCTACAATGACCTCCTTCGCCCGCGCGTCCATGTCCTGCAATTCCATCTGCTGCAGCGGTATATCCTCAATCAAACTCAGCAATTGGCCAATCTCGGTGACGGAATCACGAGCCTGCTCGATCAGTTCCTCCGAGATGCGCGAGTCCTGCGTTATGGTGTTGACAAGCGTCGCTATGGAAGTGATGATGGCGTCCGAGTGGGTGTCCAATCTAGAAACGAATTCGATATCGGATAGCTCGGCGCCTCTTTGGTCGAATTCGCTCACGGATAGCGCGACGTTGGATAACGATCCGGGAGAGACGGGGACTAAGTTGCTGGACACATCCTGCGCAATAGTCACAAAATGTCGCACGGCAAGCAGGACCTGGCCTGCCTGGTAGCGCATTTTGTTGACAGCGTCCGGCGGTGGCCATAATCCCGAGGCCACTTTCGCCGCCAACATCAATTTCGACAGCGAGGACATGATATGGTAGTGGTGATTCCTCAGCTGCCTATTGCTCTGAAACGCCGGTGCGTCTTTCGACGTGAGTCCAGAACTCGCCAACATATCCCTGATCGCTCGCACGACCTGGTTCGCCAGCCCCACGTATCGCACCCTCGAGTCCGTTTTGGCCGAGTGATTTAGGTCCGAAATTGCGCGTAGGATGTTGTTGATCAACACTTCCCATGTCGGTTTCACTTTCGGATCCAAAAGAGTTTGCGGACCTGGTATCCAGTTCCCGCCGGACGCTCTCGTTCGGTCGGACAAGGACCGGGCGACCAGTGGTGCCTGGTCTTTGAAAGCCGGGAAATCGGTTTTATCAAGAGACTCTGACCGCACCGGTGCCGCCGCTGTCGATGCGAGATCCTTACTTGATACCTCTTTCAGCAATGTCGTGGATCGCTTATGTGTAAGGGACTGTAAAGGGAACTCTCCTCGATTAGTGGTGAACGATAATTCCACACATCTGACAGCAATACTCACAGCACGCTGAACCTCTTCCAGACTATACGTTGTCTGGTTCGATTGGGTGTTATAATAGTAAACCACGCCCTGCGGCGTCGTCTTCCTCCCCCAAAACGGCGGTAGCTCCGCCAGATTCCCTGTGGATCCCGACTCGGCATGCGAATCCTCCGATTTCGGCAAGTCCAGCTGTCTAGATTTCATACTGTCATCTACGAACTCGTCTTCTGGTATCGACGGAACAGATGGCAGTCCATCCGCCGTTGGGGTGGCCGTGTCATCTTCTTCCTCGCCAAGCGCTTTCGCCTCTTCCATTAATTGCGACAGCGTGGCTTCTAATTGCATCCGAGATGGGTTTGTCCGGCTCAAGCTGGAAGACGTGGTGCTGCCGGGTGAGGCGATGGATGACGCGGATGTGGCTGATAATGCGGATGTGGTGGAGGATTGAGATGTTGGTCGTCCGCTTGAGGCGTTTGCTGTTGATGTTTGGGATGATGGGACGGGGGGTAAAGGTACGGCCGGCATGGGCCGGAGACGGCTTTCTGGTATGACTTGCACATAGTTGGATGGGAACCAGCCTGGAACAAACTGATGTTAGATTCGAACATTGCAAAGTGCGTGCGAAATGACAGCGCCACATACCCCGATTTGATCCTAACGTTCCATCCCACCACCCACTTTTGTCTTTGATATGCACAGCAATGGTATCACCCTTTCGGAACGAAAGACATGTGGGCTCCGTCGCCTTGTAGTCATGCAAAGCCTGGACGTAGTCCACAACCTCCTCGTCCGCCATCGCGTCGCGGCTCGTCCTCTGCCCGTCCACACGGGGCTTTCGTCGGGATATGAATTATAATCGTCGTTTCAGGCACAGTTGATGTCTCTGAGCACAGTCAAGTTCTCCAATGGTTGCACTGATGACCGTTGGAGAAGGAGAGCTCACAGGGAAACGGTTACCCTCGTGTTTGTGCTATGTCTGTGACCTGCCAAACGGGGCTTGATGTTTTCCCAGACTCCGACGGCGGGAAACCAAATTCAATATATTCGACGTGGGACAATAACACGATTTCGATGGAGGGCCGAGTTTCGTCCACGGCGATAGCATCCAGGACTCGAGTTCAGTGGGTTTTCTTCGGAGTCCCTGCTGAGCCCGTTTGGAAGTGGGGCTTGATGATATACACGTATCGATGTGCCGGAAAAGCGCAAGTTTCACCTATCCGCATACACAGTTTTATTTGCGGGTGCCTTCGCGTAGAACAACAAGCCTGAGTTTATGGCTGTTTGTGTTTGCGGGAGCCTCTCTTGCGGGGTGGCGCTTCTCGGGAGGTTGGTTGGTTCCTAATAGAACGGGTGTATTAGAACAGGCTGGCGGACCAATGGAGCAAAACAAGAGACCGCGACCGTCGGATTGAATCGGGTAACAAACACTTAATAGCATGTTAAGTAGCGTGGGTCCCTGCTTCAAGCCACACCTCTCGCGTGTGGTTGGCGTCCTACACCCATTCCAAAAACGACAGCACTCCTGCAACGTCTGATGACCGCTGAGGCTTGAACCTTCTGATGAGCACCTTGCTCCATTGGACCGGATATGTGTGGGCAATATAATACCGCACGCGAAAGTACGGACTGGATCATTCTAGATGTGAACCACTCACCTGCGCGTCTGGTTGTCGCCGGCTCTCAAAAATACATAGATACCGCCAGTCCTCCAGCAGACGTCTCCAAGAGAATAAAACCTGTAAGGTGAGATCTGGAGCACACTCGGCCATGAGAACTTCTACATATAAAGAGGACGTTCGCACACAAAAGAAGTTGCTGGCGGCGGCGAAGACCATGTCATCAAAGCTAGTACTGTCCGACTTCAGCGTATGCTGAGTGGGCTGTAGAGCCTGATCGGCAGCGTCATCACGATCAGCAAGGTCTAAGGAATATTGCCTTGATGCGTACAGTAGGTCAAAGCAGATCATCCTCCTCAGCAAGATGTTGTTCGGTGTAATCCAGGTGTAATCCGTCACCGTCGTCATGGCCAAGCCCGACATTTTTGTCTCACGTACAGTCAGTTCGCAAAAAGCTGTGCACCCCCCCTCCAAATAAATCAGCGACTGCCGCAACGCCAAATTCACGTGAGTGACCGAACATTGATTTCATTTAGAGGGGGTGCACAGCTTTTTGCGAACACACACGGTCGCCATCTGTTTGCCATTGCCATCGGTCACGTCACCTTCGCCGCTAACGACGTGAGTGCAAAACAAAAGGGTACGTACTACCAGAAGAGCACAGCACAAAGTGATTTTGTGCGGATGATGAGAAGGTTGGATGGGCGACTGGAAGCAACGAGGAGATGGTTGGGCGGTTGGAATGGAAGGTACATATGGATGTATGGAGGAGGCTGGATGACCGGATCCTGCTCGCTTCAGCTTGCAACGTGGAGGTTGGGCTACCGTGGGCTATGCTTTCTTCGCTTGCAGAGCAGAAAATCCAATGCTTGACGGTGCGGTCGCTTCGCACGAAAATGCGGTGAATTTTGGCCATCGCTCCAGATCCAGTCCCTGACCGAAGCAAGAAGTGGAATTGTCACTACAATTGGTAAGCGGTGGTTATTGTTTCCCTTCCTTCGAACATCGCTGACAATGACAACGGACCCTCAGGTATTGTCAGCTTGCATCGTTGCCATTCAGCGAAGCATCCCGCGAGTACAATGTCCATTTTCTGGTTACAAGCAATCGAATGTCGCCGCTGGAAATGGGTTCTGCAATGGTAAGCACACAGTGGATGCCGCCTTGTGATTACCTCAGTTCTACTTCGACCCAAAGCTAACGAGTCTCTCAAGAAGCACTTTGTCACCTGCAACCCCTCGCGCATGCCCAAACGCCTTCGTCACTTGAAGAACACGCCATGTTCGGTGCGGGAGGCCGTGATGCAAGAGCTTGCAAAGGCGTATGAGGTGCAATTTAAGCGGCACAGAGAGACGGGTCAATTCACAACACTGGCCTTTCGCGTCAAGAGTCCGAGGTGGGCGATCACCATTCCGCCCGCAAATTGGAGCGGCAAGCAAGGCATGCGCTGGCAGTGTTACACCACCCTCCTGCCCGGGCAAGGAAAGTTGCGCTTCCGCAAGCGCGACAAGCGACGTGTGCTTGACCGATGCCCGAACGGCCCGGAGGGCGAGGTCAAGGTCGTTCACAACAGCGGCACAGGCAAGTGGTTCATGCATGTGCCAAACTACAAGCCGGTGAGGAACTTGGACCGGGAAGCACGAGGCCACTTGGTTGCCCTCGACCCAGGTCAAACCCCTTCATCAACTACTATTCGCCTACCCGCATGGAGTCCGGCTCCTTTGGCACACCACACGACCCGATCCGGCTGCGCGAGTATCACCAGGGCATCGACCACATCAGCTCTGTCATGGACTCCGACTACCACTCTCCCGCCGAGACGAGGGCCCTTCGCCGCCGCCGATTTCTCATTCACGAGCGCATCCAGAACCGCGTGCGCGAATGCCATCTCCGGGTGGCCGGTTGGCTGACGCGAAACTTTCAGTTCGTACACACCTCGCCGTTTGAGACGGAGGAGATGATGCGCCGAGTGGGAGAGAACGGCCGCAAACGCCGCATCGGTCGTAAGACGGCACGAGAGTTGCTCATGTGGCGACATGCGCCCTTCCGCCGCGCGCTGCAAATGCGCCAAGAGGAGTTGCGGGGGACGTTGGTTGAGATCGCCGGCGAAGAGTACAGTCAGGTAGCAAAAAGCTGTCTCTCCTGGAGATTAAGTCAGTGCCGCCGACGCGTCTCTCCGCCCTGTGGTGGAACGGTCATTAACTTCAATTAGAAGGAGAGACAGCTTTTTGCTACCTGACTGTAGACGACGTTGACCTGCGACCGATGCGGCCTCATTCAAGCCCGCGTGGATGGGAAGTTGTTCAGATGCACGACGTGCGGCCACCGAGTGCATAGGGATGTTCCTGGGGCTCGCAACCACGCACTCAAGAACTGTGTTGACAAATACGTTTGGCTTTAAGTGTAGATTGCGCCCACTTTCCCCTCCCACACACATGTATATGTACAGTACGTGATGAATGTTCGCTTTCCTGTTCATGCCAACACCCTACTCCCATTGCAAAGAGCAGACCCTCACCGGCCAGCTCTCACTCCGTCCTATTTGTTTCCTAGACATGACATTACCGTAAGTGCCCCTTGCGCTTGCGGATCGATGTCGTTGCCTTACGAGCACGGTCGCTGTCTGATGAAAGCTCCCGAAGCGGCGTTCGGAGATTTCGCCGGTTACCAAGGACGTCACCACCCAGACGCCAAGTCGGAGCTTGAAAAAGTTGAAAGCCGAAAGCCTAATATGCTCCGCGAAAACGGGTTTTCGAAGAGGCAAATTGTGTGGTTGAATGGTGTGTTGGAGTCGCACCCATGCGGGCGACAGTGTCTGACATGTGCAACGGAATCCAGCTCGCGTACCCAGCTTGCGCACCCAGCGGGGATCGTGCCTCGCACTCCGCCCGCACCCTGCTTGTTCTTGTTCGGGACCGGCCGGGTTGCGCCCCCCTTCGAGATTCGAACCGCGGGTATAGCAGGAGAAGCTGGTTGAGGACGCGCTCAGCCATCAACATCGATGGGCGCGATAGCTCGTATCCCTTGTCCAAACATTTCCGTGCCTCACAACGGTTTTGCGCTTTTATTACCGACACAGCCTGCCCCTTCCTTCATCCTCCCTCAGCACATTGCAAACCTGCACAACATCTCTCCATCTTCCCCCCGAATTGCAACAATGTATCTTCGTGTGGTTCCTGGTGCTTTCTCGGTAAGGCACACATCGTTAGCAGGAGATGGGCCCCATCGCCTGGTCCATAGGTGGGGGAAACTCGCTCATCAGCAAATTCTTTTCATCTCAACAGCTCCTTACCCGCCGCTCTGCGACGACCGGAGTCAATGCCATTCGCTCCTACTCTACCGCTAAGAGCCAGGTATGTCCAGCAGACCTTCTGCAGGATGGAAGTCTTCAGATCCATCGTACTCACCCACCTCCATTTTCCCACCACAGACTCTTAAGGAGCGTCTGAGTGAGCTCATCCCCCAAAAGCAGGCCGAGGTCAAGGAGTTCCGATCCAAGCATGGCAGCAAGGTTCTCGGAGAGACCACCGTTGACATGGTTAGTACTTGGACGTTGAAGAGATCGTGGAGTCGGGATCGTGCGTCTCATTTGAATATCTCACTATCAGATGTACGGAGGCATGCGCGGTATTAAGGGTCTCGTCTGGGAAGGTTCCGTCTTGGACGCTGACGAGGGTATCCGTTTCCGTGGCTACACCATTCCCGAGTGCCAGAAGCTTCTCCCCGCTGCCGAGGGAGGTGAGGAGCCTCTCCCTGAGGCCCTCTTCTGGTTGTTGGTGACCGGAGAAGTCCCCACCGCTGAGCAGGTCAAGCAGCTCTCCGCCGACTGGGCTGCCCGCTCTGCGATTCCATCATACGTTGAGGACCTCCTCGACCGTTGCCCCAACACCCTCCACCCCATGTCCCAGTTCGCTCTCGCCGTCACTGCCCTTCAACACGAGTCTAGCTTCGCCAAGGCTTACCAGAGCGGAGTTCCCAAGACCCAATACTGGGACTATACTTTCGAGGATGCTAACGACTTGATCGCCAAGCTTCCCAACGTCGCTGCCCGTATCTACCGTAACGTCTTCAAGGATGGCAAGGTCCCCGAAATCGACCGCAACCTCGACTGGGGAGCCAACTTCGCTCACCTTCTCGGCTACAAGGACCCCAAGTTCGTTGAACTGATGCGTCTGTACCTCACCATCCACTCCGACCACGAGGGAGGAAACGTCTCCGCCCACGCTACCCACTTGGTCGGATCTGCCCTCTCTGACCCATACCTGTCTTTCGCTGCCGGTATGGCCGGTTTGGCCGGTCCCCTGCACGGTCTTGCCAACCAGGAAGTCCTCCGATGGACCCTGAAGATGCGCGACCAGGTTGGCCAGGGCGCAACTGACGAGCAGATCAAAGAATTCCTCTGGAAGACGTTGAAGAGCGGTCAGGTCGTCCCCGGTTACGGACACGCTGTGCTCAGGAAGACCGACCCCCGTTACACTTGCCAACGGGAGTTTGCTCTCAAGCACCTGCCCGATGACCCTCTCTTCAAGCTTGTTGGTCAGGTTTACAACATTGCCCCCGGAGTTCTCACCGAGCACGGCAAGACCAAGAACCCATGGCCCAACGTTGACGCCCACTCTGGCGTTCTTCTGCAGCACTTCGGCTTCGTCGAGCAGGACTTCTACACGGTTCTGTTCGGTGTCTCCCGTGCTCTTGGTGTGATGAACGGTCTCATCTGGGACCGTGCCCTCGGACTCCCCATCGAGAGGTAAGGTCTTTTCGAATTTCCAATCTTCATGTTTCATTAGATACTCACAACTGTTTCCCTCAATTTCCAGGCCAAAGTCCTTCAGCACCGCGCACCTCCAGAAGATGTTCGCCAACAAGTAAGCTATCGAGCTCTCTTGAGTAGGACCTTCTGTTTATTCCCCCCATCCGACCCGTTTGTGGCATCAGCATACCATACACTGCTCCTAGAGTAAAACTCATTTTGTGCCATCCCTCATCTTCTTTATCGAGTATATAATATTCCCGTTGACCTGACTCATGCATGCTGTGATACAACCTGTGAACTTATGACCCGCATCAAGAGCTTGGCGCCGGGAAGGTGCTCTACGTTGCGACTAGCACATCCCCCGTGAGGCTTTCTCCAGGTCGGTCGATTGCTGTTCGTCTGCTGACTTCTGACCGCAGGGAGGCCCTCCTTGCACATGAGTTTCCGGGATGCTTTTTTTGATTACATATGCCATTCCTTTATGGCTTTCGGTGAACGTCATTGGATGAGGAGATATACGGTGTATCTTTTGAGAACGATCTCACATACTGTACATGCGCCGAATCTCTCTGCGACACGTAGTGGCCTCACGGACAGCTCATGCTGTCGGCCATACGAGTCTGAGGCGAAAACGAGGCTTGCGCCTCTTGTACTGTACCTTATTCAGGGCCCCTTAGTCAGCAGCGAATGTAAAATGCGACACCGTGACATCTAAATTGACAGGCGTCTGCTCGGAGTTACTCATATTTGGTGCCACTGGATAAACTGTCATTTCGAAGCACCAGGCGGTCAGGCAGAGATAGTAAGCTCAGACAACGGTAGTTTCAGTTTGAGAATACTTTTCTTTCCACGCCACCATCCTGTGAAGCCAAATTAGCTGCTTCCGTTTTGGTCACCGGCTTTACGAAGGACAATTCTAGAGACTGATAGCTCAACGGAGGTTGCCACTCGCATAGATGGGGAAGAAGAAAGAGGTTCCTCGTGAGTAAGAGGTGAATGGAAGCTTATGAACAGCACAGGCTAATGCACAGAATCCTGTTATACAAAAGCGAGCGAAGCTCCCCAAGCAGCACCTCCAGGTTAACCTACTTTTCAAAACATATTCGCACCTGAAGATTGGAAAACTAACACCTCTGCGAGAGTAGAACCGAAGCAATCATCCGGCTTCTCATTCTTCAAAGGCAAGAAGAAGAATGGATCGAACAACACCCCCGAAGTCTCGGCTCGCTCGCTCCCCAGAGACAGCAACACTAATCCACCGAACGACAACTCCAATTCGGGACCTTATCAGCAAGGTCCCTATGCTGGCCCCAACGATCCCAATCAGCCGTACGGGTATGGGTACGAATATGGATATGACCCTAGATATCCCCCTCCTCCCGGTGAAAACGGACCGCCGGGAGGCCCTCCGCCGCAGATGATGGGAGGTGACCCCAACTATGATCGGAACGGAGGATACAACGGTCCTGCGGCGGATACCCCAGTGCAGCAGACCGGCCCACCACCACCCGACAACCGCCCGCCAGTAGATTTTGACTGGCGTTCACAGGCCAGGTTCGAGCAACTGGGCCCGAACCAACAGCCGCAGAGTCCGTTTGGAGACCCGAGTCGTGCAAAGGTGCCGTTTGACCCGGACCAGCCGATTCGTGGAGGCAAGATGGGTTTGGGAGCGATTGATGAGAGTGGGCAGGCGCTTGCGGAGGAGGGGTCGCCGGATGATAGGTTTAGGGAGCATCCGGGGGCATCTGACCATCATGTAGGGACTTTGCATTTTAGAGAGAGCAACATCGAGGCTGAATTTACTGATGCGGTCCGTTTAGGTTCCGCCAAAGAAGAAGCCACTTGCTGCGAAGAAACCGGTCAAAGCCGAGCCGAAGCCGGAGAGTGAACCTGTAGAGGCGCCGCCCGTGGCGAGCAAACTGCCGGCGAAAAAGGGCAGACAGCCTTCCGAGCCGGTTGCGGCGGCCACACCGGAGCCGGAATCAAAGGCGGCAAAGCCGTGGGATAATAAGAAGGCTACTCCTGTGCATCGTCCATCAGTGTTGGATGAGCCAAAAGCGGAAGAAGCATCGCTCGTAAATGCTAAGCTGCCAAAGCATTTACAGGGCAAACTAGACCGGCAGAAGAAGCAAGCCGAGGCGGCTCCTGGGCCTGCCAAAGACGTCGCGCTCCCGGATGTAGCAGCGTACCATGATGCAGCTACCCCGGATGTAGAAGCGGAGCCTGCGTCAAAGCATAGGGCAAAACCTCCCGTCAGGGCCCCAGCTGTTGCTGCCAAGCTGCCACCCACGGAATCGATGAGCAAACCTCGTGCTCGATCCCCTTCCAGCAACGCTCCGCAACGCAAAGCGCCGTCGCCAATCAATCTCCCTCGACCTCGCAGCTCGACCAAACGGCGCGTCTTCTTTCCCAAATCACGCATCCCGACTCTCAAAGCCCGCCGCCAGCAACAGCAACTTCAACGCCGCGGTCTTGCGTTCCAGCCCGACCAAATGCTAGATACTCTGCAGACCCTCGCCGCGAATCACGCGAAAGTCAGCGACTCGATCGTTGCCACGTACGGACCGCGGCAGCAGGCGCCTGGGTATCGCAAGGCCAGCGAGGCGATCTTGTCGATTCCGAGTATGCCACTCGAGCAGAAGGTGATGATGTTGTCTGAGCGGTTGGACGAAGAGGAGGAGGAAGTGAGGAAGTTGCATACGGAGAAGACTGAGTATGGGCGGCAGGTCGTGTCGTTGAGGAAACGGATGCAGAGGGAGGTTGAGAGGTCCAAGCCGTTACCCAAGGTCATCACTATGGTGCCGCCTAGCGTTGAGGTGAGGGAATGAGACCGAATAACGAACAGTAGCTGCATTATGAAGGATTAATGAGCTATTCCCCGCCATCAGGCCAATCTGAACCTCCGATACCAATTCAAAAGATTGGTGGACCACGAACGAGAGAAGACGCAGAAGTTCGCAGAAGAGAACAAGCACTTGACTGCCCGCGTCAAGGAACTGGAAGCAAAACGTAAGTCCTCTCTACATGGCCCGGATTAATCGGGCGGCGCACTCTTTACACAGGCCCCTTCCCCTTCCGTATAGAAAACGCGACCAAACACCCGCCCTCATCCGCTTCCAACTCGCACCGCAACAACGAGATCGTCTCCTTGCGCAAGCGTCTTCGGGAGTCCGAGACAGAGAAGCGTCGACTGGAGGAACTCGTGCACAAAGTGCAATCCCAACTAGCGAAAGAATCAAAGGAGAAAGAGAAGATCGACAAGGATCGGGAAGCGATGCGGCAGCAGTTCACTCATCTGCGAGGAATGGATCTGGAGGTTGGGATGGATTCAACAGCGGCAGGGCTTGGAGGGGTGTTAAGTCGGAGGGCGTCAGCAAGGTTGGATGTGGAGCAGGATGTGAAGAGGCGGGCTCCGGTGAAAAAACTGGGAGATGGATTGCGACACCAGGCGAAACCAGCAGGGGATGAAAGGCAGCCGGAGGACGAGCTGGCTGGACCGTCGACGCAGTTGGCAGAACAGAGGAAAGGCGCGGGTGAGCTTGGGAAAGCGCAGAATGAACGTACCGTCGCCGGAAAGCCTGTGCGAAAGCCCGTGGTCCATGCAAGGAGCCAGGTGGTGAGTTAACGTGGCTGGGCAATGCGCTGTGATGGACCGAAACCAATGCCATCTATCCCGTAGCCTGCGCAACCTTCCTCGAATGCAGCAGAGGATCCAACCCAGGAAGGACATACAGAGGAGCCGTAAGTGCGCAACTCAAGACATTGGTGTGTGTTTTACATATCTTATTTTCTTTTTCTTTTGTGGGAAGACGTAAGCCGCAGCGGTCGGCAAAACGACCGAAAGCTAAGCAGTAAGCACTTGTTTGAAGAGAAAAGATGCGTCAGTGGAGTACGCTGGTCGGTTATGAACTCAACGCACTCTATTTTCAGGGACAGGGATGGTGAGCAGGACGAGGACCAGTCGACCGGAAGCAAAGGAGACCTAGCTGGAGACGGCAAAGGGTGAGCTCAGTAAAATGCGCATCAAATCGGAAACTCGTGTTTTCTAAACGCTCGTTTTGTCCACGCCCATAGCAAACTTCCAGGAGTGTTCCGCACAGCTCCGGACCGGCAGCGTTCCGTCCTCGCCAACCTCGATCGAGACCTGCGCGAAGCCGGCTCTCTCATCGACTCCCTCGACCAGGACCTCGTACGCGCTGCCGATCGAACGCGCCAACGCCGCCCGACAGGCGAGATCGGAGCATATGGATCCGAAGATGACGGAGGCGTCGGCGTGCCAAACAGCAGATACGATGAGTATGATCGGCACAAGGGCTCGGAGGCGTTGGGCGCTGTTCCGGAGTTACCGCGACAGCATCGACCCCAAGAAGATGATGGCGATGAGAGGATGCGGTCGGCGAAGATCAGAGCGGAGTACAAAATCTGGGTGGAGAAGAAGAAGCAGGAGGCGGCGGCGGCGGCGGCGCAGGCCGGTGGGCCAATACCAAACAGATAAGGCAAAAATAGTAGCAGCAAGATAGTTCCGAGGCTAATATAGTGATAGTTGCCCCGACTCTCCGATAGTGATTTCTCGACAGAAGTGACAGAACTAGTATCATAGGACAGCTCGCTAGGCTGCATGAGATTCTATGAGGAAAGATAATAACATGACATTAAGAATTATAGAATACGTGGGGTGTTCGCACATGGAAAGGGATTACTGGTAACATTCCTCATAAATGCCATGGCTGCGTTCCATCTTAAACTGCGCCATCATAACGCCGTCTCATCAAAAGGAAGCAGAGCTCGAGTCTTGGTCACTCCCTCGATGTTCCACTACGCTCATAACTTCATGAACGATGGCGCCGAGCTTCTTCCCAGCATCCGTCAGGTCTCCTGTTGCGATGGTGATAGGCCTGACCAACTTCGCCCCGTCGTATGATCCAAACATGAGGAACCGCTCTCCATCCTCGTCATACTCCACTTTCAGTGCCCTGTTCCCGTCCGAAGATGCATACACCTCCCCACGTCGGACAGGGGACCGCTCTGATACTATGCCCTCCTCGTCCGGCGCTACCGAAGGCGACACTGGACCAGTGCTGAAGATCCATTCCCACTTCTCCGGCTTGATACCCAGCAAATGCCGTCGCTCCACAGCGCTATCTCGCGGCGGTCCTTGCCTCCAAAGGCGTGAGAAAAGGTCATCGAGGTATTGTGTCAAGGCGTTATGACTTTCTGGAGCGATCGGCGGCTTCTCGTCCTCTTCCACTTCAAGAATTACTTGCAGGCAATGGCCATTGGTCATGCTCGGAGAGAAGATGAACACCCTGCGCTTCAGGGAGGACGAAATGTCATATTCAAGGTTAGGCAGTGTTGTGGCCGGATTGTTGCTGAGTTCGGCGTCGGGCACCATCACCTATAAATATGCTTGGTGAACAACAAGGCATATAAAATAATGATGCGTATCTTACCTGAGAGGCCCACTGGGACCAAGAATTATTGATGTTCCGGCACCAGCCGAGTATCGTCGACTTCAAGCATTGAATTAGCCGCTGATGTCGAGGTTACAGAAAGTCGAGCACTAGCTCACCTTATAAAATGGTGTAGGTTCGCCACACCCTGCGTTCAGCTTGTACCGTTTCAAAATTGGCTCCACTACAGAACAGGGAGAGTAATTGTAAATCCGCACTTCAATCTTCCCTGTCGCCACGGCTGCCTTGAATTCCCAAAATTCGATTTCCACGTCCGTTAAAGAGACATGCACTTTGAAGAGCGCCGTTTTGAAGGTTGAAAACGCTCTCATGCTCGAATTTCCGCTCTTTGCCGGTCGCGGAACAAGGGAACTTCGGTAGAACCAATCGGAAAACTTCCGCAGAAAGAACGTCCATAGGTGTGAGTCATCTTCCTGTGGGCTGACTCTTTCCACCATTGGACTGCCTCGGATCTTTGAGCCTCCGCTCTTGGTGGGATCTCTAAAACGGAATTCTTTGGGCATCGAGGCGAGTACATCATTTGGCGCCCCGTGTGCTTGTGACTGAATTTCTGGAAACTGCAGGGCATAGAGGCCGGGAGCAAACTGGCCGACAGAGTCACTCTGTTGCGACTGTGCATCAACACACCCAGCAGACTCAGCCGCCTTGTTGACTGAACCACGGTGGCCAACATTGGGGTGTGCTACTTGAAACCGGAGGCGCGTTGTGTCTTGCATTTTGAGTAAGATTGCGTATGGGATGCTTCGCTCCTTGGTAGGACTTGTATACGCCGCCAGTCTACATTGCGCTTTATGGACAGCAGCCACGCCCCCTTTAATCACCAAGTGCCTAAGAAGAGGGGTTAAAATGAGGCTATGGGCAGAAAACAACAGGGAGATACTTACGAAGATTTCACGGATATTTGGGCCCCCGAGCTCTCCCTCACATACGGGATGTTTCTCTTAACATTGGCAGCGGTCTCCGGCGGGAAGAAGAAATTCAGCGTCATATCATCTCGCCGCATTGTAACGCCAGGTCTGGAACACTTTGTGGGAGGGCCGCCGAGAGGACGGGAGCAAGCGGAGCAGAGGGTTGCGGAACTGCGTTGCGCTATGGATCTATGTGTAGTGTTTCTGAAGGTTTTCGCAGAAGATGCGGAGGTGGCCGACTTTTGGACAGGTCTGAGCAGCAGCGGGGGACTTGGGGAGCTGATGACAGCACGCGCTCCATCATCGACGCGCTGAGGGAATCCAATTCACGCCAGATTCACGCGTCGCTGGAAAGTTGGAACAAGGCGCTGGGCAGGAGCCAGAGGGCTGTGGATTCAGGAAAGGCGTCGTCTGGGTGGAGACCTTGGAGACTTTAGCTGGGCATCAACCAGACCAAGACAAGGGTGGTGCGGCTCGTTCAACGCGGACAGTAGCAGCCAGTGGCAGGACCACCTCTCCTTGTCCCTATAGTCGCACGTCGCCCTTGCGACTCCGTGTGTACCCTTAACACAGCAAGGCCAGGCTCTTCACCCGGTACTCGACCTACGCAAACTCATTATCGAATCAATTCCGGAAGTCATGAAGGTCCATCTCCTACTGTGTCTGGATGCTGCTCTGTGTAATCAGCTTCTCCGTCCTCCGCCGCAAACACAAACGGTGTCGCAACGAATCTCAGTGCTTCTCGTCGACCTTGTTGTTCGAGGAAGTGTAGAACCACTGCACTGTCCACTGACGAATACAGAAGTCAGGACATGGAAAGGCTTGCATACCATTCGCAGTGGGACATCAATATGAGCAGTTTATCGCTGAAAAGAACCTCCGTCGCTCCTGGGTAGGAAGCTGTGAACCTAAAGCCGAAGAGGATGCCGAGCCCGCCAACGAGCGCCAATATGGACGATTTCGGATGCTGCACGATGGGGACGGGACTTGCTCATGATTGGTGTTGTCCAAAATGCCGCGTACTTATGAAAGTCGGTGGCAAGCCGGCGATCGTCACCTCGGGTGAGATTTGCCTCATCACGTCGGGATGTATGCGGCCGTACCATTCATGTACCACCCGCCGAGGATCCAACCACATTTCCATCTCTCACTGGCAGTGGCAGCAAACACTCAAAAAAACGGTTGATGGGCCAATATACATGTTTTGACGAACTGCTTTGATTCTCATATTCGTAAAACGCAAGAACGAACAGATGAACGAGGTTCCTAGCGCGATCAGGAGTTGTTCCGGATACTTGAACGTTGGCAGGTTTCCCGTAGCTTGTGTGTTGAGTATATACGGCTACCGGCGAGCGGATAACCTACTCCGCTGTAAGGGTGCTGTTGGCTTCATTGCACCGCTTACTTGGAACGAGCACGCTGGAAGGAGAAAGCTGGTGAGCAGTGGGAAGGGAGACGGGTAGAAAGCGAAATGCTAGGACGTACCATCTTTCTGCGCTTACGCTTCAAACGACGCTGACGCTTCTTCCTCCACTTATCACGCATGGCTGTGGAAATGAAACAGAATGGCTGTCAGCTTCTCACTGCATTGAACACCCATGACTACTATCCACCACGTCCGCGAGTCACACGGCCACCACGGGAATAGAGATCCAGCATTCCCAAAATGCCTCAAGCATGTCCCAGTCCGCTGCCCAAATCCATCCCATCCATCCATCCATCCATTCGTTCGTTGGTCCGCGCACATCCTCTCTCCAGTCTGTCCCACTATTCGCCGTGGTCCCATGTCGAGTTCAGAGACGTTGTACTGCTGGATACCTCTTTCGTCTGTCGATACTAACCTGCTGATTGCTATAAGTGATGCGGGATGGATTCAAACGACGTGAACTCTCCACTTAGCTGCTTTTGATGAAGCCCGCGCCCCCGACGCGTCCCCGTTCCGCCGTGCCTTAGTCACGTGACTCGTCAACCCTGTCGCGTTCTCGCTCAACTGCCACGACTTCCACAGTTGAAGTTGCCCCAGCATTCCTGCCATTCTCGCCGCCGCAAGGCCCTACCCACCGATAGTCATGCTCCTGCTGCAAAGCGTATAAAAATCTCCGCTACACCGGTCAGATTGCTGTGCCTGTCATGTCGTTCTCCGGCCACCTTGGGGTATTCCCATCCATTTTGGCAGCTCAATAAGATCAACGGTCCGCAATGGAGAAGGTCAAAACGCCCAGTGAACTTGACGAGGAGTGGGGAAATGTCTCCATGCACAGCTGAATGACGGCCACTGCACGAGGGTCTGTGGCTGGATAGTCGCACCACGTCGATCTTGGGCACCGGACGTTGGCTCGCGGGGATTCTGTGGATTTTGTGGATTTTGCGCTCCGCGAGCTGCTGCAACACCATATTCAAGCAGTTCCAATCCCCCCTCTGCACACACACACACCTTCGAAAATAAACCGTCCTAAACTGGGAAGGTAAAAACAGGTGTTGCGGACACAGTGGTTTCCGCAGGCATAAGCAGAACCTTCAAGTGCACGTACCGACTAACTGAACTTTTTTTCTCAGTCCAAATAGGAATGTCTACTGGCAGCCTATCAACCTCTCCTCGTGGGGAGTTTTGCACCGGGTCAACCGCTCCCTACCCTTCAACCCGCAGTTGTACCGGCCGGAGGTGGGTTCCAGTACCACCATGTGAAAGTTGCCATCCATAAAGTGATAGAGCAAATCGAAAACCCTGATATAGCTTTCGGATTGATCGGTCTCAATCATGGGCCTTCCGGGTCAGTTGTCTGTGATTTGAGCATCATATATGCGAATTGTGTTGTTGTGCGGAGGATACGTAGCTTTGGCAAGGGTGCAGTTTAGTGGGTTTTGCCAACGTTAAGCCAACGTTAAGTTGGGAAAACCCACTAAACTGCACCCTTAGCCGAAGTAAGAATACACTTGATTCCGGGCGTTCTGGGAAAGAGGACGGTTAAAAGTTCGGGAAGACCTATTCCAACGGAAAACCTGTCGACGCCAGCCAACCGGGCTTTGACAAGGACTTCTGGGAGTTTGAATCGGAATACACGAGCCGGGCGTCCGCCGAACCGCCGCATAACCACTCGTAACCGGCGTCAACTCCCCTCCAACACTCCCTGTATCCAACGTCCGGACACATGAACTGCAACGGGAAGCTTGGGCACCAAGGGTTTAGAGGACTGTGTGGGGAAGGAGGTGGTGGGTGATGGGGATTGAGCTGCGCATGGGTTGGAAGTGGCGGGAGATGGGACTGATTGGGATGAAGCGTATCGCTTGCGGGTTGTGGCGGCAGCGTGGGAGGGGTGGAGTCGGGGATGGGTGGCGAATTTCAGGCCATATTGGGCGCTGGGAGTTTATAAGCTTCATAAACGTCAGCTCAAAAAATGTGATAAGACAGCTCAAAAGATGTGATGTACGAATGATGCACGAATATAGATAAGCTTCATACTTGCTACGCCAGCTCTGTGCATTAATCTTGCGGCTTGATACTAAACCTTCACGATGATGAGCGAAAAGGCGGCCATGTAGCGACTTGGTTCAGGAATGTGAGGCAAATCGCAATTAGGGTCCGCATAGACATGAAACGCTGGCAGACGGCGATGACCCAAACGGGCAGAAAGCAACAGCATGGTTCGGAGTAATGCATGTGTTTATATCTCATGCTTCCGCTTCAAAATCTCCATGAAGTGCTCCCCATCTTCTCCTGAATTCGTTCAAAGGCAACATGTAAGCAACTTTCAAAATCGTCCGCGTTGACGGTTCACGGACGTACCCTCTATGGATGTTAGGAACCGAAGCACTTCTTGGCGGATCTGCATGGCGGGATTGGGCAATTTGAATTTCGAGCTCTATGAACGTTCTCTGTCCATTGAGGATTGGCATCGTGATGACAAACCTCTGTGTTCTTCAATGCCTTCGCACGTTCTAATAGGTCCAGCGCTAACTGTGGGTCGGAAGACGTTTTAGGCGTATCCGGTGGAGACATCGGGTGTGATGTTGCTTACCTGTCCGCTAATGCTTGTAGATTCCAAAGATTGCACGATCACAAGGTATGATGTAGCCGAGCGTAGTGTACCATCTCTTAGACACATCTGATTGGCAAATGGGTAGAGACATCATCAGCGGCTTATGGAAGATCAAACATGAACGTTCGGCAAGTTTAGGCCCTTAGATAGCCTGATACCGACCTCAAACAGCACTTTGGGATCCCCGATAATCGAGAAGAAGTAGGGCCACAACGAGGCTTCACTTTTCCGTGCCGTATGCGCAACTATCTGTGGGAAGTCAGTGAACTTCCGCAGGAAGGCTGTGATGCGCGGTAGCATTGCGTCTGGTCGTGATAAGACAATCCGTTTGCGTTGGTTCCATTTTCTGACATGCACGAAACCTATGCTTCTAACCTTGTTGTGGGCTGAGACCTGTGCCAGCCTCGGCTTCCAGTGCTTGATGTAGGAGAACTTCGAGCGAATGCTGCCAGTAGGGCAATTGCTGATACGTTTGAGTGACGAACCCGGCCTCCGCCTCATCGCTAAATCCAGGAAATTAGAATCCAAGCATACTGCAACTCGCGGTGGGCAGAACTTTACCCGTAAAACAAGAGGTGTCGGACAAGGACATGAAGGAACAAGCGAGTTTTCACATCCGCTCGGTACAAGTGATGGTTGACTGCCGATGCCATTGGTATCTGCGACTCTATGCCGGCTACGAGACCTTTATTGAGCGCGACCGCTGGAGAGAACGCGAGGGGAATAGGTAAGAGTGCCATGACATGGTCTGCTACCAAGATGCGATGGACGTACTGAGCGGATAGAAGTCAACGTCGACTTGTATTGCGGGTGCAATCTCTAAAGTCGGATTCCATGCGGTGAGAGGGCCAGCGCCAGCGCCGACGTTTGCCCACATCTGCCAAATGTCGTGATGATAAGCAAATATTCTTACCACAGAAGAAAAGATCCACCCACACCATACCTGGAGTTTCCTTCCATCCATCACCCATAACGAATTGAACAGATTCCCAATGCGGTCTTGTGGTCGCGAGATCCAGAAAATCTCGACTTTGGTCTTGATTTGTGTCAGCTCCCAACTCTGCTCAGACTGTTCGGTACCAACATTTCATTAGCTGATGTTGATCGCATTTTCGCAGATTGCACACCTACGTTTTCCTTGAACAGGTGGAGAGTTCCCCCATTCAACACTAGAATGCTAGGCTGGCTCTGCTGTTGTCCATCTTCGAAATGATGTGAATGGGGAGGCACCTGTGATGTATATTGGGGAAGATGGCAATGGCTCACCTCCAGCAGGACACCAAGCCACGGCTCGAACAGCAAATGGAGACGGTACAACGTCGTTCAAAGAAAGCGTCGTTCTAGCATGCAAACTCATTTTGGTTCCTGTACATCGACCCGATGAGAGATGCACGCACGTTAAATATGGCATGCCGATCTCACCTTCCGAAGTCACAAGGTATTGCCGCAACACATTGTCGGCAGTGTATACGAGCAAGTTTGCGTCTGTCATGCCCATAGCAATAACAGAAGCAGGAAGTGGTTCGTTCACCAGCACATTGGTAAGGACCAGATTTCCTTCTCGGGAGAAAACTCGAATCTGACCAACCAAGATCAGCACGTCTTCCATGTTACTTGAAGATTTCATGATCCGTACGCACCTCATATGTCTGTGTCTCCAAATCCTCGCATCCAGTGATCAGGGCATTGCGATACCAATGCATCCCACCAATTATTCGAAAGCTTTGCTCCTATATTGCATGCGAGGTTAGGGCACTGACAAGACCTGAACTTGCAAAACATAAGATATCCCACCTGCTGCTCGTTACCAAACAACTTCCACTTGTTCGATGCAGCACTGTAATGTGCAAGTCCCCGGCTTCCCGCAATGGCGATGTAGTTTCCGTTGGCGTTCAGAGCAACATACTAGTCCGATGAGCGAGGCGTGTAAGGAAAAGCAACCCGCCATTGTAATGAATACCGGTGCGTATACCTTAATGGGCCAGTTTTGTGTCACGTACATGGGCGGGATCTGATATAAGGGCAATCGAGGTGAAGGTGAGAAGGCAATTCCATGCGATGCGGGCCTAGTTATGATGTCCAACCTGTATGGTAGATCCGGCGAATGCACCCAGACCAGCCATTCTTCCTTGGCTGATGTCGATCTCATTGAGTATGATCTTCTCATCATGCACCAGGACCATATGCATCGCATTGTCCTGCCAGAAAGATTGAGTGGAGTCCCAAACTAGCAGTGCTCAGAGGCGGCCCACCTGGGTGAAATTGTCAACGAGAGCTGATTTCGCGAATGGAAGCACATATATGTCACCGGTGACGTCTGTATGCAGAAACCAGATGTGAATACACAAACGCTTAGGTGCTTAGACTTCAAAGCAGCACTTTTCAGCACCTTCGTTGTGCAGGCATTTAGGGAGCACAAACAAGTCAAAATCCCCCACTCCCCATCCCTGCAAGCTGCGTCAGTAAGTGTTCCATGCTGGCTTCAGGTCTACCGAGCATTCGCAGTAACATACCAGATCTCGCACGCCAGTAAAGTAACCTTCCACAACAGGATCGTCCTCTTCGCTGGACGAACTTCGCAACTCTTCGGAGAACGTCGTCATCAACAAGCGGCCGTACATGCTCCAGAGTGACAGACCACCGGAGCTCCATCCCACTGCCAGAGCTTGACCATCTGTCGACCAATCCAAGGCGCTTACGCCTCCTATTTGAGCTTCGGACCATCGGCATCTGTTAATGACTGTCGCGCAGTGCATAGCAATCAACTATAGCTACCTCGTCTCGCATGCTCGAAGGAACATTTATGTGACAGACTGATCTCTTGATTGTCATTATTTATTGCGTACACAAGAACTTCTCCACTAAATAATAGGAATACGCAAATACATATGGTAAGAGAAACTTTCCGGTCGCTATAGCAAATCAAGGCGGCGCTATCTAGTCTTGAAACTCACGATGTTGTGCCAACAGCTATCATTGAGTATAGTTGATTCATCGCTATGCAGGTGGCTTTGGCGCTTGTCCTGTCCGAATTATAAAAGCAGAGACCCAACCATGTCTGCGGGCCATGTTGTGAGCCCGACTGGGGGGTGTGTGGGACGCGGAGTCAACATTGAAGGGCAGTACAAAGCTCCATACCCGCAAACTTCGAGCAGCACTCGAGCGTTGAGCAATGTATGCCTTGCCCAAAGCAGTGATCCATCCGTACAGCCCAGTATGCTCGTTCAAGACGATGTGCACCAGTCCTGGATTTCGATGGTTGTTCATAAAGAACCAACACACAGAACCAGCGGCGTCGACATACCACTATCGGCCTCATCGTAAAAGTCCACATCAGCCAGGTCGCTCGTACCATCGATGATTACGTCTCCCTGCCAGGACAGCGACACGATCGATGGTGGATTGTGCGTACATAGCAAGATCTCCTCATCCCGACCGATCCCGCTAGCAGCGTAGGGAAGATCCAAATCAACGTGAGATGTCAGGCAAGAAGGGAGAGACTTCTTCATGCTCTAACCATTGGATCCCAGTAGCGATTTCCAGAGCCAATGTGAAATGAAGACTGAGGCCCTGCATCCCGTTCGCCTCTCCTGGTCCAGTCATGAAATGATGCACATTGATAAATTGCAGGTCGAGAGGCTTGCTCGCCGACTTCCTGATATCGTAGAAGTGAAGGTGTCCTTTGTTCGTCTATGGGTGATATCGACCTTGTCAACTGCCAGGCGTTCTCCTCCACCTGAGCTCCGTTTACAATAGCATACCACGACTGCAAGAGCAGTTGCGTCTGGCTTCCATATAATATCAAAGTTCTCCCCATCTTCCAGAATGGTCGACTCAGACCTGCGGACGGTTGCAAGTAGGACGCTTGGCTATATGAAGTCGGTCCATCTTGTCAGCCGTGTTCAACATCTTCGGCATCCCCACCTTGCGAAGCAGCGTGCGCAAAGTCTTCGGTTCAGCAAATATCTCCAACGCACCCGAGAAGACCATAGATACAAGGTGTCGTGGGAAACGGCTGCGAATAAAGGCATATTCCGACAAAGTTTCAAAGAGAGGAGCGCCTGTTGCGGTTCGTGGGGAATCCTCTGCCCCTCAGAAGACCCATCTTGAAAACCGTCCAGATTAGCGCCAGGACCCCCGAAGCACTTATTTACTGAGAGAATGCGAGCTGTTGCTTGAGCGTGAAAGAACATGTTAGCCAGTCGATCGCCTGTGAATAGAGATTCCTCGCTGGACAAATGTAAATAGATGGTCCACTCGTCACCACTTTTCGATTTTGTGTACGCGAGTTCTGAAGCATCTGTTGACCCATCTTGCACCATGGCTGCCACCCGGAAGACACCTAAGCAAGCAGCTGGCAGCTATATATTCCCTTCCATCCACGACTTCCCTCCCTTCTACACGTAAGTTTACGACTTTCCTAAGACGCCCAGGATGTCCAAAGGGTGGGGATGGGAGCAGTGATCACACCCGGAGGAACTCACTCTCGCGACCTTGACGTTTTCACAGAATACAACCGACAATATCCACCCGCACAAAGCAACTACAGTTATGGTGTGAAATACTGCTGCAATACTGTGCAGCGACTCGCACGTCTGAGTTGCTCGTTGTGCCGGCCACGATGAACCAAGATCCAATGACGCAGGCCGTGTTTGCCAACGAGAGGATAAGACGTAATGTATCGGTGGGGAAGTGAGGGTCTGCGGGGCAGAGCGGAATTAGATTGGCGTTTGTTCGGAAACCTCATGCCGGAGCTTTCGATTTGCCTAGGAAGGTTGAACAGGGAAGCGATACAACAGATATCGTTGATGAGCTAGTGCAGCAAGGTAGGCTGATACCTTGTTGGCACGATGTCCCAGTTTGGTTGTCCGTTTCCGCCGGCTGACGAAAATCCTCAGGTCAAGCCGAATGGGACTCACCTGCCAAGGACCGATGTCTCATCTACTGGCGGAAGCCGGAGGATTGGGGAGCGCAAGTCTACAAATGGGCTTTCGACTCTGGATCGACGGGATCCATTTGTACCGTTTACGAGCTTCTGCATGGCAAATACACTGAGGGACAAGGTGGGTCATCTCCTTGCGTGAATTATAGCCTGTCGGTTGTTCTCATGTGGTGTTGTTTCGCAGAATTCCATGGACTGAACGAGAAGACCATGGTGAAGGCATTGGAAGCGCTCGCAAAGTCGGGAAAGGCGCAGCTGTTTGTTGGCAGTACAGACTTGGAGATGGGCGTGAAGTTTTCATGAGTGGCCGGTGGCATCGATCTCTCGCATTTCTAAACATCCCCTTCCATCTCAGTGGAAGGTTGGTTGTTGGTCCTTGGAGCAACACTCTGCCCGAACCCGACTCGATGAAAAGAGCATATTCTCCATATGCGTGGAGGGCATCACCCTTTGCCTTTCTGCAGCGGACTTGAGTTTTTTCCGGGAGGCGGCTCGGAGACGACAATCACTGCTGTATCGTGCGTTCCCATGCGGGCTGCCTTCGCCGTATGATGGCTTGCTGGACTCTTACGTTGGAGGTGAATCCACCCTCATCACCTCGTTCTCGCTAAACTCACGCGACGGAAGCCATGCCCTCAGCGAACAGGTGCGATCCTAGGAACATCTGAACAGAAATATCTGATGTACATATATGTCGATGAAAATCTTGCTCGAAAATCATTGTCGTAAGTTTAGTCCCTACGAGGCCACAGTAGCTGGAACATGGGTGGCCGTAGGTTCATGCGGCGTTCTTCTGAGCAGTGGGCCGGGGTCCAGCGCGTCGTCCGAGTTCCTTACGGCTGGAGGCCCGTGGTTTCGACTCACCTTGTGAGCTGCCAAGTTCCCACCCACGTAGACCCACCCACGTCTCCACGCAGGTCTCCACGTCTTCCTTTTACCACCGGCCAGCGTCAGAATTCAATACGGGGCGGCTTCCTCATAGGTCGAAAAGAAGTGACCTGTTGAACTATGATACATGAACTTGTGCGTGCATTGGTCTCACGCCGTCCAAAAAAATTGAACCCAAAACACCGGCGAGTCCTACATACATATATATATAGGGGACACAGTAGCCTCTACTGCCCATGTCCGACGCATGGGGGCAAAGCACCCATATGAGTGACGCACGTTGAGGACAAGTCAATAGCCATGTAAAAGAGTTTGAGGCTTACACCACTACCCACTCGCTATTCAGTGAACTCGCCTCACTTGCGTCGTCGGGTATAAGATGATCGTTTTCGTCGATGTGTGTTTGCACTGGCCCATCTGCCAAGACCTCCCTCCCTCCATCGCCGCGATCATCTTCGATTGTTTCACCGACCCCCTCGTCTTCGCTTGGTTCATCCACATCCTCGTCTTCGCTTTCCGCATCCTCTCCATCCTCGTCCACGCTCGAATCATCATCGTCATCATCATCATCATCGTCGTCGTCGTCTTCGAAATCAGAATATACCTGCTCCACAGAACTGGCTAACTTTGCGCCAGCCAGAATGTCCTCCTGACACAACGCCGTCAGATCAGGCCACCCTCTCCTCCGGACCTCCCACACACATTTGTCCCACTCATGCCCCTCTGCAAACGTGCTAGGCCATCGTGAGTCCGGCGTTGCTGCGATCGCTGCGTAATGCTCGCGGCAGAATCTGTTTACGGTTGCGTTTTGCGGTCCGTCCTGTCGCCAAAGATCTCCGTCGGTCTCTGCAAGGAGATGCTTGCACACTCTCAGAACGACGCGGCGAGTGCGTTTCGGGTGTATGCAAACTGGTAGCCAGGCCTCGCTTGGGGATAAAGTCGATTTGAGTTCGGCGATTGCACATCCTAAGATGATGCGCTGAAAGGCCGGCGTATCTTCCGAGCGCGCAAGTTCCACTATAAGGCGGCATATTGATGGGCAATCTTGGGTGATTCCAGACTCAACAAAGCAGCCCGCCTTGGATAACATCGTCAAACACCATTCCAGGATGGTGTAATCGTCCAAACTAGACAGAATCGTATCGAAAATTTCTTTGTATCTCGCTGCGATGATGTCCAGTAGATTGTGAAACATCTGAGCGAGTACGTCCGCACGGACGACTGAGTCCGGCCAGCCCGTCCGCTCTTGCGGCAGTAGGCAGGCTATTGCGCGGAAAAGGTCTGTAGCGGAAGTCGACGTGGAAGTGATGTCTTTCTGCCAAAGGTCCAACCATCCGTTTATAGCCTCTGGGCGTTTGAAGTCAATCCCATCACACATCTCTTGAATCGTATCGAACGCATGGGAAAGATTGCCTCCAGATATTTCGATTTTCAGGCATCGAAGTCGTTGATCCAAAGGAACCTCAGTCTCGGAGGGCCGGTAGCCCATGTGAATGACCGCTTGGTGGCACTCGTGCCTCAGACGAGAGAGGGCGAATTTTCTGCGCGAAGCCTCCCTCAACCTCAGATGATGAGGGTCGTGAAGTTCGCGGTCCAGCATGTGTTTAATTATGTCGATATCCGAACTGAACTGCCGGGCATCGGCGATCTTCGATATGCAGGCGGGGTACGACCGACGCGAATAGTTGTAATAGCGAAGGATTTCGATTGCTTCCCTCATACGGGTTAGATCAGGGCCAGATAACCCTGTTATGGAGTCGGTGGTCCAATAAACGCCGCGCCTCAGCAATTCGAGCAACAGGGGCTGTTGGCGCTCATAAACCGTACACCCAGTACGTCTTTCAAAGGTCGTCCATGACATTGTTTTCGCATCCCAGTTTGACGTCGTACTATGTTTCTCGTCTTTGCTCATCGTAGAAGCCTGGGAGGAGTTGGTATTCTGTGGGTCTGACGTTTCGGTGGCAGACATATCGGGACAGACGGGCAATGGATGGTGAACTTGCCAAAAGTCGCAGAAGCAGGTGGGCGAAGGAGAGCGGACTTGCAAACAAGTTGTGAAGCAGGCGTTCTTGAAATCTATAACAACGTCCCGAGGCAGTCACAATGGTGGATATATGTACCTACTATGTACAGTATAATACAAATGTGGGTGGATGCTACTTTTGCGAGCAGCAAGACTCGCATGCTTGGCCACGACGCGTCCACCCCACAAGCTTGTGGGAGATTCAAGAGATTCATGCCACGAGCTTTTTTCGGCACGAAGGACAAGTCGCCATATTCGAACAGGGGCCACAACAAGAGCAATTCCGAGTAACCATTTGATTGAGTATATCTTCTCAATCATGGGCAATGACGCCTTCCAGCCTTAGAGGCAAACTGCTGCCGGGGAACGTCTGATGCCAGCCTAGGTTCAGTTGTTCGTTGTGGCCCCTTCTGGACATGAAAGATGCGGATGCTGGCAGCGCCAAGCGCACTCGTTCCCATTTCGCTTACTGTAGTTGCTATGAGGAAAACCGCCAAAACTTTAATTCGGAGAATGTCCGCGGTAATCATACCCGATTCCCGGATTCGCGAATACAAGCCGTCAAAAATAGGGAAATAACGCCTAATGTAACAGTATTTCACGAATTTTTCACTTTTTATTAGCGGCCCGCGGGCAACTCGATCCGGCATGCGATGAAGTGTTTTGCAATTCCTCTTTCCAGGTTTTGGACTCGTATATAAAGTGGGATATCTCTTCCCCCTTTCCGGTCTCCACGGACTGACGACCTCCAAGATAAACGAAGAGTACCTGAGTCTATACGAGTTTCAAGTTTGATCTCACTTTCATTCGCTTTAGGGAGCGCAACGTCAGGGAGACATCCGAACCAAAGCGCACGAACAACCACCCGCTCAGCATGTCTCCCGCAACGACCGAAGCGTCCTCCCGGGCACAAGCACTCCAGGAAATGGCCAATATGGACGTAACATTGATGGGGCCATTCAAGTTGCTCGAAGAACACCCGGAACTGGATCCGGCCGGGGTATTGCGCTCCGGACTCGCCAAGGAAAGCGCCGATCTTTTCCTCGCGTTAGGAGCCCCCGAAAGCCTTGCTCATGCTCGCAGATGGTGGACCCTCGGCGCGGCTTTCGATAACGACATTGCAGCCAACTGCGCATACGCCCTGGCACATATTTTGTTGGTCAAGCGGTATACCGACAGCGATGCCAATATCGAAGAGGGCCTTCGATGGCTGATCAAAGCGGCCGATGCTGCACATAGGGATGCTTGCGCATTGCTGGGCAAGTTCTACGAGCAGGGTATGGGCCCTGGGAACAAGACTTTGATCGACCGCGACTACAGGCGTGCATTGGACTATTACACCCGGCCATGCCTCTACCAACGCCCACAGCAAGAAGCGGAAAAGAAAGAAGCAAACTCGTCCCCGGTGCCGACTTTCAAGCTCCAAACACACGAGGCGCAATATCGCGTATCGATAATTCTCAAGAACGGATACGGTGGGATTCCAATTGACCCGGCTCGGTCTCTCGAGTGGTGCCACAAAGCTGCTTGCAATCTCTCCGTCCAGGCCGTCTACAGTATGGGGATGCGCATGCTTCCCAATCTCACCCATCGTGCCCAAGCAGCGGGTGCCGGAAGAGCATTGGGTGGCGCTCTCGTACCTTCAATTCACGGAGGACTTTGCATCGCTGGATCCCACACTCAACGAAACGTTTGAGACAGTGGCTGATCTGAAAAGCGCTCTCTCCGTCGCCGGGGTCCTGCACATGCTCGCCGACCCCTCCGCACAGGTCATTACCCCTGAGACGACGGCAGAGGAGCTACTCGACATGGCTCGCATTTACGCGGCGTCGGATATGTACCCCAGCAATGAGAACGTTCGGGCGAAACGCCAGTTTACTCTCTCGCAAGCCGTCGCCAAGGGGTCCGCCGAAGCTTCGTACGAGCTCGGTCGATACTTTCAGGTCCAAGCTGTCGCCCACGGCGGGTGTAACCCGAAAGTGGCGCAGACGAAAGCCTGGAATTTCTACTTTGATGCCGCGTCGCAGGGGCATGTCCTCGCGCTGCTCGCATGTGCGCACCTGCTCCAGATCGACGAGCCTTTTCAGGTAGCCGCGTACGAGATACTGAGGAAAGGGCGCCGCCATCCAGATATACCTGGGCTGTTGGCGAAGTTGACCCCACCCTCCTGGGGCACCCCCGAGTTCTTGCGCAAGGAGAAGGCGGATTATGCGAAGGCCGCACAACAAATAGACCTACGTGTGGATACCCCGAAGGAAACAGGTGCTGGGGAGGATACTGATGGGTGTTGTTGCACAATAATGTAACACCTCGTAGTAGACGTTCTGACGTCCACGGCGTATTTAAGAGGATAGACAGCCTGGCAGGCCGGGCCACACACACCGGGCGGTGGGTAATTTAGGTTCATATGGTGCAATAGAGTCCGTTAGGCGCTATTACGTTGTAGCGGCATCCCGCAAATGTGAGAGGGAGCGTTGCGAACAAGTCAAACTGGGAAAGGCAGAGTATAATAAATTGATGACTAAGACGAGACGAATAAGTTATGTCGATAAGCCAGCTCAAAGTGGATGACAGGCCACCTGGGAAGCCTGGGAACTCGACTCGACGCTTTGCTTTCCCACAGCGCTCACGGAAGATATCATATAGACAGACACAAAACTCATTTGTCTTTCTCCCCACTACCATATTGAAAAGCAGCACTGCCGATTGTGTGCTTTTTGTCTCGGCTGGAAAAGCTTCTACGCAAACTTCGCATCTTCCTAAAGGCATCCTATCATGTCGGCTATGGACGTTGACGATGACTTTATGAACGACAGCGATGCCGCAGAAGATTATGACACCGGCTCGGACGCGGAGAACGGGGAGGAGGACTACGATGAGGACTACGACGAGGACGAGGAAGAGTTTGCAACCGGCGACGGGTTTGAGCCCGTCATCGCCGACAAAGACATCAAGAAGGCCTACGAGGTCGATTGGAAGGTCCACTCGACCGCCGACATTACCGCTTTCCAAAACGAAGAGGTGGCCCACGTTGCCGGGATCCTTGGCTGCTTGCCTGAACATGCAGCGACCCTGCTGAGACAATACAAGTGGAACAAAGAGCGCCTCATCGAACGTTACGTAGAAGATCCAGAAGGCGAATCTGAGAAAGCGGGGGTGGTGGTAGACACGCAAAAGCAACCCAAGTTCACCACCGTGAAAGGCTTCGAGTGCCCGATCTGCTGCAATGACGATGAAGACCTGGAGACCATTGCCTTACACTGCGCCCACCGCTTTTGTCGGGATTGCTACGAACACTACCTGAAGGAAAAAATCGCCGAGCAAGGAGAAAGCAGGCGGATACAATGTATGGAGGCTGGTTGTAAATTGGTGGTGGACGAAAATACTGTTCATTTGCTGGTGTCGGAGGAGGTACACGCAAAGTGAGTACAAGCAACGAACTTTGGTGGCGTACGTTGAGTCTGTTCCTCACACGCCATCATGTTCTAGATACCGGTCGTTGCTCATTCGGACCTACGTGGACGACTCACCATTCCTGCGATGGTGTCCCGCCCCCGACTGCGAGTACGCTATCGAATGCCACGTAGCGCAAACGCAGTTAGCCGAGATTGTTCCCACAGTCAAGTGCAATTGCGGTCATGTGTTTTGCTTCGGCTGTGGACTACCAGATCACAAGCCATGCATATGCCCACTTGTACGGTTCTGGCTCAAGAAATGCGCGGACGACTCGGAAACAGCAAATTGGCTATCAGCCAATACGAAGGAATGCACGAAATGCGCATCCACGATCGAAAAGAATGGGGGCTGTAACCACATGACGTGCAAGAAATGTAAATACGAGTTCTGTTGGGTCTGTCTGGGGCCGTGGGTGGATCACGGAACACAGTGGTACAATTGCAACCGCTTCGACGAAAAAGCAAGCATAGACGCAAGGGATTCGCAAGCGAAAAGCCGACGACAGCTCGAAAGATATCTACATGTATGCTCACCTCTTCCGTTCTCGCTATTTCATCATTTCCATACGTTGCTAACAACGCATTTGGAATCTTTCAGTACTACAACCGCTACGCAAACCACGACCGGTCCGCAAACTTCGGCGTTTACCTGATAGCCCGCACAGCTAAGTACATGGCGGACATGCAATCTGCATCAAGCCTATCCTGGATCGAAGTCCAGTTCCTCCGAAAAGCCCTCGACGAGCTCCTCGAGTCGCGGATGGTGCTCAAATGGACGTACTGCTTCGCCTACTACCTCGCCCGCGACAACATGACTGCTCTGTTCGAGGACAACCAGCGCGATTTGGAAGTTGCAGTCGAGAACCTAAATGAGCTGCTTGAGAAGCCGATATTTGGCGCAGAGGCGGCCAAAGTGTTCCAAGGGCTCAAAGCCGCGCAAAGTTCTTCATCATCGGACCTTGCTTCCACCACTACCACTACCAATACCCCCGCCCCCGCCCCAGGCATCGAAGGAACGACCCCGCCAAACACCACCACCCTCGCAGACATAGAAGACCGGATCAGGAACCTGCGACAACAGGTGCTCGACAAGATGGGATATGTGAAGCATAGACGCGAGGTGCTACTGAGAGATACGGCCCAGGGGTTGAAGGAACGTCGCTGGACGGTCATTGTAGATATGAAAACGGGCATGATGCTCGATTGAATTGGAGGGTCGTTCCCACGTGCGAGCGTGCGATAGGAAGAGGGAGGGGTGCGGAGGGGGGAAGGGGAAGGGATATGCGCCAGCCCTTGTTGTCGCTGTGTGCATTGGCATCCCTGCAGTTGTGTAGTGTATTGTAGACAGCCGAATGAGAAAAACCACGTACCACCTTCAATTTTCGATCCTACTTCGCTCTCCGGGTTCAAAGGAGACTTTGTGTACATTTCACTGGAGCAGCGGAAGAAGATACCTGAGTTTGGATATGCATAGTACGTCCAAGACATCAAAGGTTTTTTGGAATGAGATCTGGCGCGCGCTTGCAAGAGATGTCACGACAATTGGGGTGTACATACATGCATGCGAGGGTCCGCGCTAAAACTTCCGTTTTTCTACATTTCGAGCGCAACCCACAACCGCAACGTAACGAGAACGCAGTGGAGAGGTTAGATGGCGGCGGGTGGGATGCACCCACGCCGGAGATAAAGAGCATCGAGATATCAACACCGAGGCTTGCGAACCTTTGTTGACTATATGACATCCTTACACCCACCATCAATTCAACAGTGATATCTCTTTGCCGGAGCGTGATGGCCAAGCGTTAGAGCCCTGATGTCAACGCCGGTCCCCACAAGCCTACACAGCCTTTCGGGATTCGCCCCCGACATTTCAAAAGAGAGGGGCGCTGGTTCGCATGGCCCTTTTGGTGGTGTTCAAAGCGGGGCTTTTGTACAACCTTCGCTTCCGACACCCCTTGGGCATTTCCTTCTCCGTTTCAAACGGAGTTTTTCATGATGTTCATATTGTTTTTTCGTAGCGGCATCTGGAAACTATAAAGCACATCACTTGTCTAGCACGTCTGCCAAATGACTGGGTATATTGATATGTACAGGCCGAACGGGTCGGGAAGACGCCCATTGGACGTAGTTGAGGATTCTATAGCTTGGACATGGTGCATAGCAGCACGCCTGTAAATATCAGTCCGATTCCGAAGATGGTTTCTGTTGGCGCATGTATGAGAAAAGTAAGAGCCGCGGATGGTGGGCTCGAATGGAGGGGTTTTACCTCTGGAACCGAGATCTTCGCCCAGCAAGGCGCCCGCGACCAGTGTTAGTGCTAGTGTGCACATGTTTGAGACTGGGACGGCTATCGACAGATCTACCCATGCAAAACGGACATTTCACCCACTGGTCAAAACTCAACCCCATCTCCACTGCCCCCCCGCATGTGCTCGATCGACTCACCGCTCTCCCCCAGCGTCTTATAATACAAAACCGACCCACTCAAATTGATCGCCAACGGCAGAACATACTGCCACCGGGTGACGAGATACCACGTCTCAGCGGCGCGTTTTAGGTACCACGGTGATGAGGCGTGCCGCTGGGTGATGAGCTCGAGGCCGGCGCTGCCACGCTTTATAAAGGGGTTGGTGAAGCCCCATGCCTATGGGAATGCGAGAAAGGGTTAGTCATAGAGGTAGGGAGGGGAAGGGGGTGCTGGGGGAAGGGAGGGGCACGGACGTACGAGAGCGACGAGGAAGAAGCCGAGGAAGTTCTGGAGGGTCGTTGGGGGGTCATGTGGGGGGTCGGGGGTCATGGCGGCGTCGTTTGCATGACCGGATGCCTACGGAGTCTGTGGGGAAGATGCAGGTCGGTGTCTGCGAGTTTCCAGGTCGCTGTCGACGACGAAGCCACGTTTCTCCCGGGGGAAGTCCAAGTCCAAAAGCCCCCCTCATAGCCCTCATCCCTTAGAATGTCTTGGGCGTAACGTATCCATAGAAGTTGGAATACGCCATAATTCGCGATTCAAACTCTAGACGATGTCGAGCACATCTAGCACAGCAACAACGTGCGTTCCACAGCTCCTCGCCGGTAAATCCATGGCCATCACAGGCGGCGTAACAGGCATCGGACGCGCCATCGCCATCGGATACCTCGCGCACGGCGCGAACGTAGCCATCAACCACCTCGGCGACCCAAAGTCCTCAGAACAATACCAGTCACTCGTCGAAGAGGCATCTCAAAGCCTGGGCGGGACCGAGGAAGGGCAGAAGAGATTGATGGAAGTGCCGGGCGATGTGGGCGATCCGGAAACCGGGAAAAAGCTCGTCGCTGCCGTGGTCGACAAATGGGGCCGATTGGATGTGTTCATTAGCAATGCGGGGATATGCGAGTTCAGAGAGTTCTTAGAGTACGTCTGCTCACTTCAATCACAGCGCAGCTCAGAGGCAAGTCTCAAATTGAGGACTATGTTTCTAGAATAACACCCGACCTCTGGAACAAAACACTCACAACCAACCTCACCGGCGCGTTCAACACCATCCACGCCGCCGCCACGCAACTCGCCAAACAAAATCCACCAGGGGGGTCTATCATCGGCATATCCTCCATATCCGCGCTTGTCGGCGGCGCACAGCAGGGGCATTACACACCTACCAAAGCGGGTGTGCTGTCGCTTATCCAGTCATCTGCGTGTGCGCTGGGGAACTATAATATCAGGTGTAATGCGCTGCTACCAGGGACAATCAAGACGCAGTTGAATGAGAAGGATCTTGACGATGATGCAAAGAGGAAGTACATGGAGGGAAGGATTCCGCTTGGACGGACAGGCGTGCCGAATGATTTGGCGGGTCCTGCGGTGTTCTTGGGAAGCGATCTGTCGGGATATGTGACTGGGGCTCAGTTGCTTGTTGATGGGGGATTGTTTGTGAATTTACAATAAGGGAAGCGGCACTACCGGAAGCGAGCAAAATGTTGATAGCTACTCACCCTGACTTCTCATGATTTCTTTTCACCATTTGTGCACATCATAAGGTAAGGTTGATAAAAAAGGGTACACAGTAATTACGTTACGGTTGTATATATACGAAGGAAGCAGGGAATGAGAACAAGGGGGCGAGGTAAATGAGGGCAGGGATGGCAGGCCTAATTGCCTCTGTCCTAAGGCGCATGCTCAATATGGGGGCCAAAAAAAGGGAGGAAATGGTCTGGATGGGTGGGGTGACGCGGAAGTAGTGGGATAAATAGTTCGATGGGATGTGTGCTGATACGCTGAACTGATGTTTCGTCGTCTGGCAGTTAATGATAGTGACGGCCGGAGGAGTGTTGTCTTCGGTTTCCTCCCGGCGAGAGCCGGGACTCCTGTCATGATATCCCCGACCCGACCGACGACCCACAGTACCAAATCCGAGCGAGATATCCATTTCACCTCCTCCTCCGAACATCTCCCTCCCTCACCGCAAGCCCGTCCGCCAACCCCGACGCGCCTTGGCTGAAAGCCATTTTCGCCGCCGTTCTCCGTGCCTGTTGTCCCGCAAGCGACGGCTTTGTCTTCTGTTTCCGCTCGCCCTCCTTCCTTGGCGCCGTCTTGGCCGTCGCCGACGTCTCATCCACCTCCTCATCCTCCTCATTGTCGCTACGGACATCTTCTGCGCCAGCACCGCTGATGACCTTCAACACGACCTTAAGGATCAGGGCGAGCCAGTAGAGAAGCAAGACCTGCAGGGCGCAGAAGAGGCCGAGGAACATGTAGTACACCTTGAAGGAGTAGAAGCACTCGGCGCCCCAGGGGTCCCAATGGCGAGACTGTTCGGGGATGTAGATGAGGGTATCGCGCCAGATCGAGAGGCAGATGTGGAAGAGGTAGTAGTGGCGGGTCAAGACCCATGATACTGTGAAGACGGCGAAGGAAACGTCGCAGATGGTCTTTTGACCGGCGTATCTCATGATCTGTAAATCGGATCGCGATGAGAATACGATCTATAAATGCGCAATGAGACCTGCGCGATGGCACTAGGGCAACTCACCTTGGCAAAAGGTAAAATCACATCGGCCAGATCCAACAGAACCAACACAACGTGGCCGACACGAGTAAAGTTCATGTAGTAGGACATGGACAGCAGCGATACCGTGACAAAGTGGTGAACAGCCAAAGCGTAAAAGTCGGACCGCTTGGGCACGGCATATTTCGTCTTTTTCCCGTGGGCTTTTGCCTTTTCAACGGCCGACCGTTGATAGCTCTCGATGGCAAGAGCCGCGCAGTGGTGGAACCAGTAGCCGATCACACCCATATAGTAAAGCTAGATCGAGGAAGAAGTGTAGTTGGAACAGTTTAGGATCTCAACAATCTACCGTCTTCAACCATCAACATCCATCAACCAATCATCAATTATGATCCATCAACCATCATCACCGATCATCATCAACTATCAACGTCGGGGGAGTTTGCGCCTTTGGCGCAACGTGGTGCTCGCTTCGCTCGCGAAAGATCTGACGCTCGCTGATGCTCGCTAAGAAATGCGGTCTTTGGCGCAATGTGGCTTGCTCCGCTCGCCGCTCGCTTCGCTCGTCTGCACTCCCTTTGCCTGCCGCAGACAAGTACCCTCGCTTACATACCTTGAAGACCGGGTCCAGATACTTGTAATCAAATGGGTATCCCACCCAAAAGTGCTTGAGCCCCTCCCTCTTCCCAATCGCAGCACTACCATAATCCCTCCCAATAAGAAGCAGCGCGCCGAACGTGAAAGAAAAGAAGTGGCACAACATGAGCCAGAACTGTTCCGAGAACTTTGCCCTCGTTATGCGGCTCTGAGGCAGACCCATTCGATCTGCGATGGGCGGAAAGACCGCTTTGTAGAGGTATCCCTTGACCAGCAAGAAGCAAGTGGCAAAGATAAGGGCGAGTGTGATATCGTTCCAGCCCTTCTGGCAGAGACCGGTTTGGTGGTTGTAGTTGAGCATTCTAAGCAGGGCTTGTGGCAGCGACACTTGCTGGTTGGAGTTGAGAAGGCCGAGCTGCTCAAGCGGCAGCGAGGCGGATTCTGACGACATTGTTGAGGGAGTGGTGAAAGGGGCGGCAAAGCGTGAACACTGTGGAGAGGTGGGCCTAGTTTTCAACGCCAAGCGCGATCGAGTGTAAACCACCGCAGTTTGGGCAGTTGATCGCGAGACACCCCTGTGTGTATATATGCTGCTGCAGCTGCTCTACGTTCTGGCTTCCGGGAGCTGTGGGATCAGCAAGAGTGTTGCGGTGTGTTTGGAGAGGTTGTGTGCTTTTCTGCGTCCTTGGCCCTTTTGCTTCGTTGCCGTTTTCGCCCCACAGCGCGCGCACTGGCTGGGAGAGCAGAGCGAGCGGCTTCACCTGCAAATCCAAATCCCATGGGCAAGAAAGCGCGTCAACGGGTATATCCCCACTTCCACTTTTGGTGGTTCTTACATAGTATTAGAGACGCTAGTAGCATGCGTCATAGCTGAGAACACACAAGTCCTCTCCTCCCTGCTCACTGGCTGGAAACTAATTATTTGACGCGTCGGGCGCGTCGCTCTACCGATGCCGAGGAGTTGAATTGGAACATCGAGTCGGACAGACGGAGAGGGAGGGGAGTGCCTGGCGTCACCTGGGCGAGGAGGTCTTGCATCTCATCAGACTGAACGACTCACTGACCTCACAGGGCCCAAAGGGAACGCCGCGGGAGCAATGCTTTGTCCCGGGGGGATTGTCCATATGGGAAACTTGCAGGGGCCTCAGGTTCATATTCTACTTGACTGCCGACGCAACCATCCAATGTTCTCCGCCTCCCTAGCAGCATCTGGATGTGCTTCGGTGGACAGTGGAAGTAAGAAATGCAATCATATCATTGGTCAATACGCCGATTCGCCAAGTGCTCTTCACGGGAAAGGGAACGACAGCGGCCTTCTTCGCCATAAGCTATCGATTTTCGAGCTTCATCTCCCATGACGCGTGATACGTATTATCCAGTGAAGGGATATTCCCCGCTCAACATGCCTCCCCTTTGGCGCTCAGATATGGTGAATAGCCCTCCCCACGGTTTTAGGCTGATTACGGTAGGGGGTTCAGATTTACCTCCGTCGTGCTCCATTCCTGCCCTATCTTCAAGGGACATCCAAGGGCTGGATGTCGTGCAGGACAAGGGATGCAAAACCCAAGCTGGTGACGGGAGTCATGCAGCCACCCTTCGCGGTGTTCCCCCGCGACCGTAAGGGCCTGCTTAGGTCCACCCTGGCTAAGCCACTGACAGCTTTTTGACGACTTTTGGACTTAACGAGGTTTTCGCAGACCCAAAGTTGCTGCACATGTTGAGCAGTATCTTGACAGCCAGACATGCTAGCAGAAAGATTGATTAGGCAGTTTGGTGAAGAAGGCACTGGTTCAGGGTTTGACACCTCTAACTGGCAAGTTTTACCCAAAAACGGCCAAGGAAAGACAGTTTTACTACTCAGACTTTTGGGCCTCTGCGTTAAGTTTGTTGCAACAGCTACCCCCACAGACACTTAGAGGGGATTGGCCAAAGTAGGCAACTGGAGCCGTATGCAAATGGAATAGGTTGTCCTGCATGTCTGTGGGATGGTATGGCTGCTCAAAAAAGAGGGTTTTGTGAGGAAACTGCTTTAATTTCCCTAATTGTGCCTTAAGGTAACGCGTAGAGCGTTTGGGTGGCGCAGCCAGGGTGGACCTGAGAGGGCCTGCCTGCAGTGCCTGGTCTCTCTCATTCGGGTTGTTCGCCTGCAGCTACGCGCGTTGGACGAGAGATCCCGTCCAGGACCGCTCATAGTCGTCCCACTCCTCCGCCGTCCTGACATGCCCCTAGCCTTGTTCAAAGTCGCACGCACGCACGCTATCGACTAGGCCAGGTAACGTCGGGAAGCAGTCCGGGTCGGCCTCCAACACTTCCTGTGCAGCCGTAGATGGCGACGTCGTCTTTTATCGCCCAACAGGACAATCCACCACGTAGCAATCCACGCACGTTGTTCTGGTAAGTGACAAGTCGAGTTCGGGTCAAGCAGTCGTGCCGACTTAGAGCTGGTGGCAGCTATTCCACAGAGCCTACGGAGTAGCGCTAAGTGTAAATGGGAGCGAGAGGATGCTCGGCGTAATCCTATGGCTTAAAAACCTCGAAGTCTTTCACGGAGGTGTTGGCCCGTCGATGTTCTATGGGAAAGCAGCATGCAGTCCGTGAAGCGCCAGTATGGCGAGCGCACTCGTGTAGCGGAGTTCTTGCTCACCACACTGGATGAGGGTGGTATGGGGGGCTGCCACGGCGTCGAGATTAGCTACGGGGAATCGATCGGTGGTGCGACTGCTACAGCCTGGGGACAGGAAGGTCCGCCGAAGTTCCCCAGTGGCTCGAGGTCTTGACCAGGGGGGTGGGATCCCATGGAAACCTGAGTGGTAGCTCATTTGCACGGGAGCCACGACTTCGAGCCATACTGTACTGTAGATCTAGGGAAATGCTAAAACGACACTGGGTGTAGCCAGTTTAGAACGACACCCCTTCTGAGGCCTCGCCGGCAGCTAAAACGACCCCTCTTATAGCCCGAGACCTCTTTTGCAATTGAAGACAAGTTACACCCACATACAATCATGGCCTTGGCGTTTAACAGAAATTGTGACACTAAATATGACAGTGATAGCCTACAGTGACTAAGGGTTGAGCCTAACCCTTGACGAGATCCATTTGAGAGGGCGCTGAGATGTGGGAAGGGCACTGCCGGTTTGACTTCATGTGCCCTGTCGAAGGCAGCCGAGCGGCACGGCACGTCAGTGCGGGGCGCATGGTTCTCCTTCCCACTTCCGCTTTGAATGCCTGGATATCCGCAATTGTTGGTCACAATACAGCTCTGGAAGGACTCGCCAATTGGATGTGTGTTTACCTCCGAGAGAGGAATTTTCAATGCAGTCAAACCACTGCGAGGCCGCCCCAATGCAGTCAGCCTCAAGCGAGTGATGGCAAGTTGCAGTTTCATTGCAAAAAGCGTGGCAATTGCAAAACGGATCTTGCGACGCTCTTTCGCGAGCTGTTAGGTGACGACCAGGGAGACCGGGGTGACGACGCTCTTCCGCTAGCTGTTAGCTGATTTTGCTGCGGATGGTCATACTCCACAAAAGTCAATATTTCCGGCGAACCTCCCGTCCCTTAAACCACCCTATACCTAACTCTATCCGCCGCCACCAAATACACCTTTCCCGCCCCCTCAGCGGGTGTAGGATGGTACCCCACCGGCCCGACATCGCAGTCGGCGCAGGAGAGGTACCTCGTCGACGACGAGTTGGAGCCTGGTACGGGTTTCGTGAAGCCGATGTTTTCAAAGGCCATCATGTCCGAGACGGACCAGTTGTAGGTTGGGGCGAGGGAGTGTTTGGTAGGAGATTGGGTGGGGATGAGGGGAAGTTCGACCTGGTTTGAGGGGAGGGCATTTTGGGGTTTGTGAGTGAATGCTACAAAGAGTCGGAGGGGCCCCCCATGCGCTGTACACCGGTAGGATTGTATGCATTGATACGCAAAATGTTTGCTTACCGCAGTCTGATGGTCCACCTTCTGGGCCACCCCCTTCTTCAAAATAAGGGATTTACAGCTCGGGCAGTGAACATTGAACGCATTTGTGCCCTCAGCAGTCACCAGCTGGGTCTTAGCCGCCTCCATATACGTCGTAAACTCGTTGGCCCCTGTAGCCACTGCCGTAGACGGGGTGCCCGAGGCAGCGTCAGCAAAGATGATCCTCTCCAATTCCGCAGCGGCGGCGTCTACGTCGCTGCCGTTGACGATGATGGCGTCGTAGGGCGAGGGGGTGGAGTGGGCGTAGTCTAGCGCTGCTTGGGCGGAGGCGATGCGGGCGGCGAGAGATTCTGGAGTTTCGGATTTGCGGTTTTCGAGGCGGGAGCGGAGCTCTTCAATTGAGGGTGGCTTTTTGAGTGCAGAAGGTATGTCAGCTAGAGCAGAAGCCCGGGATTGAGATGCGCCGTCGATTGCATTGAACTCACAGCGATAAAGATGCACAAGCAAGGAATTCCCGAGTTCTTCATCGACTTGACACCATTCAGCTCCAGATCTAAAATAATGCGTTTTTGCGGCTTGCCCGCGTCCGCCTCCGATGGGGACGGGTTGATAGACTTGAAGGGCGTGCCGTACATGTTGCCGGAGAACTCGGCGTGCTCGATGAGCTCGCCGCGCTCGATCATGGCTTTGAACTCGTCGCGGGTGATGTAGTGATATGACACTCCAGGTGTCTGTAGACATGTGGATGGCATCAGCACCCTGTTGAAATCCGCACATCGTCCTCAAACTCAACAGCGTTCCGTTGCGGCACTCTCAATTATCTGCCTCCAGTTCCCTCCCAATTCCAGAAATAACAGATCGCCTCCTCTCTCACCAAAGCCCTTACACAACCCATACCTCTCCAGCCCGCGGCTGCCGCGTCGTACCTGCCAAACCCAAAAAGCAGTCAGTCCCTTTCACTCCCAAACCGCGCGCAACCTCCGCCACACCACTCACATGAAACGCTAAACTTGAAGCTATCCGGATACTTCTCAAACAACCTAGTAAAACAGACAGGGCATCAATCTCAAATCCAATTCTCGGACTCCTCCTTCACCAAACTTACTTGTTGAGCAACGTGCTAGGAGAGGCAAAGATCAGGACGCGTTAGTATCCAGCTCATCGACTCCCATCGCGCCACCACCACCATAACCACCACTGCATCCCCATCCCATTCACACACAACACGACCCCGCCCGTTGCGTCCCACAGACATTCCCACCTCCTACCTCTTCCCAGTCCCACTAGGTCCAGACATGACAATCGGACGGCCCGCGGAAATAGGCGGTGTTGGAGGCATGGTTTCGGCGTTTAACTTCACTGAGCTGCGGGTTGAAAGGGGGCGACGGGTGGTGATACGGGGGGTGGGAATAAGTCGGGGGTGGATGACTGTTTCGTGAGGGCGGGTGTAGGAATATGCGGGATGGGAGGAAAACAAGGCGGTTGCGTACAGGGTTGCGTAAGTTCTGGAGAGAACGGAGGCGACGCGGCGGCGAGAGGGGATTAGAGTTAACGTCAAACAAGGGCGTTGTTGAAGTGCTTTCAGGTGGGGTTGTATCTTCTGACACTGCGGCCGAAGGGACATTTGAAAAGCGGTGGGAAAGAACTTCAAAGCAGGTGGGAAAGGGGAGAAGCCCTGCCGTGGGGAAACCTTTTACAACCCTCGCGTTTGCAGCCATTCCGAGCGAACGCAGGTCCTCGAACGTATCCTTTACCCTCATCGACGAACGGTTCGCCGTCCCCGATGTAGGCGACAACCTGTCTAAGGAGCTGAGAGCGGCGCTCGCTTGTGGCGACTATGATGATTTCGTCGTCATTGAAGAATTCAAAACCCGCCTAATGGACGACAATCAGCGCATCTCTAACGATATGCATTGTGAGATCCTTACCCGTGCTGTGGTGCAGGTTGAGCCGCCGAAAATGAAGACGAAAGATGTATTGATGGAGTTTTGTTATGTCATTAGCTGCAGAATTGCTGATTTATTTTATCACAACCCGGAGGAATTTATTGAGTGGACTACCGATGGCGAGTGGAATTCTGCTGACGAGTTGCGTACAAACAGATTCCTGGCGGAGGGCTTAGATGAGATTCGGATTCTACCGGGGAACGTCGATACACCCTTTCGAAACGGCTAAGTCTTACCTTGAAATGGATGCACCACTGAGGTTGATGTTTTTGTTTTGCAGGGTATGTGAAACTGTGCATGTTCCCCGACGCCGATGCCGCCGGCCCCTACTACGCCGCGCTGTTCACTCTGCTGCAGCACATGAACGGTATCATCATAGACATCCGGACCAATGGCGGGGGCTCGGGGGCAGTTGGTCCGTTGTTCTGCTTTTGCCATGTTGCGTTTACCCAACAACTGCAATGAACCAACTAATCTTCCAAAACCTCTCACGCAGACCTGCTCCTCACCTACCTCGTCAAGCCAAGCCGCCAAGCAATGGTCTCCACGCACCACCGCTTCTCCGGCGCGCGCACCACCCTGCATCTCCTCCCCGCCGTAGCCGGCCCACGTACAGCCCGGACAAGCCAGTGTGGGTGCTCATGTCTAATAAGACGTTCTCCGCCGCGGAGCACTTTGCGCACACGGCGAAGGCGCTCAAGCGGGTCAAGATCGTCGGCGAGAACACGGCCGGGGGCGGCCGCATGTGCGATGGGTTCTGGATCCACCCTAAACTAGACTTGCGGATCTCCACCGCGTTCGTGCGCTGTGAAGTCGACGGCGGGGTTTGGGAACGCGTGGGCGTGCAGCCGGATGTGAAGTGTCCTGCTGATGACGCTTTGGATGTTGCGCTTTTGGAGGCACTGGAGAGGTTTGTGCCGGGGATTGAAACTGACCCGCATCTGTTGCAGTTGGAGAGGCACACTAGGTGGGGTGACAAGACGGGGCGCAAGACACTGGCGGAGCTTCGGTGAAGCGAGAGGGACGGTGGTGCAAAAATAGATATTAGATTCACCACCTAGATAAACTCGCTGGAAACTCAACTTTCCATAAGCGTTTACTACGCTTGGACTAGAAACTTCAAAAGGGAAAGCGTCCGCTCAAACTGTTCTTATTTTCCCTCTATCGTCATGAACTCGTCGTCTTCCTAGAGCTGGATCAACTAGGTTTGTGGGTTTTCAAGCTCAGTGGCCCGTAAACGCGTGGGAAAGCGTGTCGAAAAGCATTTCCAGCCGTTTTCAAAGGGTGTCCGAATTGAGCAGGAAAGCCCAATTTCACCTGCGGAATAGGGGCAGCCCTTGTCGAGAGTCAACACAACAGCTACATATACACCTACCGCAAGGCTGCTCCCGGGTCCTCTCACACTTCCTAGCCGTCCGTCGCACGCCGTCCAACTACGGGTCTATGGCTGGCCTTCAGGCGTCCGGACTCGCTTCGGGGTCCCCATCCAATTTCTTCAGAGCTAAGTTGGATGACGTTCGGTATCTTGTTACGGTGTTGAAGGCCCTTGCCTATAAAGATGTGGGGAGCCGTCGTTACCAAACTCCTTAGCGGTAACACTGTACTGAATCCAAGTTTCGCTTGCATCAGAAAGCCCAGTGCATCCTGAGCCCCCAAGGCCTCCGCGTTATCACCGAAGACTCCCAAGCGTCTCAGTCAAGAGGATATCTCGAAGCCTCGCATTTTCGGGAATACAATTTCCCAGATTTAGATCGGCCGGGGGACCATGAAAACGATCAAGAAGCAGCAGAAAACTCCGAAGACCAGCCCGGAACAGCGTCGAGTATCACGTTCGGGATTGACATCCAGGCTCTGCTGGATTGCTTGACGATATTTGGTGGGGCGTCGGCGCACCCATCAACTACTGGTGGTGGCGGGCGATATGGCGGAGGTGGTGGAAACGGCGGTGGCGGTGCCGGAGCAACTGGCGGGGATCCATACGACTTCCCTACCCAGGAAACCCGCGCCATCCCCATCGAGACGTCCCGCGTCCCCGTCCGCATCACTCGCCCCCTCACAGGTGGCGTTCTCTCCCTCATGCTCGAAGAACGTGAGGTGGTGACCGTCTGCCAACTGAACACGACTGATCCGGAACCGATCTCCGAACTCCACTCCCGGTTCATCGAAAGCCGCGTCGTTGGCAAAGTGATCATGAAATCCGAATGGTTGCGTGATGCCTTCTCGGAACTCGATGGGACGTCCGATACCTTGACGCTGATCGTCGCCTCTGTTGCGCCGTACTTTAGACTGGCCGCCTCTGGGTTGGCCGGCGACGCGCAGATGGATTACCCCAAGGATACCGATGTGGTGGAATCGTTCAGTTGCCTTGAAAACACCCGGAATAACTATCGATACGCATCGATTGCGCCGTGCCTGAGAGCGTTGGCGTTTTCGACAAAGACGTCGATTAGGGTTAACGAAACGGGCTTTCTGAGTTTGCAGGTATGTCGCGCAGTTTACACATGTTCTTGCGTGCAGTGCGTCTGTAGCTTACCACGCCGTATTATTCCCCCTGCAGTTTATGATACCCCTGAATGAAAAAGACGTTACGTTTGTCGAATACCTCGTCTCGCCGTTGATCCGGAACGACAACGATGATCAAAACAGCAATGACGAAAACGAGAATCAAAACACCGCAGGCTCGTAGGCTTAATCACTTGTGCTCGGAAAACCCTGCCGAGTGGTTGGAGCATTCGGGACGGCCACCCGTCATAGAACCGCTCGCGGGGAGTAATCAATACGCCCATTCACCTCTCGATATCGTGTCGTGATTTTGCCCTAGTGGGTAGGGTAGCTAGAATAGGACAGGAGCACGTCCTGGTCGCCATTGAAGTGGCGTATATTCGCAGTTCCCGAGAGAGATACCCACCTATTATGTAGAGCCCTCCGCAAATACCACCCACCCGCTTTGCGCCATCTAAATGGTGCGATTGAAATTCAATCAAATGACATCTGAACGCATTCTGAGCCAGCGGTGGGGATGAAAGCTCTGGGGATCGTTTCGTCTTTCTCTTTTGTCTCGTAACAACGATCCCCTTCCCAGTTCTTTTTATTTATTCATCTTTCGTCATCCAAGTCGTAACAAATAAGAAAAGCAAAGGCAAAACAAACACTTATAACACAAGGGAGATGGGGAGGTAAAAACACTACACGGATTCGAAGAACCCATAGCTAAGGTAATTGCGAGAGGGGCGAAGTGAGCTAAAGAAGCGTGTGGGCCGAAACCATTACAGGTAGAAGTTGAGTGAATGCAACGTGCGACGAGTGTTGAACGGATGGGGACCTGTACAGGGATATATATGGGAGCGCGGAGCAGAAGATTGGGGCCAAAGCGAAGATGGAACATGTCGGTTTTTTAGTGTTTCTGTCTTGCGCCCCTAGCGGCGTTTCCAAGAGGTGTCCGCGTCGTGGTCTTCCTCCTCCTCTTCGTCTTCCCACTGCGCTGTAGTGGTGGTATTTCCAGGGGCGGTGGTCTCGACAGACGACGGGTCAACTAACGCTGCGGCAGAGCCATTCGACAGTTTGTCGAGAGAAGCGGAGGATTGATCGGAGGGGAGGGTGCCCGTAAACCATGACAGTTCGGCGGTGTCAAAGTCCTCGAGTTTGAGAGGCTCTGACATAGCCTGTGGGAAATGAAAGAAGTGTGAGTCGTAGGAGGTAGATACATGCGTTGAGGTTTTCACACATACCCTCTCCGCATCACGGCGAGAACCGTATTCTACAATCGCACTGCTGTCATCGTCAGTGGACGTCAGATTGTTGATGGAACCAAATTTCTGAGAAGGCAAAGGGTACGTTGTTAGTCAAATTGTTCGCCGGATGTGGTGTTGTCGGACGATTCGCGCAACCGTACCTCAAAGTGGGCCCTCAATGCGAAATGCCCAGACGAGCCTACATTCTTCACCAACAGCTTCTTCGTCCGGTTGTCCAAAGTAAAACGGCCACCACTGCCACGGCCACCGGCCCATGATCCACGGCCGCGGCCAGAGTACGGATGGGAGCTTCCACCGCGGGTGGAGCCAGCCGCCAAAACGGCGTTCGGGTCGATTCCACGGGCGGCAGCCTGAGAAAATATTGGTTGTCAGCAATAAGAATGACGTCCAAACGTTGTGAGGCACGCTTACCTGAGCTTTCAAAGCCTCCAACTGAGCAAGTAACGTCGCGGACTTGCTGGTCTCCTCTGCAGGAACCGCTCCCGGTGCTGGGCTCTGTACCTGGCTTATAGCATCCAGTTCACGGTCCAACCGTTCTCGCTCCTTCTCTTCCATCAACGCGGCCCGTGATGCTGGCTTACTGGCTTGCTGCGTCTGAATGGTTGCAACACGCGTCGAGGCAGAATGCATGACATCCTTCATGGACTTGGAAAGGATTTCGAACTGCGACATCAAGGCCTTCTTCTCCTGCGGCAACAACGTCTTTGATTGCAGCTTCTCCATAATCTTCTTTTGCTCCTCTATTTGCTTCGCGATCAGGTTTTGCTGCATTTCGAGCATTTGTTTCGTCTTTTCCTTCTTCTCCTCGGCGGCTGCGGCGGCTGCGGCGGCCGCTTTTTGAGCTTCCGCCGCTGCGGCTTGAGGATCTATCGTGATGACCGAACGACGTGTGGAGGCGACGGGGGCTGTGGGCAGTGGGGATGTTTCTGCCTTGCCACCCATATTATCCGGGTTCGCAAAGAACACTTTGACAAAGCGGTTGTCAAATATAGGGTCAGGGGACCTGTAAGCAGCTTGTGCTTCGGCTGGAGTCGAGAACTGCAAGACAGCCTTGGACGTGGGAACGTGTAGTTTGATGTTCGTGATGGTTCCAAACTTCTTGAAGAATTCGCTGATCTTGTCGATGGTGAGATGTTCTGCGGGTACGTTCTGCACTACCAAGGTGTCGTTGGAGGCGCGACCTTTCGGGTTGCCGCCAAATGTCCTCTGGCCCATGTTCCCTTGCTGGTGGTGACCTCCAAACCCCGAATTGAAATTGGCACCACCGCGACCGCCTCTCCGTGCGAATCCACCGCGCAAACCACTCTGGAAGTTCTCCGGACCGCCAGGCCCGCCAGCTTGGAATGGTGCACCGCCGCCAAGTTGTCCGTTCCCCGCCCCCTCGGCGGCTCCTACGCCATTTTCACTCCCTGGGCGCCTCCCAGCTGCTGCAAATGATGCTCGCTCTGGGTCATATGCTTCCGATGGACCGATCGGCATGGACATTCCGGGCTCTACAGGTGTGCCCTCCGTTAGCATTTGTGTATCGCAATAGGGCTTGCTGGAGAACATGACATTACCATAAGGTTCTGCATCGAATTGTGGCCGCATGTTCGGAACACCAGGGCGGCCTCCATAGGGGTGGAATGGTCCTCCCATTCCTGGGATGGGCATCATAGGGTTCGGGCCCATCATCTCAAATGGCGGCCTGCCTCCCACCATGGGAAGATCGTCAACGACGATACGATCAACGCCGTGATCATATGGGCATGCATCCCCACGTAGACAATACCCCTTTTCTGTAACAGAAGAACAGTTAGCCAGGCGGCGATTAACATGCTGCAATGGCTTTGGAGCTTGTGCCAACCTTCATAATCGTGACATGGCCGGCGACCGCGGCCATTCATGAAACCACCCCGACCAGGACCCATGTTTCTCCCTCCAGGTCGGTCACCCAGGCGGCCTCGTAACCTGCCGTTCCCACGATCACCGAATCGACCGTCATGCACCGGCACTCCCATCCCGGGATGAGGAACACCCATCCATTCCGGAGGCCCGCCTTCCCATCTACCGGGTATCAAGGGTAGCCCTTGTGGCGGTGGAATCATCTGTGGTGGGAAACGCTGTGGTCCCATATGTCTCCCATCGCGATCGAAGTCGCGTCTGCCAGGGCCGGCCTGGAATGCGGCATTTGGCCCGTTGAACCCTCGGTTTCCTTTGTTGCGGTCGTCAGGATTCGCTTCGCCAGATTTTAGCCTCTTGTGGCTCGCCGTCAGGTCTTCATTCTGAGGTCCATCCTGCCGTGGGTAAGCGGAGTTGCCTGAGTCTTGCCCTTGCACCGGATCATCCGATCTTACTCGTTTCCTGCTCGCAGCATCGTCTCGTGACGTCCGGCCGTCCGCAACACCCAGATCCTGCGTGTCTCCACCTCGACGAGTGTGTTTGAAGTTTCGGTCGCCGTCTTCATCATCAGATACTTCCTCCTCATGAAACTTCTGAGAGGTTGCTGGTGCTTCTGCCTGCTCAACGGCGGGATCTTCATTGAGCCCACTGACACTGCTTTCCGCCAATGTCCCATCTTCTCTCGCGTAGCCTTCCGAGAGAACGGTATCAAATAAAGAGTTCACGAACGGCCCAGTTGCTGGATACGATATGCAGATTATGGGAGCTGTTAGCTTCAAGATCATATGTCCTCGGTGGATGGAAGCTCAAACGCACATTCTTTCAGAAAGTCCTCTAGCTGACTTATACAGAGCGTTTTCAGTCCGTCTATCGGCTGGTCGTGCCTCAACAGTGCCATAACATAGTCGGCAAGAACACTAGGGTCCGCATCGCATCTACAGGACGGTGGAGGTAGAGCGTGAGTAATGTCAGTCCCCATAGTTGGGGGATCGTTGTGACTTACATTGGAGCTAACTGCGCTACCAAGTAGTCGTTCAGCTGCGTGATAGTAGCCTCCTCAATATGCATAGTGAGATGTTCTGCGGAGTCCCGTTTCCGTTGCGTTCTCCACCGTGGTCGTTGCGACGTTCTCGCTCCTCCGTGGGGTCAGGGTCCACAAGCCAATGTCACACCGCAGCGAAATCGTCTGAAGTCGCCAGAGAGGTTCGTGGCGAACTGAGCGATGTGCGTCAGAAACGTGGTGCCCAGTAGCTGGCTGCTTGGTGAGATACTGGTGATCTGCAGTTTCGAAATCGAACAGGATCTTTCGGCACAGTCGATGTACAGAAACCAGCTTCTTTCTCCAGTTACGAACTGATGCATCTGTGCTTTCAAGCGTCCGACTGATTCAACTGTCACTGGGCAAGTCACGTGAGCAGATAAAATGCGAGGTTCTGCCCACTATGACACGCCAACACGGCCAACAACGAACAACACTGACGTTCCGCTTTCTTACTTTTTGCCACCTTCATTCATTCACAAATGCCAGTTTGTCAATATCACTTGCGTGGGACTTGCAGGTTTGGCAACGCTTGCCGCAATGAACACACAGGTATGTACTTATTTGGATTCGCGGCACCGCAAGCCTTTCGCTTTAGCTGCCATGTTTGACGTCTTGTGCTCGCCAAAGCTCAGATCGAACTGTGTAGCTGACGGAATTCTGTAGGGGCTGCAGGGGCTGGCGGCGGCGGGGCTGGTGGTGGAGGCTTTGGAGGTGGTTTTAGAAGTGGGGGCGGAGGAGGCTTTGGAGGGGCAGCCAATAACTCCAACGCGTCAGGGAGTCCATTCGGTGGTCGGAACACCCAACAACAGCAGCAACCACAACAGGCGGCCGTGGACACCGTAGCCACTTTGATCAATGACCTGACAGGACCGGATGCAAAATCGAGGTGGCCCTTGTCTTCGTATGGAAGCGACGGCATTTCGCTTCTGAAGGGCTTGGACCTTTCGTTCGAGGAGTATAGATGGGAAGTTTACAGTGATCTTCGACAAACCGGAACGATGAACAATGCGGTAGGTTTCATGGCGTTCACATACTCGCAGGTGGGAACGTTGGTCGTAATCGCAAATTTACCCTCAGCTTGCCAAAATCGGATCGTTATATTCGAGCGTACAGCAATCAACGAACGCAATAGTAGCAAACCCGAGTGCCGCTTTAGCAAACGCTCAGCAAGAGTCAGGAGCAGCCGGTCTTGCATCGGCGTTGAGCAACCCCACCGCGCTTGGATCGGCGACATCCAGTGCGTTCGGCTCGGCAACACCATCGCGGTTCGGTTCCGCACCACCGTCGGCATTCGGTCCAACACAATCGGCATTTGGATCGACACCATCGGCGTTCGGGTCAACGCCATCATCAGCATTCGGTGCCGGTGCAAAAACGTCGGCGTTTGGCAGCGTTGGAGGCGCATCAAGCGCGATTGGCAACACTGCCCCGACTTTTGGTAGTCTTGGGTTCGGAAGCGTCGGCGCTGGGTCCAGCGCCTTCCAGTTAGCAAACAGTGCCTTCGGGGCACCCGCCGCATCAGCTTTCGGGAATTCTGCGGCATCTGCTTTCGGGGCACCTGCAGCGACAGCTTTCGGAGCAAAACCTGCGGCCGGAACCCCCGCGCAATCAGCATTTGGCGCCCCATCGCCGGCGTCCGTTTTTGGTTCGTCTGGCAGTGCTTTCGGTCAAAGTGGGTTTGGCAAGAGTCCATCTGCGTTTGGACAAACAGGATTTGGTACTCCTGCGGCGGCAGCTTTTGGAAGTGGTGGCGGCTCGTCTTTCGGCGCTGCCACACCTGCAACTACAGCTGCACCGAGCGCATTCTCTGCCTTTGGACAGCCACAGCCGAGCACGGATATCCCCACAGCGCCACCATCACAATCAGCAACCGCCTTCCCATCATCAACACAAGCACCGGGCGCGTCAACAACGCAGGCTGCGGGCGGTTTCGGACCACCACCAGCGCAACAAGTGACTGGGACGGATGTAGCAGGAGCTGCTGCAGGCACCTTGGACCCAGACCTGCAAGCTGCATTCATGAGCCCTGCATTCGAATTCGGCAAGATACCCGGCATTGTACCTCCACCACAGTTTCGCTGACCTCTTCGGCCACTCACCGTCCCGCAATTCTGTCCGGGAGTAACCAGTGCCCAAAGCAAGAGCTTGTGAGATTTGGTGCACCAGTCATGTCAATTAGCGCATATGATGCTCACTTCTTGAAGAACACCAAGGTAGACATCACCTCACATATACCCGAACCTCGTAGGGCCATCAGCATCTGCATGTCTTGAGCAAGAATCTATTTGTACCATATTTACAAGAATTTACAGTATTCGACAGTGGTCTCGATGTCGGGGTTTGCTCGGCAGCAATGACTGGTGCATTTGTTTTCTTGCGTGTCTCGCATCCGGCCAACCAATGACCAGAATTATACGCCTTGCAGTCTACCAGAATGCACACCATCCGATGTAACACTAAATTTGAATGAAAAGCATGAATGGCAATGGAGTGATACACGACAATCTCGAATATTGAAACGTACTTGACATAGGTTCTCCAAAGACGTAGCCTGCAGAATCAACCTCTGCACTTGATTCCGTACGTCCAGAGTTTGGTTCGGTCGGAAATCTCGTCCAGTCAGCTTGTTTGACACACGGTTGATGACGGTCAATGCCCGAGTGTTCAGTGCTTCTGGCTTTCCGACTTGATCGTCCTCTACGAAAGCCATCAGTAAAGGTATTGCAACATTCTTCATCAGGAAAGATTGAAGACGCGCACCACTAGAAATCAGGTCGTTTTCATTCTTCTGCAGCTTTCGGCTTGCCGGGAAGTTCCTTGTTTGCGCCGCCTCATCAAGCAGGTCTGAAAGCAAAGGCAATCAGCAAACATTTTATGGCATCTGAAAGGAAACACGGGTGCATACCTGTGCCCCTCTCAGTCTGTCGCATTGGTTTCGCATCTACAAAGTGAGTTTTAGTGTGGTTAGCGATGATACGCTCCTCCTGTTGAAAAGGTTGAGCAATACCTTGTTTGGGACTCGCCGTCGACAGCAGCCTCCAGTTGATGAGAGGATCGTACACAAAGGCTTCAAGGACAGCCATCAGACTGTCTTTGTTATCTCGCAAAACAGTCATGACATTTTCACACGTTATCCGGAAGTTCCCTTCAATTCCGGATACCTATCCACGGGCAACATGTACGTTCCTCAGCCATTGCAGGTTACGGCCAAGCCAGGAAGTTTGTAGCATACCTCCATAGCGTTGATCAGCATTCGCGTTAGCCGGAATGGAATCATTTCTGGGAACTTTTCGCGATGCATTGCAACCTTACGACCCCAGATCCAGTAAGTGCACGGATTTTCATCAAGATTCAATCAAGCATGAGGAACATACCTCGAAACAATCTCCGAAATCGATATGCACCACTTTGCCAGTAAATCTGTCCAGCATGAGATTGGACGGGTGACGATCTCCCAATCCCAGTATATAGCCAACCATAGACATTGTCGCCAGTGACCTCGTGTAGTTTGTGCGGCGGTCGAGCCAAACCTCGGAATTCTTGCTCTTGAGCCACAAGACTTTATACAGATCTTGCCCGGTCGTGTTTTCCAGCGCATACTCGAAGACTTCCACCTTCTGCAGCAATGTCAGATTGTCGTAGTCGGGAGCCATCTGAAGCATTAATCTATGTTCGATATTGAGCAGAATCTTGCGAGACTCTCTGTAATCACGAATGAGGGTGTGTAGAGTGTCACAGTGCGGTACCCAGCCGATCAGACCCGAGTTTGGCGACAAAGGAATGACAGGGAATCGCTGAATGTTGAGATGCCTTTTGAACGTCTCTGCGTCTGTCGAAAGTAAGGTGTTAACAAGCCCGAACAGCTGCATGACACGTTCGTCCTGTCGCAGGTCTTCGTGTCCTTTCAGAAGGTAGGCATAATCCCGGCCATCGCTCCCCTTGATCGTCAGTCGGCGAGGTCGCTGTTTCGAGGTGATCACCGTGAGAGTTGGCACGAACGACGAAATCTTGACAACGGGCTCGGAGCTTCGGTAGTATCCGGGAACGGAGAGTTCCAAGTCGCGGGCGGCTAAAAGCTTCGGTGACACGTATTGCAATTCGAGCGTTGTCAACTGCGGTAGCTGCTTCCTGATTCTCTGGAAAACCAGGTAGTACAGATCCCAGGCTTGGTTCAGGTCGTTCACGCTCTGCGTTCGCCGGAACCTCCTGCACCAATCCAGGGCTTCTTGAAGATCCCGTCCAAACGTTTGATTGAAAGAGATCTCCCTTAAGGTCTCTGGCCCTCTTTCGAGCATGTGATGCAGCGGTTCCAACGTGGCAAACATCCCTTCGACGTTATGATCACCGAAATAGAGCCTCGAGGCCTCCTCCAATCCTTCGTACCACATCTCATGCCATAAGATAGCGACGCGGATGAGTTCCTGACTGACTAGCAACGCCTGTTCGACCAGAGTGGCACTGTGCATGCGCATCTTGTCGATAATAGCCAGGGCGGCTTTCTTACGGGACGTGCTTTGCGATTTCGAAGCCACCGTAAGCGAGTACACAAGGGCCTGAGGATGCTCCTTCCCAACGTCCGCAAGCAAGTGATGAATCAGGCGACGCACATGGGGACTTGGCGTGTGAATACGAGCAATGAGTTGTGGAATGACCTGCAACCACGTGTCGATGCTGACGCTATTGAACCCTTCACCGATCGCAATGTTGACGTCCTGCTGGAAACCGTATTTGAACCATAAGGTGAGCAACCTGAGCGTATCTTGCAAAGAGTTTTCCTTTGACAGAGCGATTGACCGAAAGAATCCTTGCACGGAAGGTACAACGTGCGAGACCAGGATTTGCGATGGAATGGTCTCGTGAACTTTCTCGTAGTGAGAGATAACCTCGAAGTTGGCAAGCGCCCACGCGTGCCACGCTTTGTACCAGTCCTTGTCACAATGGGTGGCCGCCAGGTAGGACCTCAGAATCTCCGGGATGACGTTATCGTTGAGCTCCTCCTGAAGGGCGATCTGCCATTCGCCCAACTTCAGATAACAGCGAGCCAGCAGCTTCACGAGCTCGCCTTTCCCAGAGTCACTATTCTGCGTCTCGATCTGGGCATTGATGTCGTTCAGACTAGTGATGCCAAGTCTGTCCACGATACTCCTCGTGAAATCCTTCATTTGGCCGAAAGAATGTTCTCTGGAGCCGGATGCCCACAAATGTTTCAAACATGCGTATACCACTGGTGGGGCATCATCTCTGATAGCGAGGGTACTGAAGTCCTTCGTGTCAGGGTGAATCAGTCCAGCTAGTGTCTTGTGAGAAAGGCCCAGCCTTCCACTCTTCCGACACAAGTTCGCGAACTTGATCCACATCTCCATATCGTCCCTGGGTTGTATGACCAAAGCGCGGACCTTCAACACTCTCTGCCACACTTCCACGTTTCGTTGACAGCCCCTTAGCCGAGAGAGCCATGTTTTCCGAATAGCAATCTGACGCTCCGGCTGGTCGTACAATTGCTTGTACGTGATAATCTCCTCTAGCTCCGCAAGCATCTGAATACGTACGACGACGTCGTACGCTCGGCTGTAACTCTCGCCGACAAGGGCCATCAGCTCGGTGTCCAGTAGGTCCCGCGTGCGGTCGATATACTGAGCGGCTTGGGGATAAAGATTCTTGTGCAGTGCGAAAATCGCACGGAAGAACGCACTGTCGGGGCTTTCCTGCTTCATGACCGCAATGTATTCGTCCATAAGATCCCACTGCCGAAGACCCCACGCAGCAGCTGCCGCCAACGGTGCGATGGCCTTCTTGACGTCGTTCGGCGCATTTCCCCACCGGCTGTGCGCGACCTGGGACAAAGCTTCCCAATCGCCAAGGTTATGCAAACAACGCATTCGACCGAGCATGGCTTCCACAGATCCCGGGTCTTCAGCCTGCTTCTTCTCGTATGCGGCCAACCCATCGTCCCAGCGATGCAGCTTTTCATACCAGGATTCCATAAGCTCCACATCGTGGTTCTGCTGAGCGTAGGTCAAGATTCCGACGGCAGAGTCAGGCTGCTGTAGCTTGTTGTTGATATGGATCAATGCTTCTATCGTGTTTGTCAAGGGTTCGGAAATGAACTCCAACTCCTTGTAGTGCAGCGCCTTGGCATAAGCGTGACATTTGGCGGCATACAGCCCAAGAGTCCTGATGTCGATAGGGAGAGCTTTGTCGTCATGCTCCATGAACTCCGCCAAGTTCAGTAAGGTCTGCAGGATCTCGGGCGGGATGTTGGGCGACGTCAACGCGGTTTCTAGACATCGGACAAGCTCGTCCTGGTACTGGTCGAAGAGCTCGCTCCAACAAGAAACGAACCCAGCGTTGAATAGCTCACGAGCTAGCGGGTAGTATACACCAGCCAAACTGGCGCACGCACGAAGTGCATGGGAGGGTGACTCTTTCAATAGTTCCACACTGAACCGACGGATCCACTCTGCCCAGTCATCCTTTGTAGACCGTTGCGACGTCTCCCACGCTTTCTTCAGTTGCTGTTGGTTCACTGGAAGCTTCTTTGTAGACGCTTCTGCAGGTGACTCTTCAGCCATTGCGACATCCAGCCGTTGGTCTCCATCTGTGGCAATCTCCTGAGGCAACGGCTCATTTTTCAAGAGCTTTGAGACGAGGAGATCGTATTTGGCGTGCTGAATGTGGTGTTTCACGAGCGTCTAAGAGAGACAGTCAATACTTGCGGTATATCGCGATTTCCAAAGGACATCCCTACCTTGTTGATCATCGGAACGAAAATGGCAAAATCAGATCCTAGCTGATATATCAACGCACAAAGTGTATCCATGGCAACAGGGCGCATATCCTGTTGCGGCGAAGCGAGCACTCGAACAAGGGGATGAATGATCCTCGAGGCTTGATCCGAGAAGCTAATCTTTTTGCAAAGATGTCCGAATGTTTGAATGGCGTGTTTGCGAAGATGTGGAGGCACATCGGGGCGCTCGAAAAGCTTGACGATCACCGGAACAACCAAATGGAGGTATTCCTCCAGATTGGCGCCAAACGTAATCATGGCATGCAAGACCTTCTGAGTCGGCAGCCGTCGTTCGCTCGTGTCGGCATCAAATATTTGCAGCATCTGCGGAAGGAGCGTCGGGAGGTACACCTTGAACTCCCCATCCAAAGCGACAGCGATCGCTTCGACCAAAGAGAGAATGGTGATCTGGATGTTGGAGGTTGGACTCCAGTACTCTTGGATCAAACCGAGGAGGTCTGTCAGGTAGCCTCGTATATGCTGCTTGACGATTGTGACCAGCAATCCGAGCTGCTGGAAATGGAACTCGAGCATTCCAATGGGACAACTCCTCATCATGCTCAGGAACGGTGGCATGATCTGATCGCGTAGGGTTAGCACCGACGATCTGCTAGGTGAAAACTAGGGGCGCTCAGACCAAGTTACATACCTGCGGCAAGAACGGTACACACTTCAACCCCAGCGTTTTGAAGATGTACATCACCGCCTGAATCACCGCCGTGTGATGAATGCTGAGTGAAGGATCTTTGAGGATCTTCATGAGAGCATTGATGGCCACGGTCGGGTAGTATTCGTCGCTGGATGGACTCATTGACAGCGGCAAAGTCGTTTCGACATTGGGGCCATTCAGCACCGTCTCCTGATCCCCAGACGTGATCTGCCACGTAATGGGACGAATCTCCGTTAGCGGCTTCGTTCCCTGTCGCGCATAACAGGCATTTTCATACCTTGTGCTTGTAGGGATCAAGCGCACCCAGAATACCCATGACCTTCACAGTTTCCCTTCGGATTCCCGGAGATTGCTCGGTCTTCAGAATATCAATCAAGATATCCAAGAGTATCGGGTACTTCAGGTACGGTTCGATAACCCATCCCGTGTTGCTCGACAGCTGACCCAATGTGTGCAAAGCCGCCTCTCGTTTCGTGGAGCTGCTTTGATCTTGCAGGGTTTCCATGATGATTGGCATCAAGTCGTCGAGAAAGGGTAAGAGAACTTCGCCGCCGACCTGGGCAAGCTCACCGATAGCGGCGAGAACTTTGGACGCGACCCCTGAACTTGGGTCTTTCACTTTGGGAAGGAGAACCTTCATGATGGGCTCCACGTAGGGTTTGATGAGCCGTTGTGCGGCTGATACGAGGTGCGTTAATAGCCGGGCACTTTCTTCTCGTTGACGACTAAAGAACAGACTCAAAGTCAGAAAGGCGGTCGAGAATTTTCGCGTCCTTCATCAGTACAACCTCACGCCAGAGTATTCTAGCTCCGTCAACAACTGAATGAGCGTTTTACGGAGTGACGGAAGAACATAAGCCGGGTTATGCACCGTCAGACGACCGATAATGGCGATCGCAAGCTCTCGGATGGCAAACACTTCATCGTTCAGCGCGACGAACAGTGTGCGGATATGCTCCGCTTGCGCGAGATGGAAATCGAACCGCTCATCCAGGGACGATAGAACCGTTTGCCGAATTATCGGGTCTGGATCAGTGATTCCAACAGTCAACAGCTTCTCCAAGATATCGCCGACCACCTGGATAGCGTGATTGCTGGTCTGATAGCAAATAGGATCGCGCCCAAGCAGCTGACAGCAAGTCAATGCCGCCGCCTTCCTCACTTCCGGATTATCATCTTCCAGGTATGACACCGCACATTCGCGGATAAGCTCGTGCAGCATGTACCCTGCGAAATCGAAACCTCCTAGGGTTGTCAGAGCAAGGATTGTTGTTTCGACGTCGCGAGGTTCGCTGTTGATCTGCAGATAGCGAAATTGAGTGTACGCATCTCATTAACAGGAGTTCTCAACGCTCAAATACGAACCTGGAAATCACGCATGCTCTGAGTCAACGCCGCTTGTGCTGTCCGCGATGGCGCGCCAGGATGACGATATGGCTGTCCAGATAGGATCATGGACAGCAGATTCAGGAGTTTCTCTGGCCGCCGTGAAATGGCGTTAGCCAAGTGGGACGTAACTTTTTCATAGGCGGCCTCGTCGTCCTACCTTGGATGGTGGACAGCAGTGGCGGGATGTAGATGGACAAATCTACCAGAGCCTGTCGCAAAGGCTCCGAAAGTCCTCCAGCAAACATTTGCTCTAACAGCTCATGCATGTACTTCGTCAACGCGGGACCAACAGCCTGAGCCAACATGCTGATGCACTGATAAATCGGCGCTTCGGTGACGAGACGGCCTTTCCTATTGGTGGATATGAAGTGGTATATGAATGGGGACCCTGAAATATCGCCGACCGATTTCCTTACCCTTTGACGCTGAGGCCCTCCTTGATATTCTGCAGTGTGCTGTCCAAGTATGGACTAATGCTGCTGCCCACCGCTATCGCCACTTTTCCAATTGCGACGAAGCCTATCATCCCAGAGAAGCAATCAGTACTTCTTCGACCATGCGCGACAGCCATGAATGACGGAAAACGGACCAGCTGATCGGTCTCGGTCCTTCTTTAGTTGCGCCAAGAGATATGCCATGCACCCATTCATGTACGCGGCCACAAAGTCCGTCGGATCGAATTGGGCCAGAGCGGGAATCATCAGGATCACCGTTCGCCTGACAAGGCCATCCCGATGGTCCTTGTACTTCAGGACGGATTCGCACAGCCCTTTGTACTTCTCTTGCGGGTACTTTTCAAGAAGTAAGAGTGTTGGTGCCCCACATACTCCGCAAGAGCACTTGAAAAAGGCCTCTCACCATTCCCTTCTGGCTGATGAGTTCTCGTAGGGTCAATAGCGATCCATGAATCGCGTCCGCGCTGCCTATCTTGAACCCTTTCTGCGTTTCTTCCAAGATCTTCTGATACCAAGATTTCCTTTGTCGGTTCTCACGGACATGAACCAGAGCCAGTGTAGCGTTCAAAGCTTCAGCGGCCCCTTCCCGGATAACCACCTGCCGAACAATTATGAATCCCGTTCCCTCGTAGGTGGTTAGCGGCCAAGAAAGCTTACCCGAGGATCCCTCAAGGCGACCCAAATCAGGTCTAGAATCTGTCCCACAAATGCATATACCAATGTCGGTGCACTGACAGCGAGCTCACGCAGCACGAGAACCGCCGCGTAGCGACGTGCCTCATGTCGATCGCCTAGATGGAAGCAGTGAGCTTCCCCGTCTCCTCCGATCGTATCGGTTGCCCATCTTACGTGCCTTGCAGCCATTCCAAAGCTCGCTTTACTTCAAATTCCACAAATTCAGCGGTCAGAGTTCCACCCGATAAGGCCAGTTTCCCTAAAAGACGCGTGAGGTTCAGCTGCCGCCCCTCGCCACGAAGCTTGCATGATCCGAAGATGGGCTGTCCGCTGCCATACCGAGGGCCTTTGCCGCGAACACAGCGATTTGCGGATCACTTCCAGGAAGTACTATCCGCAGGTAGTTAGCGAAACGAGTTGTTTTCGTCGTGTTTTCCTCTCCATCAAAGTCGATCAATTTGTCTACGGTAAGCGACCGGTGAGTACATCCAGACCTCCGAGCCTTCTGGCGCTTTCCGGCTCGCCCATACCAATGGCAAGGATCCCTCCTATCTTGTCGTTATTGTCATTGCTGTGAATGAGTTCAAAGATGCGTCGGTTTACGTCGTTGACGAACTTTGTGAATGCCTCGCCCGACACTTCGCGAGAAATGGCAGTGAACTTTGGCAAGTGAAGAATCAGTTTATGGCAGACCTAGATGCCCTGATACTCCAAGACTATGACATACGTGAGCTCGAAGGTCATTTGCGGCTTTGGTTCGCACTTCATCGTTGCTGAAATGTGCGAGTTGAGTGACAAGCAAGTCGAGACCACGATGTGGAGCTGGCACTTCAAATAACCTACCGAGATCGCAAGTCCGAGAGTATCCTGACTAGAGGCTCTGAGGCCGCGGCTGTTGAAGCCATTCCTGCCTGGACTGTTGAGAGGACTTACACACTGCGCAGCGATTACTGATCTTGCATGCCAGTGCTTTTGTCGGCTTCCCGATTTCCATAAATTCCCAGCTAGTCGCAAATTCACTGTGGCCAAGCCCTCACAAATTCGTGATGACCGCACGCGACGAAAGCGACAAACTGACCCCACTTGACCGTTAAGCGTGGCCCACTCATATTGACTTTCGACTTTTTGAGTCGTGGCTTTCGCTCGCCCCCACCAACCTCAAGAAACCCGCAGGATGCAGGAGGAAGGGTTTGAGCTACCTATACTCTATTGCTATGCTACCGGGGTGCGTTAATTCAACGGTTTCAGCTGCGGCGCTCCAATCGACCCACTGTGACGAAATTCGGTCCGCAGTCACCGCAGGGCCGCCCGTTACGAACAGTGGGCTTGACTTCTCAGCGGCCGGTAAGCAGAACCTACCCTTGAATCAAAGCTGTTCGTGAGACGGGAGACGAAAAAGCCATGCAGTGGCCGGTAATCGAAGTTGGTTGGTCGGTGTGAGGTTTCTCAAGGGTTCCCATCTATTCCGCCCAAAATGCTCCTCTGAAGCCCTCCGGGATGCCAATGTGGGACAGTAGTGTTCCAGTTTTTGATGGCGGAAGTGGTTGAATGCGGGCGGCGATGGATTGCCGATGTGGCATTTGACTGAGGACATTCGGCCCCGCAATCAAATGCGTACATCGGTAAGAAATCTGTCGGAAACGGCATGCGAAAGGACGCAATGGCACAACCGGTCTCTCTGTAGACACAGAGATGAATCGCAACCTGAGCGGATCCAGCCTTCACCCTGGTGATAATGCCCGACGCTCCATAACGCATGGATGATGCAGATGCACGGGGCCCTCTGTATATGTACAGTAGCGTTGAGAGAAATCATTACCCATGAACAAAAGATCCTGATATGGGAGCCACATTTCGTCCGCCGGTCCACTCTTCTCCAAGTCATGGTCGGCGGTTGAAGGCATATCTGTCATGTCCGAACGCGAAGCTCTGCGTGTCCGAAAAAGGAGACAGTGGTCCATTGTCCCCTTCTCCTCCCTCAGGTACTTACTCTGCAGTATCGATATGGATATTCATCTATAGAGATGGCTGATTAGACTGATTCATTCCGAAATTCAAAGTCCATCAAGCTGAAAATGTGCCGTGCCCGTCCTGGGATTGATCAGCTTGGAAATGCCGCATCAACTTAGAAGGAGGCGTAAGTATCTTGGCTTGCATTGTCCATGACAACAAGACTTCGCGCAAACAAGTGGGCACATTGCCTGTTGAGCCTTCAGGTCGGGGTAAATTAGCGCGAGCAAGTGCGCATAAGCAGGCGCGGAAAAAAAAACGGGTGCAAGCGACGCAGTCAAAAAGGGTGTCATCCCCTTAGGGGCCGTCAAGGCTGACGGAACAAGAATCATTCATTGCACACGCGGTTGGCGTCCTCCGGGAAGTAAAAACTCAACACCATGCCATTGAAAACAGAACCGTTCAGTCATCATATTCGTCGGGCGGAGGTGGTTCGGAGTCAGAATCATCGTCCACAGGTTCATTTGATGGAACCCTATCCAGAGGTTTCGTGATGTGGTTGTCAACCGGGAGAACGCCCGAAAACTGCATGAACATACCCAAGGTCGTGTAATTGGGAGGACGAGGTGGGTTCAGCATGGTTTCGGGGTCGGCCCCGTTCAGAAGCTCGGTGGCCCATGCCGAGCCGTGCTTGGCCAATAAGGCGACGGGGACACCGTGGTGTTCAAACCAGGGGCGGTAGTTCGCTGTTATCTTATCCACGTCAAACCCGAGCTCCAGTATATTGCTGACCCAGAGCTTTGCCGTGTACGAATTCCACCCACCCGCCTCTGCACGCTGCTACCGCATGATCCACCGGCGGAAGGAGATCGGATCATCGCGCAGGGTCTCGCCCACGCTCAACAGAGCAGCAAGAACGGACCTCAGCTGCAGGTCGACCACGAAACGCGTTTTCCGGGCCAGCCTTGGCAAAACAATGCTACTGGGAGACTTGACTTCCAGCCGTGCTTCAAGAGCGTCGCGGACAAAGCGGTTAAGCGCGTTGAGGCGGCGCTCCATCTCAAACCTGTGTACCGACCTCTGGTTTGTGACGTCGCCCTGATCAATACCGAAATTGTGTTCCCATCGCCGATACGCATGTTCGTCCCACGCGAGACGAACGCATTCATCGAAAGCTTGCTGAATGGAGAAGGCGGCGACCGAGGGAGTCCAGAACGGAAGTACCAGGATGTCGAGAAAGTTCATGGACGGCGGGGCGATTTCGATGCCTTCAAGGACAAACGGCGGACAGATCGTGTCAGGCGCCTTGTGTTTGAGAAGCGCGGTCAAGACATCGATCGGACACTGCGATACGGGCGGGATGGAACAAGCCTGTACGAGGAAACTTTTCAGAATCACAGGGTAATCTTCGGGACCAGTAAATTCGTCGTCTGTAGTGAAAACATGCTCAAAGAACTTTGTCCAGGAGAGCGGTCGATTGTGCCCTAGCCAGTGTGAAGTGTAAAAGACCGCCATGAGCGTGTGCGGCGGTCACATCTTGGAGTTCCAGGCGGAAGCCATGCAGCGCGGAACGCACCCACGGCACAAGATGCTTTGGCCCGCAGTAACGAGGAGAAAGGGGAGGCCGCGGAACATCGTGAGCTTGCAGAAAGTGGATCGAAGCCAGTTCCCCGGCAGAATGAGCGGCCTCCCATAGTGACTGCGGCTTGCTAGCGTCAAGCGCGTTTGCAAGATCCCAGACGGCCTCCATTGTGGTGGCTGGCGGTTGAAGGGCATGGGCGGGATTGCGGAGCGCACATTCCAGGTCGGCAATCCAGGTGTCCTCCAAACAACCCCACAAGGTAGGCGCGGCCGGCTTCGTCCATAGTTCCCTTAGAATCCCGATGTGGCCACGAACCATTGCAGCACGGCGGAAGCGCATCCAGAGTCAGAAGCGGTGAGCCCTCAATCCACGGACGAACAAAGCGAGCTAGGCGAGCTTGCCGTTCAGGGGCATGTCCGAACGCAGCCGAACGCGGTGTCCGAACGGGAAAACTGTGCGAACGGCCTTGTCCGGAGAAAGACCCATTTCTCCTGCCAGAAGCTTCCGTTTCGCAACAACCCCAGTGCACCGACATCAGAGAGAGCGTCGAAAACTTGCTGTGCAAGCCTCTTATTACAACCTCAAGCCGTTCTTGGACAGCCTTATCGAGACTCGACCTCGACCTGTCTATACGATCCGACCCTATCAAAGCTATAAGGCCATCGATTCGTCTCGGCAAGCGCAATGGCTTCTGAGCACCTCACAAGCCAGTTTTCCGACCTGCACCTCTCGCAAGGAGTTGGTGGGATGGTCGGAGCAGGCCCTACCAGTGGCCTACAGACCGACGGGGACATGGGAACGCAACCGCAAAGAGCACGGTTGCCCAATGCCCTGCAACTGAATAAGCTGAACGACGATATCCCGCGAGTCGTCGACGCACTGGCTGAAGCTCTCAGGGTTGAGTTTGAAACGTTCTTAGAAGAGTAAGTTCAGATTACCCCGGTCCTTTGACGTCCTCGTCCAAGTTTCCTTACTCGCTCTCATGTCGCAGATATTCGGAAGACGGCGGATTCCCGTACATCGAACAAATCAAATACCTTTCTAAAGCCGCAATTACCACCGTATACGTTGATTTCGCCAACGTCGTTGTCATGAACGAACCTCTTGCGCAAACGATTCAGAACGAGTTTTACCGGATGGAGCCTTACCTGCGAAAAGCAGTACAGAATGTAGTCCGGAAATACGATCCAGAGTACCTCAACATCAAAGTGGGCGATTTTGCGACTGATGCGGGTGTTGTCCGAGAATTCTGGATCGGATGGTACGGAACTCCATATGTCAAGCGGTTGAGGGAGCTGAAGATGAGCACTCTCGGGCAATTGGTCGCTTTGTCTGGAACGGTTACGCGGACGTCCGAAGTGAGGCCGGAACTCCTGTTCGGAACGTTCCGGTGCGGCGACTGCTACTCCTTGATTAAGGACGTTGAGCAAGAATTCAAGTACACCGAGCCCACAACGTGCTACAACGTGAACTGCGGCAACACAAGCAGTTTCCAACTCCTCGTCGACCAAAGCAAATTCGCCGACTGGCAAAAAGTTCGCTTACAAGAAAACTCCAACGAAGTGCCTAGCGGAGCCATGCCTCGCAGTATCGACGTGATTCTGCGCAACGAGGCGGTCGAGAGGGCGAAGGCTGGTGACAAGATCATCGTCACAGGCACACCCATCGTCGTGCCTGATGTTGGGCAGCTCATCGGCAACAAGATGGAAGCCCAACGGATGGACGCTGGCGGAAGAGGCCGGGACGGATTCGGACAGGAGGGCGTGACGGGATTGAAGGCCCTCGGTGTGCGCGACCTCACGTACAAGATGACGTTCCTGGGAGCCTTTGTACGCCCTGCGGAGATCAAGAACTCGTTGAGCGCACTTCATGATCTGCTTGACTCGGAGAATGCCGAGCAGGCTGTCCGCAGGCAGTTTACGGATGAGGATCTCGCGCATCTGGAGCGGATGCGGGAGGACAAACTGCTTTATCAGAAGATTGTCAACAGCGTTGCGCCGCACATCTTCGGTACGTACCTCAATCTGTCTGGCTCGTGCATGATGTACTTCAGACCTAATGCGTCTTACTTTCCTTAGGTCACGAGGATATCAAGAAAGGGATCTTGCTACAGCTGCTGGGCGGCGTGCACAAGGTCACCCCAGAAGGCATTCATCTCCGTGGAGATGTGAACGTATGCATTGTTGGAGACCCTAGTACAGCCAAGTCTCAATTCCTAAAGTACGTACGAAGTGAGTTTTCTGGTGTCCGTCTGGCAAATCCTTACCTTGTATAAAACCCGATAGATATGTGGCGAACTTGATGCCTCGCGCGATCTACACATCAGGAAAGGCATCCAGTGCCGCCGGTCTGACCGCCAGTGTTGTGAAGGATGAGGAGACCGGCGAATTCACCATCGAGGCGGGAGCTCTCATGCTGGCCGATAACGTGAGTTCTAGAGTTTTCTCTCCCTATCGTTTCATCGATGTGCTGCCGATGGAAAGCGACGTTCCCAGACTGACATCTTGCATCGTCGGCAGGGTATCTGTTGCATTGATGAGTTTGACAAGATGGACATTACCGATCAAGTCGCGATCCACGAAGCTATGGAACAGCAGACTATCAGTATCGCAAAGGCTGGAATCCAGGTACGACCATTTTTTTTTCAGGCGTGCAACTGGTTTCTGCGGCAGAAAATAACAGTATCCCCGTTCCAGGCAACCCTGAATGCGCGAACGTCCATCCTAGCTGCCGCCAACCCAGTCCACGGGCGCTACGACAGAAAGCTCACTCTCAGACAAAACATAAACATGTCTGCGCCCATCATGTCCCGTTTCGATATCTTCTTTGTCCTGCTGGACGAGTGCAACGAGATCACCGACTGGAACATTGCACGCCATATCGTTAACTTCCATCGTCATCGTGATGAGGGTGTGCAGCCGGACTATACAGTTGAGGAGTTGATGCGATATTTGAAATATGCGAGGGCTTTGAGGCCACAGGTATGGTGCTTGTGGAGTTTAGGAGACCGATTGAGATGGATCTCAACGCTCTGTCCTTTCAGATGACGAGTGAGGCACGGTCGTACCTGGTGTACCAGTACAGGAACTTGCGGCAAAAGGATGCATCGGGTAAGTCTTGTGCCGCAAATGTATTTTGTCGTAGGTTGGTGAATGCTAATCAACATATAACTCGTAGGGGTGAACCGTGTATCCTACCGTATCACCGTCCGTCAGCTCGAGTCCATGATTCGTTTGTCGGAAGCGCTTGCCAAGCTCCACTGCAGCAAAGAGGTACGACTGGCGTTTGTGTTATCCCGTTCGTTGCAGCTGGAAGGAGTGATATGAGTAAGGGGAATCTAACTTACCTCTTCTAGATCACGACTGATCACGTCCGCGAAGCTGCCCACATTCTCCGCACATCCATCGTCCACGTCGAGCAAGACCGAGTCGAAATCGACGAAGACGAACCAGAGAACGTCACTCGCGCCGCCGAAGTCGGCCAGCAGCACGACCCGAACAGCATGGACGTGGACCAACCCGTCAACTCCACCAACCTGGGCGATTCCCAAACCAACTCCTCGTCGCGGCAACGACAGACCATCAAGTTGTCTTCGGAGGACTACCAACGGATCGTGCAGTCGGTGTTGCTGTACATCCGCAAGCGTCAAGCGGAGACGGCGTCGGAGATTCCGGGAGTCAAGAAGTCGGAGTTGATTGATCATTACATAAGTACGCAGGAGGAGGATAACCTCATTGAGACGGAGGAGCAGTATCAGTATCACAAGAAGATGTTCAAGAGTATTTTGTCGCGGCTTGTGCAGAAGGTGAGGACGCGTGGACTGTTCTTTTCTTGGAGCAGACGGGTTCGCTCACACGTTGAAATGCAGGAACACATCCTTCTCGAGATCCATGACCAAAGTCGACTGGATGAAGGCACGGATGAGACGATGATGGACGAGGACCCTATCATGGTGATTCAACCGAACTATGTGTTTGACGATTAGGTGGGATTGAAGACTGGCGGTGGTCGAAACGTTTTTGCTCGGATGCTTTTCCTTTGATGCGGGCATGATTATTTTGTACATAATTGATGCGGAGCTTATATATATATATGCGCGTATGCTTACGGCGTAATCAAGATCTGACTGAAGCGTGCCCGCAATCACATGCGCATCGTTGGCCTACTTCATGAAAGACTCCCCTAACCAGATCCACTACCTAACGAGCTGCCTAAGGAAAGCCTGCACGGCTTGTGGGCCACCCTCCTGTGCCACCCCGTCGACAATGAGGCTGCAGGCCTCCCACGAGATCGGGTTTGGTAGGTGCTCGAATTTGAACGCCTCGTTTTCCCGACCGATATGTTCGTGGTCATGATCGTTCTCATCGCCCTGGCTCTGTACTTCGGCTGCTCTTGTTGCGCGCAATCGGTCGCTGCAGACGAACCGCATCAATACGTAGCCAATGGATATGCCGGTGAAAGACGGTGCCGACTTACATCTCAGCCTCCAAAAGCGCCTGAATCCTCTCCGGCTTCAACGCCATCAACAAATCGCTCTTATTGCACACCATCAGGATCGGGATTTCGTGATGTTGCGTAAACCGATTCGCGAGAATGTCATAAAGGTACTCGGCCACTGATCGGATCTCCCTCGCGATCGTCGTGCTGTCTATCACAAAGATGACTCTGCCGGTCAAACTGGCGTGCTCTGTATACTGGTATCGCAGCTTTTCGTGGCCTGGGAGGTCGACGATGTGGATTGGGCGGGCCTGTGGAGGTTAAGCTTAGCCAAGTTCTGCTACATGGGAACGGTCCTGCTCTCGTTGTTGAACATACGTCCTTCCTGGCATACCCAAACGGGACGAATCGCCCTTCATTCTTTTCCATAGACGTATGCGTCTCAACTGTCTTCCCATATCGTAGTTGTGTGTACAAGACCGTCTTTCCCGCGCCAGATACGCCCGCTATCAACACCGTGTCCCGCGTCGGTCCTCGTGTCTTTTTGAATAGGAAGTAGAATGCTGCGTGATGGGATAAAGGAGAACATGTCAGCTCTTGGCCAGTATAAGACAGAGAACTCTCGAAAGAGCCGTACTAGCCAAAAAGCACTAACTCAGGACAATAAGAATAGCTGTGGAGACAAGCGCCACTAGTGCGAGTTGATCGTCTTTGACGTAGTCGGTGAGCCACGCAGGCAGCTTGGCCGTGAGCGCGCCGACAGTGTTGTCGCCTGCCATCTCGGGAGGTATTTTGTTACGCTGGCGCTATCGCAAGTATCGTTCGTCGGGGTGGTCCTCTGGCTGATGCAGCCAGCGAAATGGGCGAACGGCCGCAGGACTTTTGAAGTTGAGCGCCGTGACGAGCCTCGACGCGCTTCTCGTCTCTCTTTCCACTCTCTTTCCACTCTCTTTCCAGCTTTCCCAACTATTTCCCAACGCTTCTTCACCACGTCGTGCCAAGTTGCAGTGGTGCACTCACCCACTCAAATATAACGTCATATTGCCTCTACGACGGACGTGGCAACTGCTCCGTATCTGCTACAGCAACATCGTCGGCGCATACACTGCGCACTACCATAACTTCACCTCGGAGACAGCAAGGCCAAGATGGCGGACGACTATGAAAGCGTATTGCTAGTGATAAAGGAGGTCATGGTTTATAGGTACAGTCAAGGGAATGAGCCCCCCTCCCTAGAAGGAGCTGGTAGTCTCGGCATCCTCACAAAACGACTGGGCCATACTGATCAAACGGATACTTCGCGTGCTATAGAGTTCCGCCGCGACAGACTTCCCGTGGGTACAGGTATGAAAGAGTACTCCCACGTTCCCGCACTGCCTAAGATTTTAATCGCTTCACTCTGACAGAGCTTCAGATTGGGATGAGACGCAACATCTGTGGTCCGGGCGGCTGCGCATCACAGCAACAGCCACCAAAGCGACCATTCGCCTTGAGGATAGCAATACAGGGGAGCTGTTCGCAATAGCACCCTATGACCCCGCAGGGCAGACGGTCGAGTCCGTGAACGACTCGTCGCGCTACTTTGTCCTGAGGATTGTGGATCCTGCCAGCAAGCAGCATGCATTCGTTGGCCTAGGGTTCCCGGAACGGGGCTGGGCTTTCGATTTCAATGTTGCGTTGCAGGATTTTTCTTCGAGGCTGAAGAGGGATTCGACGCCTTCAGCGGCACGTGTTGTGGAAGGTCCGAAGGTCGACTATAGCTTGAAAGAGGGGCAGACAATATCCATCAACATAGGGAATGTATGTTACGGGCGTCTGCATGGCCCTTTGTATGGTGTGGAAAAGTACTCACTATCAAACCATCTAGTCATCAGCGAAGTCTGTCTCGCGGCCGCAGGAGCAACGGACAAATCCTTCCCTTCGTAAGTTAAACTCTGCGATCCGGTCGTAGGCGTTAGTGAATGTGGGCAATTGAACGCCATGATGTTCCCTTTCATTTAGCATTCTTGCCACCCCCACCATCAGCACAATCAAAGAGGACCGAAGCGCCATCAAATAGTACCGCATCAGCTTTCGGCACGCCTGCATCACAGCCTCAGCAGAACAACGAATGGGCAGATTTCGTTGGATTTGGCGCAAGGTTTGGAAATAATCATGCGTGTGAGAACGTGCGCCCTCATTTGTGCTGATCTCTACCTACCTGTTCCGCAGTTCACAACCACAGCCGAGCTCATCTCAAGCTCCGCCTCTTTTCGATACGGCGTGGCCAAACACGTCACAACAGCAGCAGGAACAGACGAAGCCGAGCGCATCATCGGGATCTGTGCCCACGTCTTGGACAACATTTTGAATCAGTGCGTTGAGCGGGCAATGAAGGCATTGTTGTGTGGAAGCTGCTGGAACCCACAATGCTCGTTTCCATCCAACGTTCTCGCGTGCGTGCGACGCATGTATCAAGGCGGATTACTAGAGGGACAGGATGCCATTGGGGCGTTGGTGGTGATTGTGCAAGTGGGGCAGCAAATAGACCAGTAGTGTAGTTTCCCTACGTAAGCAATCGATTTTGGGACTCATTCAGGAGCAAAACTGGTGCAAAGTCCAGGGAGCCTGTACGGAGTGAGAAGCAATGCAACCGACCTCGCCGTCCAAAGGGAACATACAAGTCACTCTTGGCGTGAAACCCACCAGAGGACCTTATTGCGATGGGAAGCTGCTGTGAGAGGCCAGCTACCGAGAATTGACGGCTTGCCGCTGCTTACGTCAAAGCGCGACTTGCCGTCAACTGTCAGTCCGTGCGCACACACATTTCTCGCAGTTGGGTTTGCAGCCTTTTTTTCGCACAGCACCTCTATAGCCGCAAGCCATGTCCTACCATCGCGCAACAGTAGCAGCGCCCGCCGCCCACCCCCTCGACTTTGACGCTTCCGCGGGCGGAGGCGCAGAGCCCGGGCCCAACAATGCCGTAGCTCACATTGAAGAGAAACGAACAAGTCTTTTGGATGTGGTGCGAGACGGCCTGGCGAGGACGGGAAAGACTACCATGCTGTATCGAGTGACTTTCTGTGGGAGTGTCGCGGAGGGGGCTGAAAAGTCTGAGATCGGAGGTACTGTACGTGTTGTCTTCTGGTACGCGCGGACGGAAGCTCTCCAACTGACTTGTTTGCCATCCAAATTCGTAGCGCACTATCAAAAGTTCTTCAAGCAGATCCAGAATGAAACGGATCTGATCACAGGCCTTTTAGTGGTGCTGGACACTACATGGGTGCAAGTACTGGAGGTGAGATCCTCCGTAAACCCCCCCGTTTCCCGCAGAATCTCCTCTGATGTTTTCCCTTCAATCATAGGCCACATCAAAAGTAATCTACACAGTCCTCCGAGACCTGCACCGCTCCTCATCCTCCCCAATCTCCTCAATCACCACAAACGTCAAGGTACTGATGATCCAGGACGATATCCCCAATCGAGCGTACCCGTTCTGGGCGTCCAGGAACAACGAGGCAAAGAGTACCGGCCCGATGGATCCAGATGCGGAGGATCCGGTTGATGCGGCTGTCATTGCGGGTGTTTGTGTGGGATTGTGTGGTATTGGTGGGAAGCTTGGCACGTTGACCAAGGTACGATAAATAGGTAGGGGAACCACGCGAACCCCTACGAACACTCAAGCATATCATCACATAGGCCGACCTCAAAACGGCATTGGACGATGTCGGCACGCACTTCCAGGACCTCCTGCCACGCGCTTCAGTACTGGAGCGGATCGCGACATCGAACAAAGTTATGGGTATCGATGAATGGCTTGAGTTGTTTGCGAACCATTTGAATCCGGTGCTCGAGTCGGAGCTGGTGTGGCCCGCGCAACAGACATTAGTGTTTTAAGATGTGCGATGGACGGTATTTCCTCCCAGGTTGTATTTAGAGGTGGATGCTCTCGCTCGGGGCCTCGAAATGATATATACATATGCGGGATGGCCTGAGTGGATTGCCTTATGGCATGGCTTCCATTGCAAAAGCCCGGAGTATACTGCCTCACAGCTGTGGGCCCATCAAGTCAATCCTCAATCGCAGCAACTCTGTACTGCCGGCAACTTTGCGCCCATGCGAGAATCAGTCTACGTTTAAGCATCTTCTGAGCCCATGTCGCAGCGAAGATCTAAGCGCGTTAAAGGGTCAGTAGGCAGGTCGCCAGAGAATGGCGACAGCGCAAATCATACCATTTTGCGTTGATACTCAAAGTTCCGCATCTTGTTTCGGTGCTGCCAACGATTCCAGGCCCACTTTCGCATTCGTTTCGATAGAAACGCGTCGGCTTGCCTGAGCATATGCGCATAACCTTCAGCGTCCAACTTTTTCTTGACAGGCTTAGGTGCTTCGGGTGGAAGCGTCGACGATCCTGGTTGAGCCGTTGATCGTCGCTCTTGTGCTGTGGAAACTCGCAGTTGTGTCGTTGACGGTCGCGCTTGTGTGGTTATGAGTCGCGATTGTGTCGTTGGTGCCTGCTGAGTGATTGAAACTCGCGGCTGCGTTTTTGAATCTCGCTGCTGCGTTGCTGACACTCGCTGCTGCGTCGCTGAAACTCGCTGCTCCGACGTTGTCACTCGCTGCTGCGTTGTTGTCACTCGGTGATGCGTTGCTGACGCCTGCTGTTGGGTCGTTGCAACTCGCTGTTGCGCCGTTGATACTCGATGTTGTGCCACAGATGCTGGACCGCCGCTATGAACCTCCCGCATTACAACCCCATCGCTGTGCTTTGACAGGCTCACAGACCTGATGTTTGAGGGCTGAACTGAAGACGGCCGAGCACTAAGGACCGGTGTTCCGGAAATGGCCTTCGTGGGACTGGGAGATCGCGCGGATAAAGTGGGTTGGATCGCGGAAGGACGAGAAGGTCGGGAAGACGAGGGGGCTGACGCCGGTTGTATCCGGGAGGATGCAGCCGCCTGTACACGTGCGGAACGACGAGCACGAAAGACAGTGGCCCAGAGATGAAAGACTCGCCTTCTTGTAGCTTTGCGATCCATATACACCGCGACCTTTTCAAGTTCTTTATCCCGGAGGTTCTTTGTTCGACGACTGTTTTGCTTTGCAGCAGCCTGCTGCCAACGTGCGATCGCGGTACCCATCACATTCCCTTGATCAAACTGGATAGCGCTTCGGGTATTCAGAGCGACTGTTGCCGTGCGACGCCACCATTTGTCGAAATACGCAGGAAGCCGAATTTTCCGAACGGATTTCTGGTGCACCCGCAGGAGCTGCTCTCGCCTTTCCTGGCGATGTTTCACACGCGTGACCCATAGATGCCAAGATTGTCGAAGTTTTTGTTTCGCCAATGATGCCAGCACTGTATTCTTTCCTTCTTCCCGCTCACTCCTCCGATCAAGATGCCAGGCTCTCCATCCTTGCCAGCAATGATGCAGCAGCTTTTCCAAAGCGAACCGCCTTGCCTTCGCATTCCGAAGTGCATCAGTCCATTTTCGCCATGACTGCACCATCGTTCTTGCCCTCATAGTCGTGACGAGAAGTGGCTCCGTTGGAATAATATCGAATTGAAGCTGGTGTCTTTCTCTCATCCGAGCACTAAAGGCTCCCTCGGCTCTTCGTATGTCGCTCTGTTTGACGACCACAGCCCGCCAGGCTTTGAAAAGTCTCGTGTACTTGTGTTCGGTTACAATGATTTTCAAGTTCCTAAGCGCCTCCGCTTTCCTGCGTAGGTTGTGCTTCTTTTTGCTTTTCTGTTTCCATACTTGGAACAGCTCTATGACGGTCCTGATGTTCAAACGCCTCTTCAACAATCGACAAGCAGTTGCCTGAGCCGTCAGCAGCGTCCATCGGCAGAACGCCCGTTTCGTTACGTTTATGTTATAGGCAACTGCTATTTGCCGTTCAATCCGTTTCCGTAAGCTCAAAATGCTGGCCTGATCTTTCCAATGCTCGAAAGTTCTCCTCAAGCAGCGAATGTCGAACTGTCGAGTAGCCAGCACTCGTAGGCGGTGGTGTGCAATGTAGATGTTATGGAGGGCATCGAATGTACGGCGCATAAGCGTAACTCGTTGATGATCGACGGCCAGGTCTTCGTGCATCTTCCGGATTTGCTCCTCCCTCTTCACCAAATACTGGCGACGCCACGTTCTCCAGCTTTGTATGGTACACACGTAAAGTGCTGCTGAGCGTGCTCTGTCCTCGGCTTCCCTGGCTCGTTGCAACGCACGCGTCCACTGTCCAAAAGCATTCCGTGTCGCATAGAATAGATGAGCTCGATGTGCTTGGATGTCGCGCTGTTGCGCGCAATATAACGAATACGACCAGGCTTGGAACGAAGCCTGCATCGTCAACGCTTCATGGCGTGCCGTGAGTGGAGCTGCCATCAATCGGTAGAGCTTAGTGGCTTTCTGTGAATGATGCCAGTAAGCTAGCGTATTCATCATAAGCTTAGCTCGATATGCAGCGTCGGCGCTGGCATAATCGGCCCGCCGGCTTCTTGTCGTTTCACGAAGTTGTGCGATCAGAGCCCGCCACTTTGTGAATTCCCCATCACCTTCGGCGATATGTTCTGGGTGATCTGCGTATATCGGCGTGTGGACCTCGGTCATGGACAAGATTCTGCCCATGGCACCCATTCTCTGAAAGATTCCAAGCTGCTCGGGTATCTCAAAGGCACAATGAGTTCGTGTTTTCAGACGCATACCTTGTCGCTGATAGCTTCCGCTCACCTTGGTTGTAACAAACCTGGATCGCAGGGCTGTTTGGTTCGTCAGGGACAGCAACCCGTTGTCGGGCTCGTGACATTCCAGCTGGAGCAGTCTAATGAAGAGCCGGTTAGCGTCAGCTCAAGAAGCGCTAAGACGGGAGACCGTGAAAAGTGATCATACACAATAGCATCAGGAGCAAGACCTGCCCATGTCTTCCAAATCCACATTCGGAATATCGTTCCCAGGCAGCGCTGCTGATGGAGCCTCGTCGCTAGACGATCGTGCAAGGCATTCCACCAGTGATCCTGCCATCTCAGGAAATACCGTTTACAAAACTTTTGTCGGTGGGCCCGTTCCGCCCGTAATTCCTGATAATTGAAAGTGATATCAGCCCTGATATTGCAGATTGGACCAGCCTTGGGCATGGATGGTGAATTACATTGAACTTGTATTTCCAGCATTTTAGCGACGCGGTCTTGCTCTGTATTGTACGCAACTGCGCTATCACAAGCTCCTGTAAAGAATGTTAGCACCGAGCTGCGAATTGGGTATAGCAGCCCCATCCTTACCAATCTTTGCAAGTTCTTGAAGCGGAGAGCTAGGCGCCACGTAGACAATACTATCTCCAGTTTCTTCAGGTCGAGCCGAACGGTGAATTTGGCTGCCCGTCCCCGGAGGATTCCTTGTCTCTCCGCGACAACTTGCCACTCGGTCAAGAGACGGTGTAGGAACACTGTACGGTGACTTTAGTCCCCATCGCCATCTTTCTGCCGTGAATCTCACATACTCACCTTTTTCAAAGCTCCATACTAACGAGCGACAAGCTCGCAAAACTCGTTGTCGTCTCCTCCATTTCGATATCCACACCCAATAGACCTTGCTTAGAACAGATGAGATCAGCTCGCACTCTACTGCCGAACAGCTCAATAACCAGCCTAGTACCTCATCAAAAGGTGATCGTGTCCAGAAGTCGCAACTGTTGCCATGTTGCGCACATACTTATATCGACTTCGCCAGTGCTGGAGTAGTAGCCTCTTTTGCACCTGTCATCGCCATCTGTTAGCACTTTGATGGCTATGCGAGGCTAGCTGAGAAAATCGTACCTGCCGCGCCCGTTGCTTGAACCCGAAGCAAAGATCTCGCGCCTCCTTCCGCTGCGCTTGGATGACTCGAAAGCCTAGGAACCGATGTCAAGCTCATTTCAAAAGGGATTATTTTCAGTGCAATCGCCCACCTTTCAAACATTGCCGCAAAAGACGTTGATCGCGCTTCGCCTGTAGCTTCTCCATGACAGTTGTGATGCGATGCTGGATCTTTGCTTTCGCACTGGCCTGCCAGGTACGAATGACCGTTCCCAACACTGAACAGGACCAATACTCCATGGCAACCAAATGCCTTTGGTTCTCATAGAGAGAGCGATCGCGCCACCGCACAAAAGCTTTGGTGACCATGTCTGTTAACAGCTTGCGATGTGCCACATCAGACCGATGGATAGCATTTCGGTAGCGATCTATCCATGTCATCAAAGTGTTGGCACGTGTCTGCTGAAGGCGAGACCTGCTGAAGCTCTGAAGGCGGTCTTCAAGATCGCCAGAGACATACATATGCCGTTGATGCCAAGCATGAAAAGATTGTTGTACGATCCGGTACCGACGAGATTGTTGAACCAATCGATAAGCACATGCAACGCGCCACAAACGTAAGTGCCTCGCAAGTCGGGAGTGCCTGTGCCGAGATTCGTGCTCTTTCAGCTTTGTCGTTAAAGTCTGTTGATGCAAATATGCGACATTCCAGACATGCATTGCGTATTTCAGCACATTCCGCCTCCTTTCTGCGAGAAGGTTCTTACATGTCCGTCTAAATGCCTTTTGTTGCGCATTTGCAGCCCGCCACCTCCCTAGGACCGCGCGCATTTGCCTTTGTTGAAGCTCCGTCCTGAACACTTCGTGATTGACCCGGAGTGCTTTATTGTGAACCGTGGTTTCCCTCCAGTGTGAGGTTGCACGCCGCAAAAGGTGTTTGTTCGCTTTTTCCCTCTCTTGCGCTGCTTTGCTTCTTTCGCTGACCCATATCGCCCAGACCCTTCTGAGCTCTCCCATGCGGTTCTCTTTTTCCTTCTGTCGGCATCGGCCCTCCAAATCGTGCCACCACTTCCATGCATGAAAGCATTTCACTAACGTGTGCTTTCGCTTCCATGATAGTGATGTCTCGATTTTATCACGGTGTTTCAGCCTGTTTTCTGTCCGATCGGTCCAGTACTCGAAAACGTGTCGAAGGCGATCCCGATGCAGCCGAGACTTAAGAAGGCGTGCGCTTTCTTGCGCCCCAAGAATCCTACGCGTCAACCGACGCCATCCGTTTAGGCAAATAGCCGCTCGGTTGTGCCTGCACATCGCATCAAAGGCCTTTGCCCGTCTGACGTTTGTGGTCATATGTTCCCACTTTCGAAAAAAGACCTCCACTCTCTTCAAGCGCACCATCTGCTCCGCAACTTCCGAAAACGTTCGTAGCACTGCTTTCTTCTTCGTTAGCTGGTGCCAGCACTGTAAGGCCATTTTCGCCATGTCTCGGGCACGTCGCCGTTCCATGACCGACTCCGCAATTGCGCTCTCACATCTTTTCATATATAGCGATACTTGTTTTGCTTTCCATTGGCGAAAAGCCCCACGCATGACGTGAAGGGTCCGGAAACCATGTATCTCTCGATGAATGAAATTGACATTAGCGGAAAATGCATGAATAGCTAACGTCGCGATTCGCCGGGCGTTTTCATGCTGAGATCATTTTAGTCAGATACAGCGAAGAGATATCCATCCACTTCTGATCGCTTACCTTCAACGCCCGTAGAGCCTCTGACCTCACATGCCATTTGCGGAAAGTTTTCTGAAGATGTGACGTTTGCCATCGTTTGACGGCCACCATCCACTGCGTCACCAGCTCCGCTTTCCTCTTCCTGAGTGCACGGCTATATCCCATCCAGGCATAGAAACATCTTACCACCTGCACGCGTTGTTTACGAGAGGCAAGTTCTTCGCTCTGGTCTGGCGCGACCATGGTGGTTGCATCCAATTCAGCTTGCGTGGACATATCGACCTTTGGAATCAAGCTTCGACGTTCTGAGAATTCAGGTAGAATGGCGCTGACTTCAGCGATGGAGTCTGTAACTTGGATTGCAGAGGGATGTTGCTGTCCATTGCTATCAAGTAGTCTTGGACCATGTTGAGATAACTCTGGGCGGAAAGCTGCGTGGCCGAGGACTTGATGCTCCGCCATTCTCTCATTCGATGTATGATGGACCGTGGAATGAAAAGAGCATAGGGCTATGAAGCTTTCCTCCGTCGGTGCTGGCTGGCTAACTGATGGCGGTCCTGCCTTTGCTAACGTTGATGCCTCGACAAAAGTTTCCCCGGGGTATAGTGAACTCTGAAGCTCATTTTTATGGCCAGTCACAATCTACCAACGCCGGGTATGAGCATAGATTGCTTGAAGCTAGGCAGCAGCGTAACGAACCTGCTGGAGCAGTCGATACTTTTCCCACCAGGATCGGCCCACATATCGCCTGTCCATGGACAAAAGTAACTGCCTGTATCTGTCTCTTCGCTCCGCCGATTCGGCATCCGCCACGCTGGGAAAAACCGCTGACAGAGCTCGCAGCACCCGGAAAACATCGGTACTACTCCTTTCCGCCGGGTGCCTCCCCTCTTCGTCTATCGACTCCAGCAGCGAGCTATCCCGTGGAAAGGCAAGAGAAAGAACCTTGTGAAAAACAGATAGATCTGACGGCATCCTGAGTTTTAATTTCGAAACCTTTCCTTTATTACGCAGTTGTGATCTTGCAATACCTTCCGCCGTGATGTTTTCCCACGAGACGGTCATCTTCGGCAACCCGTTTCGAGCAATTCAGTTGCCAGAGGAGTTCAGACCTTGGCTCTTCGTATTGCACGTCGGGCTCGCCAAGTATTGCAAGACACCCGCCTACTTACAGCGACCGTTCCTCGCCTTCCCTTTCACTTATGCCCATTGAGTTATGCGTTGAGAAAGTGAAATGGAAGTTCGAGCAAGTTCGAGGAGTGTGCATACTGTAATCTGGTCGCGTCGCGTGTCCAAGGATTCGGTCTTCCACGTTTCGGACAACTCTCCGCCCTGGGAACCTGTCAATGTCAGTTATTCGACCCTAAAAGCACACAGTCGCCAGAGCAGTATTTTCCTGGTAGATTTATCTACAAGCACGACATAATGTCCGCTGGCAAGTATCGACCCCCCCTTCCGTCCGCGGGTAAGGCTGGTCAACAGCCAAATGGCGCCTCACTTGTGTCCATCGAAGAGCGATACTTCACACCTGCGGAGGTTGAACAGCACAATGGCCCAGAAGACTGCTGGCTTTCGTGGCTTGGATATGTCTATGACCTCACGGCACTTGTAGACGAAAGAAAGGGAGACCCTCTACTCTCTCCAATACTGAAGAATGCTGGGAAGGATATTTCTCATTGGTTTGACTCGGCGACTGGGGATGTAAGTCGCGATTGGCGAAAAAGGTTTTATCTGCTTGGAAAATGGGACCCTAACGGACTATGCCCCGATTCTCCTCAACCAGTTGAAGCTGCAAATCAATCCCTTAACGGAATGCACCACCCCATATACTCCCGAAGGCCGTTTCCTTCACGTACCACCACCGCTGCCGCAATCCGATTGGGCCAACAAAGTGGACAGTAAATCAGGTTTACCCTGGTGGCTCGACAAATCGGTTTACTGCGTCGGGCGACTCAGTCAAAAGACACGGAAGATAAGGGTTGTAAATACTCTGACCAGAGATGAGCATGTTTTAGAGGTAGGCAGCCTGGGCAACCTGTCTTAAGTGGTGGTATTACTCTTGGTGCTAATTGTCACACTATATTATAGATCGCATCGGAGGAGAGGCTATCCGCAATACAGGATAGATACCTTTCTTTCAATCAACATGCAAAAGGATACATGTGGAAGCGTCAAGGGAAGCTTCTCGATATGGGACAGACGTTACAGGAGAACGGGTTGGCGGATGAGACGTGGATGTTTGAAGCTACCGGGCTTGATGAGGAGGAATGGTTGCCAGCCGTGCATCTTTACTTCAGGTGGGTTACAGGTCAGTATAGAATCATCTCGTTCCTTCGCTGAGTGCTGACCTTTACGATTGGACATTATTGTCTCATAGTGACGATTTGACAGTAGCGTAGGGAAAGGACGTTCAAGTGAAGCACGCAGCGGACGCAGATAGTGCTTTGTATTCAATACGGACACGTCTCTACCTACTTGCAACTGAACTAGTTCCAGCGATGTCCAGTGATGCGGCTAGCGCTATTTGCCAAGCAGTGGATGCGGTGTCTTTTGAGCAAAATCTCCAGCAAAGCGCATGGAGAGATATAGATATTCGTTGCATACTACACTATTCGAATGCTAGGCTCTATATCTGAAAATCAATCTAACGCGACGTGCGTATACTACCCACCTACCCCTAATGCTCCAACCTGACGGCGCTAACATCAAACCTGGCCGCCAGCCCCTCCAGCCGCCGCAGCCTGCGCGTTGGCATTGTAGTTCTCCATGTGCCCCGCCATATCGATTGCCTCCAGATACTCTCGTTCCGAAATGCTTGCGTGAGCTTTCACAAATCGCAGAATACGCTGAATGTCGTCCTTCATGAATTCGTGAGCCGGTATCACTTTCATGAGTCCCACGAAGGTGTTTTGAGCGAAGGGGAGGCCGTCTTCGATCACGCTTGAAGGAAGGGAGAGTATCAGGAAAAATATCATCTTGCGCATAGATTTCTGTTACGGACCATTTGACACGTCCCAGCAATAACGCCTCGTACTCTGAGGCGTGTTTCTTGACACCTGTAAAAACAACCTTGGTGACAAGCTCAGTATACCACGGATGTTGCCGTAACGCGCGGGCCTTTTCTGCATCTCGTTGCGCGTTCGCTCGCTGTCGCATGGCAGCGATATCGTCGGAGAACATTGTGTTGTTCTAGTTGGAATGGATTTGAGAGTGAGTCAGTAGCGACCTTCGGGAGTACGAGAAGGACGTGCTCCGACCTTTCCAACTTTCAGCGCTTTGTATTTGCGAAGGAAGTGCGATTTCCGCTCGAAGTCCAGCCTACACATCCCATCTATTGTCAATATGCGAAGTGTGCAAAATTGGAACATTTGAGTCCCCCCCCCATGTGGTTCGACCTACCTATTTAGGTCGTCTAGAAGGACCTGCGTCAGTCGCCTTTGCTGTTCGTAGAAATGCTCCCGGGTCGTGTAGTACTAGAGGAAAGGCAAAGAACGCCATGAATAATTACAGTTTGGCGGCTGAGGTTGGAACGTCCAGAGCGGCCTTCGGGCACATCAGACACCCACCTGATCCGTCGCCATATTCCCTCGATCGTCGCGGTTTATATTCAGCGCCTGCTCCATCGCTTTCGGCGTCAGTGCCGCCACCTTTGACTTATGACGGACCCCACCAAACGCCGTGGCGGACGCAGCCAAAGACGAGTTGGACCCAATCAATGAGTCGGCTCCTTTCATGTGATCGGCATCCGCCCCATTTGCGGACTCTGCTGACAGTGGTCGCTTATGTGTCGGCGTGCCCCATCGCTCTGGCTCACGGGGTAAGTCGCGGGCGACGGTCATGTTGGTTCGAGGGGTCTTTTTCCGCTTTTGCGTTTGCGCTATGGGGAGATAGAGAACGGTGTCAAGTTTCCAGAAAGACATCCCCTTTGTGGTGCCATACATGAATGCTCAACTGACATATGAACCCGGGTATTGCCCTCTCCAGAACGTTTTGGAAGTATGCTTGCTTGTCCGTGTCGATCTTCAGGTTGTGCCAGTCCACTAAACAGACTCATTCATGAGATCAAGCGATTTGTCCAATCGGTGTTGAAAGCCACCAACTGGCACAGAAAACCGCCGCCACAAGGCTCAGCGACATTACCTTCGCCCTCCTCCAACGACGCGGCCGCCTTCCTCGATTTTGCGGCATCCGCACGATGCCGCCATGAGCTGTCATCAACGGTTTGCGAAAAGGGGATCCCAAACTGATGATGAACCATCGGTGGTGAGCTCCATAATACTCATCACCATCTCCTGCTAACCGCCCCTCTTTCATTTGCCCCACCTTCACAGCATCAATCCTCCCCTTCGATTTTGCCAGCTTTCCTTTGATCAGGGAAAACCCATTATTGTGTCGCGGCGATACTTCTGCAGAATAGACAATCTCAGCACGACCTCCGGCAACTTGATCAACAGTAGCCCCGTGGAAGACGTACCTGTAGTCCTCCGCCCCACCGACTTCCTTATTTCCTTGATGTCATGTGTAGCTTCCGCGATGTTGGTTACTGCTGATCTGTTGATGATGACTTTCAGCAACGCATCGAGCGAGGGTATCCTTCCATCGATATCGCTCTCACGTTTGCACGGCATTGGGGTCTATCCGCAGAGCAGTGTAGATAAGGTTGCTGGAGTCGAGTATAGGATCGCCTACGAGGGATGAAGAACGCGTTACCAAAGGACCAAGGAAATCTTGCCTTCAAAAGCGAACTGGCATACCGAGAGGTCTGTATGACTCTTTGGGATCTGAACAGAAACCCTGTTTGAGAATTTCCTGAAATCCAAGATATTATTCGACATTGTGATACTTTCACAAACCAATGCGCGATTTATGTTAGTCTTACGGTCCACAATACATACCGTTCTCTTCTGCAGCCGAGCCAATCTCGCAGCATTCGACTCCTTCATTGTCATAACCAACTCCGTCCGCGTCGCCACATCCTTCGGCTCATACGTGTTCAGCCTGACCGGCGACTTCTCTATAATAGCATGCTTGACCTGGAGCTGAAATTCCGAGTCCCCACCAGCTCCCGCCATCACATTTCCCGCTCCTGGGCCAGCTGCCCCAGCTCCAGCCAATCCGCCTCTATCAGGTTTGCCTTGGGCGCCGTGATGAAGGCCGCCATGATGCCCGAAGTGGGCGCGAAGCTTGGTTGGCGAGTTGGTGGAGATTGAATTCAGAGGTGTTGGTAAGGATGGCGGTAGGAGTGAGTTCGAAGTTGGAGTGGTGGATAGAGTGGACAGCGGGTCTGGCCGCGACGATGTCGGGCGCATTGTCATCTTGTGCATGCTATAAACCGTGGGGAGCTATGCTATGCTATGCTATGCTATGGACTATATATCTACTACAAATATGATGATGCAGTTCGCAAAAAGCCGATGAAGATTCAACGGTTTGTTTTCCCCCCGCTTGACGGGATTGTTGTCGAAATCCTAAAAATCCAACGCCGGACATTTTACGCCTAAGGTACTATGTAAACCACGATGACACACGCGATCACACCCGCCGAAGGGGAGGATGCCTGCGCTTCACACCTACACCTACAACATTACACACTACATACAGACTATATCGACCGGGCATCCGTCGAAGTGGAAGTACTGTATTTGATCGGGGAAGTTTGCACAAGTTGCTGGCAGCGTCGTGGTGAGTATAGGCTTGACTTATCCTGCTAGCAGGCTCTCACAACAAGGAAGTGCGCATACCGTAGTGCTTCATCTTTCTGGCTCGCCCCTCGCTTTAGAGTTCAGGTAACCGAGATGGAAGCTGGGCCATTCCTGGCTCCATGGCGCATCGCCGCAGCCGAGAGTCCCATGTGATGTGTGGGTGAAGGCAGTACTGCGCGTGAGGTTGATGACCTTACGTGTTCGTGTGGAGCTGCTGCCGACCCCATTTGACGGTAACCCCCAAACTGGCACTCTACAGTCTACAGTACGTGAAAATAGACATGCAACCCTCAAGATCCCAGGGACTGTGTATGTACAGTACAACGGACATTTCAACCCACTTAGTTGCCGCCCACTTGCCATATCAGCGCATCTGCAGTAGCTTCTATACGCAGCTGACCACGTAGAGCGGCACCCTCAGTGTGATCCATTCCCCCTCACCTAGGTTCCAAATGTCTTCGCATTCGTACTCGCCGTATTATGCATCCTACGGACATCCAGGAGGACACCTCCCCGGCACTGGGTCTGCGGCGACAGGCAAATACTCCCCATATCCTCTGCCGTATTCCTCCACCTATGGCACGTCCGCGCAACCACCGCGGTCCTGCTCCGCAGCCTCGTCTTCCGCGTCCAGTACGCTCGACTCCACGCGGGACCACCATCACCCCCATCAACCATACCCCGCACCCCGCCTGTCTTCACCACCCTCCTCATATTTACGCCCAGACTCGTCAACTCACCACTTATCGGCAGCTTCACAATCACACGATGCATACCGAAGATCCTCTTCAACGTCCCCAGTTGGACCCCTATCGACCATGCCTGGATTGTCTGGACCACGGTCACCACCCTCACCGCGTTTGTATGGAGCATCACGCGCCGGCATGAACGACCCTTTGCAGATATATTGGTCGAGGCCGGACAGCGGTGGTGGGATTACACACTCACACTCGCTGCCGGTAGGGAGGGACTTTCAAGGGGAGCCGACGCGGGCGTCGTTCGACTCGCGAAGTGGGGGGATGCAGAATTGGTATTCTGACAAAACAATAGTGGATGACGAGGATGATGCAGAGCCAGACGGAACAGATATGGATCATGCCATCGGAGGAAAGCAGGCAGACCCATCGTATTGGCAGAAAAATCAACAACAACGACCACCGAGGTCTCGTGTACCAACATCGGACGAGGTGATTGAGGACTCGAGAAGCACAACACCCAAACCGGAGCATTTTGAGCGGCATTCGTCCCGCGCGTCGGTCGATACCCGTCGAAGATCTCCTTCACCTGTTCAGCCGTCGTCAATTGACGACCAGATGCAACTGTTCCTCTTTTCGCTGTTGTCCTTCGTCCTTCTCCACATTCTCCCGTTCTTTGCCCAATGGACATCCGCATTGCGATACCGGTTTGGCACGTATATCGGATCAGCCCTGATTTTGTCATCGTCGGTGGCAGGCGGGGCGTTTCTTCGATCCCGAAAATCGTCGATGCACAGCGCTTATAAGGCGATAAGCGCACACCCTGCGTCCCGAGAGTTGGGAGCATTGGGGCTGACAGTTGCAATCGCCTACTTGTGCATCCTGTTGTGTCCGCTCACATTTCGTCTGCTGCACAACATGGGTGGCTCGGCCCCATTCTTTGGTGTCATTGTCGGCGGGGCCTTGGTGTGGTGGTCGATATTGTTCGGGTTGACGACTGTTGGGGTGTTGGGCTTCTGGTCATGGGATTTGACAAAAGTCGTGCACTCCATTGTCGTCAAGGCCGTTCGGTACATTGCATTGGGCGAGGCCGCAGAGGATGCCAACGAGGCACCGCCGTCCTCGACCGCGTCAACATCATCGACTTCCCGGATCCATCCATTAGCTACGACTCGAATGACGACAACAACGTCCACTTTCCGGGTCGTAAATCCAGACGAAGGAACGCGTCCACGGGGCGGGTACGACGGCTTCGATTCTGTCGCCACTAAACTCACCTCCATGAAAATGTCTGCCGTCTCACACCACGATGGTAATCCATACGGCTCAGGCGGCGGTGTCACGGCGACGGCGGCGGAGAGGTTCGGGGCGAAAATGGAATATGATAGGGAGAGGCGAGAAGCGGCGTTTTCGGCCTCGACGCAACGGAACTTTGGGTTTCGGGTGGCTAATCCTGGAGACGGCGATCGAGTGTCGAGGTCGGGTTAGGAGGATGGAGGAGGGTGAGGAGGTTGTGAAGGTGAGGTGGCGAGATTCTCTGGTCCTGGTCCCCTTTGAGGTCCCCAATTGTAAAACAATGCTTTCTTTGGCTTATGGCGTGAATGTTATCACTGCTTGTATATATACAGTATGTACATTCGTTGTCCTTCCTTGAAGAATAGTCGTCTCGTGAGCGCCCTGGTCCTTTTCCGCATATCCAACCCCCTGTACAAAGGGCCTTCCATCGTGTGTCGCGCGTTGTCTTTCGTATTCACGCGAAAGACACCAGCATACGTATCCTGGGCGACAAAACGCTCAGGTCCAGAGTAAATTCCGATTCCTTATCTCCGCTGTTGTGTACTGTCTTCTCATAAGTGTGGCGGTGGGTCTTCAGGTCGGGCCGTATCGACATTTCCGAACTAGCGCCGCGACATCTGCTTTCTTCGATCCCGCTCCACGTCCTCTACGACGGCCCTCAGATTCTTTGGACGTTTCTTCGCAACGACTGCGATGGAATGAGTCGGTTGGCCACCGCAAGATGTTCAAGTCTGGAAGGTGCAAAAAAGTCAAAAAATGTCCGGTGATGACTCGCCGACGACTGGACCCTTTAAATTCTCGGTACTGGATCCAGGACTTACCCGGTCTTAATGAGTCTGTGTCACTTTCACCCGCCCCCTTGAAACCGCGAACTTGGTCGAATGAGAGCCAACTCCGAGGAGACAAAAACTTCCGCATGGAAATGCTCAAATTCTTAATGTGCGGTCATTAACGGCGCGTCCGAGGTGGGGACACATTTCCTTATTGCGGCGGATTGCGAGGGGAATGTGATGAGGTTGCCGCCACCAACCTGCGCTCCTCTGGCGTTGTTCCCCACGTCCATTCCCACACCTCATTGCAACGGGAAGTGCGCATTGCTCATAGCGTACGGGCTCCACAGAGCACCAGCATAGACAGTAGATACCACCTTCGCAACACGTACGTCTTGCTCTCTGTAAAAGTCGCCCCTGTCTGATCTTTTTCTCACCCTCGGACCCCTTTTTCCCACGCTACCATTAGCCTCACACCCAATGACGGTCCCAAAAATCATTCGGAAGCGCCGGCAAAATGTGGCAACGCAGTTCAACTTGATGGTCGCTGGCCACTGCTTCACCGGCAAGACCGCCTACTTGCAGACCCTGGTTGACTCTCTCGACGTGAAGGGCGTTTACCCTGACAGCGGCTCCCTGGAGACCCTGACTTCCCTTCTCCCTCCGCAAGACATTACAGAACCGACTGCGGCCCCTGCTCGGATAGAATTTGTAGTCGACCCCAGCGCTGAAGAGAGGATCTCATTGCGTGTGATAGACACACCCGGCGTTCCCATCCCTACCAACATCCACCGTAACACCGACAACAGCGAACAACATGTAGAGTCCGCCATGCCCCATGTTTCGTCCCTAGTCGACTTCCTGACCTCTCAATTCGAGCGGAGCTTGTTGGAGGAATCTAAAGTGCGCCGAAACCCGAAATCACCAGACTACCAGATTCACGCCTGCTTGTACTTCCTGGACCCGCAGGTCTGCTTCGCCTGCGGAGGGCTGACCTCCATAGATCGGTACGCTCTCGAACAACTATGTGCTCACGTGAACGTCATCGTCTGCCTCGGCAAAGCCGATCTCCTGACCGTGAGACACCTCCAATCCCTGCGCTCGATGGTTATCGACGACCTGGCGACATACGGCATCCCCGTCTTCGCCTTCCCAGAAGACCCCGACGTCGAGTACGACAAAGCCGCCATCGCGCTGAACGAACAACTGCGCTCCATGCTCCCCTTCGCCATCATCAACTCGGAAGAGGCCGAGCCGGAAGTGCCCCAGAACGATGAAGACCTCATAGCCCCGCTCCCCAAGACGGAGCCCAAACCCCGCGTTTTGGGCAGGAAGTACCCCTGGGGTATCGTGGAAGTGGAGAACCCTGACCATTGCGATTTCACGCAGGTCAAGGAAACCCTGTTCTTGACGCATTTGCATGAGTTGAAGCTGTTGACGAGGGAGCTGTACTATGAGCAATGGCGTACGGACAAGCTCTTGGAGGTGCGCAACTCCGCTCTTGGAAGCACCCTGAGCAAAGATTACGCATCGAGCATCGCCAGCGATTTGGAGGGGGTCACTTTGAAGGAGGGTGGACGTCAAGCGAACGGCGAGACGGAGCGGAAGATGGGCGCTCTTCGACAATGATCTTCCATGAGTCCTCACCAATTCAACGTACTAAACAAAGGAGGCCTATCATTCGGTAGTCTTAGATGGTAAATAGAATCTTCCGGGAGGCCCAAGTTCTCCCACTTCGGCGTAACTTTCGTTTGTTTCCTCGCGACACACAAACTACTTTTGTGTAGCTAGAGAGTGATTTGCAAGGTTCAAATCATGGTTTTGTAACATGCCTCCCCACTTCCCTCCCCCCCACATCTGTAATTAATCGTGTCTCTCTTATTTTTTGTCGAAAAACGTGCTGTAAAATGTATTTACACCGCATATAGAAACGGAAGTTAAATAAAAAACCTAGCCCTTAAGCCTTTACTGTTGGGGGGTGGTGGTTAAGGATTAAGCCGCACATTGCTTGCCCTCCCCACCCTTGAATAGTGACTTGAGAGTGAGGATGGTACTCAAGATCATCACGACGAATCCAAAAAAGATGCTAGCCAGCGGCCCGGCTTTTTTCCATGAGAATGTGGGGCCTGATGCTAGTTTAATATAGCACGCTGCTGGTAATATGTATGCCAGGACTGTCGCGGCAAACCCGCCCTTCATGCGCGGAGGGAGATAAGAGACATAGTTGATGAGACACATGAGGACAATCACTGCAGAGCTACCTCCAAACGACATACCGTAATCTCCAGCACAAACCCCAAATCACACGTCACCAGCGCAATCCCCATCGCCGACAAACTCAACGCCCCCGTAATCAAAGCATGGTCTCTACCCGACACCAAGTTCCCGACATCCCCATGCGGCAGCGCAACGTCGAGCTGCGTCGGGTGCGCGTAGACGTAGTTGTAGATGACTTCGCGGCAGACGAAGCATTCGAGGGGGAAGGTGAGGAACATGTTGGCGCCGAAGCAGAGGCGGGCGAGGTTGATGAGGAGGTGGTCGCGGGGGAAGTTGTTTAGGATGTTTGCTGGGGGGAAATTGAGAGGTTGGTGAGCATGCTTTTGCGGACCAGGTGTGAAACAGTATGGATTTACCCTCCACTTTGCTGGTAAAGACGAGATATCCGCCCACGGCAAGGATGAGACATGCCAGCAGGGAGAACCTGTATTACAAGCTGTTAGTTCTCAAGCAACGATTTGGAATCAAAGATTGCCAGGGAGAAAGCTTACCCAGTCGAAAGCCGCGTCACAACAGCAAAGCGGTCCATCGTCGGCTTCTTCAACGATCCATAGATTAGGAATGTGTTGTGGTGACATACGAAGGCTGTTTGCATGGAGGCCATCATCAGTATGCGTATCCACATAAGCAGCTCAAGCCACTCTGTAGCAGGCACCCACCGAAACTAATCACTCCAATCGCCTGAAAGAACCCGCCTTCCAATACCGTCATCGCCCCTTCCGCCGGCCCTTTCTTCTCCGCCGGCAGCGCCACCCCCGAACCCACAACCGACAGGATGATAAAAACGATAGCGGCAAGCGAGATGGCGCTGGTTTTGGCTAGTGCGGATACATCCCGGTACAGCGATAATGGCAGGGAGATGAATATCGTGCATATCGTGATCATGATGCGGCGGGATGATATGATTGGGTAGATTAGGTTTGTGTTTGGTATGAAGTGGGAGAGCACGAGCGGGAGTGTGTCGCCGACGATTACTGCGTAGGCACACATTGCTGGAATGGGTTGATGAGACTTGCGGACAAGCTGTGATGCGAACGCAATGGCAGAGCTACTAACGCACCTCCATAAGCAAAGATAAACTGGAATATGGATATCGTGATGTATCCCCGTTGCCCAAAGCAATGCCAGATCAGATCCTGGTACGAGCTTTTGCCGGCCATTTTGCCGTCCTTGATCAGAAGATTGACTGTCCAGTCTGTGGGAGAGATGGTAGTTTAGCGAATGACTCTGCTAGCTTGCGCCGTCAATGACTTCCAATCTACACACATGCTGAAAATTATGTACCTACAACAAATGTCAGAGCGAATAGGAGGACCAACCCTGCAACGAAGCCCGCCTCGTAAAACGCGTATGGCAGGCCTAGGGAAGGCATGCATGTGAGCTCAGCGGTCCCTGCATATGCATCCTCCTTGTCGCCTTCAGCCAACCATTCTCCGCCCACCTATGATTCCTAGAAGGAGACATCGGGGTGACATAGGTCTAGTCAGCCTAAACCGCTCGTCTGACAACAACATCTTTACGGGCCATCCACTCACCGGCCCCAATAATGGAATTGGTGAAATTGAAAGTAGCATCCCACACAGTCGAAGCCTTCTGATCCAGTAACTGTCTCGACAAGTGATCCCTACTCCCGCCGTGTGCACCCTCCCCGTCCAAACCGAGCAGCTCATGCTCCTCCTCGTCAAGATTGAAGTCAAAGTCATCCCAACTCTCGGCCTGTCGGGTGCTGCTTATTGGGACGTCTATGGGACTAGCTGCGGTGTCGCTGTGTGGGCTTGGAGTTGAGAAGCGACTCATGGTTATTTGACGGTTCTGATGACTTGATGGGATCTGCCAAGGGCACAGTACGTCGAAAAGTCGACCGAGCGTGTTGGGGTTGAGGCCGTTTTGCGAGATGACCGCAGCGGCGCGCAGATGTGGCCGCTCGGATCACTCTTGAGTCTTGACTCTTAGGCCCCCAATTTACTGGGATCGACAATTAGTAAATCAAGTTGGTCTCGAGATTTGGCTCGAGTTGTGGGCACCTTATCGATAGCTGATCTCCAGCCCTTTTTTAAGGGGACCTACTTCTCAATATGCCAATTTACTCAGCTGCGTACCGGAGACCAGGGTCTTGTCAAGCTAAACTTGGCACATCTCGGGATTGGTGTCCAGAGTCGATCTCAAATGGGAGTAAATTCATGTCTGCGAGATCCACCAGGTCGGTCTCCAGACCGGTCTCCAGATCCAGAGAGTTGGGGGAGTCTGAAAACCTGTCGCCAAGCCTGTCTCCAGTCGTGTCTGCCCTCATGAACGACCTCTGGACTGAACCTGCCTTCATCTGCGCACTCTCTCGGCATTATCGATAACCCAAGAAAAAAAATTGCTCGCTCGATCGCCAAACCAAACGGCAGGAGGAAGATGGGCGGAGCGATGGATGGATGTATTGCACACTACAACATTTTACACAGAACTACATTCTTCTATTCAGCTGCATATCGCAATTCCAATAACGTCGCGCCATGACACAGCTGAGACAGCGTCCAGTTCAAAAGTTTCTCCAGAATCCCCATTTGTGCCGGATTCAAGGAAAAATGCGTTTCGGCCGTCGACATGAGGCTTTCTGAAAGAAGGAATCCCTTCGCCACGGCTTTTGACGCATGTCCATATTCGAGCCGTTCGTCTTTGATCTTGTTTATCATTCCGACGAACTGGAATTGCTTGTCCTTGTCCACGCCGTCAGGCAGACTCAACTCGTTTCCAAGGTCGGACCATGCAATCGCCGCCGTGGTTAAGGCCTTGTTCATGGTCATGCAATCGACGTCGAACCGTTTGCAGAGCAGTCGCTCATTGGCGCTAATGAAATCGTAAACCGCATTCATGCATTCAGCCTTCTCAGCGCGCTCCTTGGCGGTGGCCAGTTGTTCCTTAGCGGTGGCCAGTTGTTCTTAAGCAGTGGTCACTTGTTCCTGTAAGAGCGCAATTTCCTTCTCGCGGGTGGCAGACTGCTCGGCGTGGGTTGCCAGCATGAGGTCGATTTTCTCACTCTGCTGGCAAATCTTCTCGGTCAGTTCAACGTACAGTAGGCTGCCAGATATCAGGTTACGACGCCCCAAGGACCCATCTCAAGTTCCGACCCCCATGCAAATCCTTTCAGCACGACCGCTAGCCCAGGGCAGGACTGACAGCTGGCCGGTGACTTCTGGGGTTGCACAGGGAGGCTCAACCCGTCGTAACCTGATATCTGGCAGCCTACTGTAAGGTTGTTGGGCGAGCTTCAACGTCGCAGACAAGAAAGGTTCGACGTCCCTCAGCAAACCGGCGAGGTCCAAGGGTCGATAGGCGGCGTGCATGTAAGGTGTACGTCCTTCTGTCGACGGGCCAAGGAATAGCTGCCCGCTCATCGTGGTTATGTGGTCAACTATGCGGAGCGCCTTGTCCTTAACGAAAGGATCCGGAAATTCTTCGATGGTGCGCTTCAATTTGGCAATCTCCTGTTGCATGCTTTGCAGCTGCAACAGAGGTGTGTTGACGCCGCTAGTTTCGCAAAGCATGTGCTGCACAGAGGCAATTAGTTGCCGCAGCTGCGGGACCTTGGCCTCCCAGCCCGAACTTCGGGTTAGGATGAGAGACTTCATTTCGTCAAGCTTGACTAGAAGCCGGGTGGCCAATTCGGATGACATGTGGGCTGATCGGGTTGAAGCGGGGGCCAAGACGGGAGGGGCGAATGGGAGGGAGAACCTTTGCGGTGATCGTTTAAATCATCCCAGACAGGGACGTTGCGCCACATCTGGTGCCGGGCGAGCAAAGTACTGTAATTTGTCACTGTGGCAAAATCGGATTGTGGAAGTTGAAGTTCACAGCCTCAAATTTCTACACAAATGTCAGCTCCATCAGCAGCCATCTTCCGTCGCACGCTCTCCACAATGTCGTCTTCTCGTTCAAGGCTGCTACTCAAGCCCGAGTCGACGGCTTTCTTTGTTTGCGACATTCAGGAGCGTTTCCGCGGCCTAATATGGAACTTTCCTCATGTCATCAATACTGCAGCGAAGATGGTAAGCCCCGAAGGGATATGTGGGTGGGGAGGGAAGGGAAGGGAGGGAACTATGCATTTCCTACGCTTCTACGATATGTTGAAGTCTAATACTTGGATGAGGTATGTAGCTGGACGCCGCTGAGCTTTTGAAAGTGCCAGTCATCGTGACGGAACAGCACCCGAAAGGTGAGCCCCCGTTTTCTCAATGCAACGCCTCCACTATCTTCGGCAAAAGACGGACAGGGAGGGTTAGGCACACCATGAGCTTCGCCAGGCTCACAAACGCATCCCCTCTGCCCGTCGTGCAGCACTGGGAAACACGGTCAAGGAGCTAAACATCCAGAACGCGCGGGTTGTCGTTGCAAAGACAAAGTTTTCCATGTTTGTGCCACAAGTAGAGAAGCTTCTGAAGGAGGAGCTGAAGACTGAGAATGCTGTGATCTTCGGTATTGAGGTGAGTGTCCGGCTCATTTGTAGCTATGATTGAAGAATGCGCCATTCAACATACTACCGTCAAATCCCTCAGTCCCATGTATGCGTCATGCAAACCGCTTTGGAGCTTCTGGACCATAACTACAACGTCATCGTGCTAGCGGATGGAGTCTCGTCGCAGAACAAAGGGGAAGTCAGCATCGCTCTCGCAGTAAGTAGTTAGTCAATGATCTCCCCCATGTCGGCGGATTGACAGATGTCTCCACCTTTCCGCACATCAGCGCCTACGCGCGGCAGGAGCAACCGTGGCCACCTCAGAGTCCATCATGTTCCAGCTCCTTGGAGATGCTTCACATGAGAAATTTCGGGACCTCAGCAAACTCGTGAAGAAGCATTCAGGAGAGACGAAAGCGGCCCATGAGGCAATCACAGCCAACCTCTGAATCATTGAGCATCAGGCACATGGAAACTTCTGGATCTTCCATAGCATAGCGGCGATTTTGAGCTCAGGCGTAGGCAGGTGTTGAGACTCTGCCATGCGGGTGTTTGTGTCATTTCGATAAATACACTATGTACAGGTGACGCCCAAAATGGAGTGGGAAGCGAAAGCCGAGTCGTGCGTTGTCAATCATATCGCCGCCGTTTGGCAGTCGGCTTATCGAAGCCCGATTTCATTCCGCCTAACTTGTTGAGTGTCCGTTTGTTTACTTCCGACTTTTGGAACCATGGTGAGTCCTTCTGTTGACGCCAAAATGAGCAGATGTGGATGAGATTCGGTCCGAAGGTTGGCAACAACCCAATGCGAGACGTACCGCAGATGTGTCCTGATCCGTCAAATGCGTCCACTTAGTCTGCCCAGCTCTCCCAAAGTTCTTAACCTGCATCACAGCAGGCAGCACACTCTTATCAAACGTATCATCCAACGTCGGCTGCGCAAAGTCCCTCTCCTGCAGCGCTTTCCCAATCTTATCATCATCCACAAAGAAAGCCCCCTTGTGGAAGTACTTCTGCATGTACCGATGACTCGATTTGTCATGCTGGCCCTGCAGCAGTCCCTCCTTTGCCCGCTCGGACATGATCTCTGCGTCCGACATGTTCCGCCTGCGTTGGATGTCTGCTTTCTCTGCGTCCCGCACTTCGCGTTCCTCCCTATCCCGTTTGATCCGCATCAGTTCGCGTAGCTTCCAGGCTGCGAATTCTTCCTCCTCGTCGAGACCATCGGTATCGTCCACGTCAAGATGGGCGGTCGCGACTTCGGCGGCTGCTTCCTCGCGTCGGAGTTCTTCAGCGACCATGTCGTGCGACTCTTTCTTCTTTTCTTCCGCCTGCTTTTGCCGCAGTACTTCTGCTTCGGCTGCTTCGCGCTCTTGACGCTCCTTTTCGAGGGTCGTTTCTCGCTGGTTCCTGCAAAGTAAAAAGATTAACGTGGTCCTCTCTGAGATAGTATCATCAAGGTCCCCTGATGCTTACTTTGAGACAAACACCGGTTTCAAAAGAGTCCTCGAAGAAACAACGTCGTCTTCTGAATCTGTGGTATATTCGGACGTCGAATCGCTCTCACTCTGCAATGAGCATATACCGTCAATACGCCTGAAAGTCACTCTCCAAGAAGCGCCCAGCATACGCACCTCCTCTTCTTCCGCCTCCTTCTCCTTCGCTGCCAACCGCTCCTCTTCCTCCTGTCGTCGCTTCAACGCCTGCTCTCTTATCCGCCTCCGCCGTGCTGCAACAGCGTCCTCATCCTCTTCCCCGCTTTCCTGCTCCACCTCCTTCTCTACCCGTGGCGCTGGAGTTGCGTCTTCCTCCACGTCCCTCCTCCGGCCGGCTCTCCGACGCCCCTCCTCTCCATCCTCCTCCTCTCCCTTCGAAGCCTCATGCTGCCGTAACCGCATCAACCGGCGATCTGTCTTTGCTGCCTCCTCGGGTATCGCCATAGTGGAAATTTCCTGCGTGTCCGAAATCGCATGCCGACTCGAATGCTGCGCTTCGTCATTGGCTTCCTCCTCTTCTGAGTCGCTGGAGTGGTCCTCGTTTAGACCTTGTGGTGCTTTGCCGGGCCAGTAGCGAACGGGTTTTACTCGGGTTGGCGGTTTTGTGGTGGACGCCATTTTCGGTTGGTTTTGTGGGTCTTTTCGGCGATTTTGTGAAGGTGATCCGGCTGGACGACGGGCGAAGGTTACTGAAAGCGATACAACGCAGGTATGGCGTCCTCGAACACCGTGACCGATTGGTTGCAGTTGGACTGTGGAATTTGTGGATAACAGAAGGTCACCATTGGCAAAGCTGGAAAGTTGGAAAGTCCAACGCACTTGGTTAGGGTTACGCTGTCCTTACATTACGCGTCTGCGCTCCTTGCCACTCAAGCTTCAAAAGTTCAGGTCTCGCTTCAATCCCCACCAGAGATCCCCGTTCGCATCGCAACTGCACCGTTACTAGCAACCAACCGTTGTCTCGCATATCTTTACTCGCTGCATACTCAATCACAACTATGGACGTAAGTGCGGTCTCTCTTTCTGCAATTTTGGTACGATTTCGAACATGCGGCCGTCTGAACTGCTCCCTTTTCCATAGCGCTTGACACGTCTTTTCGGTGGGGGCGCTCAGGCCCAGCAACCAGGAGTGGACACGCCAACTGTAGACACGGCCGAGATGGTTCATATATCGTCTCTAGCGCTTTTGAAAGTACGTCGGATTTTCGCCTTCGATTAGCATGGAAGCCCCATCAAGCTGACAATCTCGTCCCAAAGATGTTGAAGCATGGACGGGCGGGAGTTCCCATGGAAGTCATGGGTCTTATGCTGGGAGAATTTGTTGACGACTACACAGTGCGAGTCATCGACGTGTTTGCTATGCCGCAAAGTGGAACTGGTGTTTCCGTCGAGGCCGTGGACCCTGTGTTCCAAACGAAGATGGTGGATATGTTGAAGCAAACTGGAAGGTACGCAGCAGAAGGGCGGCGAAGGGATCCCTTGCATTGCAAGACATCTATGCATTGGATGCGGACTCCTGATTCCTTTTTATTGCAGACCAGAGATGGTTGTCGGATGGTATCACTCCCACCCTGGGTTTGGATGTTGGCTTTCAAGTGTCGATATCAACACACAACAGGTAGGCTTTCGGAGACGGTTTTCCCAGGAGATACAGGAATTGTCGCTCACGCTTTGTTATGCAGTCATTCGAAGCGCTCAACCAACGTGCCGTAGCCGTAGTCGTCGACCCCATCCAATCCGTGAAAGGAAAGGTCGTCATCGACGCCTTCCGCTCCATCAACCCTCAATCCGCCATGCTCGGCCAAGAACCCCGCCAAACGACATCCAACATTGGACACCTGAACAAACCTAGCATCCAAGCTCTTATTCACGGCTTGAACCGCCACTATTACTCGATTGCCATAAATTACAGGAAGAACGAGCTTGAGCAGCAGATGCTGATGAACTTGCACAAGAAGACTTGGACCAATGGGTTGTTGTTGACTGATTTTGATACACATGCGAAGAACAATGAGGAGGCTGTTAAGGTACTTTCCATCTAGCTTGTTTTGTCGCCCTCTGCCAATCCACTAATACATCTACTCTATTCTCCCAGACTATGCTCCAGCTCTCCGACGCGTACAACAAGTCTGTCCAGGAAGAGTCGACGATGACAGCAAGCCAGCTCAAGACACGGCACGTCGGGAAACAAGACCCAAAGAGGCACTTGGAAGACAACGTCGAGCGGGCCATGACTGCAAACATCGTTCAGTGTTTGGCAACCATGTTGGATGCCGTTTCCTTTTAGACGTGTATCTTTTGCGGGGTGGAATAGATCGCGTAGCAGATGTGAAGATGTTGTGTGTACCATTGCAGTTTGGCGTCGTTGTGTCTCGGGAGTCAACTTTAGAGTGGTACTGTACAGTATGTATGTGTGGTCGTTGTTGGCGCGTGCGTAGGGAAGGCGCAGGGGAAGGCGCGTCAGACCTGAATTTGGGACATCCGCTTTGAAGACGAGATTTGTTCGCACGATTCACACGCACACAACTACACATGACAGGTAATACCAACGCCCTTTCCGGTACGGCAACCCTACGACGTGGCGGCGGACAGAGAGGAGTGGGGTAGTGGGGATGACTGCCGAATCATTTGAATCCTGACAAGTCGTGGTGCGGCGCGAGTTGTACCGTCTCGGGTAATTTCCTTCCGTCCCTTCTACCGACATGACAGAAGAAGCGCCTACGGAAACTACCAGCGACTACAGACGGAAATGCAAGCTATGCGGGAGGGCTCCGCCGCTTTTCAGCGTTGGAAGTGCTACAGTTGACGATACAGAGAGGTGGCACAGAACCGGGAAGCAAAACGGAAAGCGAGGGAAGAGGAGAAGCGCTTGGCGGATGAGCAGCGGCCACCACAGGCACTCAGAGCGGTCGAGGAGCGGCGGATAGCAGCAGAGCGGGTTTTAGCAGAGATGCGCAGAGCAAAAGAAAGAACAGCGACTGGCAGAGGCATTCAGAGCGGTCCATGGCTGGCGGATAGCGGAAGAGGAGCGGTTGGCAGCGATGCGCAGAGCAGACGAAGAGCAGCGAATAATGGAAGAGCAGCGGCTAGCAGATATACGGAGAGACGAAGACCTCACAGCCCAGGCGCGACTGGACGAGATACGGCGAGAGCAGGAACTATGAGAGGAACAAGTGGGGTTAAAAGAGGAACGGCTGGCCGAAATCCGGCAGGTTCAGGAAGCAGCCGCGCTTAGACTGCGCGTGGAAGAGGAACGGCTAGCATAAATCCGGCAGGCTCAGGAAGAAGCAGCGCTTCCACTGCGCGAGGAAGAAGAACGGTGTGAGACCACACGCCTAGCTAAGGCAGCAGAAGGGACATCAATAGGAGATACGCCGGTTAGACGAGGAGGGAGCAGCCGCCAAGCTTCGGTTGGAACCATGAGCAGATGATGGACATCCAGTCGTTGATTCGGGAGCTGCAAATGGAGGTGCGGAACATGAGTGAGGAATTGGCCCAAAGGAACGCAACAATACAGCAAGTCAATGCTCAACTCGAACAAAGCGATGCTCAACTCGAGGGACTCAGTTCTCGACTCAAGCAACGAGGTGCTCAACTCGAGGAGCTCAATCCTCTAGTCGAGGAAAACGCCCGCACCAAGGCAACATTAGAGCAACGCAATGCTCAACACAGACGGGAACAGGCGGACTTTGTGCAATTACTGCTAGATCTTTAAATGAAGAGGGAACGGTCGGCTCTGGGCTCATCAAGACACGAGCGAGCGGCGCAACGAGTCCAAGAAAGTCCGGGCACGTGAAATGTGCGTCGTCAAATCGTCATATTCACAACCCAACCTATGTACACAGTAATCACACAACCGGGAGGGAAGCCCAGCCAGCCTCACCTCGCTGTGCTATGTACTATTACGCCTTCTACGATTTCAGACAGATAGCTGATGGGCCGAGCTCGTTGTAATCGGTCTATAGAGGTTGCAGATCAGTAATGTGCGGGTTTCCATGGCTGGAGATGTGACAACGATGAGCGCATACCTTCGTCACATAGGCAAAGGAGGAGGACGTGAAAACAATCTGCAAGGAAAACGTTGTCAGTCAGCTGCAAGATCGGGTGATATACCAATGTAAAACCCACTCACCCTTGCAACAACACTAGCCCCCAAAAATCCCACATCCTGCTGCTTCTCCTTATAGCTCGGAAAGTACTCCGGCAAACCGGCCCACTTGATCTCCTTGGCCTGAAATTCATTCGACGTTTCCGACGCCGATATCAGCTTCCCCAGCTCCTTGTCCAGTCTGCCGCGCATGCCCTTGATTTGGCACGACCCGCCGGTGAGCACGATGGCTTCCCATAGGCTTGTGCGTTTCTCGGGTTCGCAGGCTTCGGTGACGGCTAGGTAGCACGCTTCGGGGATGTTGAGGGTGGATTTGGAGGCGAGGGAGGGGTCGAAGAGGACTTCGGCGGCGAGGAATCGGGCGGTGCCTATTGTGACCTGCAGATATCGTGGCGACTTGTTAGGGGGACGACCAGGCAGATAACGGAAGGTTCACGTGCGGTTCGCGGGCATTACCTCCTTTCCATTGATGGTGACCTTCGCCCTCTCAATTTTGTCCTTCGGCTCTACCCGGTAAGGTAATAGCGATAGCTAGCGGCGCAGGGCGTCAGTGCCTCGCACAGTCCCCCTGTATCTCTTTATGCTCTTGCACGCACCTCACAACAAGACTCCTTCACAGTCCTTGCAACCTCTTCCGTGAGCGGGACGACGCCAAGCTCTTGCATAAACTGTGTGTCTGCCTTCAAAAGCTCCAGAAGCTGCCGATCGATATCACGTCCGCCTAATGGTATCGTCTTGTGCGCATACCGCACGATGCTGTTATCAATCACTGGGGTGATATCTGTGCAAAGAAGTAAGTCGCTCTGAAGATCGCAAGCCCACGGAGCTCCGCATCCCGTCTTCGCCCATACCAGTCGTCTCATGCCCGATGTCAATGATGAGCCCGGTGCTCATGTTATGTCCATACAGCGCTGCAAGCGGTTGCTCGATGATTGTGAACGCCAGCATGTTCAATTCCTCAAAGATAAACTGCGTAACCCGCTTGTGGTCCTCTTTGCTCCATGAGACGGGAACGGTCATCATCAGCGACCAGTCGTTGCGGGATCGGTTGATCCGCGTTGGGAGGGATTTGAGAAGGATGTGCTGCCTATCGTGTTTGACAGTCAACCAACACCCGAGTAACTTTTGCAAGCACCTCTTACATCGAGGCAGAGTCCACATACCATAGCCCCAAGAGTGCCGGCCAGTCTACTGGCAACCCATTCTCGATAGGGTGAACCAGTCCGCTCTCATTCGCGTCCCCGCCTTCGACGCCCTCGCCCGTCGAGTCAAACTCCAACACTTTCGACCCAGCCACATAGACAAACTCGCTCTCCTCGCCGATTACGGTTGGCTCGGCCGGCTCAGCCGGGGTTGTTACGCCTGTGTTGTCCGCGGTGTCGACGTCCATGACCTCCGACTCGCTTTGCGATGGTTCCACCGTTCCCGCGGCGGCCGTGTCCACGGCTTCGATCTCTGTATCTTTCTGCGGGGACTGAGACTGCTGTTGCTGCTGTTTTCGTGGTCTAAGGCCTACTATTGAAGGTGTTGACTAGTGCGACAAAGAGGTTGTATGTGAGGCAGGGAAAATGGGAATGGTTTTGTGAAACAGGTGGGCCCTTACCACAATTGTATAGGCCATATGGTCCGCAGCGCCTGCTTTGGTACGATATGACCCTGTTTCCAGGACGAGCAGCCGACTTTCTCTTGGGTTTACTTGGGTGATCATGGTGGGCGGTTCGACTATGCTGGTCTGTGGGAATAGATGGGACCACCAGGACGACAATTCCTATAGAATTGCCAACTGGACGAAAACCGAACGAAAACCAACGCGTCCGCCCACAGAAAGGCGTCTTCCCTAACGGACATCTTCGACATCCCATGGACCAGTCGACACTGGAGAGAGCGACGTATTACCGTGAACGCTTCCGTATAGACCTCAAAAGGGGGCAGCAACAATGTCCAAGTACAGCACCCTCCCCGGTCTGGATACCCAGCCCGACGTCTACGAAACACCGGACCCTACGGACGCGCCAGACTTCACGGCCGCGGCTCCACGATTCCCATACAGCCTGTACGGCAACGAGGTAGACGAGGACGATGAGGAGACCGTAGGGAGCGACACACGCGACGAGGGGATAGTTCGTCCTCACTTCTCTTCTGTCGCGGCGGCAAGCGAGAGGTTTGGTGGGGCTGCAGCCGGTGGGGAAGGGCCGGATTTCTCGGGGAAGCTGAGGCCGACTCGGAGACCGCACATGCGTAGGGGAGGACAACGAGCGGCACAGGATAGTGAGGGTCCGGTGGAGTACTCATTGGGACCGTTCACAGGGAGCGATGCAAAGGGGAGAAATGAGACTAAGGTGGAGCGGTTGCGACGGCTCATGTTCGAGGTTGAAGATCTAGGAAGGGAACTGCAAAACGATACCACCAAGGACCGGCCGGAGACGGACAAAGATAACGGGGTAGATAGTAGCGAGGCAGGGGTCGGGGGGACCGCCACCAAACCGCGCTCGGCCAAACGTAAGGGGCCATCCCACGCGCAGCTGCTCGAGGTGGTGTCTACTCTGCAGAGTGATCTGTCAGGAATAGGGAAGCTCATGGCGGCCAGCGATTACGCTTTGGACGGGGACGTCGATGTATCAGATGCGCATTCTGCCCGACCTACCCCAGCGAAACGACTAGAGCAAGGGCAAAACCTGCTCAATCAGATTCGAGCCCTGAAGAATGTCACCTTATCCGAAGAGATGTCCAACGCAACGAAATCATCTCCTGTTCCTCTATCAAACGCGGTCGCATCCGCAGCTTCCGCCGCAACCGCTCTTACGACGACCTCTGAGCCGTACCTCACTTATGAGCTCTTCTATACACCAGAAACTGCAAAATTGAACGAGCTTGCTAAAGTCACCGAGCTTGAATCCAGACTGGCCTCCCTAGAACGTCTCATCGGGACCCACTTCCTCGATGGACTCGAAGGTGACAACGCAGCGGTCACTTCTCTCCTGCACCAGACAGGAAGCTTGATCGGCGCTCTCCATCGTCTGGACAACCATCTCGCTGTCCTTACTCAGCCACGGCAGTTGGATCTTGTAGCCAATCGCGTCAAAGTCATCACGGCCGACATGGAGAAACTGGCAGATTTGAAGAAGAAACAACAGCTGGAGGCATCTGTCTTGCAATCCATGTTCAGTCACAACGCCCATACGTCCTTGACCGGTTCGTCCTCATATCTTCCCACGACCTCGGGTGCAGCCGCGCACACATCCAGCGCCGACGACGACCTCCACATGTCCAAAACCCAAACCGAAACCGAAAGACGCATCAACCATCTTTTCAACCTCCTCAACAAGCTCGATCCAGTCGCTGGTCTGCTCCCTCATCTCGTTGCTCGTTTGCGAGGGTTGAAAGCCCTGCACAACGAGGCCGCGGTGTTCTCGGATAGCTTGAAGATGCTACAGGGCGAGCAGGCGCGGGTGGCGGAAGGGTATAAGAACATGGACGAAGCGATTGAGAGGCTGCAAGAGAGCTTGAGCGCGAATGAAACGGCGGTAGAGAAGAATGTGGAGGCGTTGCAGGGGAGATTAGAGGGATTGGCAGAGAGAGTTGATAGATTGGTTGCCAAGGCGAAGTGAGGCTGTTTTCGAGATGTATATAAGAATTCGAAAGATACCGAGGACGCCAACGGTTACTACTCCTACTTCACAGTATATCTAGTATGCTATTCGATGCGCGTATATGAGTGCTCCAAAGAGAAATATCAGAATTCAAGATCTGTGGGATGCACTCGTGTGACCGTGCGCAAGGCTCCATTGTCGTCAGCAGTCACGAGCCTTGACTTATTACATCCGTACCACCCACAAACGAACTGCTGACTTTCATATCCTTGAAATTCCCCTGATTCTTGCCTTTGTCCGAGCTGTAAGCTCCGACGTGCTGAAAAAGATGGGGTTGGAGTTCCAGTCGTTGCTTTCCTCTTTCCTCGGCAAACTGATCCACCAGCAGGTCAACCGGAGTGGCGCGACCTTTATATGTCGGCGCGACGTACTGCTTATGCCTATCTCGAAGGTAGGAAATGAGGGAAGTTGTCGTTCTCATAGCACAGTCGGGGAGACCCGAAGATGTGCCTGTGGGGTACAGGTGTGCAACTGATGATGCACGGGCATCCGTGACCCGCAACCCAGAGGCACGGCCACGGCCAGGTAACGCAGCGATGTTTTGGCGGCCGGATGCGTGTAGTATCAGGATCGTAAGCGTCATGACATATATGAAGACAAGGATAGCAAGTGTGGTCCGTGGGCGCCCTTTCTTTGTCTGCGTGGTTACAGGGAGATATCGACGTGCGTTGCGATTCTTAGATTGCAAGATGAAGAAGACGATCCCTGCAACCACGATACCAGCGGCAGCTCCCAATAACGCAAGGGTTGCGATGTCTGTGGGCGAGTTTTCCCAACCCGCCCAAAATTCGGTGTAAAACAGCTTGATGAAAGCCCAATCGCACTTGGAGTACTCTTGCGGATTCTCCTTCGATGTGTGCAATGGGGTGCTGTCCAAACTCAGCACTTTGGTGCTTTCCAGCAACTTTCGCACGGGACTTGTGCCGACAATGCCGTCATCCTCCACCAGGACGGTAATGCCACACTTCAATGCAACGGCATGATCTAATGCATCCGCAAAGTCATTTATTTGATTGACGAGCCATTCCTCGTGCGATGCTGCGTCCGCACCGCCAGTTGATTTGCGTCGTTTCGCCTCCGGTTCAACCACATCGATCACCTCTGGTATGATCCCCAGGTGCTCTCTCGATCCCGCCAGATTGTGCACCCAGATTCTCACCGGCGGCGGCCGCAAGAGCGGAGGCGATGGGACAGACCCATCCAAATGCTTTCCAGTTTCCCTCTGAGAGCGTTTGTTCCTAATTTCCCAGTCGAGTTCAGGCATAAGCTCCCGCACCACCCGGCCGACCAGGAACGCCGCTGATTGCCTGACATATTTCTGAGGCCGATCGGCGGCAGATATAATCGCAAAACATAGCTTCGGATCCGCTTCGTTCGAGGAAGGTCCGAAAAGAAGGCGTCTATTCGTTGCGGTAGTGTTACTGCCTGCTACGGGGACCGGAGACAGAATTTCGTGTAGAGTGGACAGGTAAGACTCGGACTCTCGCAGTCTAGCTGCCTCGGCCTCTGCAACAGCGGTTGCATTGATGTGGTGGAAGTACGAGTATCTGGAAACTGGGTTTAGTGACCTCACCACAACGGCGAAACCGTTTCCGGAAATTGACATTACCTGAGGTCTTTTTGCAGGACATTAAGGGTGGAGAAAAGCACGATGGGGAAGATGCAGGCGCAGAGGACGCATAAAGCGACCTGTGACCGCATTACAAGCAGTCGTCGGGCCCTGGGAACGTGGGCGTCCTCGTCGTCGAACCCCGACTCAAGAGTCATGACTGTCAAATACAGTATTGTGAACTTCCCTTACCAACGGAGGCCACTGAAGCCACGCGTTACTTTCTATCAGAAACGTTCATCTGCAACCAATCGGCAACTCAACATTGCTGCAATGGTAAGGATGTTCTCCGCCGCACGCTGCTTCTACGCAAGGCCCCTGCGCTCGGCCGCAGCGGCTTCTCAGAGGAGGTCATTTTGTGCCTCCTCCCGCTCGCTCAGTAGGTGTCCCTTTAATCTCCATAGGGTGACCGTCCGTCCTCCGATGCCATCTTACCCGACTCGCCAACAGGCTCATACGAGCATATCAAGACCGAGACCAGAGGCCGGGTCGCAATCGTCACTCTTAACCGTCCCAAGGCCCTCAATGCTCTCTGCACCCCCCTGATGGTCGAACTCAACGCTGCTCTGAAGGGATTCGACCAGGACGCGAACATCGGCGCCATGGTTATCACTGGGAGCGAAAAGAGTTTTGCTGGTAAGACGTTTTCAGCGCTTAGTCACCATCCATGCGATGGACATCTGACATGAATCTCGAATATTCTTCCTAGCTGGTGCCGACATCAAGGAAATGACCACCTTAAATTTTGTGGATAACTTCAAGAATAACTTCATTGAGGACTGGATCGGTGTGACCAAGATTCGGAAACCGATTATTGCAGCTGTCAACGGATTTGCTGTAGGTCTTCTGGTTTAGGATGTAGGAGAACGGAGGGGTGTCGGAGGGGTGAGGTGGCTCGCGCGCAACAGTGTGCCCCAGATGCATGCGCGCTTGAACATAGAGCTGATGCGGAGGTTATTTTACGTAGCTGGGCGGAGGATGTGAGCTCGCCATGATGGTAAGCGTTTTCTATTTCGTGCAATACTGGCACGTCCCCGTGACACATCTCTTTGCCCCTCACGTAGTGCGACATCATCTATGCTGGCGACAAAGCGAAGTTTGGACAACCAGAAATCAAGCTTGGTGTGATCCCCGGCGCCGGAGGCACGCAGCGCTTTACCCAAGCGGTCGGCAAAGCCAAAGCCATGCACATGTGTCTCACTGGCGACATGATGTCCGCCGCTGAAGCCGAGTCCGCCGGCCTCGTCGCCAAAGTATATCCTGCTGAGCAGCTTTTGGAATCCGCAATCAAGAATGCTGAGACGATTGCCGGATACTCGTTGCCGAGCGTGTTGGCCGCTGTAGAGTGTATCGACTCTGGTCTGTGCCTAGTGTGCTTCTATGGGGTTATGGATGTGCGGAGACTAACAACTGTCAACGCAGCTTTCGAGGTTCCTTTGGCGCAAGGACTCCTGTTTGAGCGACGCATGTTCCACGCCTTGTTTGCCACGGTGCGTCCCCTCTCTGTTCTCTTCCGCCCGGTAGTTCATTTTCTCATGCCAACCTGTTTACAGAAAGACCAAAAGGAAGGAATGGCAGCGTTCGCGGGCAAACGCAAGGCTAACTTCACACATGAATAACCGAGACGAACTGAATATAGATAGCACTAGCTTGAGGAGACGACCTTGGCGTAGCATCCATTGCAATATCAACAGCGGTGTATGTAGATCCCGTAGAGTTGTCAATATGAAAGCCTTCAACTGACGCGTGAGGCGTAGCTTCCGCAAGTCTGCCGCCTGATTTACATCAAAGCACAGCAGTAGTGTCGGAGTCCAGCATGTGCACAAATCCACAATGTCCTCCCGAGCACTGCATCCTCCACCCCATCCACAGCCCAATGTCCCTCCCCACCATCGGTCATCACATGCCCACGTCCATCTTCAACGAGACGCCTTAACAGCATCCTTAGCCGTCTCAGTAGCAAGTTTGGTATCCTCCGCGACTTTGTGGGCCGTTGTCGTCAGAGGCTTGTTCTTCATATCTTGGCGGTATCTAATGCGCACAACAAACAAAAGATCGGCCGTGAATGTGGGAATATCAGGGGGACCACCTCAAACAAGCGAAAGAAACAGACGAATGCCTTCCTCTCCTGGCCACTGGACATACCTCCATATTCTGCTCAACTGATAAATCCCTGTCGCCCCCACAAACATATTCACACCAAACAACGACCAGTTCTTCGGCGTGATCACCAACGAGTAGCGGGACCAGATAACGCCGGTTGCTGCGAGGGCGACTGTTTGCGTTACAGAGAGCTTCTCGACAGGGCGTTGAAGGTCGCTGAGGCCAGCTATTACTAGGCCCTGCGGGGGTGAGATAATAGGAATATACAGTGAGATATGGGTTGGGGACATGGGCGGGACAGAACGACGAGAGTACGGTAAGGAGGAACTTACCCATTTCATAGCTGGCGCCCAGAAGTGGATCGTTTTGGGACCTGTGGAAATTGCATTTGCAGTAAGTTCAATCAGCGAACCGCGATCGGCCAAAACAGTCAGAGCGGAGTACAATACCAGCAGGGTGGTTCCAAAACCGCGTGAAGGCGGAGCCTGCTTGTGTTGATGCTGCTGCCATTTGAATTTCGTTTGTTTCCGGTCGGCGGTGGGAAATGTGTTGTTAAGATGCAGGATGCTTTGAGTGAAAGTGGTTTTGGCGGTTGAGCGCCTGAAATGCGAGTCGAGAGATACAGTACGGAGATCACCAAGCCATCTCGCGCATGCCACTTCACATACAACACATAAATGTACGTAAACAGTGTCGCTGAGCCTTTGCCACAGACACACCCCGGCCATGACGAGTGCGAACTTCCGCAAAGCCTACTACTCCTCGCTGGGCGTCCAAGTTGTCGAAGTGAAGCCGTCCCTCGAAACCGCTCTCCAAGGCGACATCCTTAGTAAGTTTTGTCCTATCGTGGGTCCTCCAGGTTAAGAGTCGCTCTATAGCGCAGTACTAAGACACTCTTCCCTGTCGCAGACATTGAGCGCCTAAACAAATTGTGCCTGTGGGTGCGCATCCCGCACTCGTACCGGGCACTGGTATGGAAGGTGCTCCTAGGGACGGTATCCTTGACCAAGGAGGTGTGGGGTTTTGCAGACGCTCAGCGGGCTGAGCAGTATGGCGATCTGAGGAGGTGTGTGCAGTGTATGGATGGAGGCAGCAGGTGGGTGGGGCCAACGCAAATCGCAAAGCGAGTCATATTATTGATGTCATGGCTCCGCTTTGCTTTTCCAGAGCCGATGAGGAACTCACACCCTCGACAATGGTTCGCATGCTACTGATCCAGCTTGACACGGACGATCAAGTGCCGCATCATCTATCCGGATCACTGGACCGCTCCAAATCATCACATCTGCTTGCACTCGCCAACACAATCCTGGAGATCTGCGAAGAGAACGAGGAAGAGGCGTACTGGCTATTTGAGTACTTTGTGCGGAAGTACCGTGTTCCGCTTGTCGTGCATGACAGAACATCAGCGGATAGCGGGGTTCGGGAAAAGCCAGACGGCCACGACATCTCCACCTCTCCAGACTCCGACGCTGACCCACCCCCATCCCCCATCGCAAAACTCGAAGAAGACCGCATCAGCATGGAAATCGGCGCCCTCTCCACCCTCCTCAAAACCCACAACGAAGAGCTTCTCACCCACATCCTCTCCCTCGGCCGCCCGCTCTCAACTTACTGCTATGCCTGGTTCCGCACCTACTTTGCCAGCGTGGTGCCTCCGCACTGCCTCGAGGGCGTCTGGGACATCCTCATTGGCGGCGCACCGGGCATATTGCCATATCTGGGCCTGAGTGTGTTTCTGGCGAGTAAGCGCAAGATCCTTGCTGTGCGCACGTCGGCGCAGCTGGTGGAGTTGCTGAGTCAGGTGGAGAACATTGTCGATATGGACGCGGTGGCGAATACGGCGATCGATATGTGGGAGCGGCCGGTACTGGAGGGCATGTCGAAGGAGCTCAGGAAGGCTTTGGGATACAATTTCTGAGAGTAGTACCCATGATAGCCCTATTTTTGGAATGGCTGTCGAGCCGCGAAAGCAATCAACCCAACGGCGTTTTTTTGGGCGGTGGATCGGCCCCTACAGCGTTAGAGATACCCATAGTTACGCAGCTTCCACACAATCTAGATGTTCGAATAAAGGCCAAGATCGGGTCGAATTTGATTTACAGACAATCCAACTGAACTCCGCTCGAACATCGTTCGTCGGCAGCCATCGTCAACCAGGATGCGTTGCACGCTTTGTCATTTTACAAGTTGCCATCATCGGCGACGCCTCAGGCAGAGGTACAATGATGTGGATGGCAGATAACCACCACGGAAAATGGAATGGGGTGAAAATTCTAGACTACCGGTTACGGGAGAATGCGTCTGGTCTGCGGCCATCGCCAAACACCACCGAACGCACAATCGAGACGAAATTCTTGGTGCTTAGGACGTCCCGATTGTGCACTTTCATCCGTAGTCGTAGTGGTCGTCTTCCAGGAATCTCAAATGGCGTCCAGTCCTGGTTGATACATTCGGGGTTGGGGCAACCCACCAATCCATGGACGAATTCCATTCTTCCCTTTCGAGCTTGCCACGGCCGAGGTGACAGCCGGCGTCGGATGTTTTTCCTCACACGCCCGTGGCAGTGTGGGCACACGGACGACGTTCGATACTCATCCAGCAAGTAGCATGGAATGCCGTTTCTCGCAAAGAGTGTGCGGAATCTGTTCCATGATGAGTTAGCATAATGATACATAAAAAACAATGATGGTCACTCACCCTTTGGTCTTTGATGACTCCTGAAAGCGCATGGTTTTTCCAGCGTCGCTCCAATCACCCAAGATGACCGAAAAATGCTTTCCATACAGGCGTCGCATGTTTTTGATGAGCTTGCTCTCAGATTTTTGCCGCAGTGAGAACGCCTTGAATCTGCGAGCTACGTGAATCTCATCCTGGTAAAACTCATCCAGGGCGGGATCTGGGATATGGATGTCAGCCCATGTATTACCAAATTTGAAAATCAAAGAAGTGGAACATCATACCCGCATGTTTGTAATGCACAATGAACGCTCAGAACGCCTCGATGTTCATGCTCTTGTGCGATGGAATATGTGATTCCATCTCTGCGATGCCGGCATTGATCTTTCGCTCCGTCATGTCTCTCCGAAAGTACCGAGACTTTGTCTCGACCGCCCGTTGATTGGATGTGTATCTGATACGGGGTGGTGCATTGTGAGATTACTACTGCCCTGCTGTCCCCGCTGTCGCCCCTGTCCCCGCTGTCGCCGCTGTCCCCGCCGCGCCCGCTGTCGCCGCTGTCCCCGCTATCCCCGCTGTCCCCGCTGTCGCCGCTGTCGCCGCTATCCCCGCTATCCCCGCTATCCCTGCTGTCCCCGCCGCGCCCGCTGTCCCCGCTGTCGCCGCCCCCGCCATCCCCTTCGTTCCACATTCCGCAATCAGCTGAAACGTACCTAAATGGCCGCTCCTTCTTGATGTCTCGACAGAACAAGAGGTCACGCTTGCCCGGATCAATGCTGACGATGTTTGGAGCCTCCCGTAGTTCGGCGATGTGGTGCTCAAAATACAGCTGCTTGACTTCTTCCCGCATCTGGGCCTTGCTGCGCTTCCGGGCCCGATGCCCATACTTGAGCCCTGGCTTCTTGAAGTGGATGGTGGCGGAATACCCGTTTGTGCTGATTGATCCATCAAATTTAAGATCAAGCTTCTTTCGATGCTTGAAGACCTTGTCCTGCAATGCGTCATTCAGCGAGGTGATTGAAATAGGCGCAGAAGGATAGAGACTTACATTCACGTTGAGAAACTGCCCCCACAGCTCCTGCTTGCGTTGATCGGTGAATTTCCCCATGCAGCGTCCTCATCAGGGGCATTTCCAACGATGTGTGTGAGGAGAAACGCTCATTTTATGGTTTGTGATCGAACAGCAGAATCCTCTCATTGAAAGCGTTTCCTTTCTAGAGCAAACATGCGGCCACAGTCTAATGATAAGAAGATGACACAGAGCAGATTCCTGGTCTAGATGCAATGTCCTATCTACGAATGTGATCTGTCGTTATATGTGCGAAAAGGATCTTAACAATGTGTAGTTGGACCGTGCCTTTCTATGATGATGTGCGAGGTAAAGATGCAATATGAAACTAAGCTCGTACTAGTGTCAACACGAACTTCGAGTTGGAGACCTATTGAACGAAGGAGAGAGAATTAAGTAGATGACCAAGCCAAAGGCAAACATGTCATGGGAGCTTACCTCTTGCTCGATCTCGAGGACAACATCGGCACCGCTTTTCTTTGCGTCGATGTTCTCAACGCCCTGCTTCAAGCTCTTGAGCAGGAAGTCCTTCTGATCTTGCAGGACTGTTTGCAGCTCGTTGTTGGGATCCGAAACGATCTTGATGTAGTAGAGGATGTCATCGGTGGGCTGCAGCTTGGCCTATAGACATGAAAGATGAAAGGTATAAATCACAGTGCCAGGAAACCTCATGCCAAAGTGGATCATTCACGCAGCTTACCTCCTTGCGTGACCGTTGCACACGGTTGATAACCTCCCGGGCCAAACCCTCGTTGATGAGGCTCTGGTCCAATGCCGTGTCCAAGATGACCAGAACATCACCGCTCCCATGGGCGTGGTAGGTGCTACCCTTCTGTCCCTCGTCATCGAAGTACCTGGTGACTTGCAAGTCACCTTCCCCAAGCTCAATGCCGTTGACCACAAGCTTGTTCGTGGAGACGTATTTCTTGATGTCGTCCTGAGAAACAGTGGCAAGCCCAGTCTTCACCTTCGGCAGATCCTTTTTCAGCTTGCCGCCCAATGTCTTCCAGTCGGGGATAAGCTTGTACTTGATGCCGTACTTTGCTTCTTCGGATGTTACCGTCACGGTGCGGATGTTCAGTTCATCGACAATGTAATCCTCGAGAGCCTTGACATCGGAGTGGAACTGCGCGTCCGGATGGATGATGACAAGCTCGCGCAAAGGCGTCTTCAGAGGCAGGGTCTTCTGGTCGCGGATGTATCGCCCGGATTCGATGACGGTCTGCATCCGGCCCACGGCGCGCTCGATGTCGGCGTTGAAGTATGCGGATTTTGGTTCAGGGAAGGGCAGGAAGTGGATACTACGCGTGTCCTCCTTTGTAGCCGGCATGCACGTCTTCAGGTTTTGGTACATCGTTTCCACAATGAACGGTGTGAAGGGAGCCATCAACTTCGAGAGAGTGAACAGCACCTCGAAGAGCACGTTCAGGGCGGTGACAGCCTCCGCCGGCCCGTTGTCACCCTTCAGACGCTTGCGGTTGAAGCGGACATACCAGTTCGTCAAGGAATCAATCAGGTTCAGAAGGCGAGGAGTGACCGTGTACAATCGGTAAGCGGCCATCTCCGCCCTGACGAAGTCGATAAGCGTCTGCGTCGAGGCGAGGATCCACTTGTCCATGACATTGCGATCGCCTGACAAGTCCATCTCAGGGTTGTACTGGAAATCGACGTTGTGCTCTTTCTTCAACAAGGCGAGCTGGGCAAAGAAGAACCGGTAGGCGTTGTACCACGGCAACAGCACCTTTGCAACCAGCTCCTTCACTCCTTCCTCCCTGAACCTCAGGGATTCGGCCCGCACGGCAGGGGAGCCGATGAGGTACAGACGGAGAACATCGGCTCCGTACGTGTGCATGACGTCGTTCGGGTCAGGGTAGTTCTTCAGACGCTTCGACATCTTCTTTCCATCGCTGGCAAGAATCAAACCGTTGACAACGACGTTCTTAAACGGTGGCGTGTCGAAAAGATGTGTGGAGAGGACCATCAGCGTGTAGAACCAACCACGTGTTTGGTCGATACCCTCCGCAATGAAATCCGCTGGGAAGGTGCCGTTGAACTTTTGTTCATTTTCGAAGGGGTAGTGCTGCTGTGCGTAGGGCATGCTTCCACTTTCGAACCAACAGTCGAAAACTTCGGGAATTCTGCGCAGGTCTCCTTTGCCCTTCTTCGATGGGATAGTGATGTGGTCAATCTTATCCCGGTGGAGATCAGTGATGCCTTGGACACCCGACAAAGCCGTGAGCTCCTCAACGGAACCAATAGCGACGACTTCCTCGTAATCTTCGCTGACCCAGAGAGGGATGGGTGTTCCCCAGTAACGGTTGCGGGAGATGTTCCAATCGCGGGCGTTCTCGAGCCAGTTGTGGAATTTCTTTTCTTTGATGGTCTCAGGAACCCAGTAGGTCTTTTTATTGTTCGCCAGAAGCTTGTCGTTGATGTTCGATACTCGCACGAACCATCCTGGAACAGCTTTGTAGATGAGGGGCGTGTCGGAACGCCAGCAGAAGGGGTAACTGTGCGTGATCTGTGACTGCCGGATAAGTCTGCCCTTCGTCTTCAGGTCCTTCTGGATCTGCTTGTCCGCGTCTTTGACGTAGACGCCGACATAGTCCGTGATTTCGCTCGTGAAGCATCCGGTCGCGTCCACTGGGTTGGGCAAGTCACCTTCCCCAGTGACGACGTCATTCGCAACGGCCACACGGTAATCGTCCTCACCGAAAGTAGGAGCGCAATGGACGATACCAGTACCGCTGTCCGCGGTGACATAGGTGTCGGCCATGACCTTGAATGCTCTGCCCTTTCGGTCGCTAAAGAAGTCAAAGACCGGCTCGTACTCCAGACCCTTCAGATCTGATCCCTTGATCTTTTCGAGGATGGTGTACTTCGCCTTCTTCACATCCTTGTACAGAATGCCTAAGCAGCCTTCCAGCAAGATCCAGATAGCTCCCGTCTCCCCATCTTTGATTTTGACGTATTCGAACTCAGGATGCACCGTAAGACCCAAGTTACTGGGGAGAGTCCAAGGTGTTGTCGTCCAAGCGAGGAGGGCAACGGACGGATCACTGACAAGCGGGAATGAAATGACGACTGCGGTGATGGAGTTGTGCATGAGACTCGAGCGCTAGGAGCTCAGAAGCTCAAACGAAGCTCTTACCTGCAGGATCTGTCACATCCTTGTAGTTCTGTGTTGCCTCCATGTTAGAAAGCGGTGTGTGGACTCCGGTAGAGAAAGGCATAATCTATTCGAGAAGATCTCGTCCGGTTAGCCATTACATCTGTGTGAAAGCATCTGACGACCGGCGCCTCACCTTGAAACCGCGGTAAACCTGCTCCTTATCGAACAGCTGCTTGAAGACCCACCAAACAGACTCCATGAAGGGCAGGTTCATAGTCTTGTAGTCGTTCTTGAAGTCGATCCAGCGACCCATACGGTTTACGGTTGTCTCCCATTCCCCAGCATACTTCATGACAATAGCACGGCATTCTGCGTTGTACTTGTCAATGCCCATCGCCATGACATCGTTAGGACCCTTGATGTTGAGCTTTTTGTCGATCTCGTGCTCCACTGGCAGACCGTGCGTGTCCCACCCAAATCTGCGCTCTACGTAGTGCCCGGTGCTCGCAGCGTAACGAGTGACGACATCCTGGGAAGAGGTTGTTTAGACCTGTTCACAACGTGTCGAACGGCCCGGCTGGTCGTAAGGACGACTCAACTCACCTTGATGGTTCCCGCAAGCAAGTGTCCGTAGTGAGGACGGCCGGTGGCGAACGGTGGACCGTCATAGAAAGAGAATGGTGGGCGGCCTTCCGCAAGTTTCAGAGACGTTTGGAAAGCGTCAATGTCGTTCCAGAATTGCAGAATCTTCTCTTCCTCCTTTGGGAAAGAGGGACTCGCGGCAACTGTTCGGGAGAGGACAGACTTGTCAGCCGGGATACTCGGCTGCTTAACAATGAGCAGTAATCTCTATAGAGCCCCGCCTAAACATACTTTCCGGGATAGTGCTCATCTTGTTAGGTCTGCGAGTAACAGCGTTGGAGGAGAGTCGCAGGTGCAAGTGGGAGTGCGGCGACAAGATCACTGGAAAAGGCGACGTGTACAGGCGACTTGGGGTTCGTGGGAGAAGACGTTGGATATCACAACGAAACCTCGACATACAGCACCGGGGACGGAGTGCGTTGCTGGGAAGCCCGTATTTGTAGATCTCCCCGGGAATGTGGTTCAGTTTCAACGGAATTGCGCCTTTCTGCTGCGAATTCGTCGGCCAACAGTTCTTCGGAATTCGCTGAATCCAGCGCTGAATCCTACGGAGCAGTCCACGAAAACCCCATTTGTGACTCATACTGCAGACATTATGAGTCACCCTACCATTTCTGACAGCGCGTACGGAGACTGTCTGCCGTCGAAAGGTGGCTTAGCTATGAATGTGAGCATGCTCGAATATGAAAAGCACTGTATTCAAATCAAAGGCTGCATGTGCATATACAAACTTTCCATCGAGACGAGGCATGATGCTATGTAGAAGCACGAGAAGGAGAAGCATCTGCAAGAAGGCTCGATATCTAAGCTAAAATAGACCGTGTTAACCCACCCGTCACGGCTGCATGCAAAGCCAGCTGACGTACGCCACAACCAGACATCTATCCATCTACACGAACCCATTCATCGGCCTCCGTCTCCACAACCTTCTTGCAACCCGCTGTAGGGTACCGGCAATGCGTGGTCTTGAGCTTATCCATGCTATTCCGGGAAATACTGCTTGGACTCGCGACCTTGTATTTTTTGCGTTGTGGTGTCCCACCAGGTCCTCTTGCTACCGCTGGCCGCTTCGTCGCGTTGACAGTGATTGAAATGTCCGTGCGTTCGATCTCTATGGTTTCGCGGGTAGAGTTGCTGTCCCCAGTGATGTGTTCGGTTTTGACCTGGTCGTAGGACATATGTGTTTCTTTCGGTGGGGGAGTGTCCTGGCATCCGGCGAGCTGCCTTGCCAACTGCATAGCCAAACTATCATCTGTGAGCGGTATCATGTCTACTGTCGGTGGCGAGACCGATAAGGTTTCGGTTGAAGTAGCGTTCTTCCCTTTCACTTTCTCACGTCCATCGAAGATCAGCACTCCTTTTGGAACCGACTCCGTCGGCGATTTGTAGATCGCTTCCAGTTTGTCCAGTGCACGGCGCTGAGTCTTCGGCATGATTGTGTCGGGGTTGATAACGGTTCGTGCCGTGACTGTGCACATCGGGATAGCACCGGAATGGGAACGGTGGATTCGATTACTAAACGGAATAGAAGAGAACATACCAGAGATCCGGTGACCCTGAGGCTTTGCACAATGCTCGTAGTTCGCCTGCACTTTCTTCCCAACCTATGTTCAAATGACGTTGAGCACCAGACGAACGACCCGGTGTGTTTCGAAAGATCGCCAAACCATAATAAGGATATCCCCATGTCTCAAACGCAATTTCAAGACCTGTCGTCCAGGCCCAACGCCATTCGGGGCAGTGTCACGGCATGTCGGCTTTGTCCGGAACGAAAAGATACAATCGGAGCCCATGCTGAGCGCCGAAACGGGGCCGAAGACTGTTTTTTCTCCATCATCGTGCCACTTCATCCATTTGACTGTGTATAATAAGTCGCATCCTGCTTTAACGAACACCGTGGACAACATGAACTCAGAGCGGTGAAACAATTTACCATCGTCCGCCAATGTAAGGTTCTTATGACTCTGATTGTACTTGGTCCCGAACTCCTTCGCGGCATCCTGCAACATGGCGATCGCTGCTTTCTCCACTTTCGTGTTTGCTTCCATGGGTCGAGAAGGCAAAACCGATGCTTGATCTGCACGACTTTGTGTCAGGAATCGAACATTTTCGCACGGAAGACATGGGCGCGACTCAACAGTATTTTTCGCCGCTGTTCAGAACGAAGTTTGAAGTGACTAGCTTGCCAACTGAAGAGAATAGAGAATATTAGCCTCCAGCACGCATAGATGCCCCCCCAAAAAATACGTACTGCGAGATTTCACAGGCATCCTCTGATACTCCAAATCCCCTTCCTGTAGCTCCTTATACAGCTTATCCACATCAGCATGACCATCTTTCGGTGCAAGCATATGATGAATCTCGCCGCCCTCAGGGAGGGTGTAGACCACCTTGAACCATCCAGACATCCGGCATGCTGGTTCCGGCGGTATCGCGACCAGGTATCCTTTGATGTTGCTGCCTGGGAGGACTTGGAAGCAGTTGAAGCGCTCCTTTTTGTCGACGGGCAGACGGATTGCGGCGGACAGGGGGAGGACGGGGAGGGTGAAAGATACCTCGTTCTGTGGCAAAGGGGGTCAGTCGTCATATGCTTCAGCTGAATATGATGCAAGGCATCATGCGCTATACCTCACAAGTTTCACACACCCATTTGTTCGAGAAAATCCTTCGTGATAATCGGCCACAGCGGTTGCACCACTCACAGGCGGACGTTCGTGCCTGTTGAGATGGAGACGGTTGCAGCGGTACGACCGATGGAGGAGTACATGTGCTACGGTGGGAGGGTTATTGCCGTTTGCACAAACAAACTTGCGTTGTCGCCTGCGTCGAACGCACCTTTTCATCGACAGCATAGGCCGAAGGAAGTCGCGGTTATGTCTCAAATCCATCCCTTCTGCAACATCCACACCCGAAACAGCTTTCCAGAATGCTTCACATTGGTGTCTGAGGCACACTTGCTCGGTGTAAACTTTTGGGGACACTTCCTTGCATGTGGGGCAACAATAATCAAGGCTCCCAGTCGTCCTTTTTGAATCTCTCAACTTCTTCGCTTTCACATGCCACACATTCGACGCCTGATCCGGAACGAGCTGCACACGAAACTGTGAGCCACGTTGTAACGTAGACGCCGGGCACTTCGCTTACCTCATAGCGCAACTTGATCCGAACATTCTGACCCTCTTTCTCCCTCCATATATGGGTGATACGATAGTACCCCAGCACTGCGTAGGTCAGTCCGTCGGGCAACACTTCTTTCAGAAAATAGTCTTGGCTCACGATGACCATGACGGAATGGCCGCCTTTCATGGCATTGATCAACGATTCAATGTTATGATCCGTTTCCTCCTATCCGCGTGGTGTGATGATTTAGCTGTGCGAAACGCCACGCTCAGCCGGTTTGCAATCGATGTCACCTGCGACGTTGCTAGCGACATGCACACGTTAGCCCTCTTCCTTTCTTTATCGCAGGCATTCTTCCCGCCGCCGTGCGTGATGAAGACCCTGCGCTTGAAAATATCGCGTGGGGCAATGGATCCTACAACCGACACATTTTAGAATGCGTCAGCCTCGCCCGATCGCTCAAAGCATACCTGCGAGCAAGATGGCCGTAGCGATCCGCGCGTTCGGATTGACAGGGTCGTCAAGTGGGAGTTTTCGAAACTGGAATCCTGATTGATACTGAATGAACCTCTTGTCCAACGCGTACCCTGGGAGGCTTAATGTGAGCATGTTCCAACTGCCAAACAAGTCCTTCCATGCGCATATGTACCCTCGCAGAGTTCTTGGCGGCTTTGACACCAGACTTTCGGGCAACCAAAGTCACCAGGGCTTTTCCCAGCTTGCACCATGCGGCGGTAATGGCCCAAGCCTTCCGTGTCTTCGCCCTTTCTCAATAGACGATCCTCTGGGAGTTTGCAGACTGCTGTTACCGTGAATTGTGAATGGGCCCAGAAACTAATGCATGGAAACCGATATCAGCGAACCTTCATCACTACACGTCATCGCCTCCTTGCCAGGTCCATTCTTTTGGCACTTCTGAATATGCAAAGCCTTCTTTGTGCCATCATCCTCCGTCTCAAACGGTTCGCTGCTCGTCATCGTGACTTTGTCCACTGTCTCATCAATCTTCCTTTTGAGCTTGCACCACATTGAAGGTCCGCTGCTCACTGTCTCATCGATCTTCCTCTTGAGTTTGCACCACTCTGAAGGTCCGCTGCTCACTGTCTCGTCTATCATTGTCTTGAGCTTGCACCATTCTGAAGGTCCGCTTCCCGGGCCTTTACGTTCTTTTCTGCTTTGCGTCGGAACAGCCTTTCCCGACGCGTCGGCATTCCCAAGACCATCGTGATCATCTCCCGGCAATCGCTTGATAATCGCTGAACCCGTGCTCTTCGCCACTTTCCGTTCTACCAACCCCGGAATATGGCTTTTTCGTTGCTCTGTTCTCGGTTTTTTAACGGTGGTGTGCTTGTCGTTCCGTTTAAACGGAGTTGTCCGCTCGCAAGTCGCAAGCTGCGGGTTCGACGCAGACTCGTCCAGTAGGTCTTTCTGGTGCTTCTGCTTGGGCTCTTTCTCCCCCTTTATCCTCTTCGCCGGACGAGGAGTGTCTGCCAGCTCGCAAGCCTTTCGCTTCGGTGGTGTGAAAGCCACACTTTGTAAAGGGCCCGGCGTTTCGTTGCAACCCCGACGGGGGGTGGACGCGGCGTGCCCTGCCGTGGCGAGAATAACGATGTCAGCTGTGTCACGAGCGAGTACCTCGACCAGAAGTGCGTCCTACAATACCTTTGCCCATGTTTGCCGAAAGAAAAGCCGAGTGATGAGCTCTCTCGTTGCGGATTATTGGCAAGATTTATTAGGGGCGGACCCTCCCCGGACGCGTTGGAGACGCCAGCGAGAAGCCACAGATGACGTTCGAAGCGTTTGACCCCTTTCCAGCCAGGAGAGCAAAATAACACGCAGCGATCGGAGAGTAGAGCAGCATGAGCGACGACATACCTCAAGAGCAACAGCTGACCACTGTGGAAAAGGTCCGTCTCGGATGCGTGCCCGAGCACTTCTCCTCGCCGCTGCATCAAGCGCTGGCGAAAGATCTCTTCGGCCGTCATGGCTTCGAGCTGGAGATTGTGAACTGTCCTGGAGGTGCGACCCTCTATATATATATAGGACCTTTTCGCTTCCATAACTAGACATGCTAAACCAGATTGCATTTCAGGAACGGGAGAGGTGCGATAATTGGTTAATTGCTTGCTGAGTTGTTATGGGGAATGTGCTCACGCGCGGCATCACGCTACAGATGGTCACAAAACTGAAAGAAAATGAACTGGACATCGCCATCGCTCTAACGGAAGGCCTTATATCCAGCCTCTGCAAGGAAGACGGCCCGTTCCGCATTATCGGAACCTACGTCAGCAGCCCGCTCACTTGGTCGATAGCGTCCTCTCCCACAGGCCGCTTTGGCAAGGTTTCGCGCGAGTCTCCTGGACCAGAGGCGTGGGAGGGATTGAAGGGGGCGAAAGTGGGCGTATCGCGACTGGGAAGTGGGAGCCACTTGATTCCGTTTGTGCTTGCGGATCAGATGGGATGGCTGAAGGATGGTGCGAGTGCTCCATTCGAATTCGTACCCTTGAAGGACATCGCGGGGCTGGTGAATGGAGTCAAGAGTGGGGCTATCGACACGTTCCTCTGGGTGAGTGCTTGCTCAGCACTTGGTACTTTCGCTATTCTCGAAAGCTAAGTTCTTGATTCCGTTCAGGAACGTATCATGACCAAGGTTAGATCGACCGTCTGACATCGGTTCCAGCTATTTGAGATTCTCGACTAACAGGCAGTTTTCAGCCTCACTACGACAGCGGTGAGCTGCACCATCTTTCCAACATCACCCCTCCATGGCCCGCTTTCATGTTCGCGGCATCAAAGAAGGCTCTGGCTCACTCCGCAGCCTTGATCGGGATCCTGAATGGTAAACTACTCAGAGAACTCAAAACATCAGTTCATCCACATCTCACCCCAACACCCCACAGTAATCACCGAAAGCGCCAAAATCTTTATAGCCGGCAAAGGCACCGGCGACTCCGTCCGCTACGTCTCCGAAAAGTACCACCTCCCCGAAGACGACGTGCGCGTCTGGTTCTCCAGCGTCGCCTATCCCGCCAATTGCCGCGAGGTCGACCGGCACGTGCTGACGGATTGCATCAAGGTGCTTGCCAAAGCAGGTGTCGTGGGTAACGAGGCGCTGGGTATCCCGCTGGATCGGTTGGTGGACGAGCATGTGGCGGTTGTTACGGAGGAACCGCTTGAGCAGAAGATTAAGAGGCATGATCAGCAGTATGAGAAGGAGTGTAGGGAGTTGCAGGCTGGGAAGTCGGAGTAAGAGACATCAAGAGTAAGGCGTAGCCTGTTATTGGCAGGTAGATTAGTTCGATTTGAGTTCTCCGCGTAGCACAATCTCAATGACGGTCCATCGTTGGACTCCTGCATGCCGAATCAACAAGAAACTATTGGCAGGTAGATTAGTTCGATTTGAGTTCTCCGACAATCCCGCGACGCGAGAGAGTGTGTGGGAGATTTCGGGCAAAAAAAAGCACTGGGATGATGGGCTACTCAAGTGTAACTTTCATTTACGAACACGATGTCCATCCCTCATCCTGCCTCCCGCCCGATACAGACTTTTGAACCACCCCGCACAAAAAAAAGGCAACCAAGGCCCAAAGACCTCAAAGAAAGGAGTGAATAAAGAAGACAGACCCTAAAATGTCTATTTCGGGCAAAAAAAAGCACTGGGACAAAAACTTATTTTTTTCCTGACCATAGAAACTATGACGATGATGGGAAGGGACGAACGAAAAAGGGGGTGAGGGGGGACAACAAAAATGCCTTGTAGCCCACCGGGATCGAATTCGTTCGTTTGAGAGTGATGACATCGTTTGGGGTTGTGGGCGCGAGTGGGGTGAAGATTTTTGGTGGCGGTCTTATTCCTCATCCTCGACAGTGTTCTTTAAATCCCACCCCAACCCAGAGATCTCAGCCACCTCGCGCTGCATCACATCGGCTTCAACAAGCGATTTGATATCGTCGACGCGCAAAAAGCACAGATCGTACTGGCTGAGCCGCAGGGCTTTACGGCCGCTCTTGCGTTTGACTGTTCGCGCCCAGCGTTCGGCTTCGGGACGCACGTGGATCATGGATTCGAAGATGGTTTCCGCCAGAGCCGTGCGTTGCAGCTGCAGCTTCTCGGCGTGCACGGCTACGCGGCGGTGCAGTTCCGGGTGCCGATCGGTCCATTCGCGGCCGGTGCGGTATCCAAAAAGTAGGCCGAGCTGGAAATCGAGGACCCAGCGTTCGGGCGATGACGAGGATGCTGCGGTCGAGTCGGCGTCTGGTGGGAGAGTGATGGCATAGAGAGGGAGACAGCGACGAAGGCGGGATTCTTGCTGGGCTGCTTCCTTCACCGGGTCGACCGTCGCTTCGTAACGCACATAGCTTTTTTCAAAGACTCGCGGTAATGCATCAGGAGGCACTGGGTCTCGGTGGGGAGCATTCTCGGTGGCTGTCTCAGATTTCACCACTGACTGAGTAACGGTTGTCGCAGTCACAGGAGCCACAGGAGCAGGCTTGGATTCTTGCACAGACGCAGCAGATATCGACTTCTCAGTAGAGACAGAACCAGCCGGCCTCGCTTTCTGGTATCCGGTGAGTCCAGACAGCGTGCTAACTTTCCGTTTCACCGACGCGCTCGCGTCTCCCGCATCGGCGTTCGCGCTTCCCAAAGCTCTCTGCAACGAAGATGACGACGAGTCGCATCTGACTGGTCCGGCAGGTGACTCGTCCCGCTCCATTTTCGATGTCACTTGACCATTGACAAGTACTTTGTCGGTTCCCTTGAACTTCTTCAACGGCGGACTCTCGCCTCTCGTAGAGGTCGGTGAAGCAACCGGACGCGAACGAGGCGACCGCGGCACCGACCGCTTAGCGGGAATACTCTCAGTCTCCTCAAACGGGCTCGTTCGTGCCTTGATAGGCGACCGCGACTCCTCCTTACTCATTCGTCGACGCTGAAGAGACACCGAATGCATCCTCCGGATGTCGTCGTCTCCATCATCCATTTTCGGCGGCTCGCTCATTTCCCGCGTGGTCTTGATACGTTCAGGTATCGGCTTAGTGGCCGAACGACCTGCAACTCCTGAGGTGTTCGATGTTCGTTTCGTAGATTTCTTACCGCCACCGGCTTTCTTCTCGCTAGAGGCTTCCGCGACGCTAGCTTTTCGTGATGCCGACGCGGTAGCAACTTCCTTCCTGGCCTTCGATCGTGGCCTTTCCGCACTTCCTCCTGCAGAGTCGGAGTTTGACCGCCTGCGCTTATCCTTGGATCGATCGTTCGCATGTGCTTGCGGGGTATCACGGATCTCAGCGGATGCGCGGCGGGTGTCGGTGCTTGGTTTGGTGTCGATGTCCATGTCGTCTTGTGCAGGGGACGCCCGCCTCTTCATGGCTAAATCAGAAGGTAGTTTGTCGATTGGGGTCGATTGCTCAGATTTACGGGACGCCTCCTCCTTTCCAGCTCCGTCCTCTTCAGCAGTAGACTCCTCCTCCCCTTTTTTCTTATTCTTGGGGGGGCGTCCGATTCGGTTCGATTTCGCGCCCTTCGCGGTATTGTTGCTCTTTCCCACGCCACTTCCTCTGCGTTCGGACTGAGAAGGTTTCTCACTTTTCGATCGAAGTTCAGTGACTCGGCTCTCCGTCCTGCTCGACTCGCTCTGCCGCGGTCGGACCTCTCCTCCCGTTCCTGCGTTCGGGCCGCTCTCTTTTTCCAGCATAGCCATGAGGGCTTCAAATTTCTTACGCTCTCGCTCAGACACAAACTCGGAGGTAGCGGGTGGGAGTCCGCCCGTACGGAAGTACTCGTTCTTCTGAGACACCGAAGGACGCTTCGGGGACGAGTCCTTAGTACCGGGGGACGACTGCCGGTCTCCAGGATCAGCGCAGCTCTCCATACCAGACCCCGCCACCGACGCCCGCCGAATTGTCGAGGTGTTGTGTGCGAGCATTGCCTGAGCCAGCCTCCTTTGCTCCGTCGAGGGACAGAAGGACGGTTTCTTGTAAGGTTTCCAGTTCTGCGGAGGGGCGAGAAGCATTTCCTTCATTCCGGGGTCCGCGGTCTCGGCGAAATCCAGGGGACATTTGCCTTTCGCGTTACGCTTCCGGACGTCGGCTCCGTACTGAAGCAACAGCTTTACAACGTTGTGATGCTTGTTCCATACAGCCTCGTACAATGGTGTGTCTTCATCGTGGCCCCGCGAGTCGACATCCGCGCCATGCAGAAGTAGATCTCGTACACAGTCGTAGTGCCCATTCAGCGCCGCTTCGTGCAGGGATGTCCACCCCGCATCATCGCGATACTGCAAATCGGCTCCATATTTCAAACATCTCCGCAACTCGTTGAGATCTCCTCTTTCAGAAGCCTGGTGGAGTCGTGTCTTCCCATACTGATCCCGCTCCAGTACCTCCTCGGCTGCCTGGAGCCAATCCTGAATAACTTTCTGCATCGTCTCATCTGCAACTGATAGTGGCGTTTCGTTTTCGGTGTTTTCGGCGTCGATAGATGCGCCATGGAGCAGTAAGCATTCCACAACCTCCTTATGACCCCTTTGTACAGCATCGTGCAGAGGGGTATCCGAGTTTTCAGCCGTGACATTCGGGTCCGCACCGAATTGTAACAAAAGGCTGACGATGGAAACGTGGCCTTCCAGACATGCTTCGTGCAGAGCAGTCCATCCGGCATTATCCTTGATGGTGACATCCGCGCCAAACTCCATGAGCTTTTGGCACGCCTCGTAATCTCCTCGGCTGGCATAGCGGAACAGATGGGTACGTCCGCTCCGGTCTTGGACGTTCAGTCGTTCGGAGCGGATGAAACGGGCTCCAATAAATATACCGGTCCCTTCTTGATGCGTTGCATTAGAGTAGGCTACTTTCCTACCGGATGGTATATGCTTATCCTGCAAACAGACAAAAGATAAGTCGACTGCCGTATCGGAAGTCCGTAAAGTTCTTCATGAACTCACATCGCGTACGCTGGATCTTCTTCCAGATTGATCCGGTTTACGTGTTTCATTGCTCCCATTGTTTCGATTCAACGGTGGGCGACCGCGGCGCCGTCTGGGAGGTACATCCTCAGCGTTCTTCGAATCCACACCATCTGCATGGCCCGAAGCACGTCGTTCACCATGGGATCGTTTCGCGGAAATGGCCGACTCACCATCAGATGCGTGCGATGTCTTGCGAACACGAGGCTTCGTTCTTGGCAAATCGCTGGCGGAATCGTCCAATGGCGACGCAGCTCCCAGCGAATCCCTACGCAAAACTCGTCTGCCCGATTGTTGTTGGTCCGCAAGCCTCCTGGTCTTCCTTGGCGAGTGTCGTCTAACGGCCCAATTCCTGGTTGCCGGCCGGCTCAACGATCCTTCGCTATCAGTGGATCGGTAACCTCCCTCGGTGTACTCATAATCGTCGCTCCCCATGTCGTTCAAGTCCAGTAAAGGCTTGGAAAAATCGTCCAGGCTGGTGGTTGTGCTTCTGGAATGCAGCGGGCTCGGCGCAACTGACTGTGTCGATGGTTTCTTTCTACTGTCCTCCACTTTAATGTTGTCTTCCGAAGAGGAATCCGACTCGTCTTCTTCATCATCCGCACTTGAGTCACTTGCCGAGCTGGAACTTATTTCGCTGTCAGGAACATCGGAGAGTTCGCTCAACGAGTCTTCCGATGAGACAGCCGATGTGCTCATCTTGGCCACCCCGGGGGTCGTGGTAGGTGGCGGTGCCGTACTTGCATCTTTCGGTTCCTCACTCCGCGCAACCGCAACATTATGTTCACTTCCAGTAACACTAGCGGGTGAAGGGTTGGGAACATCGTTGGAAGTCTCGTTGGAAATATCGGTCAAGGATGGAGCGGCTGACGACGCTAAGGATACGGGACCCATGCTTTCCGACTTTACTGCAACATGTCCTTCACTTTCCGCAGCTTGTGGGAGGTCTGACGTGCGATCCTCATGCTTCCGAGGCTCATGACCAGTATCGCCAGCCCTCATTCTTCCAGCCGATCCCCCATGACCGCCTACCCTAGCAGACAAATCGTTGATGCGAGCCGATTCTACAGAATCAGGAAGTTCGCGGGGCAAACTCGACTTGCCGATTTTGGGCGATTTCGTGGTTCGTGACAAATCGGCCAGCAGTTGTTCCTTGCGCAAGGATTCAGGGGGCTTCTCTTTTCCAGGCGGCGCCGGTTTACCCAAATTATCAGATTTCGATATTGATGGGGAGCTGTACGTCGCAGAACTTGGTGGCCGGTCTTCCTCTTGCTTCTGCAACCTCTGCTCGGTTGGCCATGATTGCGTCGCGTGTCCAGAATAAGCGGTATGCGGATGATGCCGATATTCCCCCGAAGAGTACGGATATTGCGAGTGGGAAAAGAAGGAGTATGGTTGTTGATGAACATACGCTTCGTACGAGTCGCGCGGAGCCTCGTGAGCATAATAGCCGGAGTCGTGATAACGCTGCGAATATGCCCCTGGGTAAGATTCTGCGTGTTGCTGTTGCGACGGAGCATGCCCAGGTGGGGGTGGTTGACTGGAGTCTTCATGATTTACGGCCGCACGATGTCCATTCCGGTAAGCGGTGCCGACGGCAACAGATTGTTGACTGGAACTGACCCCACTGGTTTGGTAGGGATAGGTATAATCTGAGTAGGGGTATACATGTTGCCACGATGATGACAAAGGGGCACCCATTTTTTCTGACTAACGAGCGGAACGCCTGCATAGAAAAAATCAGAAGAAAAATCGTCAGACGAAGTTCAGCGAGCCAAAACGGCCGGAAAGAGAGATATTCGCTTGAACATTGATTTTCGACGTCCGGCAAGCGTCTCCTGCTTCCAAAAGAATTCTCGGTAAATTCCACATACCAAAAGTCAGCGTAGCGCTCGTCGAAAAATTCGTCTCCTTGGTTTCGTCGATAGATAGGTCAATTCAATCTTTCAGGTTGAGTACTCGGTTTGCGGTTCTCGATTTCTTTCCAGGCACCGGGCGATCATACGTCGTTCAAGTTTCCCACGAGAAAAAAATTCAGCGATTTCAGGTTGTGTTTGGGGTTTGGGGTGGGAGCTCGGTAGCGGCGACTGAGCCAATGAGGTCTGCCTAATTCGAGACCTTCCTGTCAATTCGGTTGAGCAAATATGTAAGCACCAGTGAGTCTTGTGGGGGCTCCAAGAAAGTTTTGCCGAGTTGAAGAAAGCAGTGAAGTGTGCGCCCACCTGCGAAAATGGACCGGAATGAAAACTGATGAGAATCTGCTGCGAGTCCGGAACGGTCCCATCGAAGCTTACCTTGCACCCTCTGGTCAATGAGGTACTGGTGCTAGGTGACGGTGGTTCTGATGGACAAGCACAGACGGTTCGGTTCCAATAGTGGTACTGAGGGTCCTGAGGGTCGGGTTGATGGGTCCCCGGGTGTTCTTATATCCAGGTCGACCCTCGAAAATGTCCGAGTGGGTCTGGGTCGGGCCAGTAATGCAGTGCCTCGTCTTAGCGTTCTGAGAGAACGGGCGGAGTGGCGACTGGGGTGTCTGTGTCGGGGTATTTCCAAGCCTTCTGGGCTGAGTCTCAGTGGTTTGACCTTTAAATGCTTCTGGAACGCAAAAAAAAAAACCCGTCTTCCTTTGGCCTCTTTGGGACTCCCTTCGCCGAGAGAAGAGCGATTGGGTTTGGTTCTTTCGAGGGGTAAATACAGTAGTAGCAAACATGGTTAAAATGGATAAGGTTAACTATCACGGGCTTAACGTGTTTGCAACAGTCCCCGCCATCACTTTGAATCGTTTCGATCACCACTCCTTTGTTGCAGGCGGGCGCCCCATCAATTTCCTTTCAGGCCGCCAATAAGTCACCGGCCCCCCACGGCGATTCAATCGATCTTGACCTCTCCTGAACGGTGCGAATAGCTGGAGAGTGATGAAGGATTTCCGATGCATGGCCATGGCGGTCTATACAGATTAGGTACGCAGTTTCGGGTTCGGATGCAGGAGACTGTGAACGATCTGCTGTCAGTTAGGGTTAGGGGTAGGGTTACAGAACTGTTCCGGGTCGGCGGGTTTTAGGGTTAGGGTTAGGGTTCGGGTTAGGGTTAGGGGTGGTCGATTTTCCCATTCATCACTCGGAAATCATGATCCCGTCTTTTCAAGTGTTCGAATTCTGAGAATCTGGCACTAACAATGTGTTCGTCTCCTATGTGTTCGTCACCTGGAAAAATACCCTGGGTTGGACGACAAGAAGTTCTACACGACGTAACATCCTCGTCTATCGGAATCCGTCTACCAAGCTCTTGAACCTCTCTGGTATCGTCGACTTTGAGTGGGCAGGCTTTTTCCCCGTTTACCACGAGTTTGCAGACTCGTCAGGGTTAAGGGGGGGAGGCCTTTAACCCTGACAAGGACGGTTTGATGGATCGGATGCTGTTGGATGAGATGGAGAAGCTGGGACTAGAGACCGTGCGCACGCTAAATCCAGAATTGTGGAAACAGGCTAGGGATCTGGAAACTTTGAGGACCAACGTGGCACCGTGTTGGTTAATGGGGATGGAGGTGGGCAATCCAAGATTGGAAGGTGAACTCGGGGACGCCGCCAAGGTGCTCATGACATCTTGGAGAGTTTGGGATAAAGCGGACTGCAAGGAGATCCTCTTCATGCTCCGATTTGAAGGTCTCCAACCCAAATACTAAGGACATGAAATTCGCGCTCGAGTTCTCGCATGAAGCAAGCCTCACAGAGGAAAAATATAGTGAGCCGCAGGCCTGCAAGCGGCTTTGAACGGTACTAGCAAACAGACGTTCCCCTTCTCTTTGCGAGTCCGCAACTTTGAGTGCCAAACCATCAAGCCGCAGCGACTCCGCGGAGAGCCCGGGAAGCTGATGATACGAAAGAGTGCCGTTTCATAAAGGCACAGCTCGCGTCCGCCACGAACCTGGGATGGCGACGATAACAAGCTGCACGGAGTCTCCCGCATCATAGGGGAGGGGCATCGCAGTTTTACGAAATCAGGCTCGTTGACGAGCTGACGACACAAAGCTGCACGGGATTTCCCGCGACGAAGAGAGTGGTAACGTGCACCGGGTTACCAAGGCAAAGCTTTGCGTGCCCCCAGACCTTGCGCAGGGCTGTGATGGAAGTAGCACGGGCGAATGATCTACACTGTCGAGCACTTCTCTGACGCCACTGTCAAATGCGGTCTTGCTTTATGAACGGCACTGTATCTGCGCGTCAAGCCGCGGCCGACAAGACGGCGGCGGCATGTTCAAAAACTTTGCGTCCAGGCTATCCTGGTGACGACCTCTACAAATGGGCGGCGTACGCGCACAGAGGATCGCCGCACGGGTCTTGGGCTTCAGCGCTCCTCCCGCCCCCCACTCCAGTGAACCTTACCACGTTAACCACTGTACCATTACATTTGTAACCGAATAAGTCATTCTCTGTACTTATAACCACCGCCTATTATACCTCTCCCGATCTAGTGCCCACAACAAAGTCTGGCAGCCAGAGAATGATAGTGCTCCAAACAGCGCGTGGCCAGCGCCACCAATTTTCTGACAATTTGCAGGCCCACCGCCACCCCCTGTCGGATCTGGATCTGGGCCAGCTACCTAAGCATTACGTAACCCTTTTGTTTGAATAAGGCGGTCGGTGTGCGGCAACTCCGACCAACTGAAAAAGAATAGGTCGTTTTATATAGCACTTCCCTCAACGTTTCCGTTACCTTGCGCTTTCCATCCCTTTCCCGTTAAGTTTAGCTCCGGAAGCAACTGCGTTCAGCGTCTCGTTGTGTCTGCATACCGTTTTCCGTTTAGATTAGCTACTGAAGCGACTGGCCTAAATGTATTCCGCAGCGCAGTACATCGCTGAAATCACCCCAGCCCCAATTCGCATGGCAGAGGGACACTCTGGCACCAGCACCACAGTCCCGGCTTGGCCGCGAACAGACCTGAAGGTTTTGGAACCTTGGACCTCCTTCGACGGGGCACTTACGGAGTGCGGAGAGGTTCTGTCACGGACGGACGTTGGACAGCTTCGCCCTCGTGCTATTGACGAGGAGGATATTAGTGAAGTTGCTGTGGAAACTGACCTTCACTGCCACGCAGACAATTACGCGCTGAAGGAAGTTAAACGTTTGGCTCGCTTCGCCGGCGTGCAAGACGGCTTATTCATCAACCCGGCTGGAAAAGTAGATATTGTATGTGATCCAGACCGGGCGTGGAAGTCGGCAGCTGCCTCTAGGCCTACGCTTTGTGTAGAGTACAAGACTCCGTGGGCGTTCCGTTTTGACGACCTTCTGGCGGCTTATCAGTCCGAGGGGGGAGACACGACCAAGAAAGTCTCAAAAGCAATCAGTCAGCTATACGGTTATATGACGTTTAATCATCACAGGTTTTTGGCTTCGCTTTGATTCTCCCGTTCACGTTTTTATCGCGTCTGACATCCTCTTCCTAGATTTGGGGTGCTGTCAACCTACACTAAGACCTGGATGTTCGAACGCGTCTCCGATGATCAAAGCGGGCTTCAAGGCGGAGTGATGCGAGTTGCGGGTCCATTCGCTTTCGATTCTCTCTACCAGAATGTAGTCCTGGCTTACCTGACACTCTTCCGGATGGTTGATGATCGATGGTTTTATGCCACCCCAGCCGCTTCGCCCGCACCATCAAGTCGCAACACGCCGCGATCAAGCCCATCACTACTTCGCCGAGCCGCGGGTCACCCCCTAGATCGGTGCGCTGACAGACCTTGACTGTATGACAACGGCCCTCACATGTATTCTAACACTGCTCTCTTTGCCAGATACGAAGTGAAGGACGTCGGTGCAAAAGACATCGTTTTTACCAAAACAATCGATCGGTCCAATGCCACTGTTGCCGGGGGCACTTTGGGCATGCAGTCCGGTGTCTTTAAGTGTGTTGATGCCACCAAACGCCCAATATTCGCTCAGCAACTGGCCAACGAAGTTTCCATTTATCGTGTTCTGGAACGCTTGCAAGGCGACGCTATCCCAATGTTCTACGGAGTTTGCCGCGTGTGGAATATTCTCCATGTCGTGTGCATGGAATTTGGAGGAGCTGCGATTACCCCCGACGTCGTGGCTCATGTGGGAGCCAAAAAGCTAAAAGAGCTTTGTCGCAATGTTCTGCAAAAGGTGCATGAATGTGGCGTCTTACATGGGGACGCCAGATTCGCAAACTTTCTTTACGACGTCGCGGCGGACCAGGTGAAAATCATCGATTTCGGCCTGTCGCGTAAGGAGTGCTCAGACGATGAACTCGCCCAGGAACTCTCTGAATTTGAGCAGCTGGATTTTGCGACAATACGGTAAGCTCTGCCCAGTCTGGGTCTATTGGTCTCAGTTGTGTGCTACGCACCTATCAGGCACCCTCAGACGTAGGAAGATAGAATAGTTGCCGCAATTCCGTTGTATTTTTCTTAGTGTTAGGTCAATTACTCGACAACGTGTTCTTCAAACCTACCCGTTTCTTATGATCGTGATCAAAATGGCAGCAATATCTTCGCAGGTGCTCTCAGGCCCGACGTGTTCACCTCTTCAGCGACGGGAGGGCACTCGTCCGCGCTTACCCCTTTTCATCCGCAAATTAACCCCAATACCTTCCGTCTAATCCCAATAATGCTGGTGCGCGTTGTGCAGGGAACGCGTGCCGCGGGCAAAACGCCAGCACTTAAAAGAGCGTAGTGACCGCATCAGTTCCCGGGACAGTGATGAGCAAGAATCACTTAGTCACGCTCTTGAAAAGCGCGAAGCGGCCGAACAACGACCGGCAAAGGTCCTCAGCCGAGTCTTTTGCCGGACCTCAGTTCTCGTAAAAGGGTTGAGCTATCCGGACAGACCCTCAGTTATCGGCATAATGCTCGGCAAAAGGGTCCCTGGCGGACCCTTGACGAGTTTGCGCCGTAGAAGCCTTTGGTGCTAGGAACGGTGTGGGAAAGACTTCATCACTTCAAGAGTCGTCCCGCGCTAATTTTGCGACGATGGCCAAACGTACCCATAGTTTTAACTGCTGCATGAGAGCGTAGGCACTTCGTCTTACGTTTGTGTTTGCGTTATGGTCCAAAAGTCAAGAAGGGTAACTTTCTGCATTTAACCAAACTCGCTTTTCGCGACCAAAAATTCCTAATTTTGCTGGCGCGCTTGCGGAGATATTGAATAGGATCGCAGGTTCGTCGACACTACCGGACTTCAATCCGTTGCTCCTCCTGCTTTTTCTTCCGGAATCCGGAACCGCCGTCAATCTTTTCGATATCAAGGTTCACTGTGACCTTCAGCGATCGCCGCGAGGTAGAGAAGCTCACAGAGGTTTTCTGACAGGAAAATGATTTGAATGTTCGGAACGCTCAAGACTGACGACAGCCTTGGCCTCGCGCCGCGTCTATAAAAAGGCCCGGCGAGTCGCAAAAACCCCTCATGGCGCAAAAATCCCTCAAAGCCCTGGTACGGAAGCTGGTTTGCCTGGTATACGGAAGCTATTTGCGCCGCGAGAGTGGAGGAGGATGTGACCTGAACGCTCTGGACGCCTTTTGGAACCTACTGATGTGTGTAGGGGTCCTGACCGACAAACAACGGACATCAAACCATGGTCCAAAAAGGCAAAAGCAAGCGAGCCGGCAAAGCAAAGCACCCAGGCGCCCGTCGCACGAACTCCTCCTCGTCTGATCTCGGCCTCCCCGCGGTCGACGATGACATCACCACTTCCACCACCGAGGCAGAGGACGCTAACGCCCCTAAACGGTGTCCGCACCTCAAGGCGGATGTGAGGATAACGAGGTTGTCGAAACAGTTGCCGGCTACTTTGAAGAAGGCGCCTTTTTGTTCGGTGAGCCTTGACTGGACCGCGAGCCGTTTAGAGTGCGGGGGGAAGATGGCATGGCCAACTGAGCGCCTTTGAATGTTAGTCCTGCAGGAAGGACGAGCAACGAGCCAAATCGAAAGAAGCGGCGGAAGCCGCTTCTACCGAACCGAATTCCAATACAGAGGCGCTAAAGGATGCCGCGTCTGCCACCGCCGACACGACCAGCGGCCCGTCGTTATGGCTGTGTTTGAAGTGTGGAGCGGTCAACTGCAGCAGAAACGATAAGGGGCATGGGGTCACGCACTATGAGGACGAGAAGCATTCGATAGCGATTAACCTGGACTCGTTGGAGTGCTGGTGAGGACTGGTTGGCGCGCAATGTGCGGCGTGGGACTTTCTCTGAGTATGAGTCTTCAACAGGTGCTATCAGTGCGATGACTATATTGTCGGGTCGTCTACCCGCAATCAGCTGGTTTCGGAGTGTAAAGCTATGGTTGAGGGCGTGTTGATGAAGAAGACGAAGAAAGGTGCGGCACTTGGGCGAGCTTCATGTCAACGTAAAGTACGCGGAGCTGACTGGTGACTTCAGATTTGGCGCCAACAGCGCCTTCCGTTACGGTGGAGAAGAAGAAAACAAAGGGGAATACAACGGCACCGGGCATCGTAAATCTGGGGAATACCGTAAGTTTAGTGGAAGGAAAGTCGACGGAGATATCAATGACCAGTATTTATAAATCTATGTCAGTGCTTCTTCAATTCGGTCATGCAATGCATCAACGTTAGCCAAAGCTTGCAAACGCAACTGAAGCAACTAGACAACGGTACTCAGGCCCGCATAGCAACCGACGCGCTCGGGCGTTTCCTCGCAGATATGGCCGCACAGCGCCATTACGGTGGCGGATCAGTGAACCCACGCGAACTATTCGGCGTTCTCAGCAACCAGTGGAAGATGTACAAGCGAATGGGCCAGCAAGACAGCCACGAGCTGCTTCGACGGCTACTGGATCGCGTGAGAGAGGAAACAGCCGACCGGAGCGTGGAAGCCAGATTCAGATACGTCAACACGCCTGTCGACAAGGCGTTTGCGGGGAAGTTATGCCAGGTTATTGTGTGCGATACCTGCAAGCACGTGTCGTATGCGTTTGAGGATTACCTGGACTTTTCGTTGCCTGTCAAGGATGAGGTCAAGGAAGGATGGAAGTTCTCCTCGTTGTTTGGGCATCGGAGCAGTAAACCGTTGACGCCACCACCGGCTTTGACACCGCCTGAACCTGTTGTTGAGGGTGGTGAGGACGGGACCGCGTCGGAAGGCAACCATGATCCGGATCAGTTGTCTCTCATTCAGATTCTACTTCGGCCTATCGGCGTCACGACATCTAGCGAGAATCTGACGCTGCAATCGCGGCTGGCGAGTTTCATGGCGGTGGAAATGCTGGAAGGAGAATCGGTATATGCGTGTGACTCTTGCTTTACAAGAAAATACGGCGTGACGCCTGCGGAACACGCAAAAGAGGTACACGCGTGGGAACTGCAGCACAGCCCTGCGAGGACCTTGCAGATCGACACCGCATCGGCATCGTCCTCGATGGCCAACCTGTCACTCCCCACACCACAGTTCCTGGACTCTGCGTCAAGTTCAGAGTTCGGATTCAAAGCGAACGCTCTCAGCCCGCTGTTTGCAGATTCGCATGAGGATAGCAGCGCCACGTCGGCGGATGAGGATTCTGCGACTGTGGGTGATGTTACGGACGCGGAAACGGCGTCTGGGGCTGCGACGCCTAGGTTTGTACCGCACAAAGTACGCGATGATGATGATGAGGAGCTACCCACTGACAGTAGCGGAAATACAATCGAAAGGACGAATGAAAGTGCAGAGCCCACGGAGCGCAGCAGCATTGATTCCGATAAGCCGTCTGTGGACGCAGAGGGTGACGGAGTGCCCGCCGAATCTATGCCAGCTGATAATTCGTCATCATCCTCGAAACCCGCGTCGGAAGAGGCCAGCTTGGATCCCACATCCTCCTTACCACCCTCCCCGGCCAAGAACGGCGCCGTCAACGGAAGCGGTAGCGACACCCGAAGCCAATCCACCAAACCCACCCGCCCACTCGTCGAAAGCCGCGCCTACAAACGCTACCTCATCCACACTTCCCCGCAGATCCTCGTCCTCCACCTCAAACGCTTCCAGCAGATCGGATTCGGCGGGCGAACCAAGAAAGTGGAAGACGTTGTCGCGTTCGACGAGATCATGGATTTGGCGCCGTTCATGGCCCCGCCGGAGGTCGAGACTGCGGTTATGGAGGCGCAATCGCCCGAGACGGAGGTGGATGCGGCGGATGAGGAGTCTGCGAAACGTAGCAGAGGTCGAGGGTCGAGGTATCGCCTCTATGGGGTGGTCGTGCATGGTGGGGGCCTGTTTTCGGGGCATTATGTGGCGTATGTGAGGATTAGCAAGCGACCACCACCAGCGAATGGCGCTGGTGAGGCTGGAGCGAGTGCGGAAGAGGGGGCGGAGACGAAAGCCCCTGCATCTGCAACACCAGAACAAGAAACGACAGAGAGCGAATGGGCGTACTGTAGCGATACGCATACGAGGGCGGCGACGTGGGAGGAGGTTAGCAAGGTGCAGGCATATATTCTGTTTTACGAGCGGTGGGATGGTGATGGGCAGTAGAAGGGCTTAGTACAGAGTACATATTTACTGTTCCGGAGAATAAACCCCAACCAGCCAGCCTCGGGCGGCATGTCAGCTTTGCTGCCGGAGCGGCTATGCGTATATGCACAGGATATAACCCTAACCCTAACCCTAACCCTAACCCTTTTCATTATTTGTAACGGAGTGCTGGAATTTGGAGGAGTGCCAGCCGTTGACGAGACACGGAACACGGAATTTGGGCTCCGAACCACAACGGACGAACTCCAACCCTTTACTTTCTTGAACGACCAGTACCCCCTCATATTCAACCAGCCAGAGAGGACAGAGAACAGCGAGGCTGGAGGAAAGCTATCACTTGTAGAGAGACTGGAAGAGAAGAAGCAGGCAGGGGGTGTGTCACATTCAACGACCGGCGGAACAGTCTTCTTTCAAAACGTCAGATTCGTCTATATTTCCAGTGCCCTGCACCTCGGCGCTTCCACAACCTCATCACATTAGCCGCACATCCTCACGACACCTCACGGCAAAATGGCCGGCATCGTAGACTTCATAAGCAGCAAAATAGACCCCGTCTCCTTCTTCACCTCCTCTTCCTCCGCTGCATCCTCCGTCTTCCCCTACGCCCTCGACCCCTTCAGCACCGATTTCAACTCTCTCCAGCCCGAGCACGACCAGGACCTCGCCTCGTTCGCGATACGGCAATATGTCGTAGCCGTTCTTTCGGCGCCGCTGCGTGTCGCAGAGACGTTGGCGGAGGTACAGTGGCAGCCTCAGGAGGAGGATGAGGGGGACGCTGTGGGTGTTGTTGGGGAGGCTGGGCGAGGGTTGGTGGCGCCGGGGACACCGCCCAAAGCGATTTTGGGGGATGACGAGGTTCTGCCGCCCTTGCAGGGTGGGACGTGGGAGAATTTGAGGGATGTGGTGGAGAGTGATGGGGAGGGATTTACTTCATTGCTGAAAGGTGGGTAGAGGGGATGTCAAGGATTATAAGCGATTTTGGGGAATCGCTGCGAGCGACATCGTTTTGCTTTCCTTCTCATTCCTCTTCCTCTCCTAGGCCACTTCACCTCATTCTGCCACGCGACCACATACCATATCCTCCAACCCACCCTCGAAGACACCATAAACGACGTATTCGACATCTACGAAGATACCCACCCAGTCACCCTCGTCGCATCCCATCTCATCGTCGGCGGTCTCCTCAGCCCCCTCGAGCTCGCCCGCACCCGGTTAATCGTCCAAGCATCCCCCTCACACCGCAAAAAGTACTGGGGCCCGTTCCACGCCCTCCACTGCGTCACCACCGAAGAGCCCGCGGGCCTGCTGAGTCTCTACTCCCCCCGGCACCTAATCCCCTCGATCCTCATCTCGGGAATGTCCCCGCTCATCCGCGCGCTGTCCAAAGTCTTCATCACAGAGGAACTCGGTCTCGATCCGTCCTTCTCGCCGTTCTGGCATCACATGGCGACACTGGGCGCCATGGCCGTGGAAGTCGCCATCGTCACCCCGTTCGAGATTGCGCGGAAAAGATTGCAGGTGCAACGGTTGACGAAAGGGAATGTGGACGTCCTGCCCCAGGCGTTCGACACATGCGTCGAAGTCTCCCCCCGCTACTATTCCGGTATCTTCGACTGCATGCGGTCCATCGTCATGGAGGAAGGCGGGACAGCCCACCGGCGTCGGCGTCGGTTAAGACGGACCCGCGGGCGCGCACTCCCTCACTCGCCATCGGCATCTACCGCTAACGACTGGCACAAGATCTATGATTCGGACCTCCCACACGGGTTCTATGACGGCACTGGGGAGACGGGTGTGAGGGCAACGGGCGTGGTTGCGTCGGTGGGGAGGTTTGCGACGGGCGTGCAGAGTCTGTATAGGGGGTTTTGGGCACGGTATGCGACGAGGGTGGTTGCGTATGCGTGTGATGAGATGATTAAGGCTGAGGAAGAGTGGTAGGATATCAATCAGGATAGTGGATGTAGAAAACCGTTTTCGTATACCGTACTGTAGTTATGTGTAGCTTTAATTCGAGACGACCAGGCGTAATCAGTGATTGTGAAATATTATGCGTTCTTCAAAGTGGACGATGCTTGACCACTGGCCATATGAACCTTCTCCTCTGTGCAAGGGAACGGCTAGATCCGTAGCAAGCGAGCGCTACGGACTAGTTGGAAGCATATGAACGACCGCTGTGGTATGTGGGAGCCTCTGAATATATAGAGAATTTTGCGAATCCAACCAAAGTTACTCTGACGCGATGTGCGGGTGTGGGAGCCGGCAGCTCTAACTCATACGTTTCCAGGTGTGGTCCTATTGTATATGCAGGGTAACGACCACCCTCCTCGAAAAAAAAATGTACATGTGGAAAAGGGGATGTGTGTATGTATGTGCATGGCATGTCCAATGTCTGTCGCTATAGGTCGTGCCGTATAGTATCCCACCTCTTAAACGTATACCCCACAAACGCCAGATCCTTGCCCGGGTTCGCGAGATACTCCATCGTCCCCGTGGTGCCCATCCCGTCCATGGCTGGTATCCCACCCGGCCCGCCGTTTACTTGTTGGGGCACGCCGGCGAGGTCTTCCGTGGGGAAGTAAGATGTGTCGGTGATGGATTTGAGCTGAGGTACGAAGGGGGCGCGGGTGCGGCGGATTTCGGCCCAGTTGACACCACGGAAGAAGGGGTGGGTTTGGATTTGGGCGGAGGTTAGGCGGTGCTCGGCGCCGCAGAGGAGACTGTGGGAGAGAAGTGAATATGCGAAGCAGATGCTACTGGAAAGGCAGACGGACGGCATGCCGAAACTTACTGCCGCACTAAATCTTCCGCCTCTCTCGATAAATGCACATCATCTGGCAGGTACAGATATTCCCGCCAGTTGATGATCTTCCTGTATGTGTCGTGCGCATTTTCAGAGCAGAATGGTGGGTATCCAAACAGGCATTCGAACATGATGGCGCCGAGAGACCACCAATCACATTCTTTCCCGTAGCCTCGTTGTAGGAATACTGTTTGAGAAGAATGAGAGACGGGGTGGTGAATATGCTTATCCCCGGACGCGTTCACCTGTATGGCGTCCTTAAAACGAACCTTCCGGAGCAATGTAATCCGGAGTTCCCACGGTACTATACGCCTAAGGTATGAACATCATAAGAATGTGACCATCGCTCAGCAGTGAGCAGCACAGCACATACCAACGCCCTCCTATTCCGCTTCCACGTCTCGATCCGATCCTTCCGCGAAAACGTCAAGTCGATGTTCTTCTGCGTTCCTATTTGGTCCACTTTGCTCGCTGGATTTGAGTTGTCGAGGAGTCTCTGGTAGTATGTGGAGTCGTGCGTTTTGTGGAAGCCAGTGGAAAGTCCGAAGTCGGATAGTTTAACGTGGCCGTCTTTATCGATCAGTACTGTAATGCGTGATTGAGAAAGCGGTTTAGCAATGGTCTAACCCGGCCGCGAGATAGACACTCAATTGCACTTACAGTTGTCCGGTTTGATATCTCTGTGGATGACGGAGGGCAAAGTTTCGATAAGGAATGCTTTCAGCTCCTAGTCATCAGCAGCAGGACGGTACATACCTGTGAACATATCCTAAGTTGTGCACAGCTTCGATAGCGCAGACGCACTCCGCCACATAGAACCGCGTCACATCCTCCGAGAACGTGTCGTACTTGATCAACATAGTCATCAGATCTCCGCCTGGCAGGAACTCCATGATCAAGTAGAGGTATAGTGCATCCTGGAATGAGTAGTACAGCTGGACGACCCAGGGTGTGTTTACTGATTCGGCTAGGACGTCACGCTCAGCTTTGACGTGGGCGAGCTGACGGGTTGAGAGTCAGTTTCCGTGGCCTCAAACATGGCTGACAAAGCATCAGCGAACCTGATCTTTCTTGACCATTTCCGTCTTTCTTAAGGTCTTCATCGCGAAGATCTTCCCGGTGTCCACCTTTTGCACCAGTCGCACCTAATAGCCGCACTGAATCAGACACTGCCCGCCGCCTGTCACTAGCAAAGGCATGCGGATCCATACCTCTCCAAATGCGCCCTTCCCAATCACTTTGACGGTTTGAAAATCGTCCACTCCCAGTCGCACGCGCCTCAGCCGGAGGAACTCCGACTCCCGTTGCCCATATGCTGCCAACTGACGGTTCTTTCGGTCATCGCTCCAAGGCTCTTTTCCGATGCGTTCCTCTGCGTCCAGACGTCTTTCGATGCGAAGCGAACGCGCAGGTTGGAACAGAGAGTCAGGAGAGAGCCCAAGCCAGTATCGTTGGAACCTTCCTACGTCATTCCACGAACCTGGCCTCCCTATCCCCACACTCCGTCACGACGCTCTTATAGAAGTGTTCCAGCTTGTACTTTGCTGCTGTTGCTCTATCTAGTGTTGCCTTTGATAACCCGTCTGTAGACCGGTGGAAAAGGAATTGCCCTGCCAGCGAGTCTACACTGCCGTCATTGGACGGCTGGCGGCCTGGAGGTGGCGGGGCAAGGGCAGCGAATTGATGCTGATCCATTTCAACTATTCAATCGAAGGAGAGGTCCGTCGTCTCCTGTGACAGTTTTCGTTGGCTCAAGTTTGGGACTGTGCGATGACAGCCTAAAGACAAAGTCGTAAGCGCTAAGTTTCCCACGGCAGACGGCCCAATTCGAGGACGACCCGACCGCCCGCTCCTTTTGACTAACCAAATTATGATATGCGACGAACGCTTTACCGCTGGTTGCTCGTTCCTTCTTGTAGCCGTTGCTGGGGTACAGTGAGTTGTGGTGTATGTTGCTGGTGCGGCTTTGTGTTGGTTTTGGGAGGGAGTTATGCAGGGAGTTATGATAGTTAGCGGGCACAAAAGCGATACAGTAGCTGTGGAATCGCGTGGGAAAGTGATGACGGCTCATGCTGCACGGCTCGATGGGCAGATCCACCTGCGCTCTTCCTCCAGTCCTACTCGGCTTCCTACCGACGGCGACAACGAACCCCCCAGCGAGCGCTGCAACACACTCCTTATACCGGACACTCCATACATAGTGGCTGCAGTAGCGATAGCTTCGTCGCTCCGTATTCTGAAAGAACCCCAAGCACACTGTCAGAGGACGCAGTTTCCCACCAACCCGCCTTATAGATAGAAATACATCGACATCACAACAAGACATCACCCTGCCTACACCAACAATGACCGGGCTTGCGATAAACGACCTGAGCAGGGCAGAATGGTCGGCATCCCCACTGGCAACGGAAGACGCCAGTCCCATCCCATACTCGAAGGTCATAAACGACCCTATCCATGGGCACATCGAGCTTGAAGACTATTGCATGCACGTTATAGATACCCCGCAATTCCAACGGCTGAGAGACTTGAAGCAGCTGGGCAGCGCTTACTATGTGTTTCCAGGTAAGATTCGGCTTCATTTTGCGACCCACGACAGCATCGCTAACATTGAAATGTGATCTCTTGACTGACAGGTGCAGCGCACAACCGTTTCGAGCATTCCATCGGAGTTTGCTATCTTGCAGGCAATCTGGTAGACCACCTTCGGAAAGCTCAGCCGAATTTGGGCATCACCGACAATGACGTCAAGTGTGTCAAGCTTGCCGGCCTGTGCCATGACCTCGGCCACGGTCCGTTCTCCCACATCTTCGATAACGAATTCATGAAGCAGGCGCGACCGGGGTTCCAGTGGACTCATGAGGTGGCCAGTCAGGACATGTTGGACTATTTGGTTGCTGAGAATGAGCATGTCAGCCTTACGCCAGGGGAGGTGCGGTTCATTAAGGATCTGATTCATGGAGAGCCTCGCGGCGACTACCCACAAGCGGCCAAGCGGTTCCTCTTTGACATTGTTGCCAACAAACGTAACTCGATTGATGTTGATAAGGTACCGTCTGATTGTGTGATGCCCAAGTTTATACTCGTTACTCAAACAACGCATCCATTGCAGTTCGACTATATCCAAAGAGACTGCCATAACGTCGGCATCAAAACCAGCCTGGACGCCACACGCTTCATGAGGCTGGCGCGGGTCATCGACAATCAAATCTGCTTCAACCAAAAAGAGAGCTTTAACATCTACGAGCTCTTCCACCGCCGTTTCTGCTTGTTCAAAATGGTGTATACCCATCGAGTAGGAAAGGCGGTGGAATACATGCTCTGCGAAGCCTTGTTGGCCGCTGACAAGTATCTCGGAATATCGTCATCCGTTGACGACATGAGTCGTTATATTCACATGACCGACGCGATCATTCGCGAGATTGAGCGGAGTACTGTGCCTGAACTGGCCAAATCAAGAGAGATCATTCATCGCCTGCGAATTCGCGAACTCTATCGCTACGTCGATCAGTCCATCGTGCCCCCAGAAGGGTACGAGGGCTACAAACGCGAGGTCACGCCGGAAGCCATCGTCCGCTTCCAAGAGCCCGGAGACGACCTCACAGAAGACGACGTTATCATCGAATGGCTGAAACTCGGCTACGCCATGCAAGACCAGAACCCGGTAGACGCCGTCAAATTCTACAACAAATGGCAACCCACCCAAAGCTTCCACATTGGCCGCGAACAAATCTCCTCGTTCCTACCCACCAATTTCCAGGAAATAACTCTGCGGGTCTTCACTCGCGACAACAATAAACGGCAGCGGGTCCAAGCCGCATTCAGGAAGTTGGTCGACCATCTCAACGGATCCACCAGCTCTTTCCTCGATTCAGGCAACGAGGACGAGGACGACGGCCTGAGGACCGTGCCCGGTAGCATCGAAGCCGATCGTCAATCAGGCAGTCTGTCGTTGCAACAAACACCAGGCGACCTCACCGGCCGCCGCCTCTTCACCGACGCCAACGGCGACCCCACAACGCCGTCCGCCAGCCCCACCCCTTCCTCCATCCGCAGCGTGTCGCGAACACGGGAACGCGGCTCCACCTCAGCACAGGGCAGCCCGATGCGTCCGCATAGGTTGAGTCCGCCGACGTCGACGATCTTGCCGAATAATTATCGGGATATTGCGGATAGCCCGGCTACTAAGAAGAGGAAGAGGACGGGGGAGGATAGGAGGCCGGTGGTTGCTCCGAGTGGGGCTGTGGAGCACTGAAAGACATTTGATATATACACCAACTGCATCGCCATCGCATCCACTCTTGTATAGACAAACACATTATTGGCTGTCTCGCCATAGTTAAATCGACATCAGAGAGCGCATACCTTCACCCCTGCATATCCCTCCTCCCTATCATCTGGTACCCCTGAGTTTTGCTGCATCCATATCCTTTGTATCTGTATCGATAACGCACATTTCGGCCCCTACATATAGATTTTGGCATTCTGCCCCCCAGAACGCCCAATGTATTATGTTCACATCCTGCGCCCCGAATGGCTCCTAGTTGTTCATCGGATGGGCTGGTTTAAGGATGCGACGAACGTGTTTGTACGGTTGTATGTATATGGAGGAAATGATGAGAATAAATATACAGAAATGTAGCGCTGTTGGGTGTGACTTCCTACTTCCTACGCTGACTTCCTACTTCCTACGCTGACTGCGACGCAGCGAAACCGAAATTTTGATTGGGAGGCTCTATCTCGCTATATCAGCTTATTGTGATCCAGGAAACTGCCCCATCGCCCCCTGCTGTTGCTGCTGTAACAGCGCATTCTGTTCCCCAAACCTTAGCCCCACCCGCTCGGAATGTTTGATGAATTTGTCGACGCATCTGTTCGTGCATGTGTCCTGTGTGATGTGATGATTGTGAGGAAGCTGTGGGGACGGATGTGATGTGGGGGCGGGGTGGGGATATGGCTTACCTCCTTTGTGGACAGGGCTTTTGATGTGAAATCGTTTACGCAGTCGGCGAAGCAGCGATCGACGAGACTGGCGTAGAGGCGGAGGAAGTCTTTCATCTGGGGGTGGGAGTGGGAGAAGTGGGAGTTGGCGAGGCGGGTTAGTGGCGGGGTTGAGTGGATTGCGGTTTCCGGGTCGATCGGGGTAGCGGCTTCGCCCTCGTGGTCGCTCGGGTATTGGGTCCATGTTCCCATGTGGTGCTCCTGACACCATTGACTGCTCTGCAAAACTTTCGACACGTCTCCCCAGCAGCTTCTACGGTTCGCACACCTCCCTCAAATACCCCTCTACGTTTCTTCGGAATGCCTGTCCCCCGAGTCCCCGCTGCCGTAGTACTACGAGGGATGTGCATACCTGCTTCTGTTCGATGTAAGCGTTCATCCGTGAGCGGTCCACGTCCGAGAGTCCGCTGAAGTCCATTGTGGTGAGGGGAGTGGTGGTGGTGCCTGGGGGGGTTGCTTATGTAGATAGATAGATAGATAGATAGATAGCAGTGGGGCTGTTCTTGTCGCTGCTGTGTCGCCGGTCGTTGCTCCGAATGTCGTCTGAATGCAGGAGTGCCGTTGGGGACGCGTCTCTTGTGCGCCTCCATCCGTCAGAACGACACTCTGCGGCCGTCTGCCTGCCTGCCATCACTGCCGCTTCCCAACGTTCAACCCCAACCCCCATCGCAACCGTGTATTCCTTCGGCCACAATCCGGGCATGCGGCCCCTCATCGCTATGGAGAGGTCCGTCAACAAACTGACCTCAAAGACTATCAAACCGCTCAAGCCCAAGCATGTTCAGAGTGCGTATTTCGGTGGATGAGTGCAGGAGGAGCGGAGTGACCAACGCAGTGACGAGCGAACCGTGCGATGGTGGTTTGCGGATGTATCCGAGCGATAGCGAGGAGGATGCTTAAGGGTTCCGAGCGACAGCGACGAGAACGCGACACCGAGCCAATTACCGGAGGTCCAAGAACGCTTGAGCCGCGAGCGACAGCGAAAGCGCGAGCAGAGCGAGCCCACATTCCCACCAAAGGCGCGCTTCCCCTATTTACGGTTCTTGGCGAGCATCAGCGAGCGAAGCGAGCTACTCTCCGCCCGCATCCCAACATCCTCGTCGCAATGTGGTGATGGTTGAATGATGGGTTCATGGGTTGACACTAACGCCTTTCCTTACTTGATTATCAGTATTGACTGGAGCATCATGGCAGCGAGAAATCCCCATATCGGAGTTGTTCCGATACATCAACCACCGGTTGAGGGAAGACCATTGGGTGATAACATTCAAAGCCCTAATAACAATCCACATCCTAATGCGCGAAGGCGCCACCGACCGCGTCCTCGGCTTCATCGTCAGCAACCCGGGTTTGCTACGGATGCACAACTTCCGCGACCGCACCAACACCGCACTGGGCCAGGAGCAGTCCAAGAACCTGCGCGCTTATTCGCAGTATCTCGAGGAGAAGGTGGCGGCATTTAAGGAGCTTAAAGTGGATTTTGTGAGGAGCAAGGCGGATATGATTGCGAGGTTGAGGAGTTTGCCGGTCGAAGATGGGTTGTTGAAGGAGGTGGAGCTTTTGCAGAAGCAGATTGATGCGCTGCTTGGGTGTACTGTGAGTAGCGCGAGTACGAAGCGAGAGCGAGGGCGAGCGTTAGCGAGTTGCGAATTCGATCGAGGACGACCGTTAGCGAGCTGGATGGTTTTCGCCCATATCATTTGCGAATACGACACTCACGCATTCACCCCTTCATTGTTTCCAGTTCTACCTGGAGGAAATCGATAATGTTGTAACCCTACAAGCATTCCGACTCCTCATCGGCGATATGATGGCGCTCTTCCATCTCCTAAACGAATCAGTCATTCGCATTCTCGGTACGTTTCATTCATCAGCAAAAAAGCGGCACGCGAAATTCGCTTGTATGATGCTAACTCTCCGCTTTGAAACAGGGGAATACTTCGAAATGTCGAAAAGCGACGCGGAACGAGCCCTCCAGATCTACAAAAACTTTGCAACACAGACCACCAAAACCGTCGAATTCTTCGATATCGCCCGGCGGCTGAAGCACGCCCTTGGTATGGATGTTCCTGCGTTTAAACACGTACGTTGGAGGTGATTTAGAGCGGGGCGTGGTGGATGGTGGTTGATTTGGTTTCTTTTCAGGCACCGGTGTCGTTGGCGGGAGCGCTGGAGGATTATTTGAAGGCGCCGGATTTTGAGGCGCAGCGGATGGCTTATAAGGAGAAGAAGGGGGGTAAGACAGGTGGAACCGCGTCGGCTTCTGCTCCGGCTTCGAAAGGTTTGTTCTGAGGGATGTCATGTGCCACCACTTCGTACTAACTGCGAACCCCATCAATTTCTAGGAACGGCAGCCACCTCAACGCAATCATCAACCCAACCCACCTCCACCTCCAAGCAACCCGAGAAACCAGCAATCGACTTTTTCTCCAGCCTCGACGACGAACTAAGCGCTTTCCAAGCACCCGCCGTCCAAGCCCAATACAACACCGCCGCCGACCCCTTTGGCGGACTCTGGGGCGGCGGCCAGGACGGCGGCGCAAGTGCTGCCAGCAACCCGTTCGGAGCAGTACAGACCACCAACCCATTCGCTCTGAAGAATCAGGAACTGCAGCAGCAGACGCAGGATATCAATAGCCAGTTGCAGGCTTTGCAGGCGGGGTTGAATACGTTTAATGTGCAGGGGGCGGCGGATCCGTTCGGTGGTGGTGGTGGTGCGGGTGGGCAGATGGTACTAGCCAGCCAGGGCGGGTTCCCGATGCTGCAGCAACAGCAGTCTCAATCGCAGTTTGGGGGTTACTCCCCCTTCGCGATGCCCCAGCAACAACAACAACAACCACAGGGATTCGGCGCCGGGGGAGGCGCCTTCACCGTCGAAAACGTTTTCGGAAACAACGACGCGTTCGGCAGCGGCGGAGGTGGTGCAGCACCAGCAACCCGAAACAACCCCTTCGGCGGCCCCACCACCGCCGCCCTCCCCGCCCCGCTCGCCACCCAACAATCCTCCACCGACCCTTTCGCAGGCCTCGGACTCCCCCAACAGCAACCGTCAACAACAAACCCCACCCTGGACCCGTTCGGTTTGAACCGCCAACCGACGACGTTCGGGAACAATGGCATGCAACAAGGCGCGTTTGCCGCGTTACAGGGCCAGGCTACCGGTGCAGGCTCGTTAAATAACCCGTTCGCGTCTACCGGCCAACCACAACAACAACAACAACAACCATTCGCCCCCCGCTCAACCACCACAACAACAGGCTTCGGCGGCGCACCCCAACCCAATAACTACACCGCCGCCCCTACGCTCTCCACCGCATTCGGAGGGTTCGGGTCGTCGAATCATTCCACGAGTGCCGGGGTGAATTTTGGTGGGAATAGTAATGTGTTGAGCGGGTTTTCCCTCGGGCTTGGCGTCGGCGGGGTCGGCGGGGGTGGAGGTGCAGGTGCAGGGGGGTTTGGGACGACCCACCACCCCAACACGTCGAATGTATCGTTCACCAACAACAACCCGAATGCGAATCGGGCATCGTTTCTGCCTGGGATGGGAGTGTCGGGTGGGAATTTGGGCGGGGCGGGGGCGTTTAACCCGTTTGCGACTGGGGGTGGTGGTGGTGGGATGGGGATGGGGATGGGGATGGGGACGGGTGGGGTGCAGGGACAGCAGGGACAGCAGCAGCAGGGGGCGGCGGCGTTTAACCCGTTTGGAGCGCCGGCTGCGGCTGCGGCTGGGATGGGCGCTGGTGGCGCCGGTGCGGTGCCGTTTGGGAATTTTGCGAAACAGGTGGGTTTCTCGCGGCATCTCCGTGTCAACGGAAAGAATTCTTGGTTGCTCATCGTTCCCCTTTTTGTTTTGGTTTCCTAGGATTCATTGATCTGAGGAAATGTTGCGCTATCTGTGACGGGAACGATTCCGGCCGACCGAAACAAACCATTAACTCGTCACATCATCCCCACCCTTCGAATGAGGGGATTCCGAATCTTTATTCAGACCCCGCTTTCCACATCAACTATAGACCATCACCCTTTGAACGCCTCATATGCTACCACTAGCCTACATTCATTCCATCACCATCACTCTCCCCTCACACACCCACTCCCCATCCAAATCTTCAATACCACTACATTCCATTCATCCCCCCACATCCGTGGTATTCCACCTACGCCGGACGGCATCCTACTTCCAATTTCTAGATCTCGCTGGGCTACGTAACTATAATATTTGAAACTGGTTGCGTCGTGTCATACCCTGGGTGGCTGTGCGTGTGTGTATGCAGGTGTTTGAAGGGTTTCGGGCCGGGAGTGGATTCGGTCAGGACTCCGAGGTCGGCTGAGCATTCGTCGGTGTATGCAGGTGGAGGTCGTGTCTATGTACCTGTGCTCGTCAGATGGCGAAGCCCCCGCCTGATGTGTTCAGAAACACACCTCCAGGAACGGTGATATGCCGCTCCGTGTACATCTCATCTCATCTCATCTCGTCACTCCTCCTCGACCTCGACCTCCTCCTCCTCCTCCGCCACGCCATCCCCAACCAACCCCCCATAATACGCCACAATCGCCTTCGACCTCCCATTCAAAAACTCCTCCTCGACCTCGCATACGCCGCCGGGGCCCGCTAGGTCTGCCAACTGGAATGCAGTGGAGGGGTTGATGATCAGTATACGACCGACCGCACCACGACTTCCCCTTCGTCGAGGGGTGGGTGATCCATACCTGCTGTGATATCACGTTCCGCGGCATGAACATGCATACGTTGGGTGTGACGGCCCGGGCAGTCTCGAATAGGGTCGTCCTGTAAAAACAGCGCGTGGGTGAGTCGGGTGGGACGCCCTCGCCAAACCAATATGATGCAAAAAGAAAACACATACGCGTCAATCGGCAGCATGGTGTGAATATCATACGCGTCCGCCTGTAGGTATTCTGGGCCACCCCATGGCGGGGAGAGGAATATTGTATCCGCCTAACGAATGATCCCCCGTCACGTTAGCGTAAGCTGCTGATGGGTCCAAGGCAACAACATAGCGTCATCATACCGTCCGCCCCTTGAGCACCTCCAACACGTCCCCGAGTACAAACTCGATCTTGTCCTCGACGCCGTAGATGCGCGCGTTGTTGCGGGCGCAGCGGAGTTTCGTGGGGTCGATGTCGATTGCTATCACTGGAAGGGGGAGGAAGGGATAGGTTGGATCGTTTCTGGGATTGAAACTGTCGAAGGGCGAGGAGAGGGAGGATTCCCACCTTTTTTGCAGGTCTTCGCAAACTGGATCGCGTTGCCTCCTGCCTGTTTTGCCCCCGCGCGTGTGAGATGGTAGTCGATGTGTGTGAGACATGATGCGTCGTGGAAGACGTACCCCGCAGAACCCGTCAATGATTGTATCGCACGCCAAGCGCTGTGCTTGGTATTCGGCTACTTTCTCGGGAGTGACTGAGAACCAGCTCTCTACAACGCGACAGAAAACGAGCGAAATCAGACGTTAGATTGGAAGTTGTGAATAGTAGACATGGGCAATTCACACTCATACCTTCATCCAACATGATCCCCTCATCGTATTTCGAAAACAGGTTGTATCGCTGATACCAGTATTTCACCAGATGCTCCGGGATATGCTCCGCGCCCCATATGTAGTATTCATCTCCCAGCTCTTCGTCCCCATTCTTGTATAGAGGTGTTGCGTTGTTTGTCTCCATGGTGCTTTCCGGTTCGGGAATGGGTTGTATGGGCGTCGACACAACCGCCTGCCCCTTCCCCTTCGGCGTCTTCATCACCGCTGGAACCGCATCAATCCCGCCCTGCATCTCCTGCGCCCTCAACGTCGCCAAAAACGCGGCGGCGAGCGATGTCGCCGCCTTTACCGGCTTCAAAATCGCCGGCTTGACGGTGAAAACCGGCCGAGTCGGTTCAGGCGTCATGCCTACTTTATCGATCGTGATCATTGCATCGAGTGCCACCTCCTCTCCCCCCTTGTCGCCATCGCCGTCCTCTTTGTCGTCGTCGTCGTCGTCACTCGCCTCCCCCTCCTCCTTCTCCTTCTCCACGTCCAGCGTCAATCCTCGCTTCTTTTTCTTGCCACGCCCTCTCTTCCTGTTAGCCCGCTTTCGTTTTGTCGATGGAGGCCTTTCCTGTCCACCGGGCGTATCTCCTGCTTTCGAAGCTGGCGTTAGTGCCTCGTTTGGGGAGTCGGCGCCCTCATGCGATTCGAGTCGCCCCTTTAGCTGTTGAGAGTTGGATGAACGTGATGCCACGGGCGAGGAGTTACACTGCAAACACTTCTACTCACTCTATTTGAGGTTGACGCCGAAGCATCCACTTTGTGTGGAGTCGAAGTCACCATTACACGGACAAGTTTGGGCTTTCGGGGAAGCCGCGAAGTTTCCCTCTGGAATGAAACTATGTGGTGCAGGTTTAGGGCCCGTTCCCAACTCTGACGGGTTGAGGCTGCAAAGGCCTCGAGCGCGGGGGGACGAAGTGGCTCCGGTCGTCGTCGAGAATGCGAGTGCTTTCCTGTGCGCTGCTTTCGTTTCCCCGCGTCTTCGCAGTCCTGGCGTTCCTTCCTTCCGCGTCAAGTCCTCCGAGAGACACAGGCACAGACAGGAACCCTAGGCCTTCGACTTGCCGCATACGCAAAGGATGACCTTCGCAGCACGTTTAGCAACAAGGGCCGGGTTGGGACTCGGAGCTTCGACGATCGCGACAGGGCAAAGCTGTGTTGCTCGCGGAATTGCGAGGCCACAAGCGTACTCGACCGGCGCTGGCCCTTCGGCCGACACTGGTAAGCCACTCTTCTGGTTGGAACCTGCTTTGTTTGCTTGCAGCGAGTTCGGTTTACTCAACACCCACTCTTGCCCCCTACAACCAGATATCCTCCAAAGACTACGAGGAGACCTCTCAACCGCCCTCAAAGCCAAGAACAAAAGCGTCTCAACCCCCATCCGCTCCCTCCTCAGTGAAATCACCTACGCCCAGAAACAACAAACCCCAGCAGCAAGCACCGCAGCGACCGTCGCAGTCGTCCCCATCATCCGAAAAGCGATAAAGAAGCGCCAAGAGTCCGCAGACGCGTTCCGCGCGAACCAGCGGGACGATCTGGCCATGAAGGAGGAGGAGGAGGCCAAGTTCCTCGCGGCGTATTTGCCTGCGCAGCTGACGCCAGCCCAGGTTGATGAGTTGGTGAGGCAGATTGCCCTGGATTTGGGGGTGAAGGGGCCGAAGGATATGGGAAAGGTGATGAAGGAGGCGAATGTGAGGATTGATGAGTCGGTTGCGCCGAGGAAGGTTGTCGCTGATGCCGTGAAGAGGATGATCAGTAGCTTATAGGGTGGGGTTGATGTTGATGTGCGTGAGGAGGGATTTAGGGCAGATATAGATAGACCGTAGGCTTTGACACTCAATCGCATATATGGAGTTCCATGCCTCTGTATAGAGTCTCCGTGATGCTATGAATTTCAGTGAGACGATCGCCAACATCGGGCATTTGAGAGCATCAACGACAGTATCGCGGGCTTTTTCCCTGGTTTCATAATGCACAATTCATGTGACTTTTCGACATACACCAAGCGACTAGCCCAATGCATCAGAATAGATCGCCGAGAAAACAGATGTGTCCCCCTCGTAACCTACGTCGCTGCCCGGCGCAAAGTCCCTCCTCGCCATCTTCCTCCTCACATCCACCCATCCACCGCCCCACCGCACGGACAAGTAAATACAAGTTTTTGGCATTGAAACCGCCAAGAACCACCATCTCAAAAGAAGTGATATGTGGCAAGGGCGACGAAGGAGGTACCGGGATCCTCGCGGTAGCAGAGGAGAAAGTATTTTGCAAAATTAGGGGTATGTGTCAAACAACCGCGAAAGAGGGGCGAAACGTCTACAGCAGCTTGTTCAGGATCTCAAATATCGCTGCCCAAAAGAAGAAAGATAAGGAGGTAAGCAAACGCCATCCCTCATAAGTGGGTAGACCATACAACGAAAGATATCCCTTACATGACCCAATCACAACAAACACGATAAACCCCAACAGAATCGGGCCAACGGGGTACTTTGCCGTCTCCTTTTTCAGCGTTGGCTTGACGAAGCCTCGTTTGTGGATGTTTCTATAAACACAATCGTATGAGGATATGTGATGGCATTGTGAGTGTGGCGAGGCTGACGGAGAGCGGCTTACTGTGCGTAGGCTTGGTTCTTTTGGCGGATGGCGGGTGGTGCGGACTATATATCAAACAGGGATGAGTGGCCCGCTCGTACGTGCGTATTCTTTTTCCGGAATAGCTGCTCCTTCAGCCTGACGCGGAGTCCTCCAACTGCCCCCAGCCCGTGGAACCGAGTAGTTATAGCTTATATCGCCGCCCCAAGTCGCTTTCCCCTCAGTAGGTTTCCACCATGCCCAAGTCGTGGTGATCACACGCCCGAAATAGTCCAGAGCCCAGAGTCACCCACCATGGCTGCAAGCGGATATGAGAGGGGCTGGACTAACGGTCGAAGAAGTTGTAATTCGTTCGTGAGTTGACGGCTGTAAGTGTCCTAGATCATGAGTGTAAGTTGGATGTGTTTGAATGTGCGGCTACCAGGTTGCATACTTTTGTTTGCGTGTGTGTGCAGAGATACAGTCGGCTGGAGTTCTGTGCTGGTTGGCTTGGGCTTTGTAGAGTGGCAGTCTGCGTCCGTTGTGTGGACGAGGTTGGGGATTGGGCTTTTGAGAACTCGAAGCGTGGAGCCTTCCAGAGAGCGACGTGTGCGACCCAGAGCGGAATGCGAGCAATCCAGCCAACCACGGAGCGCGTCGCTGACCGCCGCCGTCACTCACCCGCGTCGCTGGTCTTCCCACCCTTCCTCCCGTCGCAAAATACCTAAGACTATGTGCACAACAGAGGACAACATAGCTGACTTACGCAATCACCTCGGCCGCTCATAAATGATCTCAATCCTCCCCACCCCATCCGGATCAACCTGCGCAACATCCGAATACTTCCTCGTCACCCGCTTCCTCTTCCTCCACTGCCACAGTCCCCCTCCCACACCCCCCCTCAAAACCATCCCCAAACCCACTTCGCCACCCTCCCCACCCCCTGCGCTTCCTCCTCCGCCCTCGGTATGGTGGCAGCAACATGCAACAAAATCGCTCCCAACTCACACTAAACGTCCCAATCTCGTTCACACTCTCAAACGCTGGATCGGAACTCGCACCCTCGCCATGCACATGATGTTTCAGCAACTCGCGACCGAACATTACAAGACTCCGACTTTAAGTGGGATTAGCCCTCACGCCAACGTCAAAATCAACCAGTATTCGAATTCAATCGTTGCACTAGTATATTAGATTCCGGAGCCGAAGTGAATCTGATGTGTCGCTTCCCGTCACTCGACGCGCAAAACCACGCTAAGGCAATTAAGCGACGCGCTTATTTGGTCGGTAATTGACAGGATTGACAGCATTCCAATTTGCGAACTTCCATGCCTCGGAGGGCTCATTCGATCATCCCAGAGCGAGGCTGCAACGGGCAGAGATAAGCGGGGTCTTCAGGCAGTGTCAACAAGGCGTCGCCGGATCCTACGTCGTGAGGCCCCGAGACCACCTCTCACCGCATCCACTGGTCCTCCGTCTTTGCGTGGCTTATCTTACATTACATGGCGGGCGTACGTCGTACTGCGAGCAGTCATGGTCGTCGCCGACGGAAACTTCACATGTGCGGGATGTAGTAGCACGTAGCACCTACATAGGTCCCTCCTACGACGACGGAACTGACTTGCATCCAGTTTTTTTTTCCTTGCCAAGGCACTCCGCGAAAAGGGCCTTATCTATATTAACCTCGCTGGTCATGTTGGTTCTCCGGCGTGAACGGCAAAGGAAGAGGTCCCGAGTCGAAGCCCAATTTGGGAGCAATGCGTTCGGTGCTATGTGTCATGATGGGACGTGAGCCTTCCGCATGTCCGAGGCGCCCGACGACGGGCATATAAGAAGGCGAGGTGACGAGCGTCACCTCCCTTCCAACAACTATCGCTCGGCAACGCAACAATGTCCGCAACATCATCGACTGACGTCGAGTCTGCCTCTGACATCACTCAAATGGCGTCCAGCAAGCCTTTCCAAATCGGCACATACATACACTGGACCATTGCCGACAAGCCCGACAAGGTTCACGCGACCGACCTCGCCTCGGTGAAAACATCCCTCTCCTCCGCCGATGTCCGCGCAACGCTCCTCTCGCAGCTCGGCTACCACCCATCCGACGCATCTCACGTGCTTACACTGTGTCGTGCGGACGGGTCCGTGATCCCGTTGACGGGCGCCATCCCGCCCAACTCGTGCGACGATGCATATGTTTTGCACGTAGTGAAGGCTGTCGGTGATGCCGATGCGGTTGCCGTTCCGGCGGCTGCGGAGCTTCCGGCGAAACGTGCGGAGTTGGAGGATGTGCATGCTGAGATTGATGCTTTGAAGTGGTATGTTCCCTGACCGCCTGTAACCAAGCCGTTGACTGATTTTCATCCTTCTCCGCTCTTAGGCAAGTCCGCCTCATGAAAAAGCAGCTCGCTTTGGGCGGACCGCTTTCCGCCGGCGGCGCAACCCCCCCGGCACCCATGTCATCGGACCGGCGCCACCTCACGGACGAAGAAGCGCAAGAAATCATCCAAGACCTCGAAATGCTCGCCACAGAACTCACTCTGGTGCACGACCTCGGCTTACCCGCCTTGCCGTTTCGCCGGTTCCTGTTTGGGTTAAAGGACGCGTTCGAGAAGAGTTCGACGCCGGTGGATTTTAGGCAGTCGCATCAGATGACTAGGGCTGTTTTTCATGTGTTGAAGGCGAATCATGTGACGATGAAGTGGAAGGGGATAGACAAGCTTGTTTGTTTGGTGGGTGGTCGTGAATCGGGCTGTTTAGGGGATTTGGAAGGACGCTAATATGCAACCTTTTCTTTTGCATCAGCTGAGTACCCTCACATATGGCTTGCGCAAACCGACCGCGGACAAAGCCGCACCTCACCAAGAGTCCAAATCTAACCACTACCACGCCCAAGACCAATTCTGTAAGCCTTCTCTCTGCGCTCTCTTCGCAAGGGGACCACCTACTAACGCACATCCGCCCACCAGCAATCATAACATCCCTCCTCAACACCCCCCCAACCAACTTCCTCTCCCACCTCGACCCGCACGACTTCAAAGACTTCAAAGAAGCTCTCAAATCCAACCTCTCCATCCTCGCCGCGCCGCGCACATTCCTCCCAGAAATCCCCGCTCGCAAGATCAACCCCAACACCACTGCGAAGGATGGTAAACCGCATCAATCGCAGATCCCGAGTGTGAGCGCTGTGGATCGGTTCAGTAAGAGTACGACGGGGACGACGGCGCAGTTGAAGAGGAGGGGATCGTTGGATTTGAAGAGTAGGGCTGCTAAACCGGTGGATTTTGGGGAGTTCAAGAAATCTGCTGCTGCTGCCGCCTCTCCTGTCGCGGTGCCTGCTGCCACGCCCCCGCCGTCGCCGCCAACAGCCGTCGTGGAAACGCCTACAGCAGGTCCTACACCAAGGGAAGACAAAGTCATGAAAGAACGTCAGCTGGCCCGCATGTAAGCCTCCCTCCTCCCTCGTATCACCCGGGCATCTCTAAACCTCCTCCCTCCCTCAGCTACGAACAAGAAGGCGTCGACAAAGAGCTCGCGGCACTCATCAAACAAGACATGCTCGATCTCACCCCCAACGTGCGCTGGACCGACATCGCAGGGCAAGAAGAGGCTAAAACGTTGCTAGCCGAAGCGCTGGTCATGCCGGCACTGATGCCGGAGTTCTTTAAGGGGATTCGACGACCGTGGAGGGGGATATTGATGACGGGGCCGCCGGGTACGGGGAAGACTATGTTGGCTAAAGCTGTTGCTACGGTGAGTCGAACGATCCCTGTCTTCCTTTGATGCGCCGGCTTTCTCAACCCCGACTCCCACCATTAGGAATGCCGCACAACCTTCTTCAACGTCTCCGCCTCAACCCTCGCCTCCAAATGGCGCGGCGAATCCGAAAAACTCGTCAAAACCCTCTTCACCCTCGCGCGCATCCACGCCCCCTCCACTATCTTCATCGATGAGATCGACTCCGTCTGTTCCGCGCGGGGCGGGAGTAACGAGCATGAGACGAGTCGGAGGGTGAAGAGTGAGTTGTTGGTGCAGATGGATGGGGTGGGGAGTAGTGCGAGGGACGGGGTTGTGATGGTGCTGGCGGCGACGAATTTGCCTTGGCTTTTGGATGAGGCGATGCGGAGGAGGTTGGAGAAGCGGATTTGTAAGTGTCTTCTCTCCGGCACATTGTTTTATCTTCTGTGAATATATGGGCTGATATGATCTGTTTTCTTTGATTTGCGAAGACATCGGCCCACCAGACCAACTCGCCCGCGAGCAAATGCTGCAACTCAGCCTGCGGGACGTTGCCGTCGCGCCCGATGTTGATTTGGAGGAGATCGCGAAGCAGATTGGAGGGTTTAGCGGGGCTGATATCGCCAATGTGAGTAGTCAACATCTCATCGCCTTTCTCTGCGACACCATCTGATGGTTTATGTCGTCCGTGTAGCTCGCCCGAGACGCAGCAATGATGAAACTCCGCGAAAAGATGCGGACCATGAAACCCTCCGAGATGCACAAGATGAAAGCCGGTACGTCTCTCCATCCCTCCTCTCCCTCATTTCCCCAATCCTCCTCTAACCCCCTGTATCCTCCCTCCATCACAGATGAACTCGTCGCCCCAATCACAACCTCCGACTTCACCACCGCGCTCAAGAAAGTGCAGTCGTCGCTGTCGGGAGCCGATATTGAGCGCTATGAGCAGTGGTTGGCGGATTATGGGAGTGCTTAGAAGATCATTGAGGACACGGCGTAGATTGGTGGGGTGTGGGTATGGGCTGTTGGTTGGATGTTAGGATAGGTGAAAAAAGACGGGCTCTGTGTGGTTACGGCTCTCGTTCCAGTCATTTCCGTCGTTGAAATAGAAATCGCCGAATGTTCCGCTCTGACGCTGAATATGTATTTCATGGCAAGGTGTGAATGTGGTTTGAAGGAGTTGACTCAGTGACCGCAATGCCAGACCTCAGGAAGAAGAATGGCCTCTCCCCCGTGTAATGCTGAGGAGATTCGCGTTTGCAACCGAACGACCGTCGTAGCTTCCGTGCTCTGGTCAGCTCCAGGGTCAGCTCTGGTTCATGCATACGGGACAACGGATGTCTCACGTGTCGAGCGTACGCGCAGGTAAGTTTATGACATTCGATTTCCCCCATTCGGGGAAGAAGGTGAACATCCGCTGAGCTTGTGCGCATGGTACACTACCTCGAGGGCCGGTTTCCAGGAATCTTTGCTTGCGCACAGACGAAGGCGTTCGCTAAGATTCACAGTGGTGGTTCTTATCATATCTTCCATGGTCTGGATAGCCCGGGTCGCCCTCCGAAGTGAATGGCGTGCTGGGTACCACCCTTCAAATTCCCAGAGGCAAAGTGCTGTCGCTTTGCGAATTCGAGAACATTCGTGCTTTCGAACCCGAAAAAGTAAGCAGAAGCGGGCACTGCCTTGACTCATGCTCCCGATCCGGCAACATCACCTCCCTACCAGCGATTCGGCCACTCTCGGAAAGGCGGTCCATCAAAAGCCGATATTCCTGCACGGAGGATGCACGTCCAATGTCCTAGGCCCTTCTCAAGAAGGGGGTCGTTCACTCGGTTCCGGTTCGGTCGTTGAGAGGATACCAGCGCCTCGAGGCAGCCATCTTTGGCACACGTCGTTTCGCCTCCGGTTTCGCTCCTTCTCCGGGGTCCTGCATCTCTCTCCGGTCTTCGGGATACAAATGCCCGGTTAACGCAAAGTCGACACACCGCTCTCACTTGGCGCTTCTGCCTCTCCTTGTTCTATGACGTGATGATTCAAACTTCCTCGGGTGATCTGGTGCTTGGTCGCCGTTGCGTAAACTCCAGCTCGGAGAGCGCTTGCCGGGGGAGTGAGAAAAGCCGGTGGGTGGCTCGACCCCTTTGACTGTTTTCGATTGAAAGCCCACCCCCAGCTCGAACAGCTACGCCAACAGTGACTGTAACAAGCCTCGAAACCCCAAAGATGGTTTTTCAGGAGAGAAAAATGCGTCTTCTCCCCACCCCCGGAGTTTAACAGCGATCCTTACGACTTCAGTGCCTCCCCACTGACTTGTATCGCTCTGGCTCTCCCTCTCCTTCCTCCCAGAGGGGTGACTGAGTTGCCCGGTGGTCTTGGTTCCGGGGATGATGTTTTGTTTGAACGCGTCCGCTCCCAACAATGCTCGCAATGTTCACAACGGCAAGAAGCTCACGAACGGCCTGCGAACGGCACAAGGCTGGCACAGAGGCATCGACATCGTGGTGCTCTCCCTAGGAGCATCGACGTCGAGAGCGACCGGAGGGTTGGATCTGGAGTCTACTCGCAGCGTCCAGTACCTGGTTGTACCCCACCGCTCAAGACTTCATTTGGGCAACGACGGACCTTCGCTTGGCCCCCTTACATAGACTCGGAGAAAGGGCTGCCATAACGCTCCGTCATATCAGTCAAGGCCTCGCTCGGGAAGGCAGAGTATCCGATTGTGAGCGCCAACTGAGCGAGCGTCACTTGCCCCGCTCGAGCATCGCGAAACAATGTCCGACCAACTAGAATCCTTCGCGCAAATCTACGCATACCCACCCTTCTCTACCCGCGCACGCACCGAGAAGCTATGTCGATCCGTCATGTCCGACCCGGAGCTCTATGCTCGCATCGCGCGATCCATGCGTGTCATCCTTCCTCGCCAACTACTCGCCCCCGATGAACAAGATGACGAGCAAAGGCGAATCATACGCGATAGCCTTCGGTACCGTATCCCCGTGTACTTCGGGCGGATATGCTCGCAATCGTTCAACGATGATGTACTTCTGCGTGTATGCGGGTACACTGCCGCGGAAGGCCACACCAAAATCCTTCCAAAATGTCGATACGTCGTATGCGGGCGCGTCCTCGCCACCAGTCCCTGTGTAGATACCCCAAAACCCGCCTACGTCGCGCACGCATGGGGCATCAATTTCGAGACTTCGGGGACGTGGGATTACAGTCATTATATGGACTCCGAGGGCCGGATTCTGCGCGATACGTTTGAAACGACGCAAAGAGATATGTGCAGGATGATTGTCCGCGCTGGTGAGCATGCACTGCATGATGCTGGTGCGGGCTACGTGGATCTGTTGGTGCCAATGATTGGCATGGGCGTGTTCATGCAGGCATGTCGGAGTAGCGACGATCGCAGTTGGGCGTTGAATACGCTGGTGCAGCAGCTCCACTCCGCCGTACACGAATCCACGGCAGAAGTGCGGGTAATATTCTACGGCGACACCCGCATCAAACCTCTCCCCACATCCCCCAAATTCACAGTCAAACTCGGTGGGGATATGTTTGCCGACGCCGGCGAGTTGCTAGCGACATCCGCATGCGTTTGTGTCGTCAACGCATGGGACCCCGTGAGTTTCATCGGCAACGGGATGGCGCATGACCGGAGTATCGACGGAATGATTGGCAGCGGGATGGGTTATGGGGCGGGGTTTGCCAATTCGTGTTTTACGCATAACACGTACCTTATGCCGGCGGTGTTGGACAGGGAAAACTGGATTGGGATGGAGAGCGAGGCTGCGGGTATGGAGAACGACGTGAAAGAATAGCAGGTGCTTATTCGAGTTGGACAGAACGCATACCTCGCACCCGCCGACCATTCACACCTACCCGCTCACTGGCGCGTCGGTGGCGTGTCCGGCTGCATCGTCAAATCCCCGGATCCCTACACCTGGACCCTGCGCGACTCGCATTACCTCCTAGACCAACAAGGCCACGCATGGGACGTTTATTCAACTGACAGACAACACATCGACTACGTCGTATCATGGCATCGATTCAACGGCGGCGCAAATCAACGGTTCGAAATTGAACAGGGCGGCGTGACCCATCGGGGTCTTTATGCCTATATCGACGCCGAAAACACTCTCAGGCTCACACCAACCGCATCCCAATCCGTCGCTCTGCGATTCCTCCCCGCTCCTACAGGGCCCACGCCGGCATTCTGGACACAGCTTCCAGCACAGCTGCCATACCCGTTATTCTATCTCTCTGAGCAGCAAGCGCCCGTCCTTGCGAATCACCCCGATCTGGAAGCATACACCCCTTACCTCCCCTGCTGGGTCCCACAGGCGCTGATCAGCACCGCCCTCTTCGGGTCCGCCGAAACAGTCGCCCAGACACAGAGGGCTAGGGGGACGGCCTGGGTGTGGGCCACCGAATTCAGTAACGTGCATTCCACCTTCGAATTTACCGAACCGCCCATCACGGTGGACGGCGAAACATACCCCGGCGGCCCTGAAGTGTATTTCCAATTGATGAAGTACCACGGCACCCCGGCGTTCGATCTCGCGCGGCAGGCACTTACACCCGACGCTAACGGGTATGTCAACCCGTCTGACGCGTTTGCGGTCGGGCTGAGGTGGGCGTTGCGGGATGATTGGACGGACGTACGGGAGGGTGTGATGGAGAAGGCGGTTCGGGCGAAGTTTGAACGGGAGGAATTGAGGGAGTTGTTGAAATCGACGGGGACGCATCCGCTCGTGCAACTGAAACCGGGCGATGGGTATTGGGGGACGGGTGGGGATGGACGTGGGGGGAATGTGCTTGGGGTTATTTTGGAGAGGGTAAGAGGGACGTTGTAGTTTGTTGGATAGGGACATTTTGGGGACGGTTGGTGGTGAGACTTTCTATTGCGTGAGTGGATCGTTTCTTTAGGGGTTGGTCAACATCTTCATCCTACTTTGGATCGACCAGGGGTGGACATAGAGATTGTTTGTATTTATATACACATAGACAGGATGTATATCAGCATTCGGCCCCTTTGTTTGTGTTGTTCTTGGATTTGCAGAGTGGCAAAGTTGGGAAATAGAGGCTCGACATAGAGGAAGGGACGACTGTGGGCGTCGGTGTCATGCGCATATGGATATGTACTGTACAGCATGTATAGTATGCACAGAGCTATAACCAGGGGCGGGCGTCCCGTCGGATGTAGGATGTGCAGGCGGACAGACCGTCTCTCATAGATGTTGCTTCTCAGCGAGGGGCGTCATATGCATGGAGGGGTGGAAAGTCCAATACGCCTGTGATATCGTAACTACATATAATCATCGTATCTATGTAAACCTGCCCCAATTCTACAATCTACACCCCCAAACTCTCCAATGTCAATTTTAGAGCCTCCTCCACGCTGACCCGCGGCTTCCACCCCACCTCCTCCCTCAATCTCCGCACATCCAACGTCAAGCTCTTCCCCATCACACACGCCACATATCGCGACAACGTCGGTTCCCCAGCTATCCCAAAACCTTCCCAAATGATCTCGGAGAGGTACCCGAGGAAATAAGCCGCCCAGAATGGTAGCGGAATCGGTGTGGGGTGTGCGGACAGGTGCGTCGCGAGGTGTGCAAGCAGGCTGTGCATTTGTAATGGGCTGTCGTTGGAGATGTTGTATGTGTGGCCTAAACTCCACCCATAAGATATCCCAAAAAAAGAAAAAAGGACCAGCGAGAAACACAGACTCCACAGAACATACCATTTACGACATGATCCCCAACGGTGGCAACACACGCCATTGCGTCGATTACGTTACCGACATAGGTTACGTCCATCCACCCCTTTCCGTTGTTGATGACTGGGATACGGCCGCTTTGGATGCGGGAGACGAGGCGGGGGAGCCAGGTTGTGTCGTTGGGGCCGGTTATGCCGCGGGGGCGGAGAATTACTGCTGCTTTTAGGTGCGGGTGCCCGGGGGTGGGTTGCAGGGCGGCGTGGATTATGTGTTCTGCCATCTGATAAATATATCGAGCTAGTTGATGAGTTTATTCTGTGCCAACCTCCTCGCAGTTGGAACATACCAACTTGGATTTAGCGTAATAATTGATCTGCTGACTCAACGAGACCACATCCTCTTCCTTGATACTTAACTGGTCGCGGGGGCAGGTGTAGATGCTCGGAGTGGAGACGTGCACGAGTAAGGGTACGGCGTGGGTGATGCAGGCGGAGACGATGTGTTGGGTTGCGGTTATGTTGGCTGAGACAAAGTCCTTCCATCTAGGGGATTTCAGGAGAGCGTGAGAAGTATGAAGCAAGGGTTCCAACTCCGGTGCTTGCCGCAATGCCCTCCACTCATCACACCTACCTGCCAGCCAATTCACACTTTGCAGCACAGTGAAACACCACCTCAACCCCCTCCATCACCTCCCCAAGCACTTCCTCAACCTCTCCCGCCTCCCCACCTAAATTAACCCCCACAAAAACCGCTCCCATCTCCCTCAATTTCCTCCCCTTCACTTCATTCCTGCCTATTGCGATGACTTGAAGGTCGGTGGGTGGGATGTGGCGGGCGGGCGGGGAGGGAAGTTGGGAGGGGAAGGGGTGTGTGAGACCCTGTGTGAGGAGAGTGGAGGTGAGGTGCTGCCCGAGGAAGCCTGTTGCGCCTGTCACTAGAACTTTCATCGTGCTGATAGGCTCTTCCGTGCGTATCTTCTGGGAGGGGTTGGGATGCGGTTTGTTGGATGGTGACATTGCTGAGGGACATTCGGCGGTCTGCGGGCGGGAGCGGCCGCGACATCTCGACGCGTTCGCTGAACATCTGTTGATGAACATGAAAGCGACAGAGGACCTTGTGCAAACTGCAGAATCACAGTGCCCAGAAAGAGGTGACCTTGAATGCATGTGTTGCTTGAACATGAATGTATCTTTGCGTCGCCAAATCCCCATCGATGGATCCCCATTCATGGATATTGGGCCCCACGCGACAAGTCATTCCCGTCTCGTCGTTGTTGCCCCTCAATTTCACACAGCCAAACAAAGCACGCATCAAATCTTCGCATGTAGTCAACCGGAACTTTCATTATAAATTAAAGGTATGGATGCATGTCCCCAAAACTAGGTCCTACGAACTTATGTGCAAATGCGCGCTACGAACTCGGCTCTATAATAGGGGTTGCATGGATTGTCCGCGAGAACTTGAGGCGGGACGGTTCCGGCTCCCGCATCTCGACGGTGCCGGTGACGTCTTACGCGTCGACGACGTTGTCCTCCTCATCGACGATGTCCTCCTCATCGTAGATGTTGTCCTCCTCATCGTAGTTGTCTTCCTCATCGACGGTGTTGTTTTGGTCACGTTTCCAGCTGATGTTGCGGGGTTCACGCTTCTCGACAACATTGCTGCTCTCATCGCGGGCCCAGTTGATGTTGCGAGGATCACGTTTCCAGTTGATGTTGCGGGGCTCACGCTTCTCGACAACATTGCTGCTCTCATCGCGGGCCCAGATGGGGAGGTTGCGAGGATCACGTTTCCAGTTGATGTTGCGGGGCTCACGCTTCTCGATATTGCTGCTCTCATCGCGTGCCCAGTTGATGTTGCGGGGCTCACGCTTCTCGATATTGCTGCTCTCATCGCGCCAGTTGATGTTGCGGGGCTCACGCTTCTCGATGTTGCTGCTCTCATCGCGCCAGTTGATGTTGCGCGGCTCACGCTTCTCGATGTTGCTGCTCTCATCGCGCCAGTTGATGTTGCGGGGCTCACGCTTCTCGATGTTGCTGCTCTCATCGCGCCAGTTGATGTTGCGCGGCTCACGCTTCTCGATATTGCTGCTCTCATCGCGCCAGTTGATGTTGCGGGGCTCACGCTTCTCGATGTTGCTGCTCTCATCGCGCCAGTTGATGTTGCGCGGCTCACGCTTCTCGATGTTGCTGCTCTCATCGCGCCAGTTGATGTTGCGGGGCTCACGCTTCTCGATGTTGCTGCTCTCATCGCGCCAGTTGATGTTGCGCGGCTCACGCTTCTCGATATTGCTGCTCTCATCGCGCCAGTTGATGTTGCGCGGCTCACGCTTCTCGGTGTTGCTGCTCTCATCGCGCCAGTTGATGTTGCGGGGTTCACGTTTCTCGATGTTGCTGCTCTCATCGCGCCAGTTGATGTTGCGGGGCTCACGCTTCTCGATATTGCTGCTCTCATCGCGCCAGTTGATGTTGCGCGGCTCACGCTTCTCGATATTGCTGCTCTCATCGCGCCAGTTGATGTTGCGGGGCTCACGTTTCCAATTCCCAATGTTGCGAGGTTCACGGGCCTCCACGTCGCGCTTAACTTTGATGATTGGCTCGCGGGTCTCGACTTGAACGCTGGCCAACGCGCTGGTGACGGAGAGGGCGAGGAGGAGGATGGTGCTGGTGAGCTTCATGGCTGCGTTGTTTGGTTGAGAGGAAGATGTGATGTTGTTGGGAGTGCTGTTGAGATGGAGGAGAGGAGGGATGTCGGATCGATGCGCTGGCTTTTATGCACTTTTCGGTGAAGTTGCTTGCTATCTCACGGGTCGTGGGGCTTTTCACGCGTCGGGAAAGAAGGGAAAGGTCTGCTCTTGTGTTGCAGGCCAGAGCGCTAGCTGCCGTATCCCGAATCAGGGTTGCCGCCAGGGTTTGCGATCCAGGAATAGGTCCAACACAACCTCAACCGCAACCTAGCTGTTTTCGGAATCATACCCGGATGCAGACACAAATAATCCTGTTGGACATACTCCCAGAATAGCAGTTGTTCTTAGCTCGACAAAAACTTTATATTGTGTCCTATTGTGATGCTCCAAATGAGAACCGTCGGAAATGTTCGCTCCAGACTCCTGGGGTGTTTGTCTTCACAAAACGGCTCCCAGCGGAGTCCCATTTTGACAGCGCGTCGTGATTCAAATATTAACAGTCTCGAAACAGCCGTCACCCGGCTATTGAGGAAATTTGTGGGCGCTTCTGCGAAACCGTCAGGCGGAAAAGACCTTAACAAGCCATGGCAATCAAGTGAATGCCCGAAAATCTGCGCTTGCTTCACATCGGAAATCCCTGTGTTATCATGATTTATGTCCACTTCGTCGTAGCAGAGACCCAAAGCTTGGAGAAGAAAAAAACTTAAGCCTAACGCGCGCCCTTATCCTTCTTCGATTCCATTGACCATTCGCTGGAAGGATTGAACAGCACGGAGCGAATTCCTCTCGAGGGACGTTCGTTCCTTTGTCGTCGACGGTGACAATGGGTAGGCGTGACGATCGTCAAGTTGACCTGACATCCCCACGCATACATGGGTGGAGTGGGATAGGAAAGCGTGGGATATGAGTCCTCCTATTGAACATGAAGCGGAAGAAAAAAACTGGTGCTAAGCGTTCGTGGCGCAGATAGCTCAGCGGGGCAGTTATGGGAGAAGCAAAAAGCCACACCACACTTCGGCGAAAGCGGAGATTGGCGGGGATCATTCGCGTGAAAAGGGAACGCGTGCGAGAAATGACAAAGTGTTGAGAGGACGGTGTTCTCATGTTGTCTTTTACTATGGATTGCGCCTGTCAAAGAATCGGCGCTCGAGAAGTGCGAAAACGCCTTCCAGTATGGGCGAGCGGCATGGCTTTCGTTTCTCCATCAAGTTCTGTACAACGTGCCGCAAGATAGAATATTGTTCTTGGAAGGCATACGCCGCATATCACATGCACAATGGACATGCCTTGATGGGACGATCGAATCGAGCGTATCGCTAAATTGACCGCTCCCACCAGCGGCACCTTTGTAGCCCGAGAAGCTTTCCTCAAGTATTATGGGAGGGGTTTGCCAATGGGCATACGGCTCACATAGGGCAGGTTGGTGGAAGCTTTGACGCACCCATGGACCTACCACTTCTACCACCGCGATGGGATAGCAGATAACCTGCGGTGGTTGACGGGAGCCCATGTCGTCCACTTTCGTATGGCCCAATTTCCACGAAAGCAAGACGCGACGCGTGCACACCCCCTGCCCATTCCTTCTTTTTTCCCAACCTTCCAAACCATGCCGCACGGACTTGATAATGTGTATTGTACGCGGACGGAAGCGGCCCCAAGACACCTGTATCGAGTATGGGATGGCAATTGATGGATGGGGAGGTGATTGATTTGGAAATAGGGCAGAACAAAAAGGCCGAGACGTGAGGCCATCGCTTCGGTGGCTGTTTGAATATCGTCGTTCCTTTTTCATAGCAGGCGGAGTATAAAAAGATACCACTACCACATCCGGTCGCTCGCCGTAGCCGTACATCTGGATCTCGAAATCAAGCGCCTGTCAGTACGGTGTGCAATCGACCACCCTCAGTCACCAGAAGCATCACCCCAATACGACAAGAGCGCACGGCACACGAGAACCAAATCCACATCAAAGATGCCAGCCCTCACCCGTGTGCTCCTCGCCCTGACGCTGGCGCTCACAGTCATCACCGCGCAAGCCCAAGCGGAAGTCCAACCATCATCAACACGCGACCTGCAGATCGGAAATGACGCAGAACCACATGTACATGAACTCCACATCCCCTATGAACTCATCATCGACGTCCCCGTCGCGCATGCTGGGAATCATCGCCGAGCCGAAAGCGACGTCAGTCTGCGCGATGCAGATCTCGCTGATCTGCTCGAAGACACACATATTAAGACGCATGAACCAGCGAAACAGCATTGGCATCGTCGACACGCACGGGACTCCGCTGCAAGGGAATGGCATGTTGCCATGCATCCGAGGGATCGGAAAGGGAAGGAGAAGGAGAAGGAGAAGGAGAGGGGTGTCAAGAGGCGGGTGCATTCCCGCACCGCCGCCGTCGCGCACCACCCAAGTGATTTGAAGACTCCGACGCCGACAGCGACACCAAGACCCACACCGACAAACGCGAAACAACCCACCAACTCAAACGAAAAACAAGACAACAGAAACGCAGAGGAAAATGATTTCCTCCCGCTCCGCCTCCCCCCGCTCCGCATCCCGCTCCCCATCGCCCTCCCGACACTGTTACCTGGGGTCGTTCCCATACCTCTCCGGCGGGACGACGAAAGCCGGCCCGACGATGATGATGATGGTGAAGCGCGTGGACATATACGCATGCGAGACGGGAGTAAGGAAGGGTTGTATAGACGGGGGAGGAGGGGTATCCCCGCGGTGCGACAAGACGGGGATGATCACCAGGATTTGAGGTTCTCCATCAGCTTCACCGACGACATTTCGAACGATGGCATCAAGCTAGGCGCGACGACTACGATCACAGCAACGGCGACCTCTGCCCATCGGACGCAGTCTCCCGACGATCTCGTTCGCTCGCACACATTCGCGCCGACACGAACCCGCAGCGGCCTCCCGGCATGGGTGACTGAGCCGCGGGCGCAACTACCTGACGAGCACGGTCGAGGGCGAGGGCGGGGGCGTGGAAAGGGGAAGGGTGGGAAAGGGGGCAAAGACGACAAGCAGGAGGGTGAAGGGAAGCACGGCAAGGGGAGAGGAAAACATATCGAGGAAGAGAAGGAGCACGGAGAAGCGAGGCACGAGGACGATGGCGTAACTCCGCCTGGTCTGACCGCCACCACCGCATTCACCACCGACGCATTGTCTACCACCATCGTCGGTGATGACCCGCATGCCTCAACCGCACGATTCGCCGCCACTACAATCGACACCCACACCCCACGCCCAACATCCACACCCTGGCTCACCCCTCAAAATCAAGAACTAAAAGCGGAGATGGACACGACCACCGCGGACGTGGATATCGCACCCCACCAACAACAGCGGACAGGTGTCGTCGCCGCCATCGCATCGGCAGTCTTGGCGTTTATCATCCTTGTGGCGGGGGTGTTTATGTGGCGTCGGAAGGTAACGGTCCCTGTTTTCAAAACCCTGCCCGCTTTCGATATGGTTGACTGACCCCCCAACCTTGTCTACATCACAGCACAAAAAACCCTTCCACCGCCTCCCGACAATGTCCCACCTCCCGCCCCCCGCCAACTCGCCCTCCCTCACATCACTCACAAGCAAAAAACCAACACTCAAATTTAACGATGAGAAACGGTTGGAGTTGCCTTTTCATTCTACGCCGGCCCTAAATGATGTCATGGGGAATGAGTGGTCGCCGATATCACCCATCGAGCCACCAAGGGGGGCCAAGGGAAGGGGGTTGGTTTGGCCTGATGTACAAGTGGGGAGGGGTGAGGTTGCGGGGCGGCGGACGTGAATGTGCCTTTTTTCGGCGTTGATACTTTCCAAAAGTGCGTATTCTTGTATGGCGTACGACGTTTCGTTTGCTTTGTATATTCTCTGTTTTTCGAGAACCTGTTCCGATGTTCATGTTCACCCCCCCTCGCGGACGTACAATCATATCTTCTCCTTTTCTTTTTGCACTGCATCTAGTGGTGGTAACAACCGTGTGTGTGGAGAAACTTTACGGCATCGACCACGAGTGCATGTGGCGTGCGCATCGAGAAAACATCTACGCGAGACACATGCTCAACAGTCTCCATTTCCACCAAATCTCTAACTACATATATATAATACGCCAGGGAATGCAAGAAACATTCGACGCCTCCCTTTTCAAGCCTTCACGGCTTCCCACCCCCAGCAGCAACAGCCTCACTAATACCCAAAACCCTCGCCAACAAAACCACCGTCGCAACACTCGTAACATCCTCCGCCATCATCTCCCCTCCGACCCCTTGTCCCCCCACCCCACTCCCCCCTCTATTCCCAACATCAACATCAACAACCCTCCCCGCGGTACTCATCCCCCTCGCCTCCCTTTCCTTCCGTGCACGTTCAGCGCGGTCGAGGGCGTCCGCGGCATCGATTTCCGCGTGTTTTTTAGCGAGGGTTGTTTGGGTTGTTGTTATTTGGGCGGTGAGGCGGGCGGTGAAGCGGAGGTGGGCGGATAAGAGCGTTGCGAGGTCGGTGGGGGATGTTGGGAGGTTTGTGAATGCTGCAAATTTGGAAAGAGGAGGGTTATATAAGAGAGAGAGAGGTGGATGGAGGGGGGTGAGGTGAAGACAACATACCTCGTTCATTCAACGCCTCAACAAGCTCCAACTCACTCAACCCACTCACACCGCCGCGCATCCTCAGTAGCGCATCATCCTTAACAACCCAATCCGCCCACGCGTACAACTTCGCCTGAGCATCTACCCTTCTCCACGCCCCCTTCCGCGTCGCAAACTTCACCAACGGCCCAATCTGCTCCTTCGTCATCGTCACGAGGGCTCCATGCTCACGGATCAGGGGGAGGAGGGAAAGGAGGTCGGCTTCGGTTACGGTTGTGGTGGTTGGGGAGGAGGCGATGCGGGACCAGCGGCGGGCGAGCATTTGGAGTTCGCGGTCGTAGGTTGTGGCTGCGTCGGTTGGGGAGGAGGAAAGGGAAGATGTTATGGCGGCGTTGATGGCGGGGATGACTGCGGGTTTGAGGTGTTCGCGGGATTCAGCTTCCCGGCGGGTGTGGGCGATTTGGATATCGCTGTGCACGAAAACGGTCGGAAACAGCCTCGGGAACCGCTTCGTAAAGAACGGCAAAAGCGGGGCCATGAACGGCGGCAAAAACAGCAGAGTAGCAGGAATCGCCCTCAGCCAATCGCGTTTCAAGCGGTACATGTCGCGGATATCTCTACGGTCGGTGAGTTTCGCTCCCCGTTGCGCGATGCTGATGTCGAAGTATTGCGGGACGTAGTGGACTAGAGCCCAGTAGATGTCGCGCGTGCCGTCCCAGAGGGTTATGTAGGGTTGAATGAAGGTGCGCCGGAGGAAGGGGGTTACTGCGGCGTCGGATTCGAGTTTGCGAGGGGTGAGTTCGGGGGTTGGTGAAGCGGGTCTGACGGCGGTAGGTTTGGGTGTTGGTGATGACGTCTTCTTCGCTTCCGGCGCAGAGGTTGGAGTGGGAGTTGGTTTTGGGGCCTCTGCTTCTACCTTTGGCTTTTCCGGCCGCGATGCTGGTTTTGCTTTTGCTGTTGGCGTGGGCGTAGGCGTCGAAGCCGCTGTTGCCTTTCGTTCAGCCGTCGCCGTCGCCTTTGCAGCTACAATCGGCTCCTGCTCCGTCACCTGTTGTTCCGCATGCGTTTGCGGCAGCGGCTGCAGCTTTTCCGCAGGCCATGTTGCCGTTCGTTCACCCGATGGTTTCGGCATTTCAGGGATCACCCGCTTGCCAGCGGGTTTGGGGATAGCCGGTTTTGGAATCGATACAGGCTTTTTCGGAGCCGGTTTTGCAGCGTTTCCCTGTCGTAAAGACGAGTCAGTTTGCGGCACTTCCGGGACTCTGACGGGAAGCGATTCCCTCCTTTGCCCCATAGTTACGGAATGTCAAATGCCATTGGGCATACCTTCTTGGTCTTCGTCGCGTAGAACGCAACGGTTGCGGGCAGCACCATTCTCCCGCCGCCCAACAGCAGTGACGGTCGTTGCGACGCTGCCCGCAGGAGCGTTGTCGTCCTCGTTGCTTGCGCTATGCCCGGCATGTCTATATGTACCAGTCTGTCTACAGTATATATACCTGGTCCGTGATGCAGATCAGGCCGAACCAGTTCCAACCTTCACCCTTTTTTCGGAAACATTTCTGCAGACCGAAAAGGCGACATGAGAACACGCCGGTGTCTCGTCTTCTCTCTCGTCTCCGCTGCTCACATCACATCCCAACCAGCATCCGCCAACTCGCTCCGACATGCAAGTACAGTACATGTGCAGTATTGCACGCCGCAAAATAGAACCCATACTCATTCCCAGACTTCCTTCCCGCCGGCCGGGGTATGAACCATATATACAAAAACTGGTGGTGCTATGTTACAGTATATGTGCACAGAGTCAAAAAAAAACAACCCAACCACCCTAACCCTCCGAGGTTCTTGCATTTTCACCACTTCCATCTCCGAGGGGTGCGTCCGGTGGGAGGGGTTTTCTTGTACGGAGGGACATGCGGGGGTATACGTGTCGACGAACCTGTGCTCTGTATCCAGGAGGTTCGAAACTGTGATGTGCTTTTCCTCTGTTGTACGATCCATCGACAGACGGAAACAACGTCTTGGTATTTCGGGGAAATGGAAGCGTGGCGACATGGCCCGTAAGCGTACTCGAAGTGGAATTTTGCAGGGGTCGGCAATGTTCTTTGTCCTCCTTCTCTGTACTCTGTACTCTGTTGTGTTCCGTCGACAGAGGACAGACTTGACCTACTGTACTGGGTATTCATTCCCGGAAGCTTGCGACATGACCCGTAAGCGTCCCCGTACAGTGGCGCTGCTTCAGGAGACCCTCCAGATCCCCCGTTGTGGTTCCGTCGACAGGGCCATGTCTGGAAACATTGGTTGTTCCCGGAAGCGTGCGACATGACACGTAAATATATACAAGTCGCTCCTTCAGGGGAATCCCCGAGCGAGTCCTCCGTTGTATTATCCGTCGACAGGAAACCACGTCGTGTGAAGTCCTGACCACTCATTTCCGACATACCCGTAGGACGTACAGATCGCCTTCGAAACAGTTCTGCGTCGGGTGAACTCCACTACACACGCGACTTGTACCGAGCCCTCCGACCACCACCCACAAAAGTGAAGCTCTTCCATGACCCGTTCGGTCCAGTAGGCTGCTATCTTCACGAGGCACCCCTTTGTCGCAGCTACCAGCTATCGCCCGAGTGTTTTGCGCCCGTCATGGTAGCCTTCCGTGCCGGGTCCCCTAGCGGCCAGCCTCCATGCAACTCATCTTTCTCACGTCGGGAGAACTGTAGGCAGGCCGCCAGAATGCAGAAACCTGAACCCCCGCATTCGCAGGAGACATCATCGACGCTTCCTCCGCGCAGTGGTATCTGTAGTTGTATGATGCGAACGTCATGTTGGACATCGTCGACGTTCGCTGCTCCGTGATTGTCTGAGCGAGGGTTCGAGGCCTTCCCGCCGCTGAAGAAGCTTCTGCATCCCCCTAGCCGTAATTGGATTGCACCACGAATCCCCGTCAGTTGCGGGGACGCGCGCGTGAAAAACCTGCCGATCTAGCTTGAACCCAAAGCGGAAAAGCCATGTGACCTCTCCCTGACAGCCCATCGTCCTCCCCTTCCAGCTGTTCTTTTCTCTTCCTGATCCAGCGAGCATGGCCTAGGTGTCTGTCGATCCCTCCGCGATGCTGGGCAAAGTGGAGAAACAGGGCGGTTTCAACCGTTTCGTGACGAACTCGTTTGAACTTTTGCGCAGCTCAATTTCTCAAGTCCGACATTTTCTCAATCGCACCAGCCTAACCACATCCATCCAGAGAACGAAACAAAACAAAGACAAGACAGTATGTTTGCGCACTGCAAAAAAGTATTCATTCTCACTCAAAACTTCCTTTCCCGCCAGGGTGAATTTTATATACAAAGGTGGGGGAACAAACCGTCCGTGTATGTATGTGCAAGGTTGTGGGTGGTGTAGGATGTTCACAAAAAATGTACATAGAAAGAAAACTACATTCCCCAATCCGTCTCAGTGGGGTCTAAATCTACAGGCCTAGGACGCCGTTGATAGCTTTGACGGCCTTCTGCTGCGTTTGAGCGGCGGTCTCGGCTACTTTCGTCGCTTCGGTTTTAGCAGCGCCGCCTGCTTCGGGTGCAGCGACGACGGGGGTGGCGGTTGCTTCGGCGGCTGCGGTGGTGGACGCTGCTGCGGTGGCTTCAGCGGCGGCTGTAGTTGCTGCTGCGGTCGCGGTGTTTTGGTTTTTGTTCTGGTTGTTCTTGTTCTTGTTCGCTTGGCCGCGACCCTTTCCTTTGTTGGCGTTGGCTTTGGCTTTACCGGCAGCCTTTTTCTGGTTCAGTTTGGCGCGACCGTTTCCTTTGCCCTTGTTTCCGTTCGCCGCCTTGTTTTGGTTTCCCTTGTTGTTGTTCTCGTTCTTGCCATTGTTGACGTTCTGGTTTCCCTTGTTCTCGTTGTTATTCCCTTGGTTGTTCGCGTTCTGGTTACCAGCCGCCGCTTGACCACCACCGACGACGCCCGCGAGGTCGGTGACGAGCTTCTGGAACGCCGTCTGCACCGCCGTAAGATCGGCTTGGATCGCCGCGGTGTCGACGTTCGCGTTGGCATTGCCTGCAGCTTGTGTCGCTGTTGCCGTCGCGGTCGCAGCTGCCTCGCCAGTCGCAGTCGCAGTGGCCGTCGCAGTGGCCGTCGCAGTCGCAGCCTCAACCTTGTTGTTGTTGCCCTCAACCTTGACTTCGCCTTGCTTCTTGTTCTCAACCTTGACTTCCGCCTGCTTGTTGTTCTCAACCTTGACTTCCGCGGCCGCCTGCTTCACGCCGGTCGCTGCCTCAACCTGCTTGGCCGCTTCATTGTTGGCGCGAACGGCAAGCCCGCCGATGGGGAGGAAGGGGGTGGGAGCCGCGAGGACGGCGGCGGAGGAGCAGAGGAGGACGGTGGAGAGGAGGGAAGTGACCTTCATTTTGAGTGATGTTGGTTGGTGAGAGTGGGTTGTTGTGTTGTATGTGATGTGAAGAGGAAGGTATAAGAGGAGAAGGCGAGCGTAGGGAAGACTTCTTCTTGATGTGCTTTGAAGGGAAGGGAAGGGAGACGGAATACAGAGCAGCCCTTAAATACGTCCGCCGACTCCGTTTGACTCCGCTCAGCTCCCAACTTTATTCCCAGCCCTCTCCAAACGGTGATGAAACCTGCGCAATTTCCGTACGCTCAGTTGCTGTGCGTTGAGGGAGATGAGGGCACGGTATCCCATTGTTCCGTGCTGCTGTTGTTGGGGGTACATTGTGTCTGTCGCTCAAACGGGGAATGCAATTGCGATGTCCCCTAGTAACGACCGTGACTGAGCTCTCTGTCTGCGTGTTGATTGCGTTGGGGAAAAAACGAGAGAGATGGGGCGGGATCCCGACCGGAGGGCAATTGACGAACAGGAAACGCGTCAAATGGGGGGAGAGCGGGTCCATCCCTTCGGACACGCAACGCGTGAAACACAGGGGCGGCGGGGAGAGACCGAGAGAGGGTTGGAAACGCCACGGGGGTTAATGACCGTTGCGCTCCGACAATTCGACACGGGATCCGGTTTGAGAGCCCGTCCGGTTGCGGTGCCTGGAATCTGGATGGACCGCGGGGATGGTATGACGCTCGCTTATGTGTTGCATGTGCAGAGCGAGATGCGGTCATGGAACGTTTTGAAAGGGCATGGGGGCACGGCCCATTCTGGGTTTTTAGATTTTTCGCAATTATGAATGAGCTTGGGGGCAAGGTGGTCGGGGCATGGTTTGTGAGGATTTGCAGAGCCCTTCCGTTACACGTGTGAGACCAAAGAACCTGCGAGACCGCCGCGCAATGCCATCGTTTCGTTTCAAACGCTGGTGGACATGAAACGTCGGTGTCTCCGTCCGCAATTCGGCTGATATATCTATAAACCAACGTCAACGACCGAGATCGCAAAGCAACGCATCTCCCACGGGATGTAATTGCAATGTCATAATCTGCGAAACTATGGTTCCGTCCCATCTGAGGGATTCGGTTTCAGGTGTTACCGAAGCCCATTCGAGTGCTATGTACTGTACGACGAGCGAGCGATCCTGTCCCGTGCGGCAAGGCTTGTTTCCCTCGCTTTGTCTTCTTTCATTCGCGGCGTGCGGCATGCATGTATGAATGGGTGTATAATGTAGCCAGAGAAGGTGTTGTGGGGTGTTCTATGCGGGAGGGGGAGGGGTGCGGCGTGTTATCCTTCAACCTGTCGGACTTTGCGGGCGCAGGCGATTTGGTCACGCAAAGAGGGCACTCCATCTCAACCAAGAGGGACTTCATCTCAGCAACAAGGGACTGGCATCGCTCTCAGGAAGACACGACCGCTAATCTGCAAAAGAAGGGCTGCGAGCTGATGGCCCCCCCCGCGGGATGGAGATCTTCGGATTCGGCCTACCCTGCCTGGCACGGTTGGCATCCCGACACCAACAACAGTCGGTGGGTCATCAGATTTCTCGATTTCGAGGTCAAATGGACTTCGGAGCGAGTTGCCAGAGCCTAAAACTCCTGCCCTTCTGAACTCTAACCAAAACTCCACACAAACGTCATCCCAACTCCACCGAAACCTTCGTCGCATCCAAGCCCTTTCATTCAAAGACCCCACGCCATAATAATTAAACCAAACAAAAGAGAAAAACAGGTTGAAAAAATGAACCTACGAAAAGTGCGAGTTTCTCTAAACTACGGTTGATGCATGGTGGGATGGGTAGGGTGTGAGGTTGGTGTTGGGATGCTACGTATGCTTTTCTTCTAGGGTAGGATGCAGGATGTTGGGATATGAGGCGGATGTGCGGGGTTCGGATTGACGGTGGAGTGGGATGATCCGAAATAAGAAAATCGAAAGGTTTTCTCCACAATTTGTTGGACGTTTTCCACAAGACGGACCCGGACGGGCGAGTAATCGTGTGGATCTAATTCTGCCCCTCGCCGAACTTCAAGTAGAAGTTTGTGAGTACGGCGAAAAACAGCACGATGACGAGAACTGTAGGACCGACACGGTCGTCGTAAGGTCCAGCATCTACGCAAAAAGAAACCCACCCAATAAGCAATCAGCAAAACTTCTGAGCCGAAAAGTTCCCACAACAACCAACAACATACCCCGATTCCTGATCTTCTTGGCCCTCCAGTGGTACAGAAACAGGGCGTAGACCATGAACAGCATTGCGACGAGTGTAAAGACCAGGCCGGCGATCTGGCCGACGCGGTCGCCAAAGTTGAGGAGACCGAGGGCTAGGCCTCCCAGGACTATGCAGACTATTTGGGTGGGAGGGGGACAGGGGCATGTGAGTAGACGGGAGGAGGATAGATCAACATGAACACAGCACAGACATCCGAAACTTACAATGCAACCAACTCAAAAACGTCCTCTCATTCGCAAAGAACACCTTGGGCTCAACGCGCACCGGCAACGCAATCCTTTTCGCTTTCCCACTCGCGCCCCGTTGCAACGACACCACCCCATTGCCACTACCCCTCGACGAATCACTCGCGTCGTTTTTGAACAGGTTTCCGAACCCGCCCGCCCATGAGAAGGGTCGTGTTCGGGGTTGGTCGGTGCGTTGTCTGCGTTGTTGTGTTGAGGAGGAGGCGTTGTTACCATTTCTGGAGTTGTTGCCACGGCCGGAGCGGAGGAGGAGCGGGGACCTTTCGTCAGCGTCTTCTTCGACTTCCTCAACGATGACTTCGACAGAGTCGACGTCAGATTCGTGGCGGAGGCTGCTGGCTTTGCTCTGGTTCCTGTGATTGGTCCATCCGTTACGGCCGCGCTCGACCGAGCTTTCGCGGGAAGATGAGGCGCCGGCGGACCATTCAAGGGATCGCCATTCCTGCGGGGCGGGCTTGCGGATGTCCTTGTCCATCTGGGGCAGCCAGAAGGGGAGGAGGGACACCCGGCTTTCGAGGAGGGTGGCGACACCGTGGATAAATTTGGAGAATTTGGGGACTTCTTCTACCAGGTGGGAGTTGACGAGCTCGTCGACCCATTTGGGGGCTTCCGTGCCGTGCTGAGTTTGGAGCTTGACTTCCAGGATGGCGTAAGGGAACGCGCACACGTCTTCAGAGGGGAGATAGTCGAATGGCGCGACGGTGCCGGCGTCCGTGCGGCGCCAGTTGTCGCCAGAGCGTGGACGGCCCTCGTTGTCTTCACGAATGAGCGTCAATTCCGTGTCGAGACTGATCCGCACACGGGCGTCACCAGGGAGCTGGAACGCGGTGCGGTTGTAGAAGGTGCGAACGACGGGGTGGAGGTGCTTGTTAAGCACGCTTTCCGACACCTCCTGCGCGAGTGTCTCAAGGTGCTCCAGTTCCTTCTCGTCCTTCTGGTTCTTTTTCCGCATCTTTTCGATCGTCTTGCCGTAATCAAACTCGCCCTTCAGGTACGCGTTCACGTTCTTTTCCTTGATCGGGAAACGGGATTTCACAGATTGCTCGCCGGTCCAGTCCTCCCGATGCGTTTTGCGCTCGACGAAGATCTCCTGTTGGTCCATGTTGCCGTACCACCGAAGGCGGATCGCTTCGGCGCCCTCGGTTTTTTCGAGGCGGCCGAGGTACAGGTCGAAGGAGTCGTTGTCAAAGTAGATGGAGGTGATGGCTGGGTCCGGTTCCTTCTTGCCTTTTGCGCTGAATACCAGCACCGGGAGGTACTTCAGGATGATGCATTTCACCTCCGTCACGTTGTCTAGTTGGGGGAGAATGGAAGGTCAGCATAAAGAAGTAGAATAATGAACAAAAGGACATCCCGCCAGCTGAGTCAGGCGACGTCGCTCCACTCGCCAGAACAATCCCAACTCCCAAACTCACCAGGGTGAACCCAGTACTTGGTCGTCCTCCTCACAAAGTTCTGCTGCGTCGCCCCCGCATTCGCATTCTCCTGACTTCTCTTCCCACCGGTCCTGATCGTATCAAAAAGCTTCGACAACCTCAGGATCAGGGTATCGAACCCATCCTTGTAAAACGGTCTCGCATTCATGCGGACCATAAACGTCGGCTTGAGCATATATACGGTGTGCTTGTCGTGTTTCTTGAGGATCTTGAGGAACCCGGTGTAGTTGATCCGCACGAACTTGGAGAGTTCGGTGACTTCCATCGTAATGCGGCGGATCTCTTCTTCGACGCGGGCAAAACGTTCGGCATCGGGCGTGGCGGAGTCGCCTTGGGCGAGGGTGGATTCGACGACGGATTCGCAGTGTTGTACGCGGCGAGTGAGTTCGTCGCCTTTGATGTTGCGGAAGGCTGTGACCTGTAAGAGTTTGAAACAGGTGGGGTTGGCATCCCTAGCAAATGTAGCTGAAAGCGATGGAAGGTCGGAGCGACGCATGGACGGGTCGCTCCCGACCGTCAAACGGCCAGATCCATATCCGGCGACGCTCCTCCGAAGCCGTGAGCTTTGAGCATACTTGCGCCTCGCATCGCTCGGCCTACGTCGCAACCTTTTCGTATCACAACTCCACCTCGATTCGCCCAGCATCGCCCGACTTCCCCCTCCCCCCGTTCCGACACCCAAATTCCCCACCCACCCCTTCCGAAATTCCCACCATGCACATCCCCATTCATTCCCCATTTCCATACCTTTTCCAACTCCCTCTCAAGCGTCTCCACAAACGCGGCCTCACGCTGGTCGTTGAACCCTCCATTGCCCGTGAGTCCCTGCTTCAGCTGGCGTTTCAGTTCATCGTAATCACTGCGGAATGCACAGTCATTAGCAATGCGCGGTATGTGTACGAATCCTCGATGCAATGAGAACAATGGAGAGGGGATACGCACACGTAGTAGAACCTCCACTCGGAGTAGAGGGCGTTGGAGAGCTGGAGACCGAACTTCATGGTTTGCGTCTTATGAAAGATTTTTTTTCCCACGGGTTCGAGGTTGGCGAGGATAAAGGATGGCGCGGTGAGAGGATGGGTCAAGGAACGCCTTGACGACTTGGAAGAGCCGTAGTAGAACGCACTTGTCAGTGTATGGCAGCAAAAGAGGGATGCCAATGGGGGGCCAGCTCTTTTCTGTTGGGAGGGGGGTTGTCAGTCGGTGTTGCGCCTCCGGTATGATGACGGGTATTATGGTTACAGTAGTAGCTGTCCAAAAAAACCAAGAAGCGTTTCCTTCCCCGTCGCAGAACGCCATCGATTTCATCAACCCCCACCTTATGACATGCGGGAAGGGCGCAAAAGTCACCGGCCGCCTACGTGGAGACGCTCCTCACACCGCGCTCAGGGTCTTGGCAACCCCCGGGCCGCTCACTTTTGCCTCCCGCGGGCCCCCATACCCATGCAGTCAGTCGTAAGGAAATTTGCTAGAGCAACAACCTCCGGCGCAACGACATCGCACGTTTTGGGCGTAGCCCATGCCGTTGGTTGTCAACTTGTCGGAGAGGTGGAGCCGGTGCATGCCAGGCCATATCCATACCATAATACGCATTCAACTGGGCATGTCCAGATTCCACGACGGGATGGGATATCGTCGTTCCCCTCTTGAGATCAATCTCGCGTCGCTGGGATAACACCGCGTCTCACTCACTACACATGAGGCTGGAGCCTTATCTGCGTCCTTTACGACCCTCTGTCAGACTCCACATCACCCCACATTTTGGACTAATAGGCACGATCACAAGCGGACGGCCATGGAAGGACGGCACATGTCGTCGGAACCATCATCCAGAAGTTCACTTCCCATTTCATGCGGGTTCAATTAATTCATAATCCAAGGAAAATTCCCAGTCGAATATTTCATGTGGTAGGCCACGGAAGGGAGAAGAAAGACTCGGAGCTAAAAACTATTTGCCGTTGTAGCCCTTGCTCTGCGCCGGATGCGCCAGAAGGGCCCTGGGCTGTTCGACTTACCCGAGCAGTAAGCTCCAACGCCTTTTTCCTTGTCTTCAGAGGCCGTTTTTGCGTGAGGAACCTGTCAATCACAAAACCGTCAACCCAACCTGTCACGTGACCGGAGTACGTTTTCGACTCTTCCTCCACCAAAGCGCTACCTTCTTGCGGGCCTGGGCGACCGATCCGAACATGTCTGGTGCAGAAGCCGCCGTCAAAGAACGCCAAAGGTGAAAACCTGGATGCGGGCAAGGTTATGGTTATGGGATATGGCTGTGTGAGTGAGGGGCACGTTTTGTTGATATGGATTATGGAAGGAAGTGACATCATCATCCGAGACTGACTGACTGACTGCGCAATGGGATGGATCGCGACGGGGACGTGGTCGCAATGGCCTCCCTCATACCGGGATCCAACTCTGAGTGAGAGCGCGAGTGAGAGCGAGTGTGAGAGAGGGCGAGGAAAAGAAGGCGGATGCTCGTTGAAAGAGAAAGGGGGGTCGCATATCGCATATCGCACATCGCATATCGCTTTGCACCCCCCCCCTTCCTGTTTGTACACACAACTACCCCCCCCCCCTCATATACATACATACATACATACGCTTGCTTGCGGCATTCATTCAGTCTTGCCCTCTCTCCCTCATAAACACCTCTCCCGGACGGCCGCCTCAGCGTGTCATCATTGGACAGTCATGTCGTCCGAACGTGGACGCAGCAACGCCACCCTGCCCTCAATAACCCTCCGCCACCCAACGCAAACCTCTCTCAACCTGAATAGGAATGGAGAACCTCACCCCCCAGGCTCTGTCACCGGCTATCAGCCCTCCAGATTGTCTCAGGTAACCGCCAGCAACACCGACTCCGGCGACTACGACGACTCCTACGAAATAGAGAACCCCCACGGGCAAGAAGATGCCGACAACGACGATGCAAACCCCCTACTCGGCACGCACCTCTCCCGCAAAGGCGACGGATCCCCTGACTCCCGTCCACCTTCCTACGCAACCCTCGTCTCGCCCATCTCTCTCGACTCCCTCGACGACGACGGTAACAACAACAACAACAACTGTCTGCATGTCTCACCGCGTGAAGGGTCGGAGTATGGCGGGTCGCAGTGTAGTTCCCGACGTTCGACGAGTGGGAAGAGTAAAGCGAGGAAAGGCATTTGGAAATGGGTGCCGAGGTGGAAGGTGCCGCCGAAGGATACCGTGGTCGTTTTGACAGCGTTGTTTGCGACAGAGGCGAGCAGGGGGTTGGTTATTCCTACCATGTGAGTACTTGCGACGGTACTTGCGACGGGAGGGAGCCCATGGCGAGTTCCATTGACACATCACTCACTCACTCACCACCTTCCCACCACTCATCCCCTCCCAGGATATCATACGTGCAACTCCTCGGAGGAACAGTAGCGACCCTCGGCGCCCTCATCTCCCTTTTCTCCATCGGTCGTCTCATCTGCTCCGTCCCCTTTGGCGCCTGGGCCGACAAACGCCAATCCTCCCGCGAAGTCCTCATCTTTGCCTCCATCCTCGCCGCCGCTTCCAACCTCCTCTACGCGTTCGCCTGGGCCCTGCCAAACCCCATGTGGTGGCTCTACGCCTCCCGCCTTGCCTGCGGGTTCTCAACCGGAACCATCGCCGTCTTCAGAGCCTACCTCGCCAGCTCCGTACCCCCCAGCGAACGAACAAAAGTCATCGCATGGTCAGGCATGGCGCAGTACGCGGGCTTCTCCCTCACACCCATCATCGCAACCTTCGTCATGCTCGCCAAAGACGCCTGGTTCTCCACCCACCCCTCTTCAACCTCCGAAGAAGTCCCTGACCCAGACCCAACAACAACAGGCCCAACAATCCTCGACTGCGTCCTCCCCAACGCCTTCCTCATCTTCCTCAACCTCCTCCTCATCCCCCTCCTCCTCCTCTGCATGCCCGCAAAAGACCCCGTCGCACACACCCCGCCGCCACGCACACCCACGCCCCTCCCCAACCCCGTCACCAGCCAATCCACCCTCGCCGCAGAAGCCCAACTAGTCAAATCCGGCTTCATCCTCTTCTTCCTCCTCAACTTTGTCCTCCGCGGCGTGATCGGCGTCACCGAAACCCTCGCCCCGGACATGTACCAGCACCACAAACACACCGACCCGCAGGCCGCCGAACACTCGGGCCAGTTCTTCTTTGCCCTCGGCATGGTCGGCATGGCCGTCTTCCTCACCGTCGACCCGCTCCAAAAACGCCTCCTCGCAGGCCACAACCTCCTCATCCTCGGCACAACGACCGTCATCCTCGGCACCCTGTTAAACATCGACCCCGAACCCGCCCGCACGCCGGCCACATGGTCCCTGTTCGTCGCGGGCATGACCCTCATCTGGTCCGTCGGGTCCCCCATCTGCCAGACCCTCACGGTCTCGATGTTCTCCAAGATGCTCGGCACGCGCCCGCAGGGCTCGTTGATCGGGTGGATCACGACCGCCGGCAGTCTGGGCCGCATCGTGTTCCCCGCGCTGGTGGGCACCGGCGACCGCGCCGCGGTGTGGGTCAACTGGCTGGACGTTGCGCTGTGTTGCGGGTGCGTGGTGGGCGTGGTTGTCTTTGAGAGAATGGTCAAGCGCGTACGCACGTGTGTCGGCGAGGGCGTGGCCGATTGGGAGGCGGATGACGACCGGAGTGAGAGTGGGAGCGAGGCCAGCGAGACGGACCGCCTGCTGTTGCCAAACGAGAGGGACACGGACCCGCTTGTGGATATGGATGGGGAGACGGACACGGAGAATTAGCTTGGTCGAAGGGGACGAGAACTCACTACACTATACCCAAAACATCCCCCGTGCTGTTGTTATGGGTTGCCCGACCCCTCCATTTTTTTTTTAAACCTGTAAATAAACGAATCCAAAATGGGGGCATTTTTCGTATCCCCGTCCACTGCAGACTTTTTTTCTCTCCTGTCTTTTGCTCCATTTTCGGTTTTTCTTTGATTTCAGAAACACAGGTACACGTTGCTTGCTTGTCCACAAGCACACAATCCCTACATACTGTACATTACATGCAGTACTGTACATGGGGACTGCATACGCTTCCACTGCAAACCCCGCGGGGGTGTACACACACACACACACACACACACACACACACACACACATACACCGCTCGCACATATGTCACATCTAAACCCGTTCATAGACATAGATATACGCCTCCCCCACGGCCTTTTGCACGTCCCGCTCAGGCACGCTCACGACGTGGTTATCGTTGAACAGCGCCCACTCCTCCCCCTCCGGGGTCCGCCGGCGAATGTGCGCGACGTAGTGTCCGCAGTGGGTCGATGTGCCGCGGTGCGAGATGAAGGCGGTGAGGCGGTAGCGTGCGGGGCGGGTGTCGGGTGCGGTTGTGGTTGTGTCGGTGGTGGCGGTGGTAGTGGCGTCGTCGTCGATGTCCATCGAGTCGGCGTGCGAGAAGAGGTAGTCGACTGCTCGTTCGAGGTTTCCGCTCTGTATCCCCCCCCAAAAAAACACAATTTCAAAATCCCAAATCATTTCCCATTCGCGAAAAAAGCGTAACGCGCGGAAACATGGACACCCCCGGCAATGTGAGAAAGACTTACGGTCTCCTTCAACGCGCGCTTGGCCTGCGCGGCCGAGAACCCCATATCCACCAACTGGCGGATATCTGCTTCCGATGGGCCGGACGCCGACGGGGCCGTGATGGGGTCGTCGATGTCTATCACCCGAGGGGTTAAGTTCCGTCAATCCGTTTCCCTGTTTCAATTCCTCCACCGCAACAAACAAACCCGGCGCCGAAAAGAGAGTCAAGACCCTACCAGCATCCTCCATATGCTCAAACAACCATCCCATAGCAACCTCCGCGCCCGCGTTTCCCGTCTTCACCAACGCCTTGATGCATCTCACTTCCGGGAACCCCATCGCGACCAGCTGGGCGAGGGCTTCTGGGTCGACTTGCGGGGCTGCGGGGGTTGGTGCTAAGGTGAGGTGTGGGAGGGGTGTGAGTTTTTTGGGGGAATACAGAATGGGGGTGGGGAGTTATGTAAAAACCTTGGGTATCCTCTGGCAATTCCACCTCATCACTCTGCAGCCCATGTCCACGCAACCGTTCCAGATCCAACCCCAAGGGTGCGTTGATGGGTACGTCTGCGCAAAAGAACATCATGTAAGCATTCCCCTCCTTTACGGAACGATGATGCGGATGGCGAGCAGTACATACTGAGTTTCTCCATGACCCACCCCTTGCCAAGCACAAACCGGCTCATGGTGCAGACCAGCACGTCCGGGAAGGTGCTGAACCGTGTTGTGCTGCGTCAAAACCAAGAAAAAATTCCTAAACTTCCATGCCCCCCAAATCGCATCCATCCCCAATCGCAAAACGCATAATACTTACAACGTAGCCGAAACATCCGCCTTATCATGCGGACACTTATACTCCCTCACATCATCTCCAAAGAAAGTCGCAAGGCAGGCTTCAAACTCCACTCCCTTCTCTCCTCCTTCTCCCTCCTTCTCCCCACCCGCCCCGTGGTCCCCGGTAGGAACCCTCAAAGTCAGCGACGAGCTCTTCTCGGTTTTATACCGCACCTGGTGGCACTCGAGGCACTGGAGCCGCTGTTCGATTCCGAATTGGAAGATTTTGGACGGGTCGGCGCCGGGGAGGGTGCGGTGTTTTTGTTCGGTCAGCGTTAGGAGGTGTTGGAAGAATTCTTGGGCGTCCTGGGGAATGTCAGGGGGCGTCAGATACATGGTGGGTTTATGGTCCCCCCCAATCCCCTACCGGAAGCCCGCCATCAGAGCTCCCCTCCCCTGTTCTGTGTTTTCAAACGCACCTGCTGCCGCATGGTAGAGAATTCCACATGCCCCTTCCCGACCAAATTCTTAAACATCCCCGGCGCAATCCCATTCTGCGCCTTCTTTTCCCCCTCCGCATCCACCGTCTCCTGTTGCGGTCGCGAGTACCGCCCGCTCAGGAGACCGTCGGCCAGTTTCGCCATCTGGCAGTGGAAGCAGTGCGCTGGGCGGTCGGTGCAGGTGAGGACGTGGGATTGCATTTCGGTTGTGTAGCTGCGTGGGGGACGGGGTGACATCAGGGAAAGGGTTGCCTGTGCAAATGGCGATGGGGGGACTCAAACTCACCGATCTTCGAACGGCTTCAACGCAAACACTGTCTGCATAACCGAGGCCATGTAACAACTGCAATCACAAAACCTTCGCGTCAGCAAAACCCAAAAGCCTCAGAACGTAAACCCCATCCATCACGCACCTATTCCCCAAATTCTTCAACCCAGTAAACCCCGGTCCAAACAGCGGATCCAGCGACTTCCCGTCCTGGGTGGTCATACTGAAATCAAACTTCATATTTTGTTCCAGTTGCTGTGTAAGCATCATAACACGTATGGGGTGATTAATCAGTTTGAGCGGGCCATGAATGCGAGCTGGAATATAGGTTAAAGGCTTACCAATTCACCCAAACTCTTCTCCGTCTTCTGCTGTTCCGCAACATTGATCCCCCAAGTGGCCAGATGCGCGGCGAGTTTTGCGTCAAGACGGTCTTCCCCGCACTCATAACAAAACACATCTACAAAATACCCCAAAAATCAATTCCCCCACTTCCCCCGCAAAGGCCCCCCAGGCTCCCCATTTTCCCACACTCACCAGCACCCCCCTCCGGCGTAATCGTCCCCAGTTTAACCGCCACAGGATGTCTCGTAGCATCATGATGCGCCAACCCATGCGAGTTCCCACCCAACCCGCCGACCTGCTGCCGGCCGCAGCCGAGGTTGCCGCAGGTGAGGCAGAGCCAGAGGTTTGTGGGAAGCGGGCAGGAGGTGCAGTGGGCCAGGTCTACCATAAAACCATACACTGCCGGTTAGCTATCGCGGGGATGATTGAAAGGGAGGGGGGATATACGCACTGCTAGCCTCCAACTTCCGTCCCGCATCCTGCACAAGCCCCTCCGTATGCCGACACGCCACGATCTCCTCCTGCCACGCCTTGACTTCCGACTGGCGTTTGGCGGACATGGCTGTCACCACCGAGTCGATCACCGCCGGCAACTACGGATTCAGAATCAATGAGCGTGCATGAGAGACCGTGAGGAGGTGGGGTGATGGGAAAACATTACCTTCCCGACACTCCGCTCAATCTCCACCCCCCCGCACTTAAGACACTTCGGCACCGTCAAAACTTCAAACATGTCATCTTCATTCTCTTCCACGATCTCGAGCTTGGTCATCTTCTTCGGTCGTTCGTCGCCCAAATCCTGCTTTCAGCATCAGTACCATCATATACACTCCCATATCTCGATGCAACGATGCGTTATTCATGTGAATAATGCGGGCTTTCCTACCTTCGTCTTCGGCACCCGTCGAACATTAAGCACAACCGCATGTCCCGTCTTCTCGAAATGCAGTTTCGCATGGTTCCGCTCGCCCGCGCATCCGCCATTGAAACACGTCAGGCACACGTCCACGCCTGCTTCCATGTCCTATCAGAATATGGGGGGTGAGGGGAAGGGTGGCGGGGAAGGGGGGATCGGGGGGATCTTTCACCTGGGTGTCGAAACAGAGGGTGCATTCTTCTTTGAAGACTTCGGAGGAGGGGGTTGCGAGGGTGGTGGATGTGATGTGGGGACAGAGGGCGGACATCTTGTCGACTGGTGTGTGTTGGTGTGGTGTTTGTTTGGACGTCTCAGTGGGGAGTGATGGGGGATGTCGGGCAGAAACTTGGGGAGATGACATTTGCGCCTTTCCATTAGACGCGACGTTGTCGGGCCACTGGGGTGGCATCCTCCAACAGACCCCCCGACGCAACCACTCACATCAACAGCAACCAGAGATAGAAGCTTTTGATAAAATATAGAAAAAGGAATGAGAAATTGGTATTGTGTACTTGATATGAAGGATGTGCCCGCAGGTGTATGGGGGGATGTGGGCAAGGTGCAGATGTGTAGGATAGTCTTTCGTCGTCGTCTAATGGGTTGGGGATATGATAGCGCGGGGGTCGTGGGGGTGGGGCCGTAATGCTTTGGCAGGAGGGGCCATACCCCTCTCTCTAAATGGCCGAAATCTACTTCTTCGCCGCCCTCTTAACCAACGGCACAAGCGCACTCGGCGGCGCCGCCATCCTCAAAAACGGATGATGTAACAACTCCTCCGCCTCCGCCCGTTTCGCCACATCCACCTCCAAACACCTCCCCAGGAAATTCTTAAACAGCGGGCTCAGCTTCTCGGGTGTCTTCAACGTGGGCGTCCCGTTGGTCGCAATCAGATACAACGCTTTCAGAGGCTCCTCCTCGAGGTAGGGCGGCTCGCCCTCGATCATCTCAATGGCCATGATACCCAGGGACCAGACGTCGACTTTTGCGCCATACTCTTTCTGCTTGACGACTTCGGGCGCCATCCAATACGGGGTTCCGACCATCGTTGCGCGTTTGCCGCGGTCGGCGGTCAATTTTGCGCAAAAGCCGAAATCGGTGATCTTGACGTGCCCATCGGCGTCCAGCAATACATTATCCGATTTGATATCGCGGTGGATGATATTACGACGGTGCAGGTGATGTAAGCCTTTGATCGTTTCGCAGCAGATAGCAGCGATCTGGGCCTCGTTGAGGGTGTTGGTGTCGATAATATCCGTCAGTGGCCCGCCTTCCATGAACTCCATGATGACCCACAGCTCGGCTTTGACGAGGAAGGAGTTGAGGTAGTTGACGATGTTGGGGTGTTGCGATTCTTTCATGACGAGGATTTCGTTAACGATCAGTTCTTTGCGGGGTTGGTTCGCTAGGTCCATTTGTTTGATGGCTACCGTGGCGTTGTTGACGTTATGCCGTGCTAGGTAGACTGATCCCGAGGCACTGGAAAACAAAGAACATGTTCAATCATGTCAGAAAATCACATCATCACCATACAAACTTCTGAAAACTGCTCTCTGGGGATTCCCCCCAAATACATACCCCTGCCCAACCTTCTTCAACTTCGTATACATCGTAACCGGATCCCCCTTCGACACCACACTCCTCAACTTCTCCATAATCTGCGCCTCAGACATGGCCGACATCCGCGTGCTCTTCTTCCGCCCAGACGACGGTGGGGCCGCAGCAGCCGCTTGTTGCTGCTGCTGCTGAATCGCAATCGCATTGTCCTTTGCGGGCGCTGCGGGCCGCGGCTGCACGTCCTGCGGACGTGGGGGTTGTGGCGGTGGTGGGCGCGCGACGGGTGGGGGGATGGCGTACCCGCCGGGGCCGACTTGCGGTGGTGGAGGTTGCCGTTGGTATTGCTGCTGCTGTTGTTGTTGCTGTTGGCGGTCGTAAATGTGGTCGTTGTTGGGGTCGAGTCGGGACGGCGGTGGTGGGGGTACGACTCGTTGCTGCTTTGGGGATTGAAAAGACGGTGTTGGTTAGCCAACACTCGAAGAAGAACAAAACAATTCTCGGCAAACTCCCAAACATACCACAGGTAGAGGCGCCGGCGCTTGATTCCCATACGGCTGTCCCGGCGGTGGCCCCGGCACGCTGAACCCATCCGCCCTCGAATAATTCGAGTCCATCCTCGACGGCAATGGCGCGCCATCATCCTCCCTCCTCCCACCACCCGGCGGGAGTCTCATCCCACCGCCACCACCTGCTCCCCCTCCCCCACCACCACCACCGCGCTCAACCCGTCCTCTCCCCATATTCTCGGTGTAGAATTCGAGCACGTCAAGGACGGCTTGTGGGTTTTTGGACATTTCTTCTTTGGAGATGTTGGAGGATTCGAGGAGCGAGTTCCATTCGCGGGGGAGGCCGGTGAAGAGGCCGCTGTCCGAGTCGAAGCCGACGTGGACTTTGTGGACAAAATTGGTTGGATTCGAGATGCTTATTTGTGGTGAGCGCTGTGGGGAATTAGGAAGAGAAAATCAATGATCTTCTCACTTTTGTGATTCAACATGGCGATATTTTCACACACCTGATAGATCTCATCCATCCACGAATACAGCTCCTCATCACTCTTGCACGACACATAGTACGTCTTTTCCTTTGTGATGATCTCGAACGAGTACGGTTTCAGTTCGGTCCGGTTCACTGCTTCCACTTCCTTCAAGAATATCAACGATATCGCTTGGTATGTGTTCTGGGGATTCAGAAAGGGAGAAAATTGATCAGCTTCTGTTGAGTTTGTTTATCCAATGAGTGAGTTGGTTGTTGCTTGATTTATGAAATATCATCCTGCTCGCTCACGCTCGCGACAAGGATGTTGAGCGCGGTTTACCAATCAAAACAAAACGATTGTTCGCTGTCGCTCACAGGCATTAAGCCTGCGGCGCGGAACTTGCGCTTCGCGCTCGCTCGCGAAGGCGTTCGCCCTGGTCGACCTCGCTACGCTCGGTCTCCCAGTGCGGACCAAACCCTGCACCTCGCTTGGCTAGCCGCAGTCCGCATTCCTCCCTCCCCTTATCCTGTTATCCTCCCCTCCTCAATTCGAGTCATACCTCATTACGATGAAAAGTGAGCGTCTGTTCCCTGAGGAGCAACCACCTCTTTGACCAAAGGAATGACTTGAACCCGTCTTCCCTCACTGAGCAGTAGCCTCTTTTGACTACATATGATGACATGGTTGTCGTGAGAGATTAAATGGGTGGGACGGCGGTTGTGATGATGGTGCCTCTATCGTGGTCAGGTTTGGATGACGGGCTGGATGAGGCGGATTTGGCGGTAGGGAAGTTTCGCGGCGGCGAGCAGTGTCGAACTGAGAATAGGATGTCGGGATTCTGTTCCGTTATACTCCTCAGCTCCCGTTGAGCAAGATATATTTGAGTGGACTATTGGTGATTGGGTGCGAGAGTTTTTGGGCCGCTGTGATTCCACCTCAGATGCAGATATCCAACTAGCGACTGCTACAGGTGTGTCTGACTCCGGGTGTATCGCGCGAGTAGGCCTACTATGCGTCTCGCCCTACTGTCCCCCTAATGCGTGGGAGTGTAATATACAGTTGGAGGTGGCGATTGTGGGTGTGGGGAATAATCAGGTCTCGCTTTGCGATGGTACTGTATTGGGTGGCGGAGAGCAGCCGCCTGTTGTGCTCCCGCCCAGCGTTCATTCATTATTGTTATTACAGCGGCCGAGGTCCTTTCGCGAAGGAGGGTGGTGCATCCTCACGCCATCTCCCTCGCATCATGCTTGCGCCCCCTCACCATACTGCTCTCCTACCCGCGCACTTTCTCCTAGCGGGGCGCAATTCATTCTCGCCTAAAGGAAGAAAACAGGTGCGCTGGTAACTTCAGGTCACGTGCGCTTCATACGTCTCATGGGTCTCATTATAATTCGACTGACAGTGAGAGGGCCTGAGAGGCGAAGATGTTGCGAATAGTTATGATACACACCCATCGGAATTACATGCCTGCTACATCATCATGCATCTAATCGTTCTGTAAACCCGTTACCTAGTATATCCAGCTAATAGTGTTGTGAAACCTTTATCTATCCTCACCAATACAATCTAATGAAAACTCCCCCGCCCATCCTCCAACCACCTTGGACTCAGGCCGGGAGCAGGGTCTGACTCTCCCCACCAGCTTTCTACCCGGATGCAATTGCGGATTTCAAGGGCGTTGCCCAAATCTTGCCGCCCAAACTACCGTAGCCTCCCCCATCAGAACATCGGTGTATTGAATACATGCCCCGCCGCCCTTCCTTTCCCTTTTCCTCTCGCTCCACAGCCTACGTACGCATTCCGAAGGAACCAGATCTCCTTGCAGAAGCATCCCTCGAAACGCCCTCAAACGAACCTCGCAGGGGCTCTCTTCTTCATGACCGCCTTCTTTGCATCGCTGTCAGTGCTTGTTGCTTGAGGCACGGGATGCCGTCGGCGGTTGGCTTGGACATCCCTCCCATTCCGTCTTCATCCCCCGGAACGCACTCCGAGAGGACTCTCAATTGCTTTCTTCTTCATGGCCTCGCCTTCTCTTCTCTTCTCCTCTCCGCTCCTCATTCCCTTGTCCCCTACCGACATTGTCTTTCACCGATCCTTCAGTATGACCACGAAAAGGTGATGCCGTTGGTGGTGGGCTTAGAAAATGGCGATGCTGCTCTTGCCTTGCTTGTCGTTGTCTTCATCCTCATCGTGGCCCTCGTCCGCCCCAAACAATGCCCGAGCCCCCATCCACCAACCCTGTCGGGCGCTTCCCCACGGGCGCCTCGCGCAAATTCCAGCGCCCGCGACAGTCTCCACCCGCTTCTCAATGTGCTGCCCACGCCGGGAGCGGGTGTCAGTCAAAGATGGGTGGCCGTTTCTGTCTTTGGTTTCGTTGGAGTGGGACCTCCTCAGCACTCGCCGAAATGACCCACTCGTTCTTCCTTGCATGATAGGCAGCGCGGGCGAACACCTGCGAACACGCAACCATGAATAGTCCTCACCAAGGTGCGGGTGTTGGTGTGGGTGTGGGCGCGGGAAGATTCCCAGAAACAATTTCGCCGCGATCAAGATGTCCCACGAACCCTAAAAGAAGAGCGACGAGAGCGACGAGGCCATACAGATCTGCGGGTGTTGAGCGAAAGAAGATGAAAGGCTGCTTCCCTCCGTATGTTCAGTCGGCACGAAAACCTGAAGACCTACAGCACCACAGCAAACAGTGGACTCATCGAACCGCGCCAAAAACCGAATGATTCGCTGATATCCAGACCCGCGACCCCATTTTCAAGGGCGTCATCTGTGTTCATCTGCCGGCCTGCCCCCTGAGAATTCGGAACGCATACACGGTTTCGCACTACTACGTAGTTGCAACTACAGTACTTGGGTTTAAAGCTGGTAACACACCAACGCGCATGTTAGCAGATGACAAGTCAACTCCAAGATTCCCCACCCACCACACAAACCCACCCACCAGGACGCAAAATCCCCTCATTCTCTTTCTGAAAAATGGCAACAGCAACCGCCCCTCCATCCACCGCCCCACCCGGCACACCCCTCCGCCCCGCCCGCGCAACCCCCCCATCCTCCGCCGGCACTCGAACAAGCACTTCCGCACGCCCAAGCAGCTCCCGAGCCAAATCCGCCGGCAAGAACAAGGAGGTTATTCGGAAGACTGAGGAAGCGGAGGAGGGTGGTCGGAAGGGGGTTTGGGAGGTTATTCAGGTGTGTGATACATGGGGGAGGAGGGTGTGGGATGTTTTGTTTGGGGGAGTCATGGAAGAGGGATGAGAAATTGATAGGTTGCTTTTCCGGTAGGACCGGATTGGTGCACCTCTTACATGGACGTTTCTCACAGCGGCGGACATTACGGCGCTGAACGGGTTTACAGGTCCGGAGGATGTTGTGAGGTTTGTGTCTGCGCTGCAAATTTACCACTCGGAGGGTTGTATTGTACTGATGGACGTTGTATGGGATGTTTTAGCAAATTCGCACAACTGTTGGGACTAGATGGCGTGCATCGCAAGGATCTGTTTGCGGGGATAAGCGTTATGTTTCATGTTGGGAATTACATGTAAGCTTCAGCTTGTCAACTGCTGCAGCTGGCTGGTCAAACTCCCAGTGTCCATTAATGGATATCTGATGTTCTCTGTATAGGTATGCAAAGGATAAGGGTTTCACGGACGCAGAAACAGCGGCATTTTGTGCGATATTGAAGACTTGTTTGGAGAATGGCAGTGAGTACAGACACTCTCCATTCCTTCCTCCCCTGATGCTTCACAGCCCGTACTCACTGCTATCGTATCCACCAGAGCACCTCACCACCCTCGACAAAGCCCTCACGCACACCCAAGAGCTGCTCATCGCCCACACCGGCTCGGCTTCTCAATCACAGATTCAGTCGACACCAGAAGCACCGACAGGCGAGAAAGCCCAATGGGAGGTGTTCCGCCCAGAGGTGGTCGACATCATCACCGACTACATTGTCCTCACGTACGTACGGGTTTTATCATAAGCACAATCACATCCATATATCAAAATCACAAAAGGCTAAAACTGCTCCAATCAATAGATTTTTGCAGCATTTCCGATTATACCACTACACCCTAACCCACCCTCAACCCCCGCACACAACCACCCACACCCTCCACCTCAATGAACCCCCAACCCTCACCCCGCCCACACGCACCGGCAGCGGCTCAAAATCCAGCCGGCCCTCCACCCGTTCCCGCAAATCCACCGCCAAACCCCTCGCCACCTGGCCACCCCCCCTCTCCAGCCACCTACCCCTCGCCATCCACGAAGCGCAAAAGGCGGAGCAGGCGCAACGCGAGCGCGAGCGGATAGCTGCTGAAGCCGCGTTGAGGGAGGAGGAGAGGAAAGCGAGGGAGAACCCGTTTGGGGTACTTGATAATGAGAGTGTTAAGAATGTGGCGGTGGAGGTTGTGGCGGAGATGCTTGCGGCGGTGGGGAGGGAGGTGGAGGCGAGGTTGGAGGAGGGACGGGGGAGGTTTTTGGAGAGAGTTGGAGGGGTCAAGTAGGGATATGTTGAAGGGCTGTTCTGGGGATGTATCGGTGTGTTTTGCGAGATGTGCACCCTTTCAAGATGTAACCATATGTGCACAGCAGGGGAATTAGCTGAAAACATAGCTGACTACGCAATCACCTCGGCCGCTCATAAACAATCTCAATCCTCCCCACCCCATCCGGATCAACCTGCGCAACATCCGAATACTTCCTCGTCAGCCGCTTCCTCTTCAGGGAATAGCACATCCCCGTCGCACGGAACCCTACAAAACCGCCGTTACAACACACGGCGACTCGGAAGACTCGGATATCGACTGGCAACAGCAACTCACCCACACGGCAACGTGCAGTAACTCCCCCACTTTGAGCTTCCCCGACAGCGATTGTTGTGTAGGCCATTGGCGTGCAAGAGATTCCGCCTTTGAAATCGTCGCAAGTAATCGCAATGGTCGGCACTCTGAATTTGGACTGGAATACATTCTACGTGCGAAAGGAGAAGGAGTGGACCGAGGTGCCCAGGGCGACTGCAGACGAAGTGGCCGCTCGAGGGCCATACGACATTGTCACAGCATGTAATCGCCGGGCTTACTTTCGACGGTACGGAAGCACCACACCGCGGCAACCTTTGTGGAAGACCGCCGACAGGGGATTCAAGTTCACTTGCGTCAATTGCAAGATGGAAGTGGATATGGTGAGCAGCGTCAACTCTTGTCAAGGTCACTTTGACAGATCCGTTGGGGGCCTCCCGTGTGTCGTCTACTACGAGTTTGAGAACGAGGACGGTGAAACACGACCACTGCTCACTTGTCGGCAGAGCCGGCTGATACGATGGGTGCACACTCGCCCAGCGGGGGACATAGGGGACATCGATGTCCCATGGGACGAATACCTCATACAGCGGGAGGCGGAGGGTGCGGGCGAGGACGGCGACGATGAGGGAGAGGAGGAAGAACGGGATGCGGTTCCCGCCCCCCTAAGCACGCCCTCAAGTGCGAGTGAGACCGCTGGACAAACGCCAATTTTGGGCTCGCCAAACGAAGCCTCCGCTGAAGGCTGCAAGTAAGTGAGAGAACGAGAGAAACCTGTAGGAGGATACCGACCCTTCCATTTTGTCGATGAACGCAGTCTGCGCTTTGTCGATGCTTGAGTTTCGGGGAGCTGGGACAGGCGTGAGGTTTGACATGCACTGCAGGCATGAGGCGTGAGGTCTGCAGCACATTGGCACAATCGGCCACAAAGGCAAGGGCATCATTCCAGGATGTACCGGAGAGACACAATGTAGCATGTATGTAGCATCCGGACATCTTACATATGTGCGGTAATTCCTCGTTCCCACCTCAACTTCGTTGCGGTCGTAGCTAAGTACGCTTGCAATGCTCAATGTCTCGTTTCCTACCATCCCTGCCAGTTGCGAAGCTCGACAAAAGTCCCGTGGAAGTGGATGCAGCGCCGGAAATCCCTTCCAGGGGTTAGGGTTAGGGTTAGGGTTAGGATAACCCTACACTCTTTCAAAGTGACCTGCCGTTCCAGGGGTTAGGGTTAGGGTTAGGGTTAGGGTAACCCTACAAGCCGTCAATAGATCGGTCAACACTCCCTGCATCAACCCCCTAGCCTTTCACATCCACTCTCGGCATAAGCAAAAACCCGACATACGTTCTTCAACCGAACGGGGTAAGGAGTCCCGAGTAAGAACTGAATGAAAACATGAGTGTAGAGTTGGCAGAAAGCAGCTTGTTGTTGTTGGATGTCGCGTTGAGCAGCGACGGACGGGCGATGAGGTCCAGGATGAGGTCACACGTCTCCACTCCACTGACTCCAGGCGAAACTTGGCAACGAGAGACAAAAACACTGCACACTCCGTCCTCCCGAGTTCTGCGCATACATACAGACAGTACCCTCAGACACTCTTCTCAGCATGCCGCTCATCTACGCCTTAACCTCCCGGGGCTCCATCATCCTCGCAGAGCATGCTGCGACGACAGGCAACTTCCAGCAGGTCACGCAGCATATCTTGGAGAGGTTGCCCGAGCAGGAGGAGGGAAAGGACGGGGAGACGAGGATGACGTTTGTTTATGATCGGTAAGTTTCGACAAGGAGAGCGGAGGGTTGGGTACTTTTGACGAGCGAGGGACAGCACTTTGTGGTCCGCATTCGTCCATCCCACCCAGTATCAATATCACACCCACTTGTCGCTGACTCCTACCTCTCTCCCACCCGCACACAGCTACCTCTTCCACCACTTGACCTCGCATGGCATCACCTTTCTCTGCCTCGCGGACGACGGGTTCGGCCGCCGCATCCCATTCGCATTCCTCGAAGACCTCAAGCAGCGGTTCGAGAAGACCTACGGCTTTGAACGGCCAAAGCATGCGATTGCGTATGGGCTGAACGAGTTTTCCAGGGTTATCCAGGCTCAGATGGTGTGTATCACTACTTCATCAATCTAGTAATTTGAAAGAGCGCTGTATCTCACCCAACCTGTGATTCATAGGAACACTTCAACAACACGCCTCAAACCGACCGCTTCCACAACGTACAATCCGAGATCGACGCCGTGCGCGACGTCATGGTCACCAACATCGAAAAAGTGCTCGAGCGCGGGGACAGAATTGAGATCCTAGTCGACAAAACCGACACGTTGAACGCGACATCGTTTGCGTTCAAGAAGCGGTCGACGGCGTTGAGGAGGCGGGAGTGGTGGAAGAATACAAAGTTGATGGTGCTTATGGGTGTTGGGGTGCTGCTTGTGATTTGGTTTGTGGTCACGGCGAGGTGTGGGTTTACGTTTAGTGATTGCAAGGTGAGGTTGTTGTGGTTTTGTTCTTTGCTGATTTGTGTGCAGGTTATTCCAACGTCGTCAATCCAATTCCAGGCCTGAGGAATCCTACATCAATCCCGCTCGACATCCACCATCGCCCGATTTTTGTAATCCCATGCGCATCAGCATCCCCGCGCCCATCCCATTGTACATCGCCTCCCTAAGTTTTGAATCTTCGCCAAAACCCCCTTGCACGATATGTTTCCCTCCCCCGACCGCCATGTTGTTCCACGTTTCCCCCCATATTCCGCCAATGTCCCCCCCCACACATTCCGCCACACATGTACATAACAGTTTCGCAGTTTCGACAAATGAATGAGAATTTCGTGTCTATCCAAGTCGTTCGGCGGTATTCGGTCCGATCTCTTTTTTCCTTGTTCTTTTTGTGTGTGTCATGCACAGAATACAAGTCGTGATAGCCGACATCAAAAAATCTGCAAACGAGTAGACCGCATTCGGGAAACAAAGCGATAAGCCGTGAAGTGTTGGATCAGGGCAGTAAAGACTCACTTGCATGGCACCATATCGGTAATACCACCGGTTATTAAGCCCCGCACCAAGCGATTCCAGTGAAAGTCTATATGCATGCCCGCCCATGGGTGTTTACCTACGTACAATGGCCCCGCACAGCAGAGCAGATACGCAGTACGGCATTCGGATACAGCAAGGTAATGGATGTCCCACTCACTAGGGATGCAGCAACCGCGTGCGATTTCGAAGTGTCGGCAACCGTTTTTTGGAACGGAGTAGTATAGGGTCCCTAACCTTAACCCTAACCCTAACCTTTGTAGGCAAAATTGACGGCGGATTGACAGCATTCGACAAACCAACACGCATGAGGGCGACAACGTTCTCGCTCAAAATGGGATATGGGAGTCGGCAAAATGGAAGAAGGTTATTGCAATGAATGTGGCGCTGGGTGGGCCGTCTTCCGGCGAGAGCTGATGAGAGGTATGCATAAATAAACATCCCCCCAATGCAGGCACCCCTCACCTCCAATAGGACACGGAAAGGAAAACGACGGAGGAAGATTACTCCCGCAAGACGAGCTGTGGACATGAAAACCGGATTGACAGCATCGGGGTTGTGGGATGCATAAACATCCCCAATGGGGGCACTCCTCACCTCCAATAGGACACGGAAAGGGAAACGACGCAGGAAGATTCCACCCGCAAGACGAACTGGAAATGAAAACCAGATTGACAGCATCGGGGATGTGGGATGCATAAACATCCCCAATGGGGGCACTCCTCACCTCCAATAGGACACGGAGAGGAAAACGACGCAGGAAGGTTACGCCGGGACGAACTGGACATGAAAACTAGATTGACAGCATCGGGGATGTGGGATGCATAAACATCCTCAATGGGGACTCCTCACCTCCAATAGGACACGGAGAGGAAAACGACGCAGGAAGGTTAAGCCGGGACGAACTGGACATGAAAACTAGATTGACAGCATCGGGGATGTGGGATGCATAAACATCCCCAATGGGGGCCCTCCGCATCTCCAACCTGACACGGAGAGGAAAACGACGCAGGAAGGTTAAGCCGGGACGAACTGGACATGAAAACCAGATTGACAGCATCAGGGATGTGGGAGCAGCTATAGCAGTTGACAACTGTGACGGGCAATGACAGCCTCCCGAGCGGGACAGACTACGTATATGGCTCTATCGTGGAGAGGTTACTTATAAACATAGCCATTGCTCACACTTCCCAGCTCCAATAGGACACCGTGGACGAGGAAAAGGAAAGAAACGACACCGGAATATGCAGGGCTACTGAAATCGTCACTGGATATGGACGATAGCATAGCATTCGACACCAACAAGATATGCTGGATATGCTGGACCACCATCCAGTCGCCATACCAACGTCTCCATATCCACCCACAGGCGATAGGACCCGTCGTCGTCGTCACATATCAACACGCTATGGACCTAGCCCATAGCCCATAGCCCATAGCCCATAGCCCATAGCTCACACCCATACCCATACCCATCCGCTGCAACAAAAACCTCAACACCTCCTCGCTCGTCAGTCATCCTCGGACTTCGTCGCCATTCCACGCTGACAACCCCTCCTCGCTCGTCAGTCATCCTCGCCTTCGTCGCCATTCTACCGCATCACCCTGACAACCCCTCGCTCGGCGTCATCCTCGGACTTCCGTCGGCACTCGGACTTCACCCCTGTCGTCGTCAGCAGGCCCAGGCCATCCCGGGCTCGGATTTCGTCGCCAGTCGGACTTCGTCGGCATTCCACGTGCGCTTACGACCACCTATGCGTCGTCGGCACCCCTGTCGTCGTCAGCAGGCCCAGGTCGGTCATCGTCCTTCTCCCGCCGCGACAAAAACGCGTCACATAATCACCTCGCGTCGCATCCCGCAATCCCTTCAGACACCGACAACGCGTTGCCCGCTTAGCATCGTCAGCCAAAGAACACCGGGAACTTCCAGGCCTCCCCTTTCTCATGAATCATCGGCGCATTTGAAATGCGAGCACGCAATTCCCCTGGATTGCGGGCGCAGTCCTATACTGTGCCACCTTTTGGAAATGAGGTTCTTCCTCGGGATCTCGTTTCCAGAGGGAGCAGCAGCGAGCAGAGAGAGAGCCGTTGCGGGCGTCCTAGTGAGCCCGAAGTCTATAAAAGGAGGACCTCGGTTCGCCCTCCCCTCCACTTTTTCCTCATCAGTTCCGCACACAACAATCTCCTCTACTACTACTACCTCTTCCCTACTACTACCTCTTCTCGACTACTACCTCTTCACTACTACTACCTCTTCTCGACTACTACCTCTTCTCGACTACTACCTCTTCGCTACTACTACCTCTTCTCGACTACTACCTCTTCTCGACTACTACCTCTTCGCTACTACTACCTCTTCTCGACTACTACCTCTTCTCGACTACTACCTATCGGTCGCTCACGTACTACTACTCTGGCCTACTGCCGACTACAACACAAGATCAACGTCCGCTACCGCTTCGCCAGCACCCAAGATCAAGATCCGCTATACCGCTTCGCCAGCACCCAAGATCAACGTCCGCTATACCGCTCCGCACCCAAGATCAAGGTCCGCTACCCGCTTCACCAGCACCCAAGATCAAGGTCCGCTGTACCGCTTCGCCAGCACCCAAGATCAAGGTCCACTACCCGCTTCGCCAGCACACAAGATCAAGGTTCGTCATCGTCCGCAATGACCTTAAACTACCACCCTTCATCGACAGTACCGCTTCGCCAGCCACTACCACTACCACCCTTCATCGACGGTACCGCTTCATCAGCACACAAGATCAAGGTCCGTCATCGTCCGCAATGACCTTAACCTACCACCCTTCATCGACGGTACCGCTTCGCCAGCCACTATCACTACCACCCTTCATCGACGGTACCGCTTCATCAGCACACAAGATCAAAATCCGTCATCGTCCGCAATGACCTTAAACTACCACCATCGGCGCTCTTCTTCGGTATTATCGGGTCCGAAATGACGCTAAACTACGATCATCGGCGCTTCTTCTTCGGTCGGCACTATCGGGTCCGGGAAACTACCATCGGCACTTCTTCTTCGGTCGGCACTCCTTTTCGGCACTCCTTCGGCACCGTGCTGGGGGAACCACGTGAAACGCCCCGACGTTCCATTCTTTTCTTTTCTTTCCTTTTCTTTTCGTTTCTTCTCGTGCTAACTTTCCATTCTTTTCTTTCCTTTCTTTTCGTGCTGGGAGCATGCGTACGTTAAAGGGCCGGTGCTAGGCAACCACAGAAAACGCTTCGTGCTGGTAGGCATGCGTACGTTAAAGGGCCGGTGCTGGGCTACCACAGAAAACGCTCCGTGATGGAAGACACACGTTAAATAGCCCGCGTAATGGGCGTTATGAACCTGGAATGTGATTGAAATCAACGCAAAGCGACCGTGACACTCGGTGGCTACCTTCGGGTAGACAGGGCAGGGGCTGGTGATGAGAGTGGTGAGGTGAGTTACGTGCTGTGAAATACAAGAATCACGTATATCGACTGACGATCTGGTTATTAGTTGTCTTTTCTTTACCGTCGGCGCTCTTCTTCGGCACTCTTCTTCGGTCCACTGGTTAGTTATCTCATCTTAGGAAATCGTGACTGATTCTTGTATATCGACTGACGATCTGGTTATTAGTTGTCTTTTCTTTACCGTCGGCGCTCTTCTTCGGCACTCTTCTTCGGTCCACTGGCTAGTTATCTCATCTTATAAAATCGTGACTGATTCTTGTATATCGACTGAGGATCTGGTTATTAGTTGTCTTTTCTTTACCGTCGGCGCTCTTCTTCGGCACTCTTCTTCGGTCCACTGGTTAGTTATCTCACCTTATGAAATCGCAATCCTCTTCGGTCGGGTCCGAAATGACGTTAAACTACCATCGGCACTCCTTCGGCACTCCTTCGGCGCTCCTTCGGCACTCCTTCGGCACTTCTTCGGTTCGGTCGGGTCCGAAATGACGTTAAACTACCATCGGCACTCCTCGGCACTCCTTCGGTTCGGTCGGGTCCGAAATGACGTTAAACTACCATCGGCACTCCTTCGGTTCGGTCGGGTCCGAAATGACGTTAAACTACCATCGGCACGTCCGAAATGACGTTAAACTACGATCGGCACGTGGAAGTGGAAGAAACACGTTAACCAGCCCGTGGACGTGGACGACACGTTAACCAGCCCGTGGAAGTGGAAAAACACGTTAACCAGCCCGTGATCAGGAAAACCACGTTAAACGACCCGCGTAATGGGCGTTATGAACCTGGAATGTGATGAAATCAACGCAAAGCGACCGTGACACTCGGTGGCCATGGAAGGATCGCTGGGCGACTCCATGGACAGGGAATGTGGACAGGGCGACTCTTGAGGTATGTATTTGATCATCATCGTCGCCGTCGTGATCTTCACTGCTCTTCAACATTCATTGATATCGTCTTCTGCTTCTCTATTAGATGAGAGTGATGACGAGGATCTTGAGGTATGTATTTGATCATCATCGTCGCCGTTGCGGATCATCACTCGTCTTCTGCTTCTCCATTAGATGAGAGTGATGACGAGGATCTTGAGGTATGTATTTGATCGTCATCGTCGCCGTCGCACTGCTCTTCAACATTCATTGATATCGTCTTCTGCTTCTCTATTAGATGAGAGTGATGACGAGGATCTTGAGGTATGTTTTTGATCATCATCGTCGCCGTCGCACTGCTCTTCACTGCTCTTCAACATTCATTGATATCGTCTTCTGCTTCTCGTCTTCAGGAGCTAGAGGACGCTAGAGGACGCCGAAATCGACATCGAGAACTTCATCGAGGAAGCCGGCGAGAACGACATCGACGAGGCCGCGGAGCAAGACGTCAAGGAGCTAAGGTAAATATCATCATTGTCTGCTTTGATCACTGTTCGAAATCCGCTAACACTCGTCGTCGTCCATAGAAGCCACCGGACACGCAGGAACTACCATCGGCACGTCAACGACCATCGGCACGTTAAACGACTGTCGGCACATTGAACGACCATCGGCACTCTTCTTCGGCACTCTTTTTCGTTTCGGCACCACCCTTCTTCGCTCGTGCTGGGCACCCACGTTAAAAGGCCCAAGCGAAGCGACCGTTCTTCTCGGTGGCTCCCTCGGGAGACAATCGTGCTGGGAGCATGCGTACGTTAAAGGGCCGGTGCTGGGCAACCACATTAAACGCTCTGGAATGTGAGAATCAACGCGAAGCGACCGTTATACTCGGTGGCTCCCTCGGGAGACAAGTAATGGGACGGGAATGACTCGTATATATCTCTCTTGTACTATATTATAATACTATCTTTCAATAAAAACTACTTTTGAACTATACTACTTGCTCTGCTTCGTGCGCTCTTCGAAAAATGGCTTGCAAACTATTCTACTTCTCCCTCCTGTTGTGGGTGCAGGTTAGGGTGTGTGCGTCACGCGCTTCAGAGTGGAAAGGACGACGGCTTCGCACGGCTGTATGTACCCCCATTTTTCTACAAGTTGCCTTCATCGGCGACGCCTCAGGCAGAGGTACAATGATGTGGAGTACTGTACAGTATATGTATGTGACTGCGTTTGTCTCGCCGTGGCCAGAGGTGCGGTACCGGATGCTTGGAATGCTTGGTGTCGGGCACTTTCTTATTCATTGTCCTTGGTAGTCGCTGGTCGCGTCGCGGGGGGGTGGGGGGGGGGGGGGGGCCGGCTTGGAAGTCAAGTGACGCATACTGTACGTATAAATAGCTGCGCGTCGTCGGGCAGAACACCTTTTTCCTCCAGCATCTCAGCATTTCAAGACCAAGATTCCGTGGCCCATTCCCAGATTCCGTTGCCCATTCCCAATTACACTAGAAGAAGTTATGACCACTGCCGGCACGGCCAGGCGTGATTGTTAACTATCTTCTGGTGCGTCTGGTGAATGGTGAATGGTGAATGGTTAATGGTGAAGCTACCTCGGCTCTCGCTCAGACTCTCGCTCCACATCCGATGAACAGTTATGACCACTGCCGGCACGGCCAGGCGTGATTGTTAACCCTACTTCTGTGTTGGAGGTGCTGTGTTCTGCACTCCGGCCCGTCGGCCACGGTCGCTTCTGCGTCCGCCACCGCTACGACCACTGATACGGTTACTTCGACTGAGCCCAGGTCCGCGGTGACTGAGCCTACCAAAAACAAGGTCATTCGGGTCAGATCGGTTGCCTCTGCTACCTCGGTCGAACTTCCTCCGGTTACCTCTGTGCCTGAACAGGCGGTCACCTCTATTTCTATTCCACTGCCTCTTTTTCCCACGTCGGTTCCGCCGCCTCCCCCGGTTTTCCCCTGCCCTATCCGCCGCTCTTCCCGAACCCGTACGTCGCCGGCATCCCCACGCTTGGCGCTTCCGTCGCGCCCTTCTCCCTGCAGCACCCAGGGAACCACCCGACCGCCCCGGCGTGCAGACCTACGGGCAAACTCACTGGATATCGGCGCCGAGGAGCCCCTGTATCAAGCGATAGTTTCCTTTGGTATGCTTTCTGATAAATGTTACGGTCGCCTGCATTTTGTTTTTGCTAACGCACGCACGCAACTTGGAACCTCCCGTACATTCACCAGAATAACGTCCATCGCCTACATAACAACCCATGGAGACCGAAGGTAGGTTCTCGAGCAGGGAGGGAGCAGCGGGGAGATGAGGAAATGGGGTACCCTGCCCAGATGGTTTCGCGCATATGGCGTATCCAGCCACTGTCAGCAGCCCCCGGGTTGGCGCATATGACGTATCCACTCAGGGGAGAAAGGAGAAGAGAGAGAGAGAGGGAGAGAGTGAGCGAGAGCGCGAGAGAGAGCGGACTATACCCTACCAGATGGTTTCGCGCATATGGCGTATGCACCTGGGGGATGAGGGAGAGGGAGAGAGAGAGCAGAGGCGCGCCCTTTTGGATTCCGCTGTCTGTCGTCGCACAAATGGTGGTAGAAGGCAAATCTCATTGGCGTCGTGGGCTAACCCTGTCGGTGAATATCCTTGGGACATGTTCCACCCAATACTCCCGAGACCCGAGTTAGGGTTGGGGTTAGGGTTAGGTTAGGGTTAGGGTTAGGGTTAGGGTTAGGGTTAGGGTTTACCCGAGTTAGGGTTGGGGTTAGGTTCGACAGAGTCGCGGTCAAATTGAGGCGCCATTAGGGTTAGGGTAACATTAGGGTTAGGGTACTCTTACGCTCAAGCTCGGCCTTACAGCCTTCACGCTCGGCCTTACAGCTTCACGCTCTCAGCGCCGTGGTTTGCCATTTGGTACGGCTGGGTAGGCACTACTACCCCAGCATTCATTTCCCACAAATACTCATCATCCAAAAAACGAATCATGGCTCGAGTCCTGCAACATAGGGCACTCAACTCTCCTTCTTCCCCTTATGCAGATACCGATAGACGTACAGTACATGTGCAGTATTCGTGTTCGAACCGGAGATGAGATATGGTGGGTGATCAGAGGAGGCTTTGCGACAAAGCGACAAACCGGAGATGGAACGGAAACAGGATGGTTGGACGGAAAGGGGAGGAGAGGAGTGATGGTGGAGGAGAGGAGAGGTAGCTGGCAGGTCGTGCCGGGACTCCAGGACTCCCGCACTTGCAGAACATTCCCACTTGCACATCCTCACGCACATCCTCACGCTGGTCTCTTGTTTTACAGCCTAAGCGACGAAACGAATCTGAAGGGGAGGGGAAACGGACAAAGCGGGCGACAGCGGTACACGGATTCAGTCGTTTTAATACACTTCTGAAGCAAGATGCAGTCGGAATCATCTCACGCTTCAATCTCAACGTCGAATCCGCGGAGGAATATGCCACAACAATTGCGCACCCGACACAAACCGTATCCGGTGGATAAACGCCCGACGAAAACATCTATATGACCAGCTCGGAGCGGGAGAGAAGGGGCCGATCGAAGGGATTCCGTTGTCCCCAACTCCAACTCCAACACCAGCCCATGCCCTCGACGCATTACTGAGCGCCTGATCTATGTATTATAGACGACATTTTTGCTCCGGTTCTCCCAAATGACCCTCTCGCTATGCGGCCCGGGGCGCGGATCCACCAGTTTGTTGACAAGGCTGCATGGGCACAGAACCGGGAAGGAGATCACCAGCCCACGCCAACACCTGGCCCAACCCACACTACCACACCCAGCGCCATCTCAAACCCCGGCATCGGCGGAGTTGACAACGGCGGCGGTGGAGTTGAAATCATGGCAGACAGCCGCGGCGGCGTTGAAATCATGGCAGACAGCGGCGGCGGTGGTGGAGTTCAAATCGTGGCAGGCAGGGACGGCGGCGGTGGAGTTGAAATCGTGGCAGGCAGCGATTTCCAAAGTGTCAAAATGGCACGGAGATTCAATGTACCTATTCCGTTTGTTCCGGTAAGAAAAGTTACTTAAGTTACTAAAGTTACCGTACTTAACTAAACCAACTTTCCTTTTTTTTTTGTTTTATGTTCAGCGGTCTATCGATGTTGCAGAGTACAACGTACTGCTATTCCCAACAAACCCAGATAATCTGCACTGGGTCCTGTTTGCAATACTCGTCGCCCAAGTCCGCAAAACCCCTGGGCCCCCCTGGTTCGTCATTAACCAGACACGAAAACGTATCCCTCGTTTTATTTGACTCAAAGCCTCGCCCGAACGACCACGACTACGTTGATAAGATGGCCAATATAGGCTCCCTCTTGTGGGATTGGTGCATTACGGCCACTGAAGTCCCGCTCAATCACACACCGACGCCGACACCGACGGTTGACGCCCTCTTCACGCCTCGACAGCGCGACGACCATAACTGTGGGACATTTGTGTGCATGATGGCTGATGCCATTGCACGTGGTGCCGTGGGTGAGGTTACCGAATCATGGGTCAATACGCAGACCGCCGTCAATGCCCGCCATACCATCATCGCGCTGAGCATCGTGTTGGCCATGTTTCTTCACGATGGTGATGCTCATCAGTATACGGATGTGACGAAGTGCTAGAGATGGAAGATGCAGATGCCGGGATGGAAGGTGCAGAGATGTCGGCGTAGGAGGAGGTGCAGAAGGGGGTGCAGAAGGGTGTTGTGCCGAAAGATGCGAGCTCCTAGTTGTGATAGGGGTAGAGTATAGTATATTATACGTATAGTACGCGCCTTCAGCTGAGTCGTGCTTCAAGTGGTGCTTCAATGGTCACTCAATCATGGATAGACGACTTCTTGAACACGGCGCCCTCCAAGGACGGCTGCTTTCAGGGAGTACTCTTCCTTCTGGGCCTGTCGCAACTGCTCGGGTGCATATTCAAGTGGGAGAAATGCTCACTCACTCCATCCCAACACGTACAGCACATCGGCTGGAATTCATCGTGAGGGGCATTTCTATACGTTTTTCGATGGACGGCCACTCTATATACGGTCAGACCATCGTCGGCTACTTCCGATCTCGTGCACAATACAGATGACGATATGATGACCTGAGGGACGATTCTGACATGGGATGTCTTGTTGACGGAGTTGGATACATTCATCCCACGCGGGGCGAGGACGCTGTATAGTAGGAATGGTGTGGGTTTGATGGGGGCGTGGGTAGATATTGTATAGCAAGGCCGGGGGGATAGGCGGAAACATCAATTGAACCATGAGATGGAAAAAGGAGAACGTCGGTGAACGACCAGCTGGGAAACTCCCCTCGTAAAGCCCTGAGTAAAGCCCAGTTCGCAGCGCAAGAACGCGACCTCTTCGCTCTGGACCTCCTTCTCGCCAACCGCCATTGCGACATCGACCTGCTCACATTTCCACACCACACACTTACAACACCTCCGGCAGCTACAGCAGCCTTCCCTAGTGGCTGGACTTCGGCTCCCCACTCTTCTTTTCGCTTTTGAGTTACTGTGGACCTGGGAATCACCATGCAAAGGTGTACAATGGTCATGGCGGTCCCGTGCGCATTCCAACACTCCATCTTCGGCATGAGCTCACTCGTTGGGGAGGCAGATGGTGCCCCACTGCGAGTCGCCCTCGGTGCTCCTACACGCCTTGCAAGGCACGACGTTTCTGGATGCTGCAGAGGTTCCCCTTGCTTGTCTCGGAACCCCACCTACCAGTTCGTCGCTACCTGCACGTCGTCCGAAGCCGTCGGCTTTAGCTGCGCGTCGTCGGCAATGCGCAGAAGTGTTCTCCCACTGTCCCATTCGGCTCACTGCAACAAGGATCTACGGGTAAGCTTTATCACTTGAACTGGGTAACAGGGTGCCATCGCCTCATTGTTTCCTACCTCATTGTTCCTACTACGTAGCCACAAACAAGCGGAAACGAGACAACAAAGAGAACACGGCAGTCGATGGAGGTTGGTGTGTCCATTCCATTGAATTATCCGGCTGTAGGGCCGTAGGCTGGTGTGGTGTGGTGTGGTAAATATCGTACAGTGGGTCAATGGCTCACCCAACGCATCAACCAGAGACAACACCATTCCGCCGGAGTACGCTGGAGAAACGATGGCTCAACAACCTCCAACTGAAAGCACTCTGCAAAACCGAGCAAAACCGCACCTGTCACGCCTCCGTCGCTCTGCATTCAGCGTTCCGCTCTCGACTTCACGATCGCTTGAGGCTGATTGTTTTGGGCCGTCCTCGCGATCGTTTGCCATCCACCACAACCGCGATCGCTTGAGGCTGTTTGTTTGGGCCGTCCTCGCGATCGTGTGCATCTCATTGAATTTATGCGGCGATCTTTTCCGGCACATCCTTTATCTAATCCGCTCCCTCGGCCGATCCCTCTGCATCGTCGAAACCTGCACGTCGTCAGAAGAATTATGACCACGCGTGATTGTCATCTCTTCTGGTAAAGGGAGAATGGAACTCGACTCTTGCTCAGAAACATACTCCGCACCGAGCAAAACCGCACCTGTCACGCTAAGAGCTGGAACCATGGACCCGCATCATCCGAACCATGCTTCCCATTGGCCACGCTTCCCATTGGCCACCGCTGCCCCAGTCTCGAGCGTCGTTGCCCACGCTTCCCATTGGCCCAGCGCATGTAACCCTAACTGTAAGTCATTTTGCGTGGAAGGCTGTTATATCGCGTGGAAGGCTATTGACTCGCACATTTACAGGGTAACCCTAACCCTCAGTTACGGTACGGGTATTAGGGGAAGGCTGTAACCCTAACTGGAAGTTATTTCGCGCGGGAGGCTGTTATATCGCGTGGAAGGCTATTGACTCGCATATTTACAGGGTAACCCTAACCCTCAGTTACGGTACGGGTATTAGGGGAAGGCTGTAACCCTAACTGGAAGTTATTTCGCGCGGGAGGCTGTTATATCGCGTGGAAGGCTATTGACTAGCACATTTACAGGGTAACCCTAACCCTCAGTTATGGTACGGGTATTAGGGGAAGGCTGTACCCCTAACCGCTGTGTTGTACACAACAAACCCTAACCCTCAGTTACGGTACGGGTATTCCGCGAAGGCTGTAACCCTAACTCGAAGTTATTTTGCGCGGAAGGCTGCGCACGGAAGGCTATTTATTATAGTCGATGCAGGGCCGTTATTCGAGCGCGCCCAACCCAACCCAACCCTGCACTGATCTTGGCTGTGCTGGAGCGAGAAACTGACCTGCCGAGGCGGCAACGCCGTTGAGCTCCAGTAGGATGTATACGATAAAATCTCCGAGAGTTTGAAAGAGCGCCGGTTCAAGTTCCGGATGTCAGGCTCATATTGGGATGCAAGGAAGGCCACCGTTCTTGTCGGCAAGGCCATGCAGATCTGCGGCATGCTCACCGATGTCGACGAAGGCTACGGGTGAAAGCTACTGTATGAAGCTCAAAAAAATCCATCTATCTACAAGAAAACGCACACTGAGGGGTATCAAAATCTCTTCCCATCCACCACCTACATAGAACCCAAAATATCAAAAGCAGCCCTCCAACCGCCCCCAACCCCCCTCCCCATCTACCCAAACAGCGTCTTCAACTCCTCAATCCTCCCCCTCTTCTCCTCCTCCTTCCTCTTCGCCGCCGCCCCCACCGTCCCACCACTCCCTGCACTCGCACCACCAACTTCACCCTCCCCAATAGCCCACTTAGTCAGCACCGTCTTGCGCTCTTGGATCGTAAGCATCTTCTCCTCGACGGTGTCACGCATGACGAACCGTTTGACAGTGACGGGGCGGGTTTGGCCGATGCGGTGGACGCGGTCGATAGTTTGGGATTCTACGGGGGCCTATGGTGCGTTGCAAAGCGATTGCGAAACGGGAAACCTGTGTGTTAGATAGCAGCTAACGGAGAGAGATACTTGCTGTCCAATGGAGGAGATGCGAGGGGGGTTGAAACAATACTTACATTCCACCACGGCTCCATGATAACCACAAAACTCGCCCTCACAAGGTTCAACCCCACCCCCGCGCTCCTCATGCTCGCCAACAACACCCTACATTCCCCCGCATCCCCTTCATCACTCGCAAACCTCCGCAACGTCGCCTCCCGTTCCCTCTGACTCATCGTCCCATCCAGTCTACAAAACCCAAACCCATGTTCCTGTAACACAATCTCGCAGAGGTTGAGCATGGATGTGAACTGTGAGAAGACGACTGTTTTTACGTCGGGTTGCGTGGTGCGGAGGTGGGTGAGGTGGTGGATTAGGGTGAGAAGTTTTGTGGAGGCGTGGAAGTGGCGGCGGAGGGTTATTGTGTGGGTTGGTAGAGGTGGTGGTGGGGATGTGATGATGGTGTCCGAGTCGGTTTTGCCGTTTTCCTTGTTATCATCTACCAAAGTCGTCGACGATTGCTTCCCATCCGTTTGAGTGTCCCCCGCGCTGACAGCAGTTGCAGCGGGCGCACTCGGCGCCCTAACAATATCCAACAAGTCCTCTTCCCTGAACTCCTTCCTGCAAATCGGACACTCGCCCTTCTCGCCCATCTGCTCGCGTTTCTGGAGGTATCCGACGATGCACTCGAAGCAGCTCATGTGCAGGCAGGGGAAGAGGGTTGGCTGGACCATCAGGTCGAAGCAGATCGGGCACGAGGAGTCGTCGTCTTCTTGGGAGGGGCTGGTGCCGTTAAGGGGGGATTTGCCGGCTTGTGCAAGGCGTTGGAAGACGGTGTCGACGTAGGTATCGCGGTCGGATGTACCGGTGGTGCTGCTGTTCCCATCCAACCCATTTTGGAACCGTTTGATCAACGCATCGATGTCCATATCCGACCCATCTGCACTACTCGTCGACGCCGACGCAGCAGCGTTCCCTTTCCCCAACGCCAACTCCGGATGCAAGCAACACTGCCTCAGCCTCGTCAGCATCTGAAACACATGCGCCCAATGGCTGAGAACGCTGCCTGCCGCGCAGAACGCCGAGAACTGCGTTTTAGATTTCGTAAACAGTGCCGTGTAGATATCGCGCTCCTCTTTTGTGAAATCGAGGTATTCGGTCTCTACCGTTTTGGGCGGGAGTTCCACGATCGGTCGGCCTTCGGGTCCCACTCGCGTTGTTTTCTGGCGACGGAGGACGAGCGGTTCCAAAACCGATTGGACTACGTTCAAAGCTTTTGGGTCCTTATTGGCAAAGGGTACGGTGATGAACTGTCGCCAGAAGGAGTAGTTCCCCCACGGCTCGATGCGGAGAAAATGCACCAGGGAGAATAAGTCCTCGAGCCGGTTCTGGATGGGCGTGCCGGTAACGCACCACCGACGTCGCGCGTCGATCTTGTGGCAGGATTTGGCGGTGGCGGTTTGCTGGTTTTTGATCCAGTGCGCTTCGTCCAGCACGACTCGGAACCATTGCACGCCGAATATCAGCGAGGCGCGCTTGTTGGTTTTCACTGTTGCTTGCCATTCGCTCGCGACGACTCCGTAGGTTGTGATGACGACATCGGGTGCGTCTTTAGATGTCAGATCCGAGATTTTCAATGACCGTTCTGTACCGTAGAAAACGGCGTGAGATAATGTCCCCGGCCTGAAGCGTTCCGTGACCTCATCGCGCCACTGGGACAGAAGGGACAGCGGGCACACGACCAGCGTTGCCCGGCTTGACGGAAGTACAGAGTCCGTCGAGTTCCCCTTGGCAGCATACCGCGCAAACGGTTGGAACTGGTTCGTCCAACTCGACTGCCCCATCTCTTCCTGCGTCGGTCGATTTGTGTGTATGAGAGCAAGGGTCTCGAGCGTTTTGCCGAGTCCCATCTCGTCGGCAAGGATTCCTGCCCGAGTGCGGTCGGCGGCGCTTGGGAAGCGTGTTTGCATCTCGCCGGTGTATGGGTTTAAGTAGATCTTCTGTGGATGAGCCTCGCACTGGTTTCCCGGACTTGGAAGGGCGTACTCTTCCCACAGGGGATGTATTGAATGCGAGTCCGAATCTACTTGAAGGTTTTCTTTCGCCGCCATCCAGGATAGGGCCTGTACCATTGATTGAGAGAGCAATAATGTCAGTCTTGCACCAGGGATGTCATCACGTTCAGACAAACATCAAACATACCTGCTTTTGATACCCCCTCAAGTCAATAACCAACCCCTCCTTCGGCTCCATCTCCTGCACATCCTCAAAACCTCTCGCCTTCTCATACAAAACCTCCACCTGATCCTCCTCCAGCTCCTTCTCATCCTCCACCGCGTCCTCACCCGGCACCGCGCCACCACTCGACGCAGCATCCACCGCAGCATCCTCCTTCAACCCAGCCTCAGCGGGGTCAAACGGCCGCAACCCAAGCATCTTGAATAACGTCAACAGCGCAATCTTGCGATCCTTGATCGTCTGGTCCTGGGTATCCTCATCGTCGGCCGACGCCACGGTCATAAACGCCTTCTTAGTGAAGAAGATGCGGAGCTGCAGGATAATATCGCACAGCAGTGTGAGTGAGGGTGGGGCTGAGACGACCGTGCCGCGGATGACGATGACGTCCATCTCGACCAGCTTGCCGAGCACCTTCGCGTCGTCTTTGGACATCTTGGCGACCTCTTTGCCGCCGGCCCGGATGCGCGTGATGGGCCCTCTGGGTGTTTTGGACGCGCGTGGGTATCTTTTGGACGTCGGTTGGGCCGAGTAGACGGTCTTATGGTCGATCGTCTCGATTTCGTCTCCGTCTCGTAGCTGGTTGGGCCCCCGGATGGTCGCAAGGGCTACCAGTATCACGTCGCCTGCATACTTCAACTCCCCGTCCGGATGCGGCGACCCGGCCCCACCGGCTGCTTTCACCCGCTTCACATCCCTCGTCCCCATCGCCGCATCCTCCTCCGCCTTCCGCTTCACCCCGGCGTCGGCCGCCTGTATCGCAAGTCGTTGGTATTTGCCTGGGTTCTCGAAATATAAATGACATGCTCGTGATAGGTCGCCTTTGGACTCGGCGAGCAGGACGCCGAGTGACATGGAGGGGACTTCGTCGCCGAGGATGCCGCGGAGGGAGGCGAAATCTGGTTGTGTCATTGTTTGCGGTTGGTTGCTAAGTTGCAGTATCGTTTCAAGCAATGGCCGTGGGAACTTGGTGGACTGGAGGCGACGAGGGTGGAGTGGAGAAGTCTCAAAGCTCCAGCCAGACCTGTGGGTATTCCCCGGGAGCGCAGCTTTCCTATCTAGTACTATCTAGGAGGTGCTATTCCAGCACTTTGCCCTGCGATAACCTCTACCATTTGCAAATGGGGATAGTTTGAGGTCTACGCTAAGCACAGCATGAATTTGCAACAAGTCCGAAAGCGCCTCGTTTGACAAATTGCGTCCGGAAAGGGAAGCCAGACAGAGGCGACTGCCAAACGCGTCACTCCAATCCTACGAGTTGGGAAGGAAGCGACAACCACATAGCCCGGCAACATGAGAGTAAGCTTCTGACGGTCGAGCTTCTGCGCACGTTGAGCGTGAGGAGCGGGGAACGAGGCAGGCAAGGCATTGGGCTTTCGTCCACAGAGCACATGCCCTCAAGTTGTTAAGCAAGAAGACAATTTTCCAAAGTAGTTGTAATAGACACAGATATTATGTAGATATCTACATATTAGACAAAGCATTTGATACGTACAATACATGCAATTGATACCGCACTAAGATTGCCACGCCGATATTGAACGGCATCCTACTCCGCCATCCTACTCTGCCTTCGTGCCTTCATCGCATCCTCCAGCTTCATCGCATCAATAAACTTCCTCTCCTTATCCTCAGATTTCATCTCCTCGAATTTACCGCCCATTACCGGGGATCTTTACTGGGGAATACACTACATATGCCGGAAACTACACATCGGCTTGACATTGGTTGGACGGGATGGGGCGAGGGGAGGGGGTTGTGCATGCCATAGCACAGTGTGTGGAGGCTGAGGGTGACACCCGACAAGCCGGCGGCGGCGCAATCAGATCCTCCCCACTGTCGTTGTAGGCGGCGGCGGTCCAGTCGGCGGTGGAACCTAAAGCAGCAAAAGAGAGCACAATCAACAAATGATGTATTTTAGAACTACAATAAAACCCGAAGAATGCTCGCCCGGGTTTCCTCGAGTTCCAGTCTCATATCCTCTAAACTTGTATGCTTTGTATGAAAGATCTGCTTTCCACCGGTCCAGTTGTCTGCAGCGTGTGTGAATCCGCACAGAAAGGTACCGCTGGTTGTTGCTCTTACTTGTTACAAGGCTGGCCACGGCGGCGTCTGTCATGGGATTAGGGTTAGGGATTAGGGTTATCAACCCTAATCCCCAACCTCACAACCCTAACCCAGTGATAACCCTAATCCCCAACCCTAACCCCAACCTCACAACCCTAACCCGGTGATAACCCTAATCCCCAACCCTAATCCCATGACAAAGTCCGCCTGTGAAGGCACCTCTCCACATTGCGCTCTGGACGAGGAACGTAGTCCTCAAGAGTCTATGGACGAGGAGGAGGTTGCGAGGAGGTTGCTTAGTATTGCGGAACGTTTCAATCGAACTGTCATGGATCAAGTTCGTGCAATAATGTGCATGAGTAACATTCCTGAGAATCTCTGGAATGAAATAGCTGTCTTGGTATGTGCATCAATGAATGCACGGAAAGCTCTCCCATAGGAAGAGTTAGATATATATGTCTATAAAGGTGATGCAGGATATGGAGGCGTATGTAAGAGCGACGTAGTTTATGGGGGGTGGAGGAATCTGCCAAAAACGAAGGCCAGGGGGGTGGGGTCTATGGAGATTGATTAGGGGGGGTTGGCGCTATGAACTAGCGAGACTATGGGGGTCACCGCCCCCGAGATTGCGTGGGGTAGCATCGGTCGGTACCTTCACTTCCGCACAGGACTAACAACTCTCGCCGGCGCACTATCCGCCCGTCCCAAAACCCTCTCCACCTTCTCCCGCTCCAGACTCCCCATCCTCACCGTGTTCCCCCTCTGCATACCCCCAGGGAACCTCACATCCACATCCTCTCCCTCCTCCGCCTTGGGTGACCCGACGGGGTGTCTCGTTGTGATTAGACCTGTGCCGTGGGGGATGGGTACTGCACTTGGATGTGTGGGGGAGGTGGTATGGGCGTTTGCGGTCCCGTTATGTTGATGGAAGTGTTCATCGTCCTCATCATCTGTAAACTCGTCCTCGTCAAGGTCCTCGTCGTCATACATATCCTCGTCCTCATACGCCTCTTCGTCGTCCGTGAACTCGTCCTCGTCTTCATCGTATTCTTCATCTGACGCCGGTTTCGCCAAATTCTTTCCCTGCTTCTTCCCATTCTTGTTATTGTTGATGTTGGGGGGTTTGCCACCCTTCTTGCCACCCCCCCTCCTCCCCCTCCCCGCCGCATCGACGTCCGCGTCATCAACATCCGGCAACTCAATCTTGGGTAAATCCGACTTCCAGAAATTCCAATCGTTGAAATCCGAGACGGTCACTTTCTCCTGTCCGATCGGCGGGAAGATCTGGTCGACCAGATCATTCAGCTTGATATACGAGCTCTTATAATTCGCAAGCAGCTCCAATTTGATCTCGCCCGTCGAATCGATCGTGAATATTCGACTACTGGGTACATCAACCGAGCGATAACTCAGCGCATCAGTGATCCGGTTCCCAAAGCCCGCGTAAAAGGGTGTCCGATCGACAAAGAGGCGTTTGATATCGCGCAGACAGGCCATTTTGAATTCCTCGGGTTTGCGGAGGATGACTTCGCGGTGGAAGGAGGCGAAGAGACGGTCGGGGGACATGATGACGGGGCCTTCGGGGAGCTGGTGGCCGTTCTGTTCGATTTTGGAGAGATATTCGCGGGTTGCGCCGGCCTATACAATGTTTCAAGAAAAAGTTAGGTATCGCACAGTCTCCCTCGAACCACGCACCAGCATGTTTCAACTAACCTGCCCAATAGCCCGACTAGTCAAATACAAAATATGATACCCATTCTTCCTTATATTGGTATACAAGCTCGCAATCCCCGAATGCGTCCAATCCTTCCCCACCATCGTAAAAATATGCCCGAGTGCATCGGATTTGGTGATGGTGCCGTCGATGTCGGAGATGACGATGTTGCAGTTGTGGTCGTAGAGGAAGAGCTTGGCGGAGACGGAGGCTGCCGACTGCGAGACGGTGAAGGTGATGGTGTTTGGGCCGGGTTGGAGGTTTAGTTGTTTCTGTGGGGATAATCGAAATCAGCACATATTCATAGTGTCTCGGGGGTGGAGGTAAGGGATTTGACAAGAACATACCAACTGCTCCGAAGTCAACCGCAAAGATTTCGCAAAATGCATCGGGAACGACCGCTGCTCCTCCAGCTGCTCCTTCAATTTATCGGTCGGCGCCGCCGGCGTCTGGTTCGGCTCCTTCATCGGGCCTTCGTCTTCTGCGCTGATCTGGGCCGTGGGGGATGGTGGCGTCGGACTGTTGCCGTTGAGGTCTTTGGGTTCCGGGGAGGATTTGCTTTTGTCTTTCTCGTCCTGTGGTGAGAATATCGTGTTACTAAACTGATCGTCTCGGAGGAAACGGACAAGGGTCTGTTTACTCTATCACCCACCGAGCCATTGTTATCCTTACTGCCCCTAGTCCACCACGTCTTAAACTGATTAAAGCTATACCGCCTATTATCCGGCGAAAGCCCCGGCCTCGAATGCGCGCGGACGAGCTTCCTAACCAGATCCTCGGGCAACGGTTTCTTGAACGCCAAATTCGACATGATCATCGGTCCCGCGACCGCCCAGTTGAAGTAATGCCCGTTAATCCGCAGCGTGAGTGATGTGTCGGCGAACAATTCGGGGGTTTTGGCAAACGCCTCGTACCCGACCACGTTCTTGTTGAACAGCTCGTCGGCGTCCCGCGGGCGAAGGGAAATGACGCGGTCGTAGGGTACCATAGAGATCTCCAGCTCGACGTCGTGGTTGAAGGCGACGCTGAGGCCTTCGCCGGGGGTGTAGGTGTCGCCGCCGTTGGGCTGGTCAAGGTTGTCTTTGGAGGGGGAGTCGGGGTTGGGGGTTGAGATGGGGGAGTGGGTGCGGGGGTTATTTTCGTCGGGGAGGCCAGCGAGGTAGTTGTTGACTTTTTCGTCGACGGACATGTTCGTGAGGCGGGGTTGCGAGTCTGCGTCGAGGGGTTCGCCGCCGTCGCCTTTGAGCAGCTTTTTCTCCCCTTCGTTCTGAGCACCGCTCCATCTCCAGCCCCACCCTTTCCCACCCTTCTTCCCGTTCTTGGCATTCACGGAAGCGTTGTAGTCGGCATACTCCACCTCCGTATCACTCAGAGGGCCCGTGTTTGCCCGTTTCAGGATATAGGAGGAGTTGAGCGCGCTCTCGTCGACCGAGTCGAGGGGTGCGCTGGCGTCTTCGCCGCCGCCGCCGCGCATGCCCACAGAGCTGGAGCGAGTATGGCTGCCGCGCCGGCGTTCTTGGTATTCGGAGGTGACGGGGTAGGAGATCGAGTGGAAGAGTTTGGGCTTTTCGGAGCCGGTTGGACTGAATTCTTGGTCGGAGGGGGTTGCTGGGGTGATTAGCGTCTTTTCGGTGGGGCTGTCGATTGGTTCTGCAAATACAAAAAATCAGTTTCGATATGTATGGAACATGGACTCAGCCACGGCTCTTTAACGTACCAGGCTGTAGTGACGAAACCGACAGATCCTCCGCCTCCCTCACAGCCGGTTTCACCTGTCCATCGTCCACCACTGCGCCCTTCCCAGGCCTCACATCATCCTCCGTCTTCCTCGGCTCGGGCATCCCGGGCAATGACGTCTCCACAATCCCCTGCGCGCTCGGATTCTTATCCGTATCCGCCTGCTTCATCCCGACCAGATTCGCATCATGCGCAAAGGATTTGATCACGTCCTCTGCGTCGATTGGGAGCTCCGAGGGGGGTTTGTCTGATACGACGGCTGAGGGAGGGCCGTGTCCGTCTTTCGTGGGGGATTCGGATGGGGTGGCGTGCGTGTCTTCGCCGAGACCAGCACTGCTGGGTGTTCGCTTACGTGGGGCGGCTGGAGCGCTGAGGTGGTGATTCGCAGCGGCATCATGGATCGCTTCATTGCTCCCCCTTACCGCGCTGGGTTTGCGGTCACGTTTGCTTTGGATCATACCCACCAGCCGCGCGTCCTGCTCGAAGCGTTGGACGACGTCGTCGGCGTCTATGGGCCGATCGGAGCGATTGGCGGAAGAGATGGTGGAGCCGATGGTTGTGTCGGGTTTGCCGTGGTGCTCGGTGGGGACTTGGAGGGCGTCGCCGGTGGGTGAGGCTTCGGGGTACTCGTCTTCCTCAATGTCCGAGTTGTGGGCGCTCACATATCCGTTTGCTCGTGTGGGACTGAAAAGATCGTTCTCGTCTCCGGGAGAATTCAAATCGAATGGTTCCATGGGGGCCTGAAATCGGGAAATCGGGAAGAAAATATCAATCGCGAGGGACCCCAAAAAAAACCGAGAACAAAAACAAGGAATCTGCCGCCAGTAGGGTTCGAAGTCGGGTCCATCCCCCATTGATCCTTGCTGTCCGAAGGCTCAAGATCGGATGGTTGGGCGACGGATGGTTAAGCGGCGGATGAACGACACCCTGCTCACTCCGCTCGCGACGAGGATGACGGACTGTGGTGGGCAGGAGTGTAGCTCGCTTCCCTCGCTAAAAAGATCTCACGCTCGCTGACGCTCGCTAAGAGCCGTGGTTAGGGGAAGCATTGCGCCTTTGGCGCAATGTGGCTCGCTCCGCTGGCGCTTCACTTTCGCTCGCGGAAGGCGTTCGGCTCCTAGTTCGCCTGCCTCAAGCATCCCTGCACCTCGCTGCGCTCATTGCAGTCCGCATTCGCTCCAGGTCCCCCCACCGGCTCCTTTGCACGAATCAAGCGCTCGCTATTGCTCGGTCACTCCGCTCGGCGGCTCACTCACGTACCTCACCCTCCTCAGCATGTTGAATTGGACTCGTGGCATATTCACTTGGCACGGGATTCTCCGTCTCCACAACAAAGAACGCCTCCCCAGCCTCGCCCAATTTCATGAGTAAATCAGCGGGCTTCCCATTGATCGTCACCGTAATCGCCTTATCGTGGGGCCTGAGTAGCTTGAGTTTCCCAAATCTGACATGAAAGGGCGAACAGACCAATTCACCGTCGCCGTGTTTGATGACGAGGACGTCGATAGCACCCGAGAGAGTTGAAGGGTTGACCTCGTTGTAGAAGGAGTTTACGGCGGAGACTGCGGAGACTACCTGGGATTCGGGGAGGGAGGTGAGGTCGAGGTTGAGATACGTTTTGGGGAATGGGAGTGAAGTGAAAAACGAACCTTGCCGGCCGCAAAGGCCACCATAGAGGTCATGGTTGGTAGCTAGTGGTTGTGGGTTCACCACGAAGTCCGAGAGAGAATAGGCCAACCCTTCCGTGCAGCAGAGTGGGATGTGCGCTCAGAAAGCGAATTTCGACCCCAAAGCAATGCTTCTTTGTCGTGTGCAAACTCCAGTACCAAAATGTCAAATTGCGTAGTGAGCGAGTTGCCCGAGTAAGCGCCGTTGAACGCCGTGACGTCGATAGTTCCGTTGCTCGTTCAGCCCCGACTCTATGTCCCAAGAGTGTTCACTGTGGAGGACGTTGGATATATGGAATAGAGTATATCTTTCGGGGATGGGGGGGCTTTTGCCGAGTTCCGTTTCTTTTGCCAGTCGGTCGAATGTGCGATGGATGACACAACGAAGCGCTCTCTGACAATCCCGTCCTCATATGGCAATGACCCGCGGAAGAACGCCGGGCGGCCAGCCAGACACGGGCTCAGCAGCAAGAGGTTGCGAAGAACCGGCGGCGAACAGCGCAAAAAGAGTACTTGACGATATGAAAAGAGGGAGGTCGCACAGGCGCGCACACGACGGAACCAACCCGCTCGCCCCCTTCCTTCCGGCCTCCGACGAACATGTGCAAGTCTGGCGAAACAAAACAGTTGGCGACCCCACACTCTCATCTCAGATCTGTACCTGTACATTTTGACGCGGAGACAAAAAACACAGATACATCTCTTGCCCACTTGCGTATGATATCACGTGACGCAAGGGATTAAATGATGTTGGCGGACCTTGGCCATCGAGGTGCGTTTTTCAGGACAACTCGCTTTACAGGCATACCGCACGTAGCAATGGCCGCCTCAGCAACTGCACCACAGGCTATTGCAAGCGACCTGCTGGATACAGAGTCGGCGGGCTTTGCCTCGCTGGACCTGGAGCCTCGCCTCTTGCGCGCAATAGCAAAACTTGGTTACAGCCATCCAACCCTGGTACAGTCGAATGCTATCCCGCTGGCGCTACAAGGCAAGGACATTCTCGCTCGTGCTCGGACAGGGTCAGGGAAAACAGGTGCCTATTGCATACCTGTGGTCCAAAAAATTCTACTCGCCAAAGAAGGCGGCAGGACGGGAGCCGCGACACGAGCATTATTGTTGGTACCGACTCGGGAATTGGCGGAACAGGTACATAGAACGGTCAAGGACTTGACGGCCTATTGTGCAAAGGAAGTCGTTTCTGTCAGCTTGGCGACGAGTGACCAGTCTGCTGCGAATCATAGGTAAGGCCGTTCGTGCTAACACTTTCTCGCAGGTGGGCCCAGAGCTAACAGAGAACTCTTGTAGGGCCATTCTGGCTGAAAAGCCCGACATTGTGATAGCGACTCCCAGCAAGATTCTCGCACAACTGGAGGCCGGAAATCTTGTGCTCAGGGAAACCTTGGAGTCTCTGGTCATCGACGAAGCAGATTTGATCTTGTCTTACGGCTACGATGAAGATGTGCGGAAAGTTTTGGAACACTTGCCGAATATTTATCAAAGCTATTTGATGAGTGCAACCATGTCTGATGTGAGTTCTTGTTGCTACGTCGGGCTCCCTTTACTTCTAGTCGAACTAACTGGCCAACGACAATCAGGACGTGGACGCATTGAAACAACTCATCCTCCGCAATCCCGCAATCCTTAAACTCTCTGAAGCGCCAAATGCGAACGAGTCGCAGCTTACGCAATACTCCGTGGCATGCACCGACTCCGACAAATTCCTGCTGACCTACTTCATCCTGAAACTGCGGATTCATCCATTTGGCACGGGAAAGTGCATCATCTTTGTCAACGATATCGACCGTTGCTACAAGCTGAAGCTGTTCTTGGAGCAATTCGGAATCAAATGCTGCACTCTGAACTCGTCGCTGCCTTTGAAAAGCCGGTACCATATTGTTCAGGAATTCAACCGTGGGGTGTACGACTATGTCATTGCGACGGACGAAGGCGGTATCCTGGATGACGAGAAGGATGTTGATGAGGAAGTTGAGGATGAAGACGAATCGACCGATAAAGCAGCGGAAGAGGAAACCGCCGTGAATGACGCGGAGGCTGATGGTAACGAAAAGGCAGCAGAGGCCGTTAATGCCAAAAAACGGCCCGCCCCATCCTCCTCATCAACAAAGTCCTCAAAAAAGCACAAAACCAACCCGACAGACCTCGAATACGGCGTCTCCCGCGGTATCGACTTCCAGAACGTTCAATCCGTCATGAACTTTGATCTCCCAACCACATCCCGGTCCTACATGCACCGCGTCGGTCGTACCGCCCGTGGAGTGGGTTCAAAAGGATGGGCCTTGTCGTTCGTCACACCGGAGGATGATACTACCATCGAGCCCCTGCGCAAGAAGAAGCGGAAACAGCAGGAGATTGTGCAGAAGAAACCGCCAAACGATCAGAAAGTGTTTGAGAGGATACAGAAGAAGCAGACGGCGATGGGAAGGGAGGTCAAGCCGTATACGTTCGATATGAAGCAGGTGGAAGGTTTTAGGTATCGCGCGGAGGATGCGCTGAGGGCGGTGACGAGGACGGCGGTGAAGGAAGCTAGGATGAAGGAGTTGAAGATTGAGATTTTGAACAGTGAGAAGTTGAAGGTTTGTCTCTCAGCTTTCTTTCAGATGGACCATGCATGCCCTTGCTCTTGTGTCGGTAGAACCTCCAACTCACGAATGAATTCCCCGTCAGGCCCACTTCGAAGACAATCCAACAGATCTCCACGCCCTGCGGCACGATAAACCCCTCCACCCCGCCCGCGTCCAACAACACATGAAGCACGTCCCCGACTACTTACACCCCAAAAAGGGCGGAGCAAACACGACACCCAGTGGGAATGTGCCCTTCAGAATGGCGAACAACAGGAGAGGTGGGCGTGGAGGACGGGGAGGACGAGGAGGACGGGGAGGGAGAGGCGGTCGGGGCGGGGCTGGCTCTGCTAGGAAATCGGATCCGTTGAAGAGTTTTACGTACACTGGACCCGCTGTGTAGTTCGGGTTGTTTGGGGAGAGGAGCGGGCTGTGGAGGCGTAGGCATAGGCGTAGGTAGTTTTGCGCAGGCAGAATATTTAGACGTCCTTGGGTACATCACATCTTTATCATTATTCACCATCGAGTCTTTTTGCACAAATCATAGTGTGTATTCAGTAATACAGTATTCTCAGAAAAGCACTGAGACCGGCAAACATCTGACAAGGTGCTCCCACAAGAAACATAACAGCACGGGAACTCGGAACATCAACGTGTGCGTCGTCCAAAGACAACAATATCCTGTTCGTATGTACACATGCCAAAATTACGACTCGCAACCAGACCCTCAACCTTCTCCCAAGGACGGTGATCCAGCTCTTCTCTGCCCGGACCATACGTGCGCCCGTGATGAGCAGCACGGTGATTCCATTACCTCCCCATGCCGCGCGGGTTGGTCGGCGTCCATGCAGACTGGGGAGGGCTTATCCTAGGCATGCGTGTGTCACCACCATGACCCCTAACTAGGCGGCACCACCCATCCAAACACCCTCTCCTTCGCATGTCATCACTCCTCATGCAATCCCCACAAAACCTCACTAGCCAACCGTTCAACCTCCCCATCGCCAACCCCATCCGTCACAATCTCCACAAAAAGCCGTTCATGCTTCGCCAACGCAGGTCGACATCCCCTCACCGAGCTGAACTCCGCCAGCGTGCGCATACACCGCTGGCTGATGCTCGCTGTAGCCATTTGCGAGACGCCGCGGGTTGATTGTGGTAGTGTGAGGGAAGGGTGCAGGTCTGATGAAGGCGGTATGGAAAGACGGAGCATGAGGGTGATAAAACCGGGGATGTGGACGAGGCGGAGTTTGATGGAGTCATTGGATTGGGTGAGATTGTGCAGTGCGATGCTGGCCATTTCCCAGCTCGCGAGGTCTTCGGGAGTGGCGTCCATCTTGAGGCCGTCGGTGGGTAATGCGAGCAAGAGTCGTTCGCAGAGAAGCGCTAGTTTATCCAAATCCGTCTCCGCGGCGAGATCCGCGTTCTGGTAAGTCAATGTGACCTTCGCCAAGGCTTCGAGAGCAGGGAAGGCGTACGGCGTGTCCAGATCGTCCAAGAAGTCAGACAACACGTCCAAAATGATCTGGACCGAATCGCCTACCGGGAAACTGATCCGCCCACCAATGTTCGACAAGATTATCAAGGCGTTCTTTCGGTGCTCCAGCGCCGCCGACGCGCCGCGCGTTTCGCCAGTTTGGATGGTGAGCATCTTCTGCAATGTTTCCAAAAAGATCTTATCCCCAGCCATCGTCAACCCGACCTCGCCGAAACTGATATTCCTCAAAATCATGCTCCCCACCAAAGCACGATCCTCATCTGCGTCCATGACGTCAAACGTCCGTTTCTTTCGCTTGCCGACTCGCAAATGCTCCTGCCCGATTGTGGAGGCAAGAGACCGGTAGCCCTGCGGTGAATCGGGAACCTCGCAGCTTTCCATCCACGATGTCACCAAGTGGCAGATGACCCATAATAATTCAGGGCAGTCCTGAAGTGGTATCTTCAACCCGCTTTTCTTGCTCGACGCAACCAGCAATAAATCCAGCGCCCATCGAATCTCATGCTCAATCCCACTCCTCAGCGACATCTCCAGCCTGCGGAGGTCGACCTGTCCACCGTAAAACGCTTTCGTAGGCGCAAGAACGTTGGGGACCGCGCCCTTAAAATCCAACCCTCCATACGACTCGACTATCCGCACTTGCGGTTCAAAAACCGGTTTTCGTGGCGGTGGCGCTGGTTCTGGCGGTAACTCAACCACCGGAGCCGGGATGCTGTGCTGCTTCTGATGCAATAAATTATTCGACGGCTGCTGCATCCCGTCCCTGTGCATTGGCTGCCCCAGGTCTATCCCACCCTGCATGCTCTGGTGGTATTGAGCTGAAGACATGTGCGCGGGACCGACATTGGGGAAGTTGTGATGTTGTCTCTGCGGAGGCGCCTGCATTTCGGACGGGTTAGGGACCATCTGATGCATCTGAGATTGCATTCGATGTTGTTGCGGGTGGGGGGGTTGCATGGATTGTTGAGCGACCGCATAAGGCGGCAGCCGATTGGTTGGCGTTCCAGGTACACCCAGCATCGCTGGGCGGTGAGGCTGTGGGGATCAAATCAAACGTCAGAAAACATGCCACACATTTTCACTAAATAATCTAGCCTTACCGAAGAAGACATATCCGATTTATCACTAAAAGCAGTATTCAAGTTCCTCGGCATCTGAACCTTCCCAGCCGCCTTATCCAGACTCAACTGCGGATACGTCGCATTCTCATACGCATGCAACAGATTCATGTAATTCTTCTTGAGCGAGGACGGTGCATTCGAATGTCCTGCGTAGCCCAGCCTCTCCGCAATAATCCTCCATCTGCGGTCGTGCGTGATGTGGTCGTATCCACCGCCTTCCACCACCGTGTGAAAGAGGGCGTACATGTCGACCGGTTTGCCCGCGACGTGGGGTATGCGTTGAAGTGGGTGTTTGATGTAGTCCATATACTGCTTATACCGGGCCATCCAAGCGTCCACGTCTGCTTGCCTGATGGTTGGAGGTCGCCCGCCTGCCATTTGCATCCCTGAAGGAAGGGCGTTTGTACTCAGCGGACTCCCCGCACCGTATGAGGGCGGCCCGGGCCGTGGTCGCTGACCTGCAGCAGAGTTGGCAGCATGTGCGACGTGGTTTCCGCCTCCATGCGTTGGACCAAGTTGCGAGTATGAAACCGGCTGCTGCGGTATCCCATACATGTTTTGTTGCGAGACCGGTACCGACATTCGCTGAAACTGCTCCGGTCGACTCGTCCCGGAAGGGGACTGGCTCATTGTCTGTCCACTACCATCCGCCACGCTGGTTGGCCACCCTGGCGCCCATTGACCAGCCGGTCGTTGGAAGCGCAAAGCGTCCTGCGCAGCCATCGCTTCTGACATCGGGGGATTCGAACCATATCGAGCGCCGTCCATCATTCCAGGCGGTTTCGCGTGCTGTTGCTGGGTCTTTGAAGTTTGATTAGCACGGGGGTCAACCCCTGGTGGAAAGTGCGGGTCGGGTTGACCCTGATACGCGAGTTGCGAAGGCGGCCGCGGTGGAGTTTCCCGCGATCGCGCTCTCAGCGAGTCCTGCACGTGTGACTGCAGCTGCTTGCTTTGCTCTTGTACTGACTGCAGATACCGTTGAAACTCCACCGTCTTCTCTTCCGGCATCTCCTGACCATCCTGTGTGTTGTTTGAAGGTTGGTGCCTCTGATGCTGCGGTTCAAAACTGTTGGCCGCTGCGCCTTGAGGCATCGGCTCCGCAGGAGGTATAGAAGCCAACCTCCGCGCAGGCGATCCCTCCACGGATGCAGAATGTTGGTTGCCATGCGTTATAGATGAACCAGAGTCTTTCCGCACTCGTTTTGGGGCCGGTGGTTTCAGCTGGATAGGCTGCGTCCTTGCTTGTTCCGCCAGGTACGTCGTCCACGTCATTTTTGCGTTGATGCCGCCATCGACCGGGTTATCAGGCGGCGGTAGGGGCAGGGGTAGCTGGTTTGGGTATCTTTGATTGGTATTGTATTGCGCATCGGGTTGTTGCTGCTGGACTGCAGGAATTTGCCGAGACTGCGGTTGTGTATGCTGTTGTTGTGCCCCTGGTTGCGGTATATGTGGTGGTGCGGCTAAGTGAGGAACAACAACGGAAACGCCTGCGGTCGGGATTTGCGGCGTCGTTGACGGTTGAGAATTCGCAATCGCTGCGCTAGATGCTGATGGCATCCCATAGCTAGCTGCAGGTGTGGTTTCTGCTTGCCCCCTAGGCCCAGAGGCGCCATTACCCAGATTGCTGACCCCAGCCGGCCACTGACCCATCGCTCCTCGTGAAGCGGTATTTACGTTCCATCCGCTTGGGATTGATGTAGGTGGTTGCTGGGCAACAATTCGCGATCCCGCAGGAAAAGCATTCGGTGGATACGATGGGGCTTGAATGTTCGAACTTCCTCCAGTGGGAGGTACCAGCGCTTGCGAGCGTCCAATTCCGGGATAAAATTGCCCTCCCACGATGTTCGCCCTATTCGGATCGTTCTGCAACTGATTGAAAGACGCTCCTTGTCGCGCTGCTTGCAGTTGAGACGCAATTTGTGCCTGCTGTTGCTGCTGCTGCATTATTCTCAACTGCTGCTGTTGCTGAAAGAGCGCCGCCTGGTTGAACAGCGCATAATCGACATTGCCATATGCATTGTTCGTCGCCGTGGGAGCACCGGCGAATTGGCCTCCTCTCTGTTGCTGCATCGCGTGGATCGCGTTCCCACCAACACCCAAGTTCCCAGGTGCCGACGTTCCCAGCATGGGTATTGGACCTGCCGCACCCAAGTTATGTGGCTTGCTTTGGGTATAAGGATTGCTGAACTTTGACTGGTCTAGAGCAGGCATACCAGACGCTCCGGGAAGGAACTGCCCTGCCCCGGGCGGGCGACCGAAAAAACCCCTTGCCGGCTGCTGTTGTTGGTGCTGTCCTGGCAGTTGTTGTGGATGTTGCTGGTGCGCGTGCTGTTGGTGCTGTTGGTGCGAGGCAGCCGACAACTGATGCTGGTGTAGTTGCGGGATTTGCTGTGATTGCTGCACTTGCTGTTGCTGATTTTGCTGTTGCGGTGGCGGTGGCTGCTGTTTGTTTGTGCTTTGAGGATTATGATGTTGCTGCATTGGGGTTTCCCGTTCCCCCTGCTCAGCCAGCAGAGGGTTTTGCGAGTTCTTCGTAGTGAGGCGACTTTGGTGGTGGTTGTTGTTGTTGTGGTGGTGCTGCTCAGGAGAACCCTTACCCAGCATAGTATTTCGTGGGAAAAACACCCTTCTATCTAGTACACAGCAGCAACCAATAAGTTACACAGTACGAGGGCGAGCCTGGCCTGAGGCCACGCCCGGAGAGCGGACACAGATTGGCGGCCACTCGAGAAAAACTGCAAGCGAGCTGAGCCCACCTTTTGCGATTGCTGGGTGGGGGGCGTGCTGGACCCTTGCCGGTGGTGCTTTGCCGGGTTGCTCTACTCTTTTTGGCCTCCTCCGACCCACGGCGTGCTTAGTGGCTGGCAGGCAGTTAGTGGTGGTTGGTTGGTCCCTGTGCTGTATTGTTTGGGGCTGCTGCTAAACGGGGGGTGGGGGACCCATGAGTTGCTACGTAGTACGTAATGCTTGGCTGGCTGCATGTGCACGACGATGGGCCCGGCGGACCCGACGGAGCGGTTGGCTGCTTGTGCGACCTTGTTACTAACATCTGCCTCCGTTTCTGGAACGCGCTCGTCAACCACAGTCGAAATACTGTCATTCCCTTGCAAATTCATCATATATCTGCTTCACTGCCTCTTAATCTCGCTTGTGTCTGTGGACGCTTTCACTGTCGCTTTTGTTAGTGTGTTTCGACGGCTTGTCCAGCCGAGTCTGCGTGGGAACATTGGCGTGGGAAAATTGTGGTTTCTCGGTGTATTCGCCAGAATCAGACCAAGCCCCTCCATTCTGAAGCCAACAAAGGGGTGATACTGCCAGCAAGAACCGCCAGTGACTACACTGAAGCACTATGAGTGGGCTTCCATCTGACGCTGAGGTAGAACAGATCATTCGGGATGAGCTATCAGCCTTGGAGGTATGGAATATCGACTCCCATTACCATCTGCGGGGTTCAATCTGACACTTCTCTATGCTTCGTGATCTGAACGGAACAGCTCGACGAAGATGAGGATCATGCCGAGAATAATGACGTTTCCACCGAAGAAAAGGTCGATGTGGGCGAAGGTTCCTCAACATTGGAAGTAGGTCGTCTAAACCTGCGTCTGGCTGACGACTTCCAGCGTCCGCCATACGCGTCCTTGCTAACGTCTTCTCTGTGTAGAAACTCGAGTCATGGGTCGATCTGATGCAAGCTGCTAGCCGTCCGCAAGATGCCCTGGACGATTCCGCAACAACGCAGGCCTTCGTAGGGTACATCACAAGGGAAGAAGAGGCGTAAGCAACTGTATTTGCTTTTGATACTCTACCCCCCCCCCCCCCCACATCGGTTCCAACTACAGTTTTGCACTAGGTTGGTCAATGTAGGTTGAAAAAATGAGCCTCTGTACGACACATCGTCCTGATTCTCACGCAGCTCGCAGACATTGATCGGGAGCTGGAGGTGGCGGAGGCTGAACTTCAGAAACGACTGAGGTAACGATTATATCAAAGAGTCCGAGCGGGTGCAAACATCTCAGTCATACATGCCCTTTGCAGCAACCTAGATGAAAGCGAAGCTGCAGCAGCGCTTGTCCTCTCCAACCTGCAGGTGGAAGCACAGCAGAATGGGCTCATTTCAGCTGAAGACGCAGCGGACATTGATTTGGAAAAAAGTACGCCAATGCCGGCGGAAATGCCATCGGTGGAGTCGCCTGAAATTGTACCCAAGCCTGGCATCTTCGTCAGGGCAGTATCACCACCTAAATCTGCTGCAAGCGGGCTGACTGAGGAGGTGAGAGTGCGAAAAATCATATTTTTCACGATGCCGGGCTATTGATAATCCATTCCTATCACACAGGCAAGAACACTGCAACAGCCCGAATCGCAACAACCCGAAAGCCTCTCTCTAGAAGACGAGCACGAATACCTTCTCAAAAGAAAACGAGAAGAAGCCGGCGAACAATCCGCCCTCCAGTTCCGCATCGACCAGCTCCAAGCCAGAAGCACCGCCCTGACCCGCGCAATCCGACAACACAAGCAGGAAACCCGCGAAGCCGACGAAAAAGCGAAAGTGCTGACGAATTGGTTCGCTAATACCGGGAAAGTTGCTTTTGATAAGGAGAAAGATAGGACCGCGGCGTTGATGGTGCGGGTGCGGAAACTCATGGAGGAGCTTGAGCAGGAACAAAATAAGCTTCAGGCGAAGATTGCAGCTGAAGAGCCTAATAGGCTGCGGCTGGAGGTGGAGCGGAATGGCTATGTCGAGAGTATTCGGAAACTCACGGGGAAGGAGGCTACGTTGAATGAGGAGCTGGTCATCCTTCAAGCGGAACTGGAGAAACAGGAGAACATCCTCGAGGATAAAAAAGCTTTGAGGGATAAGCGGATCCTGGAACATATGGAGGAACTGGATGCGGCTCGCAAGCGGGATTTGGAGCTTTTGCTTGATTCGTTACGAAGACAAGTGGGTCCGAGTAGGGAATCTACCACGGATCACCTTCAGGATCTTGTGATGTTGGATTTGACGGGCAACGGGCTCGAAAGGGTATTCATCGTGCCGTATGTATTTGACGTAAGACATCGACTTAGATCCTGCCTGATGTAGATCCCCAACGTAACCCAAGCGCCTAAGATCCGCCGTGTAGTCCTCGATCATAACGACATTGCCGATGTGAAAGATCTTAAACCGTTGAAAGAGCTGAAGTTCTTGAGCTTGCAGGTGAGTTATGCGTTTGACCTCTCCTCTCTGACTGCAGACATACCTCATGCCCAAGTTTTTTTTTTGCAGGACAACAAATGCAGTAATCTCGACATCGCCTGGTTCACCGATCTACGGGTCCTGGACGCCGCCAAGAACCGCTTAACAGAAATCCAGGTATTGTCTCGGGCCTGTCCCTCACCCCTTAACCACCTCGCTCACAAGCCCCACCACACAGATCGGCCAAAACGACGAAATCAACCGCCTCCGCATGCTCATCTACGTCGACCTATCCGACAACCGCCTCAGCAACCCTTCACTAAGCCTCTCCCATTCGAAGCTGCTCCAACATCTCAATTTGTCGAATAACTGTTTTATGGACTTTCCGGAGGTTCCTAATGACTTGCTTTGTGAGCTTGTTATTAGTGGGAATAGTATCAGGTAAGTTGGTGATCTTGTGCGGTGTTTGAAAGAGCGGGGCCTGACTTGTGACTGGCTAGAGCGTTGTCGTTGAAGCAATGGTCGCCGGCTTTGCGGGTTCTCGAAGCTGCGTCGAATAATATACAATCCTGCGATCCGGTCGCGATTGCGATGTGCCCGTTTCTGAGGGAGATTGATCTTTCGAATAACTTGATCACTGGTAAGGATACCATGAGATAGGGCTTCTGAACGATGAGGAAGCAATCTAATTGAAAGCCATCCATGAACGCAGACTTTCCGTCGCTGTATGCCCTTGCGGTATGCCGAGACCTTGAGATTCTGACCCTGGACGGGACTCCAATCATCAGAACAATGAACTTCAATAGAGCTGTCGCCGCGCTATTTCCCAAGTTGAAGGTAAGAGACCTCATCACAGTAGATGGAAGATATGCCGCTCGTGACTAAATGCTCTATGTAGATGCTGAACGGCAAACCGATATCAGGAATCGCCAGAGAAATGGGACGAACTAAAATTGCCGCATATCCTTCCGGACATGCGATCAAGTGGTGTCGCCTGGCGGTGGACTACTTGTATGCTTTTTTGATGGATGAGCACAGGTATTGTTGCGTTCCTGGCCTCATGACTCTAGGCTTGAGAGCCTATCAATCATTTCGCCTTTCTAGGAAAGAGGAAAGCATCAGATCACTCGGAGATTGGAAAGCTATGGAGCAAGCGCACGAGCGGGTATGTAACATCTTCATCCACATATCACCCCATCTCCCAAAACCTTACCATCCCCAACCAGAACATCGCAAACTCCCTCGGCCCGCGTTACAGACCCTACCTCCGCTACCTCTATTCCAAACAATCCGAGAGCGACACCACCACAGACGCAGAAGTCCAAGAACAGCGCGTAGACTGGCTCGCAGCGTTATTGCAGCAGAATGCGTCGGAGTTTGATCGGATGAAGAAGAGTCGGGAGCCTAGCTCGTCAGTTTACCTTCGATTCTTGCGATGGAGTACTGCGGTCACTGACGCTCATTGTCTTTCAGTGATTTGGCTTTGGCCGGTTGCATCGATGATTTGGAGTATCAAATCAAGCTGCACTCAATCATTGTAACTCAAGCGATGTGGCGTGGACGGAGAGAGCGGCGACGGAAATTGAAGAAGAGCGGAGGTAAAGCAATGTGCAGATGTCCACCTGCCAAGCAGATTTGCGAAGAAACATTCTATTTTTATAGCGTCAAGGATGCTCCAAAAGTGGTGGAAGCTATGCCTGGCGCAAAAGGAAGAAGCCGCGCGGAAGAATCAGGCTGCGGGTGCCATTCAGAAAGTTTGGAAAGGTAAAAAATCGGTTTTCTTCAATCGGGCACGGAACATATTGCTTATGCTTGCTATAGAGTACTCGCGAAAGAAGAGATCGAAACCACGTTCCCTTTACCACCCGTCACCGGTGGATAGAGTTTCTCGGGCGCGGACTCCAGTCCCGGCAACTGCACCAGCTCCAGCTCAACAGCCACCGCCGCCAAAGATGACTGTAGAACCGAGCGGAATATCCGTTGAGGATACGGAGGATGACGATTTAGAGAATGGTATGTGAAATACTACAGCGACATGAGGCTACAATATGCGCGAAATGAAATGCAGACCTTGAATGTACACTCCCATTCCAGATGCGGCAATAGAGGAGTGGTTGGATGATCTCGATCAGGCCCGAGAGACCTTCCTCGGGAAGGATACTGAAGATTACCATTTTGAGGAGAAGCCACAACCGGTCCCATCTGTTCGGCGAGCGGACTCGAAGGAGGAATCTTTCCTCAAGCAACAGGTGAGAATATGACGCCCGATCCGCATGTATCGTTTATGTGTACTTATAGCATGCACTCCACACCAGTTTGCAGAAATGCAAAAAAGCCCCAACTTCCCCAACACTATCAAGCCCAACAGCCCCATTCGCAACCTCCTTCTAAGCAGAGGCATGGTCGGCACATCATCCGCCGGTCACGGCACCTTTGGCAAATTCCAGCAATCAGACCCCGAAGACTCTCAATCAGATCTCAGCCAGTCCGGGTTGACCTCAGCGATGCTCGTGTCGCGACGGCTTGGGAACGCACGGGATAGCGATCTGGCGATTAATGCGTGGATGGGGACGTCTGATGTGGCGAGGCCTCGGTCCCATCGTAGTCGGGAATCTGCGCATGATGAGCAGGGACGGGGGAGGTCCGCGCACGATGAGCATGGACGGGGGAGGTCGCAGCTTGGGCATAGACAAGGGGATGGGCATAGCGTGCATGGGATCCGTGAACACGGTGAGGACGGTAGGCCGGTCGAGGAAGTGTATCATCCGGCGCAGGAAGAGGAGAGCGGGTGGAACTTGACGACGGAACTTTCCAAAACGCTTCTTGGGCGGAAGCTCGCACGGAATTCGAAGATGAGCCGAAAGTCGGAAAGGCGGGAGCAACTCAAAGGTACGCATTTGCTGCAACTGTCTGACCGCGCAGTCCCTTCCTCACATTTGTCATCATCAAGATCCAATGGAACGTCTCCGAACTCATCAAGCCGTTGCAAAAGACTCCCGACTGAAGGACGCAGCGGCAAGTAGAGGATACATGAGAGCTACCACGTATGAATGGGACATTAAGCGAGGCTATCAGCCACATCGGGAGACGGTGAGAAGCATACCTCATCGTTTGCCGCCAATATATCAGCCGACGGTATATCAGGATGTGCTGCGTGCTCAGGCGGGTAGGTGCCATTCAATTGTCTAACCTTGGCACAACACGTGTAATCAATGCTCTTTCCTAATTGTCCAGCCGGGAGCCCTACGCTCCTAATCAACAATTACGTAGCCAGCAAGCTCATGGGCGGACCAACTCCAAGAACTCCCGGCGTGAAAATCTCTCCCATGGCATTCCCATCCGACCCAGAGCTGGAACAATTCCAAAACCACACCGTTCCCCCACAAGGCCAAGAACCATATACCCATCGAGATCTATATTATGCGTTTGATCACTCATCCTACGTGCCCACATCATAGCGTGTTCTATTCTCATTTGTACATTAAGAGCATCTATAGCCAAGCTTTTCTACCTGATCTAAAACTTCCGACCTGAAGGGCCCTTTCCCTGCACCCATAGGACCTCAGACAAGGGTACATCGTATTCGTCTTCTATTCGTCCCACAAACGGTGCGTGCTTGCGCGAGGCATGAGCGCTGGCTGGCCTTCGTTTGGAAACCGATTGCATTTCGTGCATTGGGGGGTTTTTTGGTTTCACCGAAGGCAAGTCAGGGGAGAAGACCCTTTTGCGGAGTTGAGCTGCATGCTTTTCCATTATCGAGACTCGCGAGGTGTCGGACTTCCTGGCTGCTGCACTCGTATGATGTACCGGAGCGCTCTGTGCTCTCGGCGCCTTCGGGGGCCGATCCATTTCCGTGGAAACAGACACGCTCTGCTGCTTGTTCTCATCCACCTCCGCGACAGTTCTCGAGACAGTTTGACAGCTCCGAATCTTCGCCGTCTGCGGTCTCGCCGTTCGGGGCCGCGGGAGCAGTAACTTGGGCGACGGATCACCCGTCGAGTATCGACTAATCCGTGCATAGATGTTCTTTTTTTCTCGCACGCTGAGCGCGGCCGGCCCTGTGTCGGCGCATCCTTCGCCTTCTGCTACCTCCACGGCCAGCGAGTTGTCCGCCAGGTGCTGGATAAGGAGCTCTGAGGCTGTGGGGCGTCGTGCGTGGATACGTAGTGATTGAACGTAAGTCGATGTCATGGAGAAGAGGATGCGTATGGAATAATTTCCATCAGTATCAGTATCAGCGGAGGATGCGCTGTCGAATTATGGCCCAGGTCTGTGACGTTTTGGAACTTCTTGCCTGGGAACATCCCAGTGTTTATAAAGGAACACATCCCCCCCCCCCCCCCCCCCCCCCCAAACCCACTCTCAGTTGTGAAGAGAGGACAACAGCCAGCGGAACTTGCGAGCTTGGTTTTATTTATCCAGTCAGGTGTCTGATTGGTTCCCCTCTTTACTTTTTGTAATGTCTTCACGGCCGGAGGACTTGAGCGTGCAGAGGAGGCTAGCACTCGTAGCCCTCGGGGTATTTGCCAGTCTCTCCACTGCGGGGATTATATTTGGGTTTCAGTCGCTCCGACCAGCCTTACTGAAGAGCGGTGTATATGCAAATTTGTGCAGTAATGCTTCGACGATCGCTGGTGATCAGGAGGTGAGGGGCCTGAAGACCACAACAGGGTTCGAGGGAACATTTCTCATACGGACCTTTGACTTTGCAGCCCTGCATACCACAGCTACTGCGTCTGAATCTCATGTTTACGGTGGCAAGCACTGGAGCAAACTTGGCGTCCTTGCCTATCGGCTTAGGCTTGGACCGCTACGGCCCACGGAAAACTGTGTTTGCGGGCTGCGTCCTTTGCTTCCTAGGGAGCCTGTTGTTTGGGATCAGTTCAACTGCTTTCGATGGATATCTCACCGGGTACGTCAGGATGGTGAGATAGAGAGTACCGAAACGACACATCCCTAATTTGCAATGAAGATATCTGTTACTTGGCGTAGGAGGGCCCTTTTGCTTCATTGGCGTAAGTTTCAGTTCGGCAAGCATATGCAATAGGTGATTGGAGGGTCTCACTGCCTGCCTTGCAACAGTCTCTTCACATTAGCGGCGCTTTTCCCGCGTATTCTGGACTCATCATGGCCGCGTTGACCGGCGCATTTGATGCGTCCTCGTCCGTTTTCTTCTTTTTTGCGGTGCGTTTGCATACTATGGCTGGAATGCCGTCGCTCAAAAGCCATCTGGCGACCTCCCAATCTCGTTCCTCCTTTTCTTTCCTAGCTGCTTTTCAAGACAATCAAAGGACCGATTCAAACGTACTTCCTGTTCTACAGCATAATCCCCATCCTGATTGCGGTCATGGCGGCATTTCTTATGCCCCGGTCTTCTTTTGGCGGGAAGCTTCCAGACGAGACGGATGGGGATGAGGAAGACCTGATAGCGAGCGAGGGACGGGAGACTGATCCTCTGCTGCCAAACCTTACCGCGGATGGTGAGGCAGCTCCCGTCTTGATGGAAACTGACGGTCTGCTATGCCGCCAATTGAGGAGTTGGGAATATGGGTAAGGCCGGACCACTGAAGAAGGGAATAGGGGCCGGTGCTAACCCAAAACATCTCGACAGAGGAATCCTTCTGGCGATGTGTTTATTCATGTTGCGGCTCAACTTCTACATGTCGTCAATCCGCGAGCAAATCGTGGATCTGAGTGGCCTACCGGCGAAGGATCCAAAAGGTGCGAAAGCGAGAGATTCAGGGGGCCCAACTTACCCACTATATCGATTCCAATTGCTCTCAGTCGAGACCTTGGTCTCTTTCTTCAATGTAGCTCTACCCGCTGCGGGCATCATTTGCATCGTCCCTATTGGATACCTGCTGGATCGCAAGTCGTTCGCAATTAGTTTCGGCGTTCTTTGGGTATTTGGAATGACCTTTGGTGCATTAGCGTATGTGGAAAATGCCGTGCCCTCATCTCTTACCGGCCGGGACAACCGTAATTAATTGTTTTCGATTATAGATTGACTCCAAATCTTCTACTGTAATATCTGACAGGTGAGTTGCCAGATATTGTCAATCCCAAAACCGATGATTATGTGGACTTATCAATGTTCGTTTCTAGTAAACATATTCGTCGTAATGCGAATTCTACTTTACAGTGTTGCAAATGATTTTTGTGCGAAAACGTATGTCTACGGTTACTACGCCTACGTGAGCATCTTTCATCTGTCTTTCGCGATCGTAATCCATGCTTCCTCAGGTTTGGTTTCGTCACCTTCGGAAGGCTCTATGGTATTCTGAACACTGCTGCTGGGCTATGCAATCTTCTGCAGGTATGACTCTTTGTTGTATCGAGCCTCCGAGTCCAAATTAACGCGATGCTGGTTGCGCCCTGTGGTCAGTATGTTCTGTCGTACATTGCGCTGGACGTGATGCACGGCCGATTTTGGGCAGTCAACACGGTATTGTTGCTGGTTACCGGAATCGGTGTTGGTTGGTTCCCGATCTTCCTTTCGAAAAAGGCCGGAAATGAAGTTGTTTGAGGAGGGTCGTCGCATGTGAACACGAGTCATTTCCATTCGGACAATGGACGTAATCCGAGTCGAACGGCTGCGCTGCATGGAATCGGCCCGCATTTCCTCACACTACGATGAAGGGCTTGATTTTCTGTTGTATTTCCGTTTCCAAGTCTTCCTTCATCGCACGCATCTCTTTCCTAAACTCTTCGACAAGAATCTTCCTGGTGGACTCTCGATTCCGGCGCTCTTCCTCGCGATTTGAGACGACAATACTCGAAAGGACTTTGAGGGAACGAACAACTTCTCTCGTCTCTGACGCGCGGGCTGACGTGTATTCATGAAACATTTCTCGCAGCCCTGCGTCCGTCGCATGTATGCCGTGCTCGATGGCGTCAATCCGCTCATGCTGCGAAGCCAACGTGGCGGAAAGCTCTTCGACTCGACGTTGCAATTGCTCCGTAGTTGCCCGTACTTCCTGCTCCAGCACCGCCCTTTTCGTTGCTGTTTCGGTGCGCATTTCAGTAATGATGCCGTCACAATGTGCCACTGCCCTTCCGATCTCGTCGTGCAGTGCCTGCGACACGGTCTTTACGAACCCCTCAGTTTTTTCCCACAACTCGGCCGTCACCCGCGGTTCCAGCGCTCCAAGGGTAGACTGCGCTCGCCCGACTTCTCCTCTGAGTTCTTCGATCTCCCTTTGCACGCGCTCGGCAGTCCCGCCAATCCGGCCGACGATCTCCCCAAAACCGGCACCTGACAACTCGGTCTTGATCAGTTCGGCCGTTTCGTGTCGGGCGGCTTCAATGGCTGAGGAGAGGAGTCGTTGGGCGTTGGAGGACTGTTGGGCGGCATGTTGGTGGAGCATGTCTAGAACGTGGGAGGTAGTCTCGCGTTCGTGCTGGAGGTGGGAAAGGATTCCATTGGTTTGGGCGTCGGTTTGGGACATGAGCGTGCGGAGGAAATGAAAATGGTCTTCGAACAATCTGTGCGTAAGGTTCGATTATTGATGACTGAAGAAAGCCCACTCGAAGAAACTTGACAAGGTTTCTTTGACGTACCTGTTTGTCACCCGGTCATCCCTCCCCATAACAGCCTCCTGCATCCGATAAGATTGCCCAAGCGCTCCATGCAACCTCGCAGTCTCCACACTAAGCTCCCGTTGCGACCGTTCGCTTTCCGTCAGCCTCTCATGCAACCGCTGCATCTCGCGTTCCTGCGTCGCGGAAACGAAGGATTGCATGCGATTACGCGAGGGAGCGTCGTCGTCGTCCCATGATGAGCGCCGGGGTCGGCGTGTGGTTGTGAGGGCAAGCGGATACGATTCGGGTGGTGGAGACATGGCCGGCACAGGCTGCTGCATGTTGTGACGTGCTCGTGGATCGTGAGGATACATGTCATACTGATTGTCGTTCGAGCCGTCAGAGTATCGCTGATTGCGGTAGCCGATCGGAGGAAGAGGTGGCGTGGGTGGTGTAATCATTGCGATTCTTTTGAGGGATTGGAGTAGATTGGACTGCTGATAGTACACGCTACACAAATGGGATGCGTTATTCAGAAACAGTAAGCCGGCCAGCCAATGGTGGACAGCGACGGTTACAAAATGACAGCTATCAACGGTGGAAGATGTGCTTACGTGTTGTTTCCCTGTCAGAAAGCACGAAAACTGACGGTTTTTCGCCAGTGCGCCGTGGGCAAGTTTTGCCAATCCACCTCTTTCGAGAGTTTGACTGTCTATCGGATTTCCTGAGGACAACAAAACTAGTCCTCACATCAGGCTTTTGCGCTGTTGCCCGAGCCATGAACTATCGGAAATGAGCGTCAAACTCCTACCGGGAAGGAGACCCATACGGATACTTTTCGAATTTCTGGAGATCGACGGAGTCGATTACGGAACACTATTTCCAGGCCATGAAGTTCAAAACGATAGATCCGGCATTCATGGAAACCGTGCGGTTAGCAAAGTCGCCCAGCGAAGCTGCACGGCTCGATCGAACGAGGAGTCATAAAAGACGCAGTGATGAGGAAGGCGTTGCGGGCAAAGTTTACTCAACATCCGAAGTTCAAGGTCTCGTTGTTGGAGACGGGGGAAGCCAAGTTGGTGGAACACACGAAGAGCTGTACTTCCTATTTCTACATATACTTTGTAGGCCTCTCATCTACATGGGAGAGTCGTAAAGAAAATCGTTCAAAAATGCATACGGGGAAAACTGAAGCTGGGGTGTTACAAACAGACTCGAACCGCCCTCAAGCATGGCCACTCACTGTGGCGAATAATGGGAACAAACGTATTAGCCAATCAGTGGAAGCGGCGATGGAAGAATTGTCCTTAGAACGAGTTGTAAAATAAGCTTCAGCTTGTTGCGCTTCCTTCCAGCGCACTGACAGGGTTAATTAACGAAAACATTCCAAGTGACAGCATCTCCGCATGGCATGATGGCGGAACCGACACGCCGGTTGCATTCAGACCGCCGCATATAGCCCACACCTGGAAAGCCCCCCAACTATCGTCAGCCAAGCTAATCTGTGCTTGTATACCGACGGCATCTCATCGTAGAATACCTGCAGCTGCAGCGAAAGCTTGCTTACGCCTGGGCTGCTCGTATCCCGCTGCGTTCGCTACCGCCTGACAGCCGATTGCCCCCAAGTTCGGCAGTGAGGAATTATCAACATTCTGTTTTCATACTGACCGAATCTTGGGATTTCAACTCATCTCTGATACCCGCACGCACTGTCACCTCATCGCAACTTCAATCGACCGTAGGGAAAGTTTCCCAGCATGCAGCGTCACCAGCGCCACTCGCAAGCCCAGCAGAACGGGTTTATCTCTGAACCTGTCTTTGGCGGCGGTCAGCCTCAACAACAGCCATATGGTGCGGACCCCTTTGCGCCTTCCGGGGGATATTCAGACCCTTTCCAGCAGAATTTTCCTGCGCCGGAACAACAGCGTCAACACCAGCAAAATGGCTCCTATGGATATCAGTCTCAGTCGTACGAGCACACACAGAGTCCGCCGCGGCCTAGCCTTGGATATGGCACCACTAATGCGAGCGGGGATACTTCAAGCCTGTTTGGATCCAATGCTCAAAGTATGTGTTGTACCTGTGGATACTTTGCGCAATTTATGCTTCAGCGAACATAACCCAACCATTTACTCTAGCTGGATTGGCAAATGGACGCGATCCTTTTGCCGCACCTGTACAATATGGTCAACCTCCGTCTGTCGCACACCCCTCATCGTCCACCGGAGCGGCATTCAAGTCACGAGCAGGCTCTCTCGTCCCCTCATACAACGATCCCGTCAACAATGCCACTACGGCGACGGCATCCTTCTTTGATGAATTCGGCGTAGCTGACGCAGCGCAGCCTAGTCCGGGAAATACTCGCAGCAAGAAGATCATGGATGTGTTTGATTTTGGAGCAGCCGCGAAGCCTCTACAAGCCCCGAAAGCATCCGTCGCGGCGAAACCGGCTCCTGGCGCTATACCTCCCAGAGCCCCGCCCGTAGCGAATAGTCAGTCCTCGGGCCACCGCGGACCGTCGCACGAGCAGCCAACGGCGACTCAAATCAAGGCTTCACCTCAGCCACCAGGCGGGAGAAGAATAAGCAACTCGAGCTCATCATCTCATCATGTTTACCCTCCACCGCCAATGACGGATGTTTTCGAGAATGCCGTGAACACCAAGCAGACGGAGTCGTGGAACCACAGCGGCTCCATGCCGGCATCTCGAGCTGCATCGCGAAAACCCTCAGCTGTGGCTATTGCTGACACAGGAAGGGGACAGGAGCCGAATGCGAACTTGTCAGTCAATCTCTCGAAAGGTACCTCGCAAAATTTCTCGCGAGCGGCGTCCGCGTCGGAGTTCGGGATGGGTGGTGTTCAGAATCCTGCGAGCGCATGGCAAACCACCAACGCTTCCCACAATGCATCGCGGAAGCCTTCAGCTGTCGACGTCTTCCCTACCTCCGAACAGAGGCCAACTGCACATATTGAGCAGAACACTGAGGAAGCGCGACAAGAGTCTGATGAAAATACTGGCTTTGCTGGGTTCGGGCAACAGGCGATTTCTGTCGAGCCTTTCGGGTGGGGAGATAATACGGCGGGAGGCAACGCTTCATCTGATGCAGCAATACACTCTGGCAATACTCACTATGGAGGGGACGATTTCGGGTTAGCCTCTGGTGGAGGTCAACAAGCTGCCCCTTTCGCCGTCGAAATGCCCCCCGTTGATCCGCACCCGTCTACAACGCTGCGTCGAGAGCAACCTGCTGCTGTCAGTGACTCCTTCGGCGCTCCGCCACCCATTGAAATGCATTCGTCTACAACGCAGTCTGAACAGCAGCCTGCCGCTTTCAAGGACCCCTCCGGCGCTCCGCCATCCGACTCGTTTACAAAGCAGTCCCAAGAGCATCCTCCTGCTTCCAATGACCCCTTCGGTGCTCCGCCACCGGTTGGCAGAGCTCCTTCAGCCCGGGCCTTCGGTAATACGGCATCCTCTGGTGATCATACAAGCGTTCAACCACCTTTTACGCAGACTGCTTCGACCACAAACCTGACTACGGAACAATTACACCCAGCGGAACCTCCAAAGGCGCCCACTTCCGTTCAATCTACACCGGCGCCTTCTGCTTTGCCCCCACCTCCGAAGTCAGGGAACTCTACTGCAACTCCACAGCCCACTGTAGCTGTTCCGCTTCCACCTTCTTCTTTAGCGAAGCCCGTCGATGTTCCTACCCAGGAGACCGAGGGTGAGGCCGCTCCACCAGTTGGAGCTCCGGAACCCACGCCAACATCAAAGGCACATAATATCTCCCCACCATCAGCCAAGCCGAAGAACCCAGTCGCTCAGAAAGCCAAGCCAGTCACGCGCGGACTCGATAATGAAAAGCTGAATGCGATGAAGCTGTGGGACTGGGCACAGAAGCCAACAAAGTCCGGGTCCGGACAACAGGCCTCCACAGCTGGTAGCGTGTCCCCGGCGGCGCCGCCGAGCGTCGGTTCATCAACTCAGGAGCATCATGGGGTGAAGGAGGCTACGGCATCGAGTAGTGCACCTTCTTCGACTGTACCACTTCAGTCACAAGCACCTCCTACCAACACCACTAACTTTGCAGTAGACGACGTCTTCAAGGCTGAGCAATCTCCACGGTCTCAACCGGAAGATCTCGGCGACCCGAGAGCCGAGTTCGAAGCAAATACTACACAAACAACTCAGCCCGCTGCGGATTTCAACGAGTTCAATTCAGGAGAAAATGTCAGTTCGCATCATCAAGTGGACCAGGGTCTATTTGACACGGCCTCGGAGCCCGCTCCAACTGAAAGTACCCTTGCTCCGCCGCAAAGCTCTTACGATGCATTTGTTTCTCAGCCATTGCATGGCGATGCTTTGGGCTATGGACAGTACAATTTCGCAGGTACTGGCATTGCGGACGTGCAGTCTGGTTCAGGCGAGGAAACCTCTGACTCGACCTGGGACACCTTAGGCGACTTTGCGGCCACTGGCTTTGCTGGTTATGGAAACAACAACGACTTCGGGTCCACTCCTCTCGTCGATAGTAGTTCCGTCGAGCAGCAAACAACCGCTCATGAGGAGACTCAGCCGCCTACTGATCAGTACCAGCAGGAACAACCATATACGAATTACGCTGGTGCTGGTGACGGCGAGAAAATTGGCGCTCCACACGATCCTTTCGATTTCAGCGGTGCTACACAAGCCGATGAACCAGCGAAGACAGCCGACAGTCTCTTTGGTAACGGCGAGTGGAATCACGTAACCGATTTTGGCAACGTGCACCCGGAAACAAAAGTGTCCCAAGATGACCTGCCTCTAAACACTTTCGCCGCTCCTCCAGCTGCATCTACCGAACTTTTTGCTGCGGTGCCACAACCATCGTCCGAGCTTCCACAAGAGGCCAACTTTGTCTCGCCGGACTTTGCGGGCTTTGGCCAGCCATCCTCTGACCCGTTCGCCTTTGCGGGAACGCAGTCAGCATTTGATGCTCGAAACCCGGTGTCTGAGCAAGCACAGCAGCCTCAAGCTGAACTTTCGCAGATTGGCGATACTATCATGGACCATTCGTTTGGAGGGTACGACCAGTCCTTCGGTGGATTTGGGCACAGCTACGACCAGTCGTATGACCAAAGTCAGCAGTATCCGGCGGAAGGGCGAAACACTAGTGGTGACAACACGGCTGCGTTGTATGGGAATGATCATTACGGAGAAGGGGGTTTCGCGAGCCAAGACCAGGCTGCGCCACAGGATGCGTCTGCGCACGATTCATTTGCGTTCACGCAGAACGCGCAAAGATATGAGTACGACCGGCAAGGTTACGAGCAACAACCGACCGAGCAACAACCGACCGAGCCATCGCAGTCTCCTGTCCAACAGCAGCAACCCGACGCTGCCTTCCTTGCTGATGCCGCTGGTCAGTCGTCGACCGCGCAAAACATCTATGACTACAGTTACACCGGATATGAACAGTATCCGTCCTACGACAACCAGTCAGTCAACGCTCCGCCTACCTTCTCTACTCCGGCACCTACGCAAGATGGTGGTCCACCCCAGGACAATGCGTTCCCGGCTGCAGAGCAAACCAACAACTACGCCAGTGATGCGTACTACGGAACCGGATATGGTGATGCAGGGGCGACCGGTCATTTTGAGAGTCAGGCGGCGGTAGTCGACCCGAATGGAAGTTTCGCGGCAGCGGACTACTCGCAAGGGTATGATGCCAACCACTCGGCTTATGGCGCGAATGATGGCACCCCGCAGTATGACGCCAGTCAGGCTCAGTATGGTGCGGGAGACGGCACGCACCAGTACGATAGAGCCACGTACAATGCTGAGGGTGCTTTTGCAGCGGGCCAGGATTACGCATACGGCAACGACCAATACGGACAGCAATATCCGCCGCCGCAGGATGCGACTGCTACGTCAACCCCACCGCCCACCTCTAAAGCCGATGATCAGTTGAACGCGGGCAACAATACGTACCCTGAGCTAAAGCCGGCGACTTCGAACACGTCCGTGAACGCACTTCCTTCTCATCCAATGTCGCCTGAATTCGACGGTCGCAGTAGCGTTAGCGTCAACAGCAGTGCTTCCAATGTTCTGGAGTACATCGCGTGTCCGAAATGCTCGAAGCGAAACGACTCTGAATGCAACTTCTGCGGAAAGTGCGGCACAAACCTGTCTGGTTTGCCTGTCGTCAATGCTCGCAACGCCGCGGGACCTGGCGCCGTTTCCCTTGACAGTTTCAGTCAGGCTTTCAGACAGTACGGTGCGCCCACTGAAGTGCCGGGCAGGGTTTCCAGCACTGGCCCGAGGATGTCAACCCCGGCCATTGTCGATCGTAATAATGTGGCTGGAGTAGCTTTGGCCCCACCGCCTATGAACACTTCTCCGGGAGGTGTACTCACGCCAAACATCCGTGGCGGCCCGAAACGTAGCAGAACTCCAGGGTACCATCCGGCAAGTGCCCCGCTGGAGACCTCCCCCACCACTCTCGCGTACCAAGCGACGGATGCGTCAGCAGCGTACCCACAGCAACCGTTTCAGCTTTCGCAGCAGCAGATGGGAAGAGCCTCGCCAGTTCCGGCGTACCCAGTGCAACAAGCTGCACCTGCCGAACCCGCAGGTTTTGAGGACCCTCTAGGTCGCCACCGTGGCCATTGCGTTGCGGTATTCGGACCAAACGGGAAACTGTTCACTACCTTCCCGCAACGTCAGACGCGGTACGTCACGGACGCATACGGGCGCCCCTCGGTGGTGCAGAAGACGTACCCCGGAACGGTCTCCATCACGCCCATGTCTCAGGTGGTTAACCCGGCCGTCATCGAAGGTTACAAGAGCCATCCTGGCCCGTTGATTGGTGGAAAGTCGAAGGTGAAGAAGAAGGACGTGGTCAAATTTGTTGAGGAGATGGTCAACGTTGTTACTACGGAGAAGCGGTTCCTCCAGGATGCCGCGAGTGTTAAAGCTAGGGACAGTGGATTCATCACTGAGGATGAGCAGAACGCGGTTTCCGAGAAGGAGGATGAGGAGCTCACGCTTAGCCTGTTGAAGCTGATTGTGGAGAACGATGGTCCTGTTGTTTCTCCGATCAGCAACCCGGCAGGAGACGCGTCGGTCAAGAAGGTCATGCAGCTGCTCAGCCCTGCTGACAACGCCACCGCTCTTCAGAATGGACGACATGTTGATCAGATTCTTGGCGCTCTTCTTTCCTCTGACAAGGATGCAGCCGTCAACGCAGCTGTTGCTGGAGGGTTGTGGTCACATGCGCTCTTGATTGCCAGTAACGTCAGCAAAGACAAATACCGCGACGTGGTAACTCAGTTCTTGAGGAATGAGTTTACCGATGCTGCTAGCGCTACCTCACGGACGGGCAACCTGGGAGGGGCGGGTGAAAAGAGCGAGTCTGCCGCGCTGAGATTCCTGTACGGATTATTTGGTGGCCTCGCTCCTCAAGTCATCGATGACTTCTTGCCGGTGTTCGACGGAACGCGCCCGGCTGCTTCGGTCGCTACATTGGACAAATGGCGGGAAGTTGTCTGTTTGATCTTGGCTAATCGCACTCCGGGAGACCTGAACGTGGTCGCTGCACTTGGTGATCGGCTGAAAGCACAGAACCGGAACAGCGCTGCGGAGTTTTGCTACTTGTTGGCGAGCATACCAGGAATGTTCAACGGTATCGATGCTCCGAACGGTCGTGTCGTACTTCTCGGATCCGACCACATCAAGAACCCGTCCGCTTTCTTCCTCTCGTCTACTGCGCTTCGCAAAACGGAAATCTTGGAATTTGCCCAAACCCAGCACAACTCGGCTGGCATCTCGAACAGCATGCCTCACTTGCAAGCGTACAAAGTGCAATTTGCGTCCGTTCTCGCCGACATTGGCTTAGTCGACCAAGCGACCAAATACTGCGATGGCATCGAGTCTGTTGTCAAGCAGTACGCCAAGGGAAGTCCTTACTTCCATCGCACTTTTGGCCTCGCTCTGGGAACTTTGAGTGCTCGATTAGCCGCCGCAAAGGAAGGTCCCGGGGCGTTGAGCGGTGCGGCCGCGGCCGGAAAGGAAGGGTCCAGCTGGCTCAGCAAGCTTGGAAGCCTTGGGGCTCGGGGTGTTGAGAAGCTCATGAACAACGCCCTTGGCGAAGCCGATGTTAGGCCCTCCAGCCCAAGCAACAGCCTTCTCACTCCAGCAGCTGTCGCAGACGGCCGATTCACTCCTGGACCGAGCTCGGCCCCTATTCAAGGAAGCCCTCTCGCTGGCAACGCTGGCCCCGGTTTCGAACGCCCCGGATCCACTCCGCTGCTGAACGATACCGCGTCCTTCTCGCAACTTGCACAGGCTCCACAATTCCAGTCGGCCGGAAGTCCCAATCGATTTGCGGCCGCGACATCTCAGACCGGAGCATCCTACGGTCAAAGCTACCAGGCGTCCGATGACCTGGGCTATGCAAGTCAAAACGCATACTCGACCGCCGAAACCACCACTTATCCCGCGTACGATCAGAATACCACGTTCGGCGCCGATCAAGCTCAATACGCAGCAGACCCAAGCGGCCAGCAGTATGCGGATGGCAATCAATATGGAGATTACGGTGCTAGCGGACAGGAGACACAAGGCCAGTATGACCAACAACAGTATCAGCAATATGGCGAAGCCCCGCAACAACCAGGGCAGGATCAGCTGCAAAGTTGGGATGGCGCGTATGGCCAAACCGGATACGAGCAGCAGTTGCCAGAGGGCCAGCAATATGATCCGAACTCGTATCAAAACGGGTACGGACCGGCGGAAGGTGGCGAGGCCCATAGCCAGCAAGCAAATGCAAATGCGTATGGCGAAGGCGGCTTTGAAGGTAATCAACAAGGGTACGGTGATCAAGCCTATGGGCAATATGGGGCCGACCAGGATCAAAATCCCAACGCGAGCGGATTTGCGGATTACGGCGAGGGGCAAAATCAAGCTCAGTATGGATATGAGGGTGGTGACGCACAAGATCCGAACATCCAACAGGCCTATGGAGATTACGGGTACGGTTATCCCACCGCCGACCAACAACAGTACGGTGCTGTTGAAGGTACTGAGAGCTACGGCGATCAACAAGCAAACAACTATGGCACTGGTTTCGGAGCCGATCCTCAATATGCCCAGCAACAGGGTGGCTTTGACTCGTATGGCCAGCAGCAGCAAGCCGATGCGGGTGCGCACGACTACGGGACCGACGAAACCGCCGCCCTGCAGGACCCTGCACCGCAACCTCCTCCTCCGGCATGGGGCCAGTCGTATTACGACAGCGTGAATGCCCCGCCTCCTGATGCTGAAGGCGACAGCAGCTATGCTGACGAGAAAGTTGGAAGTCAGGCTGCCGTTACCGGGCCAAGCGAGGAGGATGATCTGGGGCTGGGCAACAAGACCCGCGGAAAGGGCAAGAAGGCCGACGCGGCCGGTCCTCCACCCACGGCAGGAAAGGGAAAGGCAGCAGCCATGCCGGACAGTGGAAACAAGGATGACAAGAAATCCGATGATGGGAAAGACAAGTCTAAAGACGACAAAGACGCCAAAGACAAAGACTCGAAAGCCCCGCAGAAGGGCCTGTTTTCCGCCTTTGGGTCTTTGTTCGGTGGTCGCAAGCGAGGCAGCAGCAGCGATGATATCAGCGCTGGCGCCAAGGACGCCGCCGGAGGTCCTGTGAAGGCCAATTTGGGAGAAAAGAGCGCGTTCTACTACGATGAAAAGAAGAAGAAGTGGGTCAATAAGAACAACGCTGCGGATGATGACGACGAGCCGGAGTTGAAGCCTCCACCCATCGGTATGCCGTCTCCAGCGCTGCCCAGAACATCCACGCCAGGTGAGTTGTGGGCCCCTCGTATACGTTGCAAGCAATTGTTCATTTATTTGACCATTTCTCAATTTACCTCAAACAGGAGCTGGTCCGCCTTCCAGTTCCAGTCAGATCTCACCCACTGACAGCGGAGCGCCATCGCCTGCATTGGACGGTGCTCCATTCAGTGGATCAGGTGGCAAGCGCCGCGGAGCCCGCAACAAGTATGTGGACATCTTTAACCCGGACTCTGGGAAGAACTCGCCTTCCACATCCATGTCGTTCATTCCACCGGCCGGAATTACGGGAACACCGAAGATTTTGAAGGTTCGTTTGATAGTCTTCATAAGCATGCGGGAGTCCAGGGCATGATTTTACTTACTCTTGTTTCCGGTAGCCTGCAACGATGAACCGAAACACCACATTCTCGCACTTCGGTCAACCTGCGCCAGGCGGTGTTGTCGCGTCCGACCCGAACAACAAACCAATTCCGGCCTCTGCACTAGCCACTGCCGGAAAGGAAGGACCTCAACAAGCCCGCGGCGCACGGCCACCACCGCAACCCACCCAACCCGTCCGCGCAAACACCACAGCCGTCCCAGCTTCCCACTTCCAGAGACCACCCGCCCTCCCACAATCGCGCCCTATACCACCCCAAGCGCAGGGCCGCAGCTTGGTCAGCGGGCCGGGAGTCAACCGGCCCACGGCACAACCGAGACGGACATCGGAAACGGGGCCTGATCGGAGGTATGGTGCTTTGTCGCCTAAGGCGTCGCATATGTCGATGGCTGGGCAAGCTGGCGCCGGTGCGGTGCAGAAACAAGGAGCGCCGCCCGCTGATTTTTAGAGATGTGAAGTAGACGAGGGGTCCTCATATAGTGAGTGGTGATGGTGTGTGCACATCGTCGACATTTTGGGAAGATGCATATCTAGTTGTTGGGGTGCGCCGTCTAAGACGAGTATTACGGTCTATGTCACCTCAAATAAGGAGGGGGAAACCGGAAAACCGCAAACTGTCTCTTATAGATCTCCATAGCTCATAATCTTTTCTCATGTCATTCTATGCATTGTGGCTTCTAATCTGAACATCATCGTTTCAAAAACACCCAGCCTTTTCTCATATTTGTTTGTTGACAGCGAGCCCGACGCGGATTTCGACAGGGACGTCGTTTCTTTCGTTCCACAAATGCCGCAAACTCGTAGTAACTATGATCTGACGACGGATGGAACTTGGCCGTTCGCCGTCGACTTGGCATTCTCGCTGTGTGTACAGTACATATGTACAGTAGGCTCGCTATGTGTATACAGTATACTGTATAAGCACGGGCGGGCTTCCAAAAAGCACAGCCTTGTATACATACGATGTAAGTGCAGCCCTTCATCACAACGCTTCTTCTCCACTAGCTATCGCACTTCCGCACCCAACCCCGGGGAACAACATTCGCATAAAGAACCATCATGCCTCTGATCGGCATCGGCTCCCACGTCAACAGCACCCACGACAAAACCTACACCCGCGTCGTCAAAGAGTACACCCTCAAAGACGTCCGCGCCGTGCACCTACCCGAGCGCAACACCCTCGTCGTATCCGGGTCCGTGCACCTCTACGTGAAAACCTTCCTCGTCGCCTTCTTTGTCGTTGCCGAAGGCAAACTTCTGCGTCCGGGTGAAACCACCATCGTGCCGCGTACAACCACCCGCGGGGCGACCCAGTCGGTGTCGGCGGACAGGGATGTAGGTGCGCAGGTGCTGTGGATGCGGGATCCTGCCGGTGCCGTTCGGAAACCGGAGGATACGGGGAATCTTTTTGTGAGTCCTAGGAACTGCTCGTTGGACCCGTTTGATTGGGTGTTTGGGTTTGAGATTGAGCTGGAGGTGTCCGAGGGCTGGACCCCCGATGAGGAGCAGAGGGTGTTTGTGAGGGCGACCGTGCAACGGGCTCTGCAGTCGGATGGGAATTATGAGTGTCACAAGGTGGTTCATGTGGAAGCGCACGGCGGCGAGGTTTTACCGTCGTACACTGAGATAGTAGGTGCAGCCGCCGTCCAGGACGTGTAGATGGTGCGGCAGTCGATCACTGAGTAGCAGAGATATCGAAGGCTTGCGTTTTCTTTCTGCGCACTTTGGGACTTTGGCGTACTTGGGGTTTTTGGTGTAAAAGATGGTGTGTTTCTGTAGTGTGCTCTGTACTGTACTACCACTTGGCTACCATCGTGTCGATAATTTATTATACGCACTGTACTCTGGTTGCTCAACTCCAGAATGTTTTTGGTCCTTTTTAATCTAACCGTTCAGTCGTCTAGTAGGATGTGATCGGAACCCGCGCTGCCATATATGGTGGGGCACCCTATGAGACGTCGGAGCAGCCATGGCCCATGGCCATTTTATGCCTTGCACACAGGTCCCGTTTCCTATCTTGCACGCCCAAACAAAAAGGCGATGAACCATACCGTATGGTCATGAAATCACATCAAATTCACATCTTTCTGCTTCCATCTCGCAAATTACAGAAGGGGCGGGCACCTCAGAGACCCAGCCTCGCAAGTAAAAGAAAATACATCCCCCAGGCATACATGCCCTCCTACTCGCGCTTCCCCCTCTTTCCTCACCGCCCGAATCAAAGAAACCCTCAAAATGCAACAAAAAAAGGGGGCAAAGGCCACAAAACCTTATCAACGCAAAAGCTCTGCCATCCCAAAGTCTCCGGTGGTCGGTTTTGCATCCCGCTTCCGGCGCACCATCCCCCACATCGACCCCACATCGCTATAACGCCCTGGCATATTATCACAGAGCGGAAAGCGCCATCCCATCAACCACCAAAGATGTTATCACCACTCTTACATTCCTATCTCTTCAGATGCCCGACGCAGAGTCCTCCGTCGTGACCGCCGATGCGACAGGGTTGGCGTCCACATCCATCTTGTCCTGCTCATCAGCGGCCGGGTGATGGGGTTGCTTGACCGGACTTGCGGCAGACGGTTTGACCGGGGACGTTGCAGGCTTAATTGGGGACGACGCCTGTTTGACGGGCGACGCGGGGGCATTTACGGGTGAGGTAGCGGGCTTTGTAGGGGAGGCAGGGGCGTGCGCTTTGGTTGGGGACGCGGAGGCCGGTTTGGTTGGGGACGCTGCTGCGGTGGCGGACTTTGTTGGGGATGGAGGGAGGGTGATTCGCTGTTTGTTGGGCGAGCCGGTGGCGGGAGACTCAGGGTGGTCCTGCGTCTTTGGTGATTGTGGGTTGGCCTTTTTCGGGCTTTTGGCGTCTTGTGCAATGTCCATGGCCGTTCCCTCGTTTTCCCTCTCATCAGATGCTGGCTTGGGTTCCTCTGCATGGTCTCCGTTTACTTTCGAGTCGTCGCCTTCTTCGCCAGGGCCATCACCGGAAGCGGAAGCGGGCGCATCGGTTGACTCCAAGTTGAACTGGGTTCTGAGCTTGTTCATCAGTTCCAATGATTTGGAGACAATTTGGTACTTGTCCTCGGGAATATGCAGCTTGGTAACGTGCTTAACGACTTTGCCCGCCTTGCTTTCCTGTTGAGGGTGGAGGAATGGACAAATGAAAGTCAGTATAGATCCTCACGCTATGGATCGGACCTTGTGACACATTTTGTACCTTGATGAGCGGTAAGGTCAAAGGAAACTCGTCGAGCTCCCCGATCAGATCAGCAACAGCCTGGTACTCGTCGTCCTGATGGGAAAGCAAAAGACGAGGTCAATCTTCCATTTCCGCACACGAATCCCGATAAAGTGATGAACATACCTCGACTGTTTCAGGCTCTGCCTTGATCTTCTTCATGAATGTCTGCAGCTTTTGCCTGATCTTGAGTAACCTCTCTGACGAGCGAGATGTTATGAATTCCAGATGGTGATATGCATGTCAAGCGAATGCGACTGATCCGCAAGACAAATGGGACGTACTGAGAGCCTTCTCCTTAGCGTATTCTTCATTATCAGCCTTCTTGTGGTGTTTTCTTGTTCCCTCCGACTCGTCTCCCGATCCGTCGCCTTTGACGCGCTTTCTACGCTTTCGCTCGGACTTGGGCTACGATGGAGACATTGTATAAGCGAGAGATTCACCACACATCGAAACGTTCCCGCTGTGAGCTCCGCAAACGCACCTCATCGTCATCACCAGAATCCGCCACATTTCGGCTCTTCGCTCTCTTGGCGGAACTTCCTTCGGTTCGCTTTCTCTTGCCAACACTCTCACTTGGCGTCTCTGGTGCCTCCGACTTTCGCTTCTTCTTGTGGCTTACAGGGTCCCCACCAGATGATTTACGCCTGCTAGGAGTTTTCGCTTTCGTTTCAATGGCGGCGGCCGCATGGCGCGCTCGTGCCTCTGCCACCTCCCGAACCACACGTTCCGGATCTTCAGCTTCTCCCATCGCTCGGTGGAACATAGCCATTTTCTTCTTTCTTCCAAGTTCGTCTTTGTGCTCGTGGAAGTCTCTCAATTGGTCGGGGGCGATCCATCCGCTTTTGGAGAAATGAATGCCATGATGAGTCTCGAGAAGAGGTTTCCCGCAGTCATATCAGAAACGAGAGTACTTACTAGTTTCGCGAACCAAAAAAGAACACGGGGATCGACTTGGGTGCCTTCTCCCTCAACACGTCCTCCGGCAAATCATGCTCGTCTTCGATCTGACGGGAACTATAAGCCAACGGTATACGTAGTGCTCGTGTTCCAAATGATGTTTTCCCTACCCTAGAAGGCCACCAGGAGTGTCCCTTCATTTTGGACCAGACGATGGCCCCTGTAGGAAATGTTGTGGGCCCATCTGCAGGGGCTGGAGTCGTCGGTTCCACCTCTGGCTTCGGCGCCTCTACAGCCTGCGTCGTGTTGTCATCATCGACATCCATGGTGTTGCTGGAAAGGTCAGGAAGATAATCGCACATGATCAGTACTTGTAGATCGCCACCAAGAAACACGCGGAGGAAAAAGGCGACATTCGAGCAGGGCTCAGCAACCAAGGACAATGAAGATAAAGGGTTCCCCGTGCCATACCTGAAGAAAGCTTACGGCTACAGACGCGGCTATGGGCAGCTGGTGGGTGGTATGCAGTTAGGTTCTGGCAGGTAGAGCGGGTCGCATCTGCTCGGAATGCACAGGGTCTTCACCAGAGGTGTTCGGGAAGTGACACGGCTTTCGGACACGCGCGGTCGCGTGGGATCACATGACGTGCACGCATTTATTTGACAACCTTGCTCGACACCTCTCACCTCGAGTGGGACTCTTGCAAAGCCCTGTGCCATTTGTGAATCGCCCATTCCCACCGGAACATTGCTGCAGCCCTCAGAAACTCCCTTGACCTGACCTGGCCTGCGCTTAACCCACTTTCCTTGTGTCCCGTAGTCGCTCTGCCTGCCCTCGTTCTCACTGTGTTGTCGGCTCCACCATTTGCCCCCACGTTGTCACTCACTCCTACAGAGTGTCCCCCCCACGCGTCCCTGCCATCCCGGACGACGACCGCTACTTCGCTCAGCCAGCCACACCTGTATACTAAAGCGACGGTGGTTTCGATAATGGGACTTGCTCGTCTCACCGTGGTGCCAGTACCCTTTTCCGATGGTACAACCGAAACTCTCCCGGAACAAATCGTAGAAAGTCTCGAAGACTATAGCGCCGCAAACCCAGACGCGGATCTCAGATCGGTCTATGAATGGGCTAAAGCAACTGCCCTGGCGAGCTTCATAAAAAGATGCTCAGAGCATTTGAAGACAGTGTATTCAGAGAACCCGTCAAAGTGCCCCGGTGTTCCTGCGGGGACTACCGCTATCGAGTTTGATCCGGACGCTGTCTTGAGGACCTTGCCAGATGGGTACAATCTTCTGAATCTGCATCGGAAGGATACTCATGGAAAAGACGGGAAGTTGCAGAGGCCCGATCCGTACCTCTTTGGGCATCCCAGGTTGGTATAGGGGGAGGTTGATTCGCGGAAGGGACCCCGAGCGGAGTCAATCCCAACATCTTTCCTGACCAGTGTCTCGTTGTAGTGGAAGCAAATTCCGAAGTTCGCCCGAGTTTTACCCACATCTTACATGGCTGGTCCTTAGCGACAACCACGATCCGGCGGAGTGCACATGCAAATACTGCCCTTCATGGGCGAAACGATTGTCGATTCTCACAGCTGAAGGGTTGCCCATCACCCCACGCAGAGCGCGCGCGCCTCGAAGGTCCGACGGGAGAAGTGCTACGAACTCTCCCTTGCCATCGTCACAACCCAATTCGACGCAGGTCTCGCCAAAACGAAGGATATCGGAGGTGGCTGGTTCCCAGGAGTCCGAGCCTACATCTACCCCGACTGGTTTACCAGCCAAGAAAAAGGCAAAGAAATCCAGCGCCGTGACAGATAACGATGTCGTGATAGTCGACGATGTCATTGCTGTTGACGACGAAGAACCGGCTCCATCACAGACCCTATCGCAAAAGGCTAAGAAATCCGCGCTGGCTGCTGCGCTAGCTAAGCGTGCGGGGTTGATGAATGTCGGGGTTGATTCTTCTCCGAGTGATCGACCCAAAGGTACCCCGAGTGTCGCGCATCGCGGGAGTCTGTCAACCGACCGGAAAGGCAAATCGACCGATCCGTTCGCCAAGGATGGTCCTCAACCAGGACTTGTAAACATACCAGTATTGAAGTCGTTCCCGGAAGGCCCAGGAAGAGCGTCTTCTTCGCAAACCTCCCAAGCGCGCTCGAGCCAAGGCATGCAGAAGGTGGATATCCCTACTCTCGATGGGTTTCCTGGGATGCGACCGGCTTCTACAAAGAAGGCGGCTCCGCCGCTACAGCTTAAGGAGAAAAAGAAAACGCCGGCAAGTGCGCCACAGACCAAATCAAGTAGTGTCAAGAAGCCGGCCACAAAAGTGGCTCGGCTCGCATCAAACAACGCCAATGTGGCTCAACCACAACCTCAACAACCAGCGCAGCAGGCACCGCAACCGGCGCTTCCTGTTCTCCCGGCCACTCTCTACGACCCGCGAAGTGGACCGATACCCAAACCGCACAAACCGGAGCCGATCTACCGCGTCGGCGAAGTGGTCTGGGTGCAGGCGTATTTGATGCTCAAGACCAACTCAACCACGCTCCCCATCCGCGGCAACAGTCAGGTCCATAGCATCGATATCGGCTGCTTACAGGACAAACTGGTGTATTGGCCGGGCGTGATCTGTTCGGTTCATTCAACCGAAAAGACGAAGAATAAGGCTGCCGAGATGGCTGCCGAGAACGATCAAGTCTTTAAGAAGGTTCTTGTTCCACCATTGTTCTTCCATGCTACACTTCCTGCCGGTGCTAGTCCTCAAGTGCCCATCGCGACTGTAACGCCTACCCACACCTTCAACGACCTTAATGCCCTCACCGAGTATGATGCACGAGGCTACGTTGTCCGTTTGCTGAATGTGACCCCGAGTTCTCCGGGAGCGCTTACCACGATTATGGAACAATATCTCCGGCCTTTTGCGGGATACGTCCTCCCACGGCACCTGCGGTTCAATCCCAACGTTCTATCGCGGCTGAGACAGGCGATCACGGCCTCCGATCCGCTGCTCATGAATTACCTCCTCGTCGTGAACAAGACATACGATTACGCCCGAAGTCGAGTCAGCATCGTGAAGAAGTTACCACATCCATCAACTGGCATGGGCAACGGGTCGACCCAACATCCCATCATAGAAACGGTCCAAATCGGCGCGGAACATTTAACCCTCGGCGACCTCGTCCGCATCAACCTCCCCGTCCCGCCCCGGCCCGGCCCCAACGGCGCAACCGCGCAAGCAACACTCAACATCCGCGTCGCGCGTCTCGTCGCCATCCACCACGCGGGTACACCCACCGACCCGGTCACGCTCGGTCTAAAACCGTACGTTGCGCGTGACGCCAAGTTCCCGTATGATATCAGCCACGCGACATTGGGGATGCGCAACGGGAAGTGGGTCATTTTTGGGGCTGGTGGGGAGGGGAAGTTTGGCGGGGTGGTGGAGCCTGAGGTGGTGATTGGGGTTGACCAGGTGGTGGGGAGGTTTTATCCCCGGTTGACGGGGGTGGATGGGTGGGTGGGCCCGAGGAGAAATGATGGGAGGGTTGCGGCTGAGCCGGAGGAACTGGTGTGAGTTTTGGAAGAAAGGAAGTGAACGTTATGATTGGCATGGGTATGGGAACATGGATAGGACCCTTGAGGAAGACGTGGGGATTGAAGCGTTACCTGATGGCTCGCGAGAAGCAAAATAATGCCCCCTCTGTCGGAATCCTTCTAGTATAGACAGATCCTAGGCACCAAAATTACTGCAGGTCCAGAGTAGGGGAGGCCTCGATGCCCGGCTTGTAAACAATATGTAGGCCCACGTTTTACCACGATGTCCGTCCGTCAATCTCCGAGCGGCGTATGGTTGCTTCCGTGGAAAGTAAACTAGAGTTCTACAGGTTCAGCTAAGCGAACGGGTCTTGTCTGAGGATGTTCTAGTCTTCACCACATCTAAACCCCGCACTCAACTACGGCTCCTAGCCTCTCGTCTGCGAGTTTTAATGCCCCTCTCTGCCGCATCCCCGCCTGTTTGCTCTTAAACCCCACTTCCGGGCCCTCGGACAGCTTATCGAGCCGCCCGACCTCCCGTCTTATTGAATGGAACATGGATGTGATTCCGAGAAAGCCGGCTGTTCGTTTGATGCGGTTGGAAATCTGCTGTCCTTCCTATCGTTACCCGCTGGACGTAACACCATCAATAATCCGCTCCTCACGTCTGCGAACCTCAACCCATCCATCATATCGAATCTCAACTTCCATACTTCACAACCCCACATCCCCACTCACTCCCTAACCAACGCAACCCCGTTGATACAATACCGTTCCCCAGTCGGCATCGGCCCATCCCTAAACACATGCCCCAAATGTGAGTGGCATTTCGCACACACGACCTCTGTCGCGCGCATCAGGCCTTGCCAATCGGGTCGGGTGTGTATCGCCGCTGCCAGTGGTGATCGCCCATCTGAATCTATTGATGAAGTTGGAAGCGTCGCAGGCTGGTAGAACGACGGCCACCCCGTCCGGCTATCGAACTGAGCGGCGGATTCAAAGACGGGGTGGTTGCAGGCTTTGCAGCGGTATAAATGGTTATCGTCGGCATCAGTTGGTTGTTTGTGGGCATATGGGGATGTGAATGGAACTTCCGTGCCTTTTTTGCGAAGGACGTTGTATTCTGCGGGTGTGAGGGAGTTTTTCCACTCGGCTTCGTTTCGTGTGAAGGCGGGCGATGCGCGGGTTTGTGTGGGCGAGCGACGGGGGGAGAGGAGGGTGTAGGTTGCTGCGGAGGCGGTGAGGATGGCGGCGCTGGAGAGCAGGAGTTTGGTTTGGCGGTGCATGTTGTTCGTATGGAGTATCTATTGTAGACGAGATGGATCAGACTTATTAAAGCCTGCGCAACGCTCACGTGATGAAACCCACGTGATGGAACGCTTTCTCGGACGCTCTTTTGGCCACCTGTACCGTACAGTACACCCTTCTGGTACTACTGTAATTGCATTCTGACAACACTGGCGCTTTGGCACAGTTGAATATTGCTCTCCTTGCAGACGTGCAGGTAGCGAGTTCAATTCCCACTCCCAGACAACTTCTTTGTTCAGATTATGACCCCTGTCGCGCTAGGCGCGGCGTGGTAACTACTGTCGCGCTCGGCGCTTCGTGGGTGTTAACTGAACAGCACAACTACCGTAGGTACTATGTATCGCAACAGAAAGCAACCTTACCCACTCTCAAACAGCTCGAGCCACGACCATTTTTCCTCTGCCTCACGGTCCCTTTCGTTTTATTCCTGCTGAAACGGGTTGTTTATAAACACTCCCTCTCAGACTGCAGATCGAATTCAGTTGCCGTCGCCGTCGTAGTCGCTCTGCATTCTGATCTCATGGACCGTTCCGCTCTCAACTCCCGCGATCGATGGAGACAGCCCGGAATAGGGGCAGCCTCGCGATTCGCTCTATGAGAGAGCGTGTGTCAGGAGCAGTGGAGATGGCGGAGACAGTTGTCTCGGAGACAATGATGAACTCACCCTCATGCAAATGCATGATCCTCCTCCTCCCACAACTCGGAGCCCGCTGTCTCGTCGCCACCAGATGTAGATCCGTATGATGACACGGACTCCGAGTGTGGGACCCTGTAACGTCAGAGGAAATGTAGACGATATTGCGCCCTTCTGAGAGGGCTGAGAACAGTGTATTGTAGTGAAGAAAAAAGTAAGAGGCTCTTCGCAGCGGCCGCTCGACTGACAGCTTTATATATGGGCTGCCAGTGGGGCTTGCGTGGCTTCAGTGAGGCTTGGCACCTTATGTAATGTATCACCGAGAGCGCGGGTGGCCAGCCCGGATCTCGGATCAAGTAGAAGTAGAGAGATATAATGTGAAATACATGTGAAGATGAGATATCCCCGACACCTCCCTCAGATCCTGAGGAGGGCGCCGCATAAATAAGAGGTGAACTACGAGGGATATGTGAAGAAAGGGAGAGCTCATGTTCATTTTAAAGTGTTGACGCACTTGTTCATTTTATAGTGTTGACGCACTGTGTGATGTGTGTGTTTGAGGCAAAAGCGTCCCTAAGCCGACGTCGTGTGTGATGTGTGTGTGTAAGGTCGGTTCTTGCGTCGCCGCGCGTGATGTGATGTAGTTTATGTCGCTATTGCCAGCGGTGTGATTGATAGTGAGCAGTTGTTGCGGCGTCGCGCATGTGATGTGATATGAGATGCTCTATGCTGTTTGTCTCCGTATCCACAAAGATTGTGGGTGAGCTTTTCGTTATCGTTTGTAGGCAGGCGTGTAGCAAAGTGCGGATTTGGGTTCCCAAGTAGGGTCTGGATAACCGAGCCATTTGACTAGAAGATTTCGTACGGCGCGTCGCTCGTCGATGATGTCTTCTACAACCCATTCAGGTTGTCCGTGTTCTTCGATTGGTGGAGGAGGCTGTGGAACTGCACGTTGCGGATATTGCTCTTCGCAATGTGGTCGTAAAATATCGACGTGAAAGATGGGCCAGATGCCGCTGATCTTTGATGGTGATAAATCGAGTTCGTAGGTATCAGGATGTGCTCCCAGTGCGATGATTTTGAATGGTCCGATCCACGTAGCTGAGTATCGTAGTCCTCTTCGAGCGTCTACTTCTAGGTTGCCAATTCTGTATGCGATTGGCGTTCGACCTTTGTCGTGTTCCCGTGCGAATTGATCTTGCGATCTCTGAAGGTTTTCGCGTACGATACGGGCGATGTCTTCCTGCCCTTTCTTGAAGAGTTCGATTTCGTTTCGATTTACAGCTCGAAGTTTGAGTTCTTGTCCTTCGAGAATTGGATTCCAACCCGGGAGGATTGGAGAGCGTCCGAGATCTACTTCGAATGGCGATAAACCTTCATATTCCCCCTCGGAGCGGTATTGTATGCGAATTTGATTAAAGGCAATAGTTTCTTCCAATTGCTTTTGTCGTAGTTGAGGTATTGCTTCCAAATCCTTTTCAGGGTTTGGATGGCTCGCTCAACTTTGCCGTCAGTTTGCTGATGACAAGCCGTAGCAAGTTTGTGTTTTACACCGAGGAGAATATCGAATGCGAGGAAGAAGTCGGAACGTGCGCAAGGTTCGCGATCCGTAACAAAGACTTTTGGCGTACCGACATGTTTCCAAACATGATCTAGAAAGACTTGGGCTAGTTTGCGTCCAGTAATCGTCTTCTTAATCGGTGTCAGAATCACATGTCCGGAAAGATAATCAATGCAGACAAGACAAGAGTTTGTTTCATCTACTTCGAAAATGTTGAATCCGACCGTGTGCCATCTTCCAAAAGGTATAGGAAGAGGTCAGAGAAATTCGTATCGACGATGACCAGGTTTGAATTGTCGACAGGATTAGCAAGTTCCAACGTATTTGATGACGTCGGAGCGTACGGTAGGCCAGTAATAGTCCGTAAGAATTCTTGCGAGAGTCTTCTTAACATTGAGATGTCCTCCGGTGGCGAGTTCGACATGGAATTTCCGCAAAATCTTTGGGCAAATGTCTTCAGGAACGTATAGACGTCCTTCGTGTCGTACTAATCCATTTTCGAACGTATAACGGAGTTCTTTCAAAGTTTTCTCGTGTTGGGGATTTCAAGAAATTTCATCGAGATAATCCGAATATGGATCTTCGCGTAGCGCTTTTTTCCATACTTCTTCTGAGCAAGTAGGTGAGTTTTGTGGATCGTCTGTCGTAGCGTTGGAGGAAGGTTCGTTGACAAGCATACTGCTGATCTGCGTATGCATGTCGAGGCGTCGTTGACAATCTACACACCGAGGCGCATAGATTGGATTGCGGGAGAGCATGTCGGCGATATGATTCCATTGTCCAGGTAAATACTGGATGTCAAAATCATACTCTTGTAGCTTCTCCACCCAATTGGCTTGTCTTCTGCTCAAATGTGGTTGCGTTTGGATGAATTCGAGTCCCTTGTGATCGCTAAAACATTGAAAGTAACGACCGATGAGATATGGTCGCTTGGCGACCAACATCTTGACAAGAGCTAAGAGCTCCTGTTCGTGCGTAGGATATTGAGTTTCTGCGTCCTTCATCTTTCTAGAGAAGAAGACAACAGGCCGGAGCCGGGGTAACTTCTTCCATTGTCCGACAAGCGTAGGCAGATTTGTAGGGATCGTTTCATTGCCAGAAGGTTGTCCAATCCAGCGAGCGATAGCGTAGCCTGATGAGTCAGTATAGACGTAAATTGGCTTGGTTTCATCGATTGTTGCTAGGGTAGGCGCATTGATCAACGCTTCTTTCAACTTTTGAAATGCCTCTTGTTGCTCAGGACCCCATCGAAATTTGACTTTCAAAGATTGAATACTTGATAGGGGCAGAGCGATGTCCGAATAACCTTGTACGAAGTCGAGGAAATAGTTTGTGAACCCGAGAAAGCTTTGAAATCCTTTTGTTGACTTTGGAGTAGCCCAATCTTTGATAGCTTGGATTTTCGAGGGCGCGATGCGAACACCATGTCTTCCAACAATATGTCCACACCATTCGAGTTCTTGTTTAGCCCATACGCACTTTGAAGGATTGATGAAAAGGGCGTGTTCTTCAAGTTTCTTCAGGATACGATCGACGTGTTCCCGATGTTCGGCTAAGGTCTTCGAGAAAATAAAAATGTCGTCCAGGTAAGTAGCGAGAAATTCATGGTAATCTTTATGGAAGATCTTATTCATAAGACGTTGAAATGAAGCAGGTGCGTTGGTAAGCCCGAACGGCATGACCAAATACTCAAAATGTCCGAAGCTAGTTTGTATTGCTGTTTTTTCTTGATCTTGTTTTCGTATAAGAAGACGATGGTATGCTTCTCGAATATCGATAAGCGTAAACCATTTACAACCTTGAATTCGATCCCTCATCTCACGAATATTGGGTAAAGGAGTGCGATCTTTCTTGGTGACGGCGTTGAGACCTCGGTAGTCCCAACAGATGCGTAATCCGCCATCTTTCTTTTTCGCAAAGACGACACTAGCTCCCCAGGGACTTGAGGAGTGTTGTATCCATCCTTTTCCGAGCATCGAGGTGATTTGTTTCTTAAGTTCAGCGAGTTCTTCTTTGTTCATGTGCCGAAGAGGTTGCCAAACGGGTTCAGCACCTTCAGTGAGTTCGATCTTGAAATTATCTTCTCCGCGATCAGGGGGTAGACCTTCCTGTTCCTTGAAAAGCGTATTGACGTATTTATTTAGGATATCCTTAAGATGTCCTGGATTTCCTTTAAGCTCTTGAGGAGCGTCCGGTATTTTGTTAAGAGCAAGGCAACAGACCATGTCTTTTTCAAACTTGTTCCGTTGCCAAGCCTTATTGAATCCCTTGGAAGTCATTTCTATGATGAAGGGCATTGGCTTGAGCGAATCGAGATACGTAATGAGGTGCGGCTTGTAGAGGACGAGTATCCACAGGTTTAATGATCCGAACAGGTCGAACGGGTCTTTTGTCTATGACTGGATCTTGTTGCACATTGAAGTAAGGGTTGTTGTGTTTCGGGATGTATTCGACGTCTTCCTAGTTTCTTGAAGTTCTTTTGCACTTGATGGTGACAGACTGCGGTGCGTTTGGTATAGGGCCGTAATTGGTCCAGCAAAGGATAGGTAAGGTACTCATCGAGATTTGTTCATCGTAATTAAAGAAACGCCAGAAAGGCATTCCAATAATAGCGTCGTAAGCCAGATTACTGACTAGCCAGGGAAGTTGTCCAACTAAGAAAAGCAACTGAGATTCGAGACTTTTCTGAAACGACCGTGTCGAGAAGCATGTATGATTCTTTGTCGGCCAGCCATATCTGCTTCGGTTCGATACGTTCCTTGGGAAATTTGTGCTTTTCAACG